GTGTGCACATTCCTAGCATTGCGTGCATGCATCGCCCGCATGTCACAGGCAATACACCAGAGCTCCGTCTTACTACTGGCACATGATGGAAGTAATCAATGCAGTCAAGGCTGCTGTATCAGCCCCGGCTGGTGTGGCAGAGGCAGCTGTTCATGGGCAGCCACACTCTGGCACTTGGTAGGCAACCCATTGCACACATTCTAGACATGCCCAGTGTCTCAGTGGTCTGTGAGCACTTGCATGGTTATACATAATCCTGCATGTCTGTCAACCCTGGAATGGCAGTAGGGTGTCACCTGGGAGCACGCAGGAGTCCCAGGAGCGGCCGTCCGGGAGAAGGCGCGGCCGGCCGATACAGGTGCGCTGGTCTACAATACACCACGGCAGCGAGCCATTATGGGGGCGAATGCAGCCGCCGTCGCGCACGTCCAGGAACAGGCCCGTCTCCGGCACGGTGTAATTGTACTGGGGCAGGCAGTTGCAGTCGCTCACCGTCCGCTCTGCACCACACATGCCCATCGAAACGTCAGGACTTTTGGCTCCACTGACATGCATGGATGTACGGGAATGTCCCAACCAGTGAGATCAGCTGCTTGCGCCGATGGCGCGCTTGTGTGCTTTCACAAGCAGCATCTCATTCACTCAAAAGGCCTGCTGCCACCACCTCGGCAGCACTGACAGCAACGCCAGCTCTCTTCTCCCTGCTGGTGCTTCTTCAGCATTGCACTCCAGCCATCGAGACCTTTGTATCACCACCTTGCGAGCCTTCTTCTGTTAAGACTGCAGCGAGCGCAAGAGAAGCTAATTGCGAGTGACCCAAGCAGGGGCGCACGGGTGTCCAGAGTGCTGTTGCTGCCCGGGGCGGTGCAGAAGTTGAAGGCGTCCCCGCTGCTGATGCTCTCTGTGCGCGGCTTGTACGTGCATGTGCTCGCATCCACCTTGCACCAGGGCATCTGCCGCTCGCCTCCCGGGATGGCGCACCCGGCGCTGCCGTTCACCACGTATATCTGACCCGTGGTCGGCGACGTGTAGCTCCAATTGCCGTTGCACTTGCAGCCTGCGCGCGCCAGCTTGGCATCAGTCACCCAACTCCCCTGGGACCCCCTCAAATACTAGGAGCTTGCCGAAGCAACCATATTCCAAAACCCCCCTTTTCCTTGGAGATGACTGAGCACTCTTGTGGCAATCCCCGAAGCAGGCCTTCTCTATGCCCCACAAACTTCCTCGTGCAGACAGCAGTGAAAGAGACGGGAAGGAAGAGATGGCACATTGTCTCCGCAGAAATAGGGTTTACACCCCACTCTGGAACACCTCAATTCTGCGGCTCGTGCCTTTCATGGGTGATGCTTGCGCAGGGGTAGGTGACCAAAGCAAAGGGACTTGCACTGAACATCAGGGCGGGAGGTCACCTGACGTGGCTGTGTAGGGCAGGACTGGAGTGGCGGTCGCGTTTGTGGCATTCACAGCTATCTCCATGAAGGTACCGTTCTCGCTCCAAAGACCAATGGGGTCCTCCGCATGGAAGTGGTGGTGCTCTGACGACCACCGCAGATTCTCCGGATGCGCAGCTGCAATGCAAAAATACCGATATAAAATGCAAGCTGTCAGAGACACCCTGCCCAACAGGCAGGCAACCCCAGCTGCCCGGCGCAGTGACAGGCAGCACTTGCAGCGCGGTCTCAAGCACCGTTGGCCTCGTCAAAGCGGGCCGCCGCACTGATTGCCGATCAGCTGTCGGCATCAAATTCAAGTTTGACACGGTGTCACGGCAGGAGACACGACGCAACCGGTTGTACCTCGGCACACGTCCCAGGCCTTGCCGCGGCGCCGCTGCGGCGGGGAGGAGCAGGTCTCGGGGATGACGTAGCACCAGGGCGCCTCGTTGTCCGTCGAGTCCAGGTCGACGCAGCCGCCCCCGGACCCCTGGACGTGGCTCTTCACGCTGATCTCGCTCCACGACGGCTGGCAGGAGCACATGCTCGCCGTCTTCTCTGCGCGCAGGCAACAACCCACACCCCACATCAGACCCCGCCGCCTCTATGCCTGCCATGCTATTTGGCACCAGGCAATCTTGATGCTGCAGCCTTCTGTTTATAGGCTCTCGATTTCAAAGCTAGGTAGAGATGTCCCAGGCAGGTGTTTCCCATGCGCAGTGGCCCAGCTGTGCTCGTTTCGGGCTCGCTGTGAGCCATTGTTCTGGGAAGAGTGCATTGAGGATGCGGCTCATGCAAATTCATCATCGCAAGTGGTTCAGGAAGCGTCTCAGCAGAGCAGAGCATTGGCCTGTCTGTGAAAGGCTGCAGAATTCATCATCGCTGTGAGTTGCGGCTGCGGGGGGGCACCTGTGTCGATGGTGATCTTGTCGTCTGCGCTGTAGCAGTAGTCCCAGGAGCCCGTGCTGGCCGTGAAGGGGTCATGCGTGCACGTGGCCGGGTCCACCATGCACCAGGGCACCGGCTGGTCGCTGTCCGGATTCGCGCAGCCGTTGGTGATGTGGAACGTGTTGCCCTTGGTGCTGTTGTAGCTCCACTCCTTCAGGCATCGGCAGCCTGCGCGCACGCGTGCACACACACCCACTTGAGCCTCTTGCCGCACCAGCATCTTGTCCCCATCACTGTCTGTCATCCCCACATGCAGCGGACTGTCCCGTGTAATATCTTGGCTGCGACAGGTCCCCAAGAGGTGTCACAGATTCTGGGTATTGCAGGAAGCATGCAACACTCCTACAGGATGACGCCCTGATTTCATCAATACTCACAGAACTCCGTGCATGCTTTCCATGCCATGTAGCCATGCATCGTCCTTAGGGTCCTCATGGCTTAATAGCAAGATAGCAAGATATCAAGCTGCAGCAAGCGGGTCGGCAGAGGTTGACAGGGGCGGGCAGGGCACCGCAATTGAAGCAGGAGCAGCGGGGCCGGATCTGGTAGATGAGGGCCCCGACCACGACCTGGTAGCCATCCACCCTCTGGCCGACAGGGCAGGGGGTGTAAAAGCCATCTGTATTGTCCAGGGTTGGCTCCCCCACCTCCATAAACCCCTCCACGACCCCCAACCCTGACCCATTCAGCGATGTGAAACCCTGCGGCTGCACCAACTGCGCAGCAATCACACTGTTCCTCAGGACTCTCTGCCGCTGCTGAAAGGGTGATCAATGCGTCAGCCTCCTTGGGCTGTCTGTTGGCCCAGCAGGCTTTGCATGTGGACACACTCCTGGAGACGCATCCAGAACCTTTGCATTTGTTCTGCAATTTTCCTTGCATGTCTGCCTGAAAGATTTTGCTGGCAATAACGATGAGTATCCTGCAGGCCCCACTTGGCTGCAAGTGCTCTAGGCAGGATGTCAATCGCTTGCGCAATCATTCTTCATGGGCGGGGCAAAGGGCGGCACCGGGATGTTCTCCTGCTGGTAGATGACAGATGCATCGCTGGCGCTGGGACCATAATAGCCCAGCTGCTTGCCGTTGCTGCACCTGCCCTGGATGCTGAGCATCCCCCTCATTCTGTACGCCCGCGTGGAGTTTGCGTTGACAGCAGCGCTCCCCATGCTGACAATGAACTTGTCTATGTAGGCCCCGTCAGCGCACACCTCCTGCTTCCCCAGCGTTCCACCTGATAATGCATTCTGCGGCTGCCAGTCCCACCAGTGCTTCTGCGACGCTGGTGTCCTGGGATTTTCCAGGTACCTGCAGCAAGGTCTGTCCTTGAGCACAATTCCTTCAGCTGATACATTTGCAGAGTAACCATCATAGATTTTGGATTTTGGATTGCCAGGTCACAAGCAGTACAGCTCACAGCAGGCTATTGAACTGGTTTTGTCAGGAACAGATCAGGTGAGTTGAAGGCCACAGACAGCCTAAATTATTGATCATCCTTCAGCGGAACTGCAGATTGAGACCTAACATTTTCGAACGCATGCATTTGAAATCAGAAACCTTCAGTTCTGTCCTGACACAAACGCCGCTAGAGGCCAAGTTCTGGGGTTCTGGAGGTTCGCTATGCCCAGCTAGCACACAGCACAGATATTGGCGAAGACAGTCGAGATCCCACAGAAGCGGAACGGCAAGATCGACCGCCAACCCTAGCCAGAATTTTGGGTGCAGGACTATAAGTCTGCACAGCGAACACCAACCCCGGGAGCTAGTCCGTGTTCTGCTCGGTGGGACCCAACAATTTGGACTGGCAGGTGATCGGACGGCGCTGCGATCACGGACCTTTCTCCTTGCTGCTGACCGATGGCACCGTGGCTGGCCAATAATAAGAACAGCAGCGAGTGCAACCAATCCCTCCGCCGAAGCCTGAGTGACGTCCAGGTCCACCCTCTGCTGCACGAACCTTGCTCCCTAGACCTCTGCGCATATCGGTGAGGTTCTGCCGTTCCCTTTGAATTCCTGGGCTGCTGGCTTTCCCTGTCCGTCTCTCCTTGATGCGAACTGCTCGCCGATGCACCGCTCGCTGCTCGCGGGTCTTCGCCGACCCCGTCAGATACTTCCATGTCTGTCAACCCATAGGATCAACGAACAATGTCGGGGGCGGCTCTGGACACATCGACTCGCTGCCCACTACCGACGAGGCCACACACGAAAGATTGATTGATGAATTTCTCAAAAGAACTCTTTACTGAAGCCAAATTTGGCGTGCGAACGGCGACCGTAATTACGGATTCTGGATGTTTGAGGCGGGATCTCTCGTGAAGCACGAGATCTCGTGAGGCCTGGAGACCGAGATCCAATTAGATCCAAAATTTCAGTGAGAGGGAGGGGGACATTGTCAAACATGGGACAAAACAGATTGCATACAGTGTTTCATGGGCGAATTCGTTCATATGAAATTCTCGTTCGCGAGGTAAGGTGCCGCTAAATTGCATGCATGGACACAGTACTGTCAGGGCACCCTGGGTGGGGCCTAGCAACAGGTTACCATCACAGGGACTGGCGTAATATGTGGTCACAGTGCAGCGCTGCATGCGGCATGATATGATGGTCATGTGAACGTTCACAGTAATAGCCGACCTTCGACTCGGCAAACCCATTACCGTTTTCGCGCTGCAAGTCCACACTTTAAAGCGCAGTCGTCTATGATGATATGATGATCGCTGTGGCACTCATGCCATGACAGTACTTGACCCCCTTCAAGGGATTCTTTTGATCAGACTGTGACTCATGTTGTCGGACTGCCAGGTCTGCCAGTACGACCACAATAAACCATGTTGTAGCATGCACTTCATACGCTGTCTTGTCGACCACTAATTGGCAACCACCACAACATAACAGCACACGATGTCATGCTAAGCTTCGGGATGAGCAGGACGCACAATTTGCATCTCATCATTTCCTACACCTGTCTGCCTCAATCTCAGCGGAACAGTCAGCATCCTAGGCTTCTGGCACCAGTAGTATTTCAGGACAGAAAAGAACAGTTAGCAGTTCGACCAGCCTGCAAATAATGGTCCCTGGATGGTCCCAGCTGATGTTGGCAAAAGAAGTGAGAGGGCACAATCTGGACAAGACCAAGAAGCGGCAGACAAGACCGACGTCTGCAAAAAACAGAACAAACATCAGGCAAGCATGCGAAGCTCTGAATTGAGTCATTGTATTGGAGCAGGGTTCCAGCAGTACTTGTGCCCATCTTCCAGCACATTCAGCAGCTCCATGTCATCGTCAGACAGCTGCCAAGACAAAAGTGCTTCCTCGCTGTACTGCTCCACATACTTTTCATGGACCGTCTTGGGAATGACTGCACACCCCTGCTGCAAGCCCCACCTCAACAAGACCTGCAGGTTTGTCATGCACCCAGTCAGACATGCATGGAATTACTTCTCACGCCCTGCACACCCACTTGCAGCTCACTGAGAGAAAGCGCAAGGATTCTGCACTCTTGATCAAATTCATCAAGCTCCCGCCATAAGCAAGCTGCATCTGCAGACAAACTCATGTGCAGCTAGATCCCAAACTTCAGCGAGCTAATTGAGAGTCATCCCTCACTAAACGAGAAGGGAAGCACAAAAGCAGGAGGCAATAAAGAAATGCCCACCTGCGCTGCTGTCTTGCCATGCGATTCTGCCACTTTCAGAACCACGTCATGGCTGAGCAGGTCCCCACATCCGAGGCTGGCATAGGCAATCACGGCAAGCTCCCTCTCGTCACAGTATGTCCGCAGGCGCGTCTGCTGGAAGCGCGGGTGCACCTCGATCTGAACCACAAGCCAGCATCCTTGTCTTTGCTTAAGACTCTAGGCATTGAAAGAAGAGACATACAAAGGCGAGAGCCAAGTAGCGAGAAAGAGCTGCTCGTGGTGAACAAGCGGTGCTAGTGATATACAAGACATCTCCGGCCAGATAATCTAGGCATTGCGCCCTCATAGCCTCCAACTGACGCTTGTTAATACAGCAACCTGCCGAGTCAGTTTGAACATTTCACCCACAAAAGCACTCTGAAGGACGCACTTGGTTGACCATGGGTCTGATCTCAGCCATTTCCAGCAGCTCTGCCAAGTGGCCCTCCTCATAATTGCTGACCCCAATTGCTTTGCAGCGCCCTGCCTTGTACAAGTCCTCAACGACCCGCCATGTCTCCAATCGCTTGTGGGAATTGCGCACAGACTTCACATCCATCTTGGCCACGCCCGGCCAATGGATGAGGAGCAGGTCCAGGTAATCCACACGAAGCCGTGTCAAGATCTCTTCGCATGCCAGCGTTGCCTTTTCGGTCCCATGCTGCACATATTAATGATAATCATCAGCACAAATCTTATCAGATTTTGTTGGGTACACCTCAGATATCCTCCAGGGATCACTTTGATTATTTAACTCAGCAGAAGGCTGGCAAACTGCACAGAGGCCCAGCAAAGTGGTGGCAGTAAGTCTGGTAATATCAGCAGTACCTGATGAGGACCGATCTTGCTGGTTATAAAGACATCCTCTCTTGCAATGTCGGCCTCCTCCAAAGCATCAGCAATTTCACTCTCGTTCTGCAGAGACAAGCTTAGCCCATCAATGCTCTGGACTCTAGTAGAACACAATGAGCATGTCCAAGCATGCAAGTAAAGCGAAAGATCGACAGACCATTTGGCCTTATCAACCCACCTTATATACAGCAGCCGTGTCAATGTGCCTGACTCCAATGGCCAGGGCCCTTTTTATTGTATTTCTCAAGTCCTGTCCGTGAGACTTGAAGGTTCCCAGTCCTACAAGTGGCAGCTCAACCCCGTTCTGCAGCTGTATTGACCTGGGAGAGCGCTTGGAGTTAGTGGTCATAACCCAGTCGACCTTGCAACCAAATGATATTGCTTCGCAGTATCATTTGACTTTCCAGAACAGCAAATTTCTGCTTGCAATCCTCTGTAGCACGCCCCCTAATTGCCGACTTCCCCAAACAGAGGGATTGGAATTGTGACAAGACTGAACAATTTGATCCACGAACAGACAGTATGAACTCCCAGATCACACGCCCTGTACAGTAGAAAGTTTACTCGAAGCTTGATTGGCTTGTCTCGGTGAAACACAGATCGTTGCGTTGATGTTGATGTGAACCTCATGCAAGTGTAGCACGTGAACCATGCATGTGGTTCCCCTGCCATTGACCATGCGACTTTTTCAGATTCAATGTGAGCACTCGGGAGGCCTCTCGAGTGCCAGAATGAACACAGTGATGTGAAACACGATCTTTTTGATGTTACAAGATCGGCGCACTTCCAAATATATACAGAATCATTACCAAATGAGTTTCAACAGCAGCGTGCACCGTCAAATCTACCAAGACGGGCCCAGCCTGAGGTCCTGATCAAGACCTCATGAGCCCACACCCCACGCATTGTGATTGTAAAGCCCAGGCGAAGAGCCAGGCTGCATCAATGGCATCCACCAGCCACGTGCTGCGCATAACGAGCTTGTGGCTCATTATTATTTCCGCAGCCCACCAGGAACACATGTACTGCTCATGAGCAAGCACTTGATCAAGGTTATACTCATTTGTGTTTGAAAATGATGTGTGTGGGTGAGGTGCACCCTTCAACCGCATAAGCCTCATCCATTTATGCTGCTCAAAATGAATATTCACAAAAGAAGATGCAGTTCCAAAGTGCCGTACAGAAATCTCAGACATCCTCCAACGTCACCGAAACAACCCATGCCTCGGTGTCACTGCCACGCATGCAGCCCCCCTTCTGCACTCAAGCAGCCCTGGCCTTCTTGCGCGGCTTAAAGAAGCTCTCTATCGACGGCTGCGTGCCACCGCCACCGGCGCCGCCGGCAGCAGCCGGCCCGGCGACCGCGGCAGCGCCGAAAGCGGCGACGGGGAGGGCCCGGTACGCGTTCCAGTTGAGCCGATTCGCAATGGAAGACGTGGTCATGCGCCGGACCTGACCAAAGATCGGCGTTGACTCGGCGCCCATGGGCTTGTCAAAGAGGCCGAAGCACCAGAGGATGCCGCCGTAGGAGCACGGGTCGCAGCCATCCAGCGCGTAGCGGTGGTTCACGTGGCACGCCGCCGCGATGGCCGCGTCCGGCGTCGGCAGCCAGGGCAGGAACGCCTTGCCCCATTTCATGCGCAGGTTGTTGTGCAGCTCGCCTGCAACCACCACCGCCTTCAGGGCTCCATGCAGTGTTCTCATGCTCAGTGCATTATGAAACGCATGGCAACTAAACCCAAATTGGCACTTTAAGAGTGTGAATTGATCCACCTGGTAAGGAAGGGAAGATGTGCACTCATGAAGTGTGTAGTTGATCACCATGTTGAGCATGTTGCACATGTGGACAGCCCACTTCACAAGGCATGTAAATGACAAAAGCAGGACCCTGGCAAGAGATGGCGAAGATGGCAAAGGGGGGGTGCACCGGTGGTTTTGAGCTGGTGCTGCATGGAGTCCCAGATGTGGTCCCCTGTGGTCCCCTCCTCCAGCTGCCGCATGCTCTTGCACTCGCGCGCGTCGCCGCTGTGCCTGCCCAGCGTCTGCTGCGCCCACTGCGGCAGCGCCTGCAGGGCACCGTCCCAGCTGTCTCATCATCATTGCCACGTAACTTGCGCTACTGGGCACCGCAAAGCTTGAATCTTTGGTCTCCTTGTCCCCAATTTGTTGTGACAGCACGTTGCCAGCTCCCAATTCCTCTCTGATACCTCTCACCAGTCCCAGTCACACTTAGCTGCAGCTGTATGACTCAACAAGGGGCCGCCAATCGCAGCCGTGGATGTGGCATGCCACCACTTTTGGTGATGGGTTCACATGCAAGCAGCATGCTGTACCAATCTCCATTCAGCTGCAAAATCGGCCCGGATCCCTGCAAGGTAAGCGGCGCACCTGCACGTTCTCGAGGACGGGCCAGGAGCGGAGGCAGAAGGCGTGCGCGACCTCTCGCCAGGTGAAGAACTCGTCCACGTACTTGGTGGCCCCATTGCTGCGCGCCAGCAGCGCGTCGCGTGCCACCTTGAAGGGGCTCACCATGCCATAGTGATGGTAAGCCGACAATCGGCTCACACCGTCCCTGCACCAGTCGGGCCGGCCTAGTCAGCGGATGAGTCAGCAGAGAGATACTCACCCCTATGACACCACCACTCAGTGCTCCAAAACAGACACCAGAAAGACAGCCCTACTTGATCTCACGCACAGTTTTACGATGAAAGTAATAAAAGGTGCTGTGCCCTCGATGAAGCTGCCATGCACCTGCATTAGGCAGCCAAAGCAGCTGCTGCAGCAGCTGTACAGTGCCTGCTGTCCCTTACTAAAGGGCACACAAAATGGAGCCCATGCGTCTCAGCTGGCGGCTGTAGCTTTCATGGTACAACAGAAGGGGGAGCGCACCGTTTGAGGGCGTTGTTGCGATGGGCGGCATACAGGTCAAGGCCCTTGGTGCGGAAGGCCTCCCAGCGCGCGTACCCCTCCCCGGACCCCCCGTGCATGTGGCTGACCGCTGGCACGCGGCGGTCAATCCAATCGCACTGGGCCAGCAGCGCTGCGATGTCGGCCCCCGGCGCCGACAAATTCAGGGGGTCCCACCCCAGCCCCTCTGGAATGGGACCCCTCGCCGGGGGATCCTCCCTCAGCTCCTCCATTCCCTGCGCCCCATGCCGATACAACTCGTCATCTCAAGTGCAAACACCGGGCACAAGAGTAAATACAATAAAAATGAGAAAATAACATCATCATCACCATTACACGCTTTTCCATCCAGCTGGCAAGGATTGCCTGCAGACAAGCTGCAGGTAAAAGGCTGCCACATATCCTACCTCTTAGTAAATTCGCCAGATCCATGCACGACCCAATCAACCGTGGGCATGGTCCTCAACATTTGCACCGGCCCCCGCCCAGAGCCATATAAAATATTAAAGTAAGGCTATTCACCTTGGCGACAGCAGCGGCGCCACCGAGCAGCCGGGCCCAGTCAGTGGCGCCGTCGGTGTAGGGCAAGCGCTGCAGCCGCTCGCGACGCGGCCGGTCCGTGGACGAGCGGAAGATGTAGGCCTTGGCCGGTGCGCGCGCCGTCAGCCGCATGGGGTACAGGCACGCCGTGTCCACCGCCCACACCGCCACGTCCGGTGGCAGAGCAGCCGCCAGATCCTGAGGGGCAGTTCACCCAGGCTCATGCCTTGGTCACAAATTACAAGGGGGAGCTCTTCGCTCGGCAAATGTATTGAGCTGTATAGGAAAGTCATATTTTAATGTCACAAGATTGAAATCCTTTCGTGAGCCCTGTTGTCTTGAAGTGAATTCAAGAAAGGGAGAAAAGTCCTCCAGGGGTAGATCAGTAGCCATGAAAGCTACTTTGAGCTGAAGCGATGCTGCCCTGGGGTGCCCATGCTAGGGGGAAACAACAACTGCAAAGGAATGTGGAACTCTGCATTACAGATTCCACAGGATGCCACTGACGCACCTGCTCGCAGTGCCAGTCCAAGTGCATGAACGGGGTCAGATGCTAGATGTGTGGTCATTTACCTTTGTCCATTGTGCGTAAGGAGACACGGGCATCTCCTCGGTGATCACCAGCGAGGAGGCAGCCGCCAATGCCGTCAGTGCGGCCCAGCCTTCCGACTGGGGCCCACTCATGCCGTCCAGGTACACCAGCAGCTCCACTCCCTGTTTGGGTCATGATAGACCCTTGTCAGCGTCATAATCCCCTCATTGTGTCCTATCGCATTCCTCTGGTCACTAAAAAGATAGTCTGCATGAAGCACTCTGTTACAGCATGCACAGCAGGCATGTGTAAAGACAGGTCTGGCTCAGGCAAAGCAGTAGAATGTCTTACGAGAATCTGACTAGGTAAATTGGAGTCCAGGTGCAACTCCACACTCATCAATCGGCACATGAAGAGCATGACCTCTCCCAGATGGAGAGGGAATCATGAAATAGCCCATATAACCTTGGAATTGATGCCTACCTGCTGGCGCAGCTCCAGCTGGGTGTCGCGCAGGCCCTGCATCCAGAAGGAGTAGCGCCGTTCTGTGGGGTGTGTGTGGCTCCTCAGCAGGAACGCTGCGATATGCAGGGGCACCCCCCGCCGCTCAGCCGCCGCCCGGGCCACATCCAACGCCGGATTCTCGTGACCGCGGAGCGCAGTCCGCATCCAGTACAGCACAGGCCTGCCATCGCCCCTGCTGCCTGCTGCTCCTCGCCAGTCCTGTCAATAGGCTAAGAAGCTCGTTACTGCTGCAGAATGCATACCTGCCTGAGCGATCGTCAAAGCCCAGGTGATGCAGAGTCGAGTGGCCCAAGACCCTTCCGGCGTCGGCAGAGTATTGCCAAGGAAAGATCTCGCGCCCAGCTTGGATCGCAGAATGTGGCAGCCATGAAGCCTGCGAAGTAGCAAGGCGAGGAGGGAAAGGTGTTGCTCACCGCAGTGTTGCCGCTGCGGAAGTCTCTGATTCGCTCGGTGATGAACTCTGGCAGCTCTCTCAGCTGCTGCTGGGCTCTGGGTGCGGCTGATGAGCTGGCACCAGCATCGCCTCTGCGATCCACCAAGCAGTCTGCTGTTGGCAGGCCTCCCTCTGGCGTGCTCTGCTGCGAGGCGCTCTGTTGCGAGGCGGAAGTTCCTGCGCATCCAATATATGTCACAGGGCCCTCTCTCAAAGGATGCAACTCAGTCTCCACAAAAGACATTGTCAATGCTTGGCCTCTTGTCTGGTGCCCAGGTAGGGGCAACAGCAGCGTAAGGAGCGCGTTAGATACAAGCTCACACTGCCACGGATGCGTACTTCCTGCCACGATGGCTGGGGACTGCATGCCTTCCATACCCGCTGACAGTGTGGAAACTTATGCAGGTGCCAGCGGACTTGCAATACCTGCTTTGGCCTGGGCGCGCTCCAGCCTCTTGGCAAGCCTGCGAGTCCGCTCCTTGTCAAGCCCATCCTGGCCGCCCCACTTCTGCAGTGCCAAGGCCTCCACCTGGATCACCAATCATACCACTCTTGCATCCATATAGGTCAGCCTGTCAGCCAGAGCCGCCGTGTGCGTCGCATGCTTGTCTCGTTGGTACAGCTACACGCCGGACAAGGGTCCGATGACCATGGCAATGTACCTCTGTTTGCAGGTAGAGGGACATGGGTGCCCCTGACCGAGGTGAGCGGGGGTTGGGCTTCTGCACTACCACCAAAGCTTCCAGCTGCATTGCGGAAGTCACATTGAAAGATTTGATGAAGATCTTTTTGTGCTCAACGGTGTTACTGAATTGATGCATTCAAGCACAGCAGTTTGAGTGGGCACCAGGAGAAGGCAAGACTGCCTGCAGCTGGTCTTCAACGAGCACTCACGTCTTTGTCTGATAAACAAAAGCCCTCCTTTGCGCTAGTTTTCGTCTGCAAGCACACCACAGATGAATGTAAGTAATTCCTTCAGCTAATTTCGAGCTCACCATCAGTCCGATCAAAACACCAGACCTCCAAATTTGCATACAAACAATGAATGTAGCTGTCGTGAAAACAACAAATTGTGCATGGAATAGAAAAGTCACGGACGATTGAATTTTCTCGCGTCCTGGGGACGTCAGGAGTCGACATCCCGCCTGTCAGAAGGGCCGAAAATTGGGACTCTGCTTTTTCAGACTGCCAAATCCCGTTGCAACAGTTCTTTCGTCAATTACAACATCCCTTGTATAGGTCGCTTTGCCCACATGAAACGTGCTGAAAATACTTCCAATTATAAGACAGCGCCACGACCTGATGACGGAAGCCTGTCTCGGATATGAACCTGCCCAATCGGGCAAATCACTTTGGCCCAAAACTTGTCAGGCACACACATGAAATTTTGTCCTACAGGTTTCCCTCATCCAATGCTACACTTTATCTTTATCCTCTTAATTAAGTGGGGCATCAAATTACACATCACACAAGCACGAACAACAAATCCCTGCCCATCATAAAGTAAACACCGGTACCGTAGTTCACTATAGTAGCTACCTTGAAGTTCGCCAGCAACTTGCAGCCTGCATCACAGCTCTGGAGCCCTCTTGTCCACAAGGCACGCAGCCTCGTGGCCTCGCTAGCAAGTTTATTGGCCCAAATTTAAATATTAAGTTTTAATATCAATCAAGCTATTCTAGATAATAAAAGTACAAGTCTGAGCAGCGCTCATGAGCTCCGAGCTCATCAGTCATGGAAGCTGCTTTTTGCACAGCACGCCACAGAGAAGCAGTCACAGGCTCCGTGCTGAAGCCATCAGTGTGATTCCATTGCAAGATCCTCCTCTACCCCAAAAAGTGAGAAAAAAAACTACTCTTCTTCCTATCTACGCCTTCGCAAAGTGACAACCGCGGTCACTGCGACTCCAGAGATGCCCAGGAGGGCCATCCGTCTCCAAGGCCAGTTGCTGCTCTTCTGTGGCGCTGCGGGCATGCGACTGATCTCCTCAAAGTCTATCTCTGCATTCCATCTCTCCCGCATCCCAGGCAAATGCCCCGCGCCAACCACCGCCACCACCTTCGATGCCCTGTCATGTGCAAAAGTTTCACTGTTCAATGCTACGCCTTGCGAAATTCACCAGGCTCATGAAAGGTTGGTGTCCCTCCACCAGGATTAAATAAGGCAATGAGTCAACCATTGGATAAGGTGATAAGAGTTGCAGGGCAATACTGCAGCATCACCTGGAGGCCAGTGCTCGTAAAAGGAACACCATGTACTCGTCCCGCTCTTGAATCAAGGGCCGCATGAGCTCTGGAAACTCCTCAGCCAGATCCTTCATGGCTTGAGTGAGCACATCCGCCTCCTGCAATGAAGGATTCTCCACGTGACGACTAGATCTCTCATCATGTTACGACATTCCACACCTCCCATGGGAGGGAGCATGAAGTACAAACTAGAGAGCGAGGTGTGAACATGGCCCACTGCGTTTCTGGCGCATCGGTCAAGATCGCGAGCTCCTCACCTTCATCTTTTCCACCTCCGCTTTGAGGTCGTCTGAGACACAGAAGCCCGTCGTGAGCAGGCCCCAGATGAACCTGACCTTGCTCCATCGTGACAAGGCACTCCATGTTCTCGCCAAAGTGACACGCACTGGTCGGTCACCCAGCACCACCTTGGCCCCAACCTGGACGCCCACATGAGCAATGCTGCTTCAGGCGTCGAGGTACAACACTGGAAAATGGGCAGTCCCACCCTCCATGTTACCCTTTGTCAGCAACCTATTTGAATGGGGATAAAAGGTGCACACGACAGGTACTGAGACCAGGCAGTAGGAACCAGACACCTGCTGTGCTTCGAGGAGGGCGGCCCGGAATTCCTCTCCAGGCAGTACTCCAAGCGCATCCGCCACTTGGCTGAGCATCCAGGAGTAAGCCACAAAGAGCAGGGGAACCTTGCCAGCCCGCCAAAGCTTGAAGAGCTCCCCCGGCGCTAGCACCTGCCACAGGGCAGTATGCAAGCTGTAAGTTGCGAGGGAATCCGATCTAGTCCAAGGAAACCAAAACGTTTTGAGCAGTCCCTCACCTCTTCCTTGGTCATGGTGAGCGTGCTTCTGCGCTCTACACACAACTCCAGAAACACCACCTGCACAGAGAGTCATCTATCTGTAAGATGCAAACAAACTGTCCAAGACCGCATGCAACAAGAGCAATTCAGAGGGGCAAACAAGGGCCAGAACGTTGCCCTGTTCAGGAAGGCAGCATGCCAATGCACATACCTCAGGCTTTACAAGACGAATCACTCGCCTCACATCTTCACATGATTGCGTGCTGACATGCGCTGTGCCGACTAGGTAAAATGTCTGCTCCCTTCCAAAGTCCTGAGGATCACTGCAGGTCAGCACGGTGCAGCAGCTGGGCAGGCTGTCCATCGGATCCAGCTCACTGGGCCGTTGGACAATATCCTGAGGTTCACCAAAGACATCTACATCCGCAGACTCTTCACTCGGGTCGTTTTGTGTCCCCATCAGTGCACCAGAGTGGTGTGATCAGGCTCAGCAGTGGTACAAGGATGCAATTCGATTTGCAACAGCAACCAACTCTCGTAAGAGCAGCTTCGTCGACTGAACAGAACCAGGCAGCGCAATTAATAGTAATTTCCATGACACAAGGACAGGTGGGATGTCACAATTTGGAACGCCATCGGTCCGCTGCGCCCTTGGACTCGGGCTAGCTTCCTTCGTCTTCAGAACGCCTCGTTTCCCTCAAGAGCTGGAAATACTGATCTATGTTTCCCTTCAAACAACGCGAATTGATGTTACTTTGTTCCACGGCGTGCTCGCTGAACGACATAGCACGTCTGCGGTTGTGCAGGTGAGGCGTTTCTGATGGCTAGGTTGCTTGATCTGTGCCATCTGACTCCTATTACTGCCTCTCTCGCTGGAGAGTCTGGAGTACTCTTATATATCGTTTATCTGTGTGCTTAGAGCACAGAAACTGCGAGAAGCAGAGTCAGTCTTCCCCCATCTTGAGGAGTGTGGGAACGGTGTTTTCTGAGCTTCCTGCAAGCTGTCAAGATGATCTTACTACGGTTACATTAATATTCGGGATTCAATGCCTTTACCTGCCCAAACAGGACAAATTCTACGCATATTTCCATGAGATACTGGGCGTGGATGCCTGGTATGTTGTGAGCATCATCGATTTGCCTCCAGATCGCCTCGGTTCTCAATCAGTCGCTAAAATTCTCACTCAGGCACTCGCATGCTTTTTCTGCTGCAGGCTCAGACGTGGTTGCAGCCAATAAGTCAAGGAGTGCCACCTTGGAGGTTCACCCTAATTGCAGGCATTGTTCCTGGCAGCAGGCACAGCAGCAAAGTGACAGCATAGAGCAGAACTAGCACAGTGGAGAAACGGGGATGTGGTAATGTTTTTGAGATCTGCCCTGGCGCAAACTGCCTATTCGACCGCATGCAGCAGCAACAGCCGCAGCTGAGGGCAGCAGACAGCTCCTCAGCTCCAGCTGGCCGATGTCGAGCCCTGCTGCCAGCCTTGCGGTGAGGCCTTGTTCCTCTCAAATGAAGCGTAGCTGTGCCTAAGCATTGCATACCCAAGCAGCTGCTTTCTGACAAGGTAGCAGAGGGGGGCAAGGGAGCAGATGCACTCCATGATTGTTGCCTCTACAGGTCCTTGTATTCACATATGCATATCTTGCGCTGACTGGCGTATCTGATGAGGCATAGCTGGTCACGTCCTCCATCGATGTTCTGGCGCGGCATGCAGGCGCATGCTGCCAGCATGTGCTGCACGACAACGGCGCGTGTGCCTGGTCGCCGGGGCCTGTCTTTGCCTGCTGCTGTTCTCTGTTCTGGCTCTGACTGCGCCCTGGTGGGGCACCTGGCTCCTGTGGCAGCCCAGCAGGACCTCCTACGTGACTGACAGCCTAGGTCCGCCCTTACTCCTCCTGAGATGATGCAACCATCTTTGTCCTGCTCATCTTTGCTCTGCTGTCCCCAAGAATGTCCTCGCTTAATGGCAGCCGGGGCCCAGGGTGCCTTGCTAAACGGGTGCATGAGCGGCAGAGGAATGGACAAGATACTCTGCATAGAAGGGTCACTTGTGCTGGTGCTGTGCAGATCCAGATCGAGGTTGGCAGGGGAACAGCACAGCCGAAAGGGAACTGGTGGTGCCGCGCATAATCCATCAGACATGGAAGACGGAGGTCATTCCAGAGAAGTGGGTGGCCGCGCGGCAGTCCTGCATGGACATGCACCCGGGCTATGAGTTCCGGCTGTGGACAGATGACAGCGCGCATGAGGTGCTGGCCAAGGAGATGCCGCAGCTGCTGCCCACCTATGACTCTTACATCTACAACATCGAGCGTGCAGATGCCATACGGTGCGCCCCTGCCCTGCCTTGCAAATTTTTGAGAGTTCAGGGTTTCCATCGCCTCGCTGTACATTCTCTTGGTGATCCTAGCCCCAGAGTCCAGGCCAGGCTTATCTCTGTTCCTTGTCGAATCTTAGCTTTTAGATCCATGTGATACTGCCTTTCAGAGGCATACACGTTGTGTGATTGACTATTTTCTGGCGGCCTCTGCTATCACTATTGCTTTGTCCATGAATTCTCTCTTGATGGGCTTCAACATGATTGTCAATTGCATTGTGGCGGCAGGTACGCTCTTCTGTATCTGTACGGCGGATTCTACATGGACCTGGACATCGAGTGCCGGCGGCCGCTGGACTTCCTGCGCGCATACCCATTCGTCATGCCGCAGACGCGGCCGGTCGGCTTCTCCAACGACTTCCTCGCAGCCGCCCCCGGCCACCCCTTTGTGGCCCAGCTGCTCGCGGCTCTGCCCCGCTGGAATCTCTGGCTGCTGTCCAAGTACCCCACCGTCATGTTCTCAACGGGGCCCATGTTTGTCACGCTGCAAGCGTCCTTGTATCGGTCGCGGCGCTCGCTCTGGGTGCTGCCGGACCGGCTATATGGGAAGTACGTCCCGGCCGGGGACTCGCTATTCGTGCACCTGTTCGGCAGCAGCTGGCATGGGGATGATGCCAAGAGCGCGCTGTGGCTGGTGCATCACCCTCTTTTGCTGCTGGGGGCCGGTGTGCTGTCTGCTGTGGCGTGCGCGCTCTACCTCTGGCGAAGGTCCTGCACGCTGCTGGGTGCCGGGCAGGCCCAGAGTGACTTGGAGAGCGCAGCGCTGAAGATGTGCTGAATAGGGCCCTTCAATAAGAGGCTCGCTTGGGTTTGATGCGGGGGGGGGGGGGGGGGGGGGGGGGGGGGGGCCCAAAAAAAAAACAATAATAGAGGAACAATGTGGTTGAACCCTTTGAATCAGAGAATGTGTAATTTACCTGGAGTCTGATTGGGTGAATGCTGTCTGTCTATCAGGCAACTTTTTTTGGATGTTGCTATTTGTGGCTGCATGAAACCCTCATTTTGACATCCTATGTGTATCAATGTACTCAGCTGCATTGACGATGTCTTTTGCTGGGATCAACTTAATTCAGTCTTGCTGAATATTGGAATCTGACATGTGCTGACAACATTTAGATCGTTCAATTTATCTTGATAGGCATAATAGCATCCTGAAAGGTTAGATTCGGACTCATTGATCATCCAATGATGATCAAGGTAGCCTTTCCTGGAACTTGGCAATGCTGCCAGTGCTAGTGCCAGTGGCCCAGCCGGGCAACTCACCGTGAGTGCCAACTGCAGTCACTGCAGTCACAGTGACTGTTGGCAACAGACCGCCCGTACGGACGCGTCTGACCCCTACATGATGTTAGATTTGCTGCGATTGCGTTTGCAAATGCAACATGCACATGGAGCAGGCAATTTTGGAGAGCCATGTGTTGTAAGAGTGTGGAGTCCATGACAGGGGATCCTTGTGCCTGTGCCAGGAAGCAATGCATGCAAATTACATGCAACCTTCACATTGCCCTCACCAACTCAATCCCCTCCCTTGAAGACCCTAGCAGCGTGAATAAGATATACAAGCATGTGTCAGCATGGCGTGGGGCCTTAAATCTCCCTCGAAGTTTACTCTGCTGAATCAGTTTGGCACACCTCTCACCCGTCTGGAAAGACGGTTGGGGTTTCTCGGATGCACAAGATCCAGTCCAATCTTCGTAGCATGAGAGATTCAGACTGGTGACATATCTGGTGCAATGCAGAAGATGGAAGGGGACGGAAGCGCAGGTGGCCAAGTCCTGATTGGGGATTGGATCTTGGGGAGCAAGATCGGTGCTGGATCTTTCGCCGTGGTTTGGAAGGCAAAGCATGCGGTGACAGGCCAGATTGTGGCTATAAAGGAAATTTCGACCGACAAGCTCAACAAGAAGCTGAAACAGAGCCTGGAGTCCGAAATCTCCATCCTCAAACAGATAACGCACAAGAACATTGTGCAGCTGCTGGAGGTCATGGAGGTGCGCACCTGGCGTTTCAAGTCGTCGAGCTGTGGTCCTCACACTTTGGCATCATTTGCATTCTTGGTTCGATGTATATAGCAGTTGTGCGTACTTGAATAACATACAATGCATTAGCTGGTCCGATTTGGAGTGATCTGGCGAGTATCCCTGCAGGATTCTGTGGCACTTGGCCAGTTGTTGTTACTTCTGTTGAGATTTTGCATGGCTATTTGCATTTGCACCACGTTGTAATCTTCTGGCAGATATCATGCATGCCGCATTTTTGCCAATTTTTCTTGCCTGTCAATCTTTCTAAATTAGTCCCTTAATCTTCTTTGCCTGCAGGTGCGGGATCGCATGTACCTCGTGATGGAGTACTGCTCAGGAGGTGACCTGTCCAAGTACATCAGGAGGCACAAGCGCATCCCCGAGGCGTCTGCACGCGCCCTGCTCCGCCAGCTGGCTGCCGGCCTGCGCGAACTCTGGTCACGCAACCTGGTCCATGTATGCTCCTGCTGCCCTCTAAAAGCTCACTTGTGCTCACCAATGCTTCACGCATGATGCTGCTCATGCTTCATGCTTACAAATCTGACAAGCAGGTCCAGGAGCTCATGCTCCATTCATTCATCAAGTTTTGTTGGAAAAAGGATTGTATGTCACCCTGCATAAGCTGCTGTCTTTCTGTCAGGCATGCCGTTCTGCGTCACGATTGCCCACTCGATATGCCCCTATTCTGGCTGGTGCAGAGGGACCTGAAGCCGCAGAACCTGCTCCTGTCCACGACCAAGACCGGTGCGCTGCTCAAGATTGCGGACTTTGGCTTTGCGCGCAGTCTGCAGCCTCAGGGGTTGGCAGAGACCCTGTGCGGGTCCCCCCTGTACATGGCGCCCGAAATCCTGCAGTTCCACAAGTACAACGCCAAGGCCGACCTGTGGAGCGTGGGCACCATCCTCTTTGAGCTCGTTGTTGGTAAGCACCCCATTGATTCCCTGGCTTTACTGGCAAAGTGGGACACAGACCCTGCAACTGACTCCTTCCACCGCATGCTTGCATGCTGTTGGTGTCACGCTGTCCTGCAAGTCACGAGTCTGAGTCACCACCATACCCATACTAATTCGCTTGGCTCTATTTGCACGGTGCAAAATTGCTAAACGGCATCCTATCATGTCCTGGGTATTTCTGCTTTCCCTGCATGTCTTGTTCCCGCTGCTGTAGTGGTCATTCGTCCTGGATACTTGCCGACCTGAAAGAATGTATGCACGGCTCTGCAGGCAAGCCGCCCTTCAACGGGGCGAACCATGTGGCGCTGCTGCGCAACATAGAGCGGCAGGATGCGGTGATCCCGGCAGCGCTCGCAAAGAGCCTGTCGACGTCGTGTGTGTCGCTGCTGCACGGGCTCCTGCGGCGCAACCCGGTGGAGCGCATGACGTTTGAGGAGTTTTTCATGCATGCGTTCCTGCGCTCCAGCTCAGCGTCCAGCTGCGACTCGCGCGGCAGTTCCAGCAGCTCCTCCCTCGTCTCCTCTGCCGAGCCCTCCCCTGTGAAGGGCCCCGCTCGGTGCGCCTTGTTGGCTGGATGATTGCTGCCTGTTCGCGCTGCAAATGACAGTTGTCGCCCATGCAACCATTCACATCTGGCCTTGCTCTTTGGAATATTTCAGAGCTGGCTTTGCCTGAAGGGAATGCCAGTTGCCAAGGATGCGACCCCGGCCTCAGTGAATGAAATTGGAGGCCTGTTCTATCATGATTGGTTAGGAGTCATGTCCAACAGGACCGTTGTCACATGCAGGGAGGATGCAGTACCGGCTGCGGCGCCCATGGAGGCTCAGGGACCCCAGTCAGCGCCGGACGACAGCCTGCCCTTCCTGCTGGACGACGACGCCAGCAAGGCGGGGGAGCAGCAGAGGACGGAGCTCACCTTTGCGCAGGTGCCTGCGCCGCCGCCGCTGAGCATCGAGCCGTCCAATCACCCGGTCCAGTGGTTCCAGTACCAGGCGCCGCCAATCTCAGTGCCCCTCAGAAGCGACTCCGGTAGGTTCCTGGCCATACAGCTCTCTAACGGTGTGACCCATAAGTCTGGCCTGTATGTCCTTCGGTTGACTTGCCCTAATCAGGCAGGGCTGTAGATTGCCGGCAAATGCAGCTCACCGGCACGGCGAGCACCCATGGCTCTGTTCTGCATGCGGTTTTGTTTGAGGGCGTCTGATATTGCTTTAGTGGGTCTGAGGAACATGTGTACATCACTCTGCTGACCGCTCTCTTATGTGGCGCAGGCTCGCGGCAGAGTGCGAATTTCAGTGGGCCGCGCTCGGGGCCGCCGATGCTGATGCCGGCCACGCCGCAGCCGCAGCCGCAGCTGCACAATGCGCTGGGGAACCTGCTGGATGACGATGACGATTACGTCATCATCGACGGCCCTTCCCCCTTCAACTCCACGCATGGCTCCCTGTACGCCACTCACACCCCTCGCTGCAAGCTTTAGACATATGCCAACTTTGTCTCGCCCATGCCTTGCAATACTTTCATGTTGCTGGTTTTCCCAGTACCGAGGCATGCTTCTATCTCGCATCTCTGTCTTCATGGCATGCTGCAGGATGTAGGGATCATCTGTACTTTGGGTCCAGACGAGGTATTGATATTTACTGTGCTGTTCCATTAAAACATGCATGCATGCATTGCCATGACATGTGAATCTGTGTGCAGGCCGCGGCGCGGCTCGGTGAGTTCAGGGCAGGGGTCGCTCGCGCAAGGCCCCAACACGCCCGGCACCACTCCGCCAGTGCACAAAGGCTCCCTCATGCGCATGCAGGCCATCAATAACCACCCGCTGCAGGCGTCCCGCCCGCCGCCGGACCAGCCTTCCGTTGCCCCGCAGGTGTTGCACAGCCCTGCATGGTTGCCATCATATGCATGCAGCAGCAGGAACCCCATTCTGTGCTTACAATGATGCCTCCTCTGCAGATGTGACATAATCTTGGGATACTATTAGGGGTGCCCTGCCCGTTGGAGCTCCCAGAAGGTCCTGGAAAACGACTTTGTTGAGTGACCTCTACGCATCTCTGAAGATGGGCTGTGTGCGGGTGTGCAGGCGGCTACAGCTGGCAGCAGCATGCTGTTCTCGGCGGGCATGAGCCGGCCGGAGTCGCTGGTGCGCTCTGCGCGCATTCTGGAGGGCTTGGCCGCCACAAAGCAGGACGGCGGCGCCCCCCAGGACGCCCTCTCCATCCGCCTGCTCACCATCCAGGTGCCCACACATCTCATTGCCAACCCTGCCCTTGCACCCCTAGCTCTTCACTTCACGTGCCTTTCATAACCTTGATCCTTTTGTCTAATCATGATCCCGCCAGTTGTGGAAAGTGGCCCCAACCGGGAGCAAGGCTGTCTCATCGTTTTTGATGTCCTCATTGACCTTCCTTGCTGCCCTCAGGGAGCAGGTCAATGTCGCTGCCGCTGGGGCTCGATATTGTGGTATTTGCAGTTGTGCTGAGAATGCTTTGTCCCTGGCAGGTGTTGGAGGCCGCGCTGGATGCAATGGCAGACAGGCCGCTGCAGGACGTGCGCGGCAGCGGGATGCAGCAGAGCCGGGACGGCAGCGGCCGTGGTTGCGGCCTGTCGCAGGAGCGCGTGTGCGCGGAGCTGAGGGCGGTGGTGGCGCGCGCAGTGGAGTCGGCTACGGCGACGGCGGAAGCCATGGAAACCGACGAGCAGCTGCCGGACGTGTGGGAGCTGACGTACCGCGCTGCGCTGGCGCTGGCCAGGGGCGCCGCTGTAGACGAGCTCCTCGGCAACTCCGCTGCAAGCATGCGCTCCTATGTTAAGGTGGGCCCATTCCCAGCTTCTGTGTCTTCTGGGTTCTTTGAGCCGCACAATGCACTCAAGTATACACCTTGTGTTTGATTTGAAAAGTCCAGCATGTCGTTTCCTCGAAGGATACATCGTCATGTTTATGTACTCCAGAAATTGTAGCCATCGCTTTGCCTTGCCTGTATACATGCCTTGCAGCATCAGTTGCTCAACTTCTCCTCTTCCGATCCTCTGTAGTGTTGGGCTGCTTTCATGGCCGCACTGCACAGTTGATGATTTTTTTGTTGTTTATATGCTGGAAGCTGGATCCCGTCTCACGGCCGTCGTGATGCCTTCAGGCTGGGACATTGCTGCACTTCATCTTTGGGGAGGCGCCGACTTTGAGCCTGGAGCCGAAGGCGGATTTGACTCGCAGCGAGCGGATCCGGCTGCAACGCTACACAGCGGCGATTGCAGCACGCTACACCGCTGTTGCCTCTTTGAGTGCCGGCAGCCACAGCAGCAGAGTGGACCTGAAGCACAACCGCCACATGGCTGTTGTACATGCATGAACAAGGTGTCGTCTACCCATGTCGCATGTGGCTGTCTTCCCTGCGCCTCTCCTGCAGCAGCAGCACTCCCTTAACCGTGCCTTGCAGGGCAACGCTATGTTGTGCTTGCATCAGAACTGGATGGATGCAGCATGTACCTTCAAGACCAATTGTGTACACCAGAAATACTTCCGGGGATCCTTTTGAGGGTGGTGCCTTTGCCAGCACATGCGGATATTTGCAAGATAACAGATGGTGGCTTGTAGGGGGGATCATGTAGAATAAGCTGGACATTTGATGTGCTCAATCTTGTTTCCTAATCAGCTTCAACGTATGACAAGATACCACAGTCTGCATTGTTTATTCTTGCTTCAAGTTGACGGAAACTTTAGCACTTTTAACCGGAGCCCTGTGGGTAAGCGGTCTGTACATAAACATTTTGAATGCTTGTGAGGGGGCCTTCACTGGGCTAGAAACCTCGAAAGCTTGTATATGCTGTAGGTCCATCTGTGGTCAGTTGCAACCGCAAGCTGCTTCTCAATCGCCAGAAATGAGGATAGAAAGAGGCCCTGTATTTTTATGCGCCAGTCGCCAGAAGGCAGCTCAACATGGCTGTCTATCGCTGCGCAGTCTATTGTAGTGCAGCATAAAAAGGGATTGCTCGTAGATGCCTGAATGGTCAATGTACAGTATGTTGGATAGCCTGTGGTCGTGACACTCCTAAAGATGGTCACTAACAGTGTCGTAATTCCTGTATTGGCTGAATGACGCTGTGTTGCAGCCCTGTAATAAAAATAGTCACGATGACCTTCATGTTAGACCTCATGAGGCATTCTTGAATGCAAATTTATATGGTTGCACATGATTTCACCCTGGAAGGATGAGTGCTAAAGCACAACGGCATGCCATGAATGCCCATGTGCATATGCTTGGTCAGTATCATCTGTGCGTGATGCTGCTGACGATCAGTGTAGGATATGAGCATGGGCCACCACATTGGTGATCAGATGTTAAGTCTTGGGGTTTTTGCCTTTGCTGTGGCCTGAACTTCAGGATGAAGGGTGGTGGGTGACAGGGGGTACACAAATTCACCTTTGATCTCAACAACGCATGTGATATGCCACACTTTGGTGGTTAGTACTTGAGCAACCACTTCAAAGGCTGCCGCAGCGGCTGTCGCATGAATTCCTTGGCATCTAAGGAAGGCAAGGCCCACAGTCCTGCACAGAGATGAGCATGGCACAACACATCCAGATGTTATCAAACTTCGCCAGGGCTTGCTCTTACTGTTGCATACTATCATAGCCCTGAAAGTGGTATCGAAGGGAGAACATTTCGACAGAGCTCGAGCGTATCCATTACCTTGGATTTCATGCATGCATGCAGATTTGTGATGTCCTCACCTATTAGTGCTTCATACGAGAAAGTCTCGGAGAGAAGGCAAGATGCTATCCATTGACAGGCTGGTCTTGCATGAAAAGTTTGCATCCTCCACCCAAATAGTCGCCTGCGCAGAGAGTAGGAAAAGGACAAATGCCATGACTAGAGTACGTTTCCTAGGTATAGTGCGCGATAAGCTCAGGTACCAAAGTATTTAACCCCATGTTAAAATTCTTCAGAGATGGTGGATGGGCCGTGCCCCTGGGTTCTAGGCTTGGAGGCACGAACTACACAAGCCTGAATTGCAACAACCCCAACTTGACAGCATGGTTGAAGCAGCTGGAGAACGTTCGCCAGGCAATCTGCTCCTTGATCGGTGTAAGATGCAACCCACATTTCGATGTCCGCGAAAAGTGCGAGGAGGTACAGATGAGAAGCTGCCCTTGCCCCACTGCTTTCAGAGTGTGACCGCAACTGGACGAGTAATGAAAGTTCAAGGAAGCGCTCCATGCTGAAAGGAATTTGAAGATTCTGACATAAAATATTTTTATGCAGTGGACGCCACTTGCCATCGCGGCTACCACAGCTGCGTTCGGGATGTTGGCCCTGGTGCTCTTGGCTGTGGCGTTCTCCTCAATAGCCGAGTATTTCCTCATGTAAGTCACTTATTACCTCACCACATGACCTCACAGAAGGTTCTGAAGTAAGGAAGAGGGGGAGGGGGAGGCACCTTGCACACCCACTGAAGGAGTAGTGCTCAACTGTCAGGTGGAGGAAGAGCATGCGCAACAGCATCACTGATACTGTGAAGGCCGCTACTTCAGCTGCTGCAGAGTTGCGCAAGAAAGAGCCGCTCAAGTACCCACTCACGCCGCACTCCTGGTATCAGCTCAAAGGCCAAGAAGACGAGCTCAATGCACCCGTGCTGTGCATCTCCTGTTTCCTGCGCGTTGACCCAGAGGGCGAGGTGAGGGGCTCCATACATTGCTCTCAGCCTGGCTGTTCCTAGCTAAGCTGACCAGTCATGCTCAGGTTAGCATTGCAGCAGCTGAGGAAGTCTCCCTGTGCCTTGTGCAGCGGGTGCAATGCTGCGAGGTGTGCGGAGTGGTGGCGCATGATGGAGCATGTGCCAGGAAGGCTGCGCAGGACTGCAGGCCAGTCACAGGGGCCACCGAGTCCATGGTGCACCTGTGGCAGCCTGCAGGCACCGTCTACTATGACAGCGAGGTGGGCCAACCTACCAGAATGTGCCTGTGGGCTTGTCAGAGACTACAGTGCTCAAGCATGTTGCTCTCTTCCTGTTGTCCACCAGGTCCTGGTGACTTGCATGTGTGAGCAACGCTAGGGTAGCAGCGTGACTGTCACTAGTGCTGCAGAAAAGGACCTCTCATGAGCGCTGCTGAGAGCAGTGGCTGGCCTGCGCCAGGATGACACGGACGACGTGGCAGTGCAAGTCTGTGTGTACTGCCGTCAGCCCTGTGACGCGGATGTGTTCGGCCCCCAAGCAGTGTGGACTTGTGCGTGGTGCCGCGCAAATGCGCATGTCAACTGCTACCAGAGCTTCCATAAGGAGGCGCCCTCAACGTCAGGCTCTCAAGACTTGCCTGGAGGAGATGGGACAGCCAGCAGTTCAGATGGCGGCATCCGCAGGTTCCCGCTGCGCTCAGCCGCTCTTCTTGACTACAACATGTCTGCCTGCGTGATCAAAGCTCGGCGATGACCATTTTGACCCTTATTCATGCCTTCTTATGGGTGGCAGGAGGCGAGAGGAGAGGGTCTCCCAAAAGCCCAGCTTGAAGCAAGTTCCAGAAGGTAAGCTCTTGCACTATGAGCACATGCTTCTTCGACGTCACATTCTGTAATAGCCAGTGGTGCTTCAAGCTAAATTACGCATCAAAGTGACTCTGGGATATTAAAGCAATGCCATTACTGTCACCAGGGAGAAAAATACACCGCCCTAGGCGCAGCTCCAGCATTCAGGCGCTGCTGGATCTGTTCAGAGGCGCGGCTGCGCATGAGAAGCCGGACCCAATGGCCTTCGGGCCCCACCCGCAGAAGGCCGCCCACGTAGATGTTGCGCGCTTGGATGCCTGCCACTGTGGACCCCACGGGTGCGCACTTGCTTTCTTATCCTGTCCATGCAAAATTTCACTTTCCTGAGAACTGTGCATTTAGTTTCTACAGTGTTCCATGCCGCTATTGTTCCAACAAATTTTGAGTCAGACTCATGGAATCAGTGTGAAATTGTGCCCAACACAAAAACTGGTTGTTTGCAAATGCTCTTGTAACATTTAGGTGATCCAGGTAATTTAGATAGCCAAAAGGGTGTGGCGCGCATCAGTCACTGTGTGTCACATGCAGGAGGCTGGTCCTCCCTCCCACAGCTGTGACACTGCTGCCAGATGAGGACTCCTGGTCATCGCGCGCCAAGCAGTTCCTGCGGAGGGACTCCTTCCTCAGGCGGGCCCGGGCCAAGAAGGCAGCTTCACCCGCAAAGGGAAGCCAGTCCGACGCTAAGGACGGCCCTTCGAGCGCCTCGGAGCAACCGGTGCTACTGTCTGAGGGGCGCCTGGACTCTGCAGAGACGGATGACACTCTTGCGGGGGCCTCTCCCCGCTCCCTAGACGGCAGGGAGTTCAGCATTGAGCCTGAGGATGCCGCCTTCCATCGACAGGAGAGCAGTGCAGAAGCAGAGCAGCACGGCCGGCGGCCAAACGGCCATGCTGCGGGAGAGGACAGCGCAGATGAGCAGGTCGGTCACAGCAACGGGGGGCCGTCTGAGAGTGATAGCGCAGGAGAGCCAGCAAAGAACGGACAGCCCAATGCGCAGAAGGAGCCAGACGGCACAGCGGCGCCGAGGCGGCCGCGGCTGCCGCCGCTGCTGCGAGGGCCGCCGTCGGACCAGCCGAGCGGCCAGCCGCCGACGCCGGTGTCTCCCGGGCGCGGGATGTCGCCGCGGTCGGACGCGCGCGGCTTCATGGCGAGCGTGAGCGGGTTTGTGTCGAGCACGGAGGGCGCCGGCGGCGCCAAGATGCGGCGTCCCGGCTGGTGGCGCGGCCCGGCCGTGACCTCCTGGACGCAGTACCGCCTGGAACGCAGCCGCCTGCCCCCGGGCTGCTCCCCCCTCCTGGTGAGCGCTTTCTTCCCTCCTGACGCCAACCGCTCATTGGCCCGCCGCCATAAGGTGAATGCTGTTGAGATATGCAATGCAGAGAAGGGGTTGGGAATTTGGATGGCGAGGTGCTGAGATTTCGGTGAATGCAACAGGTGTTCCTGAACACGAAGAGCGGGCCGCAGGTCGGCACGCAGCTGCGCAGGCGCTTCCTTCGCTTCCTCAACCCCCTGCAGGCGCGTCCTGGCAACCAATTCCTCCTGAATGTTGGTCGCCACAGCACATTGCTATTTCCTGTCTCAACTGTCCCCAGATGTACAAATTGGCCAACATTGGACCGGGCCGCTGTGGGTGAGAGGTGCCGAGAGGTTTTTGTAGCAATCAAGAAGTCAACATTCCTCGATCGCCAGGGGTACTGTGCCTGTAGCAAGAGAATGGGTTCAGGCTTGGGGTTCAGGGTCTTCAATCTTGGTGGCTGGGATGACATATGGTGCGCAACGCACGCAGGTGGTGGAGCTGCCGAGGGAGGAGCCGGAGGCGCCGCTGCGGCTGTTTGCAGAGGTGCCGGGCCTGCGCGTGCTGGTTCTGGGCGGCGACGGCACGGTCGGCTGGATCCTGGCCTGCCTCGACTCCCTGGCCGCCCAGTTTGCCGCCGAGCCCACGCCGCGGCACTGGGCCCCGCCACCCGTTTCCATTCTTCCCCTTGGGACGGGCACGCTTCCTGCTTTCTGCCTGAATCTGTCACCCGTGTCGTGCCTGCACCACTAGTGTGCACCATCATGCATTATCCATGTGAGTAACAAGTTTCCGCTCACGTTCTTTTTCTTGCCAGCTCGCCGCTCTGTCAGGACCCTTTGTTCCCATTTTCTAGGACCCGATGTTTGATGGAACGGATACAGAGGGCCGCCAAGACACCTTTCAGCAGTCCATAAAACCTAGCACGGAACCATTATGGGGTTCTCTAATGTTACGAAACATTTGAAAATATGACAGTAACCCCTAAATCATTGAGGCTAGAATGATCAGCAACCGTGAAGAGGGCTAGAGTGATCACAGTGAAGAGGGATGGTGGTGCGCGCAGGCAATGACCTGGCGCGGTGCCTGAATTGGGGCGCGGGCCTGGGGGCGCTGCGAGAGAGGGGCCTGCCGGCGGTGCTGGCGGACATAGAGCACGCGACGGTGGCGCTGCTGGACCGCTGGGAGGTGGCCATCACGCGCACGCCCTCCGACAGCCGCCCCGGCCTGGCCGCCAACCAGCTGCAGCGCATGAGCCACCTCGTCGCGCGCGACCGCCCCGACACCGAGCAGGTGCCGTGCCTTGCTGCTGACCTGCACTCTTCACGCTGCTTGAATTTTGTTGAGGCTTGAGGAGGAGCCCAGAGAGGCTTGTAGCCGTATGGGCCGCCAGCTTAGGAAACAGAGCACACTCTGCTGACTGCTGAAGTTAAAATGCTTTGAGGCATGATGGCCGCCAGCTCAGGAGCAGAGCACACTGCATCCGTGTCCCTCAGCCGCGCTCAGATGTGGGAGCGCCTGAGCAAGTACTGCAAGTTTTGCATGTGACTGGCATGTCAGGCAGGGCAGCAGGGTTGCAGCAATTTGCAGCATCCCTTACATTACCAGAGGTAGGCGAAGAAGCGGGGATTTTCTATCCGAGAGAGTGCGCTCTCATGTGAGGGAACACAGGTGCAGCGGTGAACAAGTCTAATGACTAATGACTGGCCTTGTCAGGCAGGGCAGCAGGATTGCCACTTTCGGCAACATTGTCCTAGCAGGTTCAGAGAGCAGCAATGCTGGCCGGATGAGACTGTGCGCCGGTACATCACAGGTGCAGCGGCGGGTGATGAACAACTACGTGGGCATCGGCGTTGACGCCAAGGTGAGCCTGGAGTTCCACCGGCTGCGCGACCAATTCCCGCACTGGTTCCGCTCCCAGATGGGCAACAAGGTCTGGTACACCACCGTCGGCGCCAAGGACATCCTGGGCCACGCCATCGGCGCATCCTCCGGCTCCCTCCCCTCCAAACTCAAGGCGCGCCGCTGTCGCTGTTTGTACCCGACAGTCGGCGGCCCCGACATCAGTTCTACTGCAGCTATCCGGCTCACTTGAGATTGTCGCAAGCTGCATTCATTGCTGCATGCAGTGAGAGATGAGCTGGTCAGAACTGGTGGCAGCTGAGACACGCTTGCCCTTGCATGCTCATGACCCCTTTGGCATGCCTGCATGGCAGCTTGTCTCTGAGAGTTCCCAATTTCTACTCACAATGTCACAGATTTGAGTAGGTCTGTTTGGCTCTGGCATGTCCAACAACCAGAATATGCAGCAACAGTTACCTGCAGCTGTCTGCGGTCCTGCGATGCCTCAAGAGCATTGCCTCGACAGTCAAATTTCCATATGTCCACACACACAAAATTCTGAGGTCTGGCATTTGTGCGCAGGTGGAGGTTGACGGGCGTCCGCTGGAGCTGCCGGAGGACATAGAGGGTGTGCTGCTGCTCAACATCGCCTCCTACATGGGCGGCGTCAACCTCTGGGCGTCAGGCGCCGCCTCAACCGCTGCCGCCCCGCTCGACGCCCCGCAGAGCTTCTGCGACGGAGTGCTCGAGGTGCGCACGGGAGCTACCGTATCTGGCGCCGGTAAAGGAATCATGAAAGAAAAAGCAACCTGCCCCACTTTGGCGCACAATCCCCATTTCTGCGATGCAAAGAGTGCCTGCAGAGCTTGGTGTGGTGCTTGTTGACCTTTGATAACACCTTTCTGTAGAGCCAGTGGGGGAACTGCAGCTTGTCTGCAAATGCACCTTTTTTCTCTTGGCAAAAAAATAGAGTGTGATAGAAATAAGTATTATTGGGGAAACCCTGGCAGGCACGAGGGTGACCATGTCAGGCTTGCAGCAGCCCAAAAATAAAAAGTGGCAATACAGTAAGGCTCCGAGTGGCTGTGACATCTGAAAGAGGCGTCGCACGGCTTTGCATGCATGCTTTTGGTTTTCAGAGGCTCACGTGGAGCATGCATGCGCAGGTGTGCGGCGTGTATGGCAGCTGGCACCTGGGGCAGCTGCAGGTGGGGCTGTCGCGTGCGATCCGGCTGGCGCAGTGCCGCAGCGCTCGCATCACCGCACTTGAGGCGCTGCCCATGCAGATCGATGGCGAGCCCTGGCGCCAGCCGCCCGCCACCCTCGACATCTCCCTCAAGGGCCAGGTGCACTCCCCAAATCACCCTGTTGGTATTCGTAACTTAATGCACCGTAAGGCATCGGTTCGACCAGCTCAAGCTTGTGAAGCCGGGGATGTGGTTGCAAATCTTATTACTGCTCTCCATGTGGATAATCTCCCTCATCTTGTTACAGATGTGCACCCATTGCTGCACTGCCTTACACCTTCCTTTACGATGTGCAAGCAGCTGCCACGGTCCAAATGCTGGGCCGCATGGCAGCTGCTGCCGGTTGTCCTTTGCAATAACACTGGATTCCGGCGAGCTAAATTCGTCAATGCTGCATGCAGGCATTCATGCTGAGGCGCATTGAGAGCGGCCCGGTGGCGGCCGTTGCGCGCGCAGTGTCGGATGTGCTGGAATCCTGCGAACAGAAGGGGGTCATCAGCGCTGGGCAGCGGCACACTCTCACTGCCGAGATCGCTGCCAAGCTGCACCCTGTCCTCTAGGCCCCCAAATGTGCCATATGTATACAAAAGCAATTTGCTTGTAGATCACTGCTGCATACGGCCATGGGAATCAGTGGCCGTGGACTATACTTCCTGAGCCAGACTCCGGATATCCAGATCGATCTGAGCCTTGGCCAATAGGCTTGAGCTAAAGACCCGTGCAAAGTATGACCCTGTAGCGCAGTTTCTAGAGTCTATTCGTGAGCATAAGGTCTAGGCATTTCAACGGCTCATCATTGCCGAGCACCTAGCTTGAATGAGGTCTGAGAGTCACCATCTTCGAACGACCTCTCCAAGGAAATCTCCTGCAGTGATGAGGATGTATCCCCCCGGCTCCCCCGCCCCTTCTGCGCCGTTATCCGGCAGTCGGGCGGTCCTTTCAAAGTACTTACTTTCAAATCTCCTGGCAAAAACAGGTGCACTACCCTCGCCGTGTTTAAAGGGGAAGATTGAGATTCTGACAGCATTACAGACGTGCAGCGTCGTTTGGGAAAGTGCGAGGGGTTTTCCAGGCATCTGAAGCCGGGCACCTCTCGGAAAATCGAGGGAGGAAAACACCAGCTTGACCAGCATGGCGAGACCTGCTCTGGATAAGAAAACAGGGAAGAAGCAGCAGCAGGTGGGAAAGAAGAGAGGCAGACCGCCGAAGGCAAAACCTCTCCAAGCTGTTACAAAGCCGCAGAAGAAGGAGTCGGCGCGGACAGTCTCAAGGAAAGCTAACAAAGAGAAGAAGGAAGGAAAGAAAAATATCAAGATGATGAGTTTGTCGCCCAAGAAGCAGGTACCAACTCATTTCCGTCACATGCGATTGTAACATCCGCAACTCAGATCCGGCTGGTATGACACTTTATTTCCACTTCGCGCAGGCTGCGCTCGGGAAAGACAAGAAGAAAAATCAGGTCGCAGAAGGGGAAGCGACTGCACAGGAGCCTGTCGTCAGCCAAGCTGCTGACCCAGCAGAGGTAAAAACACACCTCTGCCAGAAGTAGGGCCTTACGAGGGTGCTTTGCTAAATTATACTTTTTGGAAAAGTTAGATCAGCATCAGAAGTGGACTTGAGCCCCTTGGCGAACTACCTCTGTACAGTCCACCTTTCCCCAAGCTGAACTTGTTGAAAGCTCCAGGCAGAACTGAAAGTATCTTGAACGACTGCAGACAAGCCCAAGATTCTGTTTGCCCTGATGATTTTGTTTCTCCATGTTTGCAGCCAAAAGACACTTCGTCTGTGGGCGGCTACATTTCTGGGTCATGGACCTATCTGTCCGAGCTTGTGCGCAAAGTCCGGTTTGGGGGCCGCCAGTGAGGTCACTGGGACACAACAGCTGGAACAGCAGCAGCAGCAGCAGCAGTGGTGTGTGGTAACACCCGCTAAAGAAGATACCAGCGTGTGCTCCAGAGAAGCCAGCTGCGAGCAGACACAGGCAGAGTAAGGAACCCTTGCATGGCATGCATGCCTGGCGATCAGGTTGTAAGAATGGACTGCTTCTCAGCGCTCGCCCACGGCTTTGGGAATTGCGCAGCGAGAGGTGTGCAAGCTGACAGGCACTACTTTGCAGGCCCCAGAATTTCTTGAACCAAAGGGCATGGACTGTTGAGATTCTTGCTTGGAGTTCCAGTGGTCGGCTTTATTCCTGCAGCCGCACGCATCTGTTGACATCAGTACTGTCAGTACAGGCTCATGATACAGCCATTTGATTGCAAACTACAAGTTGTGAAGGTGGACCAGGTATTTTGGTAGGAACACAGTGATGACAAAGAAGAGCGGACATTGACTGTCATTCAAGTTTGTTACTTTAAATGAAATTGTTCTGTTGTCCTGTGTACTTGTCACCTCCGACCACTTGTTCTTGGTACGACATTGCTGCAAATACATTTGCCCCTGTACAGCCTGGAGATTTTGCTGGCGTTTGCGGAGGTCACTTGTGGCTAGCAGATTGGAAGCACATTTGAACCAGAGCAGAATGTTTGTAACAATGCATGTTGTGTGCAACAGAGTCTTGTATGTGCCCAGTCAGATATTATGCATGCATGCACAATAAACTTGAATCAAGCTAAACGGCATGCTAGCTAGCAGCCTGCGCTGCGCAGCGGATGCGGCACCATATGCTGTACACTGTGGGGATTGTAGTGAGCCTGTTCTTACTTGAGCGAATATATGACACGGCCATATTTTGCCAGCTGGGAACACCAGATACAAGGTCAGCTCAGGACCAATTTGCTGCCCGAGGCGTCTGCAAGTGCCGCCCGAGGCGTTGAGCGCTCCAAAAGTGCCGCCCAGGCGTCTGCATAGCTATAGCCTATAGCCTACTGATTATGCTGTACAGCTGTGACAGCTTCGAAGATTTTGCCTCTCTACCACCCACGGGCATGGTAAAACTTTTGGAAAAGGTGCTTCATGCATGGCACATGGCCTTGTCTCAGTCATTGCTGACATCATCATTTGACTTGTGAAAGGCTCCGGCCAAGACCTCCAAAAGTCATCCCGATCATTTGGATCGCGTCATGGGGGAGTAAGATGTGCTCTGGAAGATAGTTTGACCAATGGGAGTATTTCCAAGACTTCCTTTCAGGGTTTGCATATGTAATGAGGAGTGCTTGGGGGTCAGACAAATATAGCGGCACATTCGGAAGACCGTTTTCCAGGTCAAATGTTATCAAACTAAGATTTAGGGATTATGCTCAGCGCCCTGAATCTGAACGAAGGCACGTGCACGCCGATGCCCTGGGAAGATGCAATCTGGGACCAGGCGGCCGCTCAGTGTCTCGCATTTGTTTTGGTAGGATCCAGGCTCTTAAATTTTTTTTTAAACCATTGATATTGCAGGTTGACAAACACTCTTGCAGATAATAACGGCCAAGTGCAAGTGCTTTGGAAAAATTCCTGATCTGCTTTACTTACCAGGTTCAATGCTGTTTGGGGAGAGCACCAGTGGTTCATCAGCCGTCACATTGCTCAATCAGGCTGCAGAAAGTGGCGTCAACTTCTTCGACACTGCAGAGATGTATCCAGTGCCCCAGCGTCTTGAGACGCAGGGCAAGTCTGAGGAAATTCTGGGGAGCTGGATGCGCACCAAACGCAGGTGAATTCCATGATGAAGTCAGACAATATGAGAGGATGAATCAAACGGTCCTGGGTGTCCTGTACATCTTCATTACTGCCATGCCAGCTGTTGTCTTTGGAATGCGCTCCGTCATCGTCCGGAGAGTGTAATGAAAGTCTTTTGCTAGCAGGGAGGAACTCATCATCGCCACAAAGGTGACGGGCCCATCGGGGCAAATGACTTGGATCCGCAATGGGCCTACTGCTCTGGACGCCCCAGCCATCACAGCAGCCATTGACGGCAGCCTGCAAAGACTCAACACTGATTACATCGACCTCTACCAGCTGCACTGGCCAGACAGGTATAGATATTTCACTCCTCACCCTCATTTGGTGGTTTCAGATCAGGCGACTGCCATAGGCTTTCTGCCCTGGGCCGGCTTTCCTCAGGATGATTATGATGCCCCAATGTCTGCAATCTTTGGCTCTTGTGTCGCTGTGGTCATCGTGGTCACGGCAATCATCGGTACGTCTGGAGACCATGCACATTCAAATAATATAGACACATGCTCATGTCCAATACTTGGCCAGACTGGCAGCAGCCAGCCAATTTGTCAAAATTCAAGCTTTGGGTGACTTCACAGAAAGGAGAGACATCCGTCATTCTTTGTGCATAATGAGAAGGCTGTTGCAGGTACGTGCCAATGTTTGGGGAGACGCGGTACCATCCAGAGATTGCATACAGCTCGGTACCACTGGAAGAGCAGCTAGAGGCGCTGGCCGCAGCGCAGAGGGCCGGCAAGATTCGCCACATTGGGCTAAGCAACGAGACCCCTTGGGGGCTCATGGAATTCTGCAGGCTAGGTGAGAGACGGACGAAGCTCCAGAGTTTTATGTTCATCTGCACTCTGAGAATTTTGCAATGTCTATCTTGACAGCATGGCGTAAGCAGGCAACGTTTCCAGTGACGCATGTGTTGGTTGCAGCGAAGGCCCGAGATGACTTGCCAAGAGTAGCATCCCTGCAGAATGCGTACAGGTGGGTCCAGGCAACGCTCATACTCACACATATGTATCTTCCAAGACCATCAGATTGATCACCTGTGTCCCCCAGCACGGTGAGGGGCGCCGGTGCTTCAATCGGTGAGCTTCAGAGTGATGTCCCTTGCAAGAGCATCAAGGCCATGCTGCTGTGGCTTCGCAGCTTGCTGTGCCGGACATTTGAGGGCGCGCTTGCCGAGTGCTGCCATCAGGAGCGGGTGTTTCTGCTGGCTTACAGCCCCTTGGCTATGGGGTTGCTCACAGTGCGTCCAATGCAGCTTAATTCCTTGCAGCAGAAGATGAATATTTCCTGCTATCATGCTTAAGCCACAGCTGAATCGTCATGTTCAGATGATCCTGCTAACAAATGCTGCTAGAAATTTGCTGCGCATGCCAAACATTGTGCGCTGTCCGTTGCCAGGGCAAGTACATCGGCGGCGGCTCCGAGGGTGCGCGATTGAACAAGTACAAGGGGCGTTATGCGGAGGCTGAGTCCCGCTATGGTCCCAAGCCCAACACTGCCGCAGCGGTGGAGGCATATGTGGCCTTGGCACATGCTGCCGCCATCTCTCCCACTGAGTTGGCCATCCGGTGGGCACAGCAAAACTACACACCACCTTTCTCAGCTTGAAGCAAGGACAGCAGGACTCATAGGTGTCAAAGTGCATTGCTATAGATCACTCGAATCATGTGCATATTTTTTTGCACTTTGCTGTGAGACTATCCTGACTATACTGTGGGTATGATGCAGGTTTGTACTGTCGAACACCCTGGTCGCGAGCGCCATAGTGGGAGCAACCAGCTCGCAACAGCTGCAGGAGCTTTTGGACGCAGCTGAGAAGGGGCCGTTGAGTGAAGACCTCCTGGCTGCTGTCGATGATATTCACCAGCGTTTCCCAAACCCAAACCCCTGAGTGTGCAGGCTTGCTAAAAAAGCTTTTGACAGCACGTCAGTGAAGAAGCAGCTTTTTGACTGTGTTCATGAGTTTTATCTGCTTCAATGTTAGGTCCTAGCTTTGGTCAGATGCAGATCAGTGGATCTCCTGCACTTTAGGCCCAAGGGAAGGCTTTCTGGTAACATTGATACAGTTGCAACAGTACCGATACTATTCATTAGCAGTGGCTAGTCACATAGCCTTGATCAAGCTTTGGCCATGGAACAGTCATGGGATGTGAGAGCACCTTCTGCACTCTGTTCTGGACTGACACTATTGTGGGATAATTCAGGGAGATGTCATGTTCGAACTAACCTATCTATTGTCATCAATCCCATTGTGCTCCCCATAGTGTAATTTTTGCAGATCCACAATGTCTCGCAGTTGTCTACAAAAAGTGCATGTGCCAGTACCTGTAGCTACGCTAGCAATATTGCCTGAGTGCTGATCAAATGACATGTGGCTGGTCTGTCCAATAAAATTATGTAATACTGCCAAGTTCTAGAAGCTCAGATCTGAAGTCATCATCGAGGGAACAAATGCCCTGTAAAGAATTCCCCAACGTCTACATGGTGCCAATCTATCCTAAAAAATTGCAGTTGTCAGCTGAATCTGGCGTGCAAATGCACACCCGAATGCAGCCCCTTGACGCAAATATGTTCTCCTTTGCCGCTGGCAGGAGATGTAAAGAATGTCTGAATTGACCAGACTCACACAGCTGAGCCACTGCCGCCAAGATCAATGCATCTTGACAGAGTGCTGACCGGGGAGATGTGAAAGAGGACGCCTGTAATTCTGATCTCAAACGCGGGCGTTCTGCTGCTCACTGCTGATGTGCTGTGCCCGCAGTCCTCATCCCTTGATGGCTGAGCTGAGGTCAGAAAGTGCATGCGGCAGCTGCAGCGGCTGGCTGATGACATCTCTGGTCAGATTGGTGAGTGCGCCTGCCACCAGCTCATGCTTGGTGGGAGCAGCCAGGCTTGTCTCGTTGTTCTTCACCTGCATTCAATGCACAACCATTGAGGCAAATTTAATCAGACCTTTTTAAGTATACTAATATGGGAGATGACAATCCTGCAGTTGTGTTTTGAGTTGACATTCCTTCTGATGCTATGTGCATGGATCCCTAGGTGCACAAATTTATCTAGGGTGGAAAAAATTCTCACAATAGTGACGGTGTCAAAGACGATTCCAGATGGAGCCTCCACAGCCTGCACCCACACCCACTCACTTTATGCCAGCAACACTTACCAGGTTTGGCATCCCTAGCTTGAACCTGCTGATATTATGTTGGCACTAGTGTACTCTCTGCCAACACATATTGAGCTGGCCACTGTCCTGGCCAAAGAACCATTGCTATCATGGACAGTACATTGTCAGAGACTCCTTAAAGGTATTCGGTGACATGCATGTAAGGACCTTGGAGAATATGAGAAGTAGCCGCAGCCCACCTCGGTGATGAGGGCGGTGGCATTGGCGCGCAGGCGCAGGTAGCCGTACTTGAGGTTGATGTTGGCAAAGATGGCCGGCTGCGGGTCCTCCAGGAAGTCTGCCGTGCTCAGCAGGCGGCCTGCATTGCAGTGCCACGCATGTCAGATCCATTCATCAAAAGTCCACTCATCCAGCATGCGATTGAGTGTAATAGTTCCGTGCATGTTCAGGAAAGCCCCTAGCCACATAAGAATGTCAGCATTCTTGGGCATTGCTTGCAAAGAAATGTCTGCTCCTTTCAGCCGTTCAAGCAATGTCTTGCAGGTTTGACACTACATTGCCGTCTGCCTGCCGAGTTGCCACAGCATCACCTGCATTGCCGATGAGGTAGTAGATGGGAGCAGAAGGCTCGTAGTAGAGGGTGGATGAGTTGGCATTGAGGGAATTGAGGGTGCCCGTGCTCTCCTCGCCCTTGCTGGCCTGGCATGCATTCTTGTAGGTGGGGCATGTGCGCGCGTACCTGTGCAATTTTTTGAATTACAAAGCACTCATCATGACATGTGCATGACGCAATGCTTCACAGAGGCCAATCCAGATGCACTGAAGCAGATGAGTTTGAGTACAACAATACAGCAATGCATGCCCCCAGTAATGCAGCCACCAGACTGCACTGTGGAACATAGGGCGACACTTCCGATGCAGACAGGTATACAAGGCACTTCCATCATGGACTAGAGATGATCTTGCACTAGAGCAATGCCGGGCAGGGAGCTTACGCATGCTGGTGCCCGAAGAACATTGCATCAACCTGCACGAACAAAACTCATTTCAGAACCCACAAGAGCCACCCATTAATATTCAAGGCAACAGCAAACTTTCCAGCACAAACTGACAATCACAATCGGCGCAGACTCTGCACCTAAGAGCACCAGACAATTCTGTTACCCAGCAAGGATACCCAACACTGAGACAGGTTGGTCCTTGGCATCCCCGTCTTGATGGCATGGAACAGGATCAGGCTCATCTGGAACCCGGGGTCCAAAGGTATTGAAGTGCAGCAGCTTGCACCTTGGCGTCGCGGAAGAGGTCTTCGAGGGAGGAGCGCATGCGCGCGGCCACTGTCTGGTCGGCGTCGTCGTTGGAGCGGTAGTCGCTGGAGTCCGCGTAGAACATGCGGTGCACGCCCACCACCAGCCACGGCGTCTTACTACGGTCCACGGCCGCCAGGTCACTCTCTATCCACCTGCGGCGCCACGCGTGCGCCAGCTCAGCCAAGTGAGTCACCAACAATGGTGTGCGCATGCAGCTGAATGACAAAAAGGAGATGTATTGATGTGTAGTGCGAGCCCCAGGGCAGGGCAGAAGGGCTGCCTGGCAGGTCGCAAAGCTTGAAAATTCGTCTTTGGTATTGCAATGTGGTGCCATGCTCAATCGGATGGCAATTGCAGAGGATGAACAGGAGACCAGACAGGTGCACATGATCAAAGAGGCAACTGCCCATCGCTTTCTTCTTGTGGATTGACTCCTTCTGCACTGCATTGGCAGGAAGTGGACTGAAATGATGACGATCATTGCAGTAAGAATTGGCAGCACAAGACGTTTGTTTGGGGAGTGCTAGGTGTCTGGGCTTACAAGCGCTGCAGGGAGCCTGGCTGGTAGGGGGTCTCGCTGTCGTACTGCAGGAAGTGGATGGGGCCGTAGTCGAAGGAGTAGTAAGAGCGCACTCCGAGGGCCAGCGGCGCGCTGTTCATCACCGACTTGTCCTGCCCCGGCTGCTGCGGCATCGACTGCCGCCGCGCGTACACCACCCCGCACTCGCCGCCTGCACAACGCACTGTGCTGTTCAGGATTGGGCGATTGGGTCAACTCTGAAGCTTGTGTGCCCAGCAGGAATGGAATGAAGAAAACGTAGATGAGTTTGCACAGCTCGATCAAGATCTTGCAGATTGCAGGAGCAACAAGATCTAGGAGGAGGTGTTTGATGGCGGGAGGGGAGAGGTGCATACGTGCATCGTTGGAGCCCGGGTTCATGAAAGCATCGCCGGTCAGAACGCCTGCAGAGAACCATCATGTTGTTAATATTCACCCAGCACAGCCATCTCCGCACCTATCAGGGGGATCTTTATCTAAATAACTGACTACGTGATTTTTTAAGTAAAGATCTCTTTAAGTATAGATCCCTATGCAGCCATCTTTCCAAAGAGAAACAGTGCTCCACACCAATGCATGTGTAAGTGTGCAAATTGTGAGCGGTGGGAGCGGGTGCTGGGGGCTGGGAGTGTACCGTCGCGCTCGTGGTTGCCAGGGACAGTCATGAAAGGCAAGTAGCGGGTGTAGACCGAGATCTGCTCATAGTAGTTGTCCCAGTCCGCCAGGAAACCGCTGCACAGCAAACGCACAAAACTCATCACATGCATAGTTATTTCATGTTGTGCTGAGCTAGTCAGACTGGTGTGATGTGCGTGGTGGCAAATTTTCAGGCAGGTATGGAAGAGTAGGAAGGCAGGTGGAGGTGGTTGCAGAGGGGGCCTCACTCGGCGTATGACAGGTCCCCGTTGTGGATGTTGAGAGTGTAGCCGTTGGCAATCTCAGAGGCAATGCCGTTGGTGACGGCAATCGAGGGCTTCTCATCGCGGCCTGGCTCGTTGGAACCATCTGCCTGAGCCTGTAGAGGCCATCCGCATCTTTCACATCTTTTCAAAGTACTTATCTTGGCATGCGAAACAAAGATGGGTACAAAAGAGACCCTTTGGAAGCCCATGTGCTGTGCAGCAATGCAAACGAGAGGAACTAAGGTTTGGCCTTCAGGGCTGTCTGGGGGTAAAGAGAGAAGGACCTGTCCCATATCCGCTGACATGACGATCTGCAGAAACACCAACCACTTCTCTCAGGAGCCCAGAGAATAGAAGCAGCATCACTCACAAGTGAATCTCTGCAACAAAGTTTTAAGCGCTGCCACTTCGGAGAAAGAGGATCATTGCCAGACCTTGACAAGGCTGGTGTCCCCAAGAGCAGGTGCACTGACGAAGAATGCCTCCTGGCTGTAGCCGTCAGCCTGCACCCAGCCACCACAGCGAATCAGCCCAACCCTGTTACTCCTCAGGACTTTCCCGAGTTTCACCACACAACTTCTGTGTGTGTCAAGCATCCGATAGAATCGGCAGCATTTCTGTCTGAAAGTTGCCTCATGTGTGCATCAAGCAAGCATGCTGGCCAGACCCAAGCCAAGACTCCTGTGTACACCAGCATTTCTGCCAACACCTTATGGAGAATGCATGACATTTGAATTTATCATCTGGAAGGTTTGTTTGTCTCAGCAGCGCACGTCTGAGCCATAGATGTAGTAGTATTTGGTGGAGGGCTGCAGTCCGGTCATGGCGGCCGTGTGGAGGCTGCCCGGGTCAAAGAAGCCGGTGCCCGTGGCCGGCGCAGCGCACAGATCAGCCTTGGTGTACGTCTTGGTCGTGCCTGCGCAAAACAGATACATGCACAGCCAGTGAGGCAGGGAGCCAGGAGCCCGCGGCACGCTCTGTCATGGCAAGGATGCCAACAGAGCGGTCAAGCAACATGACCACCATCGCACTTCTGACTTTAGCCGAGGATGGGTTTCTCGAGGATCAGACTCTTGCAGGAAATTGTTGACAGCCTTTAGGGTACTTTATAAGTGCGTGCCTGCATTGCTGCCGGTGTATTGCCCAGGCGCCAGGCCCCACTTGACTGTAGGCGCTGCGGAGTTCTTGGTTGTCCAGGAGATCAGCATAGTTCCCGGGTCGCGCGTCGCCGCCAGGTGTCCCTACACATGCACAGTCCCGGAAAAGCCACTGACTGTTACGCTGCATGGCCCGTTGCACTCCGGCAACAATGGTGCCCAAATGCGCAATTGCCTCTGCACTTGCATTGATATTGGCATCCCCGCCAGGATCTCAGGAGCGTAATCTCCGCCCCTCACATGAAATGATTACCAGCTGCCCTCATGACTGATTAGGCATCTGGATGAGGCCACTGCCGCTTCAGAGGCATCAAGCCATCTTTGCCAAACCTGAGCATTCATTTCATTTGAGTCCAAAAGGTCAGCCAGCAGGCATTGCAACTCACCTGGGTGGGCTCATTGACATTCTTGTTGGTGATGACGGGGCTCTGCGCTACGATAGTGAAGTTTGGCGCCTGCAGGTTGGAGCCCAGTCCACCGGTGATGAGCGAAAACTTGGAGTCCGCTCGCAAGTTCAGCAGTGTGAACCTGAACCCACACATGCACGCTTTCAGGGAGGGCCCACCTTAGAAAGACAGCAGTCACCTCATGTGACACGAGGATCTGTCAGACTGTTAAAATCCCTCCGGGTGTGCCGAAAGGTAGACTGCTAAGTGGCAAAAGCAGGGGCATGCTTAGTCAGGACCTGCATTCCCATTACTCAGCAGGTGGAGGACAATTTTCTAATTAGCGACTATGCATGCACCAGGATTGGCTGAACGGCAGAAAGATAGGAGCCACACGTGTATGTGCCCGCTCCAGTGCCAATGTAGCCTGGGATCTGGGAGCCAAGGATGTACTTGACGAACAGCACTGTGGCCGGGTCTGCATTGGCTGGTGCGTACAGAGCCACAACATCTGTGGCCTTGCCCGGGCCGCCTGTTCCCAGAATACACACATGCCATCAGCGCATGCAACTACCTAAGCTTATTGGGTAGCATCGAGCACTCAGATAAGCTAAGTATGGCCTGGTGTGCTGTTGGGGGTCACCGGTGATGGTGAGCTTGAAGTTCTGGCTGCTGGTGGTCTGCACCGTGCTGTTGAGCGTCAGTGTGACCTTGGGGTCGATCACCACGGCGAAAGACTCGTATAGAAAGCGATCCATAGGATGGGGTGGATTGTGCAGGCCGCCCAGCGCCACCGCACACAGGCAGCACAGACATGCCAGGAGGATCGCGGCCCTCATCCTGAAGTCTTCTTTGGCGTCAGGGGCCCAGGAAGATCAAGGAAAGCTTCAATTTGCCAAAAGAAGTACCGCAGAGAGGATTGCGCGGTGGCACGTTGTCTGCTAACCTGCACAATTTGGACGGATGAGTACTCATGCCCTAGCCGGCGTCTGGACTTTCTTGCGAACAACAGCATGTGAAGGTCATGTGAACGGACAAGTGGCTCTTTTCCGCGGTGAAATTGCTGGCCAACAAGAGGAGCCACACGCCCTTCCAAGCGTTTACGTTAGACATTGTCCTTCCTTACCTTTCGTCACCCTCCTTCCACTTCTTATAGGAAGGCGATGCCTACCCCAGAATATGTATTTTCTTGTGTGTTCCTTCGCGTGATGATAGCACGTCGAATCGCAGGGGCAGAGCTGGCTCCTTTCAGCTGGAGATTCGCGGTTTGAACTAATTATTCCTTGTGTCCAGATTAAGCCCCCAGAGAGGAGAGTGTCATGGGCACAGCATGTTGCATATGTGTATGGGCAAAATGTGTCTTTGTCTTGAAGAAGACGATTGCATCTGCAAGGTTCATCTGCAAGGTGGCAAGCAGACTAGTTGAGACGGGCAGTACAGTAAGGCACTATATATGGCCATATGCCTGACGCCATACTATATGGTATTCTATTTATATTTGCTGTTTCTTATAAGGGTCGACTTTACTTAAAGGATCGACTCATGATCATGAGGCCGATCGGGCCAGTCCAGAGCGCATGTGTTGTAGAAGTGACTCACTCAAGAGTACCTCAACGTAAGGACTGTACATAATTCTACCTGCTGGCTTAATGCCTATAGCTAGTAAATTACAAGAGCACTTAGCTGTTGGAGCACATCGGTGATCGGCTGATGAACATTCACCCTGATATAATTCGATGATCAAATAGGACTACTTAGCAAGGGAAGACATGAGCAAAGCATGGCAACTCCTTATACAAAATGCCCGCCCAATTCATCCCATGGCGCCTTCCTATATATAGCTAGCTAGCGCGTGCATGAATTACTGAGCGCACGACATAAGGCCAAATTTCTCACCCATGCTCCCCACCCATGATCAAGATCGTGAGTAATCAATGTTCCGCTGAGGCCAGGGGCACTAGGGAACCCCTGAAGCGCCTTCAGAGCATGCAGCACCTCGTGGTAGTGCCCAGGATTTATACATTGAGCCTCTCTGTTGCTGCGCCGCTGACAGAGGTGTCAGCAGCAGGATAATGCTGTGCGGCCGTTGGAGCCCCCAACATTGAGGCTCTCTGTTGCTGCGCCCCTGACAGAGCTATCAGCAGCAGGAGGACGTTGTGCGGCTGTTGGAGCCCCCCACATTGAGGCGGGAGCTGTTGGATGCAGTGAGCAGGCTGGGTGTGTCCAGGATCTTCATCACCAGCTCCTCAAAGGCCTGCCCCACTGCCATATTCGCCTTGGCGCTCGTCTCCACAAACAGGCAGCCGTGCTTCCGCGCGAACGCCGCACCCTCCGCTCTGCTCACCTCTCTCTCTGCTTCCTGCAAGGTGGGCAAAGATGCCGATGTCAATGCACACGGCATATGAACTTACGGCTCGTGAGGCTGCCCCCCACATTGTTGCCGCCCAAAGCTGCATTTTCACTGCCAGGCCTCGTGTCTTATAATGCACCAAGACTGACTTGGGTATGTTGAGGAGTACAGAGGGTGAGCGCCACAGCAAGCCTCAGTGCATGCAGTATGGAGAGATGCACACCTTGTCCACTTTATTGGCGACTATCATCTTGACCGCGTTGTCCACGGTTGAGTACATGTCCACCTCCCGCATCCAGATGTCCTCTATGCTCTCGAACGTTTCCCTCCTCGTGACATCATAGGCTGCACACACAGGAATCTGATAAGGGGCTGCAGCACACAAACATTAATTTTGCACTTGAGAGACAACGTCATCAAAGACAATTATGCCCAGAAGGTGCAGGGCGAGAAGGTGCGTGGGGTTACCTACCAAAGACAATGCCCTGTGCACCCCTGTAGTAACTGCTTGTGAGTGTGCGGAAGCGCTCTTGTCCAGCTGTATCCCAGATGGTCAACTTCAAGCGCTTCGCATTCACGGTCAAGAACTTCAGCCGAAAGTCGACACCTGCACAATATTGAAGCCACTCAGCTTCTCCTCGTGATATAACATTGTGAGGACGAGTGTAAACCCACTCGGCGTACACAGAGGTACGGCAGGGAAGATCTCACCGATCGTGGGTGCAACGCTGTCCTCGAATGTGTCGGCGGTGAAACGCAGAAGCAAGGAGGACTTGCCCACATTGGAATCGCCCACCAGCAGAACCTGTGATGATAGAAAATCTTTTGATATCGTTGTGCAACAACAACACCATTATAATTTGTGATGATCACTCTCAGGATCACAAAAAGGGCCTCCTCCTGGAATGCACAACACAGCTTCCTTAAAGCTGCACTTACTTTCAGCAAGTAGTCGAAGGGCTCATTCATGTCCCAAATGGGCACGATCTCTCCTCGGTGGTACTTTTACAAAAGAAAACACAAACAGATCAGGATCGAAAGACGGCAACAGGAGACAAGACTTAAAACAAATTTCGGTGACAATATTTCAGATTACAAGTGCACACGATCCAGGTCGCACTTTGCCACTGCAAGTCTCTTGTCTTGCATCAACAGACTTCGATTCACGGTATTGTACTGATGCATAACGCTGAATTTAGTTGGAATTGCAAAATGTGCACACGGGCTAGTGAGTCAGCAGCATGCAAAAAGGAACGCCATCGTCCGACCAGCATGTTTCTATTAAAAGAACACCAGAAATGAAAAGATGGAGGCATCAAGTGATGGTTGGTGGCAGGAAATATCTTAAATGTCTCGTCAATGACAATAGAAATATATATATACAAAATGTGCATATTGTTTAAGTGGGCAAGGAGCAATATGGCATCGAGATGGAATACCCCATCGTAAGTTGACTTATAAAAGACAGGCTCGGCGTGCATAGATCTAGATTTGGCTAACCGAAAAGAACTTGCAGTTTTCAATGAACTCAACAAGAGATGATGACGTGGAGTCTTATGAGGTTCATCCCACCCCTCTTCTTGGATAGAGATGTTCTGCGTTCATAACTGCAATCATCAATGGGAAAGCTTCCTCTCATCGATTTGGCTTTCCTTCCTCTCGCAGAGTGACTTTGAAGGCGATGAGGAGATCTATACAGACAGCGACGGAGAGGTGCAGTGCCTGGCCTGAGATTCCTCTAAATGCAGGACATTTCTTTACTTGCAAAGCTGCATCTCAAGAAACTGACTCAGCAGTTGTATGATAGGAGTATCCTACAAAACAAATTGAAGCCCAAACAGCGGGCATGCATCCTCACCACCAAGAGGAAAGCAGCATTCCTGAGCAGCTGGACAGCGGAGCTTCCACAGCGCAGTGGTCAGTCTTGCAATCAAGTCAGCTGTACCAACAGCTGTCAGTGCAAGAGCAGCAGGCTGTAGCCGTTCGCCACATGATGCAGATGGCTGCACTTACTCAGAAGCTGATGGAAGGCAGCAACCATGCACTGGACATCCCAGCGCAGCCAGACACAGGGGGCAGCAGCACCAGTGAACCCAAAGATTCACCCAGCACAAACATGCAGGACCCTGCCAGTGACGAGAAACACCAGCCCGAGCAGACCAACGGAGTCCATCATGGTCAACAGGGTAAGCAAGCGAGGTTGATTTCATGCTTGGCATTGATACCTTTCTTGGCTGGCCTGGCAGAGTATGCAGATTGCTGTCATTCAGCTGGGGCCCCAAAGGGACCGCGTTCTCATTGAGCTCAGTGTGTGGACAATGCAGACGCTGGTGCTGTTGAAGAAATTCTTGCAAATTTGGGAAATGGGCACACCAGAGAAGATAAGAGCACAAAAGCTGATCACGACAATGCTGGTGGTCCTACTGATCAAGATTCATCAAAAGCGGACTCACAATCAAGATCTGCTTCTCCATCCTGGCATTTGCCAGCGCTGCAGATCCCTAATGGCAGACCAACGTCAGCATCAAAACGACAGGTGACTCTCATTGCTTTGCTGGCCATTCATGAGAAAATCTTGAAGCTGTGATATTGAACACGTGATAAATTAAATGACGTCACAGTTCTACTGCAAAACGTCAAGACTGTCATGCTTCATTGATGCCGCACAAACGCAATTATGATCTCAGGTTGCTGCGTACAAGGACCGTTTGGATCAAGCTGTGAGGCAGCAGATGCAAGAGCCGGTGGAGAGCTGGGGTGCGAAGGAAGTGTGTGACTGGGTGGAACACCTGGGGCTTGGGCAGTATCGAAAAAGATTCCTGCACCATTCCATTGCCGGTCCCCTGCTTCTGCAGCTCACAGACACCCACCTCAAGGTTGAATACTGCATGAAGTATCCTTGTAGAGATTTGACCTGTCATGCTTCGGTTTTTCGTTTCTGCCGAACAATATAAGTAACAGTGTAAGAGTCCAGAAAATGTAATCCTCGTTCCTGCTTTGCTGAGAAAGGATGTTCTGTTCGCATCAACTTGAATCATTTGAAGACCCTGTGTTTGTGTCCCAGGTGGACCTGGCAATTCCCTCTCTTGGCCACAGGAGGGGCCTTTTAATGGCAATCCAGGACCTGAGAGCGCACCCTCCAGCCAGCAGCCCCCAGGGGCACTGGAATAGCGGGACCAGCGAGACAGGCAGCCCCTTATCCTCACAGCCCTCTCCTGTGAGTAGCCCTCCGCACCAGCCCGACAATAGACTTTCACACAATCTCCATTATTTGGCTTTGACTTTTAGAGAAGCGGCTGTCACACGGCACGCTGCTTGCTTATTGCCTGTGAAAATAGACCACTAAACAAACATGTTGTGCATCTGTGAGGAGGCTGTGTAAAGACAGATAAAGATTGTTGCATTGTGAGCAGGCTGCTACAAGCGGCAGGGGGGACGGCAAAAATCTTGGCAACCCGTTTGCAGTGGAGCACCAGCGTGGCCTGCTGCAGCGCCACCTAGACAAGGCCAGGGCACGCGCTGCTCTGCGCCAAGCGTGCGTTCCCTCCCTCATGCCTCTTTCACTTTTCCTTCCCCTGCGAAATTGTGCATGGGGTGTCTGGCTGCGTTTGATGTCCGCTGGCCCAATCCTGTCTCTGTCACCCTTCTGTTCCTGTTCTTGTCATCCCTCTGCTCTGTGGTCTGAGAACCCATGGGCACATGAGTATAGCGCCAAGCATGCGTTCCCACTGTCCCTTCCAGCCTCCCTTGTAATTTCTTATATGACCCTCCCCTGCAAAAGGGTGCTTGGAGGGTCTGGCTGCATTTGGATTGGAGTGCTGCTGTTTGAGGCAACCTCCTATAAATGTAGCTTGCTTATTCAAAACACAGAGCTGATGCACCAGATGCATGCAATCAAGGTGAAGGCAAGTTGATCTCGTTTAGATTGCTTATCAGTTGCATACATGTCTGCGTGCAGGGCTGCGGGGCAGGCAGAGCGGAACGTGGCGCTGGCGAGGGAGGAGATTCAGAGGCTGAAGGGGCAGCTGACTGCCCTGGACCGCAGCCGCAGCAGCGCTGCCAGCCAGAGTGGCGGCGGCAGTCACGCCCATGGCATTGACAGGCACGCTTGCCTTGCCTGCCGCTTTGACAAGTCACTGCATGTGCGCCTCTTGGCTGCACTCTGTATGATGCTGCCCGACCTGCTCTCTGGCAAATTGTGTTTTGTATGCAGTATTGTGATGTTGCGTGGGGCCTGCAGGCAAGGGACTGTGCCGTGGCAGCCGACAGGAGTCCGCAGGCAGTCTCTGTCCAGCGGTGGACTTGGATCAGCCACCATGCAGGTGAGAGCTGCACAGGATTGCTCTGCACAATCTACATCCCGTCAGATCACAAATGTTATAAAGACAGGATCATGCAAAAGCGCGAGGTTGACAGTGAAGCGATTGTTATGCTGGCTTGCAGGGCATTGATGTACTGTCAAGGCCACAAAGTGCCAAGCAATCAGCTGCATCGTATAAAGCTGACATGACACCCTTCCTCCAACGTCTGGAGGCTGACATGCAGTACCGGAAGCACAAATTGCAGGTCTGCTTTCATTCTCAATGCGGACCTACCACCAACCTCGTGCATGTTGCCTTTGCTCTTATGCGGCCATCTTGCGTGCTGAATCAGCATCACTGATACACATGGCATTTGGTATTGCAGAAGGCGGTCAAAAGGTGCTGCACTGTGCTGCGCAGGAAGAGAAGCAGCGCATCCACAGCAGGGAGAGCGGGGGGCAGAACTCAGCTAGGAACACAGAGGCCCAGGACATCAAGTTTCTGCAGGAATTTGCCGCCTCCCGCACGGACATGGCCGACATAGCAGCCGCGCTCTCATCCTCCCACATGCCTCTGCCTGAGGCTCCTTCAGCCAGGTCTGCCGATGTTCCATCCTCGGCAGCGGAGCCCACAGCCGAGGAAGCTGAAAATGGCGGTGGGGAGGAGGTACCCGCCCCGCTGACCAGGGAGGGTGCCTTAGAGGTGCTTGCAGAGCGCTGCAAACAGGCGCTCGGCTTCAGCAGTACCCAGGTGTGCGTGCCATGCCACGTCCTGGCAGCCCCTGCAAGTGCTTAAAGCAATATGACTGGCATGGCCAGATAATACTTTCAAGCAGCTTTGGCGGATGCGCTCACCAAAGCGGCTAGCCATAACAGTTCTATTTGAGTACAATAACCATCTATTGCTCAGGCCCAACATGGACAATTGATTTGTAGCCTACTAAAAGTGTTATGAGTCATCCTTGAGGAAGCGATGACTCGTCGAGGAAGCTTCCTGGCTACTGACAAATATTCCAAGCGCATGCTTTCACTCTTTGCGTGCATTTGTGCGTGACGCAGGTCGAGGCGGTTCGGAAGGGGTCCAGGGCCGGCAGGGGGCGCAAGTTGGCAGCATTAATCCGGTCAGCCACATTCATGCAGCGCTACAGGAGCGATCTAGAGACCAGGGACGCCCGTCTGCAGGAGCTTGCCGAGGACTGGTAAGACCAAGAGATTATCCAAATTCACATGCTAACGACCGCCGAATTGTACAATAAGATAAGCTTACTAGTGATTCACCTGAGCTACTGTAACAAGATTGCATCCTGTGTTTCCACATATTTGATTCAGCAATAGGGGATCTCGCATTCTCATCATTCTCAGAATGAAGCCTGCACAAAGGCGGTGACCAAAAGCACAAGAGAGAAAGGGCTCGGTGCGCAGGTTCAAGCGGACGCAGTACAGCGACAAGGCGCCGGAGGGCCGGCAGGTGCGCTTCCACAAGCCGGCACTCACCGCGGAGCAGCGCGAGGCGGCCGACGTTGAAGCTGCGCGCCGACACTTTACCTCCCTCGGTTGGGAGCCCGCTGAGGTGGCGGCTGCTGACATGGACGCCTCGCTGGACGCCCTGCTGGCGCGCGCGCGGTCGCTGCAGGAGTTTGCAAAGCGCTGCCGAACACTCGCGCCGTCGGCCAGGGCCGCCGAGCAGCCGCCGGCCTTCGGGTGAGTTCTAAAGTTATTCAAATTTAGTTGCTGTTCCTACCTTAGGTAAGGTGCAAGCCGCAATGGACGCTGCCACGGATCTTACCCCTTGATGGAGTCGCCAGATCCAAGCAGGACCCAGTCAACCATGGGCAGGGTGCTCAATTTGTGTATGTCCCCAGCCAGCTGGGGCAGAGCTCGGGCGAGCTCTACTGCTGAGAGATGTTCTGCCAGTGCACGGCACCTGTGCAGATTCTTGGACTGCCCGGCAGGGCTCATCTTGATTGCAATGTTCTGCGTCACCTTGCCTGAGAGAGGAAATGCCGCAAAGTGTGGCCGTGTGTGGAAGGATGGAAATGCACGGTGTGGCATGACAACTCAAATCTTCTGAGTAAGAGGATCAGGCAGTCATGATCAGTAAGGGTCATCTAGAGTGCTTGACCTCCTCCTTCAGTTGATCTGACTGTGCATGCTTGCGCCAGGCATTGCGACTCACGCAATAAAACACCCACCAGCAGGTTGCTTCCGGACATAGCAACACAAATTACCGAAGAAATTAGCATGCCTGAAACATTAGCAGAAAGTGATGGCTGCAGGGGGGACGGGCTGGACAGCCTGCAGCACTGGTACATAGAGAGGCATCCCAAGGCCGACAACCTGAAGGGCACAGCGGAGCAGCAGCAGAGCCCGCTGCAGGAGAGCGTGGATCTGCTGAAGGAGTGCCGGGAAGACCAACTTGCCCACCTGGAGCACCTCAAGGGCGCCCGCAAACTGCTCGCCGTCTACAGGTGCCTCAGCCTCCACCCCTATGTCATGCACTGAGAAATGGTGGACAAAATGTGCCGTTAGTCATTGCACTCTGCTAATCAACATTGAAGTGAGCGGGTTATGGAGTGACAGCCTGTGCAACATATGAACGCACTGTTGATGCAAGCAAAATGTGCTGGTTAAAGGAGGCATCAGTGCTTTGAGCCTGACGACCTGGGAGAAGCAAATTCAGACGAACGAATGAAAGACGCCTGTCCAGCTAGGTGAATAGGTACTTAAGTAAAGGTACTTAAGGTAACTAGAGGTACTAAGGTAACTAGGTGAATAGGTAGTTAAGAAAAGCTTTTCGCATGAGCCTCATGAGAGGAGGTGATCACCTCCTTTTAGTGATCACCTCCTCTATACTTGTCACTATAGATGCCACTGCTATCCTCGACTGCTCGATGACAGGCACGACATGATTATATCATGGAAAAAAAATTGTGCATGTGGCTTGCAGGGCGGTGCGTTCGCAGCGGTTCGTGCGGGATACGGAGGCGGATGTGCGCGCGCGGGAGCAGCGATCGGCTGCGGCGCTGGCCGCGCTTGAGCCGGTGCGCAAGCAGCTGTCGCCCGCTGAGGCCGACGCCTTCTACAGCCGCCTCGTCGAAGACAGCGAGCGCCGCGTGCGCAACAGGTGAGATGCCTATATTACATGCCTGTTGCAGTATCTCCACATGCCTTTTGCAGGAATGCGATCATTCGGGACACCTCCTGATCACTGCTCTACATGCGAGATTCACCTTGTCACCATAGAATGGAGACAGGAAGTTCTTGAGAATAGAGTTCTCAAGAAAGTTTTCAATATAGTTCTCAAGTTCCAAGTTCTCAATATAGCTCTTCAGATCAAAGGCCGCAAGAGCAGTCCCAAGGTTCTTGCATGTGAAGAAATGAGCAGAGAAGACACGCCAGTAACCTTTGCCCCAAGGCTTCCGCAGGTGCTTGACAGTTTTTGGACTGGGTGCTGCCCTCTAGCACATGCATGCATGCCGCGGTATAGATGCGAAGCCAATGCAGTGATTATGAGGGCGGGGAGGGTTACAGGCCCAGTTGCAAGCTCATGATGTCATGGTGAATCAGTGGTGAGTTGGATGTGCGAGCAGGGAGGAGCTGCGGCAGAAGGCGTTCGAGGCAGAGGCCAAGAAACAGAAGGATGCGCAAGAGGAGCTCAAGCTGATGCACCGGAAGTCGCGCGCGCATGCGCACGCAGCCAAGTCACGGCCGCAGTCCGCTCCCGGCGCCTGACCAACTGTCCAAGGCCCCCTGAGGCTCTTTTCGTCTAAGGGATCGGTTGTGCTGTCCCTCGTTCCGGTCCAAAATGTGCACCGCAATTGTTTACAGTGGGGATCGTAACAAGCTTACGGCCATTGGGAACGTTCCCCGGGGCCCAGCTTTAGATTCGATCATGGCCCAGCCATCAATATTGCGTATACAGCAAGGTGGCAGCTTACTTCTCTATGATCTATTACTCAATCTCGGGCCAGCATGCTCATGCCCTCATGTGAGCCTGTTGTCGTTGTCATGCCACAGTGTGCATCCAAAGCCCAAGCTGCAGCTGGCGCCAGTTGGCAGCTAATGACTCATCGGACGTGTGCTCTCGTCGGACGTGTGCCTAGGTCGAGGTCAATCATTTGAATTTGGACAATAATGCCATGTCTGGTAACTATGTATCCATTAAATATCTGTACAGTGAAATGGAGGAGTAGTGTCCTCGGTTCAAGGCATCATCGCTTGGCCACAAGAACGCAGGTGCCGGCAGCTGTCCCAGCACGTTTTTGGATTTTCAATCACGTGCGACATCATCCCCGAGAAATGGCATCGCATGGACTTTGATGCCGCAGATGTGTTTCTGGTTGCTTCGGATGCTAACAGGAACTGCTAAACATTCTGGAGGAGCGACGCAAACACCATCGAAGTCCGCAGCAGGCACCAAGCCCTGCGTCATGAGATGATGAAGCCTTGCTGCAGTCAAATAGTGCAGCTATGAAACCCCCATTACCCTCTTTTGAGTTTGTTTTCCCATCTTCAAGGAAAAGGAGTGATCAGCCCAATCGCAGGAATGTGCGCTGGTGAGTGACCTGCTGCCTTAACCACGTCCTACGCACAGTGTTTTGTAGCAATCCTTTCAATTTATAGAGCAAGAAATCTGCAGAGAATACTGCAAATATTTCAATAACATACAAGTATGGCCGGCTGCTGTGTAATTCATGGCATTGCCTTTGAGTGGAACCTGACAGACACCTGCATGTCTGCATGTCTAGAAGCAGGTGCAATGTTGAGTTGGGAATCGCAATCTCTCTCATTGCATGCCATGACAATCCTCACCAGTAAAGGCAACGCTTTGTGCATCGAACAGTCTTGTGCAATCCTTTGCAGAGTAGTCATCACCACACCAGCGCTCTTGACAGGCGTGGCAATGCGTGCAGGTCTTTGCCGGGGTTTGCAGGAATCTCTGCCAGCAACCCTTTTGGCATAGGCGCCAGCAAGGGATCGGATGCAGCTGACAAGCAGCGTTCAGGTGAAGAGCAGAAGGGCAAGGGTGACAAGGGAGGGAAGGATGGTGATGCCCAGGCCAAGTCCAAGGCACTGGCAGAGGGTCAGAAGGAGGAACGGCACAGGAAGGACGATGCTGCAGGCAGGTCGAACAACAAAGAGCAGCACAGCAACAGCGACAGAGACAAGGGTCAGGAAAGCAGAGCAAAGCAGCAGAAGGAGCGAGAGGCCAAGGAGAGAGCAGCAGAGAGTCAGAAAGGGGAATCAGAGCAGAAGAACACAATGCAAGCAAACGTAGCAAGGGGTTTGGTGGGCATCTGGAGGGAGTTCAACGAAGAAGATGACAAGAAGGCCAGCGGCAGGAGCAGCGACGATGACACAAAGCAGGCGTCAGAGGCCTCAGGGAAAGAAGGGGAGGGCATAGTGCCAGATGACTCAGGGCCGGTGGCGCGCATCGTGGCGTACAGTGACAGTGACAGCGATGAGCCGCTGCCCCTGCCCTTCCAGAAGCAGCGGGACAAGGCGTCCGCCACTGCATCGGACGCCGAAGCCGATGACGCGAGCGTTTCCGAGCCGGAGGGCGGCAAGAAGCGCAGATGGCCCTGGCGCAGCCTTGCAAAGCGCCTGCCGGAAGAGGTCCCGCCGGTGTGCAATCCTCTGGATTCATTGGCACCCCGCACCTCACTTCCTTTGCTGCGCTAGTGAGGGGCCCTGCACAAGGATTCGATGGAGTGGGTGTTGAGCAGGCTGCCATTTGTTATTTAACCCTGCTGCTGTTGATTCTCAGCACATTGCCGTTGATTTTTATTTTGTAGGTGCTTGATCTGCATGTGTTGAACATGCAGATCAAGCACCCACCACCAAGCACCATGCAATACATAAACAATGGAAGCGATGGTCAGATCAGACATAGTGCAAGACCGCTGAATAATTGGCGCCATCTTGATCAAGATGCATGCTTGCACAGGCCAACCCTGCTTCCTTTCTTATCTACCTATGGCGTCTCATGGGGCTGGTGTGCTGCGCAGGATGTGAGGCAGAGGGGCCTGGCGCGCGCGACGGCTGCGGCGCGGCGGCTGGGCCGGCGTCAGGTGGCGTCGGTGAAGGACGGGACGGCGCTGGCGCTGCTGCTCAAGGTGCTGCTGGTGGCGCTGTTGCGGCGCTTCCAGCCCAAGGCCGTGGCTTCCTTCGAGCTGCTCTCCCTCGCCGTGCCCCTGCCGGACCTGCTCGCGCACTGGATGGTGGGTCCCAGGCTTTTGTTCAGGCAACTTCTCCACAGGTCCCTCTTTTCTGTCAGCAGCGTCAGTGTGCGCTCGTACACGCCGTTGATCATGTTCTGCACCTCCTTTGTCGATGAGGTGCGCGGTCTCAATTGAGTAGGGCTTGCTGACCTTGCCATCCTCAGGCGGGAAGGGCACCAGGCCCACCTTCATGCCTTGAATTGCCACTTGGCTGTAGGCATCGGTATCCCAGCCTGTGTCCCAGCGGCTTTACGGCTGTGTCATTGATCAGAAGTTTCCAGGTGTAAAGGTGACTCTTTGGCATGTCAAGGATAGCCCTGCGATCTTCACCTTTGCTCGAGTGTCCTTTGTGCAAGGTTCTGAGAAGAGCCTGCCTTTGTCTGCTGCAGAGACGGCCGCCGGTATTAGACAGCTTCCCGCTGGCCCTGAGGAAGACGGCGCAGGATGTCGCGGCCTTTTCTGCGCCGCTGCTCCTGTCCCGAGTGTGTGGCACGATTGCGGCTCTGCTCGTCCCCCGCCGGCCGCCCAGGCCCGTCAGGCGAAGCATCAGCGAGAGCGGTGACCCTTCTTTGGTCCCACCCCCTGCACATGTCAACCCTTTATGGTTGTGACAGCAGCAAGCAAAGTCTCACAGAGCCTTCACATCCTGCCCCAGTGGTAAAAGCACTGAGGCGTGGGGCATTGTACATACTTGCATTTTGCCGGTGGTATGCTCTATATGATCAATTGTGGGTTCTCTACTGCAAGAATCGTGAGATGTATTGTAACTGCTGTCAATGCCCAACAAGGGCTTCTCTACTGGGCGACCCATTGCTCGTTGGGTGGAGTCTGTATTGCAAGACTCATTGCTTGTCGGGCAATCCATGTTATTCGATAGATGGAATTTTTCCTTCTCACTCTTATCTGCTGGGGGCCACAGTGCTGGTGCTGCGGGAGATGGCAGCGGAGGCAGGAGAGGACGAGCAGCTGCCGGGGCGGCCGCTGTTGGGCGCGCCGGAGTTCGCGTCGCACCTGGCGGCGCACCGGGCGGCGGAGCACGCGGATGAGCTGGCGGAGATGGTGCGCGTTCTGGACGCCAAGGGAGTGCAGCTGCCGCCGGAACGCTTCGACGGCAGCAAGGCTGAGCTTCTGCGCTACGCCGCTAGCTGCGGTCTGCTTGAGGTGCGCGCTGCGTTCTCCTGTGCAGGGGTAGGAGCAGCAGACATTATCTAACAATAACATGCAAACGGTATGCAGCTGCAGCTGGCAGCAAAGCACCTAGGATGAATGCAGGGCGAGCGAGCTCAGGCCTGTGGGGATGATTGTTGATGTTTGGGAAATGGTCATGCAATGGTCGTACAAATAGTCATGCAGATGTCTGGGCAGACCAATCGTGGGGACTGAGAAGGGTTTTTTTGTTGCATGAGCAGTGCAAGCTATGGATTGCGAGAGAGCTTGTGATTAGAAGATTTAAGTCTATCAGATCATGGGTGGGCGCCTGTGCAGCCAGGAGGCAAGCTGCAAATATCTGATCTTAGAGGCAACACTATCTCTGCCGTGGCTTCTGCCTAATGGAATGACTGATCGCTTTGTGCAGGCATCGAGTCCGGAGGAGCGTGCGGTGGCAATTGAGGCGGCGGCACAGGGCATTTTGGAAACGTTGCAGTGGCGGCAGAAGAGGAAATTCATGACGCCCCAGCAGCTGCACCCCTGGGACCAGCTCGTGAGCCCTTCACCCCCTCCTGTCTGCAAGCGCCGTGCGACAAGCACACCCTTCACCCCCATTTGTATGCGTCATACTTTTTCTGCTCCTAAAGGTGAGTTGTGTGAAGGGGAAGCATTGCAATGCTTGATGTGTGGTCCAGTGAGGAATTTCATGTCAGATGTTCTGCATGCACAGATCCAGTGGCATGGGAGCGACGAGGAGGGCCACCCAATTCTGCTGCTGCACCTGGCCAGGATGTGCAACGACTGCCAGAGCACAGAGCATGCCCAGCAGGCCGCAGAAGCCGTCATCTCACAGGCAAGCTTGCTTCTTTGCTACCTTAAGATCTTTCTGAAACCTTTCCCACTACCTGCTGCCACTCCCAAGGTTATCAAAGGTTCAGAGTCCTGAAGCAATGCTGAGAGCTCAATACATGGTCATCAACGCGCGACTTGCTATGGTGGCACACCGCGCTATAATCTGCTGTCAAGCCCGGCTATGGGCAGGCTGTCTAGCATGTTTCCTGCCGGGCTGGTCCTGGAGTTTTAGATGTCAGATATGATAGTCTAATTTCCGCTGGCGGCCTCAGGTGGAGTTGGCGGTGCGGCGGCGGCTGGACAACGAGGTGGGCCCGGATCAGCTGGTGGCCGTCATCGATGCGCGCGGCGCATCAGCGCTACAGGTCACGCGCAAGGTCACGCTCATCAAGGAGACCGCCCTCGCCCTCAACCAGGTCCGATCTCCCTGCAGCATGCCATGCAGATATTGTAGCATCGGAATACCACTTGGAATGTCTGCTGCTAAAGGCACCCTGTTGTTGGCATCTGTCTGTGCCACAGCAGACTGCCTTTCTGCTGTGTTTTTATCGGTCATCAGCCACATCAATATTGATCAGGCTGTTCTTTCGTCTTGGAGACTGATGTGGGCAGAGAAATGCAGCCAGAAATTTTCACGCTGATGTGTTTTGTGTGTGAGAGAGAGAGAGAAACATTACATCATGCCAGCCAACAAGGCTGATTAGATGATCACTGTATCTAGATCAGTATTTACTCGTTCTAATGAGAACCTGATAAATTGAGCCACCTTGTGATATGCTGTGCAGCACTATCCGGGCCGCCTGCACCGGCTGTATGTGGTGGGCCTGCCGGCCAGCCTGGCATGGGTGGTGGACACCATCCGCCCAGTGCTGCACCCGGCCACGGCCGCCGCCGTGCGCACCTGCGAGGCCGATGAGGCCTGCCTGCCGCTGCCGCCCCACGTGCTCAACCCCGCCCCCGACTCGCCCTGCACCCCCGTCGACCACGCCCCCAACGGCACGGTGCGCGAAGTTACTGCCTTTCCTGGGGCCACTTTTTCCCTTGCGGTGAGCTCCTAGTAGTTCTGCCTTCTTCCTTTGCAATGGGCTCCTACGTGATGCAAGGTGCTGCCGAAAGTAGTCTGCAAGAGCGCATCGCTACCATGGGACAATGCTGCCCGCCGGCACCGTAAATGCATGGTTACCACAAATAATTTCTAAGAAGACATATGATATTTCTAAGGCAGCAGAACAGGCGCAAAGAGCATGATAGCTGTTTCATCTAAGGCAGGACTGCTCCAGCCTAACGATGCTGTCCAGCTGTGAGGCATTGTGAGGCGGGTCCAGAAGTGCCTCCAGTGAGCCAGCTTGCTCCCTTCCTATGATGCCAAGATGCGGTGAAACAACAGGCGATAGGTACCCACACGAAATTGAGGACTTAGGAAATGCCAGCAAGTCATCTCTCATGCATGCACCAGGAGACTGTCAGCAGCTTTCCAAAGAGACGTGTTGTCATTGCGCAGGACACGGAGTCGGATTACTGCACGCCGCGGAGCACACTGGCGCTGCCGGACGTGCCGGAGCTGAGTGAGATGTCAGTGCCGGCACCCTCCATCATCCGAACCACCCCCTCCTTCGCCGACGCAGCCGCAGCCTCCTGCTCTGTCGGCAATATCAGCGCCCGCAAGCGCGTGTTCATCCCCGATTCCCCCGTCACGCCTGTCACCGAGCAGAGGCGCGTCCTGCTGTTGCTGCCGCCCTCTGTGCTTCCTCAAACTTTCGTGACTGATTTCCGCATAGACAATAATCTTTAGTTGCATGACTTCATCTGTGGATTTATTGAGAGCACTGCATGCCAAAGATGGCGGAGAACATTACGAGCATGTCTGGCAGTAGAGACAAGAGGCAGCGGCTCCAGCTGCAGCAGGAGTGAAGAAAATTCTACTGGCATTTCGGCCGTCAACGCCCAAAAAGAGAAAAAGCCTCAATCCTGAACAATTGTCGCCGGCATATCCCTTTCATATCTCAGTAGCGCTGATGGTAGATCCCCTGCGCATATATCATTGCAGCACGTGCTCTAGGCGACTATCACTCGATTTTGTGCTGACTCACAAAACCCGTGCAGGACGCCGCGGCCGCTGCGCCGCTGCGCCAGCTGGCGAAGCGCGGGCAGCGCAGAGCCCAGCCCGCGGCTGCGCCCGTCCCTCAAGCGCTCCTCCTACAGCGGCGGCGGCACTAGCAGCACTGCCGGCCCCGGCGGCGGCGTCTCGGAGGCCGGCCGCGCGCCGAGCACGCTGCGACGGTCGTCGTCGTTTCCGCGGTCGCACTCTCTGGCGCGCACGCTGTCCCTGGGGGACATCCTGGCGGATAAGGAGGCGCTGGATGTGGCCGAAATTGAGGCCTCCTGCGAGGGCAAGGTGTGTCCTGCCCCTGTCTCGGCTCGTATCGGATCTCTTTTGAGTCACTACAGAGATGGAGATAGGGGTGCGTTGCAGAGCTGTTGCTTTGTGGCGTGCTGCTGTACGGTGTGGAGATCCTGCAGTAGGACAGGGGGTTTGCGAATTAGTCTGTGGCTCCAGGTTGCCCGGCTTGGGCTCCCATGTATGGGTTTATTTAGTGCATGAAGGCTGCTAAGGCTGAGAAGTATCTGAAAGCTGATGTCAACAAGGCCCGGATCAGAATGGCTCAAGGTCCAAGTTTACAAGGTGCATGTCTCATCGGCGGTGCCATGCCTGCACTGCCGCTGGTAGGCTGTGCCTCAGTATTGCTGGATCCTTATTAACATGATGCTTCATACTCTCCTGGAGGTGTGCTTGAGTTGGGCTTTGTGCAAGGATGGGCTCAGTGTGCACATAAACATCAGCATGCTGCTGCGCCTGCTGGATGTCGATGTGGGTGCATGTCACATCACTGGCGGTTACGGCCATGCACCTTTCTGTGGACGCTGCTTACGCTTGTCTGCTGTTCATGTGCAGGCGCAACAATGACGCAAATGGTGCTTCGCTTCAGCATTGCAGACGGTACAGCAGCTGCCAGCTTGCTCACGGAGCAATCTATCTGTGAGGGTTTGCAGCAGATTCGCTTATTAATTCAATGGATGATCACGGCATGCTTCTGAAGCATGGGCTCCTTGGCATATGCATGCAACTTAGAGTAGGACCTTGGTTGCAATATCCCAGTTGGTGTGTTCAGGGTTTCAAACAAGTTGGCAACATGAATGCCCACGTGCACGGGTTCCCAAAGTGTGCAATAGTTCTGAAATGTAATTCATTCGACAGATGTGTTGTTCGGGGACTCTCAAGCAACATTGAATTGGTAAATTCACAGATTGAGCAATGCACGAAATTATTGAATGCAGCTCAAGCATGAGCACTGTGCGGCACCGCAATTGGAAATGTTGATGGAGCATGTATATGTGCACACCCCAATCCCCTGAACATAATGGGGGAAATTTTCTTTCCCATGGCGAGTAATGCAATTGTGCAAATGCGTCTGTGAAGGACTGAGAAGCTTCCTCTGGAAAGGAAGCTTCACAGCTGCTCCCCTTTTTACGTAAGGGTAGCTACAAATTCTTGGACGAAGAGTGGAGTACAATCAAGATCCCCAATCACAGAAGCAAGAAATTACCATGTTTTTTTTTTAAATACCATGGCTGCATGGGGATGACTTTCGCGTACAAGAGCACTACAGGAGACTCTGGCTCTGAATCAGACGGCAGTGCTGTCATACACAGGAAGAATGCAGTTGTTGACTATTTGCTCAATCAAAATGCTATTAGGTGAGCGCCCGTGTCCATGGGTTCATCCTTGCTGCAGGGCCTAGGAGCTTGGCATCACCCATTTGGATACCAGCGACGTGTATGGGCCTCATCTGAACGAGCAGCTTGTGGGTGAGGAAGGTTTGCCTCAGATGCACATCCATTGACAATGATCTTCTGGTCATGAATAGCATTAGTCTGCCCCTGCAGGGATGGCGATAGAAGGCAGGCGATATCAGTACACAGTTGCAGCCAAGTTTGGCGTCAAGTTCACTGACAAGGTCTGCTGCTTCCGGCGCGTGCCCGAGTCTTCTTCCCTCATCCATGACATTTCCAAAATTGCTCAGTGTTCTGATTTTAATGCAGTCAGTGCATGTTCTCCTGCAATTGCGCAAGGTGTGGCTCTCATGTGATATCTAATCATGATGCAGGTGGTGGGCGTGAGAAATCACCCGATAATTGGAAGCATGTCTTATGACGCAGCCAAGGACTCTTGATATGCCCAAGTGGATATTGCTTGGCTAATGGTACAGGCCCTAGGGCCGGAGAGCCACTGGCAATTATAATTAGGCAACTTGCTTGCAATTGAAACTGTTAAAACTTATTTTTATAAAATAATTATTTGACCTGGGGGCGCGCTGCTTAAGAATAAAGCTTAAGGACTTCTTTGGAAAGTGGAGTGGTGCACATAAAGAGTGTGCCTGTGTGGCTATGACATGCAGCGTGGCATGCATGGAAGAATGCTGCCTTCTGCTTTGCCACGTCACTTGCTGGAAGGGGGCGTGCTTCTATTTTGGGATCGTCCCAATAATCACTTCATCTTCAGATTCAGACCTTTCTAATCAATATATATGTAATCGTATCTTACTCTTCATTCCATCGTTATTTATATATCGTGTGTTAATACTCTTTCACAAACACCCATTCTGGGAAATCGCCAAGCTTTGCCCCATGCGGATCTGTCTTCGTGGACCGTTCTGCAACGTATGTAATCCTTATCTAGAAAAAAAAATGTGATATTATCATATTATCCTAGCAAGTATAAAGATAACCTGTTTATGGCATCTAGACATCGATGGGCCATTTCTCTTCGCACATGCATGTGCCTGTGCATGCCCATCTGTAGACACAGATGTCCACCGTTTCCTGCGTCGCTCTTATTACGCGTCGAGTTTTCATCGCATTCAAATGATTTACCATGCCCTAATCTTTACAGGTAGCTCTCAGGAAGGGGCACTATTTCCCAGGAATGGTGGACTCTGCAGTACTACGTGCTCCAGGTATTTTATGTGCTAAGAATTATCAACACTATAGCGATCACATACCAGTTCATCTTGACGATTGAGGGTCTGCAGCGCTCTCACACACTGCTGACTGATCCATCGGGTGTCACTGCCAGCTGGGATTTGGCGCAAGGTCGCTACGCGCGCCTCGCAAGAAAATGGCGCCGAATTTGATTTTGATCTTTTCACCATTGGCGGAGGCAGCGCTGGAGTACGAGCAGCCAGATACAGCGCTGGCCTTGGTGAGACACACTCTCAACTGCAATGCCTGGCATGTTCCTGGTGCCTACCAGGTCGATTGTAGAAATTGCTTGAAACGCAGATTTGATGAACCAATGAAGGGAGCTTCATCTGGGTCATTCAGGCGCAAAGGTGGGCTTGTGTGAGCTGCCGAGAGACCTGATCTCCAGCGATGAGAAGGGCGGCACTGGCGGCACTTGTGTGCTGCGCGGCTGCGTCCCCAAAAAGCTCATGGCCCTGGCTGGGCTCTTTGCTGAGGACGTGCAGGATGCGGCCAGCTTTGGGTACTGCCGCAGCCCACCAGCCAAAGCATCATGCCAATTCACCTGCATGTCACCTGCGTGCATTGCCTGGCACATTGTTGAGCCTTACCCATCTGACTCACTTCTGCTAATTCCTGTGGTCGGTGCGCATCATTGCGATGCCCTGATCTGCACGACAGAGTCTGAGCAATCGCATGTGGGCGCCGTAGAACGGGGCACAGCACTTTAGTAACGGCAATTTCTACTGATGGGAATGGCATGGTCAGGTGGGAGGTGGAGGGGCCGCCTCAACTGAGCTGGGAGAAGCTGCAGAGCAACAAGCGGCGCGAGCTAGAGCGGCTGAGCGATCTGTACATGGACAACCTGAAGAAGGCCAATGTCGAGTTCATTGAGGGGCGTGCGCGAATCGTAGACCCCAACACTGTCGAGGTCAACGGAAAGCAGTACAGGGTGAGATTTAAACTCCAAAAGGCAAAGTTTATCTGGCTACTGCCGAGCACCACCTGTTGTGCCAAGCACCACCTATCGTTGAGAAGCTGTCGACATCTGACACATTATCGTTGTGCTATTGAGCTAGGTGTACTTGCAAGGCCTCAAGGTTCATGTCTCTGGCGAAGGCTGCCTTTCAGGGGCCGTGCGTCGTCATCCCTGGCAGATTAGTTTCTGATATCTGATCTCTCTGGAAATCTTGCAGGCGAAGAACATCCTGGTCGCAACGGGGGGTGCAGCCAGCATTCCACCCATTGATGGGGCGAGGGACTATGCCATCACCAGCGATCATGTCCTCAATCTGGATGAGCTCCCCAAAAAGTACGATCCTCACCATTCTTGCCCAGAGAATTGTGCAACACCCTGCCCGCCTACAAGTTGTAGTAGAAGATGTTCGCATGAAGCCTCTGCTTTGCTGCTATCTTATTCCTCTTGATAGTGTTGCGAAATTACCAGTGCTGTATGATGCAACTGTCTCTGCAGGCTGGTGGTTGTGGGCGGCGGCTACATTGGCTGCGAGCAGGCGTCCATCTTCAACAACCTTGGCACAGAAGTCTACCTCGTTGTGCGCCAGGTGCTGCTCAGCCCCATCTTGTTGAGTTATGCAGAAGTGTAAGACTATGCATCCTTGTTGCACTCGAGGAGCATGACCATGATGTCCTCCTCGCTGGCCCCTGCAAACAGTCAAAAACCCCATGAGATATTTCAATGGTGCCTTTTAGACAAGGGCATCTCCCTAACGATGTGGCTCTGGTGGATTAATGACTGACAAGATACACCTGTGCTGCAGGACCTGCCCCTGGCTGGGTTTGACAGGGAGGCGTGCGCATTTGTCATGGAGCAGTACAAGCTGAGAGGCCTCCATGTTTACGGGCAGAGCTCGCCCACGAAGGTGTCCAGAGGGGCTGATGGGAAGCTGACCGTGCGCGTAGAGCCGTACAAGAGGGATGGAGATCCCTTTGACATTGAGGATGTCGATCAGGTTTGGTTCACAGCTTGCACCGCATGGCATGACATGCTGCTCCCATATAGATATACGTCAGGGTGTACGAAGATGTGCTGTGAGTGGTGATATTGAATGCTTGATGGGGGCTTGGGATGAAGATTTGGACTGTGGCTGTTGTTGGCAGGTGCTGATGGCCACTGGGCGGAAGCCCAAGACACAGAACATTGGCTTGGAGAATGTTGGGGCAGAGATCGACGAAAAGGGCGGTCTAAAGGTGACAACCTGTTTTGCGAACCAAACATGTGCAAACTTGTTTCCTGCAAGTATCTCCTGCACCAGATCTATTGACTGTAAGGCGTGATGAAGCTTGGACTGTGGGAATGCAGGTGGATGAGTTCAGCAGGAGTGTGAGCGTGCCCAGCATCTGGGGCATTGGGGATGTGACTAATAGAATCCCCTTGACACCTGTCGCCCGCATGGAGGGCAGCGCGCTCGCCAAGCACCTGTTTGGGTGAGCCTGTTCAAGTCCCCCACGCATGCACGATGGTCCCTCTCCACGCAGAGGAGAACTGCCTCTGCTCTGCACAATAGCCCTATCATCCCATGTGCCTTTGCCTACTGGTAAAGCATGCATGCAGAATATATGGCCCAGCCCTTCGTTCAGCTTGTCTGCCACCAGACCTTGTCCTTGGCAGGAGCAGCGTTTGGGCCTTGAATCAATCATAAGCATGCAAGGTGATACAAGTACCGTAGTAACAATTTACCGATGGTGGGTTGGCAGGGATGAGGGGGATGTGAAGCCTGACTACACAGCAGTTCCCAGCGTGGTGTTCTCCAGCCCACAGCTGGCGTATGTGGGAAAGAAGGAGGACGCTGCAGTTGAGGAGTATCAGGATGTGGACATCTACACTTCAAAATCCACGTGAGAAACCCAGTAGTTACATCCATATTTCTCCTGCAGGAACCGAGCACCCGTGGATCTGAAAAAAATATTGTTGCATTGCTGTGCATCGCACAACCTTCAATGTCATGCGGTGGCGTCTTGCATTGCGACTGCAGCTCATGTCAGGGGTGCCAAATGAATAGATCCTAAAAGCTGTTTGCAAATTCATCATTCTGCCGGATGAATAGAATTCAAATTTGAAATTGTGTGCAGGCCCATGAAGAACACGCTGGGGCGCAAGGATGTGAAGGAGTTTGTCAAGGTGGTGGTGTCCGCCAAGGACAAGAAAGTGGTCGGCTTTCACATGGTCGGCGCAGAAGCGGCAGAAATCTTGCAAGTGCGCCCCTGCAAACCTCAACAGTCAATGACAACAGCTGTGCACTTGCACCACTGCGGCTGGAAAGCAATCTTCAAGACTGCAAGACTTGGTTGTTCAAGGCCAGTTCTCTGGAGCACGTCTCTCTGTAGCAGCAGAGTCATGTCAACGGAGGGCTGTGTTTCATGCATGCAGGGCTTCGCAGCAGCCTTGTATGCGGGCATCACAAAGCCGCAGCTGGATGCAACCGTGGGCATCCACCCGTCCAGTGCCGAGGAGTTTGTGACAATGACCCAAACCACTCGCAAGTACCGGGGCGGCAAGCTTGTGGAGGGAGAGCCTCTCAAATGCTGAAATCCTTTTCTTCGAAAACAGTATTGGAGTCTAAGTATTGGAGTCATTCCAATTTGGCTGATTTTGGACGCAATTGGAGCACATGAAATCATGGCGCTTACCAGGGGATAGGTAGCTGACTGTCAGAACTGAAATTTATTGAATCCCATCAATGCAAGAGTGTATCAGGACCACAATCTGCCTGCGTGACATCTCTGGATAATTGCAATGGAAACTCTGTCATTGCATTCGTGATACTTGTGGCCACTATTACTATCACTGCGCTGCTTCAGCGATCTTGAGACGGGGTGCTTCCTGCTATGGGCCAATCGCTACTGTTTTGGACTGTATCAATTGGACTGACTTCAGTCCTCAACAGTATAGAAGTTCAAGAAGCAAAAGTAAAATTAAAGTGTGAGGGAGGCCGCACGGGCACAACATGGGACTGCGTGGTAGGGCAATTGCCTCTTGGATATCTTGATTCTGGCGCTCAGAGAGCGGCAGTTCTGTAATGTTGCAAGGTGACAGCATGATGCCGCATGCGGCATGGGTGGGCTGTGCGATATGAACCCTCAGGCCTGAAAATATCGGAATCTCCTGCCATGCGTGGGAACTCATAAGGCTTCAGGCATAACCAGGAGATCAACATGGCACGTCTCAGTGGCATTCAATGGAATCCTCCTGTAACCTCTCGCCGCATTCGAAAGTTCATGATGCAATACACCCCCCCCAAAAAAGCAAAAACATGTAAAAGACGAATGAGCGTCCAGCGACTCGATCCCATGACCTTCTGAGTACGTGGTGCGGGGACTGGGATCTTACCCCCCAGTTGGAATACCCCAGGAGAGTCGTTCCTGTACGACGCTCGCAAAGCTGCTGTTTTCGAAATTATAAGTAGCGAACCTCTGCAGCTTAACTAGGCTTCATCGATGCCCATCTTGGCATGCGGCAGAAGGAATCGCAAAACTTGTGCGTACACCAAATATCAATAGGTTGTAAAATTAATTTGGAGTAAGAGAAAGGGAGCAAGCACGGGAGTATGAGGGGCCTGCAAATCCTTGCCAGATGGCCTGATTCGATCTGCTGGTAAGTGAGGAAACGATATTCCAGGAGCTGTCCCCTTTTCACACTATCTACGCACTGATCCTAAAGAATTCTTATGATAGTATCATCTGAGGTGAAGGTTTTCAGATCATCGCTGTATTCCTCAGGACAAACTTTCTGCTGCAGGATTGAGACTCTCGTCGATCTGAACTCGATCTGGTTCCAATGCACTAGAAAGATTCATGAACGGCCGAAAGCTTTACAACAATTGCGAAGCCTCTTGGACTGGTACAGATGCGCTTTCATAGATCCAAGCATGCAAGATGGGTCCAGCCAAATCGAGAAACAGACCCATACTGCGATTGAGCAGAGCTTCAATACACAGCGACATCCCCCGCAGCAAGAGTATTTGTGTCACGCGCACCAGTGCTCGAGGCGATCAGCAGCCAGACACCTGAAGGAGTCTTTGAGGCATTTTTCAGCTGGTGCTCCATCGGCTGCTGCACTCCGCCATTCCACTGCCTTGCCGCAGCCTTTCAGCTTTGCACGGCGGTCCTTCACCTCAGCCATCACTGCTGGAGCGAAGGAGCGGCTTGAGAGGCTCAAAGCCCGGCATGAGGAGCTCTGCACACAGCTTTCAGGTGAGCACAAGCTGCCAGCTCAATCCCAGACACTTTTGGCTCAAATGTATGTGCCCAGCCCTACTGTGCCTACAGGCCACATAATCACATGGCATGCAGGGAGGGTTAAAGACAGCTCCACATGGTGGTTATGAAGGGCACATGCTGCAGGAGAGCATATGAACAGCCTGCCTCAGCAGGAGTTGACAGCGCTGAACGTGGAGCTGGGAGAGCTGACACCTGCTGTGGAGGCCTACAATGCGCTGCAGAGGCTGCTAGACGAAGCCAAAGGGCTGGAAGGCCTGACCAGCGGCGAGGATGAGGACATGCGGAAGCTGGCCAGGGAGGAGCAGCAAGTGCTTCAGGAGCAGGTGGGCTCCTGAGTACCATGATGACGGCGTTGCAGCACTAGACAGCATGACTGGCTTGATGCGCTCTGAGATGACTTGCCCTGAACTCGCATGGCAAGACTTGATGCCAGTCCACATACGTGCTTAGACCTGGCGGCTAGCACAAGCCACGGCTAGACCTGCCACCTCAACATCACACACATAAGCACGTGGTTAGTTCTGAAAGACCTTGGCACGTTCAAAAATCTCCACGCCAGGACTGTCACCCACGCATGGAGTTCCTGCACAGTCTGCCACTGTCAGCAGCATTTCACCCCCCTTCCTCATGCATGCGTCAGGTGCCGGCACTAGAGCAGGCGCTGCTGGACCAGCTGCTGCCCAGGGACGAGGCGGACGAGAGGGGCGCCGTGCTGGAGGTTCGCGCCGGCACGGGTGGCGATGAGGCCGCGCTGTTTGCCGGCGACCTCTTCCGCATGTATCAGCGCTTTGCCGAGCTGCGCCGGTGGAAGTTCGAGGTGCAGCCCCCCCCTACTGGCAGCTTACTGGTCCCATTATGACTACATCTGTCGATTAGAAGGGCGCGCCCAATCAGCTTACCATCACTGCGCTGCAACTTGTTTTTTCAGAGTTGTCGCAAATGAGATTGCTTGGGCATGCTTCCATCATTGAAGTATTTGGACACTTCGAACTGATGGGAGTATAGCTCTTGCAATTTCGCTTGTGATAACTCATTTGGGACATAGGTGCAGAGAACTCAAAGGGTCTTGCATGCGATGCCCAGGGCACAAGCTTGACAGAAACCATACTGCTGAAACATACATCGCCATACAAAGATTGAAGATCTCTGAGTGTTTGTCCCTGCTGCGATGCAGGTGCTGGAGATGGCGGAGAGCGATGTGGGCGGCTTCAAGCTGGCGAGCGCGAACGTGGCGGGCCGAGGTGCATACGGGTCGCTCAAGTGGGAGAGCGGCATCCACCGCGTGCAGCGCGTGCCCGTAACCGAGAGCTCCGGCCGCGTGCACACCAGCGCCGCCTCCGTTGCTGTTATGCCGCAGGCCGATGAGGTGCACGCCCTGACTGAAATACTGCTCTGCTTGTGAAGAAGATGATGTATCATTCTTGCCTTCACACCTCTGGCAAGGCGGCTGCTTTATCCAACCCTGCCGCATGCTGAAGAGCTGGGGCCGAAGCTCAATCTATGGGAATTGCAGTGAGTGGTAGCGCAGTCCAAGGACATCACCCATGGTGCAGGTCAATGCCCCTGACTTAATCATTGCTCTGCTTGCCAATGAGATTGCCATGTCTCCCCCACCGCCTCTTTCTGACACACCTCTGGCGGCTGCAAAGATAATTTCATCCGGCCAAGGATGTGCGCGACGTGCACTCTGCCTTACTTGTCTTGATTGACTGTATTTTTACGGCAGTGCGGATTACTGCACTTCACTGAAGAAATGTTTGTGAAGTCAAGTGCGGGGACCAGCGGTGCTGTCAAGTTGCAGTCAAGTATGATCACCCTTGCTGTGCCTGTCAATGAGATGGCGATGTCTCATAATCATCCTTTCACTTCGCTGGGAAGGGGCATCGGCAGTGGCCAGTTCCCGGGTATCTGGGCAGGCGTGCAGAGAGTTGTGCTTACAAGGCTGGAAAAGGACAAAGGCGCTCTTTTGAGGCTGAGAGGGCCAGGGTACGTTGCACTTGTGTCACTGATTCTCTGCTTGTTTGTCAGGTGGATGTGAGCGTGAAGGATGAGGACCTGCGCATAGACACGTACCGGGCGGGCGGCGCGGGCGGCCAGCACGTGAACACCACCAACTCGGCCGTGCGCATCACTCACATCCCCAGCGGCCTCGTCGTCGCCATCCAGGCACGCCACCTGTCACCTGACACCTAGTTGTCCTCTTGTCAGACATGCAAACCCTTGGATGGCAGTGGCAACAGCACATGCAAAGCAAGACAGCAGAGACTGTAAGATGGTGCTCGATCTTGGAACTGCTTTGACAACATGCTCTTGGTGCAGGCTTGCTCTGCTTTCCCATGTGGCCCTAAATGGGTTTTCACCACTGCAAGCATCAAAGGCAGCTCCCTGAAGTGTTGATGCATGGTGGCAGGACGAGCGGTCGCAGCACAAGAACAAGGCGAAGGCGCTGAAGATTCTTCGTGCGCGGCTGTTTGACGCGCAGCGGCAGCGGCAACGCGCTGAGCAGTCTTCCGAGCGCAAGGGGCTCATCGGGTCGGGGGACCGCTCCGAGCGCATCCGCACCTACAACTTCCCCCAGGTGCGCCGCTGACTCATCGCATGCATGCGCATATACTTTGCTGCATGCAAGAAGGATGTTCATCCAGATCATGATGTCTTCTCTCCGTCTCTCTTCTTCCTTCCACATGCCTGTGTCCTGGCTGATTTCGAACACATGATGTCCGAAATCATGCATATCGTATGATTGGCAAGTTTATGTCATTGTGTTTTACGGAAATGTTTCACCAGGAATGCAGGGCAGCCACTGTTCACCTCTGCAATGGTATTGACAGCTGGACTGTGGTTTTGTGGAGCAGGGGAGAGTGACGGATCACAGAGTGGGCCTGACAGAACATGGCATCGAGGGTGTCTTGAGTGGAGCTAGCCTGGACACCTTCATAGATGCATTGAGCACCCACCACAAGCAACAGCTGCTTTCTGATCTGGGGCAGTAGTACTGAAGCTGTATGTGTGTTGACATCAGCGCTTAATGACCGCCCATTTTTTTAGAAATCAGAGTCACAGGAGCGCAAGATATACTAAGCCTCTGCTGCTGACAATTCTGAAGTGTTCTGCACATCATCATGTCAGAAAATGTGCTGTAACAGACATTAAGGAAGACTACATCTCATCTATTATTGTCATCTGCAAATGGCTTGCATGAGCATCACCCTGAAAGTTACACACTCCAAAACATCATATGCACAGGTGATGAGAATTTCCCTAAAAACGAACCCAGCGAAAGTCCGAACAGTAATGTGTAAGGAAGAACGTGCAAGACAATAGTTACAGGACACATACAGTGGGTCATCTGCCCTCCTAAGACTCCATGGCCACGCTATTAGCAGGCTCTGTGCTGTCATGCGCCCGGCCGCCACCAAACACAAACCCTCCCGGCTGCTGCTGCGCAAAGCCGATGCTTTGGATGGGAGATGGAACGAAGGTTGCAGGCGGCGGCGCCGGCGCATCCCTGTCAAAAACATGTCAATCTGGCGTTCACTGCGCAAGCAGGTTCGCTCGGCATACGAACGCAAAGCCTGATACTTTACACAAGGGAGCACAGACATACAAGGCAGTCAATAGAAGCGCGCAAGCATCAAGGCATAGCGGGCGCCAAAATGGGAGAGGAGGCTGTCTCTGAAGTAAACATTGCTGACATATCCCCAGCGAAACTTTGCTGATCTCTGCCGCGAGCATGGCAAGGCAAGCTCATAGAAGCAAAGAAGTTCCCAGTAAGATGGGGGCTGAGAGCCCGACAGCGTCTGATTTTATAGCTGTGGGGGAGGCAGGGCTCACCGCCAGGCCCACTGGAAATCTGCATGGGTGGACAGGCCAAAGGGAGCAGCGCTGTTGCTGCCACCGCCTGATGAAGCTGCGCTGCTGGGGGTGTATCCAGTGGAGGTCGAGCCCAGCAGCTGGATCTCCAAGTTCTGCAGTCTTTCCACCTCAGCTGCGCATTAACATAGCTCTCAGCGTGCATTTCTCAACCACACATGCCACAGAATACAAGGACAACCGCTGGCATTTCACACCTCCCATTTGTAACCATCAAGGTATCAGGGACAACTGACATGTATGGCAAACGGGGTTGTATAATGATTTGGGCGTCGTGTTAAGCAGGGTTCATGGAGAAGACTGACCTGGCGTGAGCTGTGTGGCGGTCCTGTGCTCCTTGACCCATTTGTAGGAGTCGCACAGCCGCCACCTCCGGTGTTTCATGAGGTATCCAATGACTATCGCAGGCGACCTGCAGCATTGCTACACTCTCAGACTTGACTGCAAATGTGGCCAGGCAGAAGCAAAGTCAGGCAGAGCAATGGGATTTACGCACCGTGAGACCCCCTTCATGCAGTGCACAAGCACTCTTACATCCTTCCCATCCTTTTCTCTCTCAGCAAACACCGAATCTGCATCACAAACGAGACATTATCAGTTCCTTGAATGAATGGCAACGCAAGCATGAACCTTGAAAAGATCCAACACATTGGCAGATGTCCTGGCAGATGCTTACCTAAGAACTCGAAGCACTCCTCAAAGCTTGGTGGAGACGTGCTGACTGTGTGATATGTGAAGGAATTTTTGTAGAGTGGCTGACAGGAGGGCACCGTCTGCTCCCCCACATGACATAGCTCAGTGACGTGATATTACTTTGACACTATCGGCAGCAACGAATTCTCATCAGGTGGCATGGCAGCACGCACATTCAGGATGTGGGTTATGCCCACAGTCTTGAGGAGCTCTGATCTTGACGCATTGTCATAGCTGCCAAGGTAGAGAAACTGCGGGAGGATGTTGCTCGGGTAGGCGCTGGCTTGCTGAGATGCTGCATCTGTTTGCGGCATTTGATGGCCACACACGCTGCATTGCTCCCCACCTTCATACTGCAATGCCAAATCTCGATTGTTCAATCCTGCTTGAGATGTCCTTCCAAAAGCCCTCAGGAGAGCTTTTGGTTTTCAGATGAGTTGCAACACAGCCGAATGCTTCCTAAGATGCATTATAACCAGTCTTCGGGGCACCACATTTCCTTGACCCTAAATATTGCGTGACCATGGCGTTACTACAATCACGAGGAACCTCATTCCTCTGATAACTTTCTCAAAGAATTACTGATGTGATGAAAAGACATCGCTTTTGAGCCAACGCGGGGTCTCCCCATGATCACCCTCCAGACCCAGCTGTGTGGTGTGTGCTGATGTTCAGCAGCAACTTGCACACATTCTGCACCGTCCATTCAGGGATTCTGTGCTGTGACAGGAAAGCGTACATCGTGATAGTGCTGGCAGATGTGGCATGGCTCTTCTCTCTCCCTTCTCTTCTTCATCCTGTCACCACTGATACCGCCAAATCTTCACCCAAGTGTCTCCTTTGCACACGGTAGATCGCAAGTGATGTCAGTACGATGGTAAATATTCAGATAGAAGCCAGTAACCAGCATGCGCTTGTCAACCGCAAGAAATGGTTCTTACAAGTGCAGCAAACGAATTGTGCTGAGCCAACTACGGGCACCCGCAGCGTCCCATCGGGCCTGCCCGCTTGAGATGACGATCTTGGATGGGGAACTGAAAGCAGGCAAAATCTTGCATAGGGTCAACAACAAAGCCATTGTAATTCTAATCAGCATTGAGTACAAGGCCAAGAAACTCGATTGATTGTGCCATCGTTGTCCAAGGCAGAATATACATAGACACATCTCTAGTAGAGCTTTATTGACGACTGGGTCCAGTCGAGAATTACAGGTAAAAGAAGTACGTTCATTGACTAAATGACAGATCCCCACATCTTACGTTCCTTGTCGGGAAGCTGGCTGCCTAGAAGAATGCCTTTCAGGTGGGTCTCCATCACAATCTTTTACAAATTTGATCTTGTGATCCAAGATCCTGAGACTTCAATACACCCTTTTTCTGCACATTAGTACTATTTACAATGCATGTAATACTCAGGGCTGGACCTTGGGAGAGGGGAAAGGTTCAGCATATGTGCTTGGCAGCAGCTAAGGGCTTTGGCAAGACTTCCACCAAGGAGCACCTCCCAGCTGACAAGCAGAAGCGCGGCAAGAAGAACAGTGACTTGGCAGTGGATGGCTCATCCAGCAAGGTCAGCCTTCTCCACATCTAATCCACCAGGTCTTGTCTTTGCAGTATCATTGGCCGGTGGTCACTGCACAAGAGTTGATACAAATGAGATTGTCTGTGGTCACCAGGCTGTGGACAGGGCTGTGAGGGCGGTGGAAGGGAGGAAGTCCCGGCCAGTCGACCCCAGGGAAGCCTCAAAGGGGCGGCTGGATTATGCTCAGGTGAGCAGTCCTGTGCCTTCAGCGCCAGCCGGGATCTTTGGATCAAGGCAAGGTCATGTCTTTTCGGGGGAATCTAAGCACAGGTCTGCAACTGCAACCCCTGAGAAGGCAAGTAAGCAGGGCGGCAGCAAGACAGCAGAAGCACACAGTGAATCATCCAGGCTGAGCAGGAATTGAGAGCCTGTTGTGTGCTACATGCCAGGTGAGCGACTGGGGGAGCGGCGAGCCTGCGGATCTGGATGCGCTGCAGGTGACCTCCTTTGAGGCCGATGGCGGCCCGGAGCGGCCATTCTACGAGCAGCTTGCACGGCGCCTCGCCCAGCTGGAGGCAAGCCGCAGCCGTCCTGCCCACCTTGCTGCACATGGTAGCCTAGATCATAGCTGTATGCACCGTAAGCAGAACCATAGTCTTCACCTTGTAAGAACCACAACCCGATGGACCCTCCCATGCAAGCTCTTCACGTGTCCCTTTTCAAGGTACGGCCTGCTGCTGCAATGCAGATTCTGACCGCAAGGCTGCGGCTCTCACGAAACCTGTGGGGTCGTCTTTTACATGCATTTTGTGGCTCTAAGAGCGATCTTTGGTGCATGAGCCTTAAGAACATTGTCAGGGCGTGCACAAGATCAGAAACCACAAAAGGACATGCCTGCCAAAGAACCTGAACCCCATGTTGGCAGCCGCATGACAAGCATTTGTCGTGGCGCGCGTGCAGAGGCAGGGGGCATTGAAGGTGGCGCAGCCGAGGGGAGCGGGGCCGCTGCCGCCGTTCCACAAGTGGAGCTTCAGGGAGGAGCGCTACATCCAGTGGCTGGCCGACATGCACACCGTCCACTATGCCCTCGAAGCCGCCCTCGCAGACGCCGTCACCGTGGCCGCCACTGAGCACTACGGTGAGCCCGCTAGTCCCTGTGGAAATATGTGCCTGACTTTTATGAGTGCTACAGGTGCCTAGAATTATCGGTGCTAGAGGCTGCTGCTGCCTGCCTTGCATGCAGCCCCTTGTGTCAAACCACCAAGCCCAGCAGGAATCATGCATACTTCCCGAGGCATGCCGTAGCTCTCAACAGGTACGTCACTATGACTTCAATTCTTCAGCCAATGTTAGATAAGTCCGCTCAAGGGACTGGCTAAGCTGGCATGAGGGGCAAGCAACACACCATGAGTGAATGCGAGAGTTCTGACGAGAAAGTGCCCTGCGCTATGGCAGGTGACAGCGAGTTGTTGGAGAGGGTGTTTACAGCGCTGGGCTGCTTCAGCGAGGAGCGGGGCCTGGACCGGTCGCTAGAGATCGCAGCGGACCTCAACAACATCGCCAAGGCATCCACTTTGACGGAGCCAATCGAGCTGGCGCCCTCGCCCAATGCGCAGGCGTACGCAGACTACCTGTGCCGCCTGGGGCTGCTCTGCACCGAGGAGGACGAGGCGGCAGAGATCGAGGAGGCCGCGCTCAGGTTTGGGGGACCGCAGTTTGAAGCTGCCTTCACTTGAGGGCCCTAGTCATGAGAGCCTGTTTGCACTTGCTGCATAGAGCCCTCTTCAGTGAGGCTGTGTCCTCAGCTGCTTAGGGCTCAATTGGCCTTCTGAGGCTGCATCGCCTGAAGCTTCCTTTATATTTGGCCTCCTTGGTGGATGTCCGGGAGGGAAGCAACCAGGGAAGGTGCTGCACTGTAATGCCTAGACCATGTTCTCCTGCCGCTCCCTTGCCATGGGTGCATCGCCCGGAAAGTGTCGGGGCGACGGGTAATTTCTGCGGGATGCAGGCTGGTGGCGAACGCGTACCTGGTGCATGTGACGCACCTGACCACCGGCATGCGCATCGGCGCCGCAGCCGCCGAGAAACTGGACCTCTTCCCGGTGAGTCACCCTCGAGAGCCTCTCCCTGCCCCCATACTGTATCATCATGCATGCGCCGCGTGCGTTGTGGCACGGCGCTTGCATGGAGAAGACATGAGCTTGTCTGGCATATTGCTGCGTATTGGCAATCAGGGGTGTGCTGAGGGTGTGTGGGCTTCCAAAACAGGCGCAGGCGCTGAACTACTTTCAGACGTGGCCGGAGGGCGTGCTGCCGGACCCGCTGGCGCTGTGCATCGCGAATGTGAACGCCGCGGGAGACGCGCTCAGCCTGCAGCAGCGTGAGGCGGTCATGGCAGAGCTGCCCAAGGCCATGCCCAAGATCAGCCTGCTGCTCAGCCCGCTAGCCCACACCAAATGATTTAGAGGCGCTGCCCCGGGGTCTGATAGGGTGTCGAGGGTATTGTGGTCACTTTGGAACATGTGATTTGAATGAGATTTGCAAACATGCCCAGGATCAGCCTGCTGCTGCTCACGCCCCTGGCGCAAACGATGTCGAGGCGCTACCCCTTACAGCGCAGGGGTATCGGCAATATTATGGTCATATCAGAATTTGTTGTTTGAATAAGGTTGCCTCACATGCCCGCAGTGGAATCATGCTGGGCGTTCTTGCTTTGGCGCAGTGGACTGGCCCATGGGTGTAGTATCAGAACAGATGAATTTAGTCAGTTGTGATGCTTTTGACGGACACTTGCCGCTGTGGCACTGACCACGAGACGGTTGAGATGATCTCAAGAGTATGCGGCGCACGCAGGTATATTGAGCCAGCATCTGATTTCAATTTTCCTTGCTGCGACTATTACAATACACTGAGAAAGTGCTACGGACAAATAGAGTCCCTGCCAGCTCTCAAACTACTTCACGATCCACTCTCGCGAAACATGCAACCGTGTTGATACAAAGAAGTTAGCACAATGTCCCGCTGTCATGTCAACATGCAACCTCTGAGAAAACATGCTAGATGCGGATAATGAATTCATAGCGTTGAAGTCCAACTCCCACTGATGTCCTGCCTCTTTGATAGCTCAAATCGCCAGGGCAACAATCTCTCGTACAAATCTCCCTGCTGCTCAGCTAAAAATTTACTCAGCTATCAATGAGCAGGCTAGACAAATTTGCCCAACATACCTTCATAATTCCCTGCCGAAAGATGAATCATTGGCAACCCGTGTGGCAGCTGCCAAAGAATACGGTGCGTGCACAGCTCAGGGCATCCAACCAAATTTAGCTTGCCTACACTCATTTGTTTCTGCAATTAGGCACCATTTCCCAGGATCCCCTGCAGCTGTTTTGCTGAATGTGTCAGCCCAATTCTAATGTCCCAAAGCCAGGGCAACCGACATAACTCTTGCTGCACTCTGCACATTGCTTCCTGCGACATGCCCACAGCATTGACTGCAGTACTCCTAACACGGCAAATGCTTCAATTCCAGCCAGGTCAACAGTGCATCGGCTCTCCCCCAATCCCCCTTGGTCCTGGATTTCCAGTCAGACTAGTTTCCGTCTGTATCTAACCCGTTCCTGCCACAACCCCCTCATGATCATTCCTCCCACAGTCTGCACCTATGGCTTCTGCACCATGTTGAAGACATTGCAGGTGCCATCCACAATAGCGCCACTCTGTGCCATGCAGCCCACCAGGTGCATGGAATTTACACCTGGTGGGCAAGAAAGATCTGTCTGCCGATCTCCAGAGCAGTCCACGCTGGCGCGGAGCTGTGCGCAGCTGTGCGCATGCGCGTCTACATGGTGCTGGGGAGGACCTTGCGCTGGATCCAGTAGAAGGGCTCCTCCTTCTCGTAGTCGAAGGGCACGTAGTTCTGCTCCTCGTCGTAAACGTGCAGCTCTGTGAAGATGTACTTCATCATCCGCCAGTTCCACGACGCCTCCGTCATGTACTGCACCAAACGAACGCAACAGATAAGAGCCATGTAAATTGCTTTTCAAAACACAACACAGAGTGCAGCAATTCCTGAGACACACTCCAGGACAAGCAAGGTAATATTAGATCCATTCCCAATATCCCAATATTCCTAGCAAAACTGGAAAAGTTAGCTGGGCAATAGGATATCAGCTTTCTCTCTGTTTGAGTGCGTGCTGTGCAGCAAAGGGCTTGGGTGCACACCTGGCCCCAATTCTGGCGGAGGGAGTCGGTGGCCGCGCGCAGGTTGTACCAGGGGATCTTGCTGTTCACGTGGTGGGGAACGTGCACGTTGATGTCGTGGCAAAGGAACTCCACCCTGCACAAAAACAACCTCGTCAGCATCTGACCACGGAATCACCAGATTATGCACCGCTCAGTGTCTGGGTACCATCGGTGCAATCTACACACCCCCAGGACATGGCCAATGTGCAAAACCCTCTCCTCCATGCTCCTTCCAGCATTCCTCAACACTAATTTGAATCAGCGCTGTGCACGATTAGAAGGCATGCATATGGGCAACAGTGAGAGAGGAGCATGGCAAGCAGGAGCGCACCAGCGGGGGTAGTCGCAGTGCACTGTGCCGGAGAGCTGGGCCTTGGCGGCGTTCCACTCGCCGGCGGGCTTGAAGGGGATGTGGGGCGCGGTGTGGTGCACCACCGTGAAGGTGGACATCCAGAAGTGGTAGCCCAACCAGGGCATGAGCCAGTACTTGGCCACGCCCGCCAGCCCTGTGAAATATCCGATCGTGGGGATTCCAATGAATGCGAAAGCTGCAACGGCCGCCAGAGACACCAGCACCTGCACATTGCCACCGCGCATGTCAGAGATCTAACAATTGCGGCTCAAAAGATTAAAACTTGGTCCACCCAATACGCTGACGTGTCACACAGCTGAGGCAGACTCCAAGCAAGGTTGCAGACCGACCCCTCATATCAGCAGAGGCTTCATAAGGCACACCAGATCAGCGGTACAGAGGCAAGAAGATCAAATGCGCACCCGGGGCTTCTGCTTCTGGGTGTAGAGGTCGAGGTTGAAGTGCCAGAGCCACCAGTGGCCGACGGAGGCCCACAGCTTGAGGGGCGATCCCAGGAACACCTTGAACAGCGTCTTCTGCACTGTTCCCCACTTCTCCAGCTCCGCCTTGCCTGCAGGGTGCCACGCCGTGTCCTCCACCAGCCTGCACCATCACAATTACAATCAGCAAGCTTGTGGACCCTGAACTTGTGAATGCTGCAGATATAGCAACCAATTGGCTGTCCAGGGATGTGTAAAGGTGCTGCTGCCATTAATTTGATTACCGTGTAGGGATTTGTGTTCTGCATGCTGGTTGATGCGCGCATGTGAGATCCTGAACATTGTTGCAGATTGAGCGGGGCAGTGGTGGCGCACTTGTTGGTGTGGGCGTGGTGGTGGTTGTGCTTGATGCGCCAGGGCTCAAAAGGGTAGATCAGCGGCATGAACATGAGCGTGCCCACAATGTCCTCCACCAGCTTGTTCTTGCTGAAGCTGCGGTGGCCGCAGTCGTGGCCCACCACAAACAGCTGCACAATCACCATCTCAGGTCAACATTCCTCTCTCATATTTGGGGATGAGACAGCACCAAGATTGAACACCAATCAACCGAAGCAAGCACAAAGGTACAGATCAAAGGAGCTTCCAGTTGGTTGTCGGGTCTGACAGTGCAAGGGGCCGTCAGCATTGATATACAGCAAATATGTGTTTTGAACGCCAGAAGGGAACAGTGGCTCACCCCGGTCCAAGCTGTGCCGGCAAAGGCCCATGCGAAAGGCAGCATGTACCAGGGAGAGATGGAGATGAGGTAGACACTGAGCGCCACGCTCACAACAGTAGTGGCCACAGCGCCCCATGCTCTCAAGGGGTTGATCTCAAACACCTGCGTTCCCAATCAATCTCACATCGTAACACAGCAACCGAGCCACTACGCAATTCTGCAATAATCTGCAGAGAAACAAACAGAAACGAGCAATAGCAGGTGATCTAAGGCAGCCAGCAGATACCAATTTATTTGTTGGGGATCCAGGTGCCACGCACCTCCTTTGGCAGCGATGAGATCACTTGTGTCAGTGTGACATCGTTGGGGAGGTCAGCCCCAATGGTTCTGTAGCCCAACTCCTGGGCGAGGGCTGTCCTGTCCTCTGCTGACAGCCTGCCGGCATCTGAGGGCACAGCCACAGCTGGTGCTGTTGCTGCTGCCTTGCATGTCAGCCTATTTGCTGACAGTAATCGTTGCCTCGCAGGCAGCTGCATGCAGATCACATGATCGTCAGAACCAGCCTCCACTGCTGCTCTAAAGGAGAAAGAAGCTCTCCTGATGATACTGATGATCGACCAGCACTGGCTGCCAAGTGACTAATCACGAGGTGTCAAGAGACCACGCATAACAAATCAGCAATGTGAATAATGCCATTCACCTCCAGTGGCTTTGTTATGGTCATCAGTAAAGTGCAGCAAAAAGTTTTACTGATGTTCAGCAGTGCTGCACTAGGGCCCACAGCAGTGCCACGATAAACTTTCCAAATACAATATGGATTTGTTAGAAATTACCTGAAGGCCTGCGACGGCGTTGGATCGAGCGCAAATACGCGGCGCTGTCCCTGTCCCCACGAAACACGTAGACATGTTCAAAATACACGCCCGGGTTTCATAGCTGATCGGCGAAAATCAGAGGGGTAATGTCCTTACCTCTGATAGTCTGCCTGAATCGGATGGTCATGCCTGCATTGTGAGCCGCCTGCAAGGCCACAGAAGGGTCAGCAACCAGCCTCTGCGACAGCCTTACACGCGCTGTTGCGCCGACCGCACTGCAGACACTCACCGAGCTGCAGCTCACGTCCGCCCGGAAGCTCGTAGCTGCCTCCATGCTGGTTCAGCAGCTAGATCCCCGTTTACTTGGCGGGTGTTGTGCTAGGCTGCAGATTTTGTAGCGCCTGGGTTCTTGGCTGTGCTCAGCTTGCGCTGAGGCTCCAATAGCCATTCAGAGTGCCACCAAAGCGTGTCCTGTTTTGGCCATGGGAAAGATCGAGTGTCGATATATATGGGCCCTTTAACCTGGTGTCTATTAACAACAATCTCCATGAGCAAACCCTAAGTATGTAAGCTTGACGTGGTCTTGACCAAGCAATCGAAGTTCCCGAGCGCTGCTGCACTTGGCCAGGCGGAAAACAGATTGGTTTCATCGCACAGATGAGCACATGAACCTCTCACGAGCTATCTGAGTCCAACCCCCAGAGCCCTTAACGGCCGCGATGGCTGCGACAGGAAACGGTCGCAAGCGCGTTGCTGTGGTGGGCAGCGGCATCACGGGCCTCAGTGCTGCCTGGCTGCTGCACAGGTGCTTTACAATGAAGTGTTCTTCTATTTGGAAACATGCTTGCTCAATCTTCCACACGCGAGAGTGCACCAATTGCCTGGCTGCGGTCCTAGGGTTCTCCAGCAGTTTCGGCCCACCCTTGCTCAGGGAAGATGATCATTGGAAAATCTTACATTTCATGAAGGGAATCTACAACGCATACGTCTGTCTGTGGATGAACGGGACGTAGTCGCTTAATTTATACATTCAAAATGCCAAGATGTCACACTGATCACAGTGTCTTCATGGGGTCCATACCCAGCAACGTTCCAAAAGCTTACACCCTTGATGAGGTGATCTGCCAATGATATCAAATGTAAAGAAAGTTGCGATCTTGTGCCGCAGGAGTGGAGCGAGTGTGACACTGTATGAGAGTGAGAGCCGCTGTGGGGGGCACACCCTGACAGATGATTCACCCGGCTACCCAGTGGATCTTGGATTCCAGGTGGCATTTCTATATACCACTGCGACCACCTTCCACCTCCCTCCTGCTGCCCCGAATTCTTCCCGGCTTGCAGAGTTCTGCTGGCCAGAGAGCAGGTCCCCTGTACTGCTTCAAGCCTGCATCCACAGGGCTCATGCGCAGCATGGCCCTGTGTCCATCACGTAGTGCACGTACAGAGAGCGGCCAGACATGACCGAGGGGGGTGCTGCTCAGGTGTACAACCTCACAACGTACCCCAACCTGGTGGGTTTGCTGGAGGAACTAGGAGTGGACACAGAGCCATCAGACATGTCCTTCGGGCTGTCCATTGATGGGGGAGCCCTGGAGTGGGGCAGCCGGGGGCTGGGGGCCATCTTCGCGCAGCGCCGCAACCTGCTGTCTCCCGGCTTCCTGCGCATGATCTGGGACGTCATCCGCTTCGGCAGGGAGGCCCCCGAGGTGAGGAGGCCCAACGTATATGCATGACTTGGATTGCTAAGTTGCATCCTCACCATTGAGGCAAGGCCTAGTCTAGTCTGCACTCTGATGTGTGAGATATGTTGGCAGACATGTTGAGGACTGTCGAGTTGACTGCTAAGAAGTACAATTTAGTATACATTACAAATGCCCAAGCTCTTGTTGAATTTTGACAAGTTTTCACGCTCTTCCACCCTTAGGAGCATGCCTGCTGTTGCCCTCGTGGGGCCTTGCCAGAAGCGCAGCCGCTCGTCTCAGTGTCCTGGGGTCGCACGAGGGTCTTTACTCGACGCGCAAAGAGGGTCGCCCTGTGATGCAGGTGTTGAAGCCGGGGACGTCAGAGAAATACGCGCAGCACAGCCTAGGGCAGTACATCCGCGAGAAGGGGTACAGCCGCGCATTTGTCACGCAGTACCTGCTGCCGATGTGCGCCGCCGTCTGGAGCGTCCCCAACGCCCAGGTCAGAGCCCTCAAGGGCCCGCCAGAACTCACCAACATCACATAGTCACCCCCTCCTAGCTGTCAGGACTGAGACGTGAGGAGTGAGGAGCTCCTGGATAGAGCCTTGATGCGAGCGCAGGGAGCTGCTGGGCGCTGCAGTGCAGAGTCTGCACGGCTGTGTCATTGCTGCATCTTTGCTGCCCTCTCACGATGAGCGGGCACAAGTGGCAGACGTGACGGCTGGAGGAGTTCAAAAAGGGACAGAGAACGATGAATGAGACATTATGATGTCTCAGGTGATGGAGTTTCCGGTGGTGATGCTGGTGCGGTTCTGGGCGAACCACCATCTGCTGGATCTGCTGCAGCGACCGCTTTGGCGCGTCGTCAAGGACCGCTCCCGCTCCTACGTCAACAAAATCCTAGCCGGTACGCTCTTCATCAAGATTCCGCTTGCGGTAAATTGCATGCTTGCTTGTGCAGGAGTGTAAGCAGGAAGGTCGCATCTCCGATCTGGCAGACATTGGGAGGCTGTGCACAGCAGATCAGGCGTCTAGACTGAAGCATTGAGACTGCGCAAGGGGTGCCAAATCACGCCTGCAGGCATTCTGAAATGATCAAAAAGCTCAATTAAGCAAGGAGTTTGTAACAGAGCGTCAGGGAAGTTCAAGCACAGTGACATGCAGTGCACCTCAATTGATCTTGAGGAGTGTATCTTCTGCTACAGATCTGCCGGACGTGCGCACGAGCGCTCCAGTGACGCGGGTGGAGCCGGCGTCCGGCGACGGCAGGGCGGTGGTGCACGCGGCGGGCTTTGTGGCGGAGGAGTTCGACGCGGTCATCTTTGCCACGCACACCAACACCACGCTGGCCGCCCTCGGCAGCGCCGCACCTGAGGTACTTGCTTCCACTTCCTCCTTGATCCTTTGCTCATGCGGCCTCTTGCCTTAGTTGCACCAATGTTTTCTTACTTCAGGCATCCTTTGTCTTAATTAGGCTGAGAGATAATACTCTTGAAGTTTGGCATTTCTTTGGGGATCGCGCTTTTGATACGTCTTGAGGCAGAGCAGCTGTGCGCTCTGGGACGATTTGCATGGTCGAATCATTTCTTGGTTAGGTCTGATCTTGCTTCTGAAGATGGCAGGTCCAGATTGGAGTTCATATTCAAATGCGTGCGAACATCGGCGCAGGGTGTGCGGCCGCTGCTGGAGGCGATCCCCTACGGCACCAATGACATCTACCTGCACACCGACGTCGACTTGATGCCCCGTGCGCACGCGACTTGGTCCTCTTGGAACTTCCTCGGCTCCTCGTCCCACGCGGCTGACCCGGCAGCCGACACAGCAGCCGTCTGCGTGACCTACTGGCTCAACAACCTGCAGCGGCTTCCGCCCGGCGCGCCCGATACGTTCGTGACGCTGAATCCGCCGCGGCCGCCGGCGGCCGAGCGCACGATCCGGCACCTGCATCTGGCGCACCCGGTCTTCAGCTCCGCCTCGTACGAGGCGCAGCAGCGACTGCCCTCCGTCCAGGCACGCCTGCCGCTCTCTTTTGTTTCTCTTGTGTTGCAGTCGGTCTGGCCTCTTGCACACTGCACAATTTGCGCCTGACACTCTGGCGTGAGAAAGGGTCTGTGTCATGACTGCTTCTGATGTTGTGGCAGGGCTGCCCGCACAGAGCAGTCCAGTTGGATGAGCTTTCTGGCCGAGACTTTTGACTCATCTCCAAATGAGCTTTCAAGCATTGCTTGCTAAGAGTGCCTAACCGAAAGCACAGAGATACATGCATAGACTCAAGGCAATAATTGCGTGCAGGGCAAGGGCGGCATCTACTATGCGGGTGCCTGGTGCGGCTACGGATTCCACGAGGACGGCCTCAAGGCGGGCATGGCGGCGGCGACAGCACTTGGTGCCACAATCCCCTGGACGCCGCACGCCACTTCCCCCAAGATGTCCCTGGCCGACATGTTCTTCATGTCGACCTTTGACAAGTTTGCGCGGCGCGCGATTTCGCTCGGCCGCCTGCGCTTCATCCTGCCCAACGGCGAGGAGCTTGTCTATGGGGACGATGCCTCTGCCGCACGCAGCCTGCCTAAAGGTGAATTTTCAACATAGCTGCATTGTCTGAAAATATCCTAAGATTTTCACAGGGTGGGTGGTGTTTGTGCACTTCGTTTCTGCACCAGAAGACTTCCATGAACTGGAACTCCCTGCTGCGCTTATGATTGCTGGTTAGCTGCTTCGTCAGGATTGGAGTCATTGTTTCTGTGACAGCTTTGGTGCTCAACTGGGTATTGGTGAGAGTTTTTGTAGTTGAGACAACGTGTATGTGAAAGAGAAGTGCACACTGGAATGGCCACCAATGCGTGCAGAGGATGAGTGGATGGGCAAGCCGGTGCTGTGCGCGACGGTGCGCGTGCTGCGAATGGCCTTCTTCCGCAAGGTCATCACCCGCCACGACACCGGCCTCGGGGAAGCCTACATGGACGGAGACTTCCTGGTGCGCCTACTCTGCTCTGATCAAAGCAGCCTGCTTGAACATGTGTTCAATCTTTTTTATACATAGACACCAGCATGCCATAAGTCCCCAGAAATGCTTAATCAGGCAAGGGCTGCATGGTGGTTGTGGAGAGGAGTGAGTGTTTTTATGGTGCACATGCATGGGTGGTCACAAGCCAGCACATGGTCTCACATGCCCAGACATTGACTGATATGATTGATGAATAGAGCAGCTTGAGAATTGAAACAATCACCCCTTCTGCCTGATCTTCCAGGTTGATGACTTGGGTGCGCTGCTGGCGGCGGTGACTGCAAACGCGGGCAACATAGAGGGCAACCGTGGCGCTCTGGGAATCCTCAACCGCATCGGGGACTGGCTCCTGCTGCTCGCTCACCGCGCCCGCGCCAACACCGTGCGCCCTCTACATGTCCAACGTTGTCCTGGGCATTCCGTGCATACTTGCGCGAAGCTTTGAATCAAACAATCTCATATGGCCCAGTGTGCATAACAACAACAGATCCATTGCTCTGTGCATGCCATCCTTGCATCTGTGCAGTCCAAACAGCAGGAGGACTCGTGCCCCTTGGTTACCGATAAGAGCTTGGAAGCCATGCGTGCACACTGCCCAAGGTGCATGGCTGCAGATTGATGTGGGCTGCAAGCTGAAAGGCAATGTGCGTGCAGATTGAGGGCAGCAGGCGGAACATAGAAGAGCACTATGACGCAGGCAACGCCATGTACAAACTCTTCCTGGACCCCTCCCTCACCTACTCATCCGGCATCCACCGCCCAGGTCCGCCCATATTTTCTTAGCATTAAGATCCAAACAAGAGGACAAAAAACTTGTAAGGATTGTGGAATGAATTGATAACGAACGGAGTGGCTACTGAGATTATGTCACTCACCACACATAATTCTGAGGTGATGCATGCCCACCAGAAGCAACCTTGCTGCCATGTTCTCTTGTGTCCAGTAAACTCATGCATGCCTCAAATCCTCCATTGATTTTCAGAGGCAGCAGCCCCAACAGAGTCTAAGGCTGCAGTGGCAGATGCAGCACAGGTACTGCCTACAGTCATTATTTGTTATTACATACTTACCAGTTCCCTGAGATCTAGGATCCAGGTACATGTTTACAGAGTTGCTTCTCAATTTTGAGATAGAAATGAGTTGTGCAAGATTAGTCAGCGTCCCCGGCGCAGGCGACAGCTTGGAGCAGGCGCAGATGAACAAGCTGGATGCGCTCGTGTCCATGGCCGGCATTACTAAGGATGACCATGTGCTGGAGATCGGCTGCGGCTGGGGATCCATGGCTATCCGCGCCGTGCAGGTGGGACCCCCGCATTGACTTCTCCCTTCTGCACTCGAAACCTCCTCCACCATGCAGTTACTGACCAATGACATCATTCATTCTGAAGAGCAGGTTCCAGGTTGTCCTGCAATGCCGACTAGTTCATTCTTCTGCAGACTACTTCAAGATTCATTCCAGAACCTTCTGCATTGGAAGCCTCCCTGGCAGCAGCAGCCAGCTGTTTGATGAATTGTCTCATAGAAGAGTCCCAAGGGGTGTTTCAATCTCATAGAAATAGCAGCCATAGCATTGTAAATGCATGTGCAGCGAAAGCAGATCTGCAGAATTCCTGCAGTCAGCGCCACATTAACCTGTCAGGCAGACATGCAAGCAAGGATGCTGCCGACCAAAAAAGATTACCTGTGCAGACTACTGGCGAGGCATCTGGTCGCTGGCAAAGCTGTGAGACATGTGCTGATGTGTACATGAATAAAAGGGTGACATGCAAACCTTTGATGCACAGACGACTGGTTGCCGGTGGACGGGCCTGACGGTGAGCAAGCAGCAGCTGGAGGAGGGTGTGGCGCGAGTGAAGGCGGCCGACCTCTCCGACCGCATCACCCTCCTCTTCTGCGACTACCGCCAAGCCGCCCACCTCGGACCCTTCGACAAGGTGGCACCACTGCTCCTGCGTCTGTGTGATTGCATATTTGGTCAAATTCCAACGTTCTATAAACGTGTAAGCAAAAGAGCAGCTTGAGGTGTGCTTGCAACTTGAGGGCTGCGCGCTCTGCTTCCTTATTTTTTGCATCTGCACCACGGAGACTCCAGAGCAGTGATGCACTGCCCGTGCAGAACACGTGCCACATGTATCATAGCTGACTGAAATGTTGCTTCACGTCGATGAGATGCACCATTCTATAAGATGCACCAAATGGGCCCTCTGCCTGTAATCTGGAAGGCAATTACCATGTATGACCCTCCTACAATCGTGTGTTCACAAGCATGGCCAGCAGGTAAGGGCTCAGAGCGGTGGGCAGGGCAGGATCATGTGGTAAAGTGCATTGCACGAGGCGGGGTGCATGCATGAGGGGTGTTGATTATGGTGCAGGTGTTGAGCTGCGAGATGATAGAGGCGGTGGGGCACGAGAATCTGCCGGCCTACTTTGATGCCATCAGCGGGCTGCTCAAACCGGGCGGCCAGGCTGTCATCCAGGTCAGTACCCCACTTTGTATTTCTAAGATACCACTTCCCTGCTGGGACCTTATCATTTTCTGTTGTTACTTCACAGGAAGACAGCCATGGCAGCTTCTACTGAACTTGCTTAGCTGTATAGTTGCATGCAGCGTCAGCAGCTGGGTTTAGGGGTCCTAGGATTGCACATCCCCTAAGGGAAAAATTCATGTCCTGGTCACAACAGTCAATTCACCTTGTCAATACAGTGACCTGAATGGGTTCTACTCTCGGCAGGCGATATCGGAGCCGGACGAGAGGTACGAGGCTTACTGCGCTTCCAGCGACTTCATCCGCGAGCACATCTTCCCGGGCGGGCACCTGCCCTCCATGGGCGCCATGGTCGACTCCGCGCGTGGCACCGGCCTCCACGTCGAGGTCAGCGCCTACGCCTGTGACATCAGCGCTGATGTCACCCATCCTACCCCATTGCTGATCACACTACAGATTGCATGGGGGAAGCAGGGAACACATTTTTCTGGCTTGCTTCTTCCCCGTTCATTCCCTCGCCTGCGTGCACTTCTGGGGTTGCATGGCATGTCCTGGGTGCTTCCAATCACAGGTTGCGAGGAAATTTGCGAGCTTCCTCTTTCCTGTGCATGATGAAATGTCATTGAAAAGGGAGGGGTCATGTGTCCGACGGTGGATTGGGTGTTTGGTGCAGGAGTGCAGGGATATCGGCCCCCATTATGCGGTGACGCTGCGCGCGTGGCGGGAGACTTGGGAGAGGGAACGCGCGGCCATCCTGAGCCTGGGCTACAGCGAACGCTACTGGCGCAAATTCAGGTGCCGCTCTCCTTTGTATGATTTGCTTCCCCTGGCTTGCCATGGCTTATTGGTAATTGCTCAAAAGAAATGTGCTTTTAAAGGCTTCTTGCTTCTGACATTCTGATGGTGCTCCCCACTGCAACACTTTCCCTGCGTACACAGAAAATCCTTGGCTTGTGCCTGCTTTGGGAGCATCTGCATGGAATTTGCAATGAATCGGGATCCTGCAGCAGCTTCATGAGCTTGGCGATCACCAAAGGGCGGTTTACATGTGTATTGAGCCAGAGACCGATGGTGTTGCTTACCGTGGTGCAGGTTTTATTTTGCATACTGCGAGGCGGCCTTCGACGCCAAGTACATCCACAACTTCCAGATCCGCTGGGCCAAGGCAACCGACCACCCGGCCGCCGACCCGCTGCAGCCGTCCTCCTCGCAGGAGCTGCCCAAGCACGTCGTTGCCAAGGCCGCGGCTCCCGCTGACCCCGTCACCCAGGCAAGCACATCTTCACACTGCCGTCACATGTCTGGCTTAGCACGACTTCCTGGAATGAAAGAACGGCCTTGATTTACCCCAGAGAAGCGCTTGAAGGGCTACTTTTAAGGTGGGCTCGCAGCACCTTCAGGTCATTGGGAACTCCTCATCGTGACAAACACGACCTTTCGAATGGCTTCAGACTCTGAAGCTTCGCAAATACAGTGTGGAATGCCATTATCAACGCCCATCTGCTGGTTGCCATGACTGCGTAAGGATTGGGATTCCGAGAAAGACATCTCACAGGAGGCAGAGAGGGTCCTGGCAAAGTCTTATGGTATGCATGCATGTGTGCAGGTGCTGCTGGCAATATACTTCTTCCTGGCGGGGTGCGTGGTGAGCCAGAGCCGCATGCTGTGGGTCATGCCTGCCGCCTCTGCCGTCTTCGCCTGCATCCTCGCCTGCGTCTCCGCCGCCTCCACCCTCCTCTTCTCCTCCTACAGGTGCGTGATCTTGATTGAACCATCTAGAATTCCCAGTCACACCTGTGCTTGCAGTCCTTGTGCATGCGTGTGCATGCTGCACCGCCAACACTGTGTAAGTGCACGTCCCTCTATTTCCGAGCTCGCTGTACAGTTGCATTTAATATACCCCTGCTGCGCCTCTGCCTCGTTTCCAGATAAACTATATCAAGGGAAGCTGCCTACACTATTGGTGGGATCGAAAGCATGTTTAGGGAAGCTGCTTACGCTCTGGGATTGAGAATATATCATGGGAATCTGGTTCTATTGTTGGTGGGGTCAAACTGGTATCTAAACAATCTGCTGCAGGAGCCTGAGCGCGGAGGGGCAGGCTTGGTGGTGCACGGATGTGGTGCACCTGGTCTACTCAGCGCTCAGCTTCGCGGCGGCTGCCGCCTACGTGGCGCGGCACCCGGCGGCGCTGTCTGTCGGCTGGACGCCGTCTGCAGCGCAGGCCGGCCTTCTGCCAGACCTGCTCGTGTGCACCAGCGCCGGCTTCTTCGGCTTCCAGCTCTGGACCCTTGTGCGCAACAGGTGGCGCAGATTCCTCCCTCCTCGACTGTCTCATGGACTGATAGTGCTCATCTAGCACATGCAAGCACAACAAGTGTGCATGAGCTGCAGCCTCTACCAGCCGCCTTTGAGTGTAACGCTCCTGATAGCATGAATGACTACGGTGGCTGTTCTGAATTTGAGGGGGCAGTGGCGTTCTGAAGTGAGAACTGGGTGTCAGGTGGAAGTGTGGGAACCTTGTTTGCCTGGCGCTTGCGGCTGGATCAGCATGCATGGGAATGATGCATCAAAGGAGCTGAGATGGAGGCATGTGGCTGCTGCAGGCTGTTCAAGCGGTCTTACCTGGCCATCATCCACTTCTCGCTGCTGCTGGTGTTGTTTGGCGCCGCCGCGTCCAAGGCGCAGCATACGCCGCTCCTCAGCGCCATGCTGCTGTCAGAGCTGCCCTCCGTCTTCTATATCACGGGCCGCCTACAGGTGTGTGCCAATCTCCTTTCTCTCCGATGTGACCATTGAAATGAGACAAAACACTGAATTTGGAATTGTGTCTTATTGGCTGGATCATCCAGCAGAAGAAATAACCGAGCACGTGGTTGTCTCACGAAACCATGCCCATAATTGCTCCCCTGCTTGTATGAGTTGCATCCCATTTCAAGGATGATAAGCTCTGTACAGTTCACATAGCTGAGCAGGGTCCATTGAGGACGTCTCGTGGATATCATTTCCTTAGGGATGGTTTCTCACTGGATCTCTTGTTCTGTGCATTTACTACGCGGAGGAACATACCCGTGCACAGGACACTAGACATGTGCATGGGCTGTACAGAAAGATCCTGAGCCGGTGATGACTGTGCAGGACTTGATAGGAGTCCCCCCGGGCTCCTGGAAGCGCAGGGCGGTGCGAAAGGCCGAGCTGGCCACCCTGCCCCTGTTCCAGCTCATCCCCCATTTATTGATAGCCTTAGACGTCGCGCAAAGCCCGGACGCCTTCTCAGCCAAGGTGCGCTGCCGCCTCTTCATTTTATTGTGCGCCCTGCAGTGTCCAGGGGCTTTCATGCCACAATAGATGGGAATGACAGGGGAATTGGGACCTGTATTGAGAGGCACGCTGCATCATGCTGCCGTAGATGAAGAGATATTACTCTGTTGCACAGTGTTCGTCTTTTTGATGTGCCTAGCTTCAACTTTTGATCCCTCTGGGTCTCTGCAATGGCGCATCCTTGGCCCTTTTGGTGCATCATGCTCTTGATATATCAGGGACACTGATATCATGTGCCTGTGTGTTTGCAGTCCTACTATGGCATCGCGATGGCTGGCTGCCTGTACATCAATGCTGCCAACCTGCGCAAGGCGCTGCTCACCTACTTCCCTGCACAGAAAACCAAGCTTCACGCTGCATGAAGACCCTTGGTGCGATTTTCAGATTCAAGTCTGTCCGGTGACAGCTGACCCTGTGCAAGGGACCTAAAGGGCCGCTTATTAGAACAGGCAGCAGCATGGCGTCAATCTTACTGCTTGAGGCAATGGGAAACTTGTAAATATTCCAGGGCCAGGAAGTTATACAGGACATCCTGAAGGTCTGTCAAGAAAGAATAATGGCGGTATTCAAGAGCACAGAGAGTCTGACATCCATTTATTGTCCTGCATAGAACTTGTGAACATTTCACTGGGTTCCAGTTTTTGCTAAAGACTTGATCTTCAAATGACATGGCAGCAGGCTGTGCTGACATGTCTTTGCAATGTGTGGATTGTGCATTGGTGCTGAGCATTGTCGAATCGGAATGGTGACGGCCAGCACTTTTGGAGAAGGAGAATTATTGAGGATGCATGGTTTCCATCATGTGTGCAGTCTTGTGATGTGTTGTGATTCTTTGGCAGAGCACCCGGCAATGTGCTGCAAGCTCTGCCCGTGCTCTCTCGATGAGTTGTGGAGCTTTCCATGTCAGCATGGTTCTTCTTAAGACAAAACTTTGTTGCAGATTGTGCTTTGGTGAAGGTAGAGCAAATATGGGTCTTGTGTATTGTGCAGAGCCACTTGATTTCAAAGGCTGACATTGAGACCGGGTCTGTGCAAGGGCTGTAGATGGGGCACAAATAATGCAAGGTTTGTAGAGGCAGCTGTTTGTTCAATGACTTAAAAACAATTCTGATGCCAACTCTTGAGAACTGTTGTACTCGAGCTGATGGAGATTCCTGTGATGTGCAATTGCAAGCTTTTGAGATTTTTCAGCACACTGCAGTAATTGCAAGCTAGAATAAATCTAATATCGGCGCCCGCCGTGTCCCACTGGAAATGACAGGCTAGCCTAGGTCTGAGACTGTTGCTTTGATGTCACAATTGATCAGCTTACCATCTGGTATCGCCAGGTCATTGTAAATCTATTAGACCCCCAAGGAAGGCAATGTTGTTCCAAACCACAGGCAGCAGTGTGTTGTATTGTAAATGCCGCTCAAATACTACCGTCAACATTAATTTGCAGTGCAAGCTTTGTGCTGCACGCGAGCTATCTAGACGCGCATCTTGGGATCATGCATGCTATTGCTGGAGAACGGAATATCAGGACTACAATGCACTGATGCTGAAGCAGGCCGGACCAAAAAGAGTTATATTTAGAATGCTTCCAGTTGCTGTCGCAAAAACAATGTTGTCATCATGCATGCAAATTGATGGTCAAATTTGGAGCCCATATCCAAAAGGGTGCCACGTCAAGGGCAGCCGCTGACACTTTTGCGAACATTGTGTCTAGAAAGCTAGCACAATCGCTCTGTTCTTTAGCATAACTTTAAAACACAGTCTATCCTGTGAATATCTCTGCTATCGTTAAGAGACTGTCACTGATCTCTGTTGAACCTTACCTTGTCCAAGTGAAGGACACGGAGGGTAGTCATGACCTGTAGCAGCGCCATTGCGGATCTCAGCAGAACAAGATGTTCCGATGCGTTACCGCAATGTCATGCTAAGACCTTTCCCTCACTAAGATGGCTGCCGTCTCGGTCAAGAGCAGTACTAGATGTAGCTCGTCCCAGAAAAGGTGTGTGGGTTTCCTATGGGCTCAATTTTTCTTCTGCACTCCCAATTGTTTTCAGGGAATTAAATCCATTGGCATGCAGGTGCTCAAAATCCATTTCGTCTCAGTGGTGAAAGACAGCATGGCACAGTATGTATGGTGAGCCAAGTGCCTGCTTGTTTATACCGCCGTCGCGAAATATTCTTCTCAGTGTAAGTTGATGACATCGGTACGTGCTGGGTGTCAGGCACATCCCAGGAGGGTCGCTCGAGTGGCAAAGCAGATAGAACGGGAAGTGGGCACTCTCCTGCTCACAGACAGGGTGAGGAATGTAGCTTATTTGAGCAGATCGCACCTTTCTGCTCTGTGAGTGCACACCCAATCGACAGCCCAATAATCTCTTCGGTGTTTTGAGATGGGCAATAACAGCATCCTGGGCTGTGCAGGTGCTCCAGGGAGCAGTGAGCCCAGAGGTGAAGCTGGGGCTGGATTCTGCTGTGTCAGCCCTTGCCAGTGTGACAGACGTGGAGCTGTCAAACGATTTGCAAGTGGCAAAGGTGTATATCTCCATCTACAGCGATCCAGAAGGCAAAGACATTGCCATGCGGGGGCTGTCGAGGCTTGAAGGGTGAGCGGACTTTCTTTGCACCTGCATGACTCGAGATCGAAGACTTGTACATCCACGACTAAGCTTGCCCTGACTATAAGTGCACAGTGGAGTGTCTCAGTCCTTTTGTCCTGTCATCAGGTATGTGAGGAAGCACATAGCGCAGACAGTCAACCTCCGGCTGTGCCCAGAGATCAGATTCATCAGGGACGACTCGATGCAGAGAGGAGAGGAGGTGAGGCTGCTCACAGGAAAAACTGCCACATTTTGGCCTTTGGTCTGCTGAACAATTATAAAAGTACTCAACCTTCACAGGTGCTGGCCCTGCTGGAGCGGATAAAGAGGCAAGATGCCGGAGAGATTGAGCCTCCGGCCATAGCTATTGGGGGATTCAGGGGTGCCAGCGCAGAAAATGACCTGGATGATGATGATGATGACGAGGTTGAAATTGAGGACGATCTGGAGGTGCCAGACTCTGCCCTGACACTACGGCATATGTCATTGGACCCTCGCATGCTCGCTTTGGAGAGTCCTCAGCTTGTGCATGTCTTCTTAGCTAGCATCATTTGCCCTTGCCATCTGTAGCCTCCTTGCAGGTGTGCTTGAACTTTAGGTTCTGTGCAGGAGGGTGCGAATTTCATGTCGTTGTGTGAGTAGCCCTTCCAAGTGCTGATGCAAATTTTTCTTCTGCAGGAAGAGGAGGGGTTCTTGGATGCTCTGGATGAGGATGAAGATGCAGCATCAGATGATGAAGGTGGGGAGGAAGATGAAGTGGAGGGGTTGCCCTTGATACCCGACAGAGATCTGGACTTCATGCCTGACATCGATGGCAGCTTTGCGCCGACTGTGAGGGAGCCCTGGCGGTCTGAGAGGGAGCTGAAGCGAGTGAAGGGGCGCAGCAAAAAGGGCGGCAGGAAAACCAGCTCCAGGAGACGCTAGGTGCGCGAAGGGGGTGTAGTTGTGGATTACTCATGGCCCTGGGCAAATGCCCCCTCTGTGTGAACGCATGTTGAACTGCAGAACGGATGACAGACTTCTTCCAGATGTGCATGCACGGATACAGTGATGGATGCCAGCTTCTGCTGCTAAGTCTGCTGTAGTAGAGGTGTACGCTGCACTGCCAACGTGTGGGTTAGAATGGAAGGATGGAACAGAAATTGATGGCCTCTCACTGTTGCGCTTGTTGGCGATTTTGTATATGAGCGATTGCAAGCCAAAGAATGTAAGCATTCACTCCTCAGAGGCCAAATTGACCTGATGATCAGCATACCTGCCTTGTAATTGGGGCTCTAACTCATGCCATGGCATGCTGATATGGCTGACAGGAGAACAGATTGAAGTCAAGTGGAGCACAAGGGTTACACGTGCCCACGAATGACCGCAGTTCACCCTATGTTTGCGTCCATGCACCATGTCACTCTTGTGAAAGCTGATTCTCAAAGATTGCACCTTGAAAGGTGCCACCTTCGTCCCTGTATCATGACCACACTCCAAGTCCAACACCATTAGGATCCAGAACAAGCTGCAGGTAATTGTCAGGGAAGGAGTAAAGGATGGTGCTTTGCTGCATGGCATGGCGTGCAAAATTGTTCATGTTGGACAGGTTCCAGCCAAAAACATAGCCCATTTTGCATTCTGACAACAAAAAAACTGGAGAGCAGAAAGCAGGCAAATTCCATGCATCAGTCTTGGCTGCGTATGAGACATGGGCCGCACAGACTCCACTGATGATTCGCCATGTGGTATAGCAGCTGTTTTGACAGGGACTGGCTTAGACTGCCAGTGTGGCATTGTTGCCCTTGCCAACCTTGTCCTTGAACACCTTGCTCGCCGTGAAGGTGGGCACTGTGGTGGCCTCAACATCCAGCTCCTCCTGAGTTTTGGGGTTGCGTGCCTTCCTGGCTGGCCTGAACCTGGGTGCGAATGCGCCAAACCTGCACAGCCAACAATGCAAAAATCGCAGAGAGCGCAAAGGTGGTTGAGCTAGTGAGCCTGGCTATCCCTGCGACTGCATGCTTACAGCTGGATCCTTGACATATATATATCATTCAATACTTTTTAGAGGGCGAAGCAGAACAAGCTGTTGCATACCCGATGAAAGAGATTTTGTTGCCCTCGGTCACTTCATCAGTGATCAGGTCCAGCACCTGCATTGAAAGATGGCAGCGTCAATTTCGCAGCAACAACCATATTATAATGCTTGTGAAATTCAGCTGACAATTGTGTATAAGTTCACACAGAAAAGAGGGCAAGACGTGGATCTGGAAGATGAAGTCAATCCATGACAGCTCTGCTGACTGAGTTGGTCCTCACCCCCTTGACCACCTTCTTGGCCGTCTTTTCATCCAAATCGGCCTTCTGCGCTAGCTTCTTCGTGAAGTCGCTCTGGCTGATGGTCGGCTCCTTGGTAGCTGCCATAACAACGAGAGCCCGCTGCGGCGCTCGAGGCACTAGGGAGCTCCTCGCCGTCAGGTTGCCCATCATGGGTGAGGAGCACAGCTTGAGAGCCATGGCTAACATGTATTGGCGTCTGCGTTCGATGCCAACTGGCCAGAATTGCTACAGGCAAATGTGCGAAACAGCACACAGATCTTCAAGATGGGCCATTGCCAGATACGCGTTTCCTCCCTGTTTGGCCGAGGCACGGCTCTCAAGCAGGTTCCACCCACTTTCTCATCGAATGCTTCTTGTTGTCTCGGCGATTGTGCGACTATCAGACGGACACCACGTGAGTAACGCAGGTCCAAGATCCATCTTTGTTCAAATCAGCCGATGGGAATGTCGTCAAATTGCTGCAGACCGTAACAAGACCTGACGTTAACCTTGGAGACCCACAATTTTCTCGGAGTGTTTCAAGTACGAGACATTGGGAGTTGCAATTGTCTTTGTAAACGGAGGAAGTTCCCATGCAAAGATCTTGGACCATGGGATAGCATCCCATGGCTTTCCCCTCTTGGGGATCAAGGCCAGATAGCCTGGCCTCCCTGGAGGATGTTGACGTAGAGGATGTGAAGGAGGGTGTGTCCCAGAGGATCACCCCCGCAACAGAAGAGACGCTGCAGGAGATTTTCCGGGACATAGATCGTGATCACAACGGGAAGTTGGAGGTTGAGGAGCTGCAGGTTTGACACTTGCACACCTGTCTTCTGCTCATGTTCATCTCGTGCTCGACGTCCAAAGGCTGCCTGGAGTGTCTTTGATTACCAAAGAGGCCGCTGTGCAAGTGCAGGAGGCCCTCAGAAAGCTGGGTCTCCCAGGGGACTCCCGCGCCTACATTTCAGACCTGCTCAAGCAGTATGACAGGAACCATGACGGCAGCATCGACTGGGAGGAGTACAAGCGGTATGTGATTCGGAAGGAGCGCATTGTGCAGCGCACCTTCCAGAAGCTGGACGAGGATGGCAGCGGCTCCGTCTCAGCCGAGGAACTGGTGCACTCACCTCGCCCGACATCTTCCTCTGTCTGCCTCTGGGATCTGGTGCACTGCATGCAGCTGCATGACCCTTGCTGACTGGCTGATGCAAAAATCCTTTGACTCTAGGATCCCTGAGCCACACATGCCGAAGGTCTCTTGCTGCTGCACATACGTGGCTGAAACACAGCCCTTCATGAAGGTGCCTTGGCATGCAAGGAAGGGGGGTGACTAGACGGAGCATTGAGGCCACTGAGTGGAAGATATGGGGCTTTTGCAGCTGCATGTAAACCTTGGAAATAGGAGCTGTCATGAAGGTGCATCGGCATGCCAGGAAGTAGGGTGTGTGGGCCAAGCATTGATTGGGCGCTGTGCAGACGAAGTCGCTGCGCAAGCTGTGGATGTCGGTGAGCGGGGAGGACTCGGAGCGCATGGTGAGCCTGCTGGACGCCGATCACAACGGCCAGATCAGCCTCGACGAGTTCCGCCGCTTCGTCTACCTCCTGCCTGAGTCCCTGGTGCGCGCTCCCTCCTTGGATCGTCTGCACGTTTGTCCCTTCTTGGTTATGCATGTAAATGTTCACCTGTTCAATCATGAGGCAGACTCCGTCCTACATTCCCCGGCGCGCGTTCTACCTTGATGTCTGCTAGGCTAGCGTGTCCATTCTAAGGCATGCAAGAGCTTGGTAGCAAAGGCAACTGGGAATTCAGTCAGCATGTCCTTCGTTCGCGCCCTGAGAGGCCATCAAACATCAGGACAGTCTGGGGAGGGGACCAAGAGGATGCATGTTGATAAATGCTGAGGTGGCAGCGCAGGTGACGCCGACCAATATAGTGTATGCGCTGGTGGACTCCAGCGACTGGATTGAGGGCGTCGAGCTGCGCCTATGCATGACCCCGCCCAAGCAGCCCTTCCAACGGTGCCCCTCTTACCTCCTTTACCCATTCACAGCACCTCTACACAGCACTCTGAGTCGCTTGTTAACACTGCGCACTTTGCAGCACCCAAGCAGCCATGCCAATTGGCTCTTTGGTGGAAATACATTATCCCAAGCGAGAGGAATGATGTCGAGGATTGGCTCCTGTGCAGGCTACTGGCGGGAGGGATCGCGGGCATGGCGTCCAGAGCGGCCGTGGCGCCATTTGAGCGCATGCGCACAATGTACATGGCCGACCGGACGCAGACTAGCATGGCAGGTCTGCATACATACAGTCTTCCTTCCAGAGTCAGGCCTATGATATCATGTGCCCCTGCGACATTAACAGGGCGTCCCATCTGCATTGCATACATATCCTCTCATGCCTCATCAGTTTTCTAGTGTGCTAGGAAGATGTCTTATGTGTTGTTAGGCAGAGGATTTGATCTTGATGGATTCTGAGCATTTTTGTGTGCATGCGTTCGCAGGTTGCGCGCACAACATGTGGAAGGACGGCGGTGTAACAGGCTTGTTCAAGGGCAATATGGCGACCATGATGAAGGTCGCTCCACAGACAGCCATCCAGTTCGCCGTGAGTGCTTTTGCACTGCATGACATGGCAAATATTCCAACTGCAGTATTGTTATTGGAGTAGGTGCCAGTGGGAATTGAATAAGCACACAGCATGTGGGAAGCAATGCAATGCACACTGATGTGGTGATTTCTCGGGGCTGCAGGTGTATGATACAGTGACAGATGCCATGCTGAGGTCCATGGCCAGCGTGGAGAGCGCCAGTGGCCTGCCCGCCTCAAAGCAGCTCAGCAAGTGGCAGCACCTGCTCGCAGGTGCGCACAAAATCCGCCCATTCCTGGCGTATCGACTTGGCAGACCTGCCTCTAGACAACCCAAACCCTTGCTCTTCGCATGAAAAATCTCCCATAGAGGACAGTGACATTCCAGGTGGATATATTGTCATGCCAGCAAAGAACCATCAGCGATCAGCAGTGCACGTTTTTTCTATATCAGGCCTGTACAAGCAATGACCTTTCATACGCATAAATGCACATTTAACAGCAAACTTCGCATGTTGGGGGTACAATGCAGGGTGCATGGCGGGGGCGGCTGGGACAGTGGTGACGTATCCGATGGAGACGCTGCGGACGCACATGGCGCTGGGCGGGCAGAGCTACCGCGAGTGCCTTGCCGATGTCCTGCGCACCCACGGCCGCCGCGGCCTCTACAAGGGCTTCACCTCCGGCGTGGTGCGCCTGGCTGACCAGTCTTTCCAACGCCTGTCCTCCTCTCACAACCTTGCTTGCTGCTGCCATCAAGCTTGTAACCTGCACGCAGGCGTGGTGCGCCCACCCTTTCGATGCAAACAATGCCGCATGTCGCTTGCTGACACATTGCATGCAACGCTGCAACATGTCCTGCCTCATGCCTTTGTCCTTGCTACACTGCAGTGCACTGGGAGCTGCGTAATCAAGAGATCTCGAGAGATCACAATGCCAGGGGGTGTGTCAGGATGAGCTCTGATGAGACCAGGCTGTCTCTTCTTGGCGACATCACAATGGTCTCTCTGCTCTGGATCACACCAGCTGCAGGCCTTGTATGTTCAAGTCATCCTGATTAGCTGTCTTTGGCGTGTCTGGCGCAGATGAGCAGCGCTGTGTCCAACGGCCTGGGCTTTGCTTCGTACGAAACGGGGCTGTCCTTCTACCGCCGCCTGAACGAGGGCGTGTCCCCCAGCCCAGCCGAGCGCGGTGTCATTGCAGGAATTGCCGCCACGCTGGTCATGGCCGCCATCCAGCCCCTCGAAGTCATCATGCGCCGCATGCAGGTCCGTACAGTGCCCTGTGCTCATGCATCTCAGTATATGTGTCACAAAGATTCAACCAAGAGAGGATGCAGACATTGAAGACAGAGCAACCACCCAGAGCAGGGAGAAAGTGCTAATATGAGTGTTTCAATAATGCGAACACCTTTCGGCCCATGAGCATGGCCCAAGATTGCGCCTTTGCACGCGCAAGATCTCAAGAGTGGAACAGCTGCCTGAGGCCGGCCCTGTTCCTGTGCTCTAGGACCATGTGGTGTGACGTCTTAAGACTGGAATTTTGTGGTGAGCAGTGTGCAAGGCATGTGGGTCCATAATTTGCTTGTTGATGCGGTGCAGGTGCAGGGGCGTGAGGGATTTCCGGTGAAGTACACGAGTGTGGCGCAGTGCGGCATCCGCATTGTCACTGAAGAGGGGATGGGCTCCTTCTGGCGAGGCTCCATGTGCTCATTCATGAAGGTGCGGCAGCAACACACCCAAAGTGCTCAGGGGGTATCACGTCAAGGGAACTAGGTATAGGCTTCCATAGATGCCAGAGTCATGGTCACAAGTAAAATAGTGCCAGTGCTAAAAGAGGATGTTGTTAAAGCTGCACAGGATCCTCCCATGCTGCCCACACAGGATGGCTGTGGCCAATTGCCCTGACTTTGCAAGTCTTGAAGGGCGCGCTTTGGTTGTCCTCAGGAGTTATGGCATCAACTTGTCGGACAAGCTTAAAGACTGAGAGATGCTCCTCTCAGGTTGCGCCCAGCATTGCAGCGGTTCGGTTTGTGTACGAGGCTCTGATACAGAGCTGGGGAGTGGGCGGCCTGCGCAAGTACCGAGTCAGGGAGAAGCCTTCGGACCTGCCCCCTTGGATCTGATGGCTGCAAATGCAGCTTCATGTTATTCATCTAGAACAGAAATGTACTATTAATTTGATAGGATTGCAGAGGTACTATAGGTGTGCGCATTTCAGAGGCTGTGCCTCCATTTTTTAGGGCATTCCAGCAGTACTGGGCCCCATGTGAAGGTTTCACTAGGACAAACAATGATATTGTGCTGCAGTTCTTTGCATTGGTTCGTCTAGCGGTCTTTTGATGTCTAGTTGCTCTGACCAGCAATACTATGAATTGAGGTCTGTCCATTGTGACAAGGCAACGCTGCAGATAGGTACTGATTTTGTCCCAAAGATTGATCTTGAGTGTAACTTGGTAACTTAGGATTGTGGAAAGCCCTAAGTCCTGTGTTGCTGCTCTGGCACATCATGTGACATGCCACCGGCAAAAAATAAATGACAAACTCAAATTTTTGAATTCATTTCATAGTATTTATGCCTGGTCTTAACGCATGTGTTTTCCTCGTTGGCCGGGCCTCACCAAGTATGCTTTAGAGCGTAAGCCTGCAACCTTTTACAAAGCCACTTTGCAGATCCTGCTTCCTTGGGTAGCGTGGTACCTGGGGCCAGTTTCTGCATTGCGTTGCACTGTGCCCACTTACTGGTGCTGTTAGTTCAGGGGGGCTATTGTGTGGTATCCCTTGGTGAATTCAGAGAATTCTTCCGCCTGGTTTGGCTTTGGGTACGGCTCTCGGCTGTAATTGCTGTAATCATACATTCAACTTCCATAACCTTGTGCCACATGCGACCCGACCACTGGCAGCATGCAAGGGCCACAGCCTCTCTGAATCTGCACACCTGCTGCCCTCCCATCTGGCAGGTGCACTTTGCTTGCTGCTGTTCTTTGCCTTGCAAAACCCAAGGACACCCACTGGACAAGGAAGCTTGCTGGCTTGCCTGGTCTGCTACCCTCACATGTATAGGAGATGGGCTCATCTAGAATGATCAAAACCCTCAGCGCAGCCCTTGCAGTGTATACAAATATACCAGTCTCCTCACACGGCGGCGAGGGCGAGGGAGCTGCGGCCGTAGCTGGTGGGCGCGCACGGGCGCCACCGGCCGGCCTCGACACAGAACGCCTCCGTAGACGTGTGGAAGCTGGCGTCCCCAGCGTTACCTCCCACAACATACAGCTTCCCATGCAGCGCCGCGATCCCGGCGCTCGACCGTGGCACCGACATCGGCGCGACGGATTCCCACCGGCCCTCGCGCGGATCGTACGCCGCCACGCTGTCCAGCCGCTGCCGCGCACTCGTCATGCCCCCGACCGCGTACAGCCGGCCTGCAGCCACCGCATATCCGTTTCATTTACGTAGATAGTTCGGAAAAATCACATATGTACTGTAGATAGATAGGGTTTAAGCTAAATCTGTAGTGCAGCAGACCAGAATTTGCATGGACATGTCCATCATTCCTTGAGCAGCAAGCAAAATTCCTGCAAAGAGTGGCCTGCCAAGGCTTCCTCCTGTCAGGGAGGGGAAAATATGTGCAAGACGCTTGTCAGTATGCGCACAGTACCTCCGAGCTCACAGACGGAGTGGTACTTGCGCTCGGACGGCAGCTGCGCACTCAGCAGCGCCCATGCGCCCCTCCCCAGGTCCAGGCACTCCACGCTCCTGTGGATGTGCTTGCCGTCCTGCACATAGATACACTCACCGCTCACACCATGCAATGACGATCACAAGAGCCTCTCCATGCTGCACACGCTCAATTTGCTGCTAAGCCAAACTTTGAATTTGAACCTTCTCCATCTGAACAAGAATCCCTAAAGGGTCAGCCTGCAGATCAGAGATGCCGGCAAAAGAGACCCTTGAATATCCGCATTGAAAGAGGAGCCATCAGAAGTGCCGGCCAATCCCACTCTCAAGCAAGAAATTGACTAGAGCTGCCAGACTGAGTGCATTTATAGGCACACCTGGCCGCCAACAGCATAGATGCGGTCGGCCACGGCAGCAGCGCCAAGGGCGGTGCGGGGAGTGCACATGGGGGGCGCAGCCGTCCAGGGCTCTTCCTCGACGCGCGCTGCGTCGGCCCAGCCGATGCGCAGGGACTCCACGCTCTGCAGCTCCGTGTTCGACTGCCCCGTCCGCCCGCCCTGTGCAGCAGTGCGCCGTTAAGAGGTGAAAATGCATAACTTGCTCAGATACTGAAGTGTCCCCAGGACTGCATAGCTGCACAGTGGCCAGCATTTTTATCTGTACATTTGTCAGGCAGCACTTGGACCACAGCAGGCCAACAGAGCATGTGCGAAGGGCCTCGCCCCTGCATGGAGCCCAAAATGGGATTTTGGGGCCTGACGGGAAGGACAATAATCAGCGAGTCAGGTTGATAAGTGATGGCATATGGGAGGCTTGGAGACACTGGTGAGAGGGCGCACCATGACCCAGACTCGGCCGGCGGCAGAGGCCATCGCGGCGTGCAGGCGGGGGGTGAACAGCGGCCGGCATCGCAGCCAGTGCTTGCGCGAGCGCTGGTACAGCAGCACGCTGCACAGGTGCGGCGACCCATTCACCACGCACAGGTTGCCCTGCACACCACACAGTCATCCTCACAGCAGGCATCAGCACGCTATGACGACACTGCCGTTTGTGATTGGTCAAGAGCACGTGGAATTGAGCCCTGGGCACCTCCGAATATTGAGACTGCATAGCCTCTGGTCCTCATCGGCTTGACAACGTCCAAAGGGTCATGCTTGTCCGCAGTAGGATCATAATGAGAGCCTCGTCCGTCTGCTCTGAAGGCACAGCAACAAGAAAGAAGACATAATACTGATCTCACCTGGAGGACAGAATAGGCGGCGAAGGAAACGCTTTCAGGCAGGGGTGGCCCCGTCGTCCACTCGTCCTTGGTGGCATCATAGTACTCTGACGTCCTGCGCACAGGCCAAACCTTCACTCCTGATATATTCTCCTGACCACTGTCTCATGTACTGTTTCAGAAGACATTGCTATGACTTGGTCATGTGCACATACAGAAACTGAAGGTGCGGAGATATGCAGGCAGCTGCCTGGCAGGTGCCACAGCAGGTACAGGAAGCTACCTGAAGCTGCGCCAGCCGGCATCGTGGCCCCCGGCAGCCAGCAGGCCCATGGGCATGCACCGCCGCGGCGGAGGCTGCAGTGTGACACCGACACCGCTGGTGCTTGCATCGGCGCTGCTGCGCAGCCTTTCGTGCATGCGCACAAAGTCCTCCAGGCACTGAGATGCCTTGATCGCCGCTGTGTCCCCCAGCATAGATAGTAGGCCTGATGCCGCCACCTGTGTGCATGAGGCACCAATCCTGAAGAACAGACAACGCTGGAGCTGGGAAGAATTGCAATTACATGCCATGCCTCTTTGCTATCGAGGAGCAATGCAGCCTCACACAGCGATGAAGCTGGGATTGACTAAGAGATCATATGACCGGGCAATCACATGGAGTTTGCACCAAGGTAATGGTAAATTTGCACCTGCTGCTGCAGCTCAGTGGCTGACAGGCGGATGGTGGAGAGCAGGCTGGGAAGCTCTGTGCTCCTGGCATCAGGATCCGCTTCCCACCATATCAAGATTGCCTGTCACACACTCCCACAAAATGTTAGAGCATACCTTCACAAATGCAAGCAACATTTGACATCTGCATTGATATGCAGGCCTTGATCTTGCTGCAGACAACCCACTTGCAATATGTTAATCTACTCTGATCTCTCCCACATGTGAAGTTATTGGCTGCTCACCTCCAAAACCTGCATCTCGGATTGGGTCTCCAGCTCTTCGCTCTGCAGCAGGTCCCTCAGAACATCCTCTGGCAGCTCCTGCAGCCCCGCCCTGCCCTCCCCACACATCACCTCCACAAAGTGCCCCTTCACAAATGTGACCTGCAAGCGCAACACTGTCTTCAGAGAGCTCAAAATAGAGCTTCTGTGCCTGTTCATGAGTCCAGCCCCCACGCTGAAAATGCTATGGTAAAGCCGGCATTGCATTCCACAATTCTAAATTTCACGGGAAGCATCTGTACGCATTTCTACGTACCGCATCAGATGAGAGATCCTGGCAGTCATACATCGCTGCCAGCGCAAGCGTGTGCAGGCAGGTTGCCGGCTTCAGGTTCGCCTTGAGAAACTGCAGCAGCATAGATTGCACACTTTTTTAGTGACTGGCCTGCGTGCTTGGGTGGGCTAACTTTCAATCCTCACAACAGATGCTTTGAAATAACAGCGGACAAAGCTGGCCGGTGACTACCTGGCAGCAGGCGGCCTTGACTGCTGCCACATCCAGGTAGTTGCTGGCCAGCAGCAGGGCTTCCACGTTACCCTCTCCCACATCAACAATCCCATGGTAGATCGAGGACAGGATGCAGGCCAAGCTTTCGGCGTCCACCGCCTCCAGCTGTATCTGCATCTCATCCCCATCCACCCCTGTGCTGCTGGTCCCATGCAGGTGCTTGCCCGCTCCCAGGAACAGGGCCTCAAAGTAGCGGGAGGCTGAGGCCAGGATGATCTTGTGAGCCCTGAACCTCTGCCTGTCTGAGCTGATGACAGACACATCGCAAAGCTCCTGATTTCTATAGTGGTCCCACAGTCGAGGCGTCAGGGCTTGGATGGGCATGCTGTCGAGCTAGGCACCACAACCTTTTCTCAGCTAGAATGAAGCGTTGCTTTCGACATGCCTATGGCTCTAGTCCTGAGGCGCACTGTCGAAGAACCCCTCACGTCTGTGTGATGCTCTGGGACGTTTGGATCACATTTGAGATACTTATACTGCCCGATCATATAGATCATGCTGAAATCTGTGATATTCATTTGGGTTGTATTTACGTCGTAGGTCCTTTTTTGTCAGTAGACAGTACTTAACTCACCGAGACTTTTAGCAAACGCTTGTGACCACATCGTTGATTCAGAAATGAGAATTAAGAGTATGAGCAATTCACGATGTGATGCTACTTAGAAGGCGCGCTCAAATGTGCAGTGGTGACAGATGGAAAACAAGCCTTCTATGTTCTGATACGTTGACCACGATAATAATTACCGCAACTATCACACGAAGAGGATTGGATGTACTGTACAATTTGTAGTGCATGATCGTGTCCAAAATACATGTCCAATCGGAACCATAAATGGCACGTGGCGCCGGCGTGTTGACACGTGCACCTTCTGGCTCAGGGCCGCTTCCTGGGCTTGAAGCTGCTCCGTGAACCAGATGCCGGCCTTACAGTGCAGCACACGAGTTAAAACAAATATGCTACCCATATCAAGCCTTGACTGAGTCTTCCAGGCCTCAAAGCACTGCGGCAGCAAGCCCACAACTGTTGTGGCACAACCAATGTGACATGATGCATTGAATGCCTAAGGTGACAGGTTTTTTCTTCTTATTATTATTATTACATGGTCGGCGAACCCAAAGCCAGAGGCCGTAGGGCATATACGCAGGGCGTCTGCAGCCACATATGCGGGGCCCACTGTACTACGGTAGTCTGCAGCCTATCAGATTTACTTTGTTATGTCTCAACAGACATAAATCATTGCCGCCTGAAGTTCTTGGCTTTGCGCACATTCCTCTTAGGCACAAAAGTCCCGGCCTTGCCCTGCTTCTTGGCCAGCTTCCTTGCCAGCTTCTCGCCCTCTTCCTGCGCAGCTTGCTCCATTTCTGTGAGTGGCTCCCCCACGTCGCCTCCGCGCTTGGGGGCCCTCACAAACCCCCCCTTGAGCGGGTCCTTCCCCCGCTCCATCTTCCTCCTCTTCTTCTGTGGGAGCATTCCTGCATGATACCAAACCCGCCTTTGCCCCCAGACCCCTCCAGACCTTTCCAAGAATGATTCTGACAAGGTGCACCATGACAGAGGGGCGGCTTCCTCTCCAGCCTGCATTGACCCTTTTACCCATGCATACTGCAAACAGCATCAATCCTCCAGCAACAGCACCTCAACAAACATCCTTGTCATGAACACAAGCATCCCACCAATGGCACCCAAATGGTAGTTTGAATGCGCACCCGGCCCAGCATTGCCGGAGGCTGATCGGCCGGACGCTGCGGCGGGGTCTTTGAGGTAGGCGGGGATGTGCTTCAGGTGGGAGGGCGCGGCGGCCTTGGCGAGCGGCTTGTCGTGCTTCAGCAGCGCAAGGTCAGCCGGGTGCTCCTCAAAGTGGGCCTGCAGCCGCCGCGAATTCAGCAGCTCCAGCCGCAGCTCCTTCGCGCGTGCCTGTGATCCACACACACCATGCACCGCCTCAGCACATTCTTCACAACGTCAGCTTCCAGGGCTCACTCAAACAGCAGATGACCAAGCAACCCAATAGCCAAATAGAATGGAAGTCAATGGTCATCTCCTGTGGGTGTGCGGCTCTGGCAGGAGGACTGGCATGTGGCACTCTTAAGAAACGAAAACAAATGGAAGGGGTGAACTAAGGGCCGGATGGCAAGTGGTCGGAGGATATGGTGTGCATTGAAGCAAAGGGGCGTGCCTCTTTGATGGAGGACTTGGTGAGCGAGCGTGCAATGTCCTCTGCCCTGTAGCGCAGACCCTCCACCGACGCCTTGGTCAGCCGCTCAAACCGTCTCAGGCCTGCCTGCTGCTCTTCCTCTGCACCTGCAGACACGCACCGATCAACTTTAGCACAAAATGCAGCAGCCCGTGCCTGTCCCTTCCGCCAACTGCTGAAAGAGCACCTCCCAGCCGCAACGCTGGAAACATGCTGCCTGTGGCTTTTCAATGCAGTGACATTAGAGAAAGAAGTCAATTTAGGGACATCATGAACCGTCACACAGTGTATGGTCTGCAAGCATCCATGCTGCACAAGGATCCAAGGAGTTTCATTCTGTACAGGGTGATGTGGCGGCTGCACCAGTGCCAGAGGTGCTAGCAGGCTGTCCGCCCAGCTGTTGCTCCAACTGCTCCCTGACTTCGCTGTCTGCTGGCGTGAAGATTGAGATGGCCGTCCCTGCCTGCCCAGCTCTCCCTGTGCGGCCCACCCGGTGCACATACGTCTGCATGCATCACTGAGAGCTCAGTGCTTCGCTGTCTTATAGGGTCCATCCAGGGCAGCTTTTCTGCTTACCTGATTACCAGATAGATTCTTGGGGCTTCACAAAAGCGTCGTATGCAAGCACACCTCTAAATGAGTCAAACAAGGCTGCAAACGGACGTGCACACTCTCGCACAACAGGTCAAGCATCATCACATCAAGAGCTGAGCTGATAGAATACTCAGGGTGAGCAGGAGGATGCCCTCACTCAAAGGGCAGAACACCTCACCTGCACGCTCTCTGGGACGTCCACATTGATGACTGTCTTGACCCCCTGGAAGTCAATCCCCCGGATCACCCCAAACTCGTTGTCATTCTCAGTCTTGCGGCCACGCTTCCTGCTGTCTCTATCCCTCCCCTTCCCCCTCCCCTTGACCGCGGCTGGCTTCGGCAGTGGTGCCGGCTTTGCTGCATCTTCCTCCTGCTCCAGCCTCTTGGCCGGGTCGTCTGTGGCTATGAGGTAGTCAAATATGCCCTTATTGAACTCCTGCACATGCAAGCAGCCACCCTTTGCAATATGTTCATCAGACACTTCAAAATCCCGGCCCTGCAGCGTGGACTGTGCGTGATACCTCTGAGGAGCTCCCCCTGCATCTGCCGCTGTGCTCACCCCCTACCTGTCATCGCAAGAGCATTCTATCTCTTATGCCCTCTTGACGAGAACATAGAAGACAGTGACAGCAGACGACTGGATGACTGCAGAAGCAGTTTGAGAGAAGGACAGCAGAGGTGCCTCAACAAGCACATGTCTTGGACACCCTGACAGAATGCGCTATTGCCTGCAGGACACCCTCACTAGACATTAGCAAAATATCACAATCCGTGATAAGGTGAGCTTGCCTGCAGGATGTGGTGGCGCGAGTTGAGGGGCAGCTCTGCGTTGATGACGGCGCTGCGGATGCCAAAGGCTTCCAGGAAGAGCTTGAGGCGGAACCCGGCGTTGATGGAGTTGACAAACAGCAGCACCTTCTTGCGCACCAGGCCCAGCTTGAGCAGCACCATCGTGTGCAGCAGCTTGTCGCTCCTGGCAAACCCCGCATGTCATGGTTCGGCATCCCATCACTTATTGGCAACTCGGACACTTGAAGTGCTAGATAAGGTCACAAGGAAGCCGCTTTTCACCGCCACAACTGCACTTCACACAGCTGCAACTGCACACTGAGGAGCTGCGCATGCAAACTGGGAAATTTGGTCGCGTTTGCCTGAGTTCCTGTTGTCATACCCATGCAGCAGTCCACCTGATGTTCATAATCTGCACACAAGTAGAAGGAGTGGTCAAGGCAAGTGCAGGCGAGGAAGGAGGATGAGACAGGCCTCCGAGCACCTGTCGCAGGCGATCTGAAAGTGCTCAATCTCAGCGGCGGAGCCAGGGCCGGGGCCGGCGGCGCCACTGCCGTCGGCGTCGCTGCCGAGGAGGTTGAGGGTGGTGGGGTTGTGCAGCACCAGCTTCTGCAGCCGCTCCACCTCCTCGCTGCTCGTCGCGCTCATCAGCATGCACTGGCAGCTGCGCGGAATCTGCGCACCAATTCTATTCGTCAAGTCCCTAGAGGATTGTCATTACTTCTCCCCGTACCCTTGCATATGCATGCCGGTGCCAGACAAGCTTTATTCCCGAGCACGTGGCTAACCACTTTGCCTTGTAACCATCAATCATAAGCAATGCTTGACTGACCTGCGCTGCTCAGTATGAACATGCCAACTTATACAAATTTCTTGCATGCACGTATCTTTTGCGGCCAAAAGGCTGGTGCTTAGGGGCGCACAGGCCATTGATTTGTCAGGTCTAGATCTTGTTGATGCATGCAGATGTATCACTGGGAGAACGTGGGAGAGAATGCAGACCAGGGGTGCGATGGCGCGCAGGTCGTCCTCGTAGCCGGGCATGGAGAGCATGAGGTCGGCCTCGTCCAGCACCAGCACCGACAGCCCCGGCCGCCGCATGCGCTCGTCCGGCTGGAAACTTGCCGCGCGCAACCGGCCCTCCTTCAGCGCCTGCCGTGCACGCGTTGTGTTGAGGACAATAATTGTATTGTTGTCAGGGATCCTTAGAGCTGGCAACCTGGGTTGCTACTTTAATCAGATGGTGTGCTTTGGCGAGATATGACCCTGGCGCTGCTGCATCCACCGTGGCTCCAGGGCCAAGATTGCTGTGCCACTATCTGCTGGCGGGAGCAGTGATACTGTGTACTTCCCACACAGTGAATTCATGGCTATCCAATCCGCCATGGATTCTCCACCGGGCTGAAGTGCCTCGCAGCAGCTTTGAGGACAGCGGAATTCCCAAACACCAGGGGACCCACAGCACAGTCCTCTTAAGTACAGACTAGCATTTTCTGGCCACCACCCGGAGGCAGGAATACTGTGCAGATTGCGCATGGGGCAATAAAGTACGCTATTCAGAGAGAGATTCAAGCTTTGGCAGGGCAGCACCTGTGCCACCTGGCCGGGGGTGGACACCACGATCTGCCCGATGTGCAGGAAGATGTCACGCTGCACAGCCGCGGAGTCAACCGCCAGCGATGACACCCGGATGTCCGCCTTGCACCTCGTCGCCACTGCCTCCGCCTCCTCTCGCACCTGAACACACTCACATATGAACATCTCCGTCTTTTCTTGTACACGAGACGAGACGGCACGTTTCCAGTCTTCCTCCACGCATAATAGGAAAGAGTAGGTAAAAGGAAGGACCTGCTCGCAGAGCTCCCGGGTGGGCACGAAGATGAGGGCCTGCCAGCCAGCGCGCTGCTTGTCCTTGGGGACGGCCAGGATCTTGTGCAGCGCGGGGAGGAGGTACGCCAGCGTCTTGCCACTGCCCGTCCTGGCACGCGCCACTATGTCCTTGCCCTCCAGGGCCGCTGGTATGCAGGCTGCCTGCAACACACCGTCACTGTTATACCTGTCTCTCCTCCCTGGTAAATGGATACTTTGGCGCTTGTGCTCACATGGAGGAATAAGCAAGAACGAGAAGACTTCTGTGTCACCTGCACAGTTGTTGGCTTCTCGTACTGGCGTTTCTCCAAGGCAAGAAGCAGCCTTGGGTCCAGTCCCAAGTCTGCAAAGGTACTCGCTGCAGGTGCCTTGGATTCAGGCTCTTCCATGCTTCGATCTAAGTAGTATATCCTAAGCTGATTGATGTCCTGTAAGATACGTTCTCGCGGATCAGTGGGAGGCCACCACAGAAGAGTATGCTGGTCCAAGTGCTAGTCGATGTAAACGCTGGCCTCGAAGTGTGCGATCAAGAATAACAATTGGAATAAACTTATGGGAAGTTTGGATGTCCAAAGCATTTCATTAGGTGGAAGAAACTCTCATCATATTATTCCGAGACCTGTTTCGGAACGGGGGGTCCGCCGGCACGCCTGGAAAGGTATGAATTATGAAGGTCAAGATTTACATCTGTTCAATCAAAGATTGTTGCAGTGAAACAATAAAACAGTTTGTGCTTTGGTCACAATGTTGGCGTAGGTTTGCTTCAATATCTATGGCTTCAAGGGGCATGCTTCAAGCTGGCGAGAAGCTTTCGAACTCGTTGATCAATTGTACGTTACTACCAAGACATCAAATTCCAGTCGGTTTGATCAAAGGGGCTTGCCTTAAGCCAGTTTGCCCCTTGTCATCCCCATTTTTAGAAGGCAGATCACTTTTGAGGAGTAGTGCAATCCACAAGCCTTCAGCCCGTTCAGTAGCCAGGTATGATCATTCTGTCAATTGCTCAATCTATTTTGCACAAGCAGCTACTAGTTTGTCTCGCTTACACTAAAGTGCATGTTTGTTGTCCCAATAGGGCAGCGAGACAGATGAGCTCTGCACAGGCATCGACCTCAGGTGCGGCTCTGGTCATTGTGTCCAAAATTAACATGAGCGATGATTGCTTCATCTGCAGAGGCGATCCGGCTGTATCGAACTAATAAAGAATTGTCCAAATCTCGCAGGAGCTCCCAAAAAGGCTTTAATTTCAGTCTCTGACAAGACAGGCCTGGTTGAGCTAGCCAAGGTGAATGATCCTGCCCTTTGCTGACATCAAGCTTGAGGAAGACGCTAGCAGTGCGGGCAAGTGTCTTCAGGACTGCCATTGAGCTTTTGAGTCTGTGCCAGGGGTTGTCGGAGCTTGGCTATGAGGTGGTGTCCACTGGTGGAAGTGCGAGCGCCATCGAGGCCGCCGGAGTCCCAGTGCAGAGGGTGGAGGAGCTCACTGGTTTCCCTGAGATGCTGGATGGTGCTGCACCCCAAAGCATGCCAGCGCTTGCACATCACTGATAGTTTGCTTCACATCGCTTGAACCCTGCATGCAATGTGTGAAGAAGTCTCCATGATCTTGTGATAACACGAACAGTGCATGTGGGGAACAGGCAGAGTGAAGACGTTGCACCCAGGCGTGCATGGGGGCATCCTTGCCAGGAGAGACCTGCCCGAGCACCTTGATGCTGTGGGCAAGCACAACATCTCCCTCATTGATGTGGTACGTATACAAATCACATTAAAGCATCCTCTTCACACTGCATTTGCATCAAGTAAACCAGAGTCCAATGCTGGCATGCATACAGATGACTTAGGTTGAGATCCTGCATGGCAGGTGGTTGTGAACCTGTACCCCTTCCGGCAGACAGTGACCGCAGCAGAGGCCCCTTCATTCGAGACAGCAGTAGAGAATATCGATATTGGGGGTCCGGCCATGATCCGCGCAGCCGCCAAGAACCACGAGCATGTGACGGTGGTGGTGGACCCCAGTGATTACCAGGAGCTGCTGGAGGGGCTCAAGAGCAGCGGGGGGGCCTCCCTGGAAGCCAGGAAGAAGCTGGCGTGGAAGGCGTACCAGCACACCGCCACATACGACAGCACCGTCGCCGAATGGTTCTGGAGCCAGATTGGTGCGCTGTCTTACAGAATGCACGCCAGGCAACTTACGCTTACCTGTTCTTCATGCATTCTGAAGACGTGAACCATACTGGAAGTGACATACCCCTGATATGCATCATATGTCAGGGTCAGGAGGGCGTGTTGCCGTTGGATTTGGCTGTGGCTGCTGCATTTTCCTAGCAGCATATGCAAACACTGTGGTGATTCACACTGTGAATCACCAGAATCCATGTCAATGAAATTTTAAATTTGAAAATGACAGGTGGCGAAGAGCCAGCGCCGGAGCTGAGCGTGCCGCTGCGGCGGGTGTCGGGGCTGCGCTATGGCGAGAACCCGCACCAGCCGGCCGCCTTCTACGCCGACCTCTCCCTGGCAGAGGCGGGCCGCGGCGGCATCGCCGGCGCCATCCAGCACCACGGCAAGGAGGTGCTGCGCTGACCCCTCTTTCCTCCCCAGGAAGCCTTCCCTTCAACCCTTGAACTTGCTTGCATGGCTGCGCACAGGCAGCCTGCCCATCTTTCCGACAGGGATGTACATATTGGCCTTTACTAGTTCTTCTAGGGCAGCTGTGCACATTTCTGCCTATTCGGCCATGCTTTGAGAAGATCATGATGAGATGGTGCACCTAAGAAGTCCCTTGACAGGACAAGGCCTTGAGCTCAAGTGAAGTCTATGGCCTGCTGCCTCTGCAATAACGGCCTGCTGCCTCTGCAATTTTGAGGCGGCTGCTCTGTTGCACACGCAGATGTCATACAACAACTATCTGGACGGCGATGCGGCGTACAGCGCGGTGAGCGACATCCCGGGGCCGGCGTGTGTGGTGGTCAAGCACACCAATCCCTGCGGCGCAGCCACGCGCGATGACCTGCTGGACGCGTACCGCCTGGCCGTGCGCGCCGACCCCATCTCAGCCTTCGGCGGCATCGTCGCCTTCAACAGGTGGGCCACCACGGCTACCTGAGTAACCCCAGCAGACTCCTCAGATTCAGCAAGAGCATCAGGGGCTGAGGCCTGATACTCAAAAGTCCTGGATGCAATCTGACTGCATGCTGCAGGCTGTGTATTCCTTCTGCTGATTGCCACCAGGGCATACTGGCGCTGCTCCAGCAATGAGCTACCCTTGTGGGCGTTTTCTCAGTAGTGAATTCAGCTGAAAATACCAGAGTGTCGTAGTGTAGAGATTGGCAGATTGGACTTCTGCAAATCTAACAGACGGGTGTATCTGGTGTATGGGGCAGGCCGGTGGATGAGGCGTTGGCGGCGGAGATCCGGGAGTTCCGGAGCCCGACGGACGGCGAGACGCGCATGTTCTACGAGATTGTCATCGCGCCCGGCTACACGCCCGAGGGCCTGGCCAAGCTCAAGGGCAAGTCCAAGACGCTGCGCATCCTCGAGGCCCCCCTGAGGGCCCCCTCCGGCCGCTCCCTACGCCAGATCGCCGGTCAGTCAGTTTGCCATCCTTGCCGGCGCAAAACCTTATTCATCTGTGGTTTGATTCAAATTTTGCTCTCGCTTGATCCGATGTAGGGATCTTAGATTACGATGATTCTCTTTTGGGGAATTCCCCAACCAAGAGAGGCGCCCGGTCTTTCTTTTGCTGGCACAGTCAGGTGCAGCAGTTGCACTTTCTTCTTTGCATGATAAAGAAAAGAAATTGTGGTTTTTCCAGTTCTAATTTCATTTGAGAATCATATAGGTGTTGGGGCACGTTGCTGACGGCTGCAGTCAGCACTGCATGTGCCAGCTGCCTGGAAGATATGTAACATTTTCTGCGGCTGCGTTCTTGGTCAGATGTGATTCCGGACGGCATGCTCTGCGCAGGTGGCTGGCTGTACCAGGAGGCGGACTCATTAACGCCCGAGGAGATTGAGTTCACGTCCGTCTCTGAGACCAAGCCCACAGAGCAGCAGCTGGAGGACCTGAAATTCGCCTGGCGCATTGTCAAGCATGTGAAGAGCAATGCCATCACAGTGGCCAAGGATGGTAGGCTGCTGGGCATGGGCAGCGGGCAGCCCAACAGGGTAAAGAGCACAGAAATCGCCCTGGAGAAGGCTGCCGAGGACGTCGAGGTGGGCATCTGTAATTAAGAAGTCTCTTTCCGTCGAGATTACTCTGCAATATAATGGCGTATTTGTCATTTTCGATGGAACTTTCGATGGAAAATTGACGATATGAGAATTGGGTGTGCAGGGATCGGTGCTGGCCAGCGATGCCTTCTTTCCGTTTTCTTGGAACGACTCGGTCGAGAAGGCTTGCCAGGCCGGCGTGAAGGCCATCGCACACCCTGGTGGCAGCCTGCGGGACCAGGACGCCATTGATTGCTGTAACAAGTATGGTGTTGCCCTTGTGACGACTAGCGTTCGGCACTTCAGGCACTGAGTTCCCATGCAAGAAGTTATAGGCGACCTGGCTTTGCAACATGTTCAGATATAAACCTGAGGATGTTGAATGGATTGCAGCAGGCTTTTAAGGTTGGAAACTTCTTGTAAGCAAAGCTGTCCCTTATGCAATTGAAAGCCGGGATTTCGGAACTTTTCCGGAAGGAACCTTGCGTCACGAGGAATCTTTCCGTCTTGGTTGGTATCAGAAGGAAAACTTTGTGTCCCAGATGTAATCAGGATGGATATTTTCAGGACGGTGGCGCTGGTCATACTGGTAAGCACTCCGATTTATTTATGGTGAAGATCGATCAGAGCGAGCTGGCACGAGATGTGCGCAACGAAGCGTTCTGGCATCGTTTGCTTGTGAAGATGGTGACTGGGAAATATCACTGGTTGTGCCAATTGTTACCTCAGAATTCGCCTATGACGCGGATCCAAGATGGTATTTGGGCACGATGGTGCTGATCTTTCAGCCTTGGCATACGGCACCAGAGCCCTAGTAGATTGTTTCGACTCACATGTGTGCTTGCCCACAAAAGCTCGATTACTCCGGGTTTCCTTTCCTGATGATGAGATGTGTCCCGGGCAGGAGTAATTGTTACTATAATTTCAATTACACAGAAATCACATGGCAAGTCCCTAGTCTTTCTCTAGAACATTCGAAGTACAGATCCAGGGATAGTACAGTCGAAGTATTCTTTCATTTGTGCAGGGCTCCATATGCCTGGCCACAGGCCAGATACGGCCACTGTCTGCTGCTGTGACACCCGTCCAGTCTCCAGTGACTGTGGAGTTCAACCAGTTCCAGTTGGGCAGCAATGACCTGCCGCTCACAGAGGCTCCTCTGGCCAGGAACAGCGGTCCCAATGACCCAGAACAGATTCACATCACTCTGGGAGGTGACACACTGCATGCCACACTGCAAGCCTCCTGCACCCGTACTCCTCTCACCGCCCTGTTGCTTCAGTTATGTACCGTAATCTAAAATTCTGAAGACGGATGTTGATGCAGGTCCTGGTGAGATGTACATCACATGGGTCACAGGGAATGCCACAATGCACAAAAGCAGCCCTCAGCCTCCGGAATCTGTTGTCAAATCTGAGGTGAGTTCCTCGCTCTACTGAGCACATGCATGCAAGGGATCTTGATTGCATCGGCTTGGAGGCAGTTGGCAGGAGTTCCCCATGCGCAGGAAGGGCGATGGTCATAGGCACTTGCAGGCCCAAGGCAGGTGTCAATGGGCTGAGTAGTGGTGACCAGGTGTTCTACGGAGTTGCAAAAGAAGAGTTGAACTACAGCGAAATCGGCTCTTCTACCTATTATGTGCAGGTCGGTCCCATGAGGTTATCTCATGCTCACCTCAAGAAGGACTGTTTATTGCACTGCAAGGGAACCAAGCAGTGATAATAGAGCTTTCCTGCCATTTCCTGAGGAGCCTGTGTGTTCGTGGGTTGCGCAGAACAATACCGGCAAGACAGTCGATCCGAACAACAGCTTCTATGTCTCGGGGCTGATCCACACTGTGCTGCTCAAGAACCTCACTCCCAATACCACCTACTATTACAGGTCTATTCATCCTTTCTTGCCTCTCTATCTTTATATCAATCAAAATCAGAGCAGTGGCAGCTTCTAGTGCAGGAGGAAATTGCTCACAGCATCCAAAAAAAATGTTGAAGGTGCCCTCCTTGTGCAGGGTGGGTGACAAGAATGCTGCCCAGAGCGCGGTGTACTCTTTCAAGACAGGGAAGCCCATTGGCCCATCGTCCTTCCCGGCGCGGATCGGTCTCGTCGCCGACCTGGGTATCACATCCAACTCATCAGTCAGCCTGCAACACCTTGCAGCCAACAATCCGGAGATAGCTCTGTTTGTTGGAGGTACGTCCTCTGCCATGTTCAGAACCACTGCAGCGCCTGCCTTTCTGTAAGGTGCAGGAGTCTTCTGTGTAGCTCCTTTGAGCCTCTGATGAGATGCCCAGCATTAAAACCAAGGTATGTGGCTGCACTTTCAGTGGAGCTGCATTTCTCATCATGCTGATGTCTGTGTCTGTGCGCTTGCAGATTTAAATTATGCAGACACCTACACGGCGGATGGCCTGAGCTCCTACTACTACCCAGCCATTTTCCAGGCAGGCAACAAGCCGCCTCAGCTGCCCACCAGCACAAGCACCTACCAGCAGATCTGGGACGGCTTTGGGCGCTTCATGCAGAGTGTCGGCCTCTCCACTTCGGTGACTGAACATTTTCCTTCATTTAAATTGTGTTGTTCCTTTTAATTCCGCTCCCCCAACATCTTAAAGAGCACAACCTTCAGAAGGAGAAAGCAATACTCCCTGGCTGGTCAGGTTGCCCAGGTTTGCTCACTTGAATGTACTTACTTTTTGTAGTTATCTTGGTTGGAGGATTCAAATTCGCCTCTGCAGCCATGCTCACAGCGCTATTCATCAACCCTCCTGCGGATGGCTGCTTCTACTCTGTGCAGGCTTATAGCTGTTTCAGTTGATAATCAGAGAGGACTTGTATTGGTTGCTGTTCTGCAGGTCCCTTACATGACTGTGGCGGGCAACCATGAGATTGAGCGCGACTCATCCGGCAAGGCATTCCAGTCCTGGAGCGCGCGATACCCCAACCCACATCAGCAGTCCAACTCAAGCAGCAACCAGTACTACTCATTCGACTACGCTGGCGAGTGTTCCATCACAACCAGCGACTCCTCTTGATGGTGCTGGTGCTCCTGTCGGCATTCTTTACCTTCCATGGCCTCGCCATCAAATTGTGATACATGGTTCATCCAAAAGCGCACGCAGCGAAATCACATGTGCGTCAGGACAGACAGTTTGGGAGGCATGCAAACATCTATATTAAGGCTGTCTTGGGCTGCAAATCTGCAGGTGCCCACTTTGTGAGCATTGGCGCGTACGACGGCCCTGGAAATGCCAGTGCCCAGTACAAATACCCCAACGGCAATTACCCCCACACCATCATCAGCAACACCCAGGTGACCCTGCAGCCCTTGCTCATCTCCATTTCCACTGTGGACTGTGAAAAGAAACTGTTGTGGCATGATGGTGCTCTGTCACGTTATGTGTGCAAATTGCTTCCTGCTCATCGCTTCCTTCTCAGGAAAGCACACCTGCAGCACTTTTATTCTAGTCTGTCATGGAAAGAGTGTGTGATGACTGGCCATCCAAGCAGCGGCTTGGAGGCACTCTGCACGTCATGTGATAATAATCTTCGTCAATTGCCTGCCTGCTGGTGCAGTTGGCATGGCTGGAGGCTGATCTCGCGGCTGTGGACCGCTCCAAGACCCCCTGGATTATTGTCCAAACACATCCACCCTTGTGGGCCCCCACTTCCCAGAAAAATCCCCTTGTCTGCAAGCATCATAGGGCCGGCAGGCACTCCGTCTTGTGTATGCCTTATATGCTCAGACTGCGTTGAGCAGCAGGAGTGTCAGCTGAAATGCTATGATATGGTATGGCCTTAAAGGATCAGATGACATGCAAATGACATGCAAGCAAAAGAGGTGTCCTGCGCAGCTACAACACATACAACAGCCACTACAAGGAGGTGGAGTGCTTCCAGCAGCAGATTGAGGACGTGCTGCACAAGTATGGAGTCAACTTCGCATTCTTCGGCCACGTGCATGCCTATGAGCGCACCAATCCCCTCCTCAGGTACATGAATGACCCCTGTGGTACCGTCCACATCACCATTGGAGACGGCGGCAACATCGAGGGGGTGAGTCACTCTCCCTTACCTTGCAATCGTTAACATGTTGCCAATGAGCACCTCTTCCAAGTCCATGTTGTTCATGACATCCATGGCTGCACCCTGAATATTCAATAATGAGGAAGGCAGGTTGCTGCCATGGTGCTGTAAAATTTCTCAGGCATATACAGGCTGAAAAGACATGGATGTGACGGTTCTTGATTTCTGTTGTAACGTAGACAATGTTTTGATCAGGCAGGTGCGTTCAGGGCATGAGGGCTTCACTTAAGCATGCATTTCTTGTCTGTGTTGTGCAGACATACAAGCACTTCATCGACACGCCTCCCTTCCCAACCAACTGCAGCGTGCCCCAGAACACCCTGAATGCCCCAGGCAATTTCGCCCCCCTCTGCGCCACATTTCAGGACTATAACACCTCAGAGGGGCCCCGGTATTGCCCCACCAGCCAGCCCTACTTCTCTGCTTACCGGTGCGCGCCTCCCTTGAAGCCCTTCTTCTACTTTTCCATGGTGTCTTGATACATGCTGATCAGTCAGATCTGTGACCAATGGCATGTGTCTCCTGCGCGCTGCCCAAAAAATATATATCTATTACGTGACCTGAAGACGTCGAGAAGCAGTGGGGCAAATTCAATCGGTAAGGATTGTGTAAGGCTCTTTATCAAGCTCTGAGGCCTTGACAGATGTGAGGGATGCAAATTCTGAAGGCGGCTTGTGTGTGGGATGCATTTGTGGTGCCATGATGATGAGGTTTTGGTGCAATGGTGTGCAGGGAGCCGAGTTTTGGGCACGGTATCCTGGAGCTCAAGTCGCCCTACGAGGCAACATTCCAGTGGTGGGTTCTTACTTTCTCAACTTTGCATGCATGGATTGGGTAGCCTGCTGATGTGTGCTGGTAAGTTAAAGGGCGATTGCAGGGCACGACTGGCAAATAACATTGGACATGCATGCGCATGCATGCGGGGCTGCCTTCAGCTGCCTTCCTAGCGCATGAAATTGAACTGGTCATTTGTTAAGTGGCAAAAGGTGCATCAGACAAACAGGCATGCGCTGTTGCTGTGCAGGTTCCGCAACCAGGACAATCTGCCGGTGGTGGCAGACAATGTCACTGTTGTGCGCGATCTCAGGTGCCCCAATCAGGGCGCGCCAGTCAAGCAGCCCGGCGTCTGAGCTCCTCGCACATTTGCGGGTGCAGTGGCCAATGCACTGCTTGAATAGATCAAAAGATCATAAGATGATCATGTATTCTGTCTGCTGGCCCTAAGGGGCAATCCTTACAGGAGTGTATGACCTTAGGGCGATATTTTTCCCTGTACCTCGCAATTTTTGCTTGTATGGACTGAAATTTTCGGACTCCACTGGACGCATTGGCAGTGCATACTTGGCAGTACATAGTGTGCTAGAAGTGAGAGCCTCTGAACGGCCCTCTTTTGCATGCGAGTTTGGTAGTATCAACTTGGATACTATTCTAGATGTAGATTCTAGAAGTCGTAATAGGAATATTGAATAGGAAACCTAGCCAGGCAGAATCATATGAATCCTATATGCATATAGAACATCCCTGACAGCATAACTCGACCTGAATGTCGAGCTTGAATAGCAGGCTTAATGATTTGCGAAGCTCACATTCAAATCTGAATTTGAAGGAGCTGTCCCGCTGAATCGATTTGGGCAATCTACAAATCATAAATGGGGTGCACCGTCAGGGGGGTGGTTTCCCTCGGCTGCTCCACCTCATTCATGACGCCCCTCAGCTTCTTGTGAACTTTCCTCATTTCAAGCAGCTTTCATCCAATCCGAACAGTAAGTTTGTCTGATCAGTCCTTATCAAAGCTGTCTGTTGATATCGCAGACTATTTCGCTCTCAGCAGAACACCTGTAAGTTCGCATTAAGGCGCGCAGTTTGAGGGTGAAATATCCTTGCGATTTCTCCTTGGAGATTCTCGATGAAGTTGTGTTGAGAATGTTTTGGATCCGCGTGCGCAGCTTGAACTTGGTGTTCACACCAAGCACACCTCTGTAGGATGGAACAAAGTTGTTCTGTCTGCAGCAGAGAGACTGCCTGACCATCACAGGTGCTCGTGCTGCCCAGCACAGACACTTTCACAGACTGGACAGAACACGCTCACCAAAGAGGGCAGCAAGGCCTTCGACAAATTTGCACACCACGGGGTCATCAAGCAGCACCCTCTTCGGTGGCAGTACAATGCTGCGCACTGAGGCAGGAACCCAGGGCAGAGTAGAAGGCAATGGCGTCGGTAGGGCTGACAGCGCGCCATCAAGGATGGACAGCAATCCTGAAGACCCACAGGACGCAGATCTCCTCCTTGATGCTGAGGAAGGACTCGACAGTCCAAAAGGAAGACCTGTAAGGCGTACATCAACTAGAGAGGTGCGGTGAAACCATCTTCAAGGCTCCTTGCAGGTCCATCATGGCTACTTTATTGGCACTGTTGTTCACACCTTCTTGATCAACTCCTGACAGAGGGCTGTGTTGTGTACCGCGCAGGCTCTGCACTCTGTACTTTCGAGCTGGGTGTCAAGGAGGTTCTTTGGGGGATGCGCGGTGCTGTTTCCCATGGTCATTACTGTGTACATCACCTGGTGGTTCCTCACCTTCTTTGACAACTTCTTCTCGGTACGAGCTCTTGCTTCGGTCCACATGCTGCAATGATTTGTACAAGGTATCTCACAACTCCCATCTTATCAGAGGCTTTATCTTGCTAACGAAGTGTTGTGGGGTGTTTAACAGCCTGTCTACGAGGCCCTCTTTGGCTTCCACGTTTTTGGCCTCGGCTTTGTGACATCCATGGGCTTCATCATCGGCACAGGTAAGTGCTGACAACTGCTGACCTACCAGATCATTGGCACATTCCTGAAGAAGGGCAGCTGGTCCTGTGGTTCAATAGCACAGAGAATGGTGATGCGTTCATGCAATTATAAATGCCCCTATGTGCTGCGCAGGTGTGTTTGTGTCATCCTGGTTGGGAGGGCTGCTGCTGCAAGTGGCAGACTGGATTATCAAGAAACTGCCCCTCATCAAGCACATCTACTCTGCAGCAAAGCAGGTGTGCCCCTGCCGTTTCCAAAGCCGCTTGTGCTTGCGCTTCTGCATCATAACTACAGCCGTTGAAGGCCCCTGCATGTCATGAGAGCGTGCAAGTTGCTTCGCCAGCTGTGTGATACAGGGTGGATTGTCGTCTGGCAGGTGAGCGGGGCTGTGAACCCTGCGAACGAAACCACGGCATCGTTCCGGGAGTGCGTGCTCATACGGCATCCCAGGCATGGCGAGTATGCCTTCGCCTTCATCACAGGCACGACTGTGCTGCAGGTGCGCGCACCGCTGCCCCCTCTCTCTCCATCCCTCCACGCATCCTGCTGCCTTAAGCCAGCTTGTTCTGGGGCATCTCTGGATGCAAATTGGTCTTGCACATTGCCCTTTGTCCATGTCCAGGATCGGCTCAAATACACAAGAGGCATGGTCATGCTTTTGAGAGCTCTGATCATTTGCTGAAGCGTCTTCTGTGCCAAGAAAAGCCCTGATCCATTGCCAGGTACAGAGCGGGTGGGATTGTAATGGCCCGTATCAAGTGCTTAAGATTGAGCGGCTGCTGGTGTGGTGCAGCAAGAGGATGGGTCGCCGGGGATGGAGCTGTACAGTGTGTATGTGCCCACCAATCACATCTACGTGGGGGACATCTTCCTGCTGGGCCGAGAGGATGTCATCCACACCAACCTCTCCGTGCGAGAGGGTCTAGGTGAGACTGCTCTCCTGCGCCTGCTTTCCATTCTGCACACAGTTCTCACTGCTGTGCGGAATTTGGATCTGCAATGTGGTCGTTTAATGCTCCTGTGCTGGGGGATCATTGTGCTGTTGCTGCACGATGTGCCCTGGCAAGGGTTCCCTTCCTCGTATCTCTTTGACATTGTTGCATGCATTTCTCTCTCTCTCTCGTTTAGATGTGTGCCAGACTGCTGCCTTGTGATGACACAATCGAGGATGTATGCTTGACGGATGGAGTGCTATGGCTGCAGAGATCGTTGTTTCTGTGGGCATGGCGTTGCCGCGCAACCTGTCAGGCTACATCAAGACATAGGCTGTATCCTGCGGAGTTTTTTTGGAGTGTTCCCTGGTGGGGGTTGGGAGTTCATGGCCTGTGCACACAATTCAGGGTATGCCTGGAAATAAATTGTAGAGTATTTTTGCCTCCTGTTTTGGTGTTGGAACGATCAGAACGACTGCCTTATCCAGAACAGCAATGTGCATGTGCTGTGCTTGCCTTCATGTTGCCAGAAATCAGACAGAGGCTCAAGACTTGACCAATGGTGACTAAACCGACGTGACTAACACCGCGATAAATACATGTACATGTGATGCTTTCTGCGGTCTCATGAGTGATCACTGGGCTGCAGCTTTGCGTTTATCTGGCTTGCTGGAATTGTTTAGGTGCCGGTGTGATGGTTCAAGAGAGGCGTGCAAACAATCTTGATCCTCTCTTTCCCTGGTGAAGGATTCCAGAGCATTTACAGAGGAATCTTTAGTGAGTAACGACAGAAACGAATGGCCTCAGTAATCGTTCATTCCAGGACCTCAAATTTTACAAGCCATTATGCTAGCAGTCTCGACATATCACTTAGTCGTGACAAAGGTAACCAAGCACTGGTCACTGCTTGCTGCATTGCACTGCACACAGAGGCAGCGCTGCAGAACACGGTACACAATAGAATTGCAATTGTTGAAGGCCCAGCTTGTGGCAGGAACGCCGGCCTACTTGGACTTCTTCTTCTGCAGCTTGCGCTGGTAGAACTCCAGCTCCTTGCCCTCCAGGATGTAGCCGTCGACACGGCCACACTGCCCCGGCCGCGAAGAGATGGCTGCCAGCAGCCGACCGCCAGCAAACTGGGCGTCCAACACCTGCAGTGCACAACAGCAATATGCTTTGGAATTCTCCTTTCTCATGCACTCTACTGATCTGGGTCATCCGCCCCTGATCCATCCCTTTGGATGGTGCATCATCATGTTGAACATCACAGATATCGGTTGCAATAAAACAGGCGTCAATTTGTATATCACATGATGATGTGATCGTTGAGCGCTGCCATCAGCCATCCCTGTAGGTCTAGACCACAGGCAAAGGCTGCCAGCATCCTATTTCCAAGGCTCTTTCAGGGTCCTGCCATGTCAAGTACAAGGTGATGCACGAGACAGGAGCGGCGCGCACCTCGTCGAGCTTGTGGTTCTGGTTGCGCAGCTTCAGCTTGCGGTCGACGTGGTTGGAGGTCTTCTTGGCCTCCTCACCCGCCTTCTTCTCCTCCTCAGCCGCGGCCGCAGCGCCGGACTTCTTCTTGAGGCCGGCTTCCACGCCGTAGTGCTGCGTGTAGAACTGCTTGAAGGGCGTCGCGTCCACCTGCACGATCGCGCTCTTCACCAGCGTCTGCGTCCGCACCTGCACACACATGCCAGCACCTACATCAGCGCTCATGGTATTTATTTTTTAGGGTGGATCTGTCAGAAAACCGGCAAAGGAGACAGGAGTTGGGCACGGGGCCAATCGTATCTACAGGGCAACACAAAAGGCCTCCATTGTCACATCGCAGGCTGTTCAATATAACTCTCGGTCAGCTCAGGGCACTCCTCACCCCAAGAGTATGGTGCTTTGGGGAACACATAAAGCAAGCAGCAGCCAACTGGAAAGGAAGGTATGCGCACGCTAGGCTGTGAAGGCTTACCAGCTCGTTGTTGGAGGCGTTGTACACGACGTCCAAGACACGAGTCTTCCTGGTCACAGCCTGCACCACACCATACACACTTTGTCATGTAGAGGCCAAGAGCTATGGCAGTTTTTGTCACCAGCACATGAAAGCTATCCAAATCTCATTGCAGCTGGCTCATTAGATTCACGTGTTGCGGCTTAAAACGGATGAGCAGCTGCAGGGCTCACCTCTGAGCCCCAGGAGAAGTTGCCAGAGTCCAGGCGCAGAGCGCGGAACTTGAAGTTTCCTCCACGAACTCGCACCCTCCTCACCGTCACATTAGATGACAGCTTTGTGTTTGCAGGCTGACGTCCCAATTCGAATCTGCACATCAGAAAAATAACTGAGAACCTTTCCCTCGATCGTTGTCACAAGAGCTGGTGTGGCCCCCAGACCAAATACGTGTGGCTGTCCGGAAGAAGGCTTACTTCCTCTTCTTGCGCCATGTCTTTTGCTTGCCGCCTGTCAGGCGCCTCTTATGGAGAGAGTCACGGGAAATACCTGCAGAGCAAAAGCTTTCACATCAGGCAGCATTTTCAAGCAGGAAAGGACAAGCTTTCGATGAATGCTTGAGTATGTTTCTGTATCAATCGTCTGAGATAAGAGACCGGACAGATCGTGCAACAATGCATCAGTGCCTGCAACTAAGATGTAGCAAGGACTGCATCGATGCCACGCAGGTCCACATGCACAGCAGTCACAGGCGCATCAATGTAGAATGATTCTCACCCATGACGCCAAGCTTCTCCCCCACAAAAGTCCTGCTGAACAAATCTGTGATCTCGTAGTAGCAGAGAGGCGGCTCTTTCTCTTGCAGTTTAGCGACCCTAACCTAAAAGGTAGATATAGAAACCCCTGAGCTAGAGGGTGAACTCCCTGATGAACCCTATCGGGCTTTGTATAAACGAGTGAACTGTAACCTAGCAAACCCACCACTTTGTCCAAGAACGGCCCAAAGGATCCGCTCAAATTTCAGTGGTTGGATATAGCTGTAGAAGGATGTATGGTCGAGAAACTTGAATGCGATGAGTTGCTCTTGAATATGCTATAAATATGGGCTTACAACACCATTCACTCCTTCTCAAGCCTACATGCCGGACAGACTCAAAATAACACCTCAACCCGTATCAATCACTGATGAATCTGTACCGATCAAGCGTTGCGACACTGCACCCAATGGCTCCTTCACTAAGCCATAAAAGACAAGCACTGTCAAACTTAAACCAATAGAACCCTTGGAAAAATTCAAGCCGAAGTACCTAAAAAATATACAGGGACTCTCTCACTCCACCATCCACAGCCATAATCACGCTCAGCCCGGCCAATTTTAGTGCTGTGTCCAGACTTCATGCATTCTGGCAAATCACTGCCGCGGCATAACCGTACATGAGACATGCACACCACTCTTCCAAGCAGCTGCGCAGCATGCTGACATGCATGCATATACACCAAACACGCTCAATTCACATGGCAGGTCGTTGCTTCTGGGCCTCCCAAGAGCAGGCCACCAAACACTCGGGGTGTTCCTTTGCGTTGATTAGTGATGCGCTCTTATCCGGGTCCTTGTGCCATCGCTCACACATCTGAGATGTCCCTGCCAAAGATCTTGGCCTTGAGGAAATCCCTGGACACCAGCCACCTGCAGTGCAGAGCAAGCTCAGCATGCTGTTTGCGCTCTGCGTTTACATGCACCTATCTAAATATGCATCTTTACTTCAAGCACCAATTCAGACACCAATCAGCAGTGTCATGCGAGGCATTTGGGCCTGACTGCAAATCAGGCTGCTAAGCTCGAATACATCTCCATATTCAAGCACACAATGCACACTTAGAAGCTGGCACCAACAAGGTTACTAGTTTAGCAGAAAATCGGCATGCTGCTGAGTAGCGGGAGGGGCGCGGGCGCACATGTTCTTGTAGGAGATCTGCATGAACACCTCGGCGGACTTCCAGCCGAGGCCCATGAGCCAGCCACGAATGTAGCGGAGAAACGGCGCCGACGGCCCCGGGTCAAGCACCGCCTTGTCGTGGCCTATGTAGGCGATCGTCCCCAGCGGCTTGTACTCAAACTCCGGTGCATCCTCTGGCACCACTGTGCATCCACAAGATACCCTTCAACTCTTGCAGAAGGTAGCCTTATATTCTTGTTATCAATACATGCTTTTCCTGCCCGAGGGAAGGTACCTTCTGCAGACAAGCTGCACGTAAGAGGCTACCAAAATTCTTCCCCTTGTTCGACTCGCCAGATCCAGGCAAGACCCTCATACCGTACACAGGTCCAAAAGTGTTGAGGCGGATGGTGTCAAGGAAAAACTTGGGGGCAAGAAGAACCGAGGCAGAGACGAGATAAGTTCTCACCTTCTTTGGTTGCAGGATCAATCTTGTACTTTCTGAAAAGCTTGCCCAGGTAGTGGCCTTCCTGGTGTGCAGCCTGCACACATCACATGAAAAAGGGAACACTGATTCCAGCCCTCCCCTGAGAAGTAGACCCACACTGATCGTTCCAGCACTGCTCTTATCAACCTCCCACAGATGAGCAGCTGATCTTAGAGGCAGCTCAAGGTAGAATGAGGGCAACACACTGAGGGTTGAACAAATGGCGACATATTACTCAGCTGTGGCCTTAGGGGAGAAGCTTCAGTGATGAGGTCACCTGGGCAGTGGCGGGAACGGAGCGCAGGCTCTTGTCCAGCTCCTCCAGGTGTTTGAGGAAGGCCTCCTTGGAGAGCACCGTGTTTTTGGGCACGCGCGCCGCAATCTCCGCCAGCTGCGGATACTTCTTCACGTTCTGTGCAAGAGCAAACACACCAGACCTGAACTTCCAGGTCTCATCACCTGAGCTGGGCGGCCCAGCCTGAGAAAAGCAGAGCTGCTGCATTGTGTGAGTGCACAGATGAATTATGCATGAGTGCATGCCTGAATGCCATCCCGTACTCATCAGCAGTCAGGTATGCAGCCCAAAGGGTTGGCACGCACGTAAGGGTGCAAGGAAGAGACTGGTCTGAGGAGGGGAAGAAAGCCCCACCAGGAGGAGCAGCTGCTGCAGTTCGTCTGAGGACAGCATGCCATCATGGTTTGCATCACCCTGCTCAAACAGCTCCTCTGCATGCCGCAGCACCCTCTCCTGCTCACATCACCATCCAGCAGACATCAACAACCACATCCTGCTTTCTGCCTATTTTAAGCATATCATCCCGAGGGCTCAGAATTGCTGGCAACCATGCAAAGGCAAAGCTGGGGATACTGCATGGGATCTTGGGCATTGCGCGAAGTTGATTGCAGATTGGACACATTGCGAGGAAAAGTGCGTTTATGCAGAAGATGCGGGCTCATGCCTGCTCAATGGTAGCGGCGTCGCCAAGTGCGAAAATACTGTCAGAGCCCTTCACGCGCAGGTTGTTGTCCACCATCAACGAGCGCCAGTGCTCCTGCCCCTGCAATTGCTGCAGCAAGGCCGGAGCTCATCAGTCCGGACAGCCTCAGGGCATCTTCACACAGGATCAAAAGATTGCACAGCCAAAAGGTGCTGCGCATACCCACAAAACCCCTTCTTTCATCCTTTTACAATAAAATTTGGTATGGGGAGTCGAGTACAAGAAAGGATGGTGAGGTTCGCACGTCTGCAAGGCGCTCTGCTAGGGGGTGCATGCGGATGCCTGTGGTCCAGATGCATGTGCCAAAGGGAATGCGGTCGGTCTCCTTGCCCTTCTGCACCACTACCGCCCCTGGCTCCACTGCCTTCACCTGAGCAGCATGCAATGCCCACCTTCACTATTGTTATAATCCCCCCAGTCTCCTTCATCCTGAGACAAAGACAAAGTGCAAGGCCAAGAACTTCCCCCGGTCACCGGCTGTTCATGGTGAGCCATGCACTGCCAAATGATAGGGCAAATCTCGCTGCGTGGGTAGTGACCGAGGCAATTCTCGGCTGGAGTGCGTCTGCAGGTTCCGGAAGCTTGTTCAAGCAATCAGGACTGAAGGAGCAGTACTACTGCCGAGCTATTGGCAGGAAAAGGAGGATTCTGCGCACCCGGCAGGCGAGAACGAGGTCGATGCCGGAGCGGCGGAAGTGCTCGGTGGCATACTCAGCGATGGTGCGGTCAAAAGCGCTGAGGATGTGGTCATGGCTGTCTATCTGTTTTATTGTCACCTGGCTCCTGGTTATGCGCGGGAAGTACCGCAACATGTCCTCCAAAATCTGCACCCCCAGCCACCAGCTTAAAATTCCTTGAGAGTGGAGCAGCAATTGAGAGGCGCAGAAACATTCTCGGAGAGAAGTACTCACAAAGAATCTGTACAAGTATCTGCCAGAATATCAAAACAATGGCTGTGTTACTCCCTGTGTCTATGGAGACCTGCTATTGAAAGGCCACTTCCCACACAGTATGAAATGGATCGGGCTATCACCAGATCGTTCATCTCTGCTGCCAGCTCTGTGCCTGTCGGGCCTCCACCCACCTGCCAGAAGTACTCACTTCAGTCAATAAAAGCCAAAAGGCCTTGAAAACCGCATGGCAAGTGTCAGCGCATGTCACAGCAAAATAAATGGAATACACTCCTCTTGACTCCAACAAAGGGAGCTCACGATGACAAAGCTGAGGAGGCGCTTGCGCTCCTCGTCGGTGGTGTCTGGCAGGTTGGCCAGCTCGAAGCATGCATTTATGCGCTCTCGCAGCGCTTTGGCGTCCTCTGCGCTCTTCATGTAGAAGCAGTTCTCGTCCACCCCCGGCACGCCAAACGTGTTGGTCACTGCGCCGATCTGGGCACATGCATGCATGCACAGACAGTGCTCAATCCCGCGTGCATGCATCTCTCAGACTGCATGTCGCAAGGGATGCTGTGACGCCACAGATGGTACTGAGCTGCTCACGATGTATTTTGTTGACAGAGAGGTAGATACTATGCCATTAGATCTGTGACAGGCGGAAGTAATGAAGGATTTGCTTATCCAACGGAATGACTCACCGCCACAATGAGGACATCATACTTCATCTGGAAGGTGTGATCCTTTTGGCCCGCGTCCGATGCTTCCCTGAAGGGCTTCGTGTAGCCGCATGTCAGAATCTTCTCCTGAGGGCACCAAACTTACATGAGTCGCTCTGCTGAGAGCATTCCTGTTGCAAGAACCTGCGCCAATGTCACAATTGATGCGGAACATTCTGCAGAATGGAGCAAACCAGCGGTACCTTTGCATCGATGTTTAAGCATTCTGCTTCGTAGTAGTTGCAGCGGGCGTCCAGGTGGCTGCGAATGGGGTCTACTATGGAGTGAGTGTCCACTGTGCCGGTGGCAGATGCAGGCAGCAGGGGCCTGCGCTCCATCACGTCGTCAGCGCGTGAGGTTTTACACAGAAGTTTCAGTGCTTGCTGTCAAGCATCTTGGACCACATGTGTTTGCAAGGGAGCAGAAAGCTGGGGGCAGTTGCGACGTACGTGTACAAGAAGTAGTTGCGGGGGGACACGATCTGCACATTATACTGGTTACCTGCAAAGCAGAACAGGTGGTGTTGACGAATGGATCACCAAACCCAGCTCAAACGTGTTCGGGCAAGTGTCATAGTGAATCAAGAAGGGACGAGACGCACTATGGAGGGGCTTGAGCGCTCTCAAGAAGCTAATTGCTCCCCAGCCAGTCCCAAGAATGACAATAGTGGGCTTATCTTTGCAGTGGAAAGGCTCTGAAGCGCTTGCTGCAGGCGCTGAGGCAATAGTGCCACCGACGGCAAGCCCTGATGACACCAGTAATGTTAATGCGGATGCTTGAGCAGGCAGCACCAGACTGCCGAGCAATAGACAGCGATTGCCGCTGACGCTGAAAATAGCATGGACCACTTTCGAGCCCCATAAATGACTTATTATATCGATTGCTCAGAATCAATAGCCATCATTGAACACGAATGTACTTGCTAGGGCCATATCTCAATCAAGAAATCCAGAAAGGGGATATGCTTCACCTGTAAGACCTAGCCAAAATGCCCACTTCCCCCAGGATCCTTCTCTATCTGAGGAGCTGCTCAAGCTAGATAGGGCTCGAATCTGGTAACTAAGATTGCATCTTGCATCTTGTCGAACGGACCCGAGGTGCCTGAACGATAGAACCTGAGTTGAAACTCTCACGACACGCCTCAGCATCTCGTTTCCTCTGCCAGATATACCTCACGAACTACATCCAGAAACGGTCACTTTGAAGTCAATGTGCATCACGTCTGGCGAAATTTGCCATCGCGCATTGAAAGGGCCAAGGAAATTCGAAAACAACTGGCATGCTGCCGGCACGTGCAGCTAACTGTAAGAAGCAAGCCTGTTTTTGCCTTTGGGCCTGGATCTGAAGCTTAATTTTCTGGATCAAGGGATGGTACGAGTACTATGACTCATTACAAGAGGGTCTGGCTTGCTGTAGGTCACCCAAGTGCTGCGTTTTGTCAATGTCATGGCTTCCTTCACAGGTTGCGTAGGACGGCAAAGGATGACCTGCTTTCATGAATGTACATTTAAATGTATGTAAGGGGTACAATGCAGCTCTCAAGACCTCATGCTTCTCCCGACACCAGGTGGGATGATAGCTGGTGAGCAGTGGCCTCTACGTTATGTGCACCCACAAGGTGCACCGTACCATTGTGTTTCTTATCATCTTTCTTCTCAGTACCACGGACTCTTACTTTCAGGTGACCGGAAAAAGCTCATTTCGTCCTGGATACCCGGTTCATGCCAGGATCGTTGTAACCCCAAGTAAGGCGAAACTCAGCACAAGAGTGGCATTTTCCGTCCCAGAGAAGAATGCTCTTCCTGCAAAAGCCAGGGGCGAGACACCTTCAGTGCAGCGGCAAGCAGTGCAGCACTTCCGCAAACTTGCAGCTGCTGCCAAGAGAATCAAGAGAGACTCGGATCGGTTTGCCAAGGTGTGGGTTGATAATTACCCAGTAGAATCCCACACTTACTTTCTGTGATCAGCCTGTGGCAAATTTGGCTTTTACATTGCTTCTGGACATATGAAACTTACGGGTGTATTTAAAGCACTTCCTTAATCTTGGCGCTGTGCAGGCTCGACAGCCAACACCTAAGAAGCTGCTGGCAATGATTGGGCTTGCCACTGATGCCTCTGGTGCCGTGAAGCTCGCAGGTGACCTTCTGTCTTTGCAGGCCATCATCGTGAAGGTCCCCGAGAGCGCAGAGGATACAGTAGCCGGTTGGAATTGCCAAGAAGATTTGCCAAAGTTTGCCAATAAAATGCCACTTTTTATCTGGCCCAGGTGGCTCAGTGGATGCCCTGGGAGCGCAAGGCTTAGCTGATCTGCTCTGGGCATTGGCAGCGTTTGGTGGAAGGTCCTATTTCAAGGATGAGATGGAGGCAGTGTTGGAGGTATGCTGCACTCATCCTGGTCCCTAAGTACCTATGACCTGCATTGGTTGTTTTGTTGATCATCCATAATTTTCTGGACGTCTCTGAAGCATCGGCAGGTGGGTGATTGCTTGCAGATCGCTTCACATGCAGCTGTTTGTCTTGTTGGAGGATTCTGCAATTGTCTAATAATCTCAGTGCTATCATTGGCTTTCCCAGCTTGCACTGCACTGCTTTGCACTGCCCTGAATGACATTTGGATGTGTAATTGTCTTTTCACAGGTTTTGGATTTTCAGCAGCAAAAATTTACTATGAGCGGTCTGCTGGATGTGACATGGGCACTTGCATCAGCCGCTCACTGGACGCCAAAACTGGCAGACCTCGCTGCAGCAGTACGCGAGCGCGGTGGGCTCAAGACAATAAAAAAAAATTATCAATTCACGGGATTGCTCTGGAGCTTTGCTCAGTTTGACCACAATCCAGGCCTATTCTGCGAGGTGCTGCCACCCAAGAAAGGTAAGCAACAGCTTCCATGTACATGTGACCTTGCTTTGCAGTCTGCCTGCAACAGGTGACCTTGCTTTCTTTGGTGTCATTGTGGTTGCTGTGTCCTCCAGCACTTGCAGAGACATTGCTCCAGGAGGCCAAGATGCTACGTCACTTTCTTGTGGATCAGTCTGTATAACAAGTACTCATGAGATGGGGTATTGCGCAGTGGCCGAGTTTGAGACCCACCAGCTGATCACCGCTTGCTGGAGCCTGTGCGTGCTCCAAGAGACGCAGTCTGAAGTCTTCAAGTCCTTGTGGAGGGAGCTTGGCACTAGGGAATTGCCTGCGACCCCCATGAAGGACGCCATAGCATGTCAGCTCTGTCAGGTGCGCTGGTTTCACAACAGTCAGTCTGATGGCTATATTCAGTACATGGCGCCTCATCCCATGCTGTGACTGCAGATAAAGATGGAGTTCAGAGGGAAGGAGGATCTCCTCTTGGGCACGGATGTCCATGCACAGATACTTGAGAAGGCTGACAGGTGTTGGAAGCATGACCTGCGGACCACGGACTTCCATGTGCGCCACTGCCCTGGACTGGACTTCTTTCTGCCTGCAAACTCATGACTCAGCATGTCTAGGATTCCAGAGGGCGCGGGTTGCACATTATTTTGCGAGGTTGTCATTATTATTTTTTAGGATATATCTACCCAGCCCTCACGGCTAGGTGTGTTGCAGCAACCTCTCAATAATCGCTCTCCAGTCTTCCCTATCTTGGCACTTTCTCCACCAATGGCGATATGAATCCAATGAAAACCAGGTCCCTAAGGCAATCATTCCAGGATTTGACAGGCCTGCCTTCTCTCCCAGATCCTTTCATAACTCCAGATAGCAGCTGTTTTTGGCAGCCTGTCTTCCTTTAGTCTTGCCATCTGACGAAGCCATCTCAGCTGTCTATAATTTAGCAGATCAGCAAATTTTGGCATTCCTTAGCAAGATTGTAGCGAGAAAAGTTTCCTCAGGAAACCCCACCTTGGGCAAGAGATTATGATAGACATCTGAACAGAGAGCGATGCATGCGCAGATGTCGGCGCAGCATGCAGAGACATGCAGGGCCTTGAAGGGCATGGGTTTGGAGCACATATATGAAGATGTGTCCACCGGATATGCCGTGGACATAGCCATTCCCGAGCTGCGCATTGCTGTGGAGATAGATGGGCCCACCCACTTTGCAAGGAATGCCAAGCGCAGGCTCGGCCCCAGCATCATGAAGCACCGCCAACTCGACGACATGGGCTGGCATGTGTTCCCATTGACAGCCGAGGACTGGGAGTCTGCAGAGTCCAGCGCTGCAGCGTTACAGAAGCTGCGCGATTTCATTCGCATGAACAGTCTTCCAGGACCAGTTACAAACTGTCGGGCGGTCTTCAGTCCAGGGGATGTCAAAGAAGGCAATTGCGACGCATAGATTCAGAGCCTGAAAGATGCCATCCATTACATGTATTGATTGCTGACTATGACCAACAGTGCACATGCGGCTAATTGATATAGGCGCTTCCAGGCACACTTTGCAATTTTTTACCCCTTGTGACATTGCGAAAGCAAGTCTGCAACCCTAATCATGATCACATGATTACGAGCATGTGTGAGCTGGGCGTGTAGATACAAAAGGTATCATTTGAGAGGAGCTCCAACACAGTGCAGTGTCCAAAGATAAAATGCATTGCAACTCATTTTTCAGCTCGAAACCGAGCGCAAGGGCACCGTGTTACCTGTCCTTTCTGCTCTTCTTGTCTTTCTTATATTTCTTTGACAATTTCTTCTTCTTATCCTTCTTCCCTGAGCTCTTGAACGGGTGGTCAATCCCGGCTGCCTTCAGATATGCCTCCGCTTGCTTCAGCTGCAGATGACAATGCCAGAGTTATGCTTGTTAGCTGCAAAGTCAGCAAGTCTTATTAGCACTAAAGCAAAACAAGACAAGCCAGCACAGCAGATAATCACCTTTTTGCGCTTTCTGTGCTGCTCAGAGTCGCTGCTGTCACTGCTTTCTGCATCGAGCCCTGCATTGCATACCCCGCGTCGGAATTCTTCAGACATGCATTGAGGAGCTGACAGTGCCACTAAGCGCCAGCACACTCTGATACCAGTGATGCGCAAAACGACCGGTCAGAAGCATGTTTCTCTACCTGATGCACCTGGCACCATGATGTCCTCATCGGGCTCATCCACAAGGAGCTGCTGGTTAGAGGCTGTGATGTCAAACCCCCCTCTTGGCGGGCTGCGCTGGCCCCCTCCAGAGACATGCCTCACCTCATACCTGCACCCACACCCAGACAATCCTCAGCACCCCGGCAGGCACTGCTGAGGCTGTGAAGCAGCCGCCGCCCCACATGCACATGTACTTCATCCAACAACCACAATGTTGTTTGCATGGCCATCAACGAGTAGCGATTCTGTGAGTGCAGAGGCTGCCTGCATGACCTTTGGTGAGTATGACTCTTGGACTGCAGGAGTTGCCTGCATGGCCATCAGAATATACGATGTCTCCATCTGCGCATGGAGAAGATGGGGTCTCACTTCTCATGCTGGTGGAGGGCGCTAATAGCGCCCAGCATGTTGGCGACATATTCCTTGGGCAGGCCAGCTTGGGGGCGTTCCCTGCGGCCCTCCTGCTGGCTGGGAGCTTCCTGCTGAGGCGCCTCTGCAGCGGCCTCACTCTTCTCTGCTTCCGCATTCTGCGCTTCACCCCACCACCGGCTCATACGCGCTGCTTTTGTGACCACTAAAAGCTCGAGAGATCATGGACCAAGCAGGTGTTATGTAGCATCAAGAGGGCAGAATGCTAGTGGGTTGATGTGGCACCTGTTCAGCGGCTTTGCTCATGGCAGCGTCGTAGCCTGGCGGCTTCTGATACATGAAGGACACACCCTGCCGATCCCTATACTTCTGCTGGTCCTCTGCGCTCAAGTAGCTGAGAGTTTTCAAATACTCTTGCTCAGCGTCGAATTCTGCCTGCAGCAGAGATCAGGTGTGCATCATGCATAATTCATGTCATGCACGCTTATCCTGGGATACATGTGAGCGAACACATGCTCGCTCTTTGCACTGATGCGCAGCTGACACAGGGCATGTACCTTTCCAACCGCTTTTGCCTTGGCATCTGACTCGGCTTGTTGCTGCGCTTCGTACACCTTCAATTGATTCCTGTAATTGAGCGGATGCCACGGTTTCTGCGGCAAAACAGAACCTCAGCTCTTCCCTGCTGCCAAGCATTCTTTGCACTGGATGCATGAGTGCTCTGCACTGTAACATGGGCAACGCACTGAACGTACCTGATTCAGAAAGTTGTGAGACCACGCAGCGCCAACTCCTGGAATTGCAGGGTTGTAGTCCTCTCCAAGGAGTGCAGCCTGCTTTGCTCTGTCAACGTCTGCCTTCATGCCTGCAACGCCCAATTCGTTTCGAATATTTTGACGTGTTGGATGTGTACAGCTTAAGCAATTTAATCACCAAGAAGCAAAGCACCATCGAAGCCATCATCTGCGTACCTGCTAGGGCACCTCGCGCTGGTTCCTTGTGTTTGGGGGCCATGATTGCAGGGGGTAACAGAATCTACACCGATTGACAGCTTCTATACTATAAAGTTACAGATTTCCATTGATAGGCTCCATCAAAATTTCAAGCACTCCCAACGTGCAGGCACCTCATCATAAAATCTGCAGCAGAACACCTTTTCGATTTTTGTTCTTCCCATCTTTAAGGACCATAACATCTAATTAATGGTACTCCAGCAATCTGTTCTCTGGCATGCTCCAACCGCGGCCCGTCCTTCCTCTGACCGTGGGATCTGCGCGGTAGCTGATCAGCAGCGGTGGGCAGTTTCCTCTGTTGCATTCATTGGACTGGAAGAGAAGTGATTCTCCAGCTTTACATCGTGAGTACTAAATTTCAAACTCATCAAAATACTTGAATTGAATCCTAGGGGCTGCGATTCTGCTTTGGGAGTGGTCTTGAGAAGCGTTCATTGGGGAGAAGGTGTCCTTCTTGCTGAGAGAATGGGGTCAACAGAAGAGCAGAAGAAGGCAATCCTGCCTTTTCTGCAGGTAAGATCGCACCAGTGTATGAAGCATTCTCCTCTCTTTGATACGCTCCCAGTTGAAGATGTCCTTCGTTGTCTGGTGCTTCGCAGAGGGCTGATGAGGTCGCAACGGTGGAGCCAAAGGTGGCGTACTACTGCAGGATGTATGCAGTTGAACAGGTAGGGTGCCTGTAGTGCTCGATATGCAATGCAACAAGACGCTCGGTGCAGATGCTTTCACAAGTTTGTGATCTGTGGCACCTCCCGATTAATACTTCCCATGCAGGGCCTTGTCCTGGAAAACCGCAGCCCGCAGATAGATGGCGTGCTGGGAGCTCTGCTGGCGAAACTGGAGAAGGACAAGCCGGCCATCAGTGCCGGGCCGGACGACCAGCAGTACTGCGAGAACTTTGCTGTGAAGGTGTTCAATCGCGCAGACAAAGCGGACCGCGCCGGCCGGGCAGACAAGGGCACGGCCACCACCTACTATGCTGCCAGTGTCTTCATTGAGGTGCGCCCTCCACAGCTCTGCCAAGCTGCACACACTGCATCCATGCTCCCATCGAAACCAGCATCATGGGCCAATGTAATTGAGATCTTGATGCGGCTGATGGATATGTCAGCGGAGCCATTACCTTGGGCAGCATGGTGCTTAGTGGCCTGCCGCAGAGCCAGCGGGGCAACTAAAGTATGGTCCGAGTGCTGTCAGCGAAAGCAACGGCTACAGCTTTGGGTGCAACATGCAGATCCTGCGGCAGTGGGGCGAGCTGTCGCCGGACCTGGTGGACATGCAGCGCTACGCGGCCTGGAAGGCGGCCGACATCCGCAAGGCCCTGCGTGAGGGGCGCACCCCCGCCGCCGGACCCCCCGCCGACTCGGCTGACGCCAAAGCAGAAGCAGACCTCAAGGCGGAGGCCGACCTCCTGGACGATCTGGGCCTGCCGGCCGTACCAGGCAGGACACCTCCAAAGCCTTTAAAGCTTACATGCCTTCCCTGCATGCCTTCCTGGGAGGTTTGTGCTGTACTTGCTATACCAACAGCCTGATCGTGGAGACCTTTATGTCTGTGGGCAAGCAGCACTGGGAGTATCCCCATGCGCTGCTCGTTCTTCATGCGACATGCGCAACTGGCTGAAATGCCTGGCATGGCATGATGCTGCAGGCAGCCTGTCGGTTCCGCACACAAACGCAGCCCCGAGTGGAACCAACCCTGCACCGCCCACCCCGCCAGGTCCCCCGCCCATGCCACCGCCGGCTTTCACGGGAACCCCCAGCAGCCACAGCACAGCGCCCCGCTTCCAGCCGGGGAGCAAGGTCATCTACAGCGCGAGTGGCCAGGGAGGCGGCGTCAAGGGCACCGTCGCCAGAGTCACCCGAGAAGGTGCTGCTCTGTGTCCCTCGAGCCTCAGCCATCTTCAGGCCTGCGCGAGTCTCGTGTGCGCGCAGCCCAGTTGCACCTGCTTGTTACAGCAGTATAGCATCAGAATTATCAAGCTGCACATGCAGGGAGAGGTGTCTGTCTCGAAGCACCTCAAGGGAAGAGGCAAACGCTGCCCTTATCCACCTATGGGCATCCTAGGTGGAGAGCCACTCAGAAAGTCCAGAACCTTGATGCCATGAAAGCTCAAGCACCGGCGAGCCCAAGTTTGTTGGTGAAGGTGTTGTTATTGGTGCAGGACCGGAGGGCTGCCAATACATGGTGGCACTGAGTGCGGAGATAGTGGCAGCAGACGAGGCACAGCTTGCGCCCGAGTACGAGCCAGGGCAGCGTGTGGTGTACCACGCCCCCGACGGATCCCTCATGGACGCCAGCGTCGGCGAACTCAATGCCTCCCACTGGTGCGGTCAGACGAGGCTCTGCACCATTATATTTTGATGGGCGCGTCTGCATTTCTCAGCTCATCATGTTGTCAGCAGACAGGTATTTGTTGAGCTCAATGTGACGGCCGCCACCCAAATACTTCTTCAGACAGCTTGACAGTTGGATGCCTTACAGCCGGACTGCAGAGCTCTTGCCTGGGCCTACATGCTGATAGCATGCCAAAGACAGTGTTGCAGACCACTTGCAGACTTCACTGGGCCTGACCTGTCATTCTCCTGTGCATGGCCGCAGGCGCCCGACGTACACAATCACCTGCGACGAGGACGGGGAGCAGCGGGAGGTGATGGACACGCATCTGGAGCGGCTGAAGGAGCCGCGCTCGCCGCTCATGCCGGCCTCAACGCCGCCCTCCATAGCGGCCGTGTCCCCTTCAGTCGACGGCGATGCCTCTGCCAGCCCGGTTGCGCCGCCGTCCCCGCCGCCGCCGCCCGCCCCCGGCCTGCCGCCCAGGCCGCAGGCGCCCTTCGCGGCCTCCCGGCCTCCTCCCACGCCAGGTGGCGTTCCCCTCTGGTCCCTGCTCCATTACTGGAGACGCAGGGTAGATCTGCGGGCAGGCAGCCACAGTGCATCTCTGAAAAAGGTCGAGTCCGTGTATTTTCTGAATAAGTACGTGCGCACCACTGGTCCTTGCTCAATTGAGGTCCGAAGGCTTGCAAGAGAGCAGTGAAGATCCAGAGGAGAACGGTCATGTGGGACGTCCTCTGCTGTCAAGCGCATCCCATTCCAAAGCTGATGGCCTTGGAAGAGGTCACAACAAACACTCACAGAGGTTGAAGACAGCTTGTACTGCTAAATTTGCTGCCGATGTGGAGCCTGTACATTCGCCCTCCTGTCTCGTCCAGGCCTGGCATTTCCATGCAGAAACACAGTGATGCTGACACGTGTGCATCCCCAAAAGGAGCTCTGCCCAGAACAGGTGGCGGGGAGACTGTGCTAGTGCACGTTTGATGCAGTTTTCGGGGCAGGATGAGATAGGCTTGGTTATTGAGGCAAACAAGGTAGCAGAGAACCTGCAGTGTGGCTGGAAATTCATGGCAGCAATTATTAAAAGATTCTATGGTGGTGCAGGCCCTCCCCCGGTGCAGTCTCTTCCCATCCCATCCCCGCCCCCAGTCAGCCATGGTGCGTTCCACCCTGCAGCTGTATAGTTCAACCACTTCCGAGCCTGGAATGTGTAAAAAATCTCTGCCATTGCATGATCGCTGATGAGAAGTGTGTGCTTTGCAGTTCCAGCAGCAACCGTCCCACAGCCCACGGCAGGATTTAATCCCAGCCTGGCAGCGATCACTGAGGCACACAAGTGCGATCCCTTTTGTGGTACTCGCACACATCCTGTCTGCAACGGTAATACTTAATTCTATGAGTGATTGCTTGTGATGTTGGATTGGCGTGCTCTTCAAGAAAGAGTACATCTGATTTTTTATCGATTCTGAAAGGGGTGTGAGCTGCATGCAGGCTGGCAAAGTATGGAGCAAGCTCACTGGGCTTTGAGGATGTCCCTAGTGCCGTCAAGTACCTAAGCGATGCTCTGAAGCTGCTGACTCAGCCACATTAGCGCTGCATTCTAGAATTCTGAGTCTGATCTTTGAGTTGTGGCGCACCGTTTGCACATGATGCAGTCTGGAGTTCGTCATCTGCTTTATAGCCATGTGATTGTTAGATGGGTGAGCGTTAGGCAAGCAAGGAGAGCTCTTCTTAGCTCGAGTGCTTCTCGGTACGATTTTGCAAAGTTCTCACTGTTGGGACCGGTACTTGATTTGGATCGTCAATTGATAGCTAGTGAGTGTGGTGGCTAGTCAGTCTGGTGGCGTAATGAGTGCGGGGGCAGCGGTGTAAGGCTTAGCGCTCAGGGGGAGTTTTATAAGGTGTAGTAGAGCTTGGATTGGAGCCATCTGCGTTCAAACTTTGTGATACAAACAGCTAGACAGTGAGGAAAAATGTAATGCATGGTAGATTTGTACAATTATACATGTATATACAGGTATGGTACATCCTCGCGATGCTTAAGAACTCGCTGAAAAAATAGCTACTTCAGACTTGAAAACAAAGCCAAAGACACACGAAGTTGCTGCCATCCTGGCATACATGCATGACCTGAGGCTGTTTGTGAGCTGGGGGCATTCAATCTCTTTAGTGAATCTCTGCACGCAAGAGGTATGTATTACCCAGCTCCAAAGCATTGCAAGTATAGAGGCTAAAAATGTGACTGACCCATAATTGTCTGGAACAGAATGGGGAGAGTCTTAACATGCTGGGACACCGTGAGTCATCACGACAATACCGAAAAGAAGAAAAAGGAAAAAAATTAGGGAGAATTGTCGCGCGATTCGATCCGGGCCTTGCCGAGGTATGTGGTTCGAACGGTTCACTTGTTACGTTACTTCTCGTTCGACAGATGTGGCTTTAGCGGTCACCAGGACTCGTTTCCGAGAAGATCGCTTCTCCCATGCACAGATGGCTATTTTGCAGACTAATATAGCAGTGGAAAGAAGGTTTTGTTGAGATCATTGCGAATCCTCAAACACCACGACACGACATCAGTAATACAGTATTACTGTCGATACTGAAGTATCTCCAGTGCCTTTCATATGCTGGCAGGATCAAATGATGCATGATAAGTGGTATTGGTAACAAAGTAATTTCAGCTTACAAGGCAGAATCTTTGCCAGCCATTTATGCTTCAGGAGTACAAAAATCATGCATGTGTCAGTGTGCAGCTCTGATATTAGCAGAGCACAACGCTATTGCAAGGGCTCTGCTGAAATTATCACACATTCGTGATGTCAACATCATTGTTGCTGACTGAGACCAAAGCAGCCTTGCTCAGCTTGCCACAATCAGAGAATTGGAAATACAAAGGCCTGAAGCACACATGCCTTAAACATGCCTCTTCCTGGTGGCTCTGATGCTCAAGAACTCCAGACTTCAGAAGGTCGTGGCTCCCCTCATCTTCAGGAGGTCCACCAGTTGATCGTGCGTGAGCGAGTTGAGGATGACGATGCTGGGCGCTGCATCCTCCTGAGCCTCTTCCCCAAAGTCCCTCTTGGGGAATCCCACGAAGGAGGGATGCTCCGAGCGCTTCACACTCTTGCTGAACATCCGCTGCAGTAGCCCTGGACCTTGCTGCTTGCGCCCCTGCACAACCCCAAGAACACCTCATGTCACTTGAACAGGAATTGCTCGCATGCAAAATTGGCATATTGATCTCACATTAGCACTAAAGTAGCAGCTTCAAAGATGTACCCCAAAACGGCTGCTCAAGAGCCCTGGCTTTACCCAATCCTGTGCTGAGGAGAACGAGTCTCCAGAGGATGATCTGGGCGTCTTGAAAGCGGCGCGATCAGGCAGAATGGAATGATTGTTTTGATTGTTGTGGGGGACCAATTCATCTTCCTGCGCTGCGCTGATGGCCTCAAGCTGCCTCAGCCGCCGCTCTGCTGCCTCCAATTCGCGGACGCGCTCCCTCAACCTGACACAAACATTGCAGCTCAGGGAAAATTGATGATGTGGGCGTCTTTCTCCCTCTTAGCGGAGCTCCCTGCTATCAGTTGCATGGGCGCTTACACCATGGCATGATTGCCAGCCACCCACAGAGACAGCTTGAGAACCCTCTGCGCCCATCCTCTCACTGTCCATCAGTGGGGTGCTGCTGGCATTGTACCCTGTTGCCGGTGATACTTCTTTGTTGGGAGCCTCAGCAGACAGCGGCACCGGGGGCGCACCGCTGCTTGTCATCATCGTCGGAGTCAGCGCCGCTGGCAACTGCCGGGCAGCTGCTGGCGGAGCAGTGCGTGTCTGGCCGGCCGCTCGCGTCTTCAGCCGTTGACGGCCCCGAGTCGAGCATGGACGCCGTGCTGCTTGCTGGCGGGGATGTTATGCTTGAAGCGCTGCGTGGCGACGCCGGGCCCTCGGTGCTGAGGCCCCGGCTGCTGCATGAGCGCCTCTCCAACTCCTCGCAGCTCATCTGTCACAGGAACTGCCCATTAAGGCTCCCCAACAATTGGAGTTTTCTTATATCCGATTAAAAACTCCCTTGTGAACGAAATGGGAAAAAGGACAGACCTTTCGGTCACCAAGTTGAAGCCAAGGGCAGGGCTCTTGAAGAGATCGATACAGCCGTTTGAGAAATACACTCAAAGCATACAATCTGTCATGAGAGGTGCATTGCACTCCTCACACACATACGACAGAGACAAGCCTTCTGAGGTGAGACATGAGATGAAGTGGGAGACGAGGCTGTGCAGCACACCTGCTGCACCTGCTGCCGCAGGAACTTGAGCTCTGACAGCAGCCGCTCCGTCTCCGCAGCGCCCTGGGACCGGCAGCCGGCCTGCAGCTGCGTCACGGTCGCGCGCAGCTCCTCCAGCTCAGCCGCTGACTCAGCATCTGCGCCCGCCCTGCCTGTCTGGCTCTCCAGCTCTGCTTGCAGAGACTGCACCCTACACTCCCCAGCAGTAAGGCTTCAGCAAGCGAGCATTCAGACTCTTAATGGTTCTCTGAATTCTTTTGGTACATCTCATCAGAATTCTTCTTGCAAAGATGTAATACCTCTTTTTCTCTCTCTGTGTCTTTATCTTCTTCTAGGTGCGGTTTGTGTGAAGACTGTTTAAGGCCTCTGGGCTGTCTTTTGAGGCACGTCATGGTAATGTTTTGAGCATGACAGCATGCCCTGCTTGTATAAGAGAGTCTGGTGACTTGCCTGCTCCTGAGCAGTGCCAGCTCATCTTGATCATTGGAGGCGGCCTGGCGCAGGAGGTTCTCTTTCACCTCGGCATACAGCTTTGCCCTCTCGCGCGTGACAGCCGCCTCGGTCATTTGCTGCATGCCCACATCATGCCCACATCATGCACACTCAGCTCCTCATCACAGCACAGTATCATTGCAAAGAACACACATCTCTGGCTTGATGGTGATTTTAGATGCCAGGGATGCAGAGGGGTCACCGTGAGGTACTGCTGCAGGGCAGGGTCGAGCTTCATGAGGTTGCCATGCACCGCGGATATTCCCCCGCCATTCCTGTGAGCGTCCACGGTCACCTGCAATAGCAAGACTGTGTGATTGCAACTGGCAACAATGTGACTGGACGGCCCTGGTCAGTTGCTCTGAATTCTGAAGCACTATTCCACATAAATAGCTGGATCTAAAGCTTCGGGAAAGTTCACGTAAATGACAGATCTGCCCTGCAGAGCAAGTGCACACCTGCATCATCCGCTGTGCAAAGCGGCATGTCGAGATGGTCTCGTTCAACTGGGCCGCCTGTGCCGTGCACGAACTTTCAAGATTGCAGGATCCAACACTCATGTACTTCTTTCATAGATGCCTTTCTTAGCAGCGTGTCAAATTCCTGCAGCGCTTCAGAAAGAAACAGATATGCAGTCCAGGCATGGGGTCAGAGGCGCACATCAGACCAGATGCATGCAATGAGGCGGGTGTGGCAGTTGCCTCCGATGGAGTCCTTCAGGAAGTGGGTGAGCTTCGATGACCTGTAGGGCACATGCTTGGTGCCCTTTTTTGACAGCGCCACTATCACCTGCATGCATGCACCGGCTGACTCAGCAGCCTTCTCCACCCATTCAATTTTCATTTTGAAAACCAGACAATTGCAAGTAGAAGCAAGCATGGGGACCTGTACATCAAGATGCACTTGGCATTCAATGGATAGGAGCTTCAAGTGAGGCAGCACCTGTTCGAGAAAGGACAGGGACTTGTTGATGTACATGGCTTCTTTGGCGATGGCCCCTTCTGTGCCTGTCTTGGAACTGCGCTCTGATCCGGCCAGGTCCACCATATTGAGCTTGCTCAGGAATGTGTGCCCCTCTGTGGGCCACAGTACAAGATCAGATATTGTTGCTGTGTTCTAAGCTTCAGCATGGCCATTGGGAACCAAGCTTTATAGACAAGCATTGGATGGGCTTGAGTAAAGTGTTGGAGCCAAGATTTGCCTTGATGGCCCTAGAGGAGAGTTCTGCACCGACCTGACTTGATGGTCTCGCACCAGAGGGTGAATATTGCGTGCGAGCGGGAGGACCTGGAATTCAGGGCGTGGCCTGCCACCGCTCTGTTGCTCTGGCCCTGTCACATGCAGGCAGCGTACTATCTGTGACAGTTGGAACTGATCTGAGGGGCTCAGGCTTGACAGAAATTGGACTTCAACACAGCGGGGCTCAGAAGAGATGCTCACCATTGCCAGAACTTGCAATGCTGCAGCCGCATTGCTGCACTTGATGCGGCGCACATTGTTCAGGGCCACCACACCCCTGCGTGACAGCACCATGTTTAGCACAATGTTGTTTAAGACACCTATCACAACATCTCTGCTGATCTGTGCATGCATGCTGTTTCCGGAAAAATGTGGACCAGCACACTCACTGCTCCTCAAAGATCGTGATGTCCGAAGCTTTGGTGGACGGCTCTGACAAGTCCCGGAAGGTCTCATTGTAGATCTCCACATAAGACGCTGACACGCTCCACTGCATGAACTCCGACCTTTGCAGGCGGTTGAACAACTGCAGTGCGCAGAGAGAAATCATTGCTCGCTATACCCCCGTACTCGACCTTGTTTCTGTAGCTAGCTAGTCCGACAAATTTGGCTGTAGGAATTCCATACCTGTGCAATGGCTCGTGGCATGATGCCCTGGTCCTGATCTTGCAAGGGGCCTTGTGAAGGAGGGGGTCCTGCGCAAAGCAGAAGGCTGTCACAAATGAGACTCACAAGGTGCTTGGCTGAGGCACAAGTGGAGACAGACAGGGAGAGCCGGATTACCTGCCATTGTATACGTTTTGCCAGAGCCCGTCTGGCCGTACGCCATGAGCGTTGCGTTAAATCCATCCAGAACAGTTTTCACCACATCTTCACCACAAACCTGACAGGATATATATCTGCTCCTCAGGGAACTGGAACACCGGTTGAATTCATGAGGTTGTTCAAGTATTGTTTACCCAGCATTGTTTATTTCAGAAGCGGAAGGAGCAGCACCTTGTATGCCTCCTCTTGCGTTGCATCGACAAGCGATTGCGAGAAGCCGAACTGTCGAGAACAAACGAAATCGTTCACCAAGAGCACAGCCATTGCAGACACCACTCAGGTGATTGAAAATCCAATAAAATGGCACCGGTTCTCGAAGGCGAGCATCACCTGGAACAATTCATCATCATCGCTTCCCTTTCGTATGAAGATGGTGGACCCCTGTAAAAACGCCAACCATTGTCATCCTTGGAATCTTAAAGTCAGGCTTGCATGCGTACCTAACCTTGAAAGTATTACCTCTGAGCCATTTACTGTTTGGATCTGATCGCATGCACCCTCTCTGGTCGGCCGCACACGGACAACCACACTGCACGTCTTCTGCATAGTCCTATCTTACAATTGCGTTCTTTGTAACAGGATCTAGATGAGTTGTTGATGCCATAAACTGGTCATTATAGAGATTTATCACGCCGTAGGCCTCGTCAAAGGAATTTGGGAGTCTATCCTTCGGTTACGTCTGAAACGTCTGCAGCGGCGGGGCAGCGGCGGACAGCTTTCAGATCATGCACTCGATCATTTGTAAATGTTCTGATCAGATTGTCACTTCGCTATAAATGATATCACATTGTTGATTCGAAGGCAAAAGCTACAATCTCAGGCTCTTGTGTAGGCTTTTGTTGGGAGCATGGGCCCCAAATCCCTTTTTACTAGCCCTGCGCTTTCACAGCTGGCCGACCATTATCATGCTTGCTTGCACATTTCGCCCCTAATTGCTAAAAACAGAGCGACGTGCCACAAAAGGTTGAGATCGCTGGCATCGGCAGGCTCTCTAAACAAATCAGCCTCCTCTGTAGATTGCACGATCCTGGCTGTAAATCCAGGAGCTTCTCAGCGGCTGGACGCAAATGTCAGACATATTGGCAATGGAAGCCACCCTGCTACTGCTACACCCCCACAGGCTGACAGCAATGGTGCTGAAAGCCATCTAGCCACACTGGTACGTTCACTCTGTGCAGTCAGCTCACATCACTTTGGGGCAGATTCTTCTGGTATAGAGACTCAACACTGGCTGCTACTGAAGTGGGGCTGCCCTGTATGCAGATGGTGAAGTGCCCAGATCGCAAAGGTGTCATTGCGGCACTGGCACAGCTGCTCTATGGCCTCGGCTGCAACATCCTGGCATCCGACCAATTCACAGCTGAGGTGAGCTCTTTTCTGCAGTACATCTCAGAGTCTGCAGTACACCCAATAATCAATTAATCAAGCAGCCATGCATGCGTGCCTGCATGCCCGGACAACCAGCGTTGAACGTATGCTGCTTCACGCTGCATTGTCGCAATGCAGCGTGCATGCGGCATGCATGCGTCACTTAAAATGTCAAGCAAGCTGCTTTGTCACGGAGTCCCAGTGAACAGTACGGATGAACGTGCTGACTGTACCTTACATAAACGTATGCAATGCAGAAAAACCGCAAGCATGCACATGCTGACAGCACATGGGGGCACATGTGTCTGCAGGAGGGGGTGTATTTCCAGCGGATACGCTTCGACCTGACGGACATGGTGGTGGGCACTGCCAACAAGGCGGTGCTGGAGCGCGCGATCGCTGAGGTGGCGGACAGGTTTGGGATGGAGTGGCGCCTGTTCTACGACGGCGCTGTCAAACGCGTGGCCATCCTCGTCAGCCGCCTTGACCACTGCCTCTATGACATCCTCATCCGCCACAGGGCAGGTCCGCCCCAGCTCTCACATATTTTAGAGACAAGTAGCGCAGGCGGCCAAAATGGCTCCCAAAGGAAAGCCACACCCAACCCTTAGGCAGTGCAGACAAGAAATATGCATGCATGCAGTCAAAAAATGCGCCAGAGATGAGGAGAAGGTCTGGGTCGACTGTAACCCCCAGTCAGCCCAGCTTTTTGCTGCATGGTCTCGGCTTCAGATTGTGGTCTGTCATGACTGATGAGAAGCGCACTGTGAGGTAGTAATTTGCAGCGTTGGGAACAGTCCTGCAGATTTTCTGTTGGACTGATGGCATGATGCTGATGGAGGTGCAACAGGCAAGGCATGTGAAGTGTGGCATCAATATGAGGCGCCATTTATGTGCTGCAGGGGAGCTGAAGTGTGAGATTCCCATAATCATCAGCAACCACCCGGACCTGGAGGGCATTGCTACCTCCTTTGGCATCCCCTTCAAACACCTGCCGGTTGCCCCTGGCAGCGGTCCTGAGGGGAAGCGCTCACAGGTGACCTCATGATCTCTTTGTTGAATTTCAATTCCCATGAGTGACCACTACCATGCGCACACCTGATGTGAGGCGCTCCCTGAGCAATTTGATAGGAGCACTGCCTCCTGATTGGTGGCAGGCTCCTTTGTCCTTAGGATGTGCCAAAGAGGCTTCACCCTTGCCCCAGGACTTGTGACTGAGCAGTAGTAATGAGTTCTCAGGATGTGGCGTTCATATTGTATTGCAGGAGGCACAGATAGAGGCGCTGCTGGAGGAGCTGGGCGTGGACCTGATAGTGCTGGCCAGGTACATGCAAATCTTCAGCGAGGAGTTCTGCTCGCGCAATGCCATGCGCACCATCAACATCCACCACTCCTTCCTGCCAGCCTTTGAAGGTGAACCTGCCCATGCCTCTCCATACACTGTTGTTTTCATGCTGTACCCTTCCCTTTGCAAGCAGAGCGAACTCAGAATTCCTGTTGATGTAGAGTCCTCTGGCAAGCCTTGCTAATGGTATTCTGCCATCCTGTAACACATCACCGGCAGTCACGACAGTTCAGTCCCTGAAAGCGCATGTTCCAGTTTGTTCATGGGCTTGCCCTGCCAGGTGGAGCATCACAATGGTGTTGACCTGAGCACACTTTCTCTGGTGCAGGGGCCAAGCCATACCACAGAGCGTATGAGAGGGGTGTGAAGGTGATTGGAGCCACAGCCCACTATGCGACCAGTGAGCTTGACGCAGGCCCCATAATCGAGCAGGTGATCTTTGTATCAATATCCTTTCTCTGCTCCCGCCTTGCACATATGTTTAAAAGTCAGGTTGGCATCCAACGAGCCCTGTATGATCCAGTTTATCTGCAAGCACCATGTCAGGGATGCTGTGGTGGACAGCTATTGAGTGCCCATTGCTCCTTGGGAGCTTGACATAACAGGAGTTGGTGATTCTGTTGTGCAGGACGTGACGAGGATATCCCACAGGGACAGTGTGCAGGACATGATCCGCAAGGGTAGGGATCTGGAGAGGCTGGTGCTGGCTAGGGCACTGAGGTCTGTGCTCAGTGACAGCGTCATGGTGAATGGCAACAGAACTGTGGTCTTTGAAATCTAGAGGCATTATAATGTCAGAGTTTTACAGCACTTGATTTGGCATGATTCACCTTCAGACCCGTGTGTCATGTTGCACTGCAATTTGTAATCAGTAGCAACCTCCAGCAGATGGCTGCTTTCTAACATGTCAACAGGCGGTGCTGATACAATGCTGGCCTGAGTCTGGCAATTATCATGCTGCATGCGTAAGGTGGCATACAACAGTATACAGTGATTACTGTAATCACTGTCGATAGATGCATGGATGCTAAGCTATCTAGCAGTACAAATAGATACTTGTTCAACTCTACAACTATTTAACACCTCAAAATTGCCCGCATGCTGTAACCAGCAACCCTGGCTTTCAACTCTCGCCAGCTCGTTTGTCACCAGTCAATGCTGCAGCACATAGTTCTGGACAGATGGGAGCGAAGTAGATAGCCGTTGGATGCTCAATTGCGTCCAAGAGAAGAACAATAAGATCTCTCCTCCAAGGCATCTTCCCATGCCGTCCTATCCACGAGTCTGGCGCCGCGCTTTCCACCACACAAGTCACTGGCCCTTCAGGATGTGCGGGGTCAGCTGCTTGTTTAAGGTAAACATCGTAAGTGGATTCGTGAACAGGGTGCCCAGCTTCTTGTCGACTAGGATGGTCCTCTTGTCGTTGGGGTCCTGCAGGTTGTTGGCCCGGATGTACTCCCACAGCTGCTTCACCACCTGCAGCACAGCCGCCCATCTCTGCTGAGCGTTCACAGCCTAATCAAGCAGGCCCCCAGCATTAGAAGTATTCATGCCACCCCATATCTACACCCTCGACCGCAAGGAGCTGCAGACATGTAAATACAGCAACATTATTGTCACACGGGACTTTCTTTGTGCAGCACTTGGATCAGCTACACGTCTCACATATCATCCCGATGTTTTACTCAGTGTGCCATAAATTCCAGATGGGATGTTCCTCTGACACATTTTCCGAAAAAGAGATTTAAAACATCCGTGTGTGCTCTCACCTGTGGCCGGGCCATTCTCTCCACGCCCAGAAACTTCTGCATGGGTGCTGACAGCGCGCTGCCGCCGCCGCTGCCGTTGGAAGACGCCCGTCTCTTCTTGGGCTCCTTCGCGTCGCCGCTCTTCTGCGCCCCCCCTGTCTTGCGCTTGTTGGGTGCCTTTTTAGGCGTGGGTGCCTCATCATCGTCCTTGTCATCATCTTCCTCCTCCTCTTCCTCCTCCGCCTCATCATTCCCTATGGAATCTGCATGACACATGAAGGGTTCCTCTGTCTCTGGCCGTCTAAACTCTTTCATTTGATGGAGTCTGAAGATAGAGAGGTCTCCAGTCATCCAATCAGCTTCATATTGTTGCATCTAGACTTCAATGTTGATTGAGCATTGTGTGAGATTGGCCGGCGATGTTCGCACTGCATGTGCTGCCTTCTTCTCTCCAAAGCCAAAGGCCCCATATCCAAGGGCTGGTTATGTCCTGATTAAGCTTGCACAGAAGAGGAAAGGCATGTTTAAAAGAAGTATAAGAGGCCTCACCGTCGACGTAGACATGCCGCGACAGCTGCTTATTCATTGAAAACATTGTAAGTGGTGATTTGAAGATGGTCTTCAGCTTGTCGTCCAGTATGATCTTCCGTTTGTCGTTGGGGTTCTGCAGATTGTGTTCCTTTATGTACTCCCACATCTTCTTCACCACCTGGGGCATTCACAACACGTTCTGCTCCAACCTCGCATTTTTCCTGTGCAAAGGCCCACAGCTTCTGATGCGGCTCCGCCCAAATTTGATGGTTAAGAAATTCAACTCTGCTGGTGTGTCTGCGTCTTCAATCACCTCTGTGCGGGGCATGCTCTCCTGGCCCAAGAAGGCCTGCAGGTCTGCAGACAGCTTGCTGCCAAATGCCGACTTCCTTTTCCTCTTTGGCCTGTTTGGGGGCAGACAGGAAGGCTCAATTTGAACTGTGCATCTATATCGCATTGTTCTGCGAGCATGCTGCTGACTCCAACAGGGAAAAGCAGGTGGCCCTGGACGCACTTCTTCCTCTTCACCTCCACCTCCACCTCTTCGTCTCCATCGTCGTCGTGATCATCGTCCTCTGCATCACCTGCTGACTCTCCATTTTCTTTGGCGTCGTCACCTTCCTCCGCATCTTCGTCCTCGGCCTCTTGTTGCTTCAAGAGGTACGTTTGCACCTGTGCTACATACAACTCGTTCAGCTAAAAAACTCAAACATGCGGATTCTGACCGGTGAAACAGTCCCCATCTTCAATGCTTCCACTTTGCAGCAGTTCCTTTCATGCGAAACCCGCATTGATCAATAGGCTCATGCACCTCTTCACGGATGAGTGCTTTCCTCTCAGACAGATCCTCGTTCAACTCCGCCTCGATAGTTTCGCGAAGTATCCTTTCTGCAAGGGAACATCGATTTAAGATGTCAAATCCCAATGCCACTGCCATGTTCCACATTGGGGACATTGAAATGCCAAAGCAGGAGCAGGCAGGTCGAACATCAGACTGCGTTAGCAAACCAGTGCCCAAAAAGGGACTCACCAGACGTTGTCTGTAGGTCTACCTCCTCAAGAAGGGCTCGTAATCTTACAACTATAGTTTCGTCTGAGACAGGCATGCTGCTTTTGTACCCCTGGGCACTTGATCTGACCCCTGTTGCGTCTTGCGAAATGGGGAATAGCAACGAAAAGGGATAAGGAGACCGGGCAGCAGCCTTCAGCAGACACAACCTCAGGAGTTTTTGGCAGATGTGGAGCACAGGTAGTCGAAAGGCAACAGCTCAATGGATTAAGATTGATCGCTCTTGCGACAGTGCCCGCTGGGCAGCCGGCTCACGGACGTACGGGCTGCCCGCCATTGGGATGGCCTTCAGCTGCCGGCGCATTGGTCTATAAACAATGCAGATGATTCATTCCTGAACCTGTCTTATATTTCTCTGGCGATTGAAGAATTGTCTAGGGCGTCCACAAACCGAAGATTGCTGTTCCAAGATCTCCGAGTTGACTGACGGCAGTTCAGATCTCCACCTTGAGCAGTCCCTCATCTTCGTGATGTTGGATTACACCATTTTTATTTAAATCCGTACACAATGTGGCACCTGTAGTAGGTGTGCAAAAGACGATTGCGGAATGAGGCATGTAGGGATGTGGTCTAAGCACAACGTGCAGGTGCTTTTTTTGCTGATGCTCGATGAAAATCCTCCAACCTTGCCTTTCATGAGCACATGGTATTTAGGAAGTACGATTTAAGTGTCTGTGACACTTCAAATATAAAAGGTGCAACTGCTTGTTCTCAGGTGATCTGGCAGAGGAGGTGTCCCTGCCTACACAGCATCCGATGTGCCAGCAGCTGGAATTCGTCCGCAAAGAGCGCAAATACACGGTCCTCGAATCGGGGATCTGAAGGCAGGTAGTCGCTCTGGATCTGCTCCCCCAAAGCACACAGTACGTTTGGCCATTCTGCCTGCCGTTTGTCAAACAGCCTGTTTCTTTCTGACCATAACTATCAATAGGTGGTTATGATGAGTGATGCGTGCACGACAGGTCATGGCAAAATGACAGACCGAGCAGCTCTGAGAGCGACAACTCACGAAACAGCAGCGGGTGGCGACCAGATCTCTCCGAGGGTAAGGAGGAGCAGAGCCCACCCAGGGATGCATGGGGGGACGGAGCATGGGACAGGGGCAGCAGCCGCGGCCAAGAGAGAGGCGGCAACAGGCAGGGATCATCGAACAACTGGGGCAGAGAGGGATCGCAGCGGTGGCCAAGCAGGGACCGCTCTTCCGCCAGCAGCCAGGGATCGGGCAGAGGGGGAGCACAGCGTTGGCAGCGCAGAGACGGCCCTCCGGCTAACGGTCAGGCATCCGGCAGAGAGGGAATGCAGCGTTGGCAGAGCAGGGATGGGCCTTCAGCCAACGGCCAGGAATCTAGCAGCGGGAGGGCTCTGAGGGATGGGCTGCAAGGGGAAGCGGTGTATGGGGTCAACCCCGTTCTGGGCGCTTTGCAGGCCATGCGCAGAGAGGTGCATGTTCTCTATGTGCAGGAAGGTGGGCCTCCTGAATCTCTAAGTGCACAGTTACTTTGCCTTTTATGGCTAGTGTTTCTTCATTTGAATCTGCTATTTCAGGAGGTCTGTCACTTTCTCTTTTGAAACTTCCAAAAGCTGTTCAGCAGATGGTTCGAGGGTGCCTTACCAATTTCCTGTCACAGATTATGACAGAAGATCAAATGGCGGTTACCCAAGATAGATGCAGCCCTTCGCACCGGCCCCTCTGCCTCCCAAAGCAGAGTGGGCCTTATCATATAAGCGGCTGCCACATGAATTCTTCCAAAATTTTTGAAACAATTTGAGTTGAATTGCTAATCCACTGACAGTAAACCTGTGGTTCCTCACAGCAACCGAGGGCACGAAGAAGAAGGAGGGCGTGCCTCAGGCGATAGCTGCCATGAAGGAGCGAGGGGGGACCATCAAGTATGTCAGCAAGCATGACCTCAACCTTGTTACCGATAACAAGCCCCATCAGGTGCATTCTGTTCCAAGAAGTATTTTGACAAACCAGGCCGGACTGCACACATGGGAGTGACCCTTATCTCAGGGATCCTGCTTGTTCCTGGGGACGTCTATTGCATACAAGCCAACAAATGTTTTGTAGTCCAGCTTTGCCTTCTCGTCTCTGCCTTCTTGTCTCTGCTCCCAAATTGAGGACTGAAGTCCCTGTCCTCTCGTTGGTATGGTAGGGCTTGATGCTGGACTGCTCTGCGCTGGACTGGGAGGCTTTGGAGGAATTCCCTCCCGCGGACAGCGCAGCGCAGCCCGACAGTGGCCGACCGCCTGTGTGGCTCGCTCTGGACGAGATTGGCGACCCGGTGAGTCCACCCATCTGCGTCATACCGGCAGAGTTTGAGCCATGGAGGTTGCTTTTCTTGCATCAATTTCCTCTCCCGTCAGGCACTCTGCTGGCAATGATTTGCATGACTTGCATGATTTGCAAAAACTTGTGACTTAGCCCATGTCTGTGCGTTGTTGCAGCAAAATCTTGGGGCGGCGGTGCGGGTGGCGTACTTTCTGGGCGTGTCGGGGGTGTTGTGCTGCGAGCGCAACTCGGCGCCGCTATCGCCGGCTGTGAGCAAGGCGAGCGCGGGTGCGCTGGAGTGGCTGCCTCTGCACGCCTGCCGCTCAATGCCCCGCACCCTCACCCGCGCCGCTGAGTCCGGCTGGCATGTCGTCGGTGCGCGCCTTTTCTGTCCAGACTCACCCCTTTTTCAAAGGGCACATTGATGATGTGCAGCAAGTGACATGCTCCGATAAGGGTGAAAGGGTCGATATCCTTAAGTCTCTTTTCTGAGGGGTTGTGCTATATGCCGGCTGCCTGCAAGCATGTTATGACACACCACAACCTGCGCTAGTGTGTGCATCTCTGTTTTGCCCCGTCGTACTTCTCTGCATGACCAAAAGGCACAGACATTGTTGACGTGCCCCAGCACCATGCTGCTGTGCTGCAGGCTTGCGTGTTGACAAGAATATGCTGCTTTGCAGGCGCAGGGAGCGAGGCGGACGCGGAAAGTTGCAAGGGCTTCACGGTGTCTCGGCCAACGATTCTGGTAATGGGCAATGAGGGGCGCGGGCTGCGGCCGGTGGTGCGCCGCGCATGCGAGGGTATCCTGCGCATCGACTCGGCCGCGCCCGGCCCCGGCCGCCACCAGCCCCTCGGCGTTGACTCCCTCAATGTCAGCGTTGCCACCGGCATTCTTCTGCACCAGCTGCTGGGGGCATGACAGTGATGTCCTGCCGCATTTTAGGCTTTTTTGTTTCTGTGGTCACCAACTCAGGAGACAACAATTATTGTTTCCTGAGGTTTCCTGCAGGCTGTGTCATTGGTGGATTTTGCAAGGAGTCCTGCTTGAGAAACTGACACGAGCCACTAGTCTGAAGCCCTAAATTCTGCGGTCTTCAATGTTGGATGTGAAGGTTCAGTGTTAAGATTGTCATCTCTGAAGTGTTGTCAATGTGGAAGTGACACCCCAGCGTATGATTGTTTGGGTGCTCTCACAGTGCCGATGAGCACAGGAGTTCAATTAAATTGTTTAAATGCTTATGAGATCGGGAGGTGCACCCCTGGTTGCGCTTGATTTTACTGTACCAAATCAATGCATTGATTTAGCCATGTACCATCTAGAGATCTCCTTGCCAACGCGTTAGTCTGAGCATGGAGACATAATGATCATGCGCACTTTTAAAAGCCAAATGCAGACCTACAGCTGCAGTGGCGGATATGTGTATCACTGAGTTTGGAGCAGAAGGTCAGGATGATCCTTGGGTAGACTGCAAGATGGGTTGAGAGCGAGTACCATTGCAAATTGCCACTAGGTACCTCCGAATCAAAGGAAGGCAAATTTCAATCGCGTGGCAGTGGTGAGCTTACAGCCGCATCGATCTTGCACATGATATACTTTGGGATATCATGCATGGGCAAGGATATCGTCTCTTGCGCTCCGGACGGGTGTGTCTGTCGGAGTGTTCTGAACACTACCTTGCACCCCCAAGGACCATGGCTCGACTTCCTTCCACTTACCTTTTTCAACATGCTCCCTTTTTTCCCACACAAAGGGCACTCTGGATATTAGATTCACAAATTAACAATCCCTATCAGAAATGTTGGGAAACAAACTGCATAAAACGGCGCTGAGGCATTAATGCATTCTGAAAGTCTGCATGCACATGCCACATTCATTCACAGATGTGACAGCTTGCAGGAGAAGCTCGAGTGTATCAAGGAGTAAACTTCACAATCTTACATCTCCAGGGCCGGGAGATATCTACATTGATGTTTGTTTTGTCCGATGCACTCTGTTCACACCGCGAGGCAGCCCTTTCTCCCACTTTGGCACTTGCAATGCCTTCTTGTCTTGCATTCTCCGTCTTCATCGCTTTATTTCTTGGGTGCAAGGAAATTTCTTAGGTGGAAGACCTACCCACGCATGCATGCAGGCCCTGGGGCATCTGCTGGGTTGTGCGCTGGCGCCGTTGACATCCGGACAGCATTTGGCTTCAGAAAATGCAAATGTACAGTGCTACATTGCCAATGATTAAACACCTACTCCAAAGCCCCCACCACCGCCTCTGCAAGGTCGAGAAAACCCCAGCCTGGCAGCGGCAGCAACAGAGGCTGCAAAGCAGAGCAACAGGAAATTGTCCGGACAAAAGGCTATCCATAATCCCAGCTGGATGAGGGCAGGCAGGCAGGCAGGCAGGCCCTCCAGCGAACTAAGGCAGAGGTTCAGACAATCTATGAGGTGATTGTTGACGTGGTCCATATACAGGCGTGGGGAAAAGCCAAGACAGCCGTGTTGTGCATGCTACAACTGGCATTGAACACATATCCATGACACAGCAGCTTTCCCAAGTCGGCTGTTTTGCTAAAGGTAATCTGTAATTGCACCAGGTCATTTGCAACTCCACGCCGTCATAGAACAAGTTGCGCTGGAGATGCACTACCCTCAGCTTTCTCTTTCACTGAGTCGTGCAAATCCACAACAGACCCATCACAACCACGATTTTCTGGCCCCTCTGACCTAGCCCACTTCAATACATGCCTTATTCATTTTGTCTGCATGGCTACACTTGACTGTGTTCTTAGAAGCAATGAGAAAGAATGAAGGTGATACATCCTGGGCCGGTCTGCTCGCGCAAATGGCTGCTCCTGTTAGTACATATCAATACACAAGGACGGGTATCCAGAAAAGCATCCTGTTTGACAGTCGTGCACCCTCGCGCTGCCAATTCTACCTACTTATACCCTTGCCTAAGTCCCTTTTTTATACCTGCCTTTGACTTGGTAGTGCTAAATAAATCCCCGAGCATTAGGCGTCGAGGCTCTTGTAAGGGGACACGTGCTGCAGCAGGGCGTCCATGGTGTAGTCGATCTGCTGCCGCTCCTGCGCGAGGTAGTTGCCGATGGCGCCGCGGAGCAGGCGGTCGCGGATGTAGTGGCTGCTGTGCGTGAGGCTGGGCAGGTATCCGCGCTGCAGCTTGTGCTCCCCCTGCGCACCCGCCTCCACCCGCGGCAAGCCCCTCTCTATCGCAGCCTCCAGCGCCTGCGGGCAGGTTAGCAAACTCTATGCCCGAGGGTCAGCCCATACTGCAACGGTCATGCGGACTTGCACGAGTCAAACCCCTGCTGGGAATTGCTTTCTCGTTCAACAATAGCTAGTGCACCATGCGTCATCAGCCGGTCCCTCCTGATGGTCCCACAAAAGGGGACCGGACTATCGAGAGGTGCCCTTCACAGAACAGGCAAGAAACCCCTGTTGGACCTCCTAAAGCGGAAATGCTCCCCAGAAAGAGCCACCAGAGGGTCCTGCCAGCTTTGCGAGCCATGGCATCGACATCACTGGACAGATGTGCTCCAGACAGAAAACACATAGTAGGAGCTTTCGGGGTCCTGAACCTTGTACAGGACGCATGCGAAAGGCAACTTTCAGCGTAAGCTGAGTCAGGGCAGGCAGAAACGCGCCTGGTAGTAGCAGACTTCAAAGTGCAGGTGCTTGACGTCGGTGTCATAGGCGCAGCCCCAGTTGCGCCCGAACAGCGCATGCGAGCCGATGAGATTTAGCGCTCCGGCGATGGGACGGCTGCTGGCGTCCTCTGCCATCACTAGCAGCACCTGCTCTGGCATCGACTCCCCCAAGACCTGGAAGAACTCCCGTGTGAGGTACGCCTGGCCCCATTTCTTGTCTGCACATCCGCACAAGCATGCGCCAGTCAGTTGCTGAGTGTTGTGGCGCACTAATAAATACCTGCATGCAAGCATGCCTTGCGAGTACAGCTTCTTGGCACCCAACAAGCTCGAGACTACTCTGTCCCATAAGATTACTCTTAATGGAGCTAAAAAGAGATAAGACTCCTCTTGACAGGACTGTTGCTGCAGATGAGCAAAGAAACATGAAAGCTACTAAGGGAGGTCGCATGATCTGGAAGGGGCTGGAGATCATGAGGGTCATGTCAGTACAATTGGAGTGTGGCATGGTGCCTCACCAGTGGTGTTGAGGTAGAACTTGTAGAAGGCGTCCCAATGTTTCGACTTGATGTCAGCTCCCGTCAAGCGCTGCAGGGACAGGCCCTCCTTGGCGACGCTCCTCCTCTCCTGCACAGTTCGGGAACTTGGCTGACCTCAGTCACACCTTCACAAATGCAAAGGACAGTCCTTTGCCGACCATATGCCTGTTCCAGAGTTGTGGCGCATTCCATGGTGTTCACTGTACTGAGGCAAGCAGCTGGGCTACCTTGCGGATGTTGTTGCGCTTGCTCTGCTTCAGGTCCATGAGGAAGCCGTCAAATGTGCCATAGTCCTTGTTGACCCAGTGGTACTGGATGCCCGTTCTCCTGAGGTACCCCAGCTCGGCCAAGGCATCCCCCTCCTCCGGTATGTTGAATGTCAGGTGCGCCCCTGACACATTGTACTCGTCTGCACCCAGCAAATATCCTCAACAAATATGCGCTGCACATCGGTACATCACAGAGACTTGAATTACCGGTTTGACAATTATCGGGGACTAGCTCCATTGATGGACTTGGAATCATTATATTCCAATCACAAGTGCCAGCTCATATTGTCAGCAAAGGCCAGGACACGCCTGCACCAGGCTAGGCTCACCTGTAAGCTGCATGAGGGTCTTTGCAGCGGCCGTTGTCAGAACCTCCCTCATGTTGGCATCTCGCACTAGGATACGGGGCCCTGTCACTGGCGTGAAGGGGACTGCCGCCTGGAGCTTTGGCTGCAAGAAGGCCAGGACAATGTGAACGAGTCATCTGGAGTGAAAGTTGTTAGCAAACTATATGCACAGTCTGGTACAGCAGCGTGTCACGATCTGAGAGACAACGGGGGCGCACGTAATATCTCTGGCCTAGTCGCGAAGCGAACACAGCCCAGGAGTTGTCAAAGACATATTCGCCATATGAATGGCCCTTAAGGTACAGTGGGACGCATGCTAGGAGCTCCTTAGTAGCCGCTGACCGAAGGAGGATGTGTTGAGGCAACCAGCCCTCTTCTTTGACCTGTAGCCCTACATCCAGTCAATCTCTGCAAAAAGCCTTGCCAGTCACTGATGCTGGCATGAATGACACAGCAAGGGAGACAAGTAAGCTCACCGCTGATCCGCTCACTTCCAGAGCGTTGAGGAATGACCAAAGCAAGAAGGGATTCATCTCTTCAGAACCGGTTGCACAGGCATCCCATTCGCACTGTGAAACCTGTCACAGACAAAGCTGACTTGGCTTGCTGGTGCTTTGGGTACAGACTTGGTGCTTCCAACACATCAATAATAAGTGAAGAACAGTGGCGACTTAGAGGAAGCACCTGGCTTATTGACGAGATCACTTCTGCCTGCAGTTGAAGTTCCTCTTTTGGATGGGTATGCTGAGCCTGCCCAGGCGCAGCAACCTCTGAAGAAGCTCCCCCAACGGTGATCTGCGGTTACGAGATTGGCTGAGTTAATGCTGATTGCATGACTACTTCCAAGGAACGCTTCTTTGAGCATGAAGCCAGTCCCACACAAATACCTGTGCAAGAGTGATCCTTCGCCTGTACGGTCGTCTCGACGCAGAAAGTCTTTGCGACTGTTTTGCCTGCAAGTATTTGGTGGATTCAGTGATGATGGAGGTAATGGTTGATCGCGGAGAAATCCCATCGGCATGACCAGGCAAACGTCGTACCCCAGCGATCGACGTTCGACATGGCTCAGAACGACACACAGTCTGAATTAATCCCACATGTTGGCTGATTTCTCCGCAGAAATGCGCATTCATCATGTGCTCTGTGCTTTTTCTGAAGTCTCGCTGGTATGAGCACAGCCGATTTGGCCTCCTAGGATTTGGACTGGACTGGAAAATGTACACGACTGCCGCTCAACCTATCGTTTAATTTCTTTGTACAAATCCTAGAGTCTCCATGAGGCAAAGTATGGACTTTGATAATGGGAGCATGTCTGTGTAGGGTATTGACCCCCGACTCATCACTTGCTGGGGTGTTGAAAGCTCCAGCTGCAGCTGCTGTTGTTCTGAATTGTGCGTCCAGATAGAAACTGGATCGGGTGATCAGACACTTGACATGTGTTCAGTGAAGTCAAAATAATTCCTAGGGTACATCTTTCGCGTCTGCGTGTGCCTTCTTTCGCGAGCAAGCACCGTTGAAGGCTAGCTTGAGGAAGGTCAGGGAGGTTGGATATGCGTCCAGGTCTTGCTGCAAGCGAGACCGTTGGTCCGACATCAGTTTGTCATGTTCACAGTCGCACCTGTGCATGGAGGACTTACAGAAGTCCCTGGCCCTTGAGGATAAGCTTTCTTGGACAGCAATTGCCTGCATTTCACAGCTTGCGAGGCTGTAATTCCAGACAGTTGTACAAAGCCACAGTTACCAGTCGAAGCAGCAACACCGAGACGCGGCAGAGTCCCCCGGCAACAACCAGACGAGTAAGCCAGCATCTGCTAGCCATACTTTCTGTACCTCTGCTTTGTACCATTAGTTTGCTCACCCACGACGATGAAAGCCATGGCATGAATCCTTTCTGTTGTGCTGTGCAGCGAGCAGCTGTGTCCCCTCCCAGAGAGCCTGTGAGGCAGCCCCCAGCAGTGCGAGAGAGGACCCTGTCCCGCAGTCAAGTGGTTGACAAGCAGGTGCGCTGTCCCTGCATGACACCCCATGCATCATCACAAAACGACCTGCCGCCCAGCTGGCATGCAGTCACTCATCCATATGGGTGTATGATCCTTTCTATTAGGATATATTTGTGTCCATTTCACTTGTAACTTGTCTGCATACGCACCTTGCCTCTGGCAGGGAGACGCGGTTGGCATCTTAGTCAGTAATGTTCCTGGCTGCAGGTCATCACACGGACGAGTGGGCTGCAGTTGGGGGTGATCTCCCATTTCCTGGTGGACCCGCGCACAGTGACGGTGGTGTTCCTGGACTTGCGAGCAAAGGGGCTGGGGGGACAGGAGGTTGGAGTGGTGGAGCTGAGTGCGCTGACGCAGATTGGGGATGTGGTGCTTGTGCACGATGAGAGTGCGCTGGAAGATGACCTGAGGAGCAGGGGGCTCGTGAAGCTCGTGGGCTACTCTGTGCAGGCGTATGACGGCACCCCGCTTGGCAAGGTATGCTTCTGGTGTGATCTTTACATTTGTCCTTTACTTTCATTCCTAAGACAAGAGCATCTGGCACCATTTTCCAATTGATAAGGGTGTCCACAGACACCGATTTTATCGTTGCGCTTCATCTGTCTCTCCCTCCACTGGGTCTTCTTTAAATAGCCACTCGATGACCGCCTCCTGGAAGAATGACTAACAACACGAGCCAGCACCTGCTTGATCCTTCTGCCACGCCCTCTGCACCTGTCCTCACCGTCTGTGCCTGTTACCTCTGCTTGGCGTACGCCCTCTGCACCTGTCCATAATTGCACCCATGGTCCGTTCAGGAAGCAAGGCAGGCAAGTAGACAAAATACGATGACATATGGGTGCGCAGGTGCGCGACTTCACGTTCAGCCCGGACAGCGGCCGAATTACGCACCTGTCCTACGACACGTTCGGGCTGCCGACCATCCCAGAGGCGCTGCTGAACGTGTACGAGATTGACGCAGAGGCGGTGCTGGAGGTGCGCAGCGGCCTCGTGGTGCTCAAGCGCGGGGCCGAGCGCGCCGTCGTCCTGGTCAGCACCGGCCTCCTTGGCTACGCCCTCGAGAAGGCCAAGGTGCGGCCGCGCCGTCTCATACTGCTCCGCGCTCTCTGCCCTGGCACAGTCAACATTTAGTCAAACATACAGCTATTGTGACAATTTGAGCAGGATCCTAGATTAAGAGTTTGAAGCGCCCTAAAAAACGCCAAAATGCGGCCGGGCTGCCGCCTCCTGGGAACATGTCCCCGTGCTCACTGCACTGGCATGACAAAGAGATGGCTGATATCTGGCGCATGACACTGTTGAGAGCAAAAGCCTGACCTTACTTCCTAGCTTCTTCAGTAGATCGGGCTATTGTCAAGCAGGACTACCCTGGGCACTTGTCACGAGGATGTCTTGGCACTGCCTGCTCACAATATGTGTGCAATATGCGTTCTGATGGGTTCTTGTGCGCTGCTGGGCAGGACGTGTATGACATGGTGAAGGGGGAGGATGGCGAAGAGGGCCAGCTGTACATTGAGGGCATGGATGAGGCGTTCCTGGAGTGGAGGCGATCCCATGGGGCTGAGTGGGCGCGCTACTACGGCCTCCGGGTAAGCATCTTACTCTTCCAATTCGCATTGCTTCACATGGCCTCTGTTGAGCCTTCTTTCGGAGTCCATATGCACCATTTTCAATGCTCATGTAGCACGCCGAACGGCAAAATGCTCTGCAGAGCACCTCAGCCACTTGACACCCAGGCTGTGCTACTGTGCAGGAGCTACCCTCTAGCAGGGCACAGGTTGACATGCTAACGCGCAGCATGCAGAACGCGCTGCCGCCGCCACGGCAAACAGCAGAGCTGCTCAGGCGCGAGCCAGCTGCCCGCTCCAGCGCTGCTGCCACCAGGTGTAGCCAATCTCACTTCCCCCGCCTCACTCATCGTCAGGAATGCCTGTGCCGCTTTGTACAGCTCCCTCGCACAGGCTGCCCTTACTCTGTTGCCTGCATAGTGTTGGTGCCACGCGCCAAGACCGTAGCGGCTGCTGTGCATAGTTGAAGGTCTGAAAGGTGATTTGCATTCTGGCAGGGACCCGCGGACGCGCAGAACGCCCTACAGCACTACAGAGCAGCGGCGGCCGGGCGCACGGCCAGCGCCGTCGCCGATCGCGCCGCCGCGGCAGCAGGCGGCCAGCACGAGCGCGTCAGTGCCCATCGTTGACATGCGGCCCCCGCCGCCCTTCCGCCGACGCGATGCCGACGGCCGCTTTGGGGAGACTCCCGCGGTTGTCCCTGCACAGCAGGTGCGCCTGCACTCCACAATTCTCTCTCATGACTGGCGTGGCAACGTTCTCGACGCTCAAGCTTTGCGAGATTGACAGCTTCAACAGAAGTGCACATCATGTGGAGCTTTACTGGGCTAATGAAGGCTTTGAGAACTCTCCAGCACTGTACCTTTTGACTGCGGAAGTGTGGAGTTGAGGCTGGCTCGCTGTTGTCCTCCAGGTGAAGGAGGAGGTGTCCGGCTCCAGTGTACCCTTTGATGAGTTTGTCGTCCGGGAGCCTGCGGCAGCAAGAGTGCGTCAGATGGACGGCTATGGTGACTTGGAACAGCCAGCCTACACACCCAGGGCTGAGCAGCCCACCGCCTCTGCGCGGGAAATGTACCCTCAGGGGTATGCACAGGATCCAGCTGAGCCTCGCAGAGACAGCAGGGTACCAGTGCCAGAGGCAGATGAGCGGTCTGACAGGATGACAGCCATCCGGAGAGACCTCAATGACTGGCGGCTGCAGCGGGATGAGTCTGGAGAGATGTACCAATACCGGGATGCCAACATCCCACGCATGCGGCGGCACTAGGATGTGCTTTTGAACCTCACAGAACCGTGGAGTCTTTAAATGGACAATCAGTCCTTATAACACAGTGGGTTCAGCCCCCAAGTCTTTGTAAGTTGTTTTGGAAAGAGCCATGCTAGACTGGTAGTACACCATTCTCAAACGTGTTCCCTCGCCTATTCTTCAGCCTTTAGACAGTGGGCAGAACGTTGATTCTTTTGGTGATCTGTATGTCCCAGATATGGGTCTATATACAGATATTATTGGATGTCAAACCCATCAAGCACCTATATGTGCATGCTATTGGCCTGTGTTGAACATAATGCGCCTGTACACTCTTGAGGATGAATGGTAGACAAAATCAAAGTTGAAGCTCTACAGCGCTCAGCAATGTGATCAACCTGGCAACGAAAGAGCTTCTTTGCCGTCTTCACAATCTGTGCATGTGTTCCACCGTTGGCGGTTTATTGGTAGACGCTCGTTGGCGGTCCGTGCGTAATTGTCGACAATGCTTGAGCAATCCCTTCACTATCAAGCTTGCTGAATCTTCCTTGTAGTCTGACACCGGGTCGCACACTCATCACTGAAAGCCGCCAGGCTGCCGAGCCACTTCACTACCTGCAAGCACACCATGCATTGTTTTCATGTACATGGATATATGACGAGAAGGCTACTTGTGGCTACATGGCAACACAGCATACCTGCGGCGTGGCCTCGCGGTCGACGTTTCTGGAGAGAGAGTCCAGCAGCCAGGCCAGGATGGAGATGCCTTCGCCAGGCTCCAGCTTGCGCAGCTTCTCCTTGACCTCCTTCCCCTTGTCTGACAGCGCGCCCCTCGCAACTACTGCCGCCCTTCTCTCCATGTCCGCCACGGCCCCCACAGACGCACCCCGCGCCCTCCGCACCAAGGGATCCTTCCCCTGAACAACCTGAGCAAGCCTCTGAGCTGCGTCCAGATGCCCATTGCCGTGGACGTCCTTTGTGGCTGTTCTGTATTCTGAAGGCTCCACCAGTGTCGGCGTGGCCCCCCCCAGCAGCCTCACACCCACCGCGGGGCTGAACCGCACTCGTTTGCTGGCATGCAAGTCATCCGGCGGGTCCTGATCTGCTGTCAGCGGCCGCTTGGCTGCCCTGCTGTGGCTGTGCGGCCGGGCCGCCTGCCCAAAGTCCTCGTCATCATCGAATGCGCTGCCAATCTGCCCGAGCTGGCCGTCCGCGTCGAACTCTGCCGTCTGAGAGCTCGCGGCAGAGGCGCCACCAGCGGCAGGCGCGCTAGCCGGCACCGGCGCAGCTTGCTGCTGTGAAACGCGGCCGTTCGCTGGTGCCAGCTGCCGCGGCAGCTGCGGCGCAGCCAGCGTGATGGGCGGCGCGTGAGACTGCTGCTGCGGGGCGGCGGCGGCATAAGCCTGCATGTGGCTCAGCGGCATCGGGTGGCCGTGGCCGCTGTGCAGCGGCTGGTAGGGCCAGTTGTAGTAGCCCTGGGAGGGCATCTGCGCATAGGCCATTTGCGCATAGCCGGCCGGCATGGCGTGCGCCGTGGTGTGGGCCGTCCCATTGGCATACATCGGCGGTGGGGCCGCAGAGACGGGCGCGGTGTGGGGCCATGCATGGCCGGGGGTGTCCTGCGGCAGGGGCGGCGGAGGGGTGGCGTGGCCGTTGGGGAGGGCCGCCGGTGCGCGCGGCGCAGGGGCGGGCGTGCAGGGCAGGCTGGCAATGCATTCGCGCAGCAGCTCGTAGTCCGGCTCGTCCGCGAAGCAGGTGGAGCGCAGGTAGGAGGAGATGGCGACCAGCGCATCTGCGGCAGCACGAGGAGGGTACATCAGAACACAACATCAAGCTTCTGTACGATTAAATCCGTCTGTTCCAGTCAAACCTGATGCCTTCTGAGCATGACACATCCGAAGAAATCTTAGATCTGTTCAGTTTGTCATACGCTGCCACCATTGATACATTGACCTCACAGAAATAGCATTTCTGGCAAAGGCGTTTTCAAACAATGCTCATGACACACGGCATGATCAAAGGGGCCTTACCGGGGAGTTTGCCAGAGGCGGAGAGGACATGGGGGTCGTCGAGGGCGTGCTGCTTCATGCGCATGGCGGTCTCCTTGGGGGAGTGCTCGCTTCCGGCGGAGGCATCGCCACTGGCCGCCCGCCAGGGCAGGTTGCCTTCATGCATCTCCACGACAATGTACAGCCAAGACCACAGGTCATCCCTCCGCCCTGCCACCACAAGCAGACACACGAAAGTTAGTCCCCAACTTGTACAAATAACCCAATCAGACAACCCCGCATCAGGTGCACCCTACTTTGCCAGCTGCTGTGGAGGTGCCAGCAATTGAGAAGCGGACATTGAGATAAAGCAATCCACTCTTTGGGCAGACCCCACAAAAGATTGACCTGGCAGTTCCACATGTCCTGTAATCACGCTCGGGCACTCCCTGGCAATCAAAAACATGCCACAGGAAGTAGAAGAGAGATCACTTCCAGCCACACAGGGCCTAAAAAATGTTCCACAGGGCCGCACCCAGGTCCTGCTTGAGGTGGGCGTGGATGGATGCGTAGGTGGTGGACCCCCGGAACTCGCCAAAGTCCTCCCGCTTCGGCAGCGGCTGCCCCGCGTCATCCACAAAGCGGCGGGCGATGCCAAAGTCGATGATGCGCCACTCGCCGCCCGCAGACTTCGCCCCCTGCTTGTGGGACTGCGCAAAGTTGGCCGGCTTGACGTCCCGGTGGATGTACCCTGCCCCATGCACAGCCTCCAGCGCTGCCAGCGTCTCCAAGGCTGGGCACCACAAGCACAGACTCAGAAAATTATACCAACGACCGTAAACATCCATGGGCAAACTGATTAAGATTAAGACAGAAATCCTAGGTGGTCAATACTTCTCTGTTAAATTTTAAGCAAATGTCAGCTGCATGCCAATTTCAGCCCAGCCACAATGAAACGGGGCGCTGTTGCTTTCAAGCAAGGGGCGCTTGTGTCTGGCGCACCTATGCTCTTGACCATGTATGGCTGGATGCGGCCATGTGGTCTGCTGTGCTGAAACTGCGCCAGATTGGCACCTAGGAGCTCCATGATCATGTAGAAGCGCCCCTCATGTGTGCCCTCACCCTCTGACGCCAAGCGGCAGACTGGTGGACAGCTCTGAAGCTGTCTGAGCACCTGCCCGGGTCAACAACGCATTCAAAGGCTCATAAATGTTCAAATATTGCTTGTGCACACGTGTATGTGACCAGCTTCAACAAGAAGCTGTACGTCAAGCTAGCTGACATCAGCAACGTGCCTTCAACATGGCGTTTTTCAAAGTACTGAGATCGAAGTTCACACCCCTTACCTTAATCTCTGCCTTCACAGTGCCGCTTCTAGGGTCCTTGCGTTTGTCCGACTTGTCGATCTTGACGGCGAACTGTGGCGAATAACGCACATGGTCAGGCGACCAGAAGACAGCAGTTTATCAAGAGCACAGCCCAAAAGATGAAGAGTCTTGCCTTCTCGTTGTCTTTGAAGGTGTCGGTGACTTCATAGACCTCCGCAAATCCGCCATCGCCAATTCTTTTCACAACTGCCCAACGCAGCAGGTTGACACCCTCCCCAAGCCTGAGGTCCCTTTTAAGCAGAGGTGGCATCTTTGTCAATGAAGCAGCATAAAAGCCTCCTTTAATCCTGAACTGCAGCCGAACACCCGTGCTTGAGGATGGACTAACGGATCTCTGTAACCATAGGTGCCTGGTCACCTGCAGTAGCCAAGTAGTTGTCACCGCCAAAGCAGCTGTTCACGAACTATGTTAATATTAACAGCAATTACGTCGCAAATTTGAGCGAGATGTCGCCTGAATTACAGTAATTCAATTACTTGGTAATGTAAAATTTCTCTCTTGAAGGAGCTTGCAAATGCAAGGGTCGCGAAATTGTCGTCTTTTTTGGGTTTGCTGGAATGGACAACTCCCTTGATCGATGCACATTTGCTTGAGAGCTTCCGACAAATTGTTGGATCTGCAGAAGACTTATTAGATACGGTCCAACTCTGCAATAGATCTTCCTTCCTGTGGGTGTAATGAGTTACAAGTAGGAGGTGGACGTCCTCCTTGGACTGATATGTTCTGCTTTGGTGGAGTGTGCTTGCCGTTGAACTTGCTTCTACCCTTCCTCGTTGGTGTTCTACATCGGTATGGATTCTTCACGTGGGTAAACCCGCAATGGGTGACGCTCAGATACTGGCAACAAAGGTGATCAGTTCACACCTCTCAAACCATACGAAAGTGCTCAAGCAGATGATGTTTCTTCAGTGACTCCATGCAGATGCTGAACATTGGACAGGTGGAATGGATCTGGACGCCAGTCAGAACCTGTGCCAGCGGCCGGAGTGGAAGAGGCAGCAGTTGCAGGGGAGAAGGGCAAGCAGGATACGTCACGCCAAACAATGTTGTTAAGCCACAGAAGAGCCAATAGATCAATAGAAGGCCGATAACATCATATGCGAGAGCAAAACAGACAACACCCGCCTCATGCTGTGCTGTAAATTATTACAAATTTGCTGTGAGACTTTGGTAGAGCATAAGCTTGTTGACGGCTGGCTAACGACTGGTGGTGCAACCATCTAGCGACTGTTTCAAAAGCAGTGAATCGCATAGTCAGTGTCCACTTTCAAAAGTCTTCTTCTGTTTCCTGCTCACGCCATCTGCAATCCGGAAATTAATGCTGCATGTGGCATGCGTTCTCTGCATCCTGCTGCTCACATCAGTCCAGGAAGCTATACCAGACCACTTGATGCTGATAATCATTGCACCCACTGCCACCTTTCTAGACCTTCTGGCCCTCGCAATGGCGGCTACTGGCATTCAATGCTCAACGTTTGTCAAATACATCGACAATACCTCATCTAGATGATGAAGGTCATGTGCCGCAATACATTCTTCTTGTCTCCAACTACGGGTGTCGACAGCAGCTTCTGCACAGCCTGGGAAACTCTGCGCTGTGCGCCGTATGTGTAAAGAACATACACGCCATCCCAGTACCTGCAGAGAACACAATGAGAGATCTTGAAAATGTGCCACTTTTCTTGACCGCTGATTTACCTGTAGAGTCCTGTAGAGTCTTGGATTGCAAACAGTGCAAGTCAGCTGAGGAGCAGTCTCAGTTGAAGATGAAGTTGCATTGGCTCTGTTAACAACCCATCAGGAGCCTTATATCGCACCCTTCGATGGGGTAGGCAAGATGTTGTGTGCCCCTGACAAGGGCGCTGATCTCCAGGCCCTCCTCTTTCTTGAGGAAAGCTTCAAACTTTGCCAGCTCCATATCCCTGCAGGCGCACGTAATGAGATAATGATCCAGCTATATCTTTGATACTTTCCTTGTCAAATGCTCTCCAGTCGCGCGCAAGCAGAGAGAAGGCTGTAAGGCTTCAGGAACGCATGCTTGATCGCTGCCCTGATCTACGCTCACCTCTCTTCCTCGCTCAAGTCTGGCCGCAACACGAGCATTGTTTCATACCATACATAACCCTCTGGCAATGTCACATCCTGACTTGTGCTCTGTGCTAGTGCCTGCACACAGGTAAACAGCTCAACTGCCAAAGAAATTCTGCATTGTATTTCAAGAGCTGCTCTCACTCTACACTGCCATTTTATAATTTTGATGATATACGATTGTAATTCCCGATCAATTTGCCTCACTAAGCAACATAGCACTGGAAGCACAGCAAGAATTGACTTCTCAGTGCTATTATGAACCTCAGGCTGCAATAGCTACTCACTGCTGCTCTCCTCTGCAAGTTGCATCTGCTTGTTCCCGTCTGCTGGGGAGCGCTCTTTGCTCCACTGAACGATTTCCTAGGCACACGAAACAATGGAGTAGGAGTTGAGGCACCCGAGCACGTTCTGTTGGCTGTGCAGCTGACAGCACACCGGCTGTGCAGAGCAGAAATTGGGAGGCTCATCAGAGACATGACTACAATGTCAATGCAAAAGTTTTTGCGCTAGGTGTGCGGCCTGAATTGGGAGGAGGCGATAAGACGTGAGCCAGAATAGGCTCGAGCTCCTGCGCAGGGCAAGCAATTTGGCGGGAGGCTTCGAACGTTGGTTTGCATCGGAGCAATCTTTCCGCACCTGACCTATAGGGAACCTATAGATCGCCTATCTCTCCAAGTCAGAACTGCTCTTGGCGCAGAAACAAACGTTTCTTGCGGCAATCCAGACCGTCAAGGCTTGTGTAGGAGCATTCCAAGCGATAAAGATGTCAGGACCGCCAAGAGGGCTCTGCGAAGAGACCTTGGCGCCGTACGAGATCGAGCGTGCAGAAAGGATACAGCGAAATCAGCGCATCTTGGGTGCGCATCGCTCTTAAAAAAGGTCTATTCTCACAGTCGCAGCGCAACGGGTGTATTTGAGGCTGTTCCGACACGACTGTAGACAAGTAGCCTTGCATACATTCGGCAAGTGTCATCAAAAGCACCCATACTACTTCATGTTTGAACATATGCAATCAATGTGCATCACATTCGGACACTGAGAAAAAGACATATCGCAGAGGAGATGGGCATCGTCAAGCAAGTCACCCTGCTTGAGGCGGGTCTGCGCTCGAGGAGACGGGAAGGAGGGACGAGCACCACCACAAAGACACGGAAGGAGGTGCGCCTAAGCACCAGTTGGAGATTGCTGTCTCCCCAATAGAATCTTGATGTATAGTTAGAAGGAGTGTCCCTAAAGACTCCCTGACCGCAGGTGAAAAGCTGCCCATCCACGCCTTTGACGCGCCGCTCGTCATCTCGCATTGCAAATCAGCCCCCTGAGAACAAAGGACTGACAGGGGATGAGCACGAGAGCCACGGTGGGAACGCTTACCAGGACAATAATGGAATCGCATCAAGTTCTGCTCATGCTAATAATGAACCCTCAAAGCGCTGCTCATGCAATCATGCGTGCATTGAGAAGCGGCTTGATCCCTCCAAAAATTTTGAAGCACCCTTGTATCAGCAGATGCTTGCTGTGTTGGCGCAGGGCGTTTGGTGATGGCAACAAGCATCATAGACCCCGAGCACGAGCAGCGCTGGTCGGAGTATGTGAGCAAGCACCGCTGCGACAGCCAGAGCCGCGGCTCTGTCTATGACAGCAAAGCTGGTGCGAGCATCCTGGCAGCCCTGACATGGAGCAATGAGATCATATGACCTGGGCACATCTTGCTACAAAACCGTGCCGCCAAGGACAAGAACCACAGCAGTGTGGCGTTGCTGACATGCACGGTCTTGTGTGCGCGTTGCAGGGATCTGTTGCCACTTCTGCCGGCAGAAGAAGCTGTGTGGCGAGCCTGAATGCCGCCGCTGCACAGAGCGCAACCCGGAGCTCTCCTGTCTTGGTGAATATCTCGCTGCCGCTGCCTCTCTTGGATTCCTTGTGGCCCCTGCACCTCTGTCAGCTGCACCACCTTCTGCTAGATCTAATCTTGGCATGATTGAACATGATCCGACGTGATATAAGGACGGCGTGCTGGCCATAAGCTGGAGACTTTGCTGATGGGGCGCAGGCAAGTCTGAGTGCACGAGGTGCGGATCTGCCACTGGCCGCTTCTGCCGCGCATGCCTGCTAGTCAGGTATGCTCTCCCAGACTGAATATTGGCAGCCTGCTCCCATTTCTTTTTGCTTATAAAAACACATTCTGTCAGGAAATGAACAGATCAGTATTGACTGGCAGGTATGGCATGACATTGGAGGCGGTCCACGAAGAGATGGAGGCCGGCAGCTGGCTCTGCCCCCACTGCTACGAGGATGACCACCCAGATGAGGTGCGCAGTGATGCATTCTTTTCCCAAATTGTCCTCGGTGCAATGTCTTCAGCCCCATGCTTACAGCTCAATTCCATCCTGTGGCCTGTGAAGTGGCAGAGTTCAAGCAGAGAGCTATGGGGAGGACTCATCGGTGTGGGCTGTGCAGGGCTGGATCTGCAACTCCTCCATCTGCATGACCAGGCGCGGCCTCAAGCCGACCGGCATCGCCATCTATGATGCGCAGGAGAAGGGCTTCGCATCAGTCGCGCACTACGTCCAGGTATTTACTTACTCCTCTTGTGCACACAGATGTCATTATGGTACCCGACTTGTACAATGCCCAGAATCCTCCTGAAGTTCCAGCTGCCGATCAAAGAGTGAAAGGGTACTGCATCATGCCTTACTGCAGACTGTTCATCATGTGCTTATTTTTATGCCCGTCTGACTTCTTTTTGCTTGCAGGCACAGCAGCTGGCGCGCACAGGCAAGAAGCTGACAGCAGCGCCCAAGGCAGCAGCAGCCAAGGCGCGCAGCACGGCAGCTGCGGTCGACACTGTGGAAGCCCAGCCAGTCCTGGGATCCGCAGGCAGGCCAGTCAGCGTTTCACCAGGCACGCCCATTAAGACCGATGCAGCTGCCCAGGAGGGCAAGGGGCAGGGCAGCTCGCAGGCATCCTCTGAGGAGACACAGCTGCTCGCTGAGCTGGCGGGTGACGACGACGCTGACAGTGCGAATGCATGCGCGGGCGCGGCCAGAGAGCAGGACGCGCCAGGCAAGGAAAATCTGCCGGCCACAACCGCCGTGCCGCCGCACGCCGCTGGCCTGACGCCAGTCAAGCGGCCACTTCTCGCAAAGATGCCAGGTATCCTATTGCTCTTGAATGATGATGTCAACATGTGTCTTGTTGGCGGGGTGAGAGTCACATGTAATGGAACACGATTAGGGCAGGATCATGGTTGGGCATTGTGGCATTCTAGCAGCATGCGTTCTATAGAGCAATTCAGGGCGGGATGTCCTGCAGTTGACCATGTGAAGATGCTGCAGTCAAGGGCAGCTTGCTCGGGTTATCAAACGATTCATTGTGTGTCATGCGCAGCTTCAGAGGGACGGATCACACGGAGGCAAGCCAGGGAGGCGCACAACGTCACGCCAGCCGAGCAGGGCAGCAGTAAGGCTGCCGCCCCGTGCGCACCTGCTGGCCGCTCATTGCGCCGGCGTTTGGTCACCTAGATGGAACCAACCCTGGATACTGATCAGAGACTTATTGCTCATGAGACTGCTTCAGCTGTTGAAAAAATAAAACACGCTGTACCTTCTCTAATTGAGCCTCACAAATATTACAACAATGCTTTGCGGGCAAGCCTCTGCAACTTACAAAAGATCTTTGTAATATACAACTTACGGTGATTACATGCTCAGATCTTGGTTGCTAGATATATTCTGTGTCCAATATGTTGTGCTTATAACAGAAACTAGACAGGCACCTCAGTCATAATTGAATAAGTCATGGACAGTAACATGCTTTATAAATGGCTTATAACATGTTCGTCGAGCTACACCAATCCTTTGCATTACGCATGTCCTTTGCAATAAGCAGTTTGAGTCACAAATACGCAGCCTGATCAGAGAATCTGGAGCACAGTACAACTGATTTTACTGATTGAGTTCTGAATTTCAGTCTGTATTTGGTCTGAGCAGGTCACTTGTTGCCCTTGGAGAAAGCCGATGAAACCCGCAGCCTCCCCGACACAGCTCTGACCAGCTCCCCTTGAGCATTCCTCACAAGCAGCGGCCCTGCAGATGCATCCCCATTCGCATTTGATGACACTCCCCTCCTCAATTGCTGCCCTGACCCATTTCCAGACCCCTCCCTCACTAACGCGCCGCGTCCCTTCTGCATGCTCCCTGCTGGACCTGCACTGCTTTGGCTAGCCCTCACTGCAGAGCCTGCAGCCTTGCTGGGGCCCACTCCAGATGCTGACCTCACAGGGCCAGCGCTGTCAGAGAGGTGGCTAGAAGCCCCTGATGACCTGCGGCGCTGTTCCTGTGGGTTGCCACTGCCTCCCTCTCTGCCATCAGAGCTGTGGCTGTCAGCTGCTGGTGACATGCGACCAGACGGAGGTCGGTGCGCGGCAAAGGGGGAGCTCCATGTGTCTCTGGTGGGAGGCGTTCCCGGGGAGGCAGGCTGGCTCTCCCCCCTGGCCAGGCCCTGGGACCTAGTGGACCTGCCTGACCCTGGCTCCGCCCTCTCCAAGGGTGCAGCGCCCAAGAGAATCTGCCCAATCACCTGTGCACCATGACCACAACTCTTGGAACACATGAAATACTTGAGATGCCCCCAAGTGTGACCACGGTGTCCAGTACATACTCAAAGCTCAGCCCATCCCAAAAGAGGTCAAGACCTCATCCAGGGGGTCAGATCGGGATCCCCAGCCAGAAAATTCAATTGAGAAAGAGGATGTGGTCATCAGACATCTGATAGCTTCTGCTGTGGCAGGACAACTGTGTGGTCTCCTAATTGTAGCGCAAGTGACAGCAGCGAGGTGGCAGAGGCATCAGCGCACCTCCTCCACCTTTCTGCGCAGGCTGGACCTGGGCACGCATTTGTCCAGCAGCGCAGCCCACTGATCCTCCTGCACGATGTGGCGCGCAAGGCTGCACAGGATGCCCTTGCCATGCACCCTCGTCTCCGACATGCCCTCTTCCAGATACCCTGCCGCTGCTGAGAGCAGCCTGCTCACTGTTGCCGGCACAGCTGTGCGCACACCACACAGCATGCATCAGAAAGCCGTTTACCATTGATGGGAGCAGAGATCCTGGTCAAAATATTAGGAGGACAATTCCTGCCAGAGTGCGGAAAAGGCTTTCACCTTTGATCTTGTGCGGATCCTGCTGCACGCAGGCATCGAGGTGCGCGGCAACCTTGGCCCGAACATTTGGATTCTTGTGCGCGGCACTGCCCAGCAATGCCGCAGCCACCTGCTTGGTGGCAAATAACAAATGAACGGGGTTTCTGGTGTTGGCTGTGACTCGCGTCCCCAGTCTTTATTGGCAGACCTGCCCTTGTCCCCAGAGTGACCTTGCCAGTCTTGATTGCATTCAACACGGCATGCTGAGGATAATAATAGCATATCATACAAAGCCTTATGAAGGAGTCATGCGCGCCTTAGGCTCAGGGAGGCAGGCCACAATTGCAGCTAGAGTCCGATCAGCCTCCAGGGACAGCGGGCTGCCGCGGCCGGCCGTGCCGACCTCCCCGGCCCTCTTTGCAGCCGCCGCCACCATGGCATCCGCACCTGCATCTGCGGCACGCCCCAGCACCTGCACTGTCTCCTGCACACAGACAGTGTCCCTTCAATACTTCTATTTTGCCCTGGCACCCATCTCAGCCAAGAATCTGAGAGGAAACAAAAAATATTCATATGACTTGTCGATGACTAGCAGTAATGTGCATGATCCAGGTGAGGGCAATAGCTGGTTTCAAGCCTGGCTTGCGCCATGAGATCGGACTTGGGATCTATTTCAGGCCGAACATGCACAGAATTTGCTCAGAGAGCTGTCAGCTCACCTGCAGGAGCACCATGGCATTGAGGGCCGTCTGGCTGCGCAGCGCATCAACGCCCGGCGCCACAGCCGACACCAGCGGTAGCACTCGCTCGGCGGCAACATCTGGATGATGCCTTATCAGGCGCCTGGCATCAAAGAGAGCCTGCACAAGTGGAGGACACACCTTGCTGTTATTTGGACAGAGAATGGGGCAGTCTTCACATGGAGCAAGAATGTATGAGAAAGGTTCAGAAAGGTGCAAATGGGTTGGCTACTTGCCATATTCTGGGCTTGCCAGTCCAGCTCTGTGCGCTGTGCTGCGTTCGCCCGTGAAAGTGTCTGCAGGACTGCCGTCATTGCGGCATTAGGGTCGGCACAGGGGTGGAGCAGGCCTTCTGCCTCAGAAAAGGCTTCCTGCTTGAGACCTCCTGTTCAGCCCAACATCAACCATGAGACCCGGCCCAGAGTAGCCAAATGCCCCTGGATGGTATCAAATATAGGGCAGCAGTAGACACTTGCCTGGGACTTGGTGTGCTGGCAGGTGAGGGCTTGCGCTGTGGACCACATCGATACTGAGCCTGTCCAAGCCCTGCAGCACCGCTTCTCACATGACCCGAATATTCTAGGAGGAAGCGATCAGGTGCATGGCAAGATTGCTCTCATGCAAGCAGAGCTAATCAAGGCGCGCACCGGCAGTGCAGGCGGGGTTCCCCGGTCAGGGTCTTCCTGCAACTCGCTCCTGCCACGGCTGGCCGCACACACTGAGGATGTGGATGAAGCCTCACTAGAAATCTCGGAGTCTGTTGTAGCGCTTCGGGGCGCCATTGATGCGGCAGAATAGGTGCTATCGACCCATGCTGCAGGCAGGCTAGCCTGCGTGTCTGGCCGGAGTGCTTGCTGCCTTGGTACAAATGCACTCTGAGCCCGTCTTAGATCCTGCAGAGCGGCAGCGATGGCAGGTTGTCAGGCCAGCATTGATGGTAGAGGCTGATTAGCACTGGCAGCTTCATTGCCTTATCAATCACCTGCTGACGACGCTTCAGCAATTGCAACCTAGAACCGGTACTGTTAGGACGAGTTCCATCGGATGCGCCCATGCATTCCTCGGAGTCCCCTCCTGTCCCACTGTTGCTGAGCTTGGCTTGGGCTGGTTCGCGGCCCTTTGGGAACATGCTCAATGCTCTGGGAACTAGCGTGTGCTCTAGCGGATGCATAGTACTGCTCATGGACTGGGCACTGGCTGCAGGGTAGTGAGCTGCTATTTCCTGGGTCTCGAGCCAGCTGGCAATCCCATTCAGGTCTTGGTTTTGGTCGCTGACATATTGCCCAGGAGTTGAGCCTTTTTGGAGCAACATCATCTTCCTTTGATTAAAGATTCCTTCTATAGCCTCAGAGTATATAAGTTGCTGGACAATTGGGATCCTGAAGGTGCGGCCACAACACCTTCCCTGGAAACCCACACGGCACTGTTGCCGCTGTCGTTCAATAAATGTCCGCAAACTGACGTTGGAAATTGGGAATCTAGTGAATCTGGTGCAAAAAGGTTCCTTATGGTGCGGTCGTTACTTCTATGCAATGAAAGATGTTCTTGGACAAACCCGGCATCTGCTACTTCTGCGATGAAAGTTGATGTTTGTGAATAGAATTCCACTGAGACGGCCACGAACATACTTCTTCACTCTCCTTGCCGTTTCTATGAGCCCTTAATCCATTGCCAATGGAGCTACACAAGGTTTTGTGCGTTCTCGGCAATTTCGGTGTGGGCAGCCAAGTCTGGAACTGGTGCATGCCGGCCATGCCAGCCGCAATGACTCATCGAGATTGACTTCTCCCTGCTTCTGCTCGATCTGCGACGTTGTTTGTTCAATACATCCAAATACCATTGATTGATCCACCTTCACTTGCAGAAGTTACCCTGGAATAAGGACAAAGTGGTCAAACAACAGTCGGAATTGCAATCTGCAAACACAAAAGCTGCAAGTCGTTATCTTATAAGACAATTCATCAAATACAAGATCTGATATTGAAGATCCTTAAAGGATGCAAAGTTGTAGCAACTGCTGGGGGTCAAGACCGCAGGCCACTTTACACGGTGGGTGTGCTCAGTATGCCAACTGAGACTTGGCACGATATAAGCATTGCGATCGTTTGCTGATGTCTCCACCATGTGTCAGAAAATATTGCTGACAGTGAACTCAAAAGGGTTCGCAAGGCCTCAGAGTCTCTCAGAAACTTTGGTCGGCAACTGTTCTAATGTGGCTGTCAGATCTGCGGAGCTTTTCTGTGGCGATGCCCTCCCCCTTTGCAATCCAGAGGAATAGAAGGCAATCTCTCAAAAGCAGACGAGCACTGCAAAGGCCTGGAAGACGATGGGATCTAGAGGTAAGACACCAATGGTACTCTTATGCCTGTGTATAACAGTGCGAGCATTTTGCCATCAACGTGCTGGCGTGTCAATGCAGGTATCTGCAGCGTCACTCAGTGCACCAACAGCTGCCAAAGATGCTTCGGTGAGCAGGCCACACCTTTCAAATGGGACATTACTCCTAGGACAAAGCAGAACAGGCACATTTCTGTGGAGGTTTTGGTTGATTTCACGATGACGTCTGCAGGAGGAGAGCGAGGGGTATGATGTCTATGTCAACCATCCAGAACCTCTAGACGAGGGCGAGGAGAAGCATCTGATCTCAGCCTTTGTGGCCGATGAGTCTGGTATCATCAACAGGGTGGCCGGGGTCTTTGCCAGAAGAGGTGTGCAACAAAGAAATTACTGAGTAAACTCGACCTTTTACTTGAATGAGGGCAATTTCTCTTTGTTCCTATCACATTCAAGTGGACAATAGCGCTTCACAATTGGCTCTGCCCTGCAGGTGCCAATATAGAGTCTTTGGCTGTGGGCCTGAACATTGACAAGGCCCTCTTCACTATCGTGGTGACTGGCACGCAGAGCACGGTGGTGAGTTGAGCACAGTCCCTTCTGTGAGAACTTTTCAGCCACGTTATGTTCTGATGCCTGTGCCTTGTCGAGAGACACCCGCAAGCTGCTAGGTTGATATGTTGCGTGTGGACTGTGCAGGCCAATTTGGTGAAGCAGCTGGCGAAGCTGGTCAAAGTGCGCTATGTGGAAGACATCACTGAGTCTGACCGAGTAGGTGAGTCCTTGCATTCCACGGCACTCTGCTGATGTGCTGTAGAAAAGAGAACAGAACACATGTTGGGGGACTCACAATTCAAAGCAACTGACATAGGCTCATACCAGAACAACGGCAGGCATATGTGAGCACCAAGCATGTTTCTTAAGGGACCTGCGGTGCTGTGCAGAGCGGGAGATGGTGCTGCTGAAGATCCGGGCGCCCCCCGGGCCCGCTAGGACAGAGGTGATGCAGCTGATTGACATCTTCAGAGCGCGTGTCGTGGACGTGTCAGACCGCAGCATGTGCATCGCTGTCAGCGGCGACTCCGGCAAGGTGGCTCCTTGCACGTTGCACTTTCTTTGCTGTGATACAATGAAAGACATGTTTGCTTCATTGTTTGTCATTGTGGAGTAATGTTTGTTGATGTGTCACGGTAGCCCTTTGAAGCAGCACAGACGTCCTGTCCATGTCTGTAATTTTGCAAATCCCTACCAATAATGAAGCTGAAAGCTGACCCAAGTGGCTGTGTGCTGGTTTGCAGACAGCAGCGTTACAAGGCGTGCTGCAGAAGTTTGGCATCATGGAGATCGCACGTACGGGCAAGATCGCACTCAAGCGCGGCGAGCAGCTGCTGGAGATGGGCGGCTGGGGCGATGGCGCTGTCCAGCGCGCGCGCTCCAAGCAGACCACTATCACAACCGGCAACGGAGCGTCCGTTGCAACAGAGGGCATCGGCTTCCAGGGGGAGGACGGCTCAGAAGGGGATGTGTACACTGTGGGAGGCAATGGCCAGCCAGGTGTGCATGCATGAATGGCATGAGCATCGCACATTTGCCTCCTTGCAGCTTCTGCCTTTTCGATGCATACGTTCACATCCCTGCAGCCTCTGCAGACGCATCAGGGCCGCCATCATAAATAAGTGCTGAATTGCCTGCTCAACTGTATGCGCAGGTGTATGGGATGTGGAGAATGTGCTGGAGGCGACCTTCCAGACTGGGGAATTCGAGCCGCATACACTCTCCATCGAGGTGGAGGATGTCCCTGGTGTCCTCAATCAGGTATGATATCTCGGCTCTCGCACGTCGTTCACGCCTTGGTGAATATCATGCGGGCACTCTTGCTTGCTGTACCTCATTAAAATCCTTCACTATGATTCTAGCACTTATCTAGTGGGCGCTGTACATGGATATTCAACCTACGAGGCTTGCCAACACAGGTGACGGGGGTGTTTGCGCGGCGGGGCTACAACGTGCAGAGCTTGGCGGTGGGCAACAGCGAGGTGGAGGGCCAGTCGCGCATCATCATGGTCATCCCCGGCTCTGCGGAGGGCACCTCCAAGATCATCAAGCAGCTCAACAAGCTCGTGCATGTGCAACAGGTGCTGGCACGTAACCTTCCTGGCACCCTTGATGAACAATCCTGCAATCTAGCTCCATCCCATTCGCGCCGCATGCTTCTGTTTTACTGTTCCAGAAGGCCTTGTTGATCTCTGCTGAAGCAGCGAAGATCTGCTTGCACCTTGTGCAGTCATATCACAGGATATGAACAAAGGTGGTCGTGTGGCTGCGCCAGGTGAGGGATCTGTCGGCAAAGCCATACGTGGCACGAGAGCTGATGCTGATCAAGGTGCGCTGTCCGGCGGCGCAGCGGCGCGAGCTGAGCGACCTGGCCAACATCTTCCACGGCACCGTCTGCGACGTGTCCCTGGACACCATCACGCTGGAGATCCAGGGCAAGGAGGACAAGATGCACGCCCTCCAAGGCCTCCTGGAGCCCTATGGTGCGACCATTCTTCTTGCTGTCACGCCCCAAATAGTGATGCTGCAAAATTGAGTAATCAGAAGTCTGATCCCAACCCCTGGCTGCCGAGGTCGACAAAATAGAGGTGCATTCTGGCTTCTGTGTTTCCTGAAGTAGTAGGCTCCACTGCAGTGGTATGATGGCCAGCCGGGTGCTTTTCGAGGTAAGATGCAGTGTGTGCCTGCAGGTATCTTGGAAGTTGCGAGGACGGGGCGTGTGGCTCTGGCCAGGGATTCCGGCGTTGACAGCAGGTACCTTGGCCGCCACAAGAGCAGACGCATCATGCTTTGAGATTGGAGAATTAAAGTCTCGCATTCAGCCTGTGCCGTTCAAGTCAATCCCATGGATGCCAGCAATCTTGTGTAAGAGTGGGGTTCTCCATGGTTCTGGATGTCAGTGGACATTGAGATGCAAATGCATCTTGGTTGCTCAGGATAATATATGCCATACTTTATATACGAGTCTTTTATCTGGAACACGCTGTGCTCAATCAAAGTGTATTGTAGGGTTAAGATCAACTTGTTGACGCTGATCACAAGAGATCATCTAGATCACCCGCAGCACAGCTGGAGGCAAAAACTTAGTCCCCCACTCACGAGCACTTACGATCTCTTGGCAAAATGTATCATGTACTGAAATTCACGCAATCACGCAATGTATTCGTCGCTGAGCCAGAAGAGTGCTGAGCATGCTGAGCGGGTGCCAATTTAGAACACAGCAGGTTAAAGAACCTGCGTCTTGCCGAGATGCGAGACCATTGCACGCCAAAGGCAGGACATCAAGGAAAGATGGCATCAGCTGATCATCAAGAGCTCATACAGACGTTCAGTTCTGTGACTGGCGCCGATGCCGTCACCGCACAGCACGTCCTTGAGGCACACGCGTGGGACGTGAACAATGGCGTTGAATTCTTTCTGGAACAAGGCTCCAACCCCTGTCCACCATCGCTGCAAGGTCATCCTGTTTCCATTGATGAGGAGTTTGACCAGGACGAGGAGCTTCAAGGCTTGGCAGCTCAGCCTGTGCTCCCGACAAGGATAGCTCTCCCTGATTCACCACCAGTTCAGGGACGACCGCCAGTGGCAAGCCACTTCTTGAGGCGTGAAGACGATGAAGATGATGAGATGTTGCAGAGCGTCATCAACGAGAGCGCCCGATCTACTGGTGGGTCTTGCTGTTTTGTGTATTAGGATGGAGCCATAGGTTTCCCTTGCGTTGGGCCTGTTACTTTGTCGACATGTGCATGTAACTAGAATAGGACTGAAGGTCGTGTTGGCACATTAAGCGATGGGTTCCTTTTCCCGCGTCTGATCACAAATTTGTTATGTACCAATCCTGACAGGTGGAGCATCTGCTGCTGCCAGTGGTGGAAACAGCCCGATCCCAGAGCTGGTAAGCAGTGTGCGCTTTATTTTCTCTTCTTGTTTTATTGGTACAGATTGTTTGACTAAAATCGCCATATTTGCTTATACAGTATCACACGGTCCTTGCAGGTTGACAGTGAGGACGATGATATTGAAATCATTGAGAACAGCAACAGGAGCACTCGCCAAGCCAACGGCACACAAGCGCATCGCAGGACCTCAGCTCAGAACGGCTTTGCTAGTGGTAGTGGAGGTGTGCACCGGCACCTTCTCACTCCTTCCGTCATAGACACTATTTTCTAGTATATTTTTAGAGCAGGATCCTTATTATCAGCCTTGCATTGCGCAGGTGCTTTCTTTGATGATAACATGGACGAGGGCCCGACTGTGCGTCAGAGGAGGTCCCGGCCGAGGGGGGCTGCCGCCGCTGCTGGCCGTGATCTGGACGCCCTGCATGTGAGACCCCAGTTGCTTTTCTGCTGTGTGTTTTGTAGTTCTGCAAGGACACCTTGACAATGACGTTCTTGTCCTTGATACTAGCAGATCTTCATGGGCACTCTGATGTGCAGGAACTGGGACGGCGACTTGGTGTGCCAGATCTGGAACCAATGCAAATGCCAGCCGTGCGGCCGACTGGGCGGCGCCTGCCAGAATCTCTGGCAGCGCAGATCTCTGGTGCGGGTGGCAGAGGGCTGCCACACGATGATGAAGAGCTGCAGCTCCCTGATGGCATCAATGTGGAAGAAGCCAGGTGAGGCGATAGATCGAGGCAGTGCCTCAGCTGTTGGCAACTGATGTGGACTATGATGGCCCTCAAAGAAGCTGGAAGACCTGAACCAAATTACTTGGAAAGATATCTGGTACTAATTCCTGACTGGCATAGGGCTCATGTGCCGATACAAAAGCTCAAAAGTGTAATCTACATTTACAACGAGATCTCCGCCTGATGTGCAAGCAGAGAGAATGGTTGTGGCGTCGCATGGTCTTTATATTGCACGTGACTAATCCAAGGGTGCTGGATGCCAGGATGCTGGAGGCGGCCATGCTGGGGATTCCTTACGAGGGGCGCATGCCCCACATGGGCGAGCCCTGGCAGCCGTCAGCTCCACCTGCACCAGAAGTGGTCGCCCAGCGCCAGCTGCGTGAGGAGCAGGATGTCGCCTACCAGGCCTCTCTGCTGGTGAGCCCCTCCCGCTGCTCTGCTGTTTCTGTGCAGCCTCTCACAACTGCCGATGAGGTTCTGATTAAGCTGGAGCAGTTTAGGCTGGCACTTTGAACAAGATAGGAGCATGGTCACTGGTACGGACACTGACTTTGCTGCAAATCCAGTGTTTTTACTCGTGATCGAGCGCCAACTCTTGCTCTCTCGCCAGGCCAAACGGCTTTTGGGTGTGCTCCGCGGTGTTTAAAGACAAGGATGGAAATGAGCTTATGAAGCTCAACGAATGCAGGAACTGCATCTTGTATTCACATGAGCAATTGTGGAGGATGCAGTAGGTATGGGCAGAGAAAGAAGTCATTTGATGCGCTCAGGCCGACATGGAGAAGGCGAAGAGTGCGCAGCGAGCCGAGCAGGAGGCGGCAGCTGCGCGGCAGCGCGCGGAAGAGGAGACGGCTGCCGCGGAGGAGGCCGAGCGTATGGCGGAGCGGCTGATCAGCGACAAGCGCGCCGGTCTCCCCGCCGAGCCGCCCCTGGATGACACTGACGCCATCACTGTCCTCGTCCGCCTCCCCAATGGCGGCCGCCCCTCCCGCAGGTGCCCAGACATCTCACACCCCTTTCATGTCCTCCAATAAGTTTAGTCCGTCAGGGCTCAGATTCTTGCTGTTCATGTTAGCACAACTTGCCATTGAAACTAAGCATTTTCTGTCCAGGGAGTGCAATTGTGAGGAGGCAAGGAATGATTGCAAGGTGGTGTCTCTGCAGGTTCACAAAGGACACAAAGGTGGCGACGCTGTTTGACTGGGTGGACGTGAATGTGGCGCCTGACATCAAGCCGGGCACGTTCCGCCTGGTCACTCCCTTCCCGCGCCGCATGCTGCTAGCTGACACTCTCGGCTCGCTGCAGACATCCGGCCTCACACAGAAGCAGGAGGCTCTGTTCTTGGAGCCCATCTAGGCACGAGCTGTAACATCTCAATACGCATTACCTTGCCATGCATACAATAATATATTTTGCGGTCGTCGCATGCTATAGGATCCAGCATTTGCATAGAAACCTCATCACGGCAGTTTTACAAGTATTGGGAGGTCTTTTGGATGAAGGCATCTGCTCAGCATAATCCTGCCAACATAAACGACCGAAGTGCGTAGCTAGCTTTGGTTGTGCGAGGCGAAACGCATGTGTGTACATTGTATTTGCATCAAACGGTACAGGCAAGCGCATCTTCCTTGTTCGGTTGCCATGCAGGCCGCTCGCAGATGCCCTTTCAGTTGCATTGGACGTGGTACAGTCTGCTCAAGCGAAGGAACGATGGTGGCAAACATACAAACATATGGCAATTTGCACCTTTGTGAACTGGGCTGTTGATTTTCCTGTCAGACTCGATGTCAAGGCAGCAGGCGGAGCATTTGCAAATCAAATGGAATGTTGATTAAGGAGCCTGATGGCCTGTATGAGTTACAGCATGTAATCCTTTCAGAGATATCTTGCACGTGCACCTGTGCTGCTGCATTTGAATCTACCTAAAAGAAAGGAGGCCACGCTGCTGGCACTCACAGCTTCGTCGCAGCACTGCGCTGGGATACTTGTTTCATTATTAGTCATCACGCCAAACAAACTCTCCTGATCATGTGTATGCAGCATTGCCCTGAACAAATTACCAGCGCATCTGCAGCATAACTTCAAGCTTTGTATATACACAGGATTCTAATCAGTTAATTGTCTACAAACTGCACAACGTATCGGCCACCCATGCCAGAGCAACGAGTCCAAAAACATAGCAGAACAATGTCTGCCTTGAGCAAATGATATGTACCAGTGTCGCAAACTGGAAACTCACAAAATCATTTGCAAACTGATGTGGGCGCCTATGGCTGATGCTAATCAAGAAATACTGGCTCATTTGCGCTCCCCTTCAAGGATTAAGTTTGTGCCCTTCCGTCAAGGAATATAGTACAACGCTGGTTGCAAGCCTGCCCTTGCTAGAGACAGCAAGCACAGCCGTGCACCAGCCCGCAAAGAAGAATAAACACGCCGACGAGAGCCAGCACCGGGACAGCCAGCGCTGCCCACCCCAACAGCAACCAGCAATGGGGGCAGCATGCTCCAGCCCACTCACTCCAGCCCTCTCCGTCCTTGCAAGGATCCCCACTGACAGTAGCCCCAAAAAATTGCCACACAGAAATGACCACTCTCATCCTTGAGGCACGGGCAGCCCCCTCCGCGTGCTGCCGGGCAGCTCGGCGCCGCCGCCGGAGCCGGCTGCGCTAGCGCGGAGCTCGGCTGCGCGCTTTTCGCGGGCCTCGCCGTTCTCGGCCGCGAGCCAGGCCTTGGCGAGGTCGTAGCAGAGGAAGGTGACAGCGTACTGGGGCGCCTGCTTCACCCAAGTCAGCCACACGCCTGCATAAAGCGCTCCCACTCCCTCCGTGCGCGCTATCGCCATCAGCGCCGCCAGCGTGCCTGCAACCGGGCACCAGCTCATTTCAAGTGGGGCTACCGGGGGCTTCACTCCACCACGTCAAGGTAGGCTACTTGCTGCCAGGTTCCCCTTGAGGCTGAATATTTTCTCTCCAACCCTTTTGGGCAAGCACCATGGAGCAGTCACTGAAATACATTCGTCGATTGCTGTTTGTCCGCCTGGAACAGCAAGAATTAGGAGAGCCTCCGGGAAGGGATGGAGAGGATGGAGAAGGCACCTGTGGTGGGCAGGGTGCCCATCATGGCGCGGCGGCGCACGATCTCCAGTGGGAAGCTGGCACTCGAGGAGGCTATGGCCGCAAACGCGCCAAACATCATCGTCACATGCGCCGGCACATTCTCCTGCTGCGTCGTCTGCAGCAACACCCAACGCAGTGTTTATTCAAGGCTCGACACCCCATGGGACAACAGACAGAAGCGATGGCAATGGTGCACTGAAAATCTGAGCACATACAGTATCCATCTGCACTTTCAGATCGAGTAAAAGTACCCAATAGTAGAGGTGTGGGAGGTGGCAAACAGCGTGGGATGCGCACCCTCTTGTAGGCCCATTTGAGACCGTCATAGGAGCCCAGCCTGATCGCCGAGTACGGAATGACACCCAGCACACTCGCGCCAAGTCCCTGCAGCCAGAGCACCACCTCACAGCATGCTCTCCCAGTGCGCCCCACCAAATTAGCCTTCGCATTATGCTAGAAAGCATGGACAGATCTGCATGGGAAGGAAAGGAAAGCAGCAGGTGTTAGATACCCACCCGGTAAAAGGCAGGGACGCCCTCCTGCCCAAAGATGATGCGGAACGCAGTGAAGACATTGCGGTACGTTTTGTGGTCCACCGCCAGCCGCGTTCGCACTGTCTCCAGAGGGAACATCGCCAGCGTAGACGTCACTCCTGAAATTGCAGGACCGTATGATCAAACGCCTTTCCCCTCTCTCCTCACCCTTTTGCCAAGCCCATTCCCTTTTATCCTTGTTTTGACCGCAATTCAGGAGAATGCCCTGGCAATGATGCTCTGTTCAAGTCGAGACCTCTGCTGCTGCCTGACAGGAGCACATCACAGCACATGTCATTCAGCTCCCTTCAAGAGGTGAGCGCACCTGCTAGGGCGCCAGCGACAGTGACGCCCAGGCCGCTGGGGTGTTGCTTTCCGTCAGCGCCCTTGGGCCTGAAATTGGCGAACGCCTTCTTGTACAGATCAAAGGAGGCCAGCTCTATAGCCTTGGACGGCATGGTCCGCAGCACATCTGCACCACCGCGCAGCCATCAGGAAACACATATGCATGCAAGTATTGGCCATTGGGCCAGTCCACTCAGCTGCCGCAACAAGGAAGAGAAGCAGGCATTGAGCTGAGGCGGTTGTCACTCTGTTTCGCAGCTGAGAGTAAACAGTCCTCGAGGTCTAAAGGTTAATCTGGGCCCCACCTGCTTCATTGCCGCTGAAGAATGCCAGTAGCCCTCCGCGCTCATAGGTTCTCCCCACAATCTCCCACACGCTTCCCTACACAGGAGCCCCTTTGTTTGAGACACCATAATTACCATGAAGGAAAGGCTGCATTAGAGGGCCTTCAGCAGAGCTCCTAATGCGCACCTTGGTGCCTGTCATTATCTGCATGCGGACACTCTCGATGGGGGCTGTAGCTGTCTTGCTGATTGCACCTGGGGAATATGACTTCATAATCAGAATCGCATTCAAAGCTGCAATAGAAAGGAGGCCATTCTCTTGAATTCCTTTAGTAAACAGTGACCATAACTTTGCCTCATCCATGAGCCTGATTTTCCAAGAGGACAAAGTACCAGCCAGGAAAAGATATATTCAGAACGCATTCGTGAAGTTACTGCAAAAAAGTTACTGCAGAGGGCTGAAGCACACCTGCAAAAGCACCTGCCAAAAAGCGCCTCACATCTGCGGGCCAGCCCATCATCTGATTTCGCACACTCTTGCGGATTTGTGCTCCCAACACCGCAAAGCAGTCGTGCTGCAAAGCGTTCTGCTGGAGGGCTGCTGTTGCCGATGCGAGCTCCAACGTGCGCCACTTTCGCCGCCTCCTCTTTGGAGATCGAATTGATAGACTGCATCTCTTATATCCACTCCCATTTTCAACCTGTTCGTATGAGGTAGATGGTTCTAGTTCAAAGGACCCCAAGGAGACAGGCTCACGAGGACAAATGCCAGAAGGATGTTGTTGAAAACCGCTCAGTTGGACGCCTCTGAAGCCCACAGACATTGAACCAATGTTTTCAAGAACACAGGGTAAAACACTAACAATTGATTGCTGAAATCGCCATCTCAATGTGCATGTAGGATGTCCCGCTGTCCAGGCTGAAGGTGCCCGGGAAATAATATAATAGGAGAGCGTTGCGGAGTAACCGCTCAAATGTCAGATAGACTTCTTCCGAAGATTGCTCGAGATGGATTCAGTAACTAGAAACGTCTATATGGCGGTATTTCTGCTGATATTCGGCTCGGTGATGCTCATTTCCGGCATTGGCCTCTACTTCTCGGAGGACCCAGAAGCCAGCGGTGAGGCATTTTCAGAATGTAATTTGTCGCAGATCTAGGGTGTGCGGCAACTGGGTTCAATTTGGTTTATTTCTATCGCAGGAATTGCTCTCACGAGTCTGGGTTGCGTGGTGCTTCTACCCGGTCTTGTCTACTCCTGGAGTGCCTTCCGATCGTGGCACAAACACGAAGGTTACTCTGAAGACTTCAGAGCTATACACTGATGATCAAAGACAAATGCTCTTACCGAGGGTTTGCCAGCACTGCTGGACGCAAATATTGCGGCATGCCAGACAATAGAGATCATTCTGCAGTTTTAGTGCTTGCCCGACCAGAGGAGGCAAGCTTAGCTGAGCAATAGACGTGAGTGCCAACGGAGTTCACTGCTGAATCTATCAATTTCATGAAAACTGCAGACATCACATGCTGTAACAGATGCGCTAATCTGCCCAAGCACCTGATCTGCCTCACCCCCCTGAATGCTTCCTGCAGTGCCTAGCTGCAATTGCAGCGCAGCAGAGTTCGATTGTCACTGAGTAAGAAAGTGTGCGATTGGACAAATGCAAGCAGTGCTTGCATTGAGCCCGCCTCAGTCGGCTGCTATTTTGATCTAGTGGATTTCGCTGGCAATATTGGTTGGTTCTGTAAAGTGCTTTTGGAGTTAAAATACAGGGGATTCAGGTCTTTCCTGCAGTGTGATACCTTGCAGTGCATCATCCCGCAGTCTTTCCGAGCCTGCGCCGTGCATTATGGCCAGCCACAGGCTAGACCTGTCTGCTGCCGGCATTTCGGTTGCAGCGTTAATGGCACTCACATAAGAATGTCAATGCTATCAATCAAGACGCCTGGCGGCAGTGTCATCATGACACTGCCATGGGGAGTCAGCTAGGTGAACCAGCCACTGAGTGCTTGTGGGATTCCGAATCAATCCAAGTTGGGCCGGCCACTGGCAACGTGTTTGTGTACAGCCACTTGTACCTGGAGTCTCTTGTCGATGAATTTCAAAGTTCTCATGATGGAATACGGTCTGCAATTATGAGAATGCTGCAAAAGTCGCCTGTGCCTTGAGCTCAACCTTTGCATCCATGGGCAATTATGCATGCAAACCCATGACTAGTCAGTACTGATCTTCACTACTTCAGTCTTGGTATTTCCGACCCTGTTCGCTTTGGAGACACAATTCGTATGGCTATACATCCAAGGACAGAGAAAATGAAAGAGCGCATGCGGAACCGTTTCAAGATATATCCAGCTCCGAAGGCAACAATAACACTGAAAGTCTTCAAGGAAGCGGTTGCCAGCCGCAAACAAGCTGAGGCTCTCGCTGAGGACGCAGAAACGTGCCCCGAAAATGATCAACGGGATGCTTTTGGCTCCGCTAATGGAACTTTCGAGGGCCACACAGCAGAAGCCAATGATTTAAATGGCAGGGGAGCCCACGATCTCGATGCTGAACAGCAGGTGACTTGTGCGTATTATCTTGATCAGACAAGTTGTCAATATCACATTTACACCAAAGATGCTTGGGGAGGTGCTGACTTGCATGTGACACAATAGGAAGAAGATTTCATGGAGGACGACCCAGCACCTTCAGCTGGAAGTCAAGAGCAGCACTCACCTGTTGAAGAGCATTGCAGCCATAATTTAAAGTTGCAGGAAAAAGCAAAACGAAAGGTCCATCACTGAGGATCGAGTGTTCGGTCTACCTGCAACACTGGTCACAATGCATCTTGCTTGATTGCTCTTTATAGCCAAGTGATCCTCTTGTGCACTGAGGTCAAGGATGAGATATTATCGTGCATCAAGGTGCATCTCAGACTCCACTTGGCCTGACAGGCGGAGCGGCAGGCTCAGGCAGAGGAGGCTTGGAGACAGCAGGAAGCTGAGAGGGTTCAAAAGCTGGAAGAGCAGCGAAAGGCAAGGGAAGAGGTGGAAGCGAGGAAGAAGAGGAGATCAGAGGAGCTGCAGGGGTTGCGGGCCAAGTTGGATGCTCTCAAGGTGGAGAAGCTTGACATGGTGGCGCAGCTGAAGCAGGTGATGTACTGCTTACCAGCAATACCATAATGTCGCACCCGAGTCAGACTCCAATGCTCGTCTTTGCACGACAAATGCTGCCTTCCAACCAGGCTGATCTGAGCTGCTTTTGAAGCTTGCACCACAGGCGCTCTGCTTGAGACCAGGCTGATGTGAGGTGCGTTTTGAAAATGATCGTCTGGGTTCTGAGGTAAATGTGCGGCATGCTCGTATAGGTGTTGCTGACAGAGGACTCAGAGAAGGCCAGGGCAGCTGCTCTAGCCGCGCTGGAAGAAGGGGAGATGCTGGTGGAGCCACTCCCCCTACCGGCACCCCAGGGGATGCCGCACCTGGCACCCATGCCGAGCGTAGGCTCCAGCGCATTCCCATCCATCACCTCCCCGCAGCCAGCCACCCTCATGCCTGCATCCTTTCCCGCTCTGCAGACCCAAGGTGAGGGCTGCAGTCCATGCACTGCTTGCACTGAAAGACCATTGTCCTTGGGGCGGTTCAGGTTTGCCATGACAAGCACTCACGATTGGAGGTTTATGCCTTTGATGCCACCTGTCTGCAGGGTCCTCAGCAGCAGGGTTGCCGCTGCACATGTCTCAGCCTCTGGCATCTGTAAACTCTGGAAGATTGCAGAGCGGGTCAGGCCGCCTCCCTCCTCATCTTGCAGGCGATCACCCTAGCAGGTGAGCTAATCGATGCGTGATGACCATGCGCTTGCAGGAGGCTCTTGTATCCGAGTCTCGACATGTGCAGCCATGGATAAGTTACTAAATTGCTTGTCTGGTGGCCAGGGCAACACCATCCACACTGTTTGGGGCGCCATCGCTGCCTCCGCATTTGCAGAAGTGATCATCCTCGGCATTATACCCAAGCCGCTTGCAATTGTAATTACCCATTGTTAGGATGACAGTGGAATAGTGCAGACCAGTCTTGCACCTGAATAGCGCTGCGCCAATGATTAGTGGCAAAGCATGATGTACTACTTTCCATCAGTCGCAGAGTATAATGTACCACCATTGGAACAGAAAGTGACCACATCAGGTCATGATGTGGATTATGGAGGGTTGCATGCCTGCTCCAGAAGGAACTCCTTGAATCTGGGTCGGCCTGATACATATTAACTGCTTTGATTTCACATGAACAAACATGATGCATCTCAGGAAGCCTACACTGTGCATCAAGACTTGCACATGCCAATTGCGCACAGGCCTGAAGTCTCCGAGACGGATCAGTGCACAGTGCCACGTGGCCGCTTCAATGAAAGTAGCACATGCAAATACACACAGCCAGCTCAAGCACAATATTTTGGTCTCATTCTGTCACGTTTCTGCATCCTCAAGCTTATTAAAACTCCCTCCCTTCTGAGGAAGATTTCAACAACACAGGGATGGACCAATATGCAGGGCTATTTATTATGCCTCATCGCCGCATGCTGCGAGAGCGTGGTGATACAGGCGAAGCGGTCCGGGTTGTCTGCATTGCAGAAAGGCCACCTGCAAACAGGCCATTGCATCATTCTCAGCAGGCAGCACTGCTTTACACAAAGGCACAATTGGGGGAATTGGCTGGAAACAGAGAGAGTTGCACTGGGCATTGCCAGCAGAACATGCCATCCACTCTCATGCCGCCTTTCTAGGGTTCTCTGTCTTTGAACTGCCAGTACTGTTGTAATTTTAAACACAATAATGGTGGTCACTGTAAATCATATCCAAATAGAGTGGAGCACCAGATGGTTGGGCAGGCAAACAAAACGCCAGAATCTCACCCGCATCCTTCAAGGCGCCCTTCTTTGTGACGGGAGGAGTCAGCACGCCTGCGGCCCGGTCGGGCGTGTAGCCTTCCAGGACAAGCTTGTTGTAAGTGGCAGCACCTATCTTTATGGTCTTCCCAGTACGCTCATTGAAGATAAGACCTCGCTGCACCAGTGGAGACTCCAGCCCATTTGCATCCTGTGTAGATCAGCATGTGTGCATAAAATGGGGTATAATTGCAATATCGCTTGCCTCCAATGACAGGTAGACTGGAGGCTAGATGTTATAGCAGGATCACATGGCAATATTACCTCATGCCTGGAGCTCAGCATCTGTGCCCTGGGCGTGTGTGAGACGGCCCCATTCTGCTGTGGCTTGAACTCTAGCTCTCCTGCAATATCAGCAACAGTCTATGTGTCAGCATCAAAAGTGACACAAGCTACATCGCATCCCCAAGCAATACCATGCAGCCGGCTGCAACATGCACATGTACGCAGTAAACATGTCCAGCCACACAGTGCCGCCCATAGTGCTCTTTCCCTAGAACGGCTTGTGTCTCGCACATGGAACATGCATTCTGGGGTTACTGATCGCCTACCCGGCAACGGCATGCTGGCTGCTGCGTCCAGGTCCTGCGAGGAGCCGGTGGTGGAGGCCGGAGAGTCCGGCACAGCCGCTGGCGCAACGGGGCGCTGCTGCGTGCGAGGGGAGCCCAGCCCCAGGCGCTGGCCCACCTTGTGCAGAGCTGCGTCCGCCAGCTGCCCCGCATCCCTGCCCGCGCCCATCACGCTCCCGCCAGTCCTTCTGCACCCATGCCCATACAAGCTCACACACTGGGCACAACACTCACCAATCTGCCTTGTGGCATGCGGTGATCTGACGAGTTGTTTTGCTTTGAGTCAGTCCTCATGTAGGCCGATGTAGGCACAAGAGATCTTGTATGCTGCATGATGATAATGCAGATGCAGTATACTTGCCCACATGGGCTGCAAGTGTGCAGGTTGCAAAGCGGCTGCCGGCAGCTGCTGAGGGAAGGAATGGCACACAGCATGAGGCATACCTGAAGCCGCGGGCATGGACGGCTATGTCCAGGGTGATGAGGCAGGAGGCAAGCGCGATGGAGGTCTCAGGCATGGATGTGCTAGTTGCGGTCAGCGCAAGGCCCAGCAGCTTGAGCCCGTACTTGAGGATGTTCTGCAGCTTCGTGTTGGCCTCGCTGTCATAGTAGTACGTCACCGCCAGGCCCACCAGCGAAGACGCTCCCAAGTATGCCAGCGCCACCTGCACATGCCACAACCCAATTGCAGCTAATCTGCTAGCTCGTCCTCATGCAATGATATATGGCTTGACTTTGGCTTGTGCGCTTGAAATACACTAATTTTCCTTTTTCTCTGGATACAGTATCATGCTCGTTCCATGGACATTTTGCAGTCATCTGTTGAAGTGCAAAGAAGGAGAATGCTTGGGTGTCCCCGTCATTGGAAAGGTGAAGGCTGACCTTGCTGTACATGAGCTGCTCAAAGGTGGGGATCCAGCGGCCAAAGCAGTAGCGCATGAGCCCCGTGAATGTGCTGCCCAGCACTGCAAACGCGGCGCCCATGCCTCGCTTGTTGGGCAGAGCCCTGCACACAAGGCAAGTATAAATCCTTGGATATTGCGGCTCACTTTGGCAGTGTACATGACAGATGTACAGTACAGAGATAAGCATTGCTTGCACAAACATCAATCTCCGGGTGCAGGCAAGAATAGAGCACCAAGATGTGGGCGCACACCTCGAAAGCACGAAGATGAGGATGAGCACAGAGAGGAGCATGAAGCCGAGCGATCCGGCGCTGAGTCGGAAGAACATGGAGTGGCTGAGTGGCCCCGCCCACCAATACAGCGCTGCCCCCAGCACCCCCTGCGCCAGCTGCACAAATGACACCTTCTCCTCCACCGTCGCCGTGCAGACAAACCCTGCAAACACACCCACACCATTAACCCCCGTCCAAGCTTCGCCACATCATATGCCATCCTACAACTGGACACCTGGAGGTGATGCCATGACCGGATGCCCAATAGACAGCTGCTGTCATTGGTGTAGGAAGCGCAGGGCACCTGACTGGAGGCGCTGTGTGCCCTTGCTGTCCGCCACAGCCACCAGCATCTGCCCAAAGGGAGAGATGCGCGCGACGCACTCGGTGTCCGACGCGCCAAGGAAGCGGTCCCAGCCGCACCACACGCTCTCCCTGTTCTCTATGCGCCGCTGCAGCTGCTCCAAATCAGGCGCCACATACGTCCGGAGGTCCTGACGAGCCGAAACTAGCCATCAGCACTGCCACCACTGTGCAGGCCTACCGAAGATAGTGATATGCCAGCAGAGCTCTGCTTTCAGCATTGCAAGTTCTGTCATGTCCCACACGTAAAAGAAAGGAGGCTTGCTTACTAATTTGGGGGAGGTTGGCAATCCACACCTTGCCTCTGTTCCAGCGAAGGCTGACTGCTTTGTCCACCCAGAGATATGGCAAGAGGCGCCATTTGGGCACTCCTTCCAAGACGGTGTAGACGGCGTATGTCCCATCATTGAGTCTGAGGTCTTTCATCAGCTTTGTATGCAGCGCTGCCTGTGCCGATCGATGGGGGAAACAAGCACACAGCAGGGCTAACAGCATAAGCTTGAGCTCTTTCATTTGAAGGCACTTGGCGCCCTCCCGTGAGCTGCCTGGCTCCCAGGTAGAAGTCAGCATAATCGCACACTTCTTCCTAAAGGCATCGGACTCCTCCACCAAGAATTGGTTCACAGCTCTCTGATTGGACAAAAAAATCCATCCTTTTATTACTGTTATTTTAGATCACCAACATCACACTCTCACTTGATCGTAGACATCGCGAGGGATCTTGGCAACTCCCTGATGATGGATCAAAGTCAGGTGGTCAGCACGAAATTTGACACACAAATGCCGTTGCAATCAATTGAGAAAGCACAGTAGGAGTCCAGATTAAGTTTTTGAGACTGACCATTTGTTGATGTGCCTTTCCACCAACGACGGTTTTCTTGGACTGGGAATATTATTGTGGCCCCCAAGCGAGCAGGGACCTCTAAACTAACCCTGGATATTCACAGGGTATTCCATTTCCCGGGCAGTCGGAGCTCGCAACTCAGATTTGCAGATCATAGCCCACATCCCCAACACGGTCTTCCACTATGGCAGTGCTTCAGTTGTCCCAACGATCAGGCAGTCTTTTGGTGCGTCCTTCTGTGGAGGGATGTCAGCGTGCCCTTGCCACAAGCAGAAAGTGTGTAAGGTGTGAGCCCTTTCTACGCTCGTCAGGGCCCGCCCTCCGTCGCTTTGTAGCAGTCAAGGCCGCCCGGAATGACAAGAGTGGACCAAGCTCTTCAAACGATTTCAACCTCGCGGAGTATGTTGAAGCCAAGGTCGAGATTGGTAAGAACACAGCATCAGTTGTTGTTTCCTTAGCCCGCGCTGCTTCTGTACCTGATAGCCCCGGGTGTGCGTGCAGTGCGTCATACCAAGGAGTTTGGCCACGTTATTTTTCTCAGGCTCATGGAGAGCAAGCATCAGTATCTTCCTGTCTACATCGGTAAGTCCCTCGCGTCGTTCCCATGCCCCCCTTCCCTTAGCACCGTGTAACCTGCCGAGAGCTAAGAATCTACCACTTTGTGCAGGGGACACCGAGTCAAATGCTTTGGAGATGCAGCTCAACCAGAAGCGCTCGGTACGTTGACCAAAGAAGCCTGAGTGCTCGTCCTTTTTCCCCAAACAGCTTGAAGGGGCTACATATACAACATTCGTGTGCCCATCCTGCGCAGGCACGGCCTCTGACTCACGATTTCATGAAGGTGGCTCTGGACACGTTGGGATTCAGGGTAAGCACAGCTTATTGCAAGTCCCTGTCACGCTCGATTGTTCCCATGTCCACGTGTGAGTCGACGTGGAGAGGACTTCCAGAGCTCCGTGCCTTCGCTGTCATTTCGCGGAGCTATATATTTTGCATTATCGAAGATGCACGTCGGTTGGATTTCTGAGTAAAGGGGCTGGGGTTCGCTACACTTCAAATCTTGCGTTCTCTTATTGTCATGCTTGTGTCCTTCCCCACCTTCGTCTCCACGAAGCCAGTGTCAAGGCTTTTCACAGCACCTGAACCGGAATGGCCTTGCGCAGGTCACGAAAGTGTGCGTGACAGCGTTGGTAGGCAACACCTACCTGGCCCGCGTACACCTGTCACCTTCAGGTAGGGACGCCAGCGCCAAGGAGGTGGACATCGATGCCAGACCCTCGGATGCCATCAATCTGGCGATGCGCTTCAATGCACCGATGTACGTGAGCAAGCAGGTGACTCCCTATGACTGCGCTCTGTGCTGTATCATGCACCCGTGGGAAGGAAGGAGAGGAACAAGTGCATAATCGTGATACTCTGCCTCCATAGACTCTTGCTATACCGTAGATGTGAAGATGGTTGGCATTCTCCTGGAGGTTTTGTCTCTGTGCATGTGGCAGAATGGGGTAATATCTGCAGGGTCACAGAGTGGGGGTTGGCGACAATTGTGCAGGTGGCCAACAAGATGGGCAGCTCAGCGCATCAGTTTGTGGAGAGCCCGGAGAGCCACCAGGAGATTCAGCGCAGCTGCCGCAATGCCAAGCAGTCCTACCACGACCCCACCGTCATGCATCGCCTTAACCTGCAAGTGGCCATCGCTGAGGAGCGCTACGAGGACGCCTGCATGTGAGCCACTCAGGCCCCCTCTCTTCTCATAGAGTGGGAATAAGTTTTGTCAATAAATATGCTTTGGGTCAGGTGCCGCAGAACAGATAGTGTGACCGGGAGCCCTTTTGCAGGATTCGCGACCAGGTGGACAAGATGCTGGCCAGGGACAGGGCTCTGAGCCTCCTGGTTGCCATGGAGTCTGCACTGCATGACAACCGCTACGAGGTGCGCAACATACCTTCCTCAGCAGCATTGCTTTCTTGACAATGTTGAGCCAATTGTCAATTATTATAGGCGTTACAAGATCCAAGTTGAGAATGCAAGCTGCCACAAACGGTAACACTCTTGTTGTCTGCGCAGGAGGCTGCTCGCCTGCGAGACTTCTTCCTGGCGCTGACATCGCAGCATAAAGCGCATGCGGTTGAAGGCCTTAAAGAGGCCTGACACGTCGGCCATGGTTGCTCAAGCGCATGGATTGCGTTGGCGCAGTAGCACTCAACCAAGCAGCCAGAGTCGTGCACAGCGGCTTGCGCGTGTAGTGCACACTCCGGCTGTGGCCTCCAGTTGGACTGTAAAACAGGCAGCACAGTGGATGCTGCCGTATCCATGCATCCTCTTTTTGATTCTCGCTGTACACTATGGTACTTTGGGAACTGGGTTGGTCTTTGTTCAGTTTGACAATAACATAAGGCAGTACATTGGCAGAGCACCGCTGGCACCTCTTTTTGACTGTACACTATTTTGGAGAAGAACAATGTTGCAAACGTAAATTACCAATTTTGAAGCGCTGCTCATATTAGCCGTACTTGCTGTGCTTGCTGTACTCCGGTGAGTCAAGATTGCTCATCCGCTGAACTGGGTAGTGAGCTCGTGTACTTGAATATTGTCCATATGCAGGCGCCCAGTGCACATTTTAGAGGGTATGTGTCATCAGAAAGCATGATGCCGGCCATGGGATCATGGCCATAATGCCTGTACAAACATTGGCCAACTCGTATGCAGAGTAGATATCGCGTTGATGTCACAGTGTAATGGGACTGCTAGATCAGCCACTGTTAGAAATTACCGTGAAGCACATTTGGTGCGCAAGCTTTCTCTATTGCTCTAGGCGAACAGATTGGTGAGGACAGGCTTGCAGCTCATTTGTTATTGAGAGTATATACCATGCATTCCATCATGTAAGCAGTTGCCGAGATTGATGAAGCAAAGCTGTGTTGATTATACTATAATAGTATCTCCTCATGCCGCAGTCACATGCATTAGCATTTACCACTCTCCTCCCCACATCTCATGTATTTAGGTGCAGTCTCATAGCTGTGGTCACTCATGAACATGTTCAACGTGGTCTGTACAAATACACTGTCCCACTTGCCAGCACAAACTCTCCTGTGGCCTCTCACGCACTCACGGGCTCCTCCTTCCTTACAAGTGTCTCGCTGTCCACTGCCAGGCCCATGGCATTGAGGCCATTGTCCACATACACGAGGCTGCCTGTGACCGCTGAAGCCATCGGCGACAGCAGAAACGCTGCAGCGTTGCCGACTTCGCGCGCCTCCAGCGCCTTCTGGATGGGGGCGTTGGCATACGAGTACCTGCACAGATGGGTAGACAACAGAATCTTAAAACATGTCTGAGGGTCAAGAGAGAAAATTATGAGCAAACACTGGCCAGAAGAATTGACATGCAATGAAGAGCATGAGTGATCTGCATGCCAATTTTTCTCTGGGGGCACTGTTGTGCACTCCTCCTAAGCAGTTTCGACGATGTAATGACTCTAGCTGTCACCTGCTGTGAATGACTATTTGGTCCCTGGAAATGGGAAAGAGCAGCGATCTCCTCATTCCTGGACGGCCCCACGCTTTGCACTGATGACACAATGCTGGCAGAGGCAGAGCAGCACCTGATCATGTCGTCGATGAAGCCGATGGCCTTGGCTGCGCGCGAGCCCAGAGGACCGGCAGAGATGGTGTTGACGCGGATCTGGAACTTGCGGCCGGCCTCGAATGCGAGCACCCTTGTGTCACTCTCCAGGGCCGCCTTGGCACTGCTCATGCCTCCTCCATACCCTGCATCCGCACACCAGGTATTCGCACTGCTGACCCATTGCACATGTGTCACCTTGCATGTGCCGCTGATGTGCTTCTTATGGCATTGGGAGGCTCATTGAAAGACATAATTCCTCCAGATTTGAAAAGATGATCCGCACAGAAGGGACCATGCACTGGAAGATGACACAGCCATTATGGTGGGCGAGTGGCTGAGCAGCAGAAGGAGCACCTGGGATGATCCTCTCTGATGCCAAGTAGGTGAGAGAGATGGCGGCACCACCAGGGTTCATGATGGGGCCAAACCTCTGCACCATGGACACAAAGGAGTACGAGGAAGCACTAATCGCTGCCAGGTAGCCCTGTTGCATACATGAAAAGGTCATGTCCTTGCACAGACGCTGTGAGATCTTCAAGTTGCAGGTCTGCAATTCAGTCGCCGGCATGACTCAACATTGGGACTTTTCTGTATTGATCACAAGATCAGCAATTCATCACCAAATAAGTGCGTTAGAAAACTGGGTTCGAGAGATGAGATCTTGCCTTGCGTGAGGTTTCGAGCAAGGGCTTTGTGACCTCTGGACCGTTGGCCAAGCTGTGCACAATGATGTCGATCTTGCCGAAGTCTGCCTCCACATTCTTGGCGCACTGTGACACAGTGAATCCCTTGTCTCCCGCAGCAGCATACCTCTTATTTGTGGCAACCTGCATTGGCAAGCAAACAATCAATCAGGGGAATATAAGCTTGAAGAGCATGGAGCATCCCTCAAGAAATTGGGTGAGATTGAAATGCTGCATGTTGATCGTGTTGGAGTGCAGCCTAAGAGGACACAGATCTACCTCCTCTGGGACATCCTCAGGGGAATCGTAGACTGCATCCATGGGATACACTTTCACGAACTCCATCAAAGATCCATCTGAAAGCTTTCTGGAGGCATCGAACTTGCCACGCCTCAGGTTGCTCTCGAAAATGTTGAGCGCTGGCACCTGCAAGCCAATACTAGACATTTCAGACACTCATAGAAAACACTATGTTGTACTTACTCATTTTTCATTTCAGCAACATTTTTATTGCTTACCCAGACTCCAAGAGAAATCTCTGCCCCTGCTTCAGCAAGTGCCTTGGCAATCGCCCAACCAAATCCCTGCAACCCCCCACACGGTCGGTTTAAATACCAAAGTATGATTCATATACGCAACGTAATATCTTGTTTGCCTACAGGGTGAATAGTTGCGGTAATACAAGGCGCTTTTGGCTCTTCTTGGTGCAAACGCAGTGATGGCGCTGACTATAGTACTGCTGGTTATTACCTGATCATCTGCCACTCCTGCAACAAATGCTTTCTTCCCTGCAAAGTTCGAAGACCGTTGTCAAGCCAAATTCTATATGCATGTACCAAATTCCGAATTAAGAAGATCTCATGCCCAATTCCACCTCGTAGATCGATGCTGAGACCAGCGCGTGCTGGTGCTGATCCGTTGCTTTCAACAGCTTGTGTGGTAATATGTTTTCTTTCATTTGCAATTGAGCGTCTTCCCGCAGTCCTGATGGGGATCCCTTGGTATATCCTGTTTAATTTGCAAGGCAAAGCACCACCTAGACTCACTGTGGGGCATCTGTTCAGAGCCCCATTCCGGACAGCCGAAAGAACGGCGCGTGAAGCGCCTTGGGTAGGAATCGAAGCCATGGTGGTGTAATCGTGATCTGCTTGCGATAGCGACAGAGGAACGTTCGGTTTGGAGGGATGGTGCCTGTTCAGGCTTAACATGGTGTGCTGGCGTCAGCTGCGCAAGCCCTTGCACGTCTTGTGCTTCACTGGACCCTTCCAAATTCCTAAAAGCTGCATTTTGTAGTTCAGTAACAGCTGAAGAGTCAAGCTGCAGCCGGCCGCCGGCAGCGGCTGCATGGCGGCGGCCAGACCTAGGCGGCACAGCGCGGCAGTGGCCCGGGGCCACCGGCCTGGGTGGCATCCGAGGAGTGCTGGGCACCATATCAATGCCATAGGTTGCGTTGAAATGGCAGACAGGCCCCCGATTGATCAGAAAGAACTGCTCTTACTTGTTGCAAAAGTACTGTCTCGCAGCATATATATTTATATAAGCAACTGAATTCTTCGAAGTTCTCATAAGCTCCAAGCAACTCATTTAAATTTAGGCATTTACTGAGTAAAAATAACGAGCAGCAAAGTTATACCCTGGGCTGTCAATGACAAAATTGCTCAAATAATATAACTTTTGTAGTTCTTTGTCCTGTGCAGCACATAGGCATGCATACATCACTCTCAGAAGCCCTGAGACAAGCACACGTGATTTGCATGCATGTTGAAATCCATAAGGACTCAGTGAGGCTGTGCCCTTCTTCGGACTCAGCTGGCATCACTATTGGTGTCCGAATCGCTTGATTGCTCTTTCTTTGCTTTCTTCGCCTTCTTTGCTTTCTTTTTCTTCTTGTCCTTGTCCTTCTCTTTCTTCTTGGACTTTTTTTCTTTGTGGGACTTCTTCTTGCCGCCCTTCCCATACTTGGCAAGGATGGCCATTGCCTCTTCCACACTGCCAATGTTGCTGGGTCCTGCACACACCACCCAGGTCCAATGACAACATGACCTGACCTCCAGGCCTTGTATTTTTGGCTGTTATGGAAGGCCAGTGAGTGGGCCAAGATTGCTTGTTGAAGAAACGGCATGCATGTACCTGCTGGCTCCGATGCGTGCGCGAGGCCATTGTGGCCTGCACTCATGGCTGGAGGTGGAGGCGGCGGCAGCATTGCCAGGACCTCGTCCCCAACCATCTCGTACTCCTGTGCGTCCCCATACTGCCGATCCCCCGCCTTCAAGTGACCCCAGTCCACCGCGCCTCCTGGAGCCAGTAAAGAGTGTCCGTGAGTCACAGCACCTTAATGTGATTACTGTTGAATTGAATTATCTGAACACCATGAGAAAAAATACCTCGTAGTAGAGCAGTAAGATAAGTGCATGGTGACAGCAGAAGCTTATATAGATAAAAACCCTCATCATGAGGCAATATCAATTCCTTGTCGGATTACTTGCTGGGCACCCACTGCGCACCTTGTTGGACAACGGCTGCAGGCTGAGCAGGGCCCCTGCCATGGCCTCCTGGTCCCCCCTCCCCCCGGGGCTGCCATTTCACATTGTGGGGGTCGAGGTCTGTGCCCTCCCTCTGGTCCACCAGCTTGATGGAACAGGCCACCTTTGGACCCCTCTCTCCGCCGTCATCCGTCACCTCCACAACCTGCACCCATTGTGACACTCAATTATAGCTGCGTGATGGCATAGGAAACTGAAAGAGTTGCCTTCAAGCACTCCAACAAGGTGAAATGTGTAAGGGCGCTCACCTTGACCCAGAGCGGGTCACCCACTGAGTGCACTGCGGACAGGGCATTGATCTTATCCTCGTCGCTCTCGTCCTTGCCAATCTCCAGGTGGTCACTGATCTGCATTAGCACAAGCAAAGAACCTGAATGGTGCTGAATACAAGAGCAGCAAAGGCCTAAGAGGGTCATTTGACAGGAGCCAAGAACACTGTGCACGGTGATGGCACCCACCTGTGACAGATGCACCAGGCCGTTTGCCCTGAACCCCTTGAGGCGCACAAAGATTCCGTACGGCTTGACCGACGCCACACTGGCTTGTACCACAGTATTTACCTGCGCAGCAAAATGCTTTTGCGGCTGATTCTCAATTCTTCTAAACACCACATGAGCGCATTCAGCACAACATCATTCCGCCTCGTCAGCCACCCAAGCATTCAGCCAGATGAGGGCAACACCTCTGGGGGTGAGTCGCTCTGGGGGCCTCGAAAGCCCGCGTCCCCACCGCCTCGGCCGCCGCCAGCGCCACGGCTGGCCGCTGCATTGGTGGGGTCCAGATCGCGGCCGTCCTCCTGTGAGACAATTTTCATGCTGCAGTTGACCTTGGGCTGGCCGCTGCCGTCATCGCGCACCTCCACCACCTTAACCCACACCTGACCACGCACAACATGACGCATATGAGCGTCCACGGGGATCCGCAAGCCGCCAGACATTTACAGGTTTTTGTTTGGGCACCAGTGGCCTTCAAGTATCATGCTGAGCATGTCACAGTGGGCATGAGACAGCACACCTGGCTGCCAACGGGGGCGAAAAATTCCATGGCCTTCACCTTGGCCTCGTCCTCGTCTTCTCTGCTGAACGAGATCTCCTCTGATATCTGGCTGTTGTGGACAAGGCCGTGCCGCCTGAAACCCTCCAGCTCGACAAAGGCGCCAAAAGGCCTGATGTTCCGCACTGTGCCCCTGTGTATGCTGCCCGGCTGTGGCGGCTCCTTGTCCAGCTGGACCTTCTGCTCTGCTCTATGGGGATATCTTGGTCTGCGGCTGTCATCATCCCTGGAGTCCCTCCTCCTTGGACTGCAGCAGCACGTGCAAGCTGTCAGCAATTAGACAGGTATGCCATCCTGCCAAAAATGCTTAAGGAGCTTGGGTGTGCGGGTACAGACAGCAACTGTCCAAACCTGCAGTAACAGCTAAAGGATGGCAGGAGAGATGTGTGGAAACCTCAGACTGCTGTCCCTCGCATATCTGGCGATTTCGTTGTATCTGTGACTATCATCATGCCTCCTCCTGTAATCAGACCGCTCGTCATCATCTCTCCCAACACTGCGATCTCTTCGCCTGTACCTTTCGTCCTGGGCCCTGGATCGTCTAGGGCTTCTGCTACTTCTTCTATAGTTTCTATCATCGTCTCGATCTCCTTTGGAATGCCTGCCATCTCTTCTCCTGTCAGGCGATCTGCTAGGCATTTCTGGAGTTGATACTTTGGTTGACAAGAAAGGGGGTCGTGCGAGGCTTTTATGTGAAATCCAATAAATCTAAAACATAAGCAATAAACATGCAATCATTGAAGCTCGTCCTTGTTACAAACCATATAAAGGCAATGGCAACTTCCTGATCTAGTGATGACTCAGCCCTTAGCCAGGGCATGCGCAGGTCCATGAATATACCCCCTGACCCAGAACATGTGACATCAATTCATCAACCACACCAAACTTATTAGACCGATAAGGTGAATACAATTAGTCCATACTGGTACATACAATAATCCGTCATATAACCGCTTCCCACACACAGTACTGTCTTCCTGACTGCCGAGTTGAGTCAAGATGACTTCAGTGCCGCCGTGGCAGGGTGGCCCTTCACGACTGGGATTTCAATCTGTTAGCAGCGTTAAGGGGGGCAGCCAAATGCCCGCATGTGCTTCTGCCCAAAGTGCAGCCCGTCAAGACCCTTGCAACATGGGCATAATGACTGCATCTGGAACAGCTGCTGAGTCCTGGAGGTTTCCCTTGGCATTCGCTACTGCGTTCCGTGCTCTGTGTTGGATCCATCGCCGCTCCCTTGCAAGGTTCCGCAGAGCAGTTGCCTTGCCATAGTTGCCGGCAGCTTGCTCCACCATGCTCAGCTCCTGCAAGCAGCACATCACCAGCCAAGAATGAGAACACAACACCACACGCCCCGGCTGATCCAGCCACTACTTTAATGCATCACTGGCCAGTCAGAGGACACACGCACGCAATTGGCAACTTCAATCTCAGACAAGGTGATAGCCAACAGGGAAGAATGAGGGCAACACCTGAAGGGCAACCGCGTTGCGAGGCTGGAGGGACAGAGCGTTGCCCAGATGCACTCTTGCAGCCTTCTGATGCCCTGACCTCCTTTCCAGAGAACCCACGGCGCACAGCGTGCGAACATTGTTGGGGTCCACCTGCAGACGCGAAACAAGGCTCCTCACTGGCAATACCACAAAGCCTTGTACAGCCTGTTCTTTTAATCCCTGTTACACAGTATAGGAAATGAGCGCCAATTCCTGCATGATTGGATGGTCAGTTCTCAGGCTGTATAGTACCTGCAGGGCTCTCGCATACAGGTTGCGAGCGGCGTTGGTCTGGCCAGCAAGGCCCTCGCAGTGGGCACAGGCAGCCAGAGCAGGCACATGGCGGGGGTTGAGCGCCAGGGCGCGCGCAAAAATGTCGCGGGCAGCCCTGAAGTTCTTGGCGCGCGTCTCGGCGACCGCCCATTCCTGTGGCAATAAGCAGCCTCAGAAACCAAGAACATCAGCCCGCGACCGAAAATTTGCCATGACACTGCGCAAATCATGCACAGTCAACAAACACTCCAAGAAAATGTCAACTCTACCGGCGAGCGGCATGCAGGTGCTTTATTTAAGCACGTCAATACTGTCGATGCAGGCATGCCTGCAGCAGAACGATGTTGTCCTGGTTTCGGCTGTGTGCGCTCTGGAACAGCTCGCGGGCGCGGTCCAGGCAGCCGGCCGCGGCCTCTGCGCGCGCCCAGGCGCCCAGCAGCACCAGGTTGGCCGGCTCCGCGACAGCGCCGGCCTGGAAGTGCTTGCGCGCGGTGGCGGTGTCCCCCAGGTCTGCCTCCACGCAGCCCAGCAGGCACAGCGCCTTGCTGTCTCCCGGCTGCGTCCTCAGCGCCTCCTGCACCAACTGACGCGCCTGCGCAACCACATAACATCATCAGCCTCAGGGGTGTCTTAAGTTCGACTCATTCATCTGAGCTGGATGTTGATGCAGGATCAAATGTTTATCATCAGCTGAGGAAGGACACTTGCTTCAACATCATTTATCTGTCAAGCAGAGGACAGGGATGGGCAACAGGAACTGGTCTGTCATAAAGCAAGGTTGAAGCTCACCCTGGAGAGGTGCCCATTCTTCTTCTCCTGGTGCGCCCAGACCAGCAGAGTCTTGACGCCCCCTGCCTGAGCCAGGCCCTCTTCATGCGCAGCAGCAACGTCCACTGCTCGTCGGAATAGCCTGCGGCTGACGGATTGGTGCCTGCAGCCAAAGTATCTCCATGGCTCAGTCACAGCGCCTCAGCATGCTGGCTTGATTCCTGAACTGTGCACTTGAATCAAGATACATAATGCGACTGAAAAGATGGTCTTGAGGACTGATAGGAGCAAGAAATGAATGGCATGTGAATAAGGTATCATACGCACCCCAAGAAACCCTCCATGCGAGCCCAACTCCTGAGAGCCCTGCCGAAGCTCTTCCGTGTATCCCCATCAGGCACCTCGTGGTCACTCAGACGCACATGCTGCACTCTGCCCTGCTCGCTCTGCTCCACACTTTCGCTCTCAGTAATCTGCTCTACACCCTCTGCTCCACATTCCCCATCGTCCTCTGACATAGTCTCCAATGCCTCACAAGACGCTCTGTAAAATGCGCGCGCCCGTGCAAAATTTCCCCTCAACCCTCGTTTTGCCAGACGCCGCTCTGCATTCGCCAGCTGCAGGAGAACAAAGCCATGATTTGTCAATTCAATTGCCAAGCAAAGGACAGAGGCTCCAAACATTCATTGGCACAGCAAGCTTTACCCAGAAGGTTGCCGCTAAGGAACACACCTGTAGCCACACTGCGCCATTGGTGCCCAAAGACTGGGCCAGCAACGACAGTTCGCTGTGCTTTTCCTCCAGCCCGCCATCCAATTTGCTGCTGCTCTTAATATCCCCTTCAGTCGCTGCTGTACTGCAACAAGACGCGTCCAGGACATCTGCCGCTGTCTCCAGGGCGGTCGGGATGTTGTCGGGCTCCAGAGCCACCAGGCGGAAGGCAATCCTGCTGTCTCCAAAGGCCACGGTGTCACGCGCACGGATCTGAGTGTCCCGGTGCGGCCGCAGCTGCGCGCGATTCACCCACGTCCCGTTCGTGGATCCCAGGTCCGTCAAGATACACCTGTACATCACCAATTTCATGGGCTCTACACATTTGTAATACGCAGCAAGAGGACAAGCTCGCCAGTACCTCACAAAGGCGAGGATCTGTGTGCTGTGTGGAGCGGACCTGAAGTCGGTGCTCTTGGTGCCACTGCCAGTTGGCACGATCTCAAGCCGTGCGTGCCTGCCAGACACAGTGGGCGCATCCAGGATGACATCGATATCGGCATCCTCGACCGCACCAATGATGAGCGGCCCCTGCTGCGGCAGGAGAACGGCCTTGCCCTGGGCACCCAACCTGCACCAACCAAAGCACAATGTGAAAGACACATGTTGCCGCACAATCTGAGTTCCTCACTACCATTTTAAGCCTTCCTTGCGCAAGGCTCTTGGGCAGCTGCAACCATCAGCGAATGCAGAGAAAAACGTTTGTACCAAAAACACCACGCAAGGCAGGGGCGAAGTTCTCACATGTAGCCTGCAACGTCACGGATGCTGCAGAACTGCCCACGCGCAAGAGGCACCAGCGCAAAATGTCTGCATCTGATCCATGGGTGACCCCGGTGCTCCGCTGCTTTGAGGCCCAGAGGGAGCTCAGAGAGATCAAGATCTGCGGCGCCTCTCCTGCCCTTGGGCTTCCTCAATGATGCCATGGAGGCACCACGTTCTGACCGTCGCGGCAGGTTCGACGTTGAAGGGAGAAAACCTCCATCCTCTCCCTCTTGCCTACTGGGATGCCTCCCATGGCTGAGCTGCGTGGAACTTCCTGCGGCCCTGGACTGATGCCTCTGGCCTTCCTCCTCCTCAATGGCGAAGCTGTCAAGCACCCGCCCGCTGCTTTCTGGCATGCTGGAGGCAGTCCCATTGCGGGCAGGTGAGCGCGCTGTGCTCTCCTGCAGCGCTTCCTTCTTTGAGAAGGGGACCACATCATTGCGATATACTCCGGCTGAGCTCCTGCCACTGGTCCAAGCTGTGTGTGTCTCCCTGCCGGGAATACCAGCGCCAATCCCAGACGGCTGGTGCGTCTGCTCTGCTCTGGATCTGCCAAGGCTAGGCCGGTTGTCAGCTGCATGCGACGGAGCGCCGGGGCTGCCTTGCATCAGCAAAGCCTCCTCTTCTGCATCATAGCTGTCCCAAACGCTTGGTCCGTCTCTCCCCTCAGCGTCAGGCCTGTCATCAGCCATTGCTGGGTCCTGCCTCGGTCTCCGCAGCAGGATGTGCTCCTTCCTCTGTGCATCTACCGTATGAGACCCAGTTGCTGAGCTGCCATGCTGGTCAGCATCAATTGCGCTGCTGGGAGCCTCTGCAGGAGGAGCGCTGAGAGGCCCATCGGACGTCTGCTGGCACCGCTGCAGGTCTTGGGCTGTCTCCAGGTCTACTCTGGGGAGAGCCTCCAAGACTCCCGCCTACACATGTGGCTCAAAAAGTCACCAAGGTTGCAATCAAAGACAGCCAGATCTGTGAGCACTCTTCCAGACAAAAGCATGCGGCTCAGTAGGATCAATTGGATTTGTGCTGTCATTACATGCAACATGCTCCAGTCACAAGCGCCATGAGGCACCTCATCATTGCCGCATATCAACTATACTACCTAATGAGGCTTTTAGAGGTCAGACGACTGTTTTAAGGTCATCACAAGCAATCCCTTGCAGGTCTTGGAAACATGTCTCCATCATCCCTTGACCTCCACATTTTTTTTTGGCATCTTTCATATGCAAGCACTTAAGCACACAAAAAAGAAACTCATGAGACTTCAGGAAAATTCACTGAATCCCTCAGAGAACCTTTTATATTTCTCACTCTTGACAGGCATTTTTTAGCTTTACATGAAAAAGAAATCCTAAGAAATTCACACTTATCCACCCGGGGTGCCGGTACCTTTCTGACAAAGTGCAGGAAGTCGGGGAGAGTGACGCCGTCGGAGTGCGAGGCAACCTCGCTCACCATCTCCTGAGCCGCTGCCCCAGCAGCCCCGCCAAAGCCCAGATCACCCAGGGCCTGCTGAAGCTCACCCTCACTGATGCACCCATCGCTGTTTGTGTCCAGATGCCTGCACATGCCCGCAGTCCCCAGCTGACCGCATGCTCTGCATATTTAGCAAACTACTAGCTAGCTTGCGGGAATGCCTTGCACGTGATGTAATACATCCGAAGTCACACCTGAAGAGCTCTTCAGCGGCGGCTTCAGAGCTGTTCCAGGAGCGGGCTGGCAGGGCCGGCGGGTTGGCAGAGATCTCCAGGAAGCCATGCAGCCTCCGCGCCAAGTCAGGCGCCAAGCCGCCCTTGTACGCAGCATGTGCTGCCTCCCCAGACTGCGCCTCCTCGTGCATGCCTGCTCAGCCCAACAGTAAGTTCTTCAGCTATTAAATGTAATATATACCTACACTTCACTTGCGTTGCAGGCCATTCTATGCCAGGCTCACTGTGCCTTCTGACAGACAATGAGATGATGGGTGGATTCGTGATTGCTTTGGTGTAAAACGAATGTCAGGCCCTCACGTTTGCTGCGGATCTGCAGCTCCAAGGGGAGCATGCCCTCAGGGCTGCTGCTGCCGCCGCCGAGGCCAGCGTCGAAGGTGGGCCTGTCCTGGCTCCCCAGCCCAACCTCAACTGTCAGGGAGGGAACGCGCAGTGTGCTGTGCAGCGACCTGTACCCATTCGGCTTGGCCGCCGCGATGTAGTCCTTGTCCCGCTCCTCTATTGGCTCCCACAGCGCCTTGGCTAGCTCACGTACCCTGTAGCACGCCTGTCAACCCACGCCACACTGGTTGACAATGCATCCTGAGATCACTTCCTGGTGTGCTTTGCTAGGGACGGAGTGCTTAATCAGACAACCATGCGCTGCAGATGTCATATCTGATATAAAAATTGTCACTGACAGATCTTTGCATTTGAGCAGGGTGAGCCACACCTGGGTTGCGGCCAGCTCCCCTTCCTCAACAGGCAGGTCGGGGTAGGGTGTGACAATGACGCGCATTCCCAGCAGGTCATACACCTCGTCACGCCCCCTGCCCCCCTTGGCCACATCGTCCATGCGCAGCAGCTTCTTCATGGTGCTGTACAGACTCTTTGTACGGCCTTGTATCTGCATACCACAAGCTTCATTACCTCAGACAAGTCCTCGCAGCAACACTGACCACTGTGTAGACGAGTCAGCAGTCCACATCATGTGAACAGTCGGGCGCAGCACCTGACAGAAAGCAACCAGGCTGGCAAGCGTGGCATCTTCTCTCAGAGCGCTGTCAAGGCGGGCCTGGCAGCGAGCCAGGGTGTCCTGGTATGCCGTCCTCTCTCGCCACAGCCACTCCGCTGTCTGAGCATACGAACGCGGGAACAGCTCCTGCAGCAGCCAGAACACCTTAGTGTGGGCGTGTGACATGCAACCAAAAGATTGCCTAAAAGTTCGCACAGCACGCCAGATCATGAGAGCAATGCAAATGAGTAATTAAAGTTCGGCTATGATGCGCCCATGACAGATATCACTGGATGCACAGAGGGCCACAGCACCCAATGACGCGCCTGGAAGCAGCGGTCCTCCAGTTCAGCGCTGACAGAGGCGAGGCCGAGCGCATGGCCCATGGGAGCAAAGATTTGTAGCGCCTCCAGGGCTGCCAGCTGGCGCTGCCACTGCTCCGCGCCGGCCAGGCTGTTGCTCAGGTCGTCCGAGCGGCGGCACACCTCCACCACGATCGCCCGCGCATCGTAGAAGTTCAGGCACAGCTCGCGCAGCGCCCCCGTCGCCACGTCATCGTACACGTCGCAGCGCTGCGGCAGCGTGCGCACCTGGCAGCATGGGCGGTACAGGCAACATTTCAGCCCGCTCACTTGAACGGCATCTACCTGGCACAGTCATGGAATGAGTGTGCCGCTCAGCAAGGCTGTTACATTTGATATTCAGAGAACAGGTAGAAGAATGCACCTTGAGCATGTCCCGGATGAGCAGCGCAGGGATGGGGCCCAAACGCTCCTCCACCACGGCAAGTGGCAGCTGCCCCTCATGCACCGCCGATGCCACGATGCCGGCCGCGATGGACTCTGCATCCAGCGGCAAGCCCTGGCGCACATGACAGATCAATCAGGCATGCCCAGCACAGGTAGCCTTGGCCCACACTGGGGAGGGTGATCAACCGCACAGCATGTAGTATAGCCAGCGTAGGAAATGCACCACGTCATCTTGCCGGTGCTATACCTGAGCAGACAAGTCTGCCAATTGAGAAGCCAGCGCCAGCGCACGCTGGGAGTCCTGCCGTGCTTGGCCTGCATGAGGAGGGGCTGAGTGCGCGAAGGACAACTTCAGGGAGTTGAGGATGAGTTTCGCCCCGTCGCCAGCCCCTGCATGCTCTGGCAGCCTCTGGGCCAACTGATCCCAAGCAGAGACAAGCTCCATGAAGCTGGGAGCAGCTGTCTGCTGCAGTGAATCACTCCTGCGCAGCTCCAACTCTCCATGCTGGACCTGCAGGTTTAGTGCCCAGACTTTCGAGCTGTCCGTGGTGGAGCCTGCCTAAAGCGACAAATCGGGGTGCAGAAAAGGACGCTGAAAGCCGGACTGTGTATTTCGCATGGATGACAGTCCAATGAATTGCAAAAGAAGGACGCCACAAGGCTGTCTACCTCAGGCTCCGCTACGCTGGTCGCTAAATGGGTGTGGTGTCTCCTGCTTCCATCAATCCTGCTTAAAGGGTCATCTTTGAAGCCACTGATGACATCTACTCGCCTCTGCCTCTGATTTCCAGACACCGTTCTGGGGCGGAGCTTGCTAGGCAGATTAAGTCTTCTCGGCCCTAGGCAGTAGACCTCTTCAGGATTCAGATGCCGATCACATCTTCGATGCATAATGATCGAGGTAACATCCGGCTCCCCGCCGAGGATGTATTGAGAATTGCAAGTCTGGGCATGGATTGACCAGGATCGCAGATTGCATTGTTGATGATGTGGCAGCTGCATGGGGGCTACAAGGCAATAGACCAGCCCAGCGACTCGATTCTTTTATTGGCCAAAATCGCTGAAATTCGGCTTTCCTGCAGTGAGGAGTTTTCCTAGAGTACGGAGCACAGATCAGAGAAGCCTCCGTTCGGTTCTTCTTTTCAGCTAGGATGTTTCATACACTCCTGCCGCCCACGGTTCATATCTCGTGTCATGCCGCACGCCTGGATTCCCACTTGAGGGTCCCAAGCTCGACAAGAGATACTGTGTTTGTCAAAGCACAGTTTTCAGGGCGGTTGTCTCCAAGCCATCACACGCAAAGACGTACGTTGGAGTGTCAGGCAGCTGCAGCTCCAGATGTTCCTCTGGACAGGATGCAGCTGGAAAAACTGCAGGCGGCACTCTCACAGGGCAGGAAGAGGATCAGTGTGAGTGCTCCCAACTTGTGGCAGCGACCCAGATACTAGCTACACACACCTCACACCCTCCCATCAAAGCAGTCTTATGGGAGGCTGCATTGTTTAAAATTGCTTCAAAGATTTTCATTGGGACTGCAGGTGAAGCAGCTTTGCCAGGACGTGCAATTGGATAGGGCGGACGTCCTGCAGTGGCTGAAGTATTTTGACAGCCTTCCTCCAGCGTAAGCATATGCCTTGTCAGACAGAAAGCATTTTTTGAGGAGACTGAACATGCGCAGCAAGACTTGATTGAATGTTTCGCGCTGCTGTCATAGTGTGAGGGACACCGTCTTGGAATCAAGAAAAGCAGCTTTCAGTGCGTCTGAGGAGCGAAAAGTTGTGCTGATGGGGTCCAAGCAGAGAGATCAGCCCATCAGCCAACAAATAAAGCAGCCAAGAGAGAGGCTGCATTACAAACCTGGTTCTGAGCCTTACACTCCAGGTCTGTGACTACCCAGTGTCTTTGCACCTGCATGTCGCCAGTGACCCACGTGCCCTGTGCCAGGGATCCTGGCTGCTGACTAGCATGCAAATTGCCAGCCAGGCAATCACAAGGATTTGGCGCTCACAGGCACTGCACCCTGGGCCGCGAATTATGGCAGGAAGAAGCTGCCTCGGTCTGCTGAGGCGACGATGGAGAAGATTTTTGAGGAAAGCCCCCGACCGTCAGAGGCAGTAGTGAAGGGGCTGTTCGATTTGCACCGCTTGCCTCGGAGGAGGGTCTTGGATTGGTTTGCTCAGCGTCGACGGGACAGGGGTTCGATTCCTGATGTCTGAGGATGGCGGATGGCAATCATCAATGCTGGCCGGAGTCCTCAATTTATTTTTAAGTTAAACTTCAGAGTTTGTGACTGATCAAGCCCGTTTTTTAGAAGATTTTGAGGGGAACCGGGTGCAAAGGCACCCATGACAGGTTGTGTGGGCCGGTTCAATGGAATCGGATGTGTTGCTCTTGCGCACAACTGTTTGCCTACTATTGAATCACCTGCCAGTGGCGCATGAAAGCTACCTGAGAATGTGATTTGCTCCCTGCTGCAATTGTTATCCTGCTGGTCCTGCTATCAGATTCTTTGACATTTTGTGTATCTGATATCTCCTGAAAGTCAGGAATAATTTTAAGAAACGCATCATCTGATGAGATGAAGTTATACTTAGCAACGCATGACACTTTGGCCAATGGTGGCCCATGCAAGGCGCACCACTTCAGGAACGTTCCGGAGCTCTACTAGATGGTATGGTGGCTATCAATGATTGTGCCTATGAAAGGTGTTCTTAGGATCATCGATGACCTCAGATTGGAATTCACTCAACCGGATGCCAAGCAAGTTTTGACGCAGCTGCAGTCACTGTTGCCGTTTTGACGTAATTCATCATGATGAAGCTTTCAGAGCAAAGCTCAAAGAGCTCTGACAGAAAGATGGTGGGTCATGCTGCCCAGAATACCGTGTGAGTGTAGTATACCGGTAATGATCTCTATTGGACTGCTCCTACTGGGGTGCACTTGGCGTTAGCCTGAGATCTGAGATGTCTGCACAAATGATGCCTTCAATGAGCCACAATGATAATGGATTGATAGGCGCGCCCCAGGTGAAATGTACACATGTGCTATCTGACAGATCTGCTTGCATGACGCATTCACCCAACATGCAAGGTGCAGCAGCAAACAGGCCACGCAGCATCCCCTTCTCCTTCCCATCCAGTTGCAGGGAAAAGTGGGAACTTTTCAGGATTGCATCAGCAGAGAAGATGATGCTGAAGCCACGTCGCTCCCTTTTGGGCAGGCCACAACATGCAGGCATAGTCACTGCCGATCTCTCAAAATAATAGAAAGGACGCAGCTGAGGATGGCGTTCGAGCTGCCGCCCCGGCTACGGCTGGAGGAAAGGAAGGTGGAGGTCGCCAAGGCCAACAACAGCCGCGACTCGCCAGCAGGCAATTCAAGGAAGGGTAGGTTGGCTTCCCTCCTTGGGGGTTTTCTGTGATCCAAAAGGGTGGAGTGGTGGGCTGAGGCCTCGTGTGGCATGCAGGTCAGCCATGGACGGAGGCGGAGCATCTGCAGTTCCTCACAGGCCTTAAGAAGCTGGGAAGAGGCAACTGGCGGGGCATCTCGCGGTTGTTCGTTCCAACCCGCACGCCAACGCAGGTGCGCCGCTTTCTGCCACTGCAGCTAACGCCAAATGTCTTCCACCGACCAGATTCTTGTGATGCGCCTCACCGATTGGCGTGCACCGTGAGAAAATACGAGTCTTGCCCGTGCTTACTTGGCGTTTTCTGTGTCAGCCGGATTAGAAGTGCCTCCATTAGTCCGTGCCCGACTTTCATCAGTCCTGCCCATTGTCGCGCTTCAGCCTTTGACGTTGATATACACATTACACATATGTACATCTGCATCTCGTTACCCCTTTACCAGATGTCTTGGGGTGAAGGATCAAATGCCTAGTATGCCACCTCTGTACATTTAAAAGTCAGAAAACCTCAGAGGCTTCTACTGCTCTCTGTGTCTGCTGTGGGCTGCACTTTTACAGTTGTCTGTGTCTGCAGGTGGCCAGTCATGCACAGAAGTACCTGTTGCGCCAAACAACTGTGAGCAAGCGCAAGAGCCGATTTTGCCTCTTGGAGCAGGCCGCATCTGCCCAGGGCCTCCTTTGCACTGGTGTGGCAGACAGCTGTGGGGCAGGGCCTGCGATGCTCCCTGTCTTCTATGGTGTGCAGACATATCCGGTTGGCCAGCTGTCTGACCGCGCTGGCTCGCTGCAAGGTGGCTCAGCATCTTCTTCTGACACCAGCGAGAGAGGTACAGTCCTTCATTTCTTTGTAAAGTTCAAGATTTGCTCGTAATCACAGGTGCCAAGTGACTCGATACTGCCATGCCTGGGTGTCGGGGGGTTTGCTTACATGACTTATGAAGTCCCTGTGGTGGATTGCAGGCTGCCATCGCATGCTGGACGTACCCAGCTCATCGTGTCCAGAGAGCTCAAGGGCTCCCAAGTTCACGAAGATCTGCAGGCCGGTGCCCTACCATGCTTCAGCGCGCCTGACAGACATGGCCAAGCTGAGGGCTGACTTGGCGGCAGCCGTGGCAGATGACAAGCTCGGTCCGCTGCAGGCGTCGAGCCGCTCAGCCTTTTTCCCCGTCCGACCCTCCTCGGCAATTTCTGTGTAGGGATCCTATCTGGGGCAGTGCTAGAAGGAGTACAGATGAAAGTACTGGTGAGCGTGAGATGTGCTCAACCTGGGAGCACCGCTTATGTCTGGGAGCTTGTTATGTGGAGCTGCGACAGGCTGCAGCTGTCAAGCTTGATCTGTCTTGGATGGTCGGGTACTGGGCCATGTGTACAACCATACCGTTTAGTTTAGTCTGGGTCGTGGAGCAACCAGGGATGTTCCTCGGAACAAAATGCATGTCAGGTCTAGGTGGCGTCTTCCTCTCTGCCTGAGCGGCTTTGCTGCTTATGCACGTACATTGAAGTCCACTCGCAGAGGTTGTCCTTTCCCCATCACATGGCCCTTTCAAGGCCTGCTGGGTTCGCGCAGATTCAGATGACCAGAGTTAGGACTTTGCAAGAACTGGGTCGTCAGCATATGCGTTTTGAGTTTGTTGGGTCTCCCAACCCAGCGCCAGGAACAGCCATGGGATCACGCAGATGAAGTAGAGCGCCTTTTCGAGAGGCTGCTTGCAGAGCCGTTCTTTATTTTACAGCAGTTGCCCACGGATAAAGGCAGGAAGGCAGATGAACGCATGCTGTGATGATATATGTACACAATACACAATGCTGCGCCGAAAGTGGTAGGCTCTCAGATTGTCGGCGCTGCTCTTGCGGAAGCGCCGAGGATGTTTTGGTGATGCTGATGCGTGTGTCTAGTGGTTTCACTGCTTTTCAGAACGCAACCTTGGTTATGTCGGATCCCTCAATGTACACTGCATTCTTTGAGGTTGTACTTTAGCTGATGCTCAGAACAGGTGAGCTGTATTTGATCGCAGGCAAACGGAAACTTTCCTTGGATGTGAAGATTGGGGTGTCACTGTTGCATGTTGTCCATGGTGGCTGGCCAGAGTCCTCAGTGTGATGATGTGTCTGAAAGCGGAGACACATGATTGGATTGAAACTGTAGTTAGTGATGGTGTGCGATATATTGGCGCCGCCGGATTGAGGACTATTGGTCTCTGATGACAATGCTGATTTTGAGAGTTATGAATGAAGATGAAATGCTACTCTAGACTTTTGGAGGCGATTGCCTGTCCCCACAAATACTTGTAGACGGGCACCTCAGGCAAAACACGTCAGTCAGCCTCGAGGTGTTTGTCACCCGAAAGATAGTGTAGCATTGCAGATACACCCCATTCGCTGATGTCGGTGTTCAGAGGTGCAGGAAGCAATTTTAAGGACATGCAACAATGGCACTTTGGAATCCCGCTTGGAATGATTGCTGTGCAACATGGGTGCCGGTGCATCCACACTGAATTTTCTCGATTGAGGTCTGCGTCTTACTGAATAATAAGTTGCAATTTGTGCCTCTTTTTGTAAGTCAGCAATTCTTAATAATGTGCCAATGCACTAATATGCTTTACAGAAAACTCATCGTGATCATCATGACACCAAGGTCTGAAGGGACTCAATATCCTATGATCATGATATCCTATGGGCGCAGAAACGTGATTATGCTACCTTCTCTTCTTCAAAGCACTCTGCATAGCTGCCAAGTCTTCCTCGAGGGATCCTCCACCTGGAATCACAACAAAGTTTTCACTAGGGAGTCACCATGTTGGTGATGCATATCAGAAAGCAACAGGACGACCAGGATCTGAGCACTCACCTTCCAGGATGTCTGCCAGGTTCCCAATTGCTTTCGTGGCTGGGCCTTTTGCTAGTTTGCCAATGACAGTGCTCTTTTCCTTGCTTTGGACGCCTGAGAGCTGAGGTAGCTTGCTGGGAAGCGCCTTTTGGGTTGCAGTCTGAGCATTCTGCAGACTTTGCACAGCTTGCACAGATACACGTCCTGCAGCACAGGGGGGCTCATAGTGATGTGGCTGTTTGCATCCCTTTGGCATCTGGCTGTGGAAACATTCTATATCTATGCCAAGGTGCATATTTCCACAACAACAGGCAGTTCTGGACTCACCTCGGACATCTTTTCTTGATACAGTTGGTTCCTGCATTATAGCTATCTCTTCCTCTTCATCTGACTCTGCGTCCGAATCTTCTTCATAGCTGCTGCCGTCATCATCTGACTCGGAGACGTGTTCCGTCATTGCATTATTTGCCCCTTCCCCAATCGATGCACCTGCACATCCATCCACCCCACTTTTTTCCCTACACGAACTTTCAGTGCAACTGGTCTCCACCTGTGCATGACCCTCCCTAACCGCACGAGACACAGCCAACAGCTCGCTAATCAGGACCTGGCTGAACAGCTCCCCAGGGCTGAAACGAAGATGAATGTGATGCGGACAAGGAGTCACCAGTGATGGCACCGCTGGCGAGGACGGTGACAGAGCGGCCGGGGGCGCCGGGCTCCTGAGCAGCCCGGGTGTGTCGTCGGACACGGGCGGCCACGCGCGATGTGTCATGCCTCTGCAGCGCCGCCTTGAGCCCATCCATCACCTGCCCTGCCCTGCTGTTTGCCAGACGCACCACTCTGTGCACCTGCGCACCGTTCTCGCTGTCAACGTCAACCTGCCCTCACTGAGCCAAATTGCCAGAGCCATGAGAAGCACAGTGCAAGCCAGCCCCACCCCAGTTGTCAGCTGGAAGTGAGAACAAGTTTGCACTTTCAGCAGAGGGAGAGTGCAAATTTCTGGAATGGCAGTGTCACATGGGCTGTGCACCTGTGTCATGGAGATGCCAATGCCGGATGTCTTCCTGACTGTGCAGACGTCACTGTGAGTGTTGACAACCACGGTCATCAGCCCTGCCGCTGCAGCCTCCTCTGTGCTGTCCGGGTCCACCACCAGGAGCTCCCCATCCTGCAGCCACCAGAGCCACATGACAACCCCCGAGACTTGATCACGCTGTGGAGACTCTGCTGCATGAATAGACAGCAGGTGACTCGCAGAAGCTGTCTGTATATCTTCCTCCTCATTGTTGAAAATGTCGCTGCCAGAGAAGCCTTAGTGAAATACAAGGTTGGAATTGGTTCGCACCTCAAAGAACGCGAAGGAAATGCCGAGAGGCAGATGGTGCAGACTGAGGGGCACCGGCTCCCGCGCGCTGGGGGACAGCACTGTGACACGCGCGCGCCCCGACTCGGCACCTCCGGCCGCCACCTCTGTGTCCGGCCGCCGGAAGGCCATGAGTGCAGCGAGCGTGCACAGCATGCACGCGTCCGCCAGGTTTCCCCCGTTATCCAGCACATGCACGTCTATGCTCAACGACCAGACCTGCAGCAATGGAATCTTGTATCTTTGGACATTTTGAAGAACCAGCACACACACCCGGGACCCTGAGGAGAATGAAGTACAAATCTGCAGTGCCAAGCTTCCCACTTTCGAGGTGCAAGCACAAACGCATTGGCAGCAAGAGCTGGTGGGAAGGTCACAGACGTCTCAGCCCGTCGCGACCCTCATGTCATAGCTGATTGTGCATAGCCGCACCCTGTGGCCTGCCAGCACGCACAGCGCCTCCTGGTCGATGGCCCTGCTGTCCCTGAAGGCTCGCTCGAGAAGCCGCGTGACCTCTATAGCTGCCTCACCAGGCCTCCCTGCCTGGAACGATGGCGAAGCCATAGGGGAGTACTCCACATTGAAGCGCACAGCACCCTCATTTGGCCTGCACCAGCAGCAGGGAGATTGCGGCGATTGCCGTCTGGCCAGGAGGGTACCTGAAGCCTTGAGCCTTGACTCAAGGTAGCCATGCCATCAGTGTGCGCACCTGTCTTCGTAAGGCGCTGTGAGTGTGGGTGTGATGACAGTCATGACTTTTGTCTGCCCCATGTCAAGTGTGGCGCCGCTATCATCCAGGGAGAACTGCACAGGGGGCATGAGAGAGGTCATCACATGTTAGGATTCTCCGCAGCCCCTGACTTTGTGAAGGGTAAATCCTTGCCTGATAAGAGATCTTCCGGTGTTCATAAGGGGTCCTGCCATCCACCCTCAGCTCCTCCCTAAGAGCCTGAACATATGCTTGTTGGTTAATGCCGGCATGAAACACATAAGCGCAAATATCATACCTATAATTTTATAGGTTACAAAGACACTGCACAGTATATAGGTACCTTCAGGACAAATTCACGTTCATTTGTGGAGATGAGGTCTGTGTCTCTTTGCATCAGATCGTCTGTTTTTAGCACCCGCGAAAAAGCATGAACTGGATCAAAACCAACAGATATACTCCAGTTTTTCTGACGTTTTGCTTTATTCGAAGCACCGATCTTGTTCTTGAGAGCAGCGAAAGAGCAGCTTTGTTTCGGAGCTGCCAATCTCACTCCGGATCCGTCCAAAACAGGCTCGGCACCTATTTTGAGCAAAATTTACGGCATGCAAAATTAAGGGATCGAGGAGCTGAAGCACAGGACTTGCAGGCCAGGAGCATTTAGAAGATCGCATGGACACGTATCGATCGCGGGATTGGGAAGGCTTTGTTTGAGCTTGTCGCACTGAGATGCGGGCCATCGTTAGATCACTACTGGGTACACCGGATAGTGTTGCGATCCCTCCTCGCTTGTCTAACTTTAAAAAAAATCAGCTTTGTTATTGGAGGACTTTGAACAAGGTGCCCAACATTACGCTCGCTCCTTTCACCCGTCGTACGCTGACGCAAGCTTTCGTCCTTTTTGCCGGTTCCGGTCTCACTATCGCTCGTGCTGGTGCTTTCTCACCTTTTCTACTGGGACATTCTCTTTGGCTTGATCGATTCTCAACAAATGGCGCACCCTGCTTCAGTCATTTTCATGAGGGCGTGGTGCACATCGTTAGGGAGGGCTGCAATAATGCGACGTTGTTTTACCTGAATTCGATTTGAATATCGTAGTAATTCAAAACAAGTGGACCCATCAAAGCAGAGAAGATTTGGCAGGGCATATCAGCTTTCATGCTTGACAAATTCCTGGGCCCGGTGCAGTGTCTGTTACAACCTGCGGTGACACAAGCCAACACAACCCAAGCAAGAAGAAGGAGCCGATGCTGAATGCGTGGGACACCCTAAGAGGTGGACGCAGAGACAATGACTGTCTTGTGGATGATCTGGAACTCCAGAACCGACTGAAGTCTCAGCGTGTTGCAGATGCTCTGCGGAAGGTATGATCTAAGACTAGTATTCTCATCCACGGTAAGATTACTCCCATGGCTTCTCCTCTGACGCCAAGTGTGGCATTGTGCAGGTTGACCGCAAGTTCTTCATTCTGCCAGACATGTTCTCCATTCGAGCATACCAGGTATGGTCTTTGTGTCTTCTTTTGGATTCAGCATTGTCTTCTGCCATGCACCATGTGGTTACTGGGCTCATCTCACATGCGCAGGATCAGGCCCTACCCATTGGCTACGGGCAGACCATATCTGCACCCCACATGTACGTCAAATGGGTCATGTGTTGGTACCTCTTTCCATCCGGTCTTTCGAAAGGGGAGCTTTTTCTAATTTTAGCTGCTCATACAGGCACGCAGCTGCTCTTGAACTGCTGGAGCAACACCTGCAACCAGGCTCTTCGGTGCTTGATGTGGGCTCAGGTATGCTCAACCGCCATGTCTATCGACAGCTGCTTTGACTTGCCAAGCTCCAGTTCCCCAGCAAGGATCCCCCCTATTCACCCCCACTGTGAGGTGCATGCATGCCTGTCAACAGGCTCTGGCTATCTGAGCGCGTGCATGGGGCACATGGTGGGTAGCAAGGGCCATGTGCTGGGCATTGAGCGCGTGCCGCAGCTGGCCCAGCGCTCCATCTCCAGCCTGCGCAGAGCAGCGCCCGAGCTGTGCGCACCTCGGACAGTTCTGTGTCCCCTTGGTCAAGCTGCTCTGTTGCTGTGCTGCTGCTGCACGACGTGTGGACAGGGAGAGATGTGGTGCTGTGTGCGGCAGGTACGAGAATGGCACAGTCACCCTCAAGGCCGGCAACGCTCTGGACGACCTTGCCCTTGAGGAGTATGGCCCCTTTGACGCCATCCACGTTGGCGCTGCTGCAGCATCACTTCCGCAGGTTTGGCCGATGCGCTTGGTCTTTAGGCTTAAGTTAAAAGCCAGCGTTCCCTGAGTACCAAGAAAGATTCATAAAATTTGCTCTCATTTCAATTGTTGGATTTGGCACAAATTGGGGATTGAGCACGCTGCTGGGCTTCACAGGTGCTGGTTGACAAGCTGAAGCCAGGCGGACGCCTGATCATTCCTGTAGGCGAGCCGAACGATCTGCAGGTGCAAAAGTTATTCTGCTGCATTATCACAATCAAAGAGCATGGCAGAAACCTGATTTGTCCAAATATATGGAGTCCTGCCGAGATGTTCCTTCAGTCGAAAGATCAATGACTGGGGCTGAAAATGTATACGCAATGTACAGGTGCTCAAGTGTCTTGACAAGGACAAGGAGGGACGAGTGACATCCAAAGACATGATGGGCGTGCTATTTGTTCCATTGATGGACTCAGCACTGCCTGGTCATCCCCACCACCGAGATCCAGAGCTGTAGAGCTATTGAGGGAGCCAGCCTTGTGGCTGGTTAGCCTTTGGAGGGCCTCGCACAAAATTTGCTCAATTTTGCACTTTTGGCCTGTCACGGGCTATGATTTGCTGTACCACATTTTTGCCTAGAGATCAAGCACAGCCCTGTTGAAGACCTTCAAGGCATGGCTCAAGAGCGTTTTGTTCATGTTGACGAAGCTGATCATCAAGAAGGTCTATGGGAGGTTGCAAGGCAACACATGAGGGCATTCCTGTGTACCCAATTTTGATGCCGTGATGGGCATGTCTGCTTGCGTGTGCAGACTTATGATTTTGCAAGAAGAGGACAGCATTTGCAGTTGTGGCATAATAAATCTGGTAGTCATCTGCATATGAATGTGCACGCTTGTGATATCTTATTATGTAGTATGTCAGGTAGATGGATAATCAAATTTCCGTGCAAAGTTTTGAGAATGTAAGAGTATGGAAATCAGTGCACATGACGTCATGACCCCGCACTTGCAATGCTTCTTTACACTCAAGTTTGGTGCAATTTGCATCTGACAATGGGCCTAGTGTTAACTAGTGTCGATCACTGCGATTAAGCTGACCAACCTGGCAGTTTAGAGGTTCATGCTCATGTTGCTACAGAAAATCTTCTTCACCCAATGGTCCTGATGGTTCTGCATTGGGGACCAGCTCACCAAGAAGGGCATATTTCTCAACCATCCGCGCTTCTTCTCCACAGATGGTTTGGTTTCGGCACTTGCAGCGATGCCGAACCTGCGCACAGCAGCTTAATGCTGGTGATGCCACAACCCATATATTTTTTGCGCATCGATTGTACTGTACAGCAACATCTCAGAAACCAGGCATCAACGGACCTGCAGCTCAGGCTTGATGTATTTACACTCCCTTCTGCCCACACCGTACTCGGGATCTCTCCCATACCACTCTGTTGCATTCTGGCTCAATGATTGCACGCCCACAGGCTGACTGATCTGCAAGGCGTAGGCAACATCGTTACAGCCTACCACTTCATGCTTCTTGCATTGTTGCAGGTTGGGCGAGACTGCAACTATGTACGTCCAAATGATGCATGACAAGTGCTCTGCAGGTCAAGAAGTTCCAAAGCCACACGCACATTGATTCCCTTGGGCGTGGCGGCAGCCCAGATGTTGGTGTTGTGGCCAAAGTATCCACGGAAGCTCTTGGGGTGCAGATCCTCTGGGATGAAGTTGCAACCGCCCCAGTGCAGCGGCCAGCGGTCTGACAGCGCCGTGGGCGGTGTGCACCCCATGGTCCGTGATTGAAGCTGCGTCAAGGTGGCATGCAATTTGTGAGCAACACTCCCAAGGTCATGAACAAGGCCCTGAACAGACTACACAGAGGGTGCACTGCAGGTACGGTGGCGGCGGCGGAATCGTGAAAGGTAAGACTGTGGACAATGACACCGCAGGTAGCCAGTACTACTCTCCGTATGTGCCCCCGGCAGTGCCCTCGGTGCGCCTTTCAATTTCGCACTGCCAAGTGTCAGATCCGGTGTGGGCTGCCTTTTGAGCTTTTGACCAAATGCTACCGTTCTCACCAGAGTTGCACCTCTCACCTTGTGTGCATCCTCAATGTCGTAAACCAGGTTCTCAGCAAGAATCTCTTCAAATGCCGGCAGTGTGCCCTGGAAGTTCTCGTCAAGCAGTGATGATCCCACCAGCTCATCTCTGACATGTAGCAGGGTGAACCCATGCTTCAAGAGGCTGCAAAACGGGCAGGAGTCGACATCAGGAGAGACCACAGTGACAGACAGATAATTTTGGCTAGAGTGGGATGCAGCAACAGCAAAATCTCATCCATGGGGTGCGCACTAGCTGAGCATGCGTGGCCAGTCCAAATACTCATCCCATCGCTTCCCCACATCATATACCCCAGGAGAATACTCCATTATCACATTGTCTACCCTGCAGCCGCACAGAAGCCAATTAGGTCCCAGCGCAGCAAGAGAAGCCAATCTTGAGAAGAATTCATAAAGCATGAGAAGAATTCATAGAGCATGCTCCCAGACAAAAATGCAGATCATGCAAATTGTCGACTGATCTTTGCAGCGCACTTGTAAGTGTCCAGAATGCCCTTTGATGACTGAAATGCTGTTGGCTCAAAGCCTTCCACGTCCAGTTTCATCAGCAGCACATCCTCTTGAACAATAGAGTCAACCCGCTCCCCCTTCACAGTGATGAAGTCATAGGCCCCCTCATTGTCAATACTCCTGCAGACCATGTCACAGTTGATAATATTCTGCGCCGTAAGCACTTGTTTGCCAACTTAATGTCTGCAGGTGTGGTGGATGTTTGTATGTGGGGAGTAGCTCACTTGTCAATGTTCCCACCGCCTATTGATGCAGTGCCCCAGATACCTCGTTGAGGGACTTGCAGTGTATATGACTCTCCATCTCTATCAGCAACCGCAGCAGCTCTCACAAGTGCAGACCCTTGGAACCCATTCAGCTGCACTCCATACTCCAGAAAGTGCCTGAACTTTGGTACTGGTTCCCATGCTATGACCCTGCCAAGCATGATGTGTCGTTCAGCAATCAGCTGTGCAGGGCTGTTTGCCGTGATATGAGAAGAGAAAGAAGATGATTTTTGCAGGGTGTGAGAGACACGAGGTAGTGCAGCTTGACCTGCATCCGTGCGCTGCAGCATAGAGCGAGTAGTATCCAAAGTTGGCGCCAATGTCCACCACGAGGCGCCTGCCTGCCCTCCCGGACACACTGCGCTCTGCCCCCTTCCCGGGATGCCCAGATCCACCTCCCTTCTCTACACATTGCCCGTTCAGGCGAGTGTACCACACCTGCATAGGGAAAGAAGAGAAATTTTGCCAGAGTTACATGCGGCAATTGCTTGAGAAGTGACTGCTATATACGAATTAGCAGACTTGGCAGCTGAAATCTGCATAGAACGATGGTGGTCTTGGAAAGCACCTGCGTCAAGCCCAGCTCAATGTTTCCATTGATGTGCATCTGGCCACTGACATCCACGTCCTGCTTTGGGTTTGTGTAGGGCATGAGGAAGGGCGGCACAGTGCGTGTCTGCTTCACGTACACCTCCACACCCTGCCCCAGGAGATCAGCGACAGGCGAGGCAGCCTGCAACTCCCCCGGCGACCAGGGCACGGCATGTGTCCATGGCCCACAGTCCGCACAGTCGGTGCCCAGATCACAGTACACCTGCCCGCAGCATCAGACCATCAGGATGCGATTGCACTGGTGGTGCAGGCAATAACAGTGTGAAGAAGCGCAAAGGACAAGGTCTGTTTCCCAGGGGATTATACTGACCCTCCCATCTCCACCGCGGCCATCTTCACAGATGCCATTGCTGCTGTGGCCCACACAAGTGTTGCTACATGTGGTCCTGTTCACAAGGATTCGTTCCCAGGGGAACAATGCCACAGTTTCTCCAGTCTGGTTGCCAATATCTGGGCTGCTCTGTCGTGCAACGCGGTGAGACGCTTCATCTAGGCCTAATTTGTTTGCAGGTGTGTTAAAGCTGCGCGCACCAGAAAGCTGTTTTTAACGTTTTCCAGTCAGATGTCTCAGCGGGAGAATTTCAGAGGGTGACCCATCTGGGGCAGGTTTGCAGGCATGCGTACCTGACGGCACTTGGCGCCTCAACAGACTTAGAGGAGCTGCCTTTTATGTACAGCGCTGCATGAGGACATCAGTGTCAAAAGCCAGCAGCCCTGAACATTAGAAGCTCAGGAATGCCTGAAAGTGCTCCAGACATCACCGTACCTGCTGCTACTGTAGTGATCACCACCAGTAATAAACCACACTGGGATGCTACGCTGCTGCAGTAGCCTCGACGTCTATCCACCTTGCTGCGGGTGAAAGTGAATCCAGCTGTTCTGCTAGTGTCATCGATCGTGATCTTGCGCAGTGTACGCATGTGATGTACTAAACAGGAAAGATGCTATCAAAATCTTTGTCAGTAACATACGGGTCAAATTCTGGTGCAATTTGAGCTTCAGATCAGCAACATTCTACAACAACATCTTCACAAGATGTTCCAGGTATCCCGCGTGATGTTTTCGTTTCCTGAAACAAAGGGCGCATGAAAAGACATTTAAGGAAAGAAATCCATCGAAACACCTGTCCGTTTCCTCCCTGGATCTGCTCCTTTGATACTTTCGGCTCTTCCGACGAAAAATGATAGGTTTTCTCCCCTGCCTTTGGATGCTAGGGGTCCGAAAAGCCCAACCTTCCAGATAATGCTAGCATGCTAGCTATAGCAATAAAGCTTTCAAGGCAGTACGAAGTGCAGCTATTTCCATAGATTGGTAGTGTTGAAATAAGAATGGAAAAAAGAAAGAAAGAAAGAAAGAAGGAACGCAGAACAGGAGACCCCAGGGGGGACCCCTGCCACGTGCGTACGGGCGCAGCCGGGGGGCCGCGCAGAGGACATCACCTCAAGGCTAGCCCCCGTCATCAAAAGGGAAAGTCGAGGACAGGCGGCATAGTCGGGTGGAGCGTCGCAGGGGTGGGGGCGACACCAGAAGGGCGGGGGATATTCAGTTAAGAACAGAATCCAGGATAACGTAAGTACCCAGGTCACGTGGTACGATTACATAATTATAACGTTACACTCTCCCCCATTTAGTTGTCAGCGACAACGATAGCTTCTCAAAGGAGTAACTTAAGTGAGACCCCACAAAGGTGGACATGCAAAGTGCATGCTGAAAGTTCGGACTCATACCCATGCATGCATGAGATATGAATATGCCTCAGCGGAAGGAAACTCATCCCAACGGGTGAGCGCCGCTGGCCAGCATTTTCCGTCGCTTACGCTTAGAAGCTAATATATACGCTTAGAAGCTAATATAGCTAATAAGTGTAACGTCACGTACCGGTTACAGTAGCACTACCATAATGCACTGATGATCTCAGTACTACTATGTATAGTATACATACAAAACAGCAACCCAAAACTTGGAAGAAAATCATGTGGTGCCCGAGGTGTCGTGCATCTTATGTTGCCAACTTGGCAGTTAGACTAAGGTCACCGGTCACAAAGTTTTTTTTTATAATGCAGTCATTGTACCAGTGGTGCCATGAAGGGCATGCATGATAAAATTGGACACCACACTTGCATCCCATAAAGTGTCGGCAGTGCCACAGGTACAAGAGATTGTCTTCTTCACCCTGCAATACTGAGAGTTCCAACACAGTTCTCACACGTTTGATGCTGTCATTAGCTGGCCCCTGTCGACTGGTGTAGATTCAAACATTCCTCACTTCATCGTCAAAGCAACCGTCATGCAATACTCCTGGGTCCTTCAGCGCCCCACCACTTCGGGCTTCAGACCTCAACCCTACCATCACTGCCACGCTCAGCCCTCACCCAATCAACACAGTGTGCTGCTCCGCATCACGCTCGCAAAGGCTCGTTTTGCAAGAGGACGCCGCCCATGCCAGCATGCGCATCCCCTGCTCCGCTCAGCCGTGGGAACCGATCCCAAAGTGGAATCGCCGCACGAATTTGTCGTTGAAGGCATACTCGAGGCGGAGGGGCCCAACGGGTGAGTCCACGCGGATGCCTGCCCCAAAGCCGTAGCCGCTGCCGGGCTTACCGCGCGCCCCAGCAGGGTCGCCCAGCACCGTCTGCCCACTGTCCAAGTCTGTGCCGTAGTCAAAGAATAGCGCACCCTGCACACCAGGCTCGGGGTTCAATTCCTCCAATCCAAATACCTGGGGGTAAAAATGATTTGCAAGTATGCATTCCCTCCTGGTTTCAGGTAACTGCAGCCCGCAATACTGCGTGTGTGCATCAGCTGCAATGAACATCTTGAATCCTGAGAGGGCGTTTATTTCTTTGGGAGGCAGAGAGGACTCACGTCCACGGGGCCAAAGATGGGCCAGTGGAGGCCAGCAGTGCCAGTGACATAGTTCCGGCCGGAGCCAACGCCACCCTCGCTGTATCCTCGCACCGAGTTTGTGCCGCCGATCGGGAATGCCTCATAAGGAGGCAGGTCTCCCAGGATCACACCGCCTGTGCACAATATGACAGATCTGAGAACACTGGTATGCACGGCGCACATGGCTGCAGAGAAGCATCGCAAGGAGGGAGGATCTGCCGTTGCGTAGAAGAAAATTATGGCTTCAGTGCCGCAGCGCACCCTTGGCGGACAGGTGGGCGCGCAGGCCCTTGTAGATCTGCATGCCCCGCTCGGCGCGCAGGCAGAAGCGATTGAAGTTGAGCCAGTCGGACTGCAGCGGCAGCGCCTGCTCCATGGAGGCCACCAGGTGCGCGTCCTGGCCGCCGCTGTATGCCGCCCGCAGCAGAGCGAGCATCAGCGTGTCGCTGCGCCCGCCCGAGAACGTCAACGGGCTGCCGTACGCATCCTGCACCGGCACCAGCATACCTCAGCACGCCTCCCATTGACTGTACATCTCCGTCACAACCCTGAGAAGACAACCACACAGCGATGCAGGAGAGACGGGGCCAGTCGGCTGGCGCGCGCCTGCGTGATGCAGCTGCCGTGCTCGTCGAGGCACTTGGCACGTTGCCAGTTGACGCCGAGCGTTCCGGTCCAGCCGGTGGCGAGCGGGCGGCCGTACTCGACCCCGCCCATGAGGCGCGCGACCACAACGCTGCCTTCGGGGGACGTCTCCTCCTCGCTGCCCGGCCGAGCGCAGTCGTCCGGCGCGCGCCCATGCACCGGGTTGCCCGATGTGCGCGTGTTCTGCAGCGAGATCGTGCGCGAGGTGCGATACGGGTCCCCCTTCACCCACGGGTCGGTGTGGTTCACCCGGAACAGGCTGTCCACCTGCACCAATTATGCCACTTTTCTTAGGCATAGCAATTAAATAAAACAGGACCACTGACTCTGTACCTCAAGCTCTTTTGTACTGCCAAGCTGGCAGCAGGTGCAGCACCTGCCCAATCTCAACGGTGGCGGCAAGCTTCTGGTTGAGGCCGAAGAGGTTGCGCTGGGAGAAGGAGGCCGAGCCTATGAAGCCTGGCAGGGCTCCCTCCGAGTGCCCCTGTGAGCTGATGCCCCCGCCGCAGCTGAGGCCCCCCGTCTTACGCTCCACAACATTCAGCACAAGGTCCACCTGCACACCCAGCAAGCAGGCTGCAGCCACTTGTTCTCCACATAGTTGCACGACACGGCTAAAAATTTTCTCGACACGCGTTCCGACACTTGTCGGACACCGACACGCCCGACACGCCCGGACATGCATGCATACTGTTGGATTACATAACCTGACCGTTACGGCTCCAAATTGAGCCAAACCAGCCTGTGTTCGACCCTAAAAACACTGGGGAAATCATTTTAAGGTCCATTTTGCATGTAGGAGCCATTTACATCACGTTTTATGCAGATTAATTGGATTTGCAATGCTTTTATAGCCATGCATGCTCAAAAAGCTGAGGTGGCTCCCACGTGGCAGCCGTGTCGCCGTGTCTGGCCTGGGAAAATTTTGCCCGACACCCATGTCTGACACTCGCCGTGTCCGACACTCCTAGCCGTGTCGTGCTTCTATGGTTCTCCACGTAAATCTTTGCATATGAAAGTGGCATGGAGAGTCTCACACCTTTGGATGCTCAAGTGTGCTGTCTTCTGCTGGCTGTGGCAGGATGGTCACATCATCAAAAAGCCCCATGCTGTACACAGCGTCTATGTCCATCTTGGCCTGCCGCACATTGTACACCTGCCATTCGAGACACAGGACACACTCAGAGCCTGTGTTTGGAACCGCTGGCAAAGCACTTGAATTTGCTTTGGGATGCAATGATGCAATGAAGCAATTCAGTCAAGCAGAAGCACTCACCTGACCAGGGCGCGTTGCAAGTTGTCGCAGGACCACCTCTGGCCTTGTGGCGCCCTCTTCTCGGACCTCCCCGGTCTTCCTATCAACATATCTCAGGTTGAGGTTGCCCACCACCATCTCAGCCAGCTTCACATTGATGACCCCACCGGTGTCATCAACTTCCGTCACCTGCAATTGAAGCCCCCTTCTGTTTCTCATTGTCATTCAGAGCCAAATAAAAACGCAGTAGGTCCTGCACGAAGGCAGGATTTGCAGTGCAAACAGGAGTCTTCAGGGCTGTGGCAGACCTGCCCGAAGATGCCGCGGTCTTCATACCACTTGTTCAGCCGTTTGACGGCGGTGCTGAAAGCTGGGAAATTCAAGGTGCGGCCTGCCTGGTCCCTGAACGCCTCCTCAATCTCCCGCTGGGGTAAGACATTTGCGCCAGTCACGACCACTCCCTTGATGACCGGATTTGCAGTGGCCTGCACAGCAACAGCAGTGCAAAATAGTTGGTGTTCTGCGTTGGATACACATGGCAGCAGACATCAAAAAGGGCAATATCAAATGGAATGGCTGCTGGCTGCTTTCATCCAGCACCTGCAGTGTGAGCTTGATCCCATCTCGTGTGTCCTCGGCAGCTGGCAGGATCTGCTGGAAGTAGCCTGCATCAAAGACGCGCTGGATATCGTCCCTCACTTCGCTGAGGGTGTATGCAAAGTTTGGCTTGATAGTCAGCTTGGACTCTGCTATCCTCTTCAGCTCCCCATCGACGCCCCTTACTTCCACCTACACAATCACACTCGTCAGTCTCAGCAAAATCTAGGACATGGCTTGTGCGGGATGAGAGGCATTTGAAAACGTCACCTCCAAGCTCTGGACTGGCAATAATCCTTGTGTGCTGGGTGGGGCGAAGCCAAGCGAGGATAGAGGTAGATGACAAAAATCAAGACGGTGATACCAAGGTAGCATGAGCAAAGACATTATCTTGACGCTCAACAATGGACATGCAGGGGCTTTTGTACCTCACTGATCAGGATGGGCTCCTCAGTGCCAGGGCCTGCTGTATCGCTTCCAGCCTGTCCCTCCATAGTGTCCTTGGTCAGACTGAGACTGTTGGCGACTTCTGACGATCTAGGCAGTCGCACAGTCGAGCCAGGCGCAACCCCGCCTGCTGCTCCAGAGAGACAGCAGAGCATGGTGGGCCTGGCTCGCCGTCTCCTTCCATTCCTGAGCTGTGGATGGGAAATTGCGTCTGAGAAATGTTGCATATTCTCGATTGCGCCCAGCTGCAGCTGTGCACCGGCCTGCTGAGCTTTGCCAAGGAAGCGTTCCATGCCTTGCTGCCAATTCCGCAGCACGTCCCCCATTTTCTGCAGGGGTGGGGGCGGTGCGCTGAGCATGGACCCGCTGCAGGATGGACTGCTCGCATCCATGGCTTCAGCACTGGCCTGTGTTCAGGCTGTGATCATCACTGTAAGAGCTCAATCCAGTCTACTCAGCTTCTTTGCGCCAGATATTACATTTCGCCGATTTCCTGGCACGATACGGCGCAATGCACAACAGTAAAGCCACCGACAGCCTGAAGTGCCACAGCTTCCAGTGCACTTTCTGATCGGAAACAAGCTTTAACAGTTGGCCCATTGTTTATGAGATCGGAGGTGTAGATTGTGGAAATGGTCTGTATAGCTGTGTGGTTGACGCGGGAAATTGTTGCCCTATTTTAGTCCTCGCACAGATTACCGTCAAAAGATAGTTTCTATGTTTGCCAACAGAAAACTACTTAGAATAGCCAGATTGCTTGAAAATTCCATCTGCACGCCCGCGTTTTGTTCGGTGGCCAGGCGTGAGGGCCAAGCCTCGACATCTGCGAGTGCTTCATACCTCAGTAGCTTAAGAGCTTGTGCAGGTACGACAAGGTCAGAATGCATGCCAGGCAGCACATTATACAGCACAGTCGAAGCAGGCAGGGCCAGGCTTCCCGCGCAGCATGATCTTCAGTCCAAGAGGCTCTTGTGCTCAATTGGGAGAGCGGCTGAAGTATGTATCAAAGAGAGCACAGCTGCAAGTCAGAAGCTCCCAAAGGCCCTGCATGCCTACCAGCAGCGGCGCAGTGCGTTTGGGCTCCCAAATCTGAATGGAGACACTTCCAAGCACTACCAGGAGAGACGCCTGATAGGGTGTGTCCGCGCATTTGTGCTGTTTGACACATTTACTGCATAGATTCCAGGTGTAAGCGGCAGCGTCCAGCTGAAGATGTGAAGAGTCCAGTGTGCGCGAAGGGGTTTTCTGACAACCATATGTGCTTGAGCAGGTATTCGCCAAAGCAGCTATATGATGTTGTCGCTGCAGTGGAGCATTATAAGGAGTTTGTGCCGTGGTGCCAGAGGTCTGAGATCATTCAGGAAAGGCCTCCTGACTTTGTGGAAGCCGAGCTCGAAGTCGGCTTCAAACTTTTCGTGGAGAGGTGGGGCATTCACGGGGTAGTGTTGCCTAAGTTTTGCTAGCTCACATTTACTCCTGTACTGCTGTCCCCCAACAAGCTGTTGTGACGTTACAATGTGCTAATGCGCAGGTACACTTCACAAGTACACTTGCACAGACCGGGCAAGGTGGTGTCGCATGTGTATGACAGCACATTGTTTGATCACCTGGACTCAACCTGGGAGTTTAAGCCGGGGCCCACACCTGGCTCGACATGGCTATTCTTCAGTGTGGATTTTGCCTTCAAGTCCCCGCTGTACAGGCACATTGCCAGCGTATTCTTTGATGAGGTGAGCTTGTTGACTGGACAATGGAACTCCGACAGTTTTTGAGCATTCACAGCCTTTCTGGCAGCTAGCTGAAGGAGCACTTGTCTTTTTCGCATGCCTGCAGCACTCGAACACATAATTGCCATTCATCACAATCATTGTATTTGACAAGCAGGAAACGTGCTCATGGGCAGGTTGTGAAGCATATGATGGGCGCTTTTGAGGGCCGCTGCAAGCATTTATATGGATCCTCCGCTTTTGCAAAGCGCGCTCCTGCAGCTCAGAAGATGCAGACAGCATGAGTGTGGCTAACCAGGTTGTTGCAGCCGCCTAGAACTTTGTTTGAGCGGGGGATAGTGAGGCAGTCGTTGTCCTGGGTTTCTTATTCTGGGTCACCCCATAGGTTATACCATGGGTGATGCAGCCATAGCAACGTTTTGGTGAAGTGCAGCGGAGAGGTACCTTGTCTTAGACTCCACACTGCGCTCATATTGAATGGCCAGAACTCCGAGACTTTCCCTTTAGAGAAGCGTAGCAGGAGTCATTAATTACTTCCAGATTGATCAGCTTACAAACTCTGAATTGCCGCCGAAAATATGGTTTTCGATCAAAAAATTGTTTTTGAAGGCTCTTGGTTGCCTGAAATTCAGTTCAACTTGCCACCATGAATCAAACAAATCTGCCTGAAGCAAAATTAAATTAGGACATCTCATCAGGATCCCATGATGTCTGCATGGGAACTGCATGATGCAATTTTCCCACATCTTGCCAGCAATATTCACCCTATGTTGGCTACGTGCAGGCCTGCAGGCTGCCAGCTTTCAGTGAATCGGTGTGATATTCTTCAAGTTGCAGTGGTCTAAACATGTACAACGTAGATATGGGGAATGATATATTATGGCAGTGTATAGAATATAGCGGCTCTGATCAGAGTACTGCTGATCTCTCATGTTTATGCAGGGTCTAGGTGAGCCTTTGCTGCACTCTTGCAATTGCCTCTGGCCAGAGGCACTGCTGCGGCAGTATTCTTGCTGCAAGAATCTTGCATGCGCAGTGAGGCGCGCCCTGCACGCGTATGCATGCGTTGCGCATACTTGCGGAAGGCATGCCAATCAGAAAGACGGGTGCACTGCGAGACTCGATCAGCAGAGGTTCCATTACATTCTGCCAAACCAGGCCACTCAGTGCTCGAAGGATGAGATCATGCAGCTTCCTGTACCTTCGCCAATGCAACTGGCACACATTCAGCGGCGATTCGAATCCCCTTCTGAAACGTTGGAAGTGGGAAAGAAAACTGTCAATATCAGAAAGGTGGTATTCTTGGATATGCGTGAAACGATTGGCACGCAGTTTTATTGAAAGCAGCAGAGGGTGCCAGTCTTATCGGAAACGATCCTCGATCGGGGCTGGTGTTTTCGGAGCCCGACAGGATAGTGCTTCCGGCAGACAGACATAACCTGCAGGTAGATAATAGAATCCATTGCAAAAGTCAGTGATATATGCAGGTGTGACAGTCCACACGGGGCACACGCGGAAACTTGAAAACGAGAACCTAGATCGTTCAGTGTTCTATCCCGATAGAGCTTACTAAACTCGACTTATCACCTGAAACTCCACCTGATGGACAGAATCCCTAATTTGTTGTCTTAATGCAGATTGCTCTCGCACCGGCTGAAATTCGAGTGAGAAGCAGAGAAGAAGCATGCTGCCTCCTTACGGACATTTCAGGAGCAGGAGAATCTCACAAGCACAAGGAGCATGGCTTTGCCTGTTCCTTGTATTTGCATCCGTTGCAGGTGCTTGCCACCGCCCACTTCTTGATGACGTGCCTCGGAGCCTGTCCTGCAGAAATCTCGGCAGTCAGCAACTTTCCAGTTTGACCTGCAGGCGCTGCAAGGAGACCTCTTGAATATGTTGAAGGCATAAAGACAGCTGAGGCATCTGCCGATGCAAAGGAAGATCCCCTGCTGGCGGTAAGCAGAATAGCCTTGGTGTCCCACATGCAGCCAGAGTCACAGGGCGTTTTCATAGAACAGTGTGGGCACTGACATCCTGCTGTGCATGAGCAGAGTACCGTATTCCCTCTCTATGACAAGCTTACTGCCGCCAGCATCGTCCCCAGTCTGATGAACCTCTTCAAAGAACTAGAGCAGGACATCGACAAGCTGGAGGCCTCTGCGCCTACCACCTGGGCTGACCTTGTCGATCCCTATGAACGTCTCAATGATCGTCTCAACCTTCCTTGGGGCATTGTCACACATCTGGAGGTGCGCATCCCTTCTCAATCCCAGCGGTGGTAAGATGGACGCACAGCCAGACAAAATACACCAGTAGCATCTGCTTTGCGCTTAATGTGCAGTTCTCAAAAAACGGTGTCTTGTGCAGGGAGTGAAGAATAACGACGAGCTGCGAGCAGCAATGGACCAGCTGAATCCATTGCAAGTGCGCATCAGCCAGCGCCTCGGCCAGAGCTCTCCGCTGTACCAGGCATTCAAAATCATTAGGAACAATTCGACAGGCCTTACAGAGGCCCAACAGCGTGTCTTGGATGGGGCTATAATCAATGCAAAGCTCAGCGGAGTGGACCTGCAGGTACAGTAGACTTTCTGCGCCTTGACAGTCCCATCTGTGCTTGTCTGCTCATACATCTCATTGCTCTCCCTCAGCATTATTGCGCGCTTACTGTTACGTCAGGAATGAAGTGTGTGCAGCTGATGTGAGCGTTCTGCTGCCATGTCAGGTTGCTGTGCCAGAAGGTGAGGACAGAGGGAAGGCAAAGGTGGAAGCAACAGATCGCTTCAATGAGATCACCCAGCAGCTGTCAGCGCTGTCGAACAATTTCAGCAACAACGCCTTGGATTCGACGGCCGCCTTTAAATTGCTTGTCACCGACAAGAAGGGCCTGGGTGGCTTGCCAGAGAGCTTCCTCGCACAGGCCGCCCAAAGGGTGTGTCACTCCTTTCCAGTAAAAGATGGATGCATGCACTCAACAAGCGCTGTCAGAGCTGGATACTAATTATGACCTTACTGTGCATTGTTGTAGGCTAACAAAGCAGGGAACGATGGGGCGACACCGGCAGACGGTCCTTGGCTCATCACCCTGGATGCGCCAACCTACACTAGTGTCATGTCTTATGCTGACAACAGGCGAGATCCTGATCCGGCCACCTGCTTCAACGTCAGGTCTGCAGTCATGATGACTCTTCAAGCAATCTTTGAGCACCAGAAATGAAGGAGGCGATCTTGCTCGTGGCAGGACCCTGCGTGAGGAAGTGTACAGGGCGTACATCTCACGTGCATCATCCGGAGCAGCGGACAACACTCCAATCATTGAGACAATGATGGCGCTGAGGCAGGAGCAGGCTCGCCTTGCCGGCTACACAGATGCTGCAGAATACTTCATGGCCAACAAGGTGACCTGCTGCACAGAAGCAATCCATCCTTTCACAAGCGTATCTTCTGGTGCTTGCCATGGATTGTGGTGCGCGGAGATTGCCTGTGGAAGTCTGGCAGTGCATGGATGAGTGTGCTTCTGACACGAGTCAGTCCCTGAGCTGTATGCTGCATGCTGCAGATGGCCACTCCCCAGACTGCTATGGACCTCGTTGAGCAGTTACGAGAGGCCTCATACAACACAGCAGCGAAAGAATTGAAGGACCTGAGGCAGTTTGCGGCTTCCCAAGTGAGTCCCTTGCCTCCATTGCAACATGCTGTGCATTACATCAGCAATGCCATGAACTCAGATGATGCAGGAGACAATCATACATAATCAGGTTGATGTGCGCCACAGAATTTCACCGAGACGCTGATGAATTGGGACAGTGCATACTGGGCACAGAAGCAGCAGCAGGCCCTGTTCAACCTGAATGATGAGGATGTGCGGCCTTATCTGCCCCTGCCAAGGGTCTTGGAAGGACTCTTTGCGGTGAGATCTCCCTGTCATGCACTTTGGTGTCATGGCTCCCATCCTTGAAAACCTCTGATCGGAGACACTGAGGACATATCATCTGTTTGGCACCCGTGCCAGCATATGAATGAACGGCTTCATTAGGCAGCCTTTGCTCGCCATTCCAGCGGAGTCATTGTCTGGTGCTGTGCACAGTTGGCCAAGCGCCTCTTCAACGCCACAGTGGAGGCCGCTGACGGAGAAGTGCCGGTCTGGGATCCGACTGTGCGATTTTTCCGTGTGTATCGCAATGGAGATCTGAAAGCTCACTTTTACCTGGACTCCTTCGCAAGGCCTGGAGGTGAGAGTTCTCCCAAGCTTCATTTGAATGATGGGCCAGCAAGCTCATGTGCAGCATGTGCTGAGGTCTTCGGCACAATGTTGCAGAGAAGAGCGCTGGGGCTTGGCAGTCTTCCATGGTTGGGCAATCAGCACTGCTGGCAGCACCAGGAGAGAAGCTGAGATTGCCCGTGGCAGTTCTGGTCACAAACCAGTCGCCCCCTGTTGGTGACAAGCCCAGCCTGATGACAATGTAGTAAGTTGCTCGAATCCTCTCCCTGACATGCTCATGTGCGCACTATGGTGTAGGCCAAATTCCTCGTGGGTTCTGACTGATATTATTTATTTGTCTTTCTGGCAGCGAGGTAGTCACGCTGTTCCACGAATTTGGACACGGCCTTCAGCACATGCTGACCACTCAGACTGACGTCCTTGTGTCCGGCATTGCGGGCATAGAGCAAGACGCTGTCGAGCAACCCAGCCAGTTTCTAGAGAGATGGTGCGGCCCTGACAGATCATCCTGCAATGTATTCAACGTTCTTGAACCAGTAGGCTTCTGACCATCTGAGAAGAAGCAGCAAGAATACACAGGACGGGGACACTGACATCGTGCTTGTTTTCCGCAGGGCGCATGAAAAGCCAGTGCTTCTTTCATTTGCACGCCACTACGAGACAAATAAGAGCATGCCAGAAGACTTGGTAAATAAAATAGAGGCAGCTCGCAACTACAGGTGTGGCTGGAAGGAGGGGCCATCTGTGTGACAGCTGTGAGAAATTTTGTCAGGATTGAGTAAATCATGGTGTGCTGCACAGGTCTGGCACAGACACGCTGCGCCAGCTGTACTATGCCTTGATAGATCTGAAGATTCACTCGAGCTACAATCCACAGCCCGGTGTCTTCCTGCATGAGACGGACCTGTACAAGGACGTCATTGCTAAGACTAATGTCATGGCCCCTCTCCCAGAAGACAGGTATGCATGTTGCGCGTTTTCTGCCCTGCATGCACTCTTACCCGTCACAGACCTGCTGCATTTCTTGGACAAGTGTACATTGGCACAAGGCTACATTGGCCTTAACCATCTCGCTGGAAAGGTTCAACAGTCCTCTCATCAATCTTCCATTTCTGCCTGCCCTGTGCAGGTTCCTGTGCACATTCACCCACATTTTCAGTGGTGGCTATGCCAGCGGCTATTACGGCTACAAGTGGTGAGGCTCTTCAGCTGCATAGCTTGCAATGGCTGTGACGCGCTGTGCAACATTTTTGACGTTACCTTTCATCTGCTTGGGTAAAGTAACATTGAGGCAATTGGAGTCTTGACCGCTATTGCCATTTGCAGGGCCCAAGTGATGTCTATTGATGGATTCAGCGCTTTCCAAGAAGTTGGCATGGATAATGAAGAAGCAATTGCGAAGGAGGGGCTCAAGTACAGGGATACCATTCTCTCCCTTGGAGGGGCTCGTGCACCAGCACTTGTATTCCAGGTATGCACCGTGAAAAATCTCACCATTCCTTTCAGCAAGGAGTGACAAAAGGAACGAAACTTTGATGTTCTAGTGATCACACGTGAAGACACCATACACTCTTATTCACTCATGCCTTGTTTCCAATACAGGATTTCAGAGGGCGACCATCATCAACGACTCCAATCTTGCGCGATGAAAACCTTCTCCAAGCTGACACTGGAAGTGTGCAGACACAATCTTTGGTGTCAGCAGCGACAAGCCAAAGGGCAAATTGATGAGAGTGACCCTTTCTGGAATGTACACTTTGTGCATGAAAGAGCTCTTTGATGGTATTTGTGGCTTGGACATATAAGATAGCAGGAGTGAAATGGCTAGTGCTTATGTAAATATTCCCAAGGAGTCCTTGCATAGTCTTGGATGACAGAATGAATAAAGCAGCAAATTGTAAATTGATTTCGGTCGTGTAAGTTGTGCAATATTGTCATCAGCCAACCAATGGAATGATGATGTTTTGCCATCTTTATACATGCAAACCTACGAGCACATACATTGTGCAGGCTTCTGCTCTCATTAAGATGCTGTGACTTGGCCAACTTTCCTTTGTTTCTTTAACGGATGAACCCTCTTACAAGTTGTGTGCTAGTCGCACGCTTTCCAATACACATACATGCGTAAGGATATTTAGGAAACCTGTCTGAGTGGTGGTTCGCAAAGCACTCCCGCGGGAGGATAGTGCGATACCTAAGAGAAGCGCATGAAGGCAACCGCTGACAGGCAAGACCTAGCAATGAACATGTCCCAAGCACCAGGGGGTAATCTCATCCCACAAGGCGCACACCAGCCCGCCGGCACCGCAACACCCCTCGGGTGACGTTGGAGGACCCACGGGGTAAGCCTACAGCATTGCATCTGGAGGCAGGGGGCACAGCAAAGCAGGCAAGCAACAATTACAGGCAAGCAATCACGTGCACTGCTGGCAACCAAAGAACGGAAAAATCATGGAAGGCCAATCTGTACATGGAGGCGTGGCTGCCAGTCGATCAACTACCTTTCGCCCAGAAGTGATTACGTGTAGCTTGCCGCAAGCCGTGAACTTTTAAGTGTATTTGCAGAAATCCGTGAACACTAAACCTTCATGTAAGGGGCCAATACCCCGTCCGGAAGTCCGCGCCGTTGACATCTCCCAAGACAGCACAGCCATAGGGACGATTTCCGGCACGTTGCACGCTGTTGCCTTGGCTGCAGTATCATCAGCAACCATGGCATATTTTTTTTTTTTTTTTTTTTTTTTTTTTTTTAAAGGGGAAGCCCCCGCTATTACACAGGTGCCAGTCGCACGCTTCCCAGCACGCATGCAATAGGATATTTGGGGAAACCTGTCAGAGTTGGGGCACGCAGAGCACTCCCGCAGGAGGATAATGCGATACTTAAGAGAAGCGCAAGCATGAAGGCATACCACAGAAAGGCAACAGAAAGGCTCCTAGCGATGGACATGTCCCAAGCACCAGAGGGTTACCTCATCCCCAGAGGCGCACTCCAGCCCGCCGGCAACGCAACACCGCTGAGGTGACGTTGGAGGACCCACGGGGCAAGCCTAGGGCTTGCAGCTGGAGGCAGGGGTCACAGCAAAGCAGGCAATCATCAATCACTGGCAGGCAATTATGGATGTGCGGGCAACCAGTGGTGGAACAGACATGAAAGGCACGTTTATACGGTTGGCCGACAGGGATGGAACAGGATCGCGTTCGGACCCATTACCACTAGGTGCCGCTCGGGGCTGGCAATGTGACCCTAAACTATGCCTCAATCTGCCAGCAAGGTGGGGCACAAGCAAACGGTGGCATATGGGAGATATGAAGCCGCAAATGAGGCGAAAAACAGGTAGGCTGGCGAGAACTCGACCAGATACACACACCCACCACACACCCACCCAATATTATGGCATATGTGTGGGGGATAGTCCACGCTTCCTCTCGACGTCAGCCAACATTGGTTGCTGGGTGGCGTCCTGGTTGCTGATCTCCTCTCGGTGTGCCAGTCCACCCTGCCCCGTGGGGCCAGAAGCGAAGCAAAGTTGCAAATCTCTTGGAATGTTCTCCATCTTGGGTGCGTTGCCGGGCGGCAGGGCTGTTGACAGCGGCCTCTTAGTCCACGAGCTGCCTATCCGAGCCTGAAGAGCAAGCTGCCTGCGAGACTCGCTGCCTGCGAGACTGGCTGCGCCGCCCGTGAAGAGGCCTGCAGCTGACTCTCCGCTGAAGTGGGTCCCTATGGGCCACCCTGGTTTCGCCTTGCTGGGTGGCCCAGCACTACGATTGTCTGTAAGGTGCTGATCAGTGTTGATTGCCTCTCCGTACGACCCCTCCTCCCTGGCCAGGTAACGATACCAGAATTGCTCCACATAGAATTGTCACAAGATTCTTTCCTAAAGCGCAATGCCTTTCGCTGCTCCCAACCGGTGAGCATCCTGCCGTGCTAGCAGAGTCTCCGCATTAGGTGTCCACGCCGATGTTGTGAGCTCTGCCTGACCATCGGGGTCCACATCTCGCAGTGCTGCCCGGCGCTGTGCCGCCATGACCCAGGAGCGCTGAAAGGCAATCTCCTTCATCTGCCTGCATCCGCACTGGCTGCCCCGCGTCTTGCCGTCTCCAAGCGGGTCCGCAATACGGCCGTTGGTATCCAGAAGGGCCGGTCGTCCAGAAGGTGAAGAGGCAGTCTCCAGGCTGCAGGGCCATAATGTGTGCTGGCTGGTGAGGTGGGACAGAGGCAACTTTTTTTCAAAAGGATGAATCTCGCTTACGCACGCATGCTGGTCGCACGCTTCCAGGACACATGCATAAGGATAGCTAGGATAGCAATTTCCATGTGTCCTGTGCGCGCCCCTCCCTGCTGACTCTTGCTCACAGCGGCTTACTTGTGAGCCAGCGGATAAACCGAAGTGCTGACTGGCATTCAGTGGCAATGTGAGTAAAAGCACGCCCGCTCAAATTTGAAGGTCATCTCAGACGTAGTGTAGCTGGTGATCTGCCTCGAGGCCGGTCTCGTATCCCAACGTCCGCTGGCCAGGCTGGCCGGCCTGATCAAGCTTGGCATGATCAAGCTTGTAGCCCTCCTGGCCATAAATGCAGTTGAAGCCTCCAGCCACTGTTTTAGGCCAAGGCAGGCCACCTGGGTGAGGCCAAGGCAAGCCACCTATGTTAGGCCAAGGCAGGCCGGGTACGATGTGTGGTGGAGGAGAGCATCAAGCGGGCAGCGGCACTGGGTGCTGTGCGCTCCAGCGGATGACTGGCTGTGCGTCCGGCAGGGCGTCCACTGTGCAGAGGACTCCGCGGTGGCACCAGCGCGCTGTGAATTCCTCCCGGCTGAGTGTGGGGTCGCGTCCCCGGAGCCAGTCGCTGAGCACGCCTGCTGACATCCGGATGTTGGCGGTGGCAAGTCGCCAGTCGGCCAGGAGAGCCTTCCTGCAGGAAGACAAGATGCGGGCTGCGAGTTGCCTGCTCTCAGTAGTCAGCGCACTCTTTTTTTTTTTTTTTTTTTAAAAGGGGAAGCCCCCGCTATTACACAGGTGCCAGTCGCACGCTTCCCAGCACGCATGCAATAGGATATTTGGGGAAACCTGTCAGAGTTGGGGCACGCAGAGCACTCCCGCAGGAGGATAATGCGATACTGAAGAGAAGCGCAAGCATGAAGGCATACCACAGAAAGGCAACAGAAAGGCTCCTAGCGATGGACATGTCCCAAGCACCAGAGGGTAACCTCATCCCCAGAGGCGCACTCCAGCCCGCCGGCAACGCAACACCGCTGAGGTGACGTTGGAGGACCCACGGGGCAAGCCTAGGGCTTGCAGCTGGAGGCAGGGGTCACAGCAAAGCAGGCAATCATCAATCACTGGCAGGCAATTATGGATGTGCGGGCAACCAGTGGTGGAACAGACATGAAAGGCACGTTTATACGGTTGGCCGACAGGGATGGAACAGGATCGCGTTCGGACCCATTACCACTAGGTGCCGCTCGGGGCTGGCAATGTGACCCTAAACTATGCCTCAATCTGCCAGCAAGGTGGGGCACAAGCAAACGGTGGCATATGGGAGATATGAAGCCGCAAATGAGGCGAAAAACAGGTAGGCTGGTGAGAACTCGACCAGATACACACACCCACCACATTGGAGGCGGGGATAGGCAGGAGGCATCATGTCCAAGGTCCTAGACACCCGCTCAGGTTCAAGGGTGGATACTGGGGTTGGAAACCCTAAACCCTTCAGATAGCCTTCAATGAACTACTGTGAATGGTGAGGAGGACAGACACTAAGGCAGAAGGCCACGGATGACAGGCCAAGGGGATTGTTGGGGCTGCTGGTGAGACAGAAACATCGGAGGATCACTGGAAAACTATTGATAGCCTAAAGCCCTGGGCAGGGTGGTCTTCTGTAAGCTTGCGCCAACGCTCTGGCTCTCCGGCACGGTACTCCACGTATCTTGTCTTCCTGCCGAAAGGCTCTCCTGGCCGACTGGCGACTTGCCACCGCCAACATCCGGCTGTCAGCGGGCGTGCTCAGCGACTGGCTCCAGGGACGCGACCCCCCTCCGTCTGATGCTTCTTGCTGTTCCTGTGCTTCTGCGGCAGCGGCTTTGTCGGCTGCTGAGGGAGCCACCAGTCTGTGCGCTGCTGTCGTACGCGGCTAGAGTGGCGGCGTGGCTTGATGCCTGTGAGGGCGTCCTGTGCTGCCTGCTGAGCGGCGTTAGTGGCCTGGGTGCGCTCCTCAAAGCCTGGCGGAATGGCGGGCCTGGGCTGCTGCTGAGGCAAGGCTGCTGCAGGCTCCGTGGTCGCGGCAGGCTCCAGCACCTCCGCATCTGTGAGGGGCTGTCGCCGAGCAGGGGCGGCTGTAGGCTCCGTGGGCGCGAAAAGCTCCGTGAGCTCTGCGTCCGTGAGAGGCGGTGAGCCGTAAGAGTCCTGTGGCAGGCTATCTGCTCCATGCGTGCTGCGCAGGATGGCACACAGGGAATCGTGCATGACGTTTCGCGCCATGGCCGAGTCTCCTGACTGGAGCAGGAGGGGGTGCTGGTCGTACAGTGCGCGAATGGCCGCTCTCGTCTGCGCAGTGTCCAAGTCTGTGTGGCCTGCTAGCCAAGTAAGGCACTCCTCTATCCGTGTGCTGGGAACACCGGAGAGCTCGAGCGGAGGCTGGCTCGAGGTGCATGGCTCGGCGACGTCTGGCGCTGTGTGCTCCATTTTTTTTTTTTTTTAAAAGGGGAAGCCCCCGCTATTACACAGGTGCCAGTCGCACGCTTCCCAGCACGCATGCAATAGGATATTTGGGGAAACCTGTCAGAGTTGGGGCACGCAGAGCACTCCCGCAGGAGGATAATGCGATACTGAAGAGAAGCGCAAGCATGAAGGCATACCACAGAAAGGCAACAGAAAGGCTCCTAGCGATGGACATGTCCCAAGCACCAGAGGGTAACCTCATCCCCAGAGGCGCACTCCAGCCCGCCGGCAACGCAACACCGCTGAGGTGACGTTGGAGGACCCACGGGGCAAGCCTAGGGCTTGCAGCTGGAGGCAGGGGTCACAGCAAAGCAGGCAATCATCAATCACTGGCAGGCAATTATGGATGTGCGGGCAACCAGTGGTGGAACAGACATGAAAGGCACGTTTATACGGTTGGCCGACAGGGATGGAACAGGATCGCGTTCGGACCCATTACCACTAGGTGCCGCTCGGGGCTGGCAATGTGACCCTAAACTATGCCTCAATCTGCCAGCAAGGTGGGGCACAAGCAAACGGTGGCATATGGGAGATATGAAGCCGCAAATGAGGCGAAAAACAGGTAGGCTGGTGAGAACTCGACCAGATACACACACCCACCACATTGGAGGCGGGGATAGGCAGGAGGCATCATGTCCAAGGTCCTAGACACCCGCTCAGGTTCAAGGGTGGATACTGGGGTTGGAAACCCTAAACCCTTCAGATAGCCTTCAATGAACTACTGTGAATGGTGAGGAGGACAGACACTAAGGCAGAAGGCCACGGATGACAGGCCAAGGGGATTGTTGGGGCTGCTGGTGAGACAGAAACATCGGAGGATCACTGGAAAACTATTGATAGCCTAAAGCCCTGGGCAGGGTGGTCTTCTGTAAGCTTGCGCCAACGCTCTGGCTCTCCGGCACGGTACTCCACAGGTAGCGGGGCGCACGATGGATCCGTCTGGCCGAGGGATACCCAAGGGGTGAGCCGCGCAAACACGTCCGGTGGTGGGCGAGGCCACCGGCACTGGGTGGCGAGGCCAGTGCCCCAGGGGTGAAGGAGGCACCCCCGGGGCCGTGTTGGGCCGAGCTCGACAGGTCCCTCGACCAGTGGAAGCACGTGACTCGGAGCCCCATTCCGCGCTGGCAAAGGTTAGAGGTAGGAGAGGCGCAAAGCTTCTGGTAGGCAATCTGTGGTCCCAGGGCTCTAAGGCAAAAGGGGTCTCAGACAAGGAACAGACAGCTTTCGATCGATACCCCACTTGCCTACTTTTGTGCGTATTTACTCATTTCGACCACGACACTGTTGCCATCCCGCGAGCTCACACGTCCGGATAGCCTCCAATGTAGCTTATTTTCAGCCACTATCATCATCGACAATATATATACATATTTTACGCGAATGTTACCCGTCTCCACTGGACCAGATGCGCACAGCCACCTTCCTCACTCTACACTAGCGACTAACACTTTTCCACTATCCCCATGGTTACTCGCTGCGGGACATATATTATGGGATTCGATGTTGTTCTCCTGAATTCTTGAAACAGTTGTGCCTGTACTTTATGCATTTCAACCACCAAACCTATGACGAAGGCTCTTAGCGCCCATGTGCCCAGAGCACCTATCGCAAAGGCCCCCCTAAGAGAGGGTGTGAGTTCAACACAAGAATCGACACGAGCGGGTGTCATGGCAGAAGGCCAAATGAGAGCATGGTCATACAGATAGCCAAGTTAGAGCCGTGGCCGGCTGGGTACAGTGAATGGTGGATCGGAAGCGTCACGCTGGAAGCGGCACGGGATGCTGGGCACTCCAGTGGATGACTGGTTGCGCGCCCGGCAGCTCCTCCAGCGCGCAGAGGACCGCGCGGTGGCACCATCGCGCCGCAAACTGCTCCCTGGTGATCATCGGGTCGCGTCCGCGAAGCCAGTCGCTGAGCACACCTGCTGTCTGCCGGACGTTGACGGTCGCGAGCCGCCAATCGGCAAGCAGGGCCTTCTTGCAGGAAGACAGGATGCGAGCCGCAACCGCTCCGGGGGTGATCGCCGCCGCATCTGGCTGGTGGCGGCCGCGCTGATATGCTGCCCACAGCTGACAGATTGTAGCGAGCCGCAGGCGATCCCAGAGCTGCCTGAGCTGCCGCGGCGGTCCCCAGATCCTGGTGTCATCGGCGAGAAGAAGGTCGGCGCTGCGCGGTGGCGCGTCGTCTCCGGTCACCGCGGCCCATGTCGCTGCGAACCAGTCCCACACCCCGGCGGCGAGAGGGCAGATGATGAAGACATGGGTGAGTGTGGCCAGCTGACCTGCACAGCTCGGATGCGGGCAAACGTGACCGGCGGGATCGGCACGGTGGACGTGACGCGCGAAGCCGCCGACGAAGAGCTGGCCATGCAGCAGCCTCCACGCTGTCACGCGCTGCCGCCGGTCCAGATGGGAAGCGTGCACCACTTGCCACACATGAGCCCAAGGTGCTGATGGGTCTGCTGTGACAGCAGCAGCAGGATCAACAGTGACATCTGCTCCCTGTGGCACTGGTGAAGGGCCCGCTGGCGCGCCCGCAGGCCCGCCGCGGTCCCGCAGCGGAACCGGACGTGGTTGCGGCGCAGCCATCCAGATCGCCCAGGAGGAGGGATCAGGCTGCCCTCGAGGCCTCTTGCCTAAGACCTGCGACGCGGTACCAGCAGCTGCAGCCCTGGCCTCCCATCGCGCCTCGAGCGCCCGAAGGCCGCTGCGCTGATCATCTGTGGTATCAGCCCAGATGGCTGGTCGCATCGGGCCCGCCGGGCTGGCCTCCCCCTTGCTGATCCTGTGAAGCACCTGTCGCCGCGCGGTGGCCTCCCTCACCACAAACTCATGTGCCGGCCGCGTGCCGAGCCCCCAAGCCTGAGGGTCCTGTACCTGGGATCCCCAGAGGCCAAAGAAGTATAGTGTGGGCGGCGGTGGTGGCGGTGGCTCCGGCAGCTGCTGCTCCCACTCCAACTGCTCCCCTGGCTGCTGCTCCACCTGCAGGTGCTGCTCTGGGTGCAGCTGCTCCGCGTGCTTGCGCTGCTGACGTGTGCCGCTGCGTGGATGCCAGGGCCTGGTGATGTCCCAGTGCTGAACCAATGCAGGCTGCGCGGCCGGAGGAAGGAAGGCGTGCATGGCTGCAACGCCTCCGTCCACTGGCACAAGGGCTCCTGTGCTGCTTACTGTGTGGCTGAGAAGGTAGGTGCTACCTTCGGCTGTGCGAGACCAGACGCGGCGATCCGACGGGTCCGGAGATGCGCACCACATAGCGGCCGGTGGCTGCACCTGGATTAGCGCTCTCCAGGCTGCTGGCAAGGCAGCCAGAAGGATGGGCACGCGCTCTCGCACCATCCGAACCGGATGCTCCGGGCCGCGCACGACATCACGCAGGTGGCTGATCCTGACCAGGCCAAGCCTGGCCCAGTCCTCCCAGGCAAAGGGCTGCCTGACTGCATCCGTGAGCTGCCTGTTGAAGAACAGTGGCTCACCCATGACTGCGTCGTAGCCGATCGCTTCCGGCTTCCGCAGGTGATGGGGCCGCACCTTCTCATATTAGTCACCACCTCCGTGAACCGGCAGGTTCACTGGACATCTGGGCGCTAAGAGCCCCTTGGTTTGTATCAGGCACGGACGACCGCTTTGACTCCTGCACTTCCACCCCGGGGCAGCCCGGCTTGCCACCTTGTATGTTTTCCTTAGAGCCCTGGGGTCACAGATTGCCGCGACGGAGCTCCTTGCACCTTCACCATTTGCCAGCGCGGAATGGGGCCTCAAGCACGCGGTACCACCGGTCGAGGGACCCGCCGAGCTCAGCTCTGCACGGTCCCTGGGGTCACCCTCCACCCCCGGGACACTGGCCTCGCCCCCCAGTGTTGGTGGCCTCGCCCCCAACCATGGGCATCCCTCGGCCGGGCGGCTCAGTCGTGGGCCCCGCTACCAGTGGAGATCAAGACCGGAGCGTCGGAGCGCCGTCGCCAGTACGCAGAAGCCCATATCACCATGCCCAGGGCTCTCGGATGTCAATTCTTGTTGTTCCACCTTCGCATGCTTCACCTTGAGCCTCACCAGGCCTTTCCGATTGTTCCACCATAGTTTTCAGCCATTTTCTCGACCATGGCCGTTGCATCCTCGTCATCCGTGGCCCTTTGCCTTACGAAATTTTGGTTGCCTCCTCGGCAGTTGTCTCATGTGCACCACCTTGAGCGGGTGTCTAAGATTTTGAGCAATCATGCCTCCTGCCTATCCCCACCTGTGCAGTCGGTGGGTGTGCTGCTCTCGAGTTCTTATAGTGTCCTACCTTCATAGCCAGTCAGCCGGATCGGCGTGCTGATGCATCATTATGTTTCACAATTCCCGCAATGTGAGGCCTATATATTCCTTTCAGCAAGGAGTGACAAAAGGAACGAAACTTTGATGTTCTAGTGATCACACGTGAAGACACCATACACTCTTATTCACTCATGCCTTGTTTCCAATACAGGATTTCAGAGGGCGACCATCATCAACGACTCCAATCTTGCGCGATGAAAACCTTCTCCAAGCTGACACTGGAAGTGTGCAGACACAATCTTTGGTGTCAGCAGCGACAAGCCAAAGGGCAAATTGATGAGAGTGACCCTTTCTGGAATGTACACTTTGTGCATGAAAGAGCTCTTTGATGGTATTTGTGGCTTGGACATATAAGATAGCAGGAGTGAAATGGCTAGTGCTTATGTAAATATTCCCAAGGAGTCCTTGCATAGTCTTGGATGACAGAATGAATAAAGCAGCAAATTGTAAATTGATTTCGGTCGTGTAAGTTGTGCAATATTGTCATCAGCCAACCAATGGAATGATGATGTTTTGCCATCTTTATACATGCAAACCTACGAGCACATACATTGTGCAGGCTTCTGCTCTCATTAAGATGCTGTGACTTGGCCAACTTTCCTTTGTTTCTTTAACGGATGAACCCTCTTACAAGTTGTGTGCTAGTCGCACGCTTTCCAATACACATACATGCGTAAGGATATTTAGGAAACCTGTCTGAGTGGTGGTTCGCAAAGCACTCCCGCGGGAGGATAGTGCGATACCTAAGAGAAGCGCATGAAGGCAACCGCTGACAGGCAAGACCTAGCAATGAACATGTCCCAAGCACCAGGGGGTAATCTCATCCCACAAGGCGCACACCAGCCCGCCGGCACCGCAACACCCCTCGGGTGACGTTGGAGGACCCACGGGGTAAGCCTACAGCATTGCATCTGGAGGCAGGGGGCACAGCAAAGCAGGCAAGCAACAATTACAGGCAAGCAATCACGTGCACTGCTGGCAACCAAAGAACGGAAAAATCATGGAAGGCCAATCTGTACATGGAGGCGTGGCTGCCAGTCGATCAACTACCTTTCGCCCAGAAGTGATTACGTGTAGCTTGCCGCAAGCCGTGAACTTTTAAGTGTATTTGCAGAAATCCGTGAACACTAAACCTTCATGTAAGGGGCCAATACCCCGTCCGGAAGTCCGCGCCGTTGACATCTCCCAAGACAGCACAGCCATAGGGACGATTTCCGGCACGTTGCACGCTGTTGCCTTGGCTGCAGTATCATCAGCAACCATGGCATATGTGTGGGGGATAGTCCACGCTTCCTCTCGACGTCAGCCAACATTGGTTGCTGGGTGGCGTCCTGGTTGCTGATCTCCTCTCGGTGTGCCAGTCCACCCTGCCCCGTGGGGCCAGAAGCGAAGCAAAGTTGCAAATCTCTTGGAATGTTCTCCATCTTGGGTGCGTTGCCGGGCGGCAGGGCTGTTGACAGCGGCCTCTTAGTCCACGAGCTGCCTATCCGAGCCTGAAGAGCAAGCTGCCTGCGAGACTCGCTGCCTGCGAGACTGGCTGCGCCGCCCGTGAAGAGGCCTGCAGCTGACTCTCCGCTGAAGTGGGTCCCTATGGGCCACCCTGGTTTCGCCTTGCTGGGTGGCCCAGCACTACGATTGTCTGTAAGGTGCTGATCAGTGTTGATTGCCTCTCCGTACGACCCCTCCTCCCTGGCCAGGTAACGATACCAGAATTGCTCCACATAGAATTGTCACAAGATTCTTTCCTAAAGCGCAATGCCTTTCGCTGCTCCCAACCGGTGAGCATCCTGCCGTGCTTTTTTTTTTTTTTTTTTTTTAAAAGGGGAAGCCCCCGCTATTACACAGGTGCCAGTCGCACGCTTCCCAGCACGCATGCAATAGGATATTTGGGGAAACCTGTCAGAGTTGGGGCACGCAGAGCACTCCCGCAGGAGGATAATGCGATACTGAAGAGAAGCGCAAGCATGAAGGCATACCACAGAAAGGCAACAGAAAGGCTCCTAGCGATGGACATGTCCCAAGCACCAGAGGGTAACCTCATCCCCAGAGGCGCACTCCAGCCCGCCGGCAACGCAACACCGCTGAGGTGACGTTGGAGGACCCACGGGGCAAGCCTAGGGCTTGCAGCTGGAGGCAGGGGTCACAGCAAAGCAGGCAATCATCAATCACTGGCAGGCAATTATGGATGTGCGGGCAACCAGTGGTGGAACAGACATGAAAGGCGTGCTAGCAGAGTCTCCGCATTAGGTGTCCACGCCGATGTTGTGAGCTCTGCCTGACCATCGGGGTCCACATCTCGCAGTGCTGCCCGGCGCTGTGCCGCCATGACCCAGGAGCGCTGAAAGGCAATCTCCTTCATCTGCCTGCATCCGCACTGGCTGCCCCGCGTCTTGCCGTCTCCAAGCGGGTCCGCAATACGGCCGTTGGTATCCAGAAGGGCCGGTCGTCCAGAAGGTGAAGAGGCAGTCTCCAGGCTGCAGGGCCATAATGTGTGCTGGCTGGTGAGGTGGGACAGAGGCAACTTTTTTTCAAAAGGATGAATCTCGCTTACGCACGCATGCTGGTCGCACGCTTCCAGGACACATGCATAAGGATAGCTAGGATAGCAATTTCCATGTGTCCTGTGCGCGCCCCTCCCTGCTGACTCTTGCTCACAGCGGCTTACTTGCGACATGGGCCGCGGTGACCGGAGACGACGCGCCACCGCGCAGCGCCGACCTTCTTCTCGCCGATGACACCAGGATCTGGGGACCGCCGCGGCAGCTCAGGCAGCTCTGGGATCGCCTGCGGCTCGCTACAATCTGTCAGCTGTGGGCAGCATATCAGCGCGGCCGCCACCAGCCAGATGCGGCGGCGATCACCCCCGGAGCGGTTGCGGCTCGCATCCTGTCTTCCTGCAAGAAGGCCCTGCTTGCCGATTGGCGGCTCGCGACCGTCAACGTCCGGCAGACAGCAGGTGTGCTCAGCGACTGGCTTCGCGGACGCGACCCGATGATCACCAGGGAGCAGTTTGCGGCGCGATGGTGCCACCGCGCGGTCCTCTGCGCGCTGGAGGAGCTGCCGGGCGCGCAACCAGTCATCCACTGGAGTGCCCAGCATCCCGTGCCGCTTCCAGCGTGACGCTTCCGATCCACCATTCACTGTACCCAGCCGGCCACGGCTCTAACTTGGCTATCTGTATGACCATGCTCTCATTTGGCCTTCTGCCATGACACCCGCTCGTGTCGATTCTTGTGTTGAACTCACACCCTCTCTTAGGGGGGCCTTTGCGATAGGTGCTCTGGGCACATGGGCGCTAAGAGCCTTCGTCATACCATAGTCAGGCACGGATGACTAACCTTTCACCAGTCCCGATCCCACCCCGGCAAAGCCCGGCCTGTCGTTCCTTGTCTGAGACCCCTTTTGCCTTAGAGCCCTGGGACCACAGATTGCCTACCAGAAGCTTTGCGCCTCTCCTACCTCTAACCTTTGCCAGCGCGGAATGGGGCTCCGAGTCACGTGCTTCCACTGGTCGAGGGACCTGTCGAGCTCGGCCCAACACGGCCCCGGGGGTGCCTCCTTCACCCCTGGGGCACTGGCCTCGCCACCCAGTGCCGGTGGCCTCGCCCACCACCGGACGTGTTTGCGCGGCTCACCCCTTGGGTATCCCTCGGCCAGACGGATCCATCGTGCGCCCCGCTACCTGTGGAGTACCGTGCCGGAGAGCCAGAGCGTTGGCGCAAGCTTACAGAAGACCACCCTGCCCAGGGCTTTAGGCTATCAATAGTTTTCCAGTGATCCTCCGATGTTTCTGTCTCACCAGCAGCCCCAACAATCCCCTTGGCCTGTCATCCGTGGCCTTCTGCCTTAGTGTCTGTCCTCCTCACCATTCACAGTAGTTCATTGAAGGCTATCTGAAGGGTTTAGGGTTTCCAACCCCAGTATCCACCCTTGAACCTGAGCGGGTGTCTAGGACCTTGGACATGATGCCTCCTGCCTATCCCCGCCTCCAATGTGGTGGGTGTGTGTATCTGGTCGAGTTCTCACCAGCCTACCTGTTTTTCGCCTCATTTGCGGCTTCATATCTCCCATATGCCACCGTTTGCTTGTGCCCCACCTTGCTGGCAGATTGAGGCATAGTTTAGGGTCACATTGCCAGCCCCGAGCGGCACCTAGTGGTAATGGGTCCGAACGCGATCCTGTTCCATCCCTGTCGGCCAACCGTATAAACGTGCCTTTCATGTCTGTTCCACCACTGGTTGCCCGCACATCCATAATTGCCTGCCAGTGATTGATGATTGCCTGCTTTGCTGTGACCCCTGCCTCCAGCTGCAAGCCCTAGGCTTGCCCCGTGGGTCCTCCAACGTCACCTCAGCGGTGTTGCGTTGCCGGCGGGCTGGAGTGCGCCTCTGGGGATGAGGTTACCCTCTGGTGCTTGGGACATGTCCATCGCTAGGAGCCTTTCTGTTGCCTTTCTGTGGTATGCCTTCATGCTTGCGCTTCTCTTCAGTATCGCATTATCCTCCTGCGGGAGTGCTCTGCGTGCCCCAACTCTGACAGGTTTCCCCAAATATCCTATTGCATGCGTGCTGGGAAGCGTGCGACTGGCACCTGTGTAATAGCGGGGGCTTCCCCTTTTAAAAAAAAAAAAAAAAAAAAAAACTTGTGAGCCAGCGGATAAACCGAAGTGCTGACTGGCATTCAGTGGCAATGTGAGTAAAAGCACGCCCGCTCAAATTTGAAGGTCATCTCAGACGTAGTGTAGCTGGTGATCTGCCTCGAGGCCGGTCTCGTATCCCAACGTCCGCTGGCCAGGCTGGCCGGCCTGATCAAGCTTGGCATGATCAAGCTTGTAGCCCTCCTGGCCATAAATGCAGTTGAAGCCTCCAGCCACTGTTTTAGGCCAAGGCAGGCCACCTGGGTGAGGCCAAGGCAAGCCACCTATGTTAGGCCAAGGCAGGCCGGGTACGATGTGTGGTGGAGGAGAGCATCAAGCGGGCAGCGGCACTGGGTGCTGTGCGCTCCAGCGGATGACTGGCTGTGCGTCCGGCAGGGCGTCCACTGTGCAGAGGACTCCGCGGTGGCACCAGCGCGCTGTGAATTCCTCCCGGCTGAGTGTGGGGTCTTTTTTTTTTTTAAAAGGGGAAGCCCCCGCTATTACACAGGTGCCAGTCCGGGGTCGCGTCCCCGGAGCCAGTCGCTGAGCACGCCTGCTGACATCCGGATGTTGGCGGTGGCAAGTCGCCAGTCGGCCAGGAGAGCCTTCCTGCAGGAAGACAAGATGCGGGCTGCGAGTTGCCTGCTCTCAGTAGTCAGCGCACTCTGTGTGGTGTGGTGCGCAGACTACTGAGAGCAGGCAAGTGCAGGAGTGTGGGCGTCCGGCTGATGACGGCCGCTGTGTGCCGGGCAGCCCTACGGGGTTGGCGCCCGGCATATGTACCGGTTTGAAGTGGGTCATCAAGGCTCTGGTGATCTGCGGTTCCGAATCCAAGCGCTGCTGGCTGCCGTAATACACCTCTACCGTGAGCTCAAAGTGGCCCAGGTCGTTTACCAGCAGTGGCTCACTGTCGTTCCAGCTGCGCGGGCGCGGCCGGAGGGACCTCTGCCGAGATGTGTGCGGCAACGGCTGCGTCGTAAAAGCATCTTGTGGCGCCTGGCTGCTGGAGAGTCACCCCCTGGTGCCTGGGACATGTTCACTGCTAGGTCTTGCCTTCACGGCAAGCTCTTCGCCGGCGCCTTCTCACAGCATATCCGCCGCGCGGATCCAGCAGGAATGTGGGACTGGCATGCAGCGACATGGGCAGCCGTCACAGGGAGGCCGCGCCGCCTTGCAGCACAGACCTGCTGCTGGCAGATGACACCAGGGTGTGGGAGCCGCCGCGGCAACTCAGGCCTCTCTGGCAGCGCCTCCGCTTAGCTACCATCTGCCAGTTCTGGTCCGCCTACCACCGACAGCCGCTGGAGCTCTGTTTCGACATGGTCTCGGCGGCAGCTGCGGCATTGCGGCTTTTCTCGCCGCTCTGCCAGCGTCATGGAGACAGCTCATCCAGTCCCAGTCAGCAGCGGCCCTGTGGTTGGCGTGTCCTGATCCGGTAGAGCGCCGGGTCTGGTCGCGCACAGCTGCAGGGCACAACCAGCTCAGCCAGACAGTCAGCAGCACAGGCGCCCTCGTGCCAGTAGACGACAGAGCACAGGCTGGTCAGCACTCGTAGCCCCCTAGGACCGCGCAGCCGGCGTTGGTGCAGCACTGGGACATCGATAGGCCCTGGCACCCGCGCACCGGGGGGACGCTCTGGTGCCCGCGCCCGCAGCACCCACGCTGTCCCTCTTCGGCCTCTGGGGCAGCCAAGTCGTGGCTCCCCAAGCGTAGGGACTCGGCCTGCGGCCGGCACATGAATTCATGGTCAGGGAGGCGGCGCGAGGCCACCACGCGCCGTTAGGTCCTCCACAGGATCAGCAAGGGAGAGGCCCGCCCCTCGATCCGCTGCGGCCATCTGGGCCGACACCACGGACGATCAGCGCAGCGGCCTGAGAGCACTTGAGGCGCGCTGGCAGTCCAGAGCAGGGGCAGCGGGCACAGGGACTGGGGTTCTGGGAAAGCGCCCCCGGGGGGAGCCCGACCCCTCCACCTACGCAGCATGGATGCGCCCGTCGCGGCAGCGGCTTGTTCCGTTGCGGGATCGCCAGGTTCTTGAGCCTGCCGTCGAGCCAGCACAGTCCCAGGGTCCACTTTCAGACACGGTCGACGCCGCCGCGCCCGCAGGCCGTACCTTAAGCGCATGTGTGGAGGGCCATTCACTTTTCCCATCTCGACCGGCGTCAGCGCATCACGGCCTGGCGGCTGGGTCGCGGCAAGCTTTTCGTCGGCGCCTGCTCACAACACATCCGCCGCGCAGATCCAGCAGGACACAGCTGCCCGCATAGCGGCTGCGAGAGTCAGCCCGCCACACTCACCCACGTCTTCATCACTTGCCCCTTGGCAGCAGGGGTGTGGGACTGGCATGCAGCGACATGGGCAGCCGTCACAGGGGAGACCGCGCCGCCTCGCAGCACTGACCTGCTGCTGGCAGATGACACCAGGGTGTGGTAGCCGCCGCGGCAACTCAGGCCTCTCTGCAAGCGCCTCCGCTTAGCTCCCCTCTGCCAGCTCTGGGCTGCCTACCAGCGCGGCCGTCATCAGCCGGACGCCCACACATCGCCCGGGCAGTTTGCAGCCCGTATCTTGTCTTCCTGCCGAAAGGCTCTCCTGGCCGACTGGCGACTTGCCACCGCCAACATCCGGCTGTCAGCGGGCGTGCTCAGCGACTGGCTCCAGGGACGCGACCCCACACTCAGCCGGGAAGAGTTCACAGCGCGCTGGTGCCACCGCGGAGTCCTCTGCACAGTGGATGCCCTACCGGACGCACAGCCAGTCATCCGCTGGAGCGCACAGCATCCAGTGCCGCTGCCCGCTTGATGCTCTCCTCCACCACACATCGTACCCGGCCTGCCTTGGCCTTAAACAGGTGACCTGCCTTGGCCTTACCCAGGTGGCCTGCCTTGGCCTAAACCAGGTGGCCTGCTTTGGCCTAAATAGGTGGCCTGCCTCGGCCTTAACCAGGTGGCCTGCCTTGGCCTCAAACAGGCACTCTGTGTGACCATGCTCTCCTGGCATTTTGCCATGACACCCGCTCGTGTCTTCTCATATTAGTCACCACCTCCGTGAACCGGCAGGTTCACTGGACATCTGGGCGCTAAGAGCCCCTTGGTTTGTATCAGGCACGGACGACCGCTTTGACTCCTGCACTTCCACCCCGGGGCAGCCCGGCTTGCCACCTTGTATGTTTTCCTTAGAGCCCTGGGGTCACAGATTGCCGCGACGGAGCTCCTTGCACCTTCACCATTTGCCAGCGCGGAATGGGGCCTCAAGCACGCGGTACCACCGGTCAAGGGACCCGCCGAGCTCAGCTCTGCACGGTCCCTGGGGTCACCCTCCACCCCCGGGACACTGGCCTCGCCCCCCAGTGTTGGTGGCCTCGCCCCCAACCATGGGCATCCCTCGGCCGGGCGGCTCAGTCGTGGGCCCCGCTACCAGTGGAGATCAAGACCGGAGCGTCGGAGCGCCGTCGCCAGTACGCAGAAGCCCATATCACCATGCCCAGGGCTCTCGGATGTCAATTCTTGTTGTTCCACCTTCGCATGCTTCACCTTGAGCCTCACCAGGCCTTTCCGATTGTTCCACCATAGTTTTCAGCCATTTTCTCGACCATAACCGTTGCATCCTCGTCATCCGTGGCCCTTTGCCTTACGAATTTTGGTTGCCTCCTCGGCAGTTGTCTCATGTGCACCACCTTGAGCGGGTGTCTAAGATTTTGAGCAATCATGCCTCCTGCCTATCCCCACCTGTGCAGTCGGTGGGTGTGCTGCTCTCGAGTTCTTATAGTGTCCTACCTTCATAGCCAGTCAGCCGGATCGGCGTGCTGATGCATCATTATGTTTCACAATTCCAGCAATGTGAGGCCTAGCTTTGATACTGCGGCTTCCCTTCCCGCCCCTTTTTAATGGTGTCGGGTCCGAACGTGATCCTTGTCGATTGGCAGCCAAGCCTCCATGTACAGCTTTGCCTTCCAAGATTGTTCCGTTATTGGTTGCCTGCAGTGCACGTGATTGCTTGCCTGTGATTGTTGCTTGCCTGCTTTGCTGTGCCCCCTGCCTCCAGTTGCAATGCCGTAGGCTTGCCCCGTGGGTCCTACAACGTCACCGAGGGTTGTTGCGTTGCCGGCGGGCTGGAGTGTGTTTTGGGGGATGAGGTCACCACCTGGTGCTTGGGACATGTTCATTGCTTGGTCTTGCCTGTCAGCGGTTTGCCTTCATGATTGCGCTTCTCTTCAGGTATCGCACTATCCTCCTGCGGGAGTGCTTTGCGAACCACCCATCAGACAGGTTTCCTAGCTATCCTTCCTTATGCATGTGTTCTGGAAAGCTTGCGACCAGCATGCGTGTGTAAGCGAGGTTCATCCTTTAAAAAACAAAAACAAAAAAAGGGGAGAAGCTTTGAGATGATGAAAGACAAAGAGGTATGGGATGCCTACAGATTACAACTGCATGTCTGAAACGTCAACGATGGCTGCTGCGTATGCCTGCTCATGATCGTGCATGCACCTATAAAGCCGTCTCAAGGAGCATACGTGTTGACATCAAGATTACTCTGCTCTCGACTAACAAAGTCGCTCTTCTGTTCCCATCTTATCTCTGTAAGATACATCTCTGAATTCTGGCACGATCATCATGAGGGCCATGTTTTTCCTATCCTTCAAATAACCTTCAAAAGGAGGACACATGTTGTGCAAAGAATGCCTGCGCACTGCACAGTCCAAATCACCAGCAAGTACGACAATGTGTCAAGATGCACACTCTCAGCTCTCTTTCAATTTGCCAGTATGCAGCCCCTCAGATACTTTCGTGTGTTTGGCAAGATCCGAGTCATCAGCCGCCTGCCCACGAGCATCAGGGTCACTTGAGGCATTGATAGAACGGGGTGACTCCACCAGATGCTCCTCAACTTCGCTGCTGCTCCGAGGCAACGGCAAAGCAGCCTCCTGCTTCCCAAAGCTTGCCATATTCATCAATGGTGCTGCATGGCCTGCGCACACCGTGCAAATAGTAAGCCTCATCTAACAAGCACACCAGCACCATTGTTGCGAAAACCCTTTAAATATATCCTCGCAGGCAGCAAAATCATGAAAGCTGAGAGAGAGGCTGCTTTGGGCAAAAGCACCTACCCACGCGTTCCATGGTGCGCTTCAGGTCCGAGAACATGCCCCGCATGGAACCCAGCGCAGCATGCTCGGCCTTGGGGCCCTCTGCCGCAGCTGGGCTGCCGTCGCCACTTGCAGCGCTGTCTGCCTTGTAACCGGTCGCCTCTGGAGACAGGACGCTGCGCGCGGCATGCAGAGACTGTTCGCCACGCGACTTCAGGCTCTGCAGGAAGGTGGGCCCGCCCGCCTGCTGCTCTCTGCTAGGCGGTGTGATGCTCCGTCTGCTGTGCTGATCCTGCAGCTTCTCAGCCGGAGGGGACAGAGCCCGGGGCTCCCCCTTCCCAGAGTGCCGTGCTGCACCGGACGCATGGGATGCCGCTTGGGCAAAGCCTTTGCGCAGGCTGTCCCCGGCCATGGCTGCAAATCGCCCAGACTTCTTGCCAATCTGGCTCCAGTCCACAGCGCCTGGTGAAGGGCCCGGGGATGAGTCGCCTGCAGGCCCAAGAAAGAGCTGCCTCCTCTCAGGAGTGGCGTGCCTGTCTTCAGCGCGCACGTTTGTGGCTGCACTGCTGCTGGCCTCTGATGCTGCAGCCGAGGTGCTAGGCTGAGACGGTGCTTGCTGTGCTTCGCCGCAAGCCTGCGCTGCATCCTCGGACTGCATGTGTGCCTGTTGCTCAGCCACGGATGGTCCCTTGGGCGACTGTGCTTCAGCTCCTGGGCTGCCCTCTTCCAACACCTGACGTGAGGAGCGTCCAGTGCCTTGTGATGTGATTGTCCCGCGCTCCGCTGGCAACAAAGGGTCATCATCCGCTTGCGCCGCATGCTCATGATGCACCACCACGCCGCTGTCGTCCGTGTCGCCGTCGCTGGCATGCCTGACGTGCTCCCAGTCCGCATGTTCCTTCGCAGCTGCATGCTCCTGGAATGCTGCACTCTCGGCAGGCAGCGCCCCAGAAGCCTCTTCCTCCCTGGCGCTGATCGCTGGGGATTCCTTGCTGACAGCCTCCAGCGCAACAGGCTCTGATGAGGAGGTGCTGCGCTGCTGCAGTTGTGTAGTGGCTTCAGCGCTTTCCAGTCCCAAGTCCAGCCCGTCCTCTCTGTCATCCGGTGTAGGCTGACCTCCGTCTGCATCAGGCTTCGCATCCGCATCCTGTTCCAAGCCCGCATTCGATAAGGCCATGGCTGGCCTGCTGTCACCGCCATCACCCTGATCGCTCACCGCACCCTCCTCTGCTGGACTAAGACTTGGCGCGTCTCCGAGACCCGATTCAGGGATCCTGCTGCTGCGGTGGGATCCGTTGGCAAGAAGCTTCTCAGCTGCACCGCTCCCCTCCGAAGAGGGCTGCATGGAGGCTGCAATCTGCAGCTCCACCTGCTCAAGATCAGAGTCCAGCAGCCCAGCTGCGCCATCAGCCGCGGCAGCCTCCTCCTCTGAGCGCAGAGCTGCAGCTGATGAAAGCCCAATCGCTGCGGAGCCCTGCGCTCCAAGTGCGTGCGCTGCAGCAGCAAACGGATCTGCAATATGCTCTGACCCATTGCCTGCAGCTCTGTTTTCTGCTGCTGTAGTAGCCTCGTCGTTTCGTCTTGGATAGCCGTTAGTGCCTCCCGCGACAAATTTATCTGCATGGCCGTCTCTGACAGCATGGCTTGGATTGTCTGCCAGCCCTGCACTGCTCCCTGGCGCTTCTGCCTGCACCAGACTTCTGGAGGGCATGCGCAGCTGGCTCCCCGTTGGATCCCCAGCTGCTGGCAAGGGCTGCTGCATGGCGGGCTGCGGAAGGGAAGGCGGCTGCATGGGGGCTGCCGGCTCCTGTCTGAGGACCAGCTTGACTGCCACACCGCCGGCTTCGCGAGTCGCATCTCCTGACGGCACGATACTGAGGCGCAGCAGCACGAGGCGCTCCTCCGCCTGTGATGAGGGGCTGCCCTTTCCACCCGTGCGCATCACCAGCCGAGGGGTCTGCAGCTCGGCAGATGTCGTGGGGGTGCCGGACGGGCGCAGCTCAAATGGCTGCTGCTCAAGAGCCTGGGAAGCAATGCCTAGCTCAGGAGAGGCGGGTGCTTCTAGCGGCAAGGGCTGCCCTTCAGGCCTGATGGCCAGGTCGCCGAGCAGCTCTGTGAGCGGCAGCAGCGGGGGCGGCTGCGAGAGGGAGGCCAGGCGCTGCAGCGCGCCGTCCGAGGCCGTCAAGGCCTCGCAGCGCACCCGAGTGCGCACCCAACGCCGCCTCCGGACATAATCCCGGACCTGCGTACCCACACACACATGTGTCAGCACCGTGCACGTACACCAGACATCTGCATAGCCACACCTTGCCACAATTGCCACCCATTGGCAACCGCCGCCGACCTGAGCGCTTCAGGCAGATGTGTGGTGTCAAATATTGCTTACAATCGACAATCTGGCCATGCACAGGAAACTGTCGGCAGTGACTTGGCTAGGCTGGTGGAAAAGGTGTCTCACCCTCTTGAAGCGGCCAGCACCAGGCGCAGGCGGGTGCTTGAGCCAGTTGAAGTCGACTGCATAGTACCAGCCTTCATCATCCACGCACCCCTCCTCATGACCCGTCATGTCAATATGCCAGTCCTCCTCCAGCCACTCCCAGCCCTGTCACACCGCGAGCGTCCAGTTTATGATGCACAGGTGGACTCAATGGAGAGAACGCGCTTCCGGACGGTCTCATATCCGTCAGTGTCACACTAAACATATGCAGCTGATATGGCCCAAGCAGTCAGTAAATTCAGCACCTCTCGCAGCGCGGGCGCCACATTGTGGAAGTCCATGCTCTCTGCGCCACTAGGAACGTCGCCACGCAAGCTCCAGTGGCCCACGCGGTCGGTGGGCAGCAGGTGCCCCGGCCACTGGTGGCCCCAGCCCCGGAATGGCAGGAAGCGCTCATTCTCAAAAACCTCTGCCTCCACCGGGCCTTCCACCACAGGGGCAATGCTGGGTCAATGGAGCATTCAATCCAAAGCGACTGACTTAATGAAAAGGGCACACGTCCAAAGCATGTCCCAGCACTGGCATGGCATCGGGGGCCACAGTGGCAAGACATTAACATACAATTGCACGGCTGTGTGGTGTGAACTGCACACCTGCCCCTTCATACTCGCTCAGCGAAGATGTCTGGCTCGTCAGGGATGCAGGTCGTGCCCCCATTGCGCTCATCTCCACTGACCTCTGTTCATCCCGATCCCAACACGTCCCTCAGTGAGCATGCCATCAATGCAATGATATTCGAGGTGTGCAAATGTGTGTTAAGATAGTAGCCTGCACAGTCATCACCTGTGCGTCAGCTTCATCCCCGGAACTCCTGGAAGCTGCATTGAAGCTCTTCATAAGCGCTTTCTCCGACCTCCTATTTCCATGCCGTCTCCTGCACAACATTTGCGCAATGAACCCCAGAAGTGTCAGAAGTCAGGACCTTCGCCAGGCACCTGGAGAGCCACATTGCACAATGCACCCCAGCTGTAGAAGAAAACAGCAAAAGGGGAGCATGCCACCACCTTGCGCTGGGACTGCGACGCTGCAGGGCATCATCGGACAGCGTAATGGCGTCCTCGCTCCCTGACTTGGGCGACGTGGGCAGCGGCGAGGATCCGCGGCTGGGGCCCAAGCGCTTGTCGGGGCCCTGCTGGCGCGCCGGGGAGACGGCGCGCTCCGGGGTCAGCGCCCCATTGGCCATGCGCCGCCGCCCTGCCGTCCACGTGTCCGCCATCAGCTTCTGGAACCCCTTCACGCCCGTCCTGCATGCCACGTCCTGCCTTGATGCAGTGACCATGGCAAGATATAGCTCCAGCAAAACCCCATGGTACCTCACGGTCTATCTACCAGAAGTCCTGTGCTGCGTGTAGCGCGGCCACACCTGAGCTGTTCTCGTGCTGGAGCGGTCCTCTGCAGCGCAAGGTTTGCCAGCGATGCTGCACGCAGCTCTTGCTCGCCTGACATGATGTCTGCATTTGCATTCTCAAGCGCAGCGTCAAAGCCCTCGAACCTGCAGAGGCAGCAATGGTGGCTTATCTTTGCAATAGTACCAGGACGTGAAGCCTAGTCCCAAAACATCATACAGATTGGCTCCCCACCTCGTGCCCTTGACAGGGGCATCAGCATCTGCGCCACTAGGCAAGCTGCTGCTGTTCCGGCGGAGTTTCTGCAACCCCGGCAGTCTGCCAAACAGCGAGGGGACTCGAGCTGCTACCAGCGGGGCGGCCCTTTGCGCCAGAACAAAGACAGCAATGCTGAATACAATTCCTGAAACACTCCCCGGTATGCCCAGCCAACCTGCAGGCAAGAGAAATGCTCAGAAAACACCGTAAGCTCCTCGTTTAGCTTCGTGTTAAGGGCTTCATGCCCAGGCAGATCATCAGGACAAGAAGAGGCACCTGGATTGATTCTGAAAGAACCCAAGGCCATGCGGACCACCGCCAGCAGACACTGAAGGACAATCAACAGCACCAACACTGCAATGGCAGTGGCTGTGCGGCTGACCTCCTGCCCAGCGACCCCTGCACACAAGCCAGGTCATGTTTGACTTGCAAGTCCTGAGAATCAATTCGTTCCTTTAAAGAAGAGGGAATACGCTTTACCTTGCTGGGTGCCGGTGCGCAGAATGACGGCAGCCACCGGCTCGAACAATCGCACAAAGCCCTCATCCAATATACCCAAAACCCGCTGTTGGGCCTGCGGTTGTGCCGCCTCAGATGGCACAGCCTGCACAGGAAGTACTCGGAGTGATACAGGCTACAATCATTAACTATTCAATGCTGCTTGTCCCAAAGGTGACGGGGTCCTCACCGCTGTAGCTCCCTGCTCCTGTTGTGGCTTCGTCACCTCGCCAAATTCGCCCAGGACTTCCACCAAAGTGGCAAAATTCTTAGCGAGGCCTCCTGCAGAACCTGCACAAAATACACAATTGACATGAGAATTAAGCTGAGAGCCTACAGAGAAGAACAGAATGACTTCCCGTGCACACATTCCAAGCAGCAGAGGGCACACGCACCTTTCTCAATGGCTTTCTTGAGCAAGCCATTCACAGGAGCCACGTACACCAGCGCAAATTCTGCCTTCCATGTGCTCCACTGTTTGCCATCAGCTTTAAGCCTGTCGCAGCAAGGTTGTATCTTCATGTATCGACGGAGTTGGACACCTTATGGGCACACCCGCCCAGCACCCCTACACACTAGTGCCCAGCTGCAGGAATCGTACCTGTGCTTGCATACCCCCCGGAACTTGTCGCCATAAGTGGCAGTGGTTGCTACACAGACCTCCACCTTGTACGACAGGCCACTCTGCGCCTCCAGGCAGCGCTGCACCTCCTCCGTCCGGAACTGCAGCATAAGGAAGTTACACATTACTCCCTGGTGGATCCCCTCTGGACATGCAAGGAATGCAGAATGGTGACTGTAGCTGTGCTTGTCGCGTACCTTCATGCCCATGCCGAAGCTTGAGCAGGTTGTCTTTCTTAGGAGCCCCTTGTAGTCAGAAGGATCCAGTGTATGTTCTTGCAGTTGCTTTGGTACAGGCGGGGAGAGCTGTTGGAGGGCGATTAGTTCTTCCGCGTTGCCCAGCCATGGACTCTCCACATAATCTTTGTTGCCTCGCACCTCTTGAGATCGGGCCTGGGAGCAAGCCCCACGCCATTCCAGGTCAGAGTGTTCAGGTTCACCTTCACCCTGTTTGACTGGGTGTGTGGGGTGTGCCTAGTATGAGCTAGCGATAACCGAGACAATATAGGTATAGCGACATTTTCAGAGCAGGAACAAATGCTTTCAGGATGAAAATGTCCCAGCAAGTACAAGGTCATGCTCAATAACCGGTGCAATGTCAGCAAAAGGACGCACCACAAAATCAGAACCAGGTGCGTACAGGAGCTCAAAGAGCTTATCAACGGGCAAATTGACGCGAACATCGACGAGTTGAAGGGGGGAATGATAGTTGGGTGGCCACAAGGGCCACTGCTCTTGAAAACTCTTGGACATCCTTACGAAGTCAAGACCATCTGCATGCGCGATCTTTGACTGCCTGAGAGTATCCAATGCTTCATCATGGCAAATGGTTTCAAAGATCCTGGAACAAGATTGTATATTGCTTCACCAGAAGTACACTCGATGGGACTGTTGAAACGACGTCTGCCCAGACCATCTGAGAGACACAATGTGGGATCACACAAACGCAATCTAGTATTTACACGGTGTTAAAAATGGTGTCTCGCACCAACATTTCTGAAAAACGCTTATTAATGTGCACACACAAGGGTCCAACGAAGGGCACATTTGTTTCTAGCCAAGGCGGAGCCGAACAACCGGAAGAAGTGCATTTTCCGAAACGCATGATCTTCAGATATTTGACGGTGTGGAACTTATGCTGGGCATGTCAAAGATGATGAAGTCTTCTCTAGTTGCAACAACTCAACTACCGCATATCGATCGTCGAGTACCAGCCAGAACTGCCCGCCGCTGTCAAGCAAGAGCTGCGCCTGCTGTAGCTTCAGAAGCAGATGCATTGAAGGTCTCCTTTGTGAGCTTAGGGTGCCCCAAGAATGTCGTCGATGGTGGGACCACCTTGTTATATTGTGCTCAGCTGCTTTTGTTGTCCAGATCCATACATTTTATGGCCCTGGCTAGCAAGGGAGCTTGGTATGTCATCGGATGCATTCTTTGACCTGCCTGTCATATATGAAATGGAACCTCCGGTCCTGACTGAACGCATTATCGACACAGGCGAGGTGTTGCTGGGAGACTTAGCCAGAAATGGGTTCACAGTCACAGAGGACAGGCTCGAGGCCGATTGTATCGTGGTCAATACTTGCGCATTCGTTGAGGATGCCAAGGCAGAATCGCTGGAGGTGCGGCATGCAACAATACGCTCTCCTGCTGCGTGTGAGCAATGCGCTGTTCTAACGCTGACAGCTTCGCTCTCTGACAGGCAATTATGGAAGCTTCTGAGCTCAAGAAGGACGGCCAAGTACAAAAGGTGATCGTCACAGGCTGCTTGGCCCAGCGGTATTCCACAGAGCTTGCAGGTGAGGGGCTCAGTACACCTGCAGCGCTGGAGCTGTTCGGAAATGCTGGATGTTGTTCAGCAAGAGACACTGTCAATGGCATTATCGGACATCAGATTCCAATCACAGACAGGCTCTGCAAGCCTGGTCAGAGTCGGGAGCACCTGCCAGTGAATGTGCTTCCTAGCGCAAAACCCTCAACGATGTGTGTATGTTTGCAGAGAGCCTGCCAGAAGCTGACTACGTAGTTGGGTTCCAAAATTACAGCAGCCTGCCAGCAACCTTGAGGAATGCGTTGCAGCCGACGGCGAATGCAGGAGGACTTGCAGAGGCTAGAGTGCAGGTGAGGATGATTTTTACTCCTCAGCCTTTCACAACATGATTGTCTTGCATAAACAAAGTATGACATGCCCAGTGGGACGCCTTGTTGAGATACAACCCTGTTCGACTGCTCCTTTCAGGTGGGCGAGTCAACTGTGGCGTTCCGTCCAGAAGCCGATCGCTATCGTCTCACACCGCAGCATACAGCATACCTGAGAGTCGCCGAGGGCTGCAACCATTCCTGTACGTTCTGCGCCATCCCCGGCTTCAGGTGGGCTTCTCTTACATGCGTCATATCTTTGACAATCGGCATATTGGCAAGACTTGTCAGGCAGGCACAAGAAGACTCTCAATGGAAACCAAACAAAATTTTATATCATTCAAGTCCCCGGGCTTCCTCTGTTGGGAAGAAGGGGGAAAGGGTGCGATAAGAACAGGTCTGCTGATGGCATTTTGACTCTTGGAATGTTTCCCGGTTGCTTCTCAGCACCCACCGCCAGCAGCTCACTCGTCATCGTCCGCCAGGCTGAAGACATTGTTGCTAGTCACAATGACCATGGACGATTCGTCCTGGCCTGGTCTGGCGGATGGTGATGCCGTGAACTTGTCCGCCATGAACACGCTGTCAACCACACTCTCCTGCTTGGGGATGAGGTGGTAGCTCGTGCATGTGGTGAGCCCGCCGTACGAGACCACATCGTTTGTGGCCAGCTTCACTTGCCTGCGGGGTGCAGAATGGTCAGTAAGACATGGCTAGGCGAGTCTAGAACCAGTAGAGTGTACAGATAGATCAGGGTTGAGAGGGATCAGACCTGAAATTCCAGAGCACCGTGTAGTTGCCGCAGCTGGCAACAATCCAGCGCTCTTCCCGGCCACTCTCGGTGATCCACGTGAACTTCCCCTTCTGCAAGGGAGCGCCGCCCACCAGCTCTGCGTCCTCCGCCTTCAGGCGCAGCAGCCGCGGCGCCGCCCCGCGCGCTCCCATCCTGCTCCTGAATCCATTCGTCTCTTTCTCCTTTGCGTCCTGCGCTTGCCGTCACAGCGATGCAATGAGGTCTTTCCCGACAAGGGCATAGGTCTCGCGAGGCCAAGCTGCACAGCAGTGCAATTCTAGGCAGATTTGCAGATGTTTCTTAGGTTTCGCACCTTGTAGGTGGTTTTCACCACCATCAGGTAGTTGCGGGTGGTGGCCAGGACCCATTTGCCGTCGTAGGTGACATCCACAGCTGAGATGGGCGCGCCCAGACCGGGGATAGCAGTGTTGGCACGTGTCAGCGATCTCTCGCTGTACAAGCGGATCTGGCCGTCCTCACTGCCCACCACGATGAACCCGTCGCCTGCGACAGAGTGCTTTCCATATCAGTGGATAGCCAGGACCAGCAACACAACTATTATTCCTGCACCAAGGAAGGCTTGAGTCATGGAGGCATGCTGCCAGCGTGCATCACCTGAGGTTGCCATGCAGTTGAAGTTGACTTTGCTGGCGTAGTCCTTGCCGCCCTGGTAGCCAAGAACTGGCGACTCCTGCACTGTGCCAGATGGATCGCGCATGTCCCAGCGCGCCAGCCTGGCAACAACAGTGTCACCTCAGCTGTGCTGCGATCAATGTAGGCAAGCATGAATATAAGCACTCGATTAGAGGAGAGCAGTCGCAAGGCTGCACCTGTTCTGGCCAATCCCCAGGAACGTGTCCTCATCTGTCAGCTGGCCAGCGCGTGTGTCATTGACAATGTCCTTTATCTCAACGTCGTTGCCGTCCTTCTTGAAGGACCACTCGTTGACGATCTTGCCCGTCTCTATGTCGGTGTTGAACAGCTTCGTGCGCGTGTCCGGGCTGAGCATATTCATGCGGCGCTCACGATTCATCAGCATCAGCTTGTTGGGCGTGAAGGTGCCGCCGCCTTTCCTGGGTGTGATTTTGAAGGAAGTCCCGGTGTCCTGTCAGACATATAGAATGTATAAGCAAGCGCCATGGGCGAGGCAATCACGTGTTTTTGCACCCAAAAACTGTGACATGGTTCTCACCTGGACTCCGCCGTACACGTTTTTGAGGACCTCGATCTGATCATCGCGCACAAGGTAGCTGCGGTCTCCGGCTCCCATTCTGACTCCTTTGATTGGCGTATTCTTGTTCTGGGCAAACTTGTCCTTGAACTTTTCTGCTGTGGAGGGTGCTTCCTGCATTGCAATTGAACTCTTAAGTCCAGGACTGTGCTGCACGCGCCCCTCAGATCGGGGTTGGCAATAGTCTTAGGAGCAGGTCATTGACTGCTTTCTCACCTTCATGTCGACATCCTCCAGCCACTGCTCGCGCGACTCAGCTGTTTCTCGCGCCCCGAGGTTCAGGACAGAGTCCTTTCCAAAGACCTGCGTGGAGAGGACTCTTATCTTCAGCTGGTTGACAGCAGGACCAGCAGCTTCTGGTGCCTTTGCAATAGCAGGCTGCCATGGTAGAAGTCTAGTTGAGTTTCAGACCTTTTCACGATTCGCTTCATCATTCTTCACGTTGTAAATGTTCTCAAAGAGCTTGCCGTTGTACTCGTTCACGAAGGCCTGGAAGGCCTGCGCGCTTGGAAAGCGCAGCGCCCAGATGCCAGAGGCTCCGGAAAATGTGGCACGTTTGCTGCTCTGCTCAAAGCTGAACTTGTCTGTGACCTCCACCTCCAGGTCTCCAGCCTCTAGAAACCACTGTGGTTTTGCTGAGGCTTTGTCCTCGTTGGCATCATAGAAGCTCGGACTGACACTGGCTGAATACAACTCCCAGCTGTCTCCTCCTCTGCTGGGAGTGAATTTGAAGAGCCTGATGGCGTTTCCCTGTGCCAAACGTTCAAGGCTCAGTTAGTGGAAGGTGCTATCTGCCTGAAACGGTGGACAGCGCTGTTCCATTAATCCAGCGATGCATGGTATTGAGCTGGTATAGAATAGCGAGTACAGCGCTTACCACCTCTGGTGCGGCGCCAATCTCAGTTGGAGCCGCTTCCTCATCAAGGATGCTCTGTTGAGCACCCATCCGCACTTCTGCTTGGCTTCTCCTTCTAGCAAACGGTCTTTGTGCGGTACTTTCTCGTTTTCTTTTGCGGAAACAATTTAAAGCTTCGATTAACGCCAAGTATCTTGAATGACAAACGTTTGAGTAAGTACAGACTTTTTTTTCTTGTCAATGCAACACGTAGAATGTCTGATGCTGTCTTATTACACCTGCAGAATTGCTTGAATTATCTGAAAGACTTCAGAGCAAGTAATCGGTTTCCTGGCTGCGATAAATGATGAAGGGTGGCCGGTTGCCTCGAGGGAAGCTATGGAGTCCCTGGCGTGCTTCGCTGCCTAGATTGGCTTCTATTGTCCCAGTCAGCATTTCACATGTCTTGGATTTCATGGATTGTTACAAACAATTTTTTTGCAAAGCACTTGAAAGGGACTGGACTGATCATGAGAACTGAAAAGTCATCGTTAATGGTGGCGCAGGGGCAAGTTCAGATCAAAACCATGGCAGCACGTCCTCGACGAAGCGCGGCAGCTGGTAGCCTCAGGAGTGAAGGAGCTCAATCTCATAGCGGAGGACACCAACCAGTGAGCCCCTATATGCACCAACTATCTGACATGCTGAGTGCATTGCTGCCTGCCCTGACTTGGCACCCCTTGAATGAGCAGCATGACTTGTCCTATCTGGGTTTGCTAGTACAAGTATAGCTGGTCGCTACAAAGTTGCGGTCACTGGGGAGTGCGCTGCAGGTATGGCATGGACAGGAAGGATGGCAACAGCCTGGCGGAGCTGATGGCAGAGCTGGGGAAGCTGGAGGGCCTCCACTGGATGCGCATTCTCTACGCCTACCCTTCCTACTTCTCCGACGCCCTCATAGATGAAATTGCATCCAACCCCAAGGCAAGCACACCAGCAATTTGCTTACTGCTTGTCTTAAAAGCCAGCAAATGGCATTCTGCCCAATTGCCATGCATGTGCTAAGAATCCCTGCGCGAGTATTGGCACTGTCATTTTGCTACTTATCCTGATAATGCTATGAATGGTCTGGTGGCAGGTGTGCAAGTACATCGACATCCCTCTGCAGCACATCTCCAACATGACCCTTCTTGGCATGAATCGACCGCCCCAGCTTCACACCGTGTCGCTGCTCCACAAACTGCGCGAGAGGATACCCGAACTCGCCTTGCGCACGACGTTCATCAGCGGATTTCCAGGTTTTGACTCTCCTACCTTGTCCTGTGGTATTCATGCTTGCAGAGCCAGTGCGACATGGTGTTGTGGCTGATGCATGTCCCCTTGTGTTCAGGCGAGACGGAGGACCAGCACCAGGAGCTGCTGCAGTTCTGCAGGGACTTCAAATTCGAGCGGATGGGGGCCTTTGCCTACTCTGAAGAGGACGGAACACCTGCTGCCGCATTCTCAGAGCAGGTCTGCGCTGTGGTCTAGCAGCGATTGATGGATGTATTACGGAGAAGGTGCATACAACATCAACTGATGGACTGTTCTTACTGCTGCCACCATTCCTTATTGCGTTCGGATGCATCAGGTGCCGGAGGAAATCAGGCAGGCGCGAAGGGACTCCCTCATCAGCCAGCAGCAGGACATCAGCCAGACCTTCGCAGAATCGCTGGTCGGCAGGGAGGTAGGCCAGCCTGTTCCCCCAGGAGGACTTTTCCCCATTGTTGGGCAAATAGAGTTGGCATGAAGTGCAGGTCAGTATGGCAGTGCTGGGCGTCAGAGATGTGCCCTCACCTGGGCGTGGTGCTTTCCACAGGTGGACGTCTTGGTCGAAGGCTGGAACGAGGATGATTGCTTGGTTGGTCGGACCCAGTGGGATGCGCCCGACGTTGATCCAATTGTTTTCCTGACGCCAACAAGCGATGCACGCATACCGCCCCTTGAGGCCGGCCAGATGCGGCGCTGCCTCATTACAGGGACTTCGCTGTTCGACCTCGAGGCGCAGCCCATCTTGTGACGTGGCCATGGATCCACCATGCAAGCGCATGTTCATGTTGGATACTTAACGGATGCAGGTAGATTGTTAGCAAGCTACACTGTCCAATTGCCTCTTGAGAAAGATGTGTATAATCCCAGTCTTGGAATTCTCAGCCATGGCATTTAATGCAGCTGCTGCGGCTATAGTAATGTTGCTTAAATTATATGCCAAAATTCTGGCACGCTTCTGAACACCCTGAGCTTGTGGAACTAGATGCAGATGGCCCCTTGCCTGCGTAAGATGGATTGCCAACACCCAACTATGTGTGTAGAAATGCTGATATATCCTAGCATCATATTGTCACAGCACGGCGCTGCCAGCAGTGCGCCGCAGCCAGCCTGGGGTACCGGTCGCAACTGCAGTTGCATGCATGTCACAGCCGCAGCTGTGGCGACCATGCGTGGCTCCCGTGAAAGTGGCTCCCAAGCATCACAAGGCACACTTCTACCAGCGGCAGTGACCTGGAAGCAATTCTTCAAGTGAGGATGGCATTGACCAGGTGAACGAACGAGGGCACTTTGGCATCAGGTCCTGACCCTTGGTCAAGGGGTTTGAGCTAGGAAACAGCAAGGACTTCCTAGCAGAACCTCTCCAAAATTTGGAGTCCAAATTCAAGGCGATCGCTGATCATTGCAGTGCACAAGTGAACATTACGAGTGCTTGACCTGCAACAAGAAAGCTTCGGCGTGTCTCGATGGGGTGAGGGCTGTCGCCAAGGCCATCAGAACTTGAGATGCAGGCGCAGGAACATACCAGCTCAATTGAGCAGGGCACGATCAGCCCGGGGGACCACCCCAAGATCGTCCAGAATGCGAGCAAAAAGCGGCCTGCACAAGCTCTCAACTCGAGAGTCGCAAAGGTGAGAGTGTTGCTGTGTGTGAAAAACTTCTGCCACTGTCCTTTTTCAATGATTCAAGGCTGAAAGTGCTGTTCTTGGATGCAGAAAGCGAGCAACATGATTTCTTGCCATTCGAGGAGCCAGGATTGGCTTGACAAAGTGCCTGAATGTCCGGTATTCCGGCCCTCCCGAGAAGAGTTTCAAGACCCCCTGGCATACATCAGGAGCGTACAGCGGGAGGCAGAAAAATGGGGTGCGTGCGTGATCATTGCTGACTATAAAATCTTGCGCTGGCAATTTGGTCTCGATGCCTGCTTGAAGCGCCATATCGACTGTTGGCTGTTTTGCAGGCATCTGCAAAATAATTCCACCAGTCACCCCTGCTGTACCCGGAGGCTTGGTACGTACAAGTGCCTCAGTTCTGCATATTTGTAAACTGTTTGGTTGGACGATTCCTGGTGCATGCATTTGTTCCTCGTGCGTACTGGCTCTTCATCAAGTGCTCCTGCAGCCTGAATACTCTTTACATGCATGTCCAATCGTGCCTTAATTGAAGGAATCCATTGTGATGCCTTACTTCTTATTGTGACGCGACAGGTGTGCCGAGAGCTGAATGGTGCAGTCCTGAAATTCACCACTCGCGAACAGCCTGTCCGGGAGCGTTTGTGGCATGACATGGATGAAGGCAAATTCACTCAGGGTGAAACGTGAGTCCCAACCGAATTTTCACATTCCATCTGGTTCATATGCGTACCTTTGATGGGTGTTTTCTGCACAGCTATGGCACCACAGGCACTCCTGACTTGAAGGCGAACTTATGTCTTGCCCTTGCCCCAGGCTGTACACCCTCCAGCAGTACTCCAAGTTGGCAGACGACTTCCAAAGAAAGCAGCTGGGGGCATCAGGAACATGTCCTGCGCGCACAGTTGAGGTGTCGTCCACTTCTTTGCAGACGTTACCATCCTTTGACCACATTTTTTGGGATAGCATGTTCCCGGGGTTGCATGGTACTTTGTGTGAAGAGCCTGTGAACATGCAGAACGAGTACTGGAGGCAGCGCAAAGTGGCGTCTGACCTCACAGTGGAGTACGGGAATGATGTGGAGGGGACTGCCTTCTGCTCACCCAGTGAGGGGGACCCCTTGGGCAGCACAGACTGGAACCTGCAGGCGATTTTCCTGCTCTAAAAGCTTGTCATTTGCTGCAGATGTGGCTCCAGGCTGTCGTTTCACACCTTGATTTGTGCCATTATTGTGGCATAACCCCTTCTGCAGACTGCCTTGACCCAAGTACCTGGCCGCCTTGCAGTTGCTGCCGCGACTGCAGAACTCTACGCTGCGGCTGCTCAAGGGCGAGGTGCCGGGCATCACAACGCCCATGCTATACATCGGCATGCTCTACGCCACCTTCGCCTGGCACGTGGAGGACCACAACCTCTACAGCATCAACTACCAGCACTTGGGCGCCAGCAAGACCTGGTGCGCCCTGAATTTTACTGATCTCTGCAGCCCCTTACCAGCAACTCTGTGCCACTGCACCACATGTGACTCTGTCAAATGGTCAAACAATTGTCAGACATTTCCGTGCATATTTACCAACAGTAGCACTGATGCGGGAGCAGGTATGGAGTGCCAGGCATCGCAGCGGATGGCTTTGAGAAGGTTGTGGAGGAGCAGGTGTACGCGCGGGCACTGCAGGCTGAGAAGCTTTCTGGACGGGAAGCATGCGTGGCTGCCCACAGGGCCATTTTGGGCAAGACCACCATGTTCAGCCCCCAGCTGCTCCTAAGTGCAGGTGCCGTCCTGCACCAGTCCAAAGGCTTTTCTCTGCAAGAATCCACCTGCTCATTGATGACAGGTTGTCACGTGCTGCAACTCCTTGTTGCTTCCTCAACCCCGCACAGGCCGACATAAATGGGCTTACCTGCAAACAGAGCGAGAGATGTCTGCGGATTCCACTACTAACCCCAGCAGCTGTGCAACTGTGCTCACGGCCATCCGATTTGGTGTAGGCGTGAGGGTGTGCCGGGCAGTGCAGCAGCCAGGCGAGTTCATTGTGACTTTCCCGCGCGCCTACCATGCCGGATTCTCCAATGGCTTCTGCGTCGGGGAGGCTGTCAACTTTGCCATGCACGACTGGTACCAATTTGGCGCTGACTGCTGCCTGCGCTATCGGCGCCTGGCCCAGCCGCCCATCCTGCCCCACGACGAGCTCATCTGCGAGGAGGCCTTGCTGCTGAGAGGTGACATCTCAGCCATGCGACTGCATGCATCAAACGCACCACCACCCTCACTGCTTGCCTTGTACCTTTCATTCTGCATGTTTCAGCACATGCCGCTTTCAATGATGTGTGTCGTGCGGGTGTGGACTATGGGCAGTGCTCTTACGTGACCCAATCTGGTCTGCAGATCGGCTGGCCGACGAGCAAGGCGCATGCTGCTCGGCCGACCCGGCAGCTGACGTGAGCCTGGCAGGCACCTTTGTGACCCTGCTGCGCCAGCAGAACAAGCAGCGCCGCGTCATGGTGGTGCAGCGCGGACTCACGCAGCGGCCCATGGCCACGGATGTGGATGACGGCCTTTCGTGCCAGGACTGCGTGAGCTGCGCGCATCTCTGCTTCCTCGCGTCGGTCACTTGCCAGGTGCGCCCCCAATTGACCCCCCGCCATTCTCAACTTCTGCATAAAAGAACTCGAGAACTCGATGCAGCAGCGCATAACACCAGCTTCTGGATGGCCAATGCACGTTATTGTATTCCTTAATGTGTGCAGGTCAACAAAGAGCCACTGTGCATGGAGTGCGCAATGAGGGAGAATGTGATGGGCCCGAGCAACGAGCTCTTCTGCCATCCTGAACTGGAGAAGTTTGAGGATTGTGCCCGCTGGTTTGAGCAGCAGCCGCTCCTGAAAGACTCAGGTCAGTGTACCACTTGGCCTGTGACATGCTCGGATTGACTCGAGGCCCAAAAGGGCACCCACATGCTTGTCAGCCTGCCGGTGCAGGTCTACCTGTAAAACGCCACTCTAGCTACGGATACTGAAGAAATGCTAATAATGGGGTTTCTGAGGTGTTCACCTGTCCCTGCAGACTGGGAGGGCAGCCTGCAGAACAGGGGCCTGACGGAGGGCGAGCTGCACAGCGGCGGCTGGGGACACCACAACAGCCGGACAGTGCCGGCGCCCAATCAGGCATTCCTTTGGGAAAAGCTTCCCTCTGCGGTGCCCGCTCCCGGCACGGCGGCGCCTTCGGAAGAGAAGGAGGTGTTGGCTTGCGTGGCCACAACGGAGGCGGTCCTCGTCCCCGACAACGCCAGTCTCCCTCGGGTCAAGGTGGTCTTCTCACCAATCGGCCCCTACGAGGTGAAGCGCTACTCATCCCACGCCTGAGCGACCCGTTCACTGGATTATCACGTGCCTTTTGCCTGCCTGTTGCAACACCAACGCGCATCAACGAGGCTCATTGCAGAGGCAGGGCCATAATGCGCGGCGTGCCATTGTGAGCAGGGTCTGGGCTTCTTGCAGCCGGTCTTGCCCCAGCAGCCGGCCTGGGGGGCGGCGCCGTCCGATGCAGGCGGCAGCGCAGCCTCCGACAGCAACATCAGCGTCGATGTGGTCGGGGTGTCCACCGTGCGCGATCCGGCGGGCGAGAGCAGCAGTGCGGATGTCAGCTCCGGCAATAAGGAGCACACCCCAACTTCCACGCTGGATTCTGCTACTGCACTGTGCACATGGCCGCCTGTCAAGGGCGCCACCCTGGGAGACAGCACGCAGCCAGATGCAGCTCCTGTGCAGCAGGACAAGCAGCCGTGCGCGACCGGCGCGCACGACGGCACCGGCGACCGAGCGGACGACGCCGCACCCGCGCCAAAGGATCCCGCGATGGAGGATCCCGCGCTGGAGGACCCCGTGCCTGCTGCATCACCAGCCAAGAAGGCCAAGGCTGCTGCTGCGGCCTCCAAAACCCCCAAGGCTGCTGCCGCGGCCTCCAGAACCCCCAAGGCTGCTGCCGCGGCCTCCAGAACCCCCAAGGCTGAGACCAAGGAAGGTGGGGGACGCGCCCAGGCCGCGGCAGCAAGCAGACTGCATTCCTGTAATCAGCACAAATGCACACCTGGTGGCATGCTACAGACTGACCTGTCATCATTGCAAGCGTTGAGAGTGCGCATTGCATTGCACCAACGATTGAAGTGCTGCACTTGTATGTGCAAGGAATGCACGTATCTGCACATGCTGAATGTGAGCGATTTGTGCCAACAGCTCCAGCAACGGGACCCAGGTTCTTCAGCGGGGAGGGCGGACCTGTCGTACTGGTGGAAGACACCATGGTCACGATGGGCGGAAAGAAGATGAGACGCCGTGTGTACAGCTTGGAGAAGGACCTCACGCAGCGCTTCCTGCCCACCAGGGAGCTTTCCAAGGTACCTCCCTGTGGCTGTGCCTCCGTCAGAGCCTTAGCCAACGACCATTGGCCCCAGACCAAGGTTGTCTTGCGGGCTGCAATTTAGTTTCTATTGATGTATTTTTCACTGATGTACCAGGTGTTGTTGGCTCTCTTTCCTCTTGTTCCCTGCTGTCCACATTTTCTCCTGTTGTCTTCGGCACTAGAACAGCTTGCGAGGTTGCTTGCACTTCAGCTAGCATGTCATACAGATGTCGGACCAATACCGACCATGGCATGCAGCCCCCATACCCTGTGGCCCACCAGTCTCCTCCTCTCTGCATGCCTTCCCTATTATTTGGTGCTTGTTTGTTTTTTGGCTGAAGCAGCAGGACCTCTTTACACTGATGTTGAACCTCTATTGAGCTTGATTCACAGATTCCAGCTTCAGAACTTGATGCCTGTCTTAAATTTGTCTTATGGCATATTGCATATTGCCATTCGTTCTGGAATTTCAGGGCTTTTGGAGGCTTTCACCCCATGCACTGTTCAATGGTCAGTGTTGTGTTGTCAATGCCAACCTGCTTTGTGAGATTTGCAAATAAGGAGGAAGGCACGACCCTGTAAAAAGAGACGGTTCCTTGAGTCTTCCAACTTTGTTGCAGGCGGCCGATTTTCTGGCCTGTCCAGCTGAGGGCGCACGTGACACGGTCTTCAAACAATGGAGGAAGGCAACGGACAAAGCAGCGGAAGCAGCGGCCGCCGGCTTCACCGTGCCGGAGCTGCCGGAGAAGCCGCGCCGCTACACCTGCAAAAGGGATCCCTACATCATCACCACATTCCTGGTGGGCCTGGACGAGGTCGCGCGCATCTTTTACTGGGTGGCCAACCCCAGGCAGCGGTGCGGTCTGCCTTTGAGCCTCATTGCACACGAGCATGACACTAGTCGGCATCTGTTTGTCTGGCTGCACCTCAGGGGCCCTCAGTAATCAGGATTCCCAGTGAGTTGTAGACCTTGCCAAGCATGAGTGCTACATACATGCTTATATCTGTGTCCCTTTACCACCAGCTGGTCTCCTGGCATTCCATGCAATCGTGCGCTGTCACTGGGAGTGCCATTGCAGGTGTGACTTGGAGAAGTTCTGCAAGGGCGTGTGGCCGGAACGGCTGCAAAACCGCTGCGCAGGAATGCCAGAGCTCGCTGACAGCCCCACCCAGGAAGTGTGCCTGCTACTGCACCCTCTCACTCACGCATGCCATTGCAAAAATTGCCAATTTCGTTATCGCCATGCAGCGGATGCCCTTGTGTGCAACGTGTGGCACCCAAGCATGACAGGCAACCTTCTGGTGGGCATGAAGATGTCTAATCCTAATTACATGCAATGCTGCCTGCAGGTGACTGCGCAGAAGAAGAAAGCTGCTGGCAAGGTGCGGAAGGAAGCTAAGCTGCGCGGAGCTGTGACGAAGCCCGTCAGGGAAACGAGGGCTGCCAAGATACGGGGTGTTTGGAGTGTGGAAGGCTGTGGCGCCATGGCGCTCTCCCCAGCAGACCTTGCAAAGCTTGGTCAGCACGCCAAGACTGGGAAGCCGGGCAAGCGTGCAAGCAGGTTTCTCGCAAAGCAGAGCTGCACTCTCTCCTGACCATGGCGACACATGTCTCCCGTGTGCTGAGGCACCTGGCATGGCGTCAAGATGTGCCAGAACCCTGGTCTAGCAAGCTCGTCATCAGCAAACAAGTTTGACGTGTCCTATTCATAATCTCAAAGTTTTGTGTGCCCTTGTACCATCAGTCATTGAGGAGGACAAAGGAACGAGCGAGGACTGCTTAATTTCAAGGAATCCCTGGTGTGGCACACTGTTGATATGTGTGTACTTGGTGACTAAATTTCTACCTCTCCCAGAGATGTGCTCTATTATGGCGTTGACTTGCTGAAGGAAACCACCTACCTGGCCACGGATGACCAGTGTCAACCTGCTTACTCAGGACTGAAGGAGCACTAGTTGATAAGCTTATTTGTTGTGTATTGTGAATGTGTGCTAGCCTTGAATACTGTGCTCTTATCAAACAGACACTGCTGGTGAGCAAATACGGGCTTGCAAGGGAGTATCGACCGGGCAAGAGGTCTGCACTCTCTGTGCTCCTAGACTATACTTTAATGTGTCCAGACATAGTGACCTCAGCTATACATGTGATTTAGAAGATGACAGGTCTCTTGTGCCTGGCAAATGAGTGTAGACAGTTGGCCCTGTCTTATTATGGGAAATCCAGATATGGTTCTTTGTTTTTGCAATTCTAAAAAGTTAAGATGGAGTGTCTTATGACTGACTGCCATCATTGTAAAAATCCTGAAACGCTGCATATGCGATGTGTCCGATTTTGAATTGCACAAGTTTTGTTTCAATAGAAACTCTTGGCCAAGAGTCACTGAAAATCTCAGTAGACAATACAAAAATATCTTTTTCAGCACTCAGTGACTGCGTGACCAGTCACGACATTGTTCACTATACCAACGTTGCTTATGTAAACAGTACACGCCTAATCCTGTACATGGCATTTGATTTCCCATCAGGTCCCCATGGCAATATTCAGAACTGAGAGTACACTGTCCAACGCTTCATGCATGTCCTCAAGCTCCTCTGCCAGCTCCTGTCGGTGTCATTCGAACGTTCAGTCCCACAGCTTAACCACAGGTTTGTCTGCATGGATAGCTGGAGATGCAAGAAGAGTGGCAGCATGGCAAATGCTGCACATCATCAGCTGATTGTGACAATTGTCTTCCAAGAGGCAGCCCACCTGCATGAGAAACTGGAAGGAATACCAGCGAATTTTCCCAAGGTAGCCCTCTTCATTTTCAGGAAACTCAATCAGCTCAGACGACTCGACCCTCTGCAGCCGCATCGTCAGCAGCCTCTTGAAGTCTTGCTGCTTTGCCCCGCCGTTCAACTGCACAAGCACAAATGAACCTTCTGAGCTTCTGACTAAATGCCACATCTCTTGCATCTGTAGCATTGCCGGTAGCAAGTATGAGACACACAGCAAGACAACTTCCTTCGCAGAGCTGGACATGCCTGGCTGACAAGCTCTGCTGCAGCCGCGCTGTCCCCGGCTTCCCCCATGGCGATGTGCAGCCCCTCAGGCAGATCCCCAAACGCCTGCAGCACAGGTGCTCCTCAGGTGTGCCTTGTCTGAGCTGTCCGAGGCTTGCTCATCTCCCAGGAGTGCAGCAGAGGCCACTCATTGGGAGCGTGCAGGTCACGGAGTGCCCAGGAGATTACTGGTTGCCTGGCTTTTCGTACCTCAATAGGTGTGCCCACATAGCTGCGGTTGAGGGTCCAGTCCAAATCCCTCATGCTGTTCGGCCGCCGCTGCAGAGGCTGGGCCAGATCCTGCAAAGTTGGATCTATTAAATATCCCGTGACAAGTGCACGTCCAGGTCCAGTCTTACATGTACTCCGCGGTATGCATAGCGTATATCGTTCCTCGCCAGCATCCGTTCAGGTGTCCTGAAAGCATCGCGTGCAGCGCAATCACCTGGCCAGCCGGCAGTGCTGGGGATGTGGGGCTTGCGGCTGCGGCTGCCAGCGCTTCTGTGAGGCTGCTGGACTGCCGCCCGCGATGCTCCAGCCCCTGTGACAGCCACAGCGGTCTTGAAATCAAATCTCTGCAGAACTCTGCACACCACCCACATCACGAAACGTTACGCTCAAACATTGCCGGAGATCAATACATATTCTCTTAGTTTTCAATGTATTTTAGTGCAGCAGGCGTGTCCACTCATGAAACATCCCGTATATTGCATGACAGCCTGACAACAGCTCCGGGAAAGAAAGAGACGCAGGATCGAGCATCACCTGCGGACGCTCCTCGTCCCCGCTGCCACTGCCCAGCATCATCTCCTCAGTGTTGCTGCGGTTCATCACGTCATCCTTAGTCGCCGCATCGCTGCGCTGCCGCTCTGGCACTGGTGGGAGGTCCGCAGGACGAGCCCTGCTGTATGCTCCCCGATCAAGATTGCGAGAGCTCAGACCTTGCTCAACATCTGGCTCCTGCAGCAACACCACTTGTGCCCCTAGTTAGCTCTTGCCAGCACCACGCCCTTGACTCCTTTCAAGTGCTCCATTAGAGTACTTGCAAAATCATAGTTACGTGCAGGAATGCCACAGCCAGACTGCATCAGAGAAAGCTGGTACTTCACATGCATGTCAATTAAGGCCTTTGAATGCCCTCCGTTGTGGGAAGCCATTCAAAGGCCGTTGTGGGTTTTTTTGTCTGTAGAACGGATGCACAGCATGGAGCATTCGTGAAGCAGCATGGACATCACAAGAAGGGGAGTAAGAAGAGGAACTCTTCATACTCCCCTTGATCCCACAAAGGACTCTGTGACGCACCTGGCGTAGAGCGGAGGGCTCAGGCATGGAGGCGGCAATACGCAAGGGGCTGCCGGCGTCAACCGAGGAGCCGGCTGCGCGGCGGCGGACGGCGTCCCGGGCGGAGAAGGCGCGTGCCAGCGTGCGGCGCTTTGTGCTGACCACGCGGAAATGCTTGATGAGCTGCAGGATGCGGCGGCGCTGGAAGTCTGAGATGCGCATCAGCCCCTGCACAGGCAAACTAGGTGCAGGTCAATACTAGCCCACCGCTCTCTGGAATTGGGGAGCCCTCCAAGGAGCGGTCTTGTCTCCTTCATGACAGTCAGATATATCAAATTCTTTATACAAGCCCACACGAATACATACGATGTCTTGTGCAGAGCGTTGGACATCTCTGTGCTAAAAAAGCTGAACATGTCGAGTGAGTATGATGATCACCTCCACAGCGTTCACAAACAGCTGCAGGTTGGACTCGTCGACGCGGCGTTTGCTGGGGAATGCAGCGGCGGCGGCTTCTAGCGCGCCCTGGGAGGTCTCTGCCAGCTGCGGCATGAGCTGGCTGGGGTACTGCTGCTTCAGCAGGTTCAGCATGTTCTGCACAGCAAGCACTGATGTTTATCAACACGTCACAACAGTCTGGGCCAACTTTCTAGGGCCATATTTCACCGAGTCATCATGATTGCAGCTGCTAATACGGTATTCCACTTTAATAATCTGCGGAGGTGAATACTCCTGAAGCAAGATGTATAAGAATGATCTTGAGGGCATGAGAACTCATAGACTATGGTCTCTTCAGCCAGTTACAAGTGATCTTCCCAAGGGGCCCACGGACCTCATCAAAGCCGTCCAGGAAGGAGAGGTGCAGGGCCCAAAGCAGGCGCGCAATCTTGCGCAGGCTGGTGGCCAGGACATCCATCTCCTTGGCGGGCAGGTGCCACTTGCCCATTGGGAACCAGGGCAGCCCCGGCAGGAAAATGAGCGTGCCCCTCCATGTGCACAGGTAGATCTCCGCCGCAGCCAGCGGCACCTGCTCCTCCACCTGGACCCAGAGTCAACATCTTCTTCAGGACTGCTTTGCGAGAGATTTGCTTCTACATGCATGAAACAGAAATGATATTAAATGAGTTACGACAAGAAGATCAAGAAATTTTGTGTCAGCTGTAGTACATTTGCACAGGTTATCCGGGGCTGTTCGGGTCAACAAATCGTGCCAGCTACGTGCCCCAGCAGTATGGAGGCACAGACAACGCAACGGAGAGGTGAGGTGGCTCACCTTGTACAGGGCATCGTAGACCTCCATCAGCACCTTCTCTGACTGCGCCTCAAACTCCTCATGCTTCTTCACCAAGTCCTCCAGCGACTCGTCCTTGCCAGCCAGCGGTGCATACCCATCGGCACGCCTGCCCACCAGCAACTAATTTCGTCAGTCAGGTCCTTGGTAGCTTGAGCGGCAGCACTATCCGCATAGTGCACTTGACACCATGGCGTGCCAGAGTGTGTGTGATTGGCAGGGGCGCAATGTCACCTTGGCGGAGCCTCTGCCAGCCCCTGAGAGGGATTCCAGGGGCCGTGCTCCCAGACGAGCCTGTTGAGGTCGCCCAGCTTCTGCATGGCCGTCTTCATCTTGGCGACCGCCTCCTGAGTGGCGCTCTTGGGGAAGATGAGAACGGCGTACAGCTCCGACAGCAGCACTCCGCTGGCGATGCCCGTCACGCGCATGGCCCCCAGCAGGAATACGCTGGTGTCCGTGCTCTGCTCGTCCACCGCGCCAAAGGTGACGATGAGGAATGCGATGGCGTACAGCTTGGCGGAGTAGGCCAGGTTGAACGCCTTGCCCAGCACTATGCCGCTGAAGGCCACCAGTGCGGCCGCCACGCTCAGCGTGATCTGCATGCGCACGCAACAATCAGCGCGCGGCGACGGGGCTGGCAGGGGTAGGGCGCACACATGCACACACCTTTTGTGCAAACGCGAGCAAAAGAGCCGCTCCTGGAAGAGTGCTGCTCACAAGACCTTGGCGAAGGGGCAGCTTGGCAGTGCAGTAGGAGGGGGTTACATGCATGATGAACAGGAGGGGGGTGTGGCACTCACTCCATCCGTGCGGGTGTCAGGGTCCCACAGCCGGTGACCAACCTCATACACCAGGTACCCCAGCGTTCCCCCCGCAACAGTTCCCAAAATTCGCTCTGCCCCAGTCTGTCAGCACCAAATCTGAGTGAGCCCCCGAAATCACAATTGGCAAATAATCAGACAACGACAAGCAAGCATGAGTGGACTGCGGGAATTACCTGAGCAATTTTCCCTATCACTGGGGCATTCACAACGACACATGTGATGGCAGCCCATTTTGACGCCTGCGAGAATTGCCGTGCGTACGTCGTATGTATACCTGCAGGACAAGAGGTATGCAGCAGCTGAAGCAGGAGGCTGAGGCAATCACGGAACAAAAGATTCAGATCAACTGCTAATCTGTGCTCACCGTGTTCGGGCAGAACGATCCCATATCCTATTGCTGTTGCTGTGAAAACTGCAAGTCCAACCCTTATTGCATTTGGGTAGGGATCAGGAAGTTTAGGAAGCCGCATTTGGAAAAGACAGGAGAACAGACAAAGCCCAGATCAGGCCGGTTTCGCCTCGTTGCAAGCACGGTTTCAGGGCCCAAAGATTGAGAGAGCAAAGAGACACAATGCAAGTCCCGTGATATATAAACAAATATCTGCTTGTGTTCTTGAGTGTTCTTCAGCAAGAGACGAATCAGGATTGCAAGATGGCAAGGCCATGTGACATGACATCAGCATATATTTCTGATGTCTTGAGGGCGAGCCAGAGTACCCTCTCAATACTACCCTAATAATATAGAGGAAAATGATAGATATTGAAGGGCTTCGGAGCGGCTTCTGCAACATTCAATGTGGATTAATGCACTGGCATTTCTTGTACCAGAAAGCATCCCAAACACCTATCCTCGTGTCAAGCAAGTCAGAACATACCTAGGTGTTACTTCGAGTGTCTATTCACCACCCTGGCTGCTTATAGTCGAGGTGTACTTGGGTGATCGTTGCACCATACTAAACACTGTTCGTGCGTCCGGGAGCACCAGAGCGGTGTGCTCTTGCAGATGGTGAGTTTCAAAATGCTTATATTGAAACTGAATACAGCTCATCGCTCAACTCCAGTCTTAGAAGGTCTCGCTGCAGCTCCCTCCATTGTGTGCGTTGTCTGATCAACAGGATCCTGCACCTCGGGACGCCGATATGTCTGGTCAGCAAGAACCGGATGAAGCTGTAGAAGAGGACGAAGTCCCCTCACGTGAAGCAGATCGCCGGCCAGCTCGGAGGGGTCCGGGCGATCCTGTAGCAAAGGGGATGCGCAGGGCACATGTTGTCCAGACAATGAACGCAGTGAAGAAGAAGGTGAGGTGTCTCCGAGGTTGCTGGATAAATTCCCCACTGAATGAGACTACCCCTGATTCGCGGGGTTTGTTTTGCTTTGGAAGACAAATCCCTAGAGCCCATGCCATGAAGAGCATCAGAGCCCTGTACTTCATGACCATAATGCTCATTGTGCATCAGAATGCTATGTGCGAATAGGAGTATGCAACTTGCGAGACTCTCTGCATTTGCAGCCCTTGGGCAGAAGTATGTACATATTCGCTGATTAAGCAGACTAAGTTACCTCAGCAGACAACCAAACATCTCCTTCGGCATCCTCTCAACAAAGAGCAAATGTGTCCTTGTACACATAGACTGCACCTGTTTGAGCAGCGCCGATGGTAGACACATGCTGCCGCACAACCGGACAGATTGTAGATGACCGCTTCTCCTGCTGTCACCCAGCCCGCTTCCACGGGATCTGCCTCAGACCATGGAGCACTGCAAGTAGAGCAGCATCCATCTGTCCCAGGGATGAGGAGCCAGGATCCCTCAACAACCCGCGACGGGCTGCTTTCTGGAAAGAAGTCACCTAAAATGCACACAAAGGCATGGCAGTCTTCAACATGCAGTCACCTTAACAGTAGATTGTTGATGGCATGATCAGAGGCAAAATGATAAAGCATCAATAAGGCTGTGACATCCTGGAGGACAGCCACTTACTCGCTCCCATTGCACGTGCAGCTAGCTGCATGAAAGAAAAGTCGGGCGGCAGCCTTGTCTTGGAGATGGGAAGGTGAGTGGCATGTGCTGCCTGTTCCGAAGCCACTGACTCGGCGAGCAGATTGAGGCCTTCAAAGATTTCCCCAAGATCAGCATCCTCACCATCCCTCTCTTCCACCCAGCTCCGCACGTGATCGCAGTGTGCGCAGGTGATAGACTTGCACTGGAAACACCTCAGTTGCTTGTTGCTGGGTGCACCCACAAATGCTCTTGGAAGATTCGCCTCGGTCAGGGCCACAGACAGGAGGAAGTTTGGACCAGACTCCGGGTTCACAATGGAAACGGTGTCAAAGCTGTCCAAGACTACATTCAGATTTACTGCCCTGTAAATGGCCTCCTCTGGAAGATCATCGATGTTGCCGCTGGCATGGCTGGCATGGAGTACCTCCACAGCTTTGCTATGCAGGCAACGGCGCGCAGCTAGGTCCCACGCTGTGCACAAAGAGTAATTCAGGATCTGACCTGGAAGAAAAGCAAATGTGAGATGAAACACTGGGCAGATTGCAGTTTGAACCAGCTGACGTGGGCACTTACTCAGTTTTGGATTCCGCCTGCTGTCTAGACCGTCCAAAGTCTGTATCCCCGGCTGCATATCTGGGCAGTCACAGAGGTAGCTGTAATGGCGCTGATCACCAGCATGCTGCATTGGGAGGGCAAGCACATGCTGGGAGCCTTTTGCCTGCACACACACTCTCGGCACAGTAATGTGCGCATGCAGGCTGCCTCCATCACACTGCATGGAGCCTGGAGCAGATTCAATTGTAAAGACCCACCGAGATGCTGAGGCTGCCGTCAGGGCCCAGTAGCAGTCCAGCCACAGCATAACAGAAAGCTCCAGCCTCATTTTCTGCTACGATTGCGTATCTGCAGCTGCCAATTCTGAGCTGGCTGGTATAGTCAGAAAGTACATCTCTACCGGCTGAAGCAAGGCGTGTGGCTGCAACTGGGCTGACAGGACTGTTGACTGCTGGGGGATCATCTACTTCATGGTACTGGCTGCCTGAGCTTTCTTCTCTTGCATCAGTGCCAATGCCGGGTCTGGAAGTAGTGGGCCGTGCAACCTGCACCCTATTTGACCTAGGCCTTGCAGAGCTAGCTAGGGATGTATGCCTGAAACTAGTGAGTGTCCTCTCCTGAACTGGGCTCACAACTCCTGCTAAGGTGCTGGATCTTTTACAGCTTGTCAGATCAGCATTGCAGTGCGTACACTTCTTGCAAGCAACGGGAATTTCACGTGTGCAGGATCGACATGCCTTATACCCAGGCTTTGGCATACGCAAATAGTCCACGATAGATATACTTCAAATAAAATAGCACTTTTCTCATTACGCAATCGGGACCATTTCGTGGTCAATTGGGCGATGTATTGCCACAGCCGTGTAACTTCGGTTCAGGCCGGCATTGCCATCAAGTCTTAAGTTCGGGAGAGGTAAGACTGGAAACGGGCGATCTTCGCTCTCGAATACTTTACAAACACTCTAACAATGATATCGAAGCAATGGATGATGCAAATTCGCAAGTTTTGTGCGTTGCAGAATCCACATTCAATGCGGCTTGTCGCTAAGAAACAGGTGTCAGTTTCGCACATTTTCGCCAACATTATAACCGGGTATAACCCCAGTGACCTTAATCTCGTTGAGGGAGGACCCGAGGCAGATCTGCCTCTAGAAGCATTTTAAATTTTTCACGGCGAGCTTTTGTGCTATGAATAAGCCCGTTTATCAGTTCTCCATGCTTCGTCCACCGATGCTTCACAGGCAGCAGTAACATTGAATTTGAGTGTCTCTTATCTGCGCTGCCGCTGCCGGGCACATGCTTGGCATCCGGTAGCATAATGATAAATATCTCATTTTACATGCATCATGCTTTTAACCTTTGTGCCTGAGAGGATTCAATGATGACCTCAAATATCCCAGTGATCATAGCCCAGGCGCAGCAGCAACGGCCAGGTTCAACAGGTTCAAATAAATGTTCAATATTGAGCTCTGCTGATCCCTGCAAGGATGCCCTCAAGGCACAGCAGAAAGCACAACATCATGTTCATGATCATGACGATTGATGTGTTTGCTAAATTCACAAGTGCCATAGCCAAGGTCATCCACATGAGGTGAGTGCACCTGTATCTCTCATCATTCCCATTTTTTCAACAGAATGCCCTTGCTTGAGCCTGGGCATAAAGCAGCAATGAACATTGTCAGCGGCACTGCGATCAGGGCAAATCTACCAGAGGGGCACATCTAGGATAATATTTTCATCTGAGAAGCCTCTTGTAGATGCCTTACATTTGGATGGAACCCCTGTTTACCACCAAGCAATCTAAAAGATGCATGGAGATATGACATCCGACCATGCAGATCATGTGGGTGCAGCCATCTCCAAATGTCACCGCCTCAAATCTACTGAGATGCCTTCTTCGCGACTCTGCAGCTTGAAATGCAGAAGCAGCAGGAGGTACGCCATCACCAGTATTATGATCAGGGCGATCAACCAAGGCAGCCACTCGCGCAACATGTCAAAGGTGTACATTGAGGCTGCTGTACCCATCAATAAGCCCATTGCTGAAAAGAAGCGGTCTCGCTCTGCCTCTGCAGCACAATAGCACACTCTTGACTGATTTCACATGATACGGCAAGAACTTCACATGCTTCACCGCAGCGTGACAGTTTCCTGCTTGTCACGTCAAGAACAGAAAGGACCACTACTTGCAATCCAGTATGACCGCTGCTGAGCACGCTAAGCACTGTCTCATATGTGCACTGGTGTGCAGATGCTGCACTCAGCGGCCAGTACGTACACATGCATGGTAGCTTCTTAGATGAGTGGCACATATTCAGCACAGAGTCTGTGAGGCCTGAATGGGAGACCTTACCAAGGGGTGCGAAGAGCGCTTTGAGATCATGCTCAAGCAAGCGCCTCTCCTGCTCCTGACCGTAAGTTTCCAGCCTCTGTGTAACTGTTCGAAACCAGAACGGCACAACACCCCGTATCCATAGGTGTCCTGTGGGCTTCCATTCTGCAGCAGGCAAACAGAAAGAGCCCATTCACCATATTGTTGCAGCTATTTAAAGAGACCTACCCTCAGAGGCAACAGCAGTTCTGCAGCTATGTTCCAGATCTGCAGAAGAAGGCAACAGAGAGCGTCGCACCGGGTGGTTCTGGCGCCGCAATCTTCAGGATATCAGCACATTCCTTGTGGGGCAGTGAGAAGAGCGCTTTCAGGCTATTCTTGTTATTCTGTGGGTGGCTCAGGCCGATGACGATACAAGCCTTTTCCGCAACGCTAAACTCGTCGTCTAAGAAGCCTCTTTCAAAGCAGCGGATGATGTAGGCTGGGATATCCTCAACACTTGTCAACTCGTCATCAGAGCTCTCCGTCATGACCTCTTTTCCCTGGGAATGCATAAGCACAGTCACTATTGCTGCTTGTGTTTGGAGTTCTATTATTTTCTTGCTTGTGTTGTGGTGGAGAAACAATAGAGACAGTGAGAGACAAAAGGACCCTCGGTGACATGAACCTGTCACCAATCACCCTGTAGATGACGACGAGAAGCTGTCGATTGAAGAAGCTATCGACAGAAGGGCTCCAAAGTATTTCCTCACCAACGTCGCGCATAAGTAATCAAGAGACGGTGGCACGGCGATACACACTGAAAACCAGGAGATCAGTGCGTTATAAAGTGCAGAAATTCATCTCCTACAGACGGATCGCTCCTGATCGTGACAAAGTGCTATTCGCGGTGACGTCAGTCCTTTGTGAACACAATCAGAAGGCCTTACCTGTGTTCTAAAGCACGCTACTGTCTACAGCCCTGAGGCCCCTCAGAAGGCATCTACACTGCTGTTAATACCAAGTGCTGCTTCACGCAAACCATTCCTCAACTATTTGCAGCATCCGCAATGAACCTATGTCTTGATATAGCATGCCTCATTAGGCTCCCTGTCAGGCATGCAAAGGTCTCCATGAATTCAATGCAAAATTGGCAGGCCATTGACCTCTGACAGGGCTTCTGAACGATCCTTTGCCCTTTCCAGGGCAGGGGCAGCAGCTGGCCACTTCCTTGGCTTGCTTCTCACTTCGTCCAATTGCAACCAGTCCTTTGCTCAGCAGGCTGTTGTCGCATGCACAACTCATAGCATGATGGACATGTTGCCCTGTCCATTTGAATATTGTCACAATGCATGCGCAAGCTTACAGCCAGTTCTCACAGAGTTCTCAAAGATCATACAGGACTCTGGGCTTTGCGCTGGGAATTAGAAGGTTGAGCTTTTGTATTTACATGAACCCACTGGCACTGCCAGAGACACAACATGAGCCCTTCAGCGCAATGCCCCAGCACATCCAATGTCCATTCTGTCAGCTTGGCTGGGACCTGCATAGCTCCGGAATTGATACAATCATACTCCCAGGGCCTTAAGCGCCAATTAAAACGATTCGGCTGCTGGTCCTCAAACATGGACAGCTTTAGGGCTTCAGGTACGAATGCATGGATTTGTCTTTGCAACGTCATCAGATGGCCACAACCTCATGTAGCGCCGCTTGACGCTCTTTTTGTGCTCAGGAGATCACAGTCCTCTAGCGCTGCACGTACACGCTTCTCAGATACCAGAGATGACTCAGCCTGGCCGGGCCAATAGTAGCAGCGCCCATATGGCAGCAATCCATCTGAAAGCGCCAGGAAAGAATAGACATGCCTCGGCAACAATGCCAGCCAGAATCGCTTGTGTGAAGTAAAACTTGTTGCGCTCCCGGTCTGCAGCAGCACAACCAGCATTATTATGTTCATTTGGAAGGGGAAGCTAATCTCGAGCCACGCCTGACAAGCATGGCAATTTCTGCCCTACTAAGCAAATGGTGCCTGGCTTGGGGCCACATCTACAACACTGAGCCTGTGCAGGGGCTACGACTTCTGTCTGAAGAGCAGTAAAGAAAGAAAGTGACTCTTACAATTTCTCAGGTTGCGCTTGATCACCTGCTGCTGCCATCAGCGCCCTGACCTCGGCCGTGTTCAGGTGACCCTGGTCTTCCGTTGGGGTGTCACCTTCCAGTTGGAAGAGCTCGAGCCAAAATTCAAGGTCATGCCCAAAGAATCAGGGCATGGCCAGAACAACCTGTATGTATCCGACGGGCTTCATGGTCTCGTCTGCAAATCAGAAGCAATCTTGTCAGCTGGCAATTATGCTTGCATCCTCCCCTTGAGGAAGCACTGCGCTATCATCAGCTGCGGTTAATGCAAATATATGGGCATCGAAGTGTAACTGATGTAGAGTGCAACAGATGTAAGCAACAACCTTGAAGCTGGATTCTGGGCAACTCCGCACCTGATTGGTGAGCAAGGGCGCCCCTCAAATCAGGGCAACGGTGGCCTCGCTTCCACTTGACATGACACAGGCAATGACAGACTTATCCAGGACGCTGAAAGTGTTATCTGGAAAGGCAGACTCAAGGTAGTGAAAGATCCGAGTGAATCTTGAGGGTGATGCCCCAGTATCCTCGCCTGGTGCCCTGCATATGAGAATCCAAATGGGAGAGCAGAAGACTTTGCATTTTACAGCCAGTGGCTTATGCAAAGTCCAGGTTCAGACACCGGCTTGGAACAAGCAGGCACTGAGAGCCTAAGAGCAAACTGATGTTGTGTTTGATGACTGTGATCCTACCATGATCATGGACACCTCTTGGTCTTCGAACATCCAGAAGCTTGCCGGAGGGTTCCCAAGCAGGCCCTGCCTGTTGTCCAAGGTGCAAAACACTCAAATCTGTCCTCCTTCCTTGACTGAATAGCAACTTACGAACAAAGATCGAATTGCGTTGGTAGCATCAGCGTTGCCACTCTGCAACAAGGACTCCAAAGCTCGCGATGACGGGTTCAATGTTACTGTTTCAACTTCTTCTTCGATTTATCCAAGATTCAGTGACTGACCTGTTCAAAACTTCAAAGTCTTATTGCGCAACCATATTGCAACCAATTGGGGTGCTGTCGTCGTGTGGCTTTATTCCTTCACGTTCAACAGCTTCAAGAGTTCGGTACGTGCGATATTGGCATCAAAAGTACCTCTTGACGCCCAAGGAACCATCTGACATTGCATCCTATCTAGGCACTACGTAAACGTCTCAGGCATGCAGAGAGGGAGAAGATTGGGTGCAAAATAGAGAGCCTGATGGTGTGCATGGGTACAAAGATCACACCTGTCTTGAAATACCAGTGACTTTTCCTTTTCGTGCCATCTTATGTGTGATGTGACAATGCCACTGCAGATTAATGACTTCAAGATCTGCTGCAGCAGCTGCCCTTAAGGAACCCTCAATATTTGCCCACGTGGGCAGATCTGTAGACATCTGCTTTTTAAAGCTTTAAAGTATGCAGAGACCTGAATGTGCTGAAGGACAGATCTTGCTGGGCTTCTCTTTCCTGGAAGCCAAGAAATTTGAAAGAACGACCTTGCACAAGGTGTGCTGTTGGGCACAAAATTAAAATTCATTGTGAACTTAAGTACATTCGTTAGATTGGTCATGTGGATCACTGTCTTGCATCAGCAGGGCGCAGCATCTTCTGCTGCTAGCCAATTTTCCTAGGTAAAAGTACATGCCATTTTGGCCGAGACACACTCGCGCACAGAAACCCAGGACATCGGGCAGATTTGCAGCCCGCCCCACAACCCTGGATCCCTCCTGAAACCTTGAACGCAAGTGTCATTACAATTGTGTGTCAAACCATGCATACTTATTGTTTGTTTCACCCTGTAACTAATGGCAGCTCCTGCTGAGCTCCTCCACCATTCTGAGCAAATCTTCTGAGGTGACTCCCTCGCCCATTTCGCGTGCCACGCGCTCCATGGAGTCCCGCTTGAGGTCCAGGAACTGCTCTATGAGGTCGCCGTCCACAAAGTTCTGACTGGGCATCTTGGTGTGCTCGTCCTGGAATGTGCGCCAGGCCACGTGGCTCAAGCCGCCCACCCCCTTTATCACCTTCCTCAGGCAATCCTGCACAGCATATCCACTGGCTGTCAGCACCTTTGGCATGTTAGCAATAGGGTCCAGCGTCGCGCTTCAAAGCCAATATCGGGGATGTCCTGCTAAATCTGTACCCTAACAAAGCTTCCAATATGGCAGGATCTTGACCTGCACACTGCAGATACCCACTGGCTGAAAGTCATCGATGCCATCTACAGTTGCTTGCCCAGGGATGAGCTTGAGCCTGACAAATGCGCACACACATCAGCAAGGGCCAGCCCATTGAGACTTCGATCACAGGTCCCAAGGGGCTGATTTTGCAGTAATCTTCAGGGGGGGCAGCCATGGCAGCGCACCTGTAGCCTGCTGAGGAACTGGAACTGCTGCTGGGGCAGGGAGGCTATGACGCCGATGGAGCCGTTGATGGTGACGAAGAGGACGGTGGGGATCTTGGCCGCCTCGCTGTCCGGCAGCTTCATGACCAGCGAGCCGTGCCGGAAGCGGTTCACAAACACTCCCAGGTGGTACTGCCCAACCGTCTGCACACACAAAAGCTCAGTAAAGGCCTCAGCAGAACAAGCCTCATGAGTGTCCGTGCAAGCGAACGTCCATGTTTGTATCAATGGCCTGATCATGCCTGATCAAGCATGCATAATCCCTACGACACAGCAGCTAGCCCGCTACCGGAACCTTCTGGAAGGAGCTCTCAATCATGAAGCAGTCAACTTTGCTGGGCAGATTCGTCCAGCAGGCATTGGACGGACCACCCAATAGAGATTCAAGAGACACACCCAGCTTAGGCGCTTCATGATGCTAGACACTGCCCGAATGTGGGAGGTGAGCGCCAAGCCATGCAAGGCAACAGAAGCGCACCTCAAGGCGGTTGCGGTCCTCGTCGGCGGCTGCGTCGGTGTTTTTGCGCAGCGTGAAGATGTTGTTGGAGTTCTCTGCGCCCAGGTAGGTGTCGTCGTCGAGCACCTCCACGGCCGTCATCCAGTGCGTCTTGTAGTCGCGCGCGCGCACCTCCAAAATCCCCTCGTCCGCCCGGTATATCAGCAGCTGCAAGCTCCGCATCAGGTCGCCTGCCCACACATCTCTTGGACTCAGCACCTCACATTACTGGGCACCTGGTGCCTGTGCTTGTCCTGATCCTCTTGCACCATCTCTCTAGCACGTGCCCCTGCAGGGAGGTCGGCCTCTGCATGTGAGGGGCCATCCGAGCCTGTCTTGCAACGATTCCCAACTCTGCGCTTTTACATCACCAACTCTAGCAGGTGTGCCTGTGGTTGTACTGGTGCAAATGCAGGCCCCATCTCTCTAGCACGGGCGCCTGGAAATGTCATCTCCAGATGTCCCATGTGCGGGGTCCTCCAAGCCTCCTGCTACTGTGCTCGTGAGGCAATAGCACAGAGTGCAGGAACTCGCCCTGTGCTTGCCATGCAGGTTGGAGCAGCAAGCACAGCAAGACTGCATGCTCTGCGTAAGAGACAAAAAACCGGCCAAGTGAAGCGCACCAACGATCACAAAGTCGCCGCGGGTGACGATGTAGAGGGCGAGCACGTGGCCGACATGGCTGCACTCGTTGGTGAGCTCCCTGGAGCCATCCTCTGACTGTGTCCACTTGAACAGCTGCACGCGACTGTTGATGCCTGCAATCAACTTCCCCTGTACCCATGCCCATCTTGCAGCCTCAGTTGCACGCCATTAAGCTTGCAGGGCACAATATGTGTCTCTGTCTCGAACTCCTTTTGTCAGCAGCCTGACAGATGAGAGGAAAGTGTATAACATGCTGATTACAGGCACGCTTTGAGGCAATGACCATTGTAGACATGGGACAGCTGACCTGGAAGGGGTGAAGGTTGTACGCAGCACCCTTGACCTCCTTTTCGCACACCAGGCTCAGCTTGCCGCCCTTGGCGCCAAACACAAGTATTCTCCCCTGCAGCCACCACCCCTCACATTACTTCCTCCACACATTATGGCATTAGAGCATGATGCATGCTAATGCTTATTTACTAGAAGGGCATCACAAGGCACCTTGGGTTCCACCCAGCAATGTGTCAAACACTCATGGGACGCATTTTGACATTCACTCATCATTCTTGAGAGACGAAGATGACAACGAGGACACCTTTGCATCTTGCAGCTGTTCTTGCCATCCCTCCTGGCAAAGAACTACTAGAGGCAGCGCACCTTGGTGGGCTCAGGCTCCTCGGCGACTGTGATGGCTGTGCCGACCACGTAGTAGGGGCAGGGGTCGTCCGAGAATGACATGGATGCAGCCGCGCAACAGACCTCGTTGGTCTCCAGCCCAAAGCGGTCCAGCGTCTCGAATGTCTGGTCGTCCAGCAGCCGAACGCTGTCTGGGCCTGCATCGTCCATGCCTGCTCGCGTGCCACACAGGAAGTCAAATGAGGCTGTCATAATTGCCGCGGGAGCAATCTCAGCATCAGCACTCCAATATTTTCCCGAGCCCTGACAAAGTTTTGAAAAGAAGATTGTACACAGCATGCGCAGTGCTCTAGGGGCTATAATGTAATAAGCCTTCCTGACATGACATGTAATAAGCCTTCCTGACATGACATGCTGAAAAAGGATCACAAATAGATAATGGTTGTCAAAGGAGCTGCGGCGGCCTGGGCAGGAAAGAGGGAACCCACCAGTGGCGCCGTTGTTGGGGGAGGTGAGGACGAGGAAGGAGCGCGAGGCTTCCTGATGCGCCAGGCGGCGCGGCTGCTCGCCGAGGGGCACGGTGCGGATGTGGAGCTTCTGGATCTGGTCGATGCTGCCGATGGTCATGGCGCCCTCCTTGGCCAGCGCCAGGCTGTCCGGGAAGCTGCTGCTGTTGAAGCTCGTCATGAAGTTCACCTGCGCGCCACAGATCCTTGCTGCCTGGGGCTCCCTTATACTCTCCCTTCACAAAGCATCCTGCAAACACCATCAGATTACCCACGCCTGGCAGGCAATCCTGGATGTTCCTGACATGCATGAGACCGAAGAGAGGCATTCTGCTCATTAATAATGAGGATAAATCAATTCTCTATTATTTTTGCATTGAAGCTCATTAGCACTCATGCTGCACAGTACCAAGAAAGCGCACCTCGTTCTCATTGACGTTGGAGTAGAGGAGCTTCTTGTTGGCGGAGTAGATGACGGTGGGACGGTCGGAGGCGGCGAAGACGTGGGACTGGCCGTTGGAGCGGAAGCTGCGCAGCATGATGGGCTTGGTGCCCAGGCAGATCTTCTTGCGGTCGGCCAGCGCGCCCGTCGCCTCGTCCACGTGGAAGTTGTACAGCTGCCCGTCGCCCATCGCGCACAGCAGGTAGGGCACGCCCTCAAACGCTGCGCGCATCAGGTAATCTCAAAAAATGTCTCGTACATGTGGTCCATTGGCCCTTGTATAGCTTGGTTCATTCCTTCAAAAAAGAACTTAAGCATCTGCTCCCCCAGATATTGCTCCTCTCCTCTGCTCCTCCACTCTCTCCCAACAAATTGCCATTTAGATCTGTATTGCATTGGGGCACTTGATGTTGCTGAGCACTCAAGAATAGCACAATTCCCCTGCCTTGCAAGGCGCATGCACAGTGATCAGCCATGCTTGTGGGAAGTGCAGGTCTTCTTGGCTCACCTGCAAAGAGCACGGATCGGGGAATGATTTCTCCGCCCAGGGGCTCTGACACCAGCGGGGCCATGGCTGGCAGGGAGAAGATGTGCACGCGCATGTCCCACGTGCCCACAGCCAGCAGCGAGGCCGCCTCGCCGTCTTCCGACAGGGGAGATATGTCGACGCATGCCACCTCAGCGTCCAGCTTCACGTGCCCCTTCTGCTCGATGCCGCTCTCTCCCAGCTCTAGATACACCAGATTGCCCTCCCCAGTCGCCACCACCGCCTGTGGGACCATCATGCGTGTGTCGGCTTACTGCATGCAGACTTCATCTTACCCATCTTACTTGTCCAGAACAACATAGAATATCCACCTTGCATCTAAGTAATTGGCTACCCTCCGGCGATGTTTGTGTGCAGCAAGCAACGTGCAATGTTCACCATCCAGCTTAAGCACTTGCCTGCAAGCATTTCAAGCGCCTGCCTTCGGCTTGGCGAGGGCAGGTTCAGGCTGTGGTTGCAAGCAAGGGTATGAGCTGCAATGAGGATCAAGGTCAGGCAGAAGGCAAGGATCAAGGTCAGGTTCTTTAAGTAGACTGCGTCAAGATCGAAGACAGAACGTGTGCAGTGGAGGGGCTTGCCTGGGTGGGGCTGACGGAGGCGACGTTGATGTTGAGGCCTGCGGGCGGGCGCCACTGGTGGGTGAGCTGGCGCGTGCTGGCGTCCACCAGCCGCACGTCTGCGCCCGCCACTTGCACCAGGTGGTCGCTCACCGTGTTGCCGCAGCACAGCGTCTGCGCAGCGCAGAGTGATCAAATTTCATGTGCAACCCTTGGTCAAAGGCAGAACAGTTGCTGCAAGAGGACCCACAGCAGCACCATGCTGATGCTGATGCGCTTCCTTTCAAGCCCGCTGTTTTTGCTCTCCATGCCATGCATCATTTATGAGAAACCATGACCCTCCAGAGGAGCCACACCATACCCTAGGCTTAAATGCACAGGAGTGCGGAGCTTCACTGTCATCTTGCAGAATCCTTCATGCCACATGGACATGGTCTAGTCAGTCAGCAAATTGTCCATCAATGCATGATTCAGCACATAGACAAGCACATGTTTAATCCTTGGCAGAACAGTCAGCTCACCTGCGCGTCAGCGCTGAAGCCAGGCAGCTCGGCTTCGTCCAGCTCATCGTCTGCATTGATAGCGAGTATGCGGGTCTCGCCCACAAAGGAGATGACGAGGAAGGTGTCAAAGGCGTCCATGTGGGAGGCTCGCAGCGCCCACATGCCCTTGATGCCCGGCAGCTCCACCGTCGCCTGCTCTATCATGCCAATACCATTGCGCACAATGCGCAGCGACCCGTCCGCCATGATTCCCGAGCACATCACCACCTGCAGCCGCAGTATCACTCATCACGAGACAGCCCATTAGTGCGCGTGCTGAGCCTAAAATAGCTTAGAATTCCTCAAGTCTTGAGCTGGACTCTTTAGAGCATGAAGCTGGATGAACCAGCAGCAACAGAGATTATTTATGGGATCCTTCATAGACACCACAGCGGCGGAAAGCTGAGGGTTGCAGGTGGCACGAAGATGCACTCACCTGCCCCTGCCCTTGGCGCTCAAGGTCCACAACAACAAAGTCGATGATGGGCCCCAGGTTGGTCATCGTCTCCAGCACCTCCACAAAGTTGCTGGGCTCCTGCGGCGTCACCGGCGTCGGGTGCAGCCGCACCTGCAGTGCCAGTCAGCCATTCACACCAGTGGCTATGTCCACATCTAAGCGCAGCCTCATACTTCCAGGACATCCTGCAACATCTCACATTTTGCTAAAGAGACACCCTGAATCTTTGCCAGCAAGATCGTGCACAGAGATTTCCTCTACAAGCTCTGCTCAGAGCTGTACAAGACGTGGTGAGGATTTGAATGGGAATATACATGTGCATCACGTTGTCTTTCCTCTTCACATTTGGCCCCTCCAGACCTGGACCATCTTGACAAAGCCAGGCAGCGCACCAGCTGGGAGTCGCCACCAGAGGAGCCCACAAAGACGACGCCATTGTCGAGGTAAGTGAGTGTGGAGGGCGCGGAGGTGCGCCCCAGTGGTTCCACCTTGAGCCCTGCCACATGCTCCCCATCATGCTGCAGCACGAGCAGGTACAGGTTGCCCACATAGTCTCCCAGGAGGTAGCGCGAGCCGTCCTCGTCCACCCTGCCATGCGCCTGCTCCCAGCCAAGGACATGCCTCTCAGACCTTGCTTGATGGTACTGGTCAATTGATCATGGTCCAGAGTGTCAGCAGAGAGACAACCGCTGCATGCTCAAAAGGATGCCTTCCTTCTAGCTTGCTTCTGGGCGCAGCTCAATTGTGGTTCTTGGAGTCGGACGATTGCATGTCAGCAGAGCAGGAGCGCACCCGGATGATGGTGGCCTTGATGGGCGTGCATTTCATGGCCTGCCCCTGGCCCATGTAAGCAATGACTGACTCGCCCACCACGAGTGCACCCCCCAGCGGCTCCGGCACTGCTATCACCCGGCTCGCCCCTGCATCCAGGTTGCTCTGCCTCCACGGACCCTCCGTCAGATCCTGCAAGCATAGCCATCAGGAACTGATAAAGCACCAGAGACAACGTAGTCTTTTTGATCTTGAAAGCTTCTTTGTAGACGAGCAGAAATCCTAAAAAATTGCTGGCATTGACTGACGAGACTGATAAGGTTAGATCTAATGTCAATGATCCTTGATGCAAATTGCTGCCCTAATAACAGGCAGAGGCCGTACCTTCTCCTTCAGGACAACCTCGTAGGTCTTGATGTGGCGGGCATCTTTGTTGTCCTGGTACAATACCGCGATGGTGGGCTTGGCGCAGCCCTCCAGGAAGATCATGTCGATCACATTAAGCTCGTCGATGCGCATGTTGAATGCCTCGTGCAGCTGCCCCTTGTCATCAATTGGGATGACCTGCACAGAGCATTGAATAGCCTGATGCACTTCCCTATTCAGCCGAGGCTCTCTGTCGATAGCGCATGATGAAGAAGACCCTTGATGATGGTATGCCAGCTGTACTTCGTCATGAAAAGCACAGTGGTGCACATGTGAGAAAAGAAAGGCCGGCAGGCTGTGCGCACCTTGAAGAGGCCATCATAGAGGTGTAGGCCAATCATCCGACAGCCAGGGTCAACAATGCCGATCTGGCCATTGTCACACGGCCTTCCCACCTGGTCCTCGATGTCCCCATTGGCCCTTGTGACCAGCTCCCCTGCCACACGCCCCCAAAGGAAGAATCGGAACCTATGATGAAGGCATGCTCTAACGCACAGAGCATGGCGATCGACACTGAGGTGGTTGGAGGAGAGGCCAAGCCCCCCTAGTGAGCATGACTGGCACTCTAGAGATCTATTCATACGGAGATCAGTTGCTTCGCGAAAGCTGACCTGTCTCAGAATCATACTCCAAGACGCAGAATTTGTATCGCTCTGTAGACAGGAAGAGCAGGTCTTTGCTCTCGCCCTGCGTGAGCCACAAAGCAACTTAGAAGGGCCAAATACGTTTCAATAAGTATGACATGGCGTCGCTTTCTTAGCATTGAACATGCTAAATTGCCTCACCACAGGCCTGAAGAGCTCCATTGTGGCAACGCGTCCATAGATGGCCACATCAGCAACACCCTGAAGAGCCAAGGCGTCACACCAGATTTTTCAGAAGATGGCTGATCAGGTCTTTGCAAGTTTCTTGTGCAACAAATCTGAAATCAATGAAGCAGCCCACGATCGCGATCCGAACCTTCAAGCCCTCTGGAGTCAAAGTATGTATCTCGATCCGTGTGCATTTCCTGTACCAGAAGCGAAAAGAATCAAGATCAAAGCCAAGGCAAGATCAGAAGTCGTCATTATGAATGCTCAAATGAATCTTACGATATGATCAGATTTATATCGGTAGGAGACGTGAAATTCCCGACGATGGACTGGGTGACGCTTGTGGGCTTGTGTGCTGTCACAACATAATTGAAGGCACAGCCCTGCTGCGATGCCATGGCCCAAAAGCAGCCTACTTCACCATCTGAACATCTCGGTTTTGCAAAATTTGTTGGTTCGTGTTCATGCATGCTTGCAGGACACGACAGCCACGTTGGTTGACCCAAACCTTGACCTCAATGTACCCATTTGATGTTCACGAATCATAATGCCATTTCTTCTCTAGACCTCTGTGTTGATTATTTTGCGGATAGTACAGATCGTTGTTAGAAAGAACTGTATTAGGGAACGCAGCGGGAACGTCTCGATAGAACCAGCATTCCAATCAGACTCTTGTACTGTTTATGGAACCAGAACAACCTCCTCTGGGGCGCAATTTCGCAATGGCATACGCACGAAGGTAAGTGAAAAGTAAGGTGAGCGATGCGCGGATGCAGCAATGTGAAATATCTCAGCTAAAGACATTTTTTCCTTGTGTTTGCAGCACATCTGTGGGCAGCAAGGCGTCCAGTCCTGTGCAGACGAGAGCATGGGAAGATTGCAGGAGAGAGGTGTGTTCTGCATGTACTATTCCCCGAGCTAACACTGCTGCATGCAAGATTTAGGGTCCAACGTAGTGATTGATGATCATATGTATGAGGGCCTGTCAATCCCTTCCAATCTGCGAGCTGGGTCTTCAATTGATATACTAGAGTCTTCTTAAAAATGTTCTCAATCCTTTTCAAGGCCCCCTGGGCTAAGTGTTGGCCATGAACTGACACCTTGACTATCCCCCTTTTGCAGGCCAGACAGATAGAGAGCGACTTGGAGGCCAAGATCAGCGCGTTTGCCAAATTTTGCTCTGGCTACGAGGGGTCATACAGAAGCAAGGGAGAGACCGGCCTTGCTACTGACCAAGTAAGTCCTCTTAATCTTTGGGGCTCGATCTACACTGTGTTGCCGGAACACCTACCTGTTGGATAGTCTTAAGACTGATGGAGATATGTTTCCTGTAGTTGGCACATTCCAAAGCAATAGAGATAGAGGATCTTTTGGGGAGGCTGTCGGATGTGAATGACAGCCTCAGCAGCAGCCTTAGCGGTGCCGCTGACTCCAGGTCACACACGCTGGCTCGCCACAGGGACATCTTGCACGACTACACTCAGGTACACAGAGCACATGTGGGCTGTCAGCATCATGGCAACTCGTCTTGATAACTAAACCAAACGATGCTGTATATTGGCAGCCTGCACAGCCCAACCCAAACCTGTTCACAGGAAGTTCATGTTTTGCCTGAAGGGTTTGGGCTTCTGATGTTGCAGGAGTTCCGACGGCTACAATTAGCTCTGGGTGCTGCCAGAGATAGGGCAGACCTCTTGGCAGGCACCAGCGACAGCTCGCCTCTACAGGTGAGCATCCAGATGTTTCTGTGCCGCAACCAAGCCACAGTCTGTGTTGACACTGCCGCAAAGCCAGATGAAGCAGTGTTTCCTTTTGCAAAACTCCATGATGGCATTCTTTCTGGCTGCAGGCCTCCAGCGCCACAGGGCTGCTCTTGAGAGAGCGGGGAAATCTGCAGAACACCCACTCTGCGGTGCACCTCCCCTCCAACCATTGTCACTGGGCAACCCTGCTGATCGTACATGCCCATTTATTGCCCTGCCATGTCCTCCTTTGCAACGCTGAGAATGATCTTGGATCACACAAGTATTATTGAGGATCAGTAATTGGTGTTGTGATGTGTGCCAGATGGACGACGTGCTGGGTCAGGCGCAAGCTGTGGCGGGTGGTTTGGGAGAGCAACGGCGCATCTTTGACAACGTCGGCCTGAAGCTGGAAAACGTGGTTGCCAGGTTCCCCCTGGTCAGCGGCCTCCTGAGCGCAATTCGAAGAAAAAAAAACAAGGTGAGTGCAAGGACAGTACTCAATACTCTGGCTTTGCACGTGAGGGTCTCTTGGGCAAATCAATCGCTGCACATGCTTGAAATCGGCCCCTCCAGCTGGTGAATTGATCTGCCAAGACAGGAATTTCTTGATTGGGGATTGCTCTTCTGCTCCTATTGTGCATCAGGACAGGAGCATATTGTGAAGGTATTGTGTGACCAACACGGATGTTTCCTGCCGCAGGACACTATCATCCTTTCGGCAGTGGTGATTGCCTGCTCACTGGCCCTACTTCTTTACTGGTGGAACAAGTAATACTGCGGCTTTCTTGGCTAGCTGAAAAACTGTCAGACTCAATGAAATGTGAGGAAGGAGTGTACAAATATGGCATACTGTGCAGCTGAAAGAGTCAACAGCTGTTTTTTAGTGCACACGTGGTGCTTGCAGTCCGCAAGATTGAACTTTGACAATATAGTTGCTCAGCTTATATCTGTAGAGAAGGTTATTGCTCAACATGCGATGCTCGTACCTTTTGAACATTACCAGGCATGCATGACTCATCCAGAATAGGTACTGTAAAACGGTGTTGCCTCGACCTCAGAGGCAGCAGCACGTCAATAATGCCCATCACTGTATACATTACGTGAACAATATCAAAGTATTCAGGGCTGGCCTCTGAATTTGTAATGGTTGTAATCCTGTAGTCAAACTTGCATGCATGGAATGGATAATCAGATCACACAGCAGAGCTCTCAATGTATTGAATTTTAAAGCCGCCTTTGTCAGGCCAAGGTGACCTCATAAGCATCTCTCGGGCACCGGCGTTCTGTCTTTGAGCTCATTTCATGAGGGCTGTCAACTTTCCTGCCGCAAGCTTTCCAACACCTCCAATCCCTCCAAAGCATTGTAATGTTTGCAATACAGTCAACTCATCATCTACTGGCACAGCGCACTCAACCTAAAGACTCTTTCACAGCTCCTGCAGCCTGGCCAGGCGCTCAGAGAAGTCCTGCCACCCCTCCGGCCGGCTCGCCGTCAGCTGCGGCCCGGCAGGCAGCATGTCAAACTGCTCCCCGCGGTTGAACAGATCCTTCCCAGTCTTTATGCACTCGGCAATGTGCTCCGCCCCCTTGAACTCTGGCAGGTTCAGCTCCTTGTGCGAAAAGCTCTCGATCTTGCGCGCCAGGTCAGCGATGCTCATGTAATAACTCAGATGCCAGCCGGCGTCGTGGCGCAAGTGGTACCGCGAATTTTCAAGCCTGTAATCGTCGAGGGACTTCTTTGCAAGGCCCACGTCGCTGACAGCAAAGGCATGGTACCACTGGTATTGCGCAGTCCAATTGAAATTGTAGTAGGAAAACTCCAGCTCGAAATAGAGCGCGATGTGGGCGTGCTCGTAGCGGAAGGAGCGCAGCTCTTCCACCACTTCCCTCTTGGGGATCTCGTCCACGTCACAGGCCAGCACGACGTATTTCTGCCCCGCGTATTTCCCCTTGATATATCCCTCCGCAAAATTGCGCTGGTAGGTCTCCCGAAACCACACGCTCAGGTCGGTCATCCAGGTATTCTGGGCTTTGCTGTCCAGCCATGCCTGATCAGGCTCGGGGTACTCGTCAATGACTAAAAACTTCAGCTTGGGCAGGTACGGCCTGAAGAGCTCCGCGTCCCGCTCTATGAACAGCTGCGGCTTTTTGAGCCCCGAGAATGTCATGCGGCTCTCCACCACTATTATCTCATCCACGTGGTCATACAGGTACTGCAGCCGCAGCGCCGCGATCATCTCCCCGTTGTAGATGAAGCAGTCCAGGATTTGCACGCCGCTCAATTTGGTGCTGAAGGGAGTGGCTGCGGCTGACTGTGCTGACTCAGCGGACCCCCGGTCCTGCCCCCCTCTCCTGCCCAGGTTCATGTCCTGCAGATGGCATGCCAGAAGTTGGTTTAGTTGGTCACTCTTGCTGGGACCTTTTCAGCATTTCTGATGGAAACACCAGTGGTGAAGGCACGAGACTGACATCCATGCGCCAGGGTCTCCTGGGAAGGGGCAGGCATCTACAGGCTGACATGCGCGACAGTGCAGGAAGGCAGCAGGACTTGTCACGGGCGAGGTGAGAGAGCAGCGATGCGTCACCGTGATGTCATGATATACGTTGGTGGCCAACGACATGAAAGATGTGTCAGGTGACACATTCACGCTCTCTTCCCCGCCAAAGACATGATCACCTACAGTACAGACTTGGGCTGTGCAATGCCGCCGCGAATGCATTTCTTGAAATCCCTCTCTCTTGGGGAGCAGTACAAAGAAAACAAGCAAGCGTGTTACCTGTCTGTATCCTCCAGGACATAAAGACATAGACTACGAACAGCAGCCCTGCTGAGCCATAGGCTGCCCGGCGAAGATATGGCAGCACAGCCATAGAGAATTCTAAATTGGAGAGGTTTCTGGCTGACACCTCTCCAAAATATTTTTCCTGTCTTGCAAATTCCAAGGCAACAAATCAGTCACCGTCCTGGTTACTGTTGCTCTTTGTGCTCTTGGCCATCGCACAAGGTCTTTTGGGAGCTAAGATGCCATCTTTTGTCATTGATGAAGCAACACCCACATGTGGAATGCAAGGGCGCTCTGCTGTTGGTGTTGGCCATCGCACAGGGTATTTTGGGAGCTACAATGCCATCTTTTGTCATTGATGAAGCAGCACCCGCATGTGGAATACTTGCATAGATTTCTATGTGGCGTTGCTCTTCACAGAGCAACTACACCCTTCGATGCCAAACACATCTTGAAATATAAGTTTAGTGATTTTGTTCCTTTTGTCGTAAACTCCCTCAGATTTAATCGAGGTGGATATCAGATCCTAGTATATATTGAAAAGGATGGTTACAGAATGTACTGATCTTGTGAGAAACCTTCACTGAACAAGCGAGCTTCATCGTGCTGACGTCACGAGTAGGTTCGAATTCGAGGGGGGCATGGCAAAATACTGAAGGAGTCTGAAAGATAGGAGTACGGTGAAGTAATGAGTTGTGTCTGCATCTCCTTACTGCAAGCTTTTTGTGTGTGAACAAGCTGATCAGTGCATGTTGAGCGTATACATGTTTGCGTAGCATGATGCCAGCTGCAGCTGCTGCAGTCCATACCATGGCCCATCCGGGATAGCTACCGCGGTACGGCCGTAGCGCTGTAATCACATGACAGCGCTGATCAAAGGGCCATCATGGTCATGAGGACCAGAGCAGCGTCAGATCCACACACCCAGAGCCCTAAATGGCTTACATACGTTGGCTTACAAACAACTTGCAGTTGTGCAAGCTGCTTGGCACTACGTATACGGAGCTACATAGATATATATATATATATATCTCACGAGCGAGCTCAAGATAGCTTGCTGATCAGCGCATCATGACGATTTAGAGTTACCAAAGCAACACACATCTGCAAATATGCAGCGAAGTGCAAATTTAATTCTCTGCCAAACACGTCCTGGAAGGCAAACGCAATTCATTCAAAATTCTATCAACTGTCATTCATTTCTCGAAAATTCAAATCCGGCTAGAGAGGAAATCTCATGTAGGAAAATCCGCTGCGGCTCCCAACGACTGCAGAAACCATCAGCTCAGGCATTCAAGGCATCCACAGGATGCACACAGCAACCAGCCTGTGATGATATGAGCAGATGGCAATGCATCTTGATGCATTGCCTTGCTGCTAAAATTAAAGGCCAAACTCTTGAGTCTGTTCTGTCCGGTGCATCACACTCGCTGCTGCACTACAGCCTAAAGGATTCTCAGCACCCTGTCAATTCCTAATTCTTCAACGCATACAAACTAGCAGCAACTTAAAAGTCAGCAAGCCATGGCGACACTGGACTGTGCACCAACATGTAGACTCTTGGACTGCGCAGACTGTGCCGAAACACCCTCCAATACCTTTCTCAAGCTTCAGCAGATTGCTGCTGTGCTCAACACACAAACAACCTGAAGACCGTCGCTCACGCAACAAAATCTGTCTCTGCCCAGACCGTCTCAATTGCTGATCCTACACTAATGGAGGACTCCAACAATGTCATGTGAAAAAAGGGGCCACCAAGTATATTCGACTATTGAGTAGAAAAGGCCTCATGACGTGGCAGACCAGCTCCATAAAGGCCAGCTTTGGCTTGACCAATTCTCTTGAATTTAGTATCGAGATTTCACCAAAAACCCTTCTGCAGCTTTCGCGCAGGTCAGCCTGCACTGAGCTGCGCAGCGTCTGTCCAGACAGACACTGCTGTCCAACTCTCCCACCGCAACACTTCACTTGCAATCTGTTCTTGCATGCTTTTCCTGCCAAAAGGCCAAGCAAGACCCAATTAACCTTGGGCACGGTGCTCAGTGTCTACACCGCCCCCCGCCAGCCGCGCCGAAGTTGTCAAGATTGCAATCTGCATTACAGCGCAAGCTTAAATGTGCTGCCAGCAGGCAGTGTCAAACGCAAATTTGACGCAGGCATCAGTGCGCGGCCACAGCCGGGGCCAGCATCGGCATGCTTGCAGCGCCGTCGGCTGCGGCCACCTTGTCGCCGCTGGGGCGCCGCTTGAAGCCGTGGCTGAGCCGCGCCAGCAGGGGCTCCTTCTTGGGCTTGTCAACGCCGTTTGCGTGCGGCTCCTCCGCGTTCTCGGCTGCCAGCGGCGGCTGGGCCCCCTCAGGAATCTGCTCCAATGTGGTGCCGCCTACAAGCACGGAGTATAAATAACAACTCTGTCCCAGAATGCCACTATAATAATTTTGAAGGCTGAGCATGGCTTCTGGGAAGATCAAACCAGGCTCTCGACCAAGCAGAAGTTTGCATGGGGGAATGGCAATCCCGGAATGCATGAATAAAGTGTGGCGTTTCACAAGGGACCCTTCGGAATACGGCGGGGCTGCTCACCGTTGGTGAGGTCACTGAGTGACTTGTCGAGGGTCTTGGGCTTGGAGGATGTCATGCGATGGAAGGAGCGCCTGATGATGCCCACTCCTCCGCTGCCCTCGCTGGCCGTGCGCTTCACTCCCCTCTTCTTCCCTTGCTCGTCAACCTGTCCAGAAGGCCACACCCCTCAAAATGCTGTTCACCTACCTCACCAGCAATTACTGGGGAAGCTGCAACACTGCCCAGTCCAATGCCTTTGAAGGGAGTGCCATCACTGCATTCACTGCTAGTACACTTGCAACAGCACTCAGCTTGCAACAGGCATTCTGCAGCAGTGACAGGTGGCTTTTTAACACAGCTGGAAGCTAGTACTCTCGCGACGCGCTGACGCCAAGTGGCTCCTGGCCCTGACCAGCGTTGCGCCACCAAACACCCTGAGTGCCTGGGAAGCTTCATTAGCGAGATTTAACCAATTTCCACTCACTCCTCACAGGGATCGCACCGTGGTCTCTCCATTCTTGTGATGCCGGGGGGAGTCAGACTCGGAGTCATCTGACTCGGTCTCCAGCGTGCGGGTGACACCAAAGCAGCCGACTGATCTTGCTTCAGAAGGGAGCTTGAAGTCCTTGTCATCAAACGCCGGGAGCGCCTCCAAACCCCCAGGCAGGAGGCTGTAGACTCCGGCAGTATACCTGTCCAGAGACAATCACAAGCATCCTCAACAAATGCACTGAAAGATATGTAACAACCAATCACTAACAAAAGCAAGTACTGTACGCAAATAGCTGCTATGAGACAGTGTGAATAGACACAATCATGATACATGCGATATACCGTACATCTTCCTGTTCAAGGCCTGGGGCTAAAGTCAGGGTCCACAGAGAAAGGGCTCACTTGTTGAGGAAATGATGACCAACGACTGGGCGCCATGCCGCGTGCCAGGGGCGGCTCTTGAGGGTTAGGCCGCCCTGCTTCACGTGGATGGAGCTGCCCACATGGTCATACCTGCACCATCAACCCATTGCATCGACTTCAGATCATTATCAGGTATTCCACACTTCATCAATCATCCACCCTTGCTGCACCATTAAAAACCTATTAAGCCGTTCCTACACAGGCTCGGCCTCAACAGCCAGAAGACTTAATCCCAATCAGCGTTATAAGCAGGATGCAGGGTGCAGACCTGAAGCTGGGGGGGATGGATGGGACTGGGTCGCCGCCATAGGTGAGGCGCAGCGAGGTGCCCACCAGGGCGTGGAATGCGCGCTTGAACTTGCGGTTGGCAACACGCGGGCTGCCGAACGTCACGCAGCGGATGTCCGCGTCCGGGTACTCGATCGCGGCCCATGCAGCGCCTGTTCAGGCAAGATATACACTTTTGTCAGCCTCCTGTGACACTTCTGATCCGCTGTAGAAGGTGCACTTGTTAGAAAAGAAAGCACAGGATGGCGAGGTAATCAGCAATTCTCATAAAAGAGATGCTACGGTAACAGCCATGACTGAACTTCCTCAGTGACATTCTGAGTGGGTGAAAGCGGATTGTCAGAACCGCATGGGTCGGTCAGTAAGGGGAATGAGAGCAAGACAATTGATGCAAAAGTGGAGGCAACAAAAGAGGCGAAGTACACCATCTACAGCAAGAAGGCATTCATGCAACGTATAGCCAAAGGAAAATGAGGGAGGTGGTCGCAGCAGCAGCTCAAGCCTACCAGACATTCCCAGCTGAGCTCCTGTTGTGGAGTGGCCCAAATCTGGTGATCAGGATTCTGAAGGGCGCACCGAGGGTGGCGAGGGCGCCTCCGAGGCTGTGGCCGGTGCAGAGAACGCGGTTGGGCTTGCGGCCGCCAGACAGCTCTGCCAGCACCATGCCCATGTGCATGTGCGGCCGCGACTCATCCACCACCGCCGCAAACTGCTGCAGGAAGCCTGCAACACACGCGAGTCGCTGACGAGGGGCGCCTCATGCAGCACACGCCTTCACGCTGATTGCAGATCCTGATGACCGGCAGTGCAGGCACCAACAGCTCCAGGCGGCCCCTCTGCATGTTCTAAGATTGAACAAAATCGCACACAGGAGCCAGTGGGAACAGGTTGTGCCGGCACAGCCTGTCACCAGAGCTGCTTATTCTATAAAACCTGCAGCTTGTTCATGTGTTGAGATGCTATATGGAGAGGCCCCAAGACCATGGCATATATTGTACTTCACTAAGATCGCGCACGACAATTATAAGTTCAAGAAAATCTGCACCTGTATGGGCCTTGGCGCCGGGATAGGCTCGCTGCAGGTAGTCGATGTTGCGGCGCACAAACTTGAGGTCCTGCAGCCCGTCCTTGGTGCTCTCCGTGCCCCTGAAGGAGAACACGGCCGTGCCGCTGTCAATCCACGACACATGCACCTGCACCAACACACCAAAGATGAGGACATCTCTACCCTAACTATATCGGCTTGATCTGTAATGCTCTGAGCATTACAGATCAGAGAAGCAGAATTTGCAAAAGGACGATTAAGGACACTGTATCCACTTGGCACTTGGCCAAATAAGAGGCGTCTCGCTGGCATGTATAAGCTAGTTAATTTAAGTTAACTTTTTTTAAAATTCTTTTTCTAAAAACAGGGCTCTTATGGAGCTTTTGCAAATGGCCATGTTGGAGGTGGTGGCGCTTCGCCCCACCCCTGGCAGTCAACTGCACAGCACTGAAGGAGATATGCCATACCTGCGTGTCGGCGCCATCCTTGTCATCGATGAGGCGTGTCTTGTCGCGGGGCAGGTTCGCCATGCGCGCATAGTTCTCCTCATCCTGGTACGCCGCACCCGCCAACACCACAGCGGCTGAGATCTTGCCAATGGTGAGGACCTGCACAATGTCACCAAATTGTCTCAGGGGCCATCAAAGACAGTTTGTTATATGGCTTTTGGGCAAAAGGCAGGCATTTTTCATATGGCAAGCCCATCATCAAGTGCCAGTCGGGCTCTCTGTGATCAGTTCTGTTGACTGGATGGAAAGTAACAAAAAGAGCGGATCTAGGGACGAGCTCCAGGAAGGCCACACAATAATTACCTTCTGTAGGGTATGCAGCTCGTGCAGGTCCACTGTGAGGTCATCGCGCTCCAGCAGGCTGAATGCACGCATCAGCCACCGCGGCGGCTGCGCCAACCCAATGTCCTGCGGCAACAGAAACTAAGCATGAGACATCTCCATCACTGCCGCTCATCCCAGCAGATTCCTAGTCACTTCTGCGTTTGAGGCAATCTCATGCTTTGAGGGACGACTCTCAGATGATATTGCTTTGATGAGCATCCAAAAGCTCATTGTTGCAGGCACTCGAGTATCCCATAAGGTTGCCTTGATGAGCATCCAAAGCTCAACATTGTATAAATTGGGGTCGGCCCCCTCCTTTTCAGTATGTGCAGCAGCACCAGATACATTTTGCTCACCTGGTTGCCGGTGGCCTCCTGCACGACGGAGCGGAAAAGGCCGGCGGCTTTGGACTGCAGCCGCTGCTCGCGCTGGTCCTCCGTCTCGTCCTCTCGCTTGTCGGGCGCTGGCCCCACGCCCAGCTCGCTGCAGCGCGTGCATGCCTCGTCCAGCCGGGGCTGCTCGTCTGCGCCTCCCTGCGCCGCGGCCGTCGGATGTTTCTGCACGCCCCCGGGACCCCCCGCCACCGCGCCCCCTGGCGGCCTGAACAGGTGATCATGCCGCCCGGCGTCTGCGGGGTTCCCTCCCGATGCCGCCGCCGCAGCCGCCGGCGCAGCGGTCGTTGCTGTGGCGGCTGCTTGACTGACGGAGGCGGGGACTGCAGCTCCTGCCAGCTTCTGCAGGCTCTGCTGCTCGCCGGCCGCCTTTGCCTGGGAGATTGCGGGGATCACGTGCTCGGCAGTGGTGCTGCCCCGCCGCGACACGGGCTCCGGCAGCTCCGGCCCCGTCTCAAGCTTGCACTCGCTGCTGCAGGCCGGGTTATCAGCGCAGCGGCTGTCCTCCATCTTCACGGTCTTGTTCATGGCCGTCTTCAGGGCAGCGCAGTACTTGAGAATGCAATGGTCCTTCATGTCCCGATTCCATGGCGCCGTCCAGTGATCTGCAGCCTGAGATTAAACACAGTAGAGCAAAATTGCCATACATTTGCATCACCATGGAAGAAGCCGAGCATAAATAGTTCAAGCCTTTCTAGAAGTTTATTCCCCCACCGTCTAAAGTAACTAGATATGCACTGTGGGATCTTAGCATCCTTCTGTGCAGAAATAGTGCGAGGAGGAAGGGCAAACGCACCATGTCTGCCTCTTCAGTCAGGTAGATGTTGCCACGGACAGGCACGAACGAGGAGAACAAGCCACCGCCTTTCTGGATCATGGGGTCATTTCCAAAGGACACCCTGTAGCTGTTCCCCACGACCCACCTGGAGTGCACATCGCCGAAATGTCATGCAAGGCAGTATGCAATCATGATGTTGAAACAGGATTTTCTGGAAAATGAATGCCCCACATCCAAGCAAAGCTTTGGACTGATCAGCAAGATGGGGCACACATGCGAGAAGAAATCTAAAGAAAAGATTTGATGAATCATGTTGGCTAAGAGAAAACGCACCGGAAGACCTCTGCAAAGGCGGCGTTGCCAACATTGGGGGCGCCGAAAGTGATGCAGCGCACGTCTGAGGTCGGGCTCTGCAAAGCTGCCCAGCAGGCGGCGATGGTTGCCAGTGAGCCCCCTATGCAGAACCCTGTCAGCAGTATGCGCCGCGGGGTGCGGCCCCCTGCGCCATTCACCAACAGAGAGATATCAGGGTCTCTGCACAGTGTTCCAGAATCGGTTCTGGCAGTGCACTATACTGCACCCTGAAATTAACCATAGCCATGCGCACCCTGTGCGCAGATTCTCTCGGGCAAAGAGGCAGCACAGTTGCTTGCGTGACAGATACACAGTGTGGCAGAGTCAATCGCATCTTTCACTGTGGAGGACAAGCAGCTGCAGGGTCTATGCTCAAATGAAGTATATCTTCGTGAAGTTCCCACCTGTCAGCTCTTTGACGGTCTCTGCCAGCACTTCTGTGCCATCATCACGCCGCTGGAAGCTGTCAAGGATGTCCAAGAAGTCATTGTGCACCTCAGCGTTGGGCGCCACATTCTCCAGGAACGTGGGCATCCGCCGGTGGTCATAGACCGCCGACATCAGCTCTGTGGCGACCTCTACTCGCGGGCTCTGAAAGAAACGGCCCACCTGGCGTCAGCGGTCACAATAGATCTTGTGCAGCGAAACCTGCAGAAAAGGGTGGAAATGCCTGCTGAAACACCTAGGCAGGTGCTCAAGGGCACAGCCAGGGCACAGGAGGACTCACCTTGATTGCCACGACAAGCACCATGCCCTCTTCCTTCCAGCCAATGTGAATTGCTGCATCATGAAGACCTGCACACAGCGCAAACACCATTTGGTACAACACGCAATAAAGCTCTCCAAGAGAGCCAGGCAACCGTTTTCTTGGATCAATGTGCTTCTGTGCTGTTAGAGTGTCCGCGCATGAGTTCGTCCGTAATTTATTGGCAGGAACACACCTGTAATGACCTTGCTCCCGGGCATGAGGTCTCCGTCTTTTTCGGAGTAGCAGGACGCCTTCGCGTACGTAAATGCTTGAACAATCTTAGACAAGATGGGGCAGGTCAAGCTCTCTTCAGCGATGAAGGTGGGCTCCTCTTCCACTTTCGACACGCTCTTGCGCCTTTGATGGCCGTTGCTTTCACGGCGCTGTGTCGCGTCCGGTACCGACTTTTCCTTCATTGTTCAAAAAATTAACTCTGCAGGCGAAGAAGGACACACACTCGCAATCCTAAATTCCTGCCTCAAGGTGGATAATTGGGATACGCGGTACAGTGTTTTTCAAGTGTACGTGTTGCTCGAACGGCTGCGTTCTGCGAAGCTGGACAAGTATCACAAGCCAAGATCGTCGAAACACTGTAGGATTCGAAGAAGGAGTATCCTTGAAGCAACGAGAGGGATGAACAGTTCATGATGAACTGCATGGCAAGGTTGTCGTAATATCGGCACCAATCCCGAGGCGTCCCTATCAGGCATGCATCTTCTCCAACTCAGCGAATGATCCAAACAGAAATTGGGCTCTCAGAATGCTGTCCATCGCATCTAGGACAGCTCTGAGGGTTCTTAACACTGCATCGGCTCCGTCACACAACTTACAGCGTTCTCTGCGGGGAGTTCACATCAGAAGGCATTCGCTAGTCCCACCTCTCAGAAGAGCCATGTCTTCCGAGGAGCAGGCCGCAAAGAATGCTGCTGCATCAGGGTATTTGCGTACCCATCTTGTGTATCGATTGAAATGTCCCTTTTTCCCGAAGAAAAGTTAATTTCGTTTCTCGATGCCGGCATGCGCAAATTTGCCAAATCAGTGTCTTTGCTCTATCCGCAGGGCAGATGCCGCAGCTGACCAGGGTGCTCCAACAATATTTGATAAGATCATCTCAAAGCAGATTCCCGCCAACATCATCTATGAAGACGAGAGCGCTTTGGCTTTTCGAGATATTAATCCTCAGGTGAACAAGCTTGATCTTTGAGCATTGCACTGATTTTGCAAACTTGCCTTTCAATGATGCTTATAAATGTGCACAAGGCAGAATCTCTCAGGAATCCCACGTGACCCTCCCAGGCCCCAGTGCATTTTCTAGTCATCCCCAAGCACCGGGACGGCCTCACACAGCTGAGCAAGTGCAATGACAGCCACGAGAAGGTCCTGGGGCACTTGCTCGTTGTTGCCAGCAAGGTGGCTCTGCAAGGTAAGCAAAGTCCTGGTCTATGTTGCACATGAATAAGGACTGGCAGATTTCCACATCATGAGTCCCTGCGCTGCCTTCCGCATCTCCAGAGAATTTTGATGTCCTGACATTCTTCCATTTGAGGTGACGCACAGCATCCAGCAGTAAAAGGCGCAAAAGAATATGATGGGACTGAGGTACACTTCTTTTGTGAATCTGCAGAAGGTCTCAATGATGGCTTCAGAGTCGTCATCAATGACGGTGTGAACGGATGTGAGTGCCCTCCTGCTAACTGCTCAGTGCTGCCTTCAGATCATTTCACTATTCTTAAGCTTTGCAAGATATGCTGCAATGCTGCCCGTGTTGATGAGCTTGATTGTTTATCTATTGCTGGACTCAAATCTGCAAAATCTTTGCATTGTAGGCCAGTCTGTGTACCACCTGCACCTGCACATTGTTGGGGGCCGCCAGCTGACATGGCCCCCAGGATGATATAGTCTGCAGGGCCTACACCGCTACTTGCGCAGTCTTATGTCCACCTTATTAGAGGTGCAGCACACGAAGAGGATCATTTTATGCACGATTCAGCCTGCAGCCGCTGTCTGCGATGTCGGAGAGACCAAGAAAGGCTAAAAAATTGTGCCCCACATTGCTCAGTGCAGCCTGTGGGACAGAGCAGCCTGTGGGACCACAAGGATCTGACCTGAACGACCTCAATCCTGGAAACCCCAATTTGTGAAAAGAGGCAACGGGACCATCCTGCAGAGACAATGTTGATTATTATCGGGTCTCCCATGACGCGATGTGTACGGCTCGGCACAGAACAGTGCTGAAGTCCAAACGTTGTTTCCGTACAGCAGATACTAATCATGCCTAGTAGGCATGAATCACGAGAGTGGTCAATTGCTACTTTGAACATCGTACAGCTGTAGACCCTGTAAGACCCTCTAGAATAGACACTGTGAACAACTTCTTGGCTGGAGATTTGAATGCACAATGTGAGCGCAACACGGGATTACTTCACTGGGCTAGTCTCACTCACCATATGCAACCCAGGTTGGCAAAGCATTTTGACACCGTGCATACTAGCTGTAGGATGCACTTGAGTCCCGATATAGGCTTTCATCATGATGAAAACATCGATGTGCATGCTGTGCATCTTGTACGGTGATACCATTGCAGGAATGGCATTACTAGCTGCGCGCATCTGGGCTGTCATCATCACTCCTCCGGGCTGTGCTTCATACCTGCCCCAACATTTATCACCCCTGATGGGGTAATCACAATGGAACTGCCTTGAGATGTATATGTGCAGCTGAGAATGCAGGCGTAAGTAATGCCCTGTCCTACAGCTATTTGGCTAGGGCTGAAACAAACACTAAAATTGTTGTCTGCAATAAGGCAGTTTGGCCTGCAGCTGCCCAATACCCACGGCATCATGGGATGATCCCAGCTGCCCATAATTTGCTTCGTGCTTTAGTTGATTTCACGCGTGAATGCACTTCAAGTTGGTATGGAATTCCATTCGAATTTGGTCATGATGATACTATGGAGCCTGTTGCTGCAGCTGCATCAATCCACACTTCCTTCCAGCTTAGGCCATCTAAGTACAGAACCCCTGAAGGTTAAATTGAAGAGGATATAAGTTAGTATCGGTGCCAGTCTCAAATGAATTGCGTCGTTCGTGCCAATGGTCTTAAGCATCGGATCTCGCTGGCTTGAGTTCATTGTGCCATTTTTGCAGAATTGTTGCGAGTTCACCCTCCATATTCAGGCGCCTTTGTGTCAAGGTGAAGTTTACAAAATTCCTCGGCAGTAAAACGATGCATATGCAATACACGGTCATTGAGACAATGAGCGAATCACTGTAATGATTCCTTGAAATAAGTTCAGACAGAGGTAGGGAATACTGTTCCCTATTTTATTAATTATCATATGGTGCGGAACTTCTGCACTTTTGTGCCTAATATGTTGTGCAGGCACAGTACAGGCCTTTCAAAAGCAGGGAATCCAGCAGAAACCTGTATCCACTTTGTTCACCTTGCGCAAGTTCAACCTTCAAGAGCCAGATATCCAGGGAATTCCACGCGCTTGGTTTTGGCGTCTACAGGTTTTTTGCACAAGGGCAGCGTATTAGAAAAGTTTTGGCTTGGAGGCTGTCTTCAGCGGCTGCAGGAGTGCATGGCTTGTGCAAGCAACTGCTTCGTCTCTCCCTACTCAAGCTGCCACTCTGCGCAAAGCAGTTCTGCCCTGTTCTCTGTACTGAGAGCCATTGCAATTGCTGCTGTGCTTCTAACAACTTGCAAAGCCCTTTTGCCAGCTGCACACAAGGATCGCTGAGGGTTTCAGCCTTTGATATTCAGGAACGATGAGAAGCCTTGCCACACCGGAAAGAAGGTGCGGCAAAAGTCATCTGAGGCATCTTCCTTCCACCTTTCTGTTGATTATTGTCCTAGCGTACCAATGAATACCGTCATTGCAATCTGAACTTTCCACAATGTAAGAAGGGGACAGCGCTGTTCATCTGTGCTTTTGAGTTTCCAGGGCTCTGTGTCCAGTGTGTTGTAAAACTTGGAAAACCATTCCAGATTTTGGTGGCTTTGCCTTTTTGCTTGTGCCCTGATGCATGCTAAAGCGTGCAAGTGAACACCACTTTCACAATGCTGTGGCAGGAAACAACGCCGCTGTCCAGAGAAGAGACCATCGAGCAGTTTTCTCAGAAAGTAATTGCAAAGCTGGAGGCAGAAATCGCGAACGTGTGCAGGCATGCCCCTTTTCTGCGCCGAGCATTGATTGGTTTGGAAGTGCAATGCCTGTCAGATGCTATCTGCAATCTCTGTGAGCAATCATGCATGCCTAGCAGGGAAAGTCCACATTGGTAGCCATCGTACAGCAGAGATTATTGTGCTCATTTTCCTGTGGTCCCTGGTGCTGAAGTGTAGCGTGGTTGTGGTGCTAGGTAGGGGATACAGTCTTCAAAGAGGCTGATTTTGACAGCAAGTGGCCTAGCATGTACATGTCCGAGGAGCAGTTCTAGGTCTGTAACCTAATTTGTCAGTTCTGCTTACCCATTCATATTAATCCCACAATATGACAACAACTGCAAGCGTTGCACATAATGCACTGTGCATGGGCCACGATATCTCAGAAGTGGAACGCGTGTTGTGGGCGCCCGTTGCCCTTTGGTTGACCGGGACAATTGCGTTGGATCAGGAATTCAAGTGCTACTGGATTGGCAAGAAGATGCCCGAGTGTGAGTTGGATAAGGCAGGCCTGCTGCAGCTAAAGGCACATGGCTACACCTGGGAGGTCTGGCATATGGCACAGCGTTTGGGCCATGCGTCAGATGAGAGGACTGCAGTAATTCCCCAGACCTTGGGAATTGGCTAGAGATTGAGTTCTGCGGTTGTGTGTGCATTCGCGGTTGCCTTTCTCAGATGCATTGTATCGAGGACGCAGTGATGCGCCTAAGCAAGCCTCTGACAGCTGACATCCACATGCTTAACACAATTTGGACCAGCGCCACCACCAGCGGAGCTTCAACTATAGCTGCAGAACTGCGTTCCTGAGACTGAAATTGTCTTGGAGGATGAGATCATCAGGGCAGGCTGCATACTATGTGTTATCGTAGAGCAGGAAACTTTTCAATCCTGCTTAATGTGAAACTTTTATCTGAAACAATTCCCACCAGTGCAGATCGCTGTACATTTCTAGAACTACAATTGCTGTTTCCCATGCTCAACGCAATCCCCTCATCGCGGGGAAAAGGTTGCCGGTTTCACTCCCACCTCTCCCAAGACCCAACCCAACAGAACTTGCATCGGCAGAAAAGGCACAGCCTGTAGACAATGCCATCTGCAGCACGTGTGCGCGTGCAAAGCCACTGTCTGCCACTTGATCGTAAGCCTTCAATCATTGGCTGGGAACAAGAACCAGCCCTGCTGTATCACCACTGTTGAGGCTGTATGTCCGCTGTTCAGCAGCTGCAACTCACTATTCTCAGATCAGAACCCTCCATCAGGGGAGCCATTCATTCCAGAGGCGCCTTTGGGGGCGGGGTATCATATCTTCCACTGTTCATGCGGCCCAGGCCCACCCCCTTAATGCTTTCAAGGTAGTCCAACACAATGTCCTTGCAGTTCTGCATGCTGTTCACTCCCTCCCTCATGTAGCATTTCTGCACCTTGTCGCGCAGGAGCTGCAGAGACAAGCGAACATGCGTTACTTGATGTCTCATCGCTCCACCTTTTGGCAGTCAAAAGCTTCAGCAGGACACAGTCTAGGAGTGGAGACGCATACATCTGTTGAGCCAAAAATATCAGACGCTCTGACACAGCCCACGGCATGCGATGTGGCAAATTGATGCTCATGTCTGCAGCGGAATTGAATCACAGAGACTGCCATTAATCTAGAGTGACAACGCTACAGTGGATGCAACTCTTACTTTTGCCTTCTCCACTCGAACAATCTTCTCCCGTGCTTTGTGCTGCCGCTGCTGTATGAGAGCGGCGGGATCTGCATACGGATCTTCCGGATCAAAAGGCCTGCTGGGGGGCTCAAATTCTGGCCCAGACCAACCCATACGATCTCAAACTCGGGCTTCAGTGCCCTGAAGCAACCTGGCTGCAGCTGCCAAATTACTTGAAGTCGTAGGGCTACAGTCAAGTATCTCGTGGCTGTGGGCACCAAATCCGTGCCTGCCCTTGCCTCTTCTTCTTGGGGAGCCCTATAGAGTGACGTGATCAAGACTGCACGTGAGGGGAGCACGGAGGCACACAAACTCCTCCAGCAGGGAAGCAGATCGTTGCTGTTTTAGTGCGGATCTGATATCATCATTCTAGAGCCAAATCATAAGTTTACATAAAGCTGACTCTGGATCGCCTCTGAGATGGTTGCGAACGGGCAACTGAAGTCCCTCAATGACTTAGCCCCACCTTCTGGTGGATCGACAATGAAGTACACAGTTAACGATCAGAATTACGGCAAGAATACGTTGGGATGTGATGATGCCGTGAGTATCTGGCGACGAAACATGTTTTCAATCTCTTTATATTACGAGACTGACGTGTACTGCCTCCCACAAAAGCTCCTTTCTGAATCATCTCATGCCTAATTTGTGCACTATCGGCAATGTCTGATGTGTAGGAGTGGCGTACAAGAGTAGATCTTGCGGCCGCGTACCGCCTCTGCCACAGATATGGCTTCTCAGAAGGAATCAACAATCACCTCACGGTAGGTGCCTTCTCTCTGAATTGCAAGCTTTGAATCTACGGACCAGATAATAACTCCACTTAAATGCACGTGTGCCTGCAGGCAGAAGTGCCAGGGCAGAAAGACCGGTTCCTGGTATTTCCATTTGGCATGCTTTGGAACGAGGTCACAGCCAGCAGTCTGCTGCTGGTCGACACTGTAAGCTCACACTCCTCTCAATGGATGTTCTGATCTGCTACAGTTGTCATGATGGTCGGCCTTTCTCTGAACTGCACTTGCCATCACGCAGTATCCTCGAGATGACTCCACACCAAAGTGACTGATGAATCGAGACCATGACCTCACAGGAAGGCAATGTCATCAAGGGAGAAGGCCAGCCAGAGGTCACAGCATTTTGGATACACAGGTGCGTCTGTAGCACGCGCGTGACAAATCCCTTCCTTCTCTTTGTGAATCCAGTAGTTGAATTGTAGGACTTTGATGCTGTGCAGTCGGCTGCACCAGCTGCGACCCAACACTGGCGCAGTCTTCCACACACATCAGCCGGAGATCACAGCGCTTTCGTGCCTGGAGGACTTCGAGTGAGGCTCATGTGTCTTTGCAGCCTTTGATCATGGAAGGCACTGCGATCTTAAGATATATACCTCTGTCCCATCGCATAGGCTACCAAAGCTTCATTTTCCAAGGGCTCAAAAGAAGTGCATGGCAATACAGGCTGCCCATGATTCACCAGAACTCCCTGCGATTCTACAACGACATTGCTTATGACACCTATGATGGCCTCGTGCTCACCCAGGCAGAAGGCGACCGGCTCGCAAGTGCGTACCTCTCCCACTTGTAGCTCCGATCATGTTTTGGTACACCTTTGTATTCCAGGTCATGTGTCTTTGCATCGCTTTCCAGGTCGCCTGAGCTGACGTCCCAGTTCTTGATTGCAGAGGCACTGGGCAACAAGCGCGTCCTGATCCACAGAAATCACGGTGAGCGACAATACCCCATGCACCCCTGCTCGACATTGTATGGTTGGCGCATTCCTGGCGAGCTTCTGTCGCTGGCACTGCCCAGGTCCCCATCTGCTTTATTGCTGGTAAGGATGAGGGGGCGTGGGGCGCAGGAATCATGGTGTGTGCAGAGACGGTGCATGAGGCATTTGATGCCATGTACTATCTGGAGCAGGCAGCCCGGGTCACCGTCAAGGCCATGTCAACCGGGAGGCCCCTCAAGATTGTGCCTAATACGGTCAGCTCCTTCTATGTGAAGACCTTTCATTTGCAGAGTGTTGGCGAAGAGATGTTTGAGACTGTCTGGCATGTTCTCTGCACTGTCAATGTCTCCACCTGTTGCAGGATCTGCCGAGCTGTTCTGCTATATATTCCTGAAGCTGCAGCTTGTGCTTCAAAAAGTAATCGCTGGAGTCTCTGGTTGTAGGTAGCTAAGCAGTTCAAGGATACACTCAAGGACTCCGGTGCTGAAGTGGTAAGAGTACTTCCCTCTTGGCCATTGGACACATACATAAACTCATCACAGACCCCAGAGAAGCATCCTTTCTCATGGCACCGTTTTGTCTGCTTTCCAGGAGTATGGGCGCCTGCTCTTGGAGGCACTAAAGAGGGATATGCTGCGCGGTCCTGACAAGGACTTCATTACATGAACCAAACGCATCAGCGTGGATCGGCGAAGGGATGTATGGTGACAATGCACGGACGCTTGTCCAAAGACACATCTGATGACAAGTCCTGGAGGATTTTCATTGTTGCTGCAGTGAGTTTACTTTCCATGGGGAGCCCATTGGCACCATATTCTGTTTGTTGGCCATTTGCCCGCTACAAAATCACTGCGTTGCAGTCAAATTGTACAACAGCCCACTTTTCCTTCTTTGCATGACAGCTGTCAACACAACCAGATTGGTTATAGATGCTCAAAGGATCCTGCTCTGCTTACTTAAGCTTGGAAAGCATCCAGTGAGCAACGTTGATGGACAAGATGGTCTTGCTTGGTGCCATATTTTTATTTGCTTGCACTTTGATACAATGTGACAGGTCTTGAGTGCAATGGGGAATTCTATGTCTGCAGCTAGCTTGGTCCAGTATAGCTATGCAAAGGCACCAAAGGAGAAGGGTAAGAAACAGAGAAAAGTTTCAGGAAACAGGTCAAGAATATCACAGTTGCTTGCGAGGCCGAGGAGACTAGAATGGACTTTCATGGATTCAAATCATGCTGTAAGCTGCTTTTTTGTAATAGAATCCACTGTCAAAGCCTTGTCAAGTATGTGAGGGTGCAATTGCGTTCTCAGCCACCATTAATGCTGCGTATGCGCAGCGTGCACAGAGTATTATGGCTGCACAAATTGTTAAGTTTTAAGCTTGCATTAAATTGTGCATGTGTCGTGAGACAGTAAATGGCAGCCAAGAAGCTTCCCTTAAGGGCTACAAACTGCAAGTTCCTGAGGCACAATGTCCTCATGTGACAGCACGTGGGCAATCTGCCACTTTGTGTTCCTTTGAGCTTTCAAGGTTGTGTCAGTTGCGTTGAAGGTAACTTAAAGGAAATCTGCACACCATCTGATCTCTGCAACGTCATTTATGCAATGAAATTGCAAGTAAACAAATGCATTCCACATCTAGTTCACTGCAAAGAAACTCAGTCTAGCATTGTTCACTACCCTACGTAATTACCGTAGTCATGGTACGATTTCATTGGCACGTTGAGACAGGTCTAGGCGCCTTTGTTGTGGGGCCACAGACGGTTCACAATATTGATGAGACAACCCAAGTGTTTGATCTACCGACACACATCGAGTTGGCAGGACAGAAAGAAACCTTCGAGGGCATTATAACGATTAGAAGTGACTATCTTAAGGCTGGTCAGATACAGCCTGTCGGTGTAGTGCTGGGACATGATACTGCGGCAGACACATGGAAAGGGAGTGTCCTCTCGCATCTAGCTGTCAGTCTTGCGAAAGAGGGTACGCACATCAGTCTTCTGGAATCACCAGGTTGCGATAGAATTGCCTGACAACATTGAATCGTTAGTCCTTAGCTGGTCTATGCATTCCTTAGCTGGGGCACCTTGCTGCCTGCAGGTTTTGTTGTCATGCGCAATCTCTCCAGCTCCACAGCCAAGGATGTGCGAAGATACAGGCTGTTTGAGAAGGCGCTCGATGCCCTCGCTACTTCTCCCTATGCCAGATCAGTGTACCAATGGGTCCTAGCAGGTACTGGCACCTTGCATGTACCTTGCTTGATCCCCTATGGTTAGCTGCGCATGGCAAAGCCTTGGTCATGAATTGAACCCCTCAGATATCTGGTGAGCGTTCATGTCTGCAGGTTTGGGAAATGGAGGACGCGTTGCAGCGGTTGTTGCAAGCCGCTGCAGGGGAACTATTGCTGGAGTTGCACTCTTGTCATACCCACTTCTGGTGAGCAGCACACGTATACCGTAGCTTTTTGTCTTGATTTCCTAATACCTCTAAACTTCCATGGGCTGCCATGCACGCTGACATCGGATCCCATGTGTGTGCACCAGGATCCAATGCAGCCAACAAAATCCAGCAAGGCAAACAAAACAGATCCCTCGCTGGTGCCCACAAACTCAGTACGCTCTCAACACCGACAATTCCACAATTTTTCTCTGCATTTGCTGCCTTAAAATTGCTGCCACCGCGTTTGCCTTGCCTTTGCCCCCCTGGCAACTTCACCACTCCTAGCTGAGACTCATGTTTACATGCAGGAGGCGCCTCTGTTGAAGCTGCAGTGCCCCTGCCTTTTTGTGAGCGCAGAGAGCGATCCCCTCTGTCCCCCTGCAGCGCTAGCAGAGGCCCAGCAGCGCATGCAGAGCACCGCCATGCAGAATGTGACCATCCAGGTACGCAGCGTTTCTTGCCCAACAGGACACATGTGTTCCTATTTCGAGGGCATTAGTGTCAATTTTAAGAGCCCTGTAATGACAACCTGCTGGCGTTGTTGTTCAGACAAAAGACTCAAGCCAGATATCATTAAGCTGTCATTTGATCAATTAAGTGACCACCTAGAATCACGGGAGCATTAGAAAGGTGACTGAAGGGTAATTGTAAATCATCAGTCTGATTTTCTTTGTTTGCAGGGCGTGGACCAGAGTTTTGGTTCAGTGCCACAGGCCGGCGAGCCGGCTGAGGAGACGCTGAGTCAGATCTCTGGAGCTGTCCTGGACTTTGTGCGGGCGCTGAACAGCGAAGCGCACGCATCTGCGCCTCCTGTTGCCCCACCTGCTCCAGAGCCCATGGATATCAGTGCTCCAGGCATGCACTTTTCTCTAATGCCTTATCCCGCATGTGCTTATATCTAAATGTCTATCTGCTTTTGTGTCTTCTACTGTACATTCGCGTGCGGGTGTATCAAGCGAGTCTGCTGCAGAATGTTGAGGCACTGTGGCACTGCTGTCAGGGTCCATTGATATGGGGATTTCTATGTGTGATGCAAGGGTGTGACAAAAACAAATCGTGATGTGACTGGGATTTGGTGGTGTGCTAGGGACAGCGGATGTGGAGCAGCCTGCTGGGCAGCAGGAGTATCAAGGGGTAAATCCTGACCCCACCACACTAAATCAGACCCCGACGAAAGGAAACGATGCGGAGCAATCAGCCCAGGACGGTGCTGAAGATGCAGCACCTGAAATACCAGGGAGACCATCACCGGCATTTCTTTTAGTCGCTTCCTGAACTGGTGTGGCTCAACGAACTTCGAATTTGAAGCCACAACAGACTTATTTCAAAACAATAATAAATATGCCACTGCTATGTGATATTGCGACAGGGTGAGATTTAGAGTATTGGTGAGAAAACTGCTGTACACATATCAGATCTCCAGTGTGGAGTGAGAAGAGATAGCGTTGGGCATAATCTTCTACAGTGGCTTTGTTACAAAAGAGTTGCCTGATTGGAACCCATGATGGCTTTTTGCATGCAAATTCTGCAGCATCTTTGTTGTTTGCCAGCTGTGGACACTCTCAACATTCGATAATAAAACTCTCTCTGCGTGCATGCCCTTTGGCATTTGGCTTTGGGTTTGCCGGCACGTAATTATAATTCTTGTCATAAAACTCACCGTTGTACACATGTGCCTTCCAAGAACGGCTGATATTAATGAATATATAAATAAAAACGACCCCCCTCTCTGTAAAGAAGATCCCAAAGGCAACACACAGAGTATTTTAAGTCAGGCCCTCATCAGGTTGCAAGCACAAGTTCTCCCAGTAAATTTCTCACAAGCCTCAACTGCAGCTGCTGAAGGCAACAAGTACATGTCAAAATTCAAGGGGCAGAAGGTATTACAGAAGGACCAGTCCAAAATTTGTTGCGCTGGCACTGGCTGCCTGCGCTATTTTAAGATAGCATTCCTGTATTCTTGTGTATCGTTGACAGCTACAGACTCTCTTCAGGCGCGGATTAGCCTCCATCTCAACAGGCCCTGTCACGCAGGATTCAACAATCCATAAAGGCAGCCTCTGGCAGGAGAGATGGCCCGGCCCTAGTCAGGTTTGCGTGCCATGCTTGTGCTGCCACTCCATGATGGCTGAGCGTAGGCTGTGGTTGGCGATGAGGTGCTTGTGGGGCAGTTTGCTGTTTGTGATGGGACTGGTCGCGTGGTTGACCAGCCAGCTCTCTATGGCCAGCCGCTCATAGGTGTACCCGTCCCCTGCCATCACCGGGTCCTTCATCACTTCCTGTGGGCACGCAAGAGCATGAAGGTCAGCACCATCACACACCTGGAGCGTGTGATGCTCATCGGTGTTGTTTGCAAGCAGTGTGCTTGCCGGCTAATGCAACTGCGCACGCCACGTCAAGCTGTGACTAACAAAGCTTAACGTTGTCAGTCACAGCTAACAAAGTTGTGTCAATTTCTCAATTCAGCAAAGCAGCCAGTCACTGACGGAGCACGCTGCAATACTTGATGAGGCACGCAGGAAAGCTCAGCCGCAGATGCCGCAACATGTGAGCATCTCGGCAACCACTTGCGAAACACCAAAGTCACGCATCTTTTGCGTGCCTTCTCTACACCAAATATACAGCATTGTAACCGGCATGTAGATTGTGCAGGGGAGAGAAATGACCTGCATCTAAAATTTATGCCCTTGAAATCGGCATGCAGATTGTGCAGGGGAGGGAGAGGGTCTGCACCTGGGTAATGGGGCACAGGAACATGGGGTCGGCCTCGGCCTCGTCCAGCCTGGGGCCGTGGCCGCTGCTGTCCTGCCCAATGGGCCGCCCCGCCGGGGCTGCCACAGATGGAGACGCATACGCAGACGGCGGCGGTGCCGTGGCTCCGTTGTAGCTGAGCGTCGGGTACTGATTGTGCGCCTGGACACACCCCATCGCAAACTCAATGAACATGTCTGCTGTGACAGTGTTCTCTTGTCATGACAACAAGATGGTCCTACTTACATCTTAAATGATATAGATCGGCCGCCAAGCATGCACAATTGCAATCACAGAACAGACCAAAACACAGAAAAAAATGCCTCATTCTTTGGTGGCCTGCTGCCTGCCATGTGCCCTAGCGCCCTACTTGGCAGATGGAATTTGCCCGGTGGATTGGAATGTGGTGTGAGGCAAGAAGCGTCAACATAGGGACAGAGGCGTGAGGCAGTGCAAGGCAGGAGGAGCATGCCTGCTGCTGCTGGCGCATCTCCTGGCACAGGCGCTCCTCTATGAGGTCCTCGCGGCTGGAGGACAATGCTGTGCGGTGCAGCGGGGCTGCCGCGGCCGCAAGGGGCCCGTTCAATTGCGACAGGGGGTGCGGAACATTCAGAGCCTGCGAGCATGCAGATCCACACCCGTCAGGCCTGATGTTGCAAACATGGTGTTCTCTGGTGACCATCTCATTTGCATATGGCATTTCAGAAGCACTCCAAACGTCCCACGACTTACTGTAGGCATGACTGGCCAATTAGCCGGGGAAGCAGTGGACACTGTGGTGCACTCGTGCTACTTCAAGACGTATGAGGTATGAGGTATGCTTTGGTCGTGACCGAAGACAATAGAAGTTGTGAGTTCAACAGACGATTACCTCGGAGTGGGCAACGTTCGGGCTGCCGTAGCTGCCATGGGTGGCAACGGGGTTAGAGGAGGGAATGCCGCTGGAAAGCGCAGTGTCAGCGGCCAGAACAGGCGGCGGGGGGCCCAGGGCGGGGGGCATCAACCGTGCCATGATGCTAGGGTTGGGAGTTGAACCGATGAGCCCCAGCCGCATGATCGTGCGGTACTGGTCGGGGATCTCCATCAGAGCTCGTAGTGCAAACAGCGCCTCGGCCCTCGCGCTCGGCATGCCTGCAGCCTCGCGCATGAGCTGCGCAGCCACACAAACTTCCGTCAGCAGTATTTTTACCAAGTGCCTGCCTACAGAAGGACACACAAGGCAGTAAAGTCTACACACTCCCTCAAGCTGGCCGCCGCAAGGACTGCTCCACACAGAAAGCTGTGGGCATTTTAGTTTGAAAAAATGCCTGCCTGAGTGCACAAAACTCTGAATATGCCCCTGCCATACGGTGCAGGCCAGAGTTTCAGGCTGTCTGACTGGAAGCAATGCAAGCAGAGGGGGCGCTCACCGAGGTGAAGTCGACGAACTGGAAGTTGTCAAAGCGGCGCGTCGGCAAAGCGTCGTCAAACTCGCGCATTGTGTCAAATGGGCCGTCGCCAAGTCCCACCATCACGATTGACAGCGGGAAATAGCTGCAGCACAGGGCTCAACTCGCATCAGCCACTATATTTCATAGTCTTGAGGGATGTTGTGCAGCCGCCTTTCTGCACATCCTAGAGGTCCTTTGCAGTGATATGGGAGGCAAGAAGTTTCACCTGGCGGCAACTATGGCGTCCATGGTTGCCCTCTCTGGAGGGCTGTACTCGCCAGGACCCATGTCAACACTGCGCGTCACCTGCAGCCAGTCAAACACCCTCAGTTTACAACGCACATGCATTGGCCATCCAGACCGACAGAGCCAACTGCACATGATGACGCTGCCATCGCTCCCTGGACTCCAATTTATTGGACCTTCACTTGGCCATCCCACATTTCATGCTCTCAAATGATATCGATGAGATATAAGACATAAAGGCATAGCAGCAGTTCTGCAGCTTGTAAGGACCCTCTGAGCGCTCAAAAGAGCGAGACATTTGACAATGATTGGGATGATCAGATGCAACGCAGCGCATGGATTCCTGCAGAGGCGAGGGCCCTCCTGGCGGTCACCTGCCCATCGGCAAGGAGCAGGAGGATGTGGTACTGCATGCCAGAGGCAGCAGTGTCACGGATCGCCTGGTGGATGAGCGGGGCAAAGCTGGTGGGCCCAGACAGCTTGACATGCGGCACGATGCTGCGGTAGCGCCACAGGACCTGATCCAGCCCCTGGGATGGCTGACTGTTGGGCAGGAAGGAGAACACGTGGGTGTCATGAGTGGACGCTGCGCGCACACATACTCTCAGACACTGTTTCGTGTCCTAGCATGCTTTGAGTGTGGAGACACTTCTAGAGAACGAGCCAGGTGCTTTGTTTGTCATTCCATAGTGACATCTCTGGCACTTTTGGTGGATTTCCTGCTGACCCTGCAACTGTGCACATGCTCTAGCCACATTATCACTCGTTTGTACCCATTGCTCCTCACTGAAGGCCCCTTCCTTGACACCTCTGCACTCATCACTTCACCATATGAATCATGGTAAGGGAGAGACGTCTGATCTGCAGGAAATTGATGAGGTTGACTGAGCTCTGTGATCGGGTGTTACTCACCGTCTCCAAAGCCATAGGCTGGGATGAGGTTGTCATCGTCAAATGGGGCAAGCGTGCGGCCAATGATGCTGAATGCCTGCTCGTAAGGGTTGGGCTGCTGGCCCACGTGATGCAGACTCAGGCCCCCAAAGCTATACTTGCCTGTCCACTCGTTGCTCTGCAAGCCAAGCCAAGTGGAGTCATGGTCTTGAACCATGGCCAGTACTTCCTTGAAATGATTGAGGAAGACGTATAGTGGAAGAAGGGGATTGCGAGGTGACCGTTGCAGAAAGTTAGCAAAGGGGCTGACTAGGACTGACGTCCATCAGCAATGCTGTACAGTGGGACCAGCTGGTCGACTGCACCTTGGTAAAATCGATTCCCACAACAAGCTGAGAACTCTCCAATCCGTTCGTCCTCAAGGCGTTTTGAACGTCTTCGAGCCTGCTGAACCTGTCTTTGATGGCTCTGAACTGTAACGTTGTCGACTTTTTCACCTGCAGATCCCCAGACACAGAAATAATATCATACTGATTGATGTAAAGCTAAGAAATTCACTGAGATAGGGCATGTCACGAGGGACTTCGGACCTTTGAGGCGCCACTGTGATCACATTTGCTGCTAGTACTGCCCATAACAGGAGGCGCTGCTTTGCACCCGAGGCCTCTACAGAAACGCAGAAATTCTGCTGATGTATGAGACTGCGATGGGGGACCCGTCTTTCCAAGGATGTCAGAAGATCTTACTGTCGTTCTGTCTCTTCACTGCTCTTCTGAGGCAGCTTCCTCGATCGTTCCTTTGGAATTTGCAAACGGCGTTGCCTCCTTAGCGCTCTCCACGATGTCCCATCGGAAATTCCAATGCACCGGTTGAAAAGGATTCTTACAAAGCAATCTGGTATTCGTATTTCGAATCCTACCAGCAGGCCGGTCGAGCAAAGACCCACGCGGTTGCAAGGTTTACTGCAACCTGCTGGCAAACTTTTGTCTCATCAACTGAGAAAGCTCGTCAACTAGGCTCTTTGACGTGTCATCGAGCGCACCAAAGCCTTCAAGCTAAAACACACTTCTGATGGTACAACTTGAAGCACAGGAAAATTGGGGAATGAATGTCAGGAAGGATTGCTGACATGACCACAACTAACCATCTCGGGTTCATTTGGGCTTTATAGTATGATCATCCTGACACCATCGGAATTACTGCTGGGCTCTGGGCCGCTCTCCTGGGCAGCAGTATCCCTGTGCATATGGCTCTCGTATGTGTTTGCCCAAGGGCTGGGCAACATGGGCCGCTGGGACAGGCATCATCTGATATGGGGCCTTCTCAGCATTGTACACTTCATGTACTATGTGCTGGTCATCGACAGAACTTTTCAGGTGCGTCCACTGGGTCTTAGTATACCTGCTTTTAGAGGCTTGATGTGCACTTGCATGCTTCTCTTCAGAACAGAACATTTTGGCTCACATTTGTGCATGTTGCAAAAAAGAAATAGAGCATCAACGCATCACACCTTCTTTGGGCACTGAAGCGTCCGCGCTGCTGCAGAGTTGGGGAGACGTGTACTACTTTTGTGGAGAGGACATGCGTTTCTGCACCTGTGACTTCAAGTGGAACCTAGCTGGCTGGGGGAAGGCGCTTACCTTATGGAACTTTGTCCTGTCCAGCGCATTGGGTCTCCAAAAGCTGGCCATCAGGGTTGGCATGGACGGCCTCTTGCCAGGTGCTAGCTGATGTTCAGCATTTGCTGCCTCTAAAGTTGTCAATGGACCAAATGCTTACATTGCTGATCATTTGAGGTCAATGCAATGAGTTCTGTCTGCAACTTCCCCATATAGTTGGGCCAAGTAAGATACCCATTTCACCAGGCAAAAGAGTCACACGTGCGGCCTTGGCAGAGCAGTGGAAAATGATCAAAGGCTGATGGGTTTGGGGTGCAGGAGAGGAGGTGGTGACGAAGGAGTCGTTCATCAGCGTGTGTTGGCGCCTGATCCCCTACTGGCTCAACAACTGGGAGCAGCAGTGGGGCGCCGAGTGCAGCAGCATGATGTTTGAGCTGCCCCACTTTGCCATGGAACTCCTGGTTGTCCTTCCCTGTGTGCAGGTGAGGGACCCCTTACCCCTTCTCTTGTAGCATGACTTCAGCTTGGGCTGAAAATTCCTGCCTGAGTAAAAAATGTGCAGAAAGGCCTCCTGACTTGTGGAGGAGATCTTCCTTCCAGACACCTGTGCAGAGGATAGAATGGGCATGTGATGCCTTCCGCTTCTTGGAAAACAAGTGGAAAAATAAAGAAATGTTGGGATCCTGAGGGTGCGCGTGTGTGTGATCTCTGCAGATTCTGTGCGCTCGGCTGAAGATTCTGGCGATGCCGCCGGGGAGGGCGGTGGTGGCGCATGGGGGGGCCGCAGCGGCTGAGGTGGAGCCCGATCTGGCGCCCTGCATCCTGCGCGGCGGCTGGGTGCCCGGCCCTGAGCAGCGGAAGCTGATACCGCGGCTCCGGTGCGCGCCAATTCACACCGTTACTCAAGAAACAAAGTCCTTGATCAAGAATGCTGAACAAACCTGCTGTGGGTGGTCTCTTCAATTCTACTGAGGCGTCCTCAGACCTTGTGCAAGGTACTCATTCATGCAGACAACTGGACTCTCGGTCAAAGCGCTTATGCCGAAGAACTGTGGAGCTTTGGATGGGAGACATGGTGACAGCTTTAGCTATTGAAAGCCCTATCACAGCAATAGGTGGACAGAATAGAAAGTTGCTTCGTCCTCCAGTGATCTCCTGAGTCACCACCGGTGCGCAGAGCAAACGTGAGGGTGTTGGCGGTGGTGGTGGCGATAGCAGCGATGGCAGCAAGCAACGCGCTGATAGTGCCGCTGAGGTTGGAGCACCAGATAGAGGCGCACGCGCGCACGCCGGCCATCCTGGAGGGCCTGGCCGGGGGCCAGTTTGCGGCGGTGCCGCCGGAGGGGGGGCCCTGGGGGCTGCAGGGGCCACTCGGAGGGCTGGAGGTGGCCTTCCGGCAGAAGGGCTGCGACAACATGGAGCTGCTGAGAAGGTGCGCTCATATCAGCTTCTGGGGGTTCCTACTCACGCGCAATACTTGAAAAATTGTGAAGCTTCTAGAAATGCCGGGGCGCAGATTATGAGTGGAGACCTGCACTTTGGAAAATAAATGCAGCTCGGACCTGTCTATTCTACATCTTGAGCTTGACGCTTTCAGTGTTGCATGGTTGGTGGCTGTATGCCGGGTATCATGCACTGGTGTCAGGCCGCATTTGTGCTGTAGATCACACAAGGTGGTTGCAGTTCTTGATGTGGGTCTGTGCTCTCTCTGTATGGGTTTGAGGTGGTCCAACAGAGGAGTTGCGATTGAGAATGGTTGCTGTGGCAGTGAGCACCAGCTTCCTGGGTTTGTAGTGTTGAGCTAATACTGTATGCCTGGTGGCTGTAAGCCTGATGTCAGTCGGTGATGTTAGCTCGCACTCTTGCTGCACATGACAAGTTTCACATATTGGGCGTGGCACAATGCGCAGGAAGCTGCAGAAGCATGGCACGGAGATGGCGCGGATGCGAGGCAGGGAACACCGCGAACTGATCCCTCTGGTGGAGATTGCGCTCGCCATCATGCGCCTGTCCTGCGAGAAGTTCTTTGTCCTTATTTCCGTGCTGGCCTCGTACCTGATATTCCGGGACGACGTGCCCCGCGGCGCGCGCCTGCTCATCCGGCTCAACCACCGCCTCTCCACCCTCTTCCAACGGGTGCGCAGACCCTCACGCTTACTAATGCGCTTCCAATCTTAGAAGCGCGCTCCTCTCAATTACTAATGCGCGTGTAACATGTGGCATGCAAGGGCCAAGGTCTGCCGAATCAGGCAGGGTTGGTTTGTCCAGCACTCAGTTTTGATGATTGTGCTGCAGCAATCGTCAGTTCTATGGTGATCGGCTTCCCTTTGCGCTGCCAGCATGCTCGAGTAGGGGCGCATCACTTAGCAACGTGTGTTTGTGTGCGAGTTGTGGCATGGTCCTGTCTATAATGGCATAGAGACTGCATGCTCAGCTAGTGAACACCTTGCAGATGCCAATGGCCTTTCAAACCTTGGGAGCCTGCAATCCAGATGTTCCCGATACCTCTTTCATGCCAACGGCATTTGCCAAGGACAGGGATTGATGAAGAGAGGGTTGCAAGATGTGTTTGCGTATGCGCAGGTGATCCTGTACAGTTTCCCGGCCATCTGCTGGCTGTATGGCGCGGGTTTCGTGTTCTCCACGTTTGTGTCGGTCGTGTTCTGGGGCGCCTCCGTGCAGCAGCTGTGGGAGTCCCTGCGCAAGCACTCCACCATCGTGCGGCCCATGGGACTCCAGGTACGCACCCTCATTGGCCCTTGCACCTGCACAGAATTCCAAACTTAAATGAGGACAGCGACACAGAAATTCATCATTGTCTTTTGGCATGCTCAATGTCCGTGTGAGGGTGCACACCGCGCCATAGCTTCTGCATAATGTGCGCTGCAAGTAATTCTCAAAGAGCACCTCGTCCTGTGGTACAGGCATGTGATCAACCCGGCCCGCAGGCGCAAGCATGCAGCAACTTGCTTCATCCTGTCACACAGTCATGCAGGGCATCCGGCCCGCCAGTGACAGAATTATAGCAACCCTTGCTTCAACAGTGAAAGGTGTGTGCGCGCAGGACGCGACGGAGGAGCAGATAGAGCGCATGAACAACAACTGCGCGGTGTGCTGGTCGGAGATGGGGGCGCCCATGCCGCGCGCGCCGATGCTGCTCATGGGCGCCGGCGGCCCCGGCCTGGCCGCGCTTCACGCTGTGCCGGCCCACGCGCCCGGCAAGTCGCTGCTGTGCGGCCACGCCTTTCACGAGGCCTGCATCAAGCAGTGGCTCGTCCAGTGCCACGGGTGCGGCCTATTTCACAGGGCATTTTTTCACACGCCAATTGCTTCTGTATAGCGCAGGCTGCGCGGCCAAACCTGCATGTAGCTGGCACGGAAATTAATCTCATAAACGGAACACATGCCATTGCTTCTCAGCTGGACTGGGGTGTGCTATGGGTTGCTTTTGGGCAGCAAATATGTTAAGAAGCATTATTTTGGTGTTGTAACTAACACTTTCAGACTATGCAAGGTGAAAACATCTCAGCCATTTTCAATGCTTATCAAGGCATGGTGGTCTTTTAGCCCTGTCTGGTCCAACTGCAAGTCTTGGTGCTGTAGCCTTCTGCTGCAAGACTCGCAGTCCCTGCAGAACTTGTACGGTGCTGCGGCACCGGCTGGCAAGATGAGATGTGTCAGGCGGCTGAGGTGTGCGGTGGGTTTTGGCGGGTGCAGGCAGGGGCGGCAGCCCACGTGCCCGATGTGCAACGCGGTGATAGAGCTGGAGGTGCTCTACCGTCTGCCAATCCCCTGGACGTTGCGGCATCACCACGCCAACGCAGATCCTCCGCAGCCCCAGGAGCTGCCTCCACACGAGCAGGTAACACCTCTGCAGAAGATGTGTTATTTTGCGGTCCTGCTTGCACAGCGAGGATGCCCAATGCCGCTCTCCCACAAACTGCCCTGTATGAACCTATTTAGCTCAATTTCTCGGGTGCCTGAGCTGTTGCTGACATGCGCGACACAGTCTATGCCTCACCTAGATCTGAAGCTAAGCGCAGCACTTCAAAAGATGCAGGGTCCCATGCCTGCATGATTGGCGTGACATGCATGCAGGTGGTTGGCAATGTAGAGGCTGCCCAGCTGAGCAGATATTTTGTGCGCAGGTGAATGGCAACATTGCGCATCCCCATGACAATGAGTTCTTTGAGGTGATGGAGGAAATTGCTGTGGGTGGTGCTGTTGGCCACGGCAATGACCACCTCGAAGGCCACCAGATGTGACAGGGGGCTGTCATAGAGTCTTCTGACTGGTGCCATGCTCAAGAAAAGCCGAGGTATTTGGGAGAACTCTTGTCTCTCTCTCTTGTCACAAAGAGGAAAAGTGGTTCTGCTGTTAGGAGAGGAATGGCATTGATAGGGCTGTGGCGGGGCCTGTGATAGTTACCATGCTTGGGGGCTGTTTAGGGTTCTCCCAGCCAATTGCATTGTCAGCCTGCGGGGCAGGGCCATATTAGATGCCCTGTGCTTGCATGCACACCCCACAGAAGAGAGATGGGCATCTCAATTGATGGATCTCCCCGATTCAATGGGATTGTTTGAGTCGTCTGCCGTTTGTACAGTATACTACGTAGAATGTCAATCAATTGTGTGCCCAGCAATGCACAGAAGAAGGAAAATCTGAAGCCTGCTTTGTCTTCACAAAGCTTTATTTCCCAGGATCAACTAGCGGAGGGATTTGCGCAAATCCATGCCATGGCATGCCGGATTTGGCACCCTTGTGAGCATAATGGTGTGATGTGTCTCAAGAGCATATTGAAAATTGCTGATGATACTGGACGTGTTCACCGTTGATTCTTACAGTGCTCGGCTGTATCAACAAAAGTAAAGAACATGCCGGATCCAAAGTGGACACCCTCATAGGCAAAGTGAGCGGCGCCTTCAATCATTGCTAGATCCAGTTTTCAGCATCTAGAGTTGCAGGGCACTTTATTTCATGCATTGCAGCGCGTGGCCCCAACCGAGGGTCTATAGAGAAAAGAGCAGGTTGGCATGTGTGCAATGTGATTAGGTCAGACACAATTGGGGATTCAGTACAACAATGCCCTCTCTGTATCCTCGCCACATATGATTGTTCTTGTCCTTTGAGTTCACCATATTTGCTGAACAGACCAATGACAAGCATGCCTGTCCAAACATCCAACGATCTGCTTCTTTGATCCAGAAGACAATGCAGCCTTGCGACCCTGATCTGCTTGTCGTGGCAAAGCCACCCATACATGTACAGTCGCAAAAGCCTATGTGCCATCCCTGAAACAATGTGCCAAGCTCAGACTGCTAGGCAGTCACACACGAAGTACTCCAGACAAGGGCGGCGGTGCCAGCACACAGCTGAGGCCCGCTCACTTGTAGTACGAGTTTATCCGGGCCTTCACAGCCGGCGGGAGGTCATTCTCGTCCGTGCTCTGGTTGCTTTCAGTGGGTGATCCCTGCAGCCCGTTGTGGCCTGCCGCAGGCCTCCCCGTGTGGGCAGGGGGACTGTCCTCGTCCCCAAACATCTCCTCGGGGGGCGTTGACAGAATGCGCGAGGGGCGCGGCCGGGGGCGATAAGCATCAGCCGCGCGCTTGCCTATATTGGCGTCCAGGTTGCCGCTGAGCCCCCCGCTGAGGCGGCTGTTCAGCGGCACGCCCTCCGGCACCAGCCGCCGGTTCCGCCGCCGCGCTATTATCTGCTCCCCCGCCCCCACCTTGCCCTCCTGCAGTCCCAGAATCATTTGTCAGCTTAATAGTACAAAATCACAGATATAATTATCTGTCAATTCCTTGCCAGGGCTATGCTTCTGTGAGATACTGAAGCCCTACCAGCCCCAGTAAATGCCAGACATGAAGGAGGCGGGGTTGGGCTATAAGGGCACAAGTAATGGCGCTCTTGAAGGTCTGCACTGCAGCGTTCGCGACCCACAACCAAACCCTCTGCAGCGTGTTGTGCATGGATTAATGCAGACGCAGAGACAAACGCACCTTGAGCAGCTCGCTTGGCCGCGGCGGCAGCTGCGAGGAGAACGACCCGTGGCTGGGCAGCGGATGCAGCGGCGGCCGCGGCAGGTTGCTGCCGCTGGGCCCCCCGGCATCGCGCAGGGGGCCCCCGTCCTCGTCCCCCCAGTCCCCCGGATCCACCCGGCCCGGCGCCGCAAACGCGCTCGGTGGCATCGACGGTCCCCCGGGTCCCCCCGCCGCCGCTCCCTTCTGCGGTCCCCCTGGTGCAACCCCCTGGCTGTTCACCGCCGTACTCAGCTCCGTCCAGCCGCTGCTGCCGCCGCTGTGGGGGTTGCCGTATGCGGCGTTGCCTCCAGCCCCCATGTAGCTCGGCCGGGTGTGCAGCGAGGCGCCGTTGCCCGGCACCGGAGCAGAGTAGAGCTCCTGTATGGGCTTACGCGGGCCGCCGCGCATGTGGTAGTCCATGCGCAGCGTCTCTGCCGCGTTGGTGCGATTCTTGCGCGAGCCTAGCCGCGACCAGCTGAACAGCTCCTGCGACAGGACAGCACACACAACCTTAATCCTCTGCACATTTCCTGGCACAGCTCAAGCCGTGTTGGTGGCTCCTCTGCACAACCTGTGCATTCCCTGGGAGAGCTTGACTATGATCAACTCACTCGTTGCGCTGTGAAGCAAGCCTGCATGCCCACTCTTCCCATACATTGCCACACCAAGATTCGACCAAAAGTGTTAAGCCCTTCCGCAAAGTGTCAGGGCAGGCATGCTACAGCAGCATGGGGATATGAAAACGGCGCAGCAAATGGGAAGGTGACTGGGGCTCTGATGCATCGCTGAAAAGGGAAAGGGAGCACACCTTGACAATGCCGACGAAACACCAGAAGAGCAGGATCGCGGTGGGGACGATGTAGAACAGTGGAGTGGAGTGCAGCATCCAGAGCCCAAAGAAGAAATTGCCCAGAGAGACCACCAGAATGAAGCGGCCCCACCAATAGTGCCCCATGTTCCAGTATTTCCTGAATTTCGAGTCCGGCGGTGGCCGCACCAAAAAGGCAATAACAACCTGCACGGTCACAAAATTAGAACGCCCTCACGCTGTGCTCCACAGAAAATTTTCTGTGGTGATGCACAGGGCGCAACTGCATGCGCCGTGACTCAGCTTTCTTTGTAGAACAATGCCCAAAACCCTGATAGCAAGGCAAAGCCAGGTCTGCATGCAGTGCAAAAGTCTGTTCCTGACATAGAAAAACCCCGCTCTTGGGGCGAAGGGACCAGTATTAATCCTTCCTGCAATACAGCTTTGGCAGTGCTGGGCACTTCTGCTGAAAACACACATGCAAATGAATAGCAAGCTGCGCCAATCACTGGGCCACAAGACATGTAAAATAGTACAGGCTGGCCAAGGGTGGTTCGCATTTTGTTTAGATTGTTTATTTGGTTTTGGTTTTTATGTTTTTAGAAATTTGTAACTTAAAAATTGATTTAAAAATAATGGTGTGCTTACCTGGATCAGGAGAGCGGCCACAACAGCCGTCCCCACCCATTTGTGTACCCACTCATACGTGTCATCATTGATTAGAGTGAAGCCCACAACCAGGCCAGCCGCCGCTGAGACCAGCGCTAGCACTATGGCAGTGATGTGGACGTAGAACCAGTATGGCTGCCAGTTCTTGAAGGCGAACGCCGTCAGGATGGCAAATGGCAGGAAGATGACGAAGGCTGCAAACATGAGCCAGCCGTGGATCTGCGCACAGCCACACACTTGAGACAGTCAACCAAGAAACGATGCGACGCATGTCCACTACATCAGCATTAGGGGTAATTAATATACAGCAAGTTCTATCAGCATGATATGGTATAGCATCTCCTCAGCTTGTGATTGGCGGCATTACTGCAGCATGGATCCCCAAGGGACAGATGCAGTTCACAACAATTCTGAAACTCACAGCTGATGACATATCCGTAGGAAGAAGCAGATCGAGAAGCCATGTAATCAACCATTGAATCAATAACAAATTCTGAGGGCATGCACAGCACTGCTATGGAGTGACTCCTGCGCTGGACAAATCCAAGCCAGGCCTGCCATCACCTATCCCTGCTGTGCATGCTGTAATAGAGTGCCCCATCTAGAGCTCATCTGGATTCCTAACAAAAGAGGAATACATACAAAGCAGAGGATTGTGCCCGCACCCTGATCATCTTGAGGTTGTAGCCAACCAGGGCGGCATCGTTCTCGAGCTCTTTCCTCTCCTCAGGAGATGGGGGTGAGGGGATCACAGGGGGTGCAACGCTCTGGCTCACCGCAGCCACCCCTGCTGACTGGACCGGCAGACCTGAACCATAAGAGGTTTCTCAGAGCTGCAGCATCCTTGCAGAGGTCGCAGTGAACATTGCTGCGGTCCGAAGGCTGTAACATGCATAGCGCGCCGAGGCAAGGATGAACTTTGGCCAAGAGCACATCAGGATCAACTACACCCATCAGTACACAAGGAAGTGGTGAGAGAAATTCACCAGCGCTGGCCAGCTGGTCCTTGAATGCAGCTGGGAACGAGCCCTGTGAGAGAGCTGCCAGCACGCCCGCCGTCTACAAGCAAACAATCACAGACACATCAGCGGGTGACAGGTGGGATCTGAGTCAAGACGTCCTCCCTTTCTGCAATTTGCCAGCAAGATCAACCACAAATGCATCAAATTCACTTCCTCTTGATGCATCCCTCCTCAACCTCAATTACATACTTTTGCCTGACCAGAGACTGTCTAAGGGCATGCAGCGGCAGCTCCTGTCCTGCACAAGATTTGAATGTTGGATGCACCTGATCTGGCGCAGGCCTGATCTGGACGTCCACCACGCTGGCCTGGCTGGTCTGCCCCGCCTGCTGCAGCATCGTGCGCCGCCGCGTCGGCACTGAGCCTGGAGAGCGCACCCCCACCACCATGATCTGCTCCGGAGCTGCACCACGCACAACAACTTTTATCAGAATAATATCAACTGTTGGTTGTCATGCATGGTCGACAGGGGACGACGAATTCCAGCTAAACTCGGAGCAGAAATCCGACTGAAGGGCACAAGTCAAACTGCTGCAGGGAGGAATGCAGAGTTCAGTGACGGACGCAGTTCTAAAAGAGATGCAATCTAAAATTGAGTGGTAAGATGCGCACCAAGGTTGAGCTGCTTGGCGAGCGCCTGCTGGATGGCGGCCTTGTTGGCGGGTGACAGGTTGGCTAGCCCTGGGCTGTCCAGGGACAGCGCCAGGTTCACCACCTGCTGCCCTGCCGGTCCGGGCGCCAGTGCAGCCGCCACCGACGGCGCAGGCGCCGCCGCCGATACAGCAGCCGGTGCCGGTGCCTGTACAGGCGTGCCCTCTGCTGCTGCTGGAGGGAACGCTGCAGCCAGGTCAGGTGCCAAAATAGGCCCCGGGGCCGGTGCAGGGACGCCGCCGAACGCCGCGGCCTCCGGGGCCGGGGCCGGAGCGCTAACAGGAGCGGCAAGGCTTGGCGCAGGCGCGAGCTGTGGCGAAGGGAGCGCTCCGGCAGCGGGAGCGGGCGCGGGCGCGGCCGGCTTCGTTGGCCGCCTTGCGCCGCCGCCGATCTCGGTGATGCTGGGCTCCGGGGCCGGCGCAGCGGCCGGGATGGCGGCGCCTGCCGGGGCCAGCGCCAGTTCTGGCGCGGCCGGGGGCGCGTTGGGATCACCGGGGTAGTAACCGATGTCCTCCGCCGGCCCTGCCGGCGGCGTGAAGGTGAGCGTCACGTTGCCAAGCGGCGGCGGTGCGTACGGGGGCGGCTGCTCCGGCGCTGCGAGCGGAGAGTCTGCCAGGGACGAGGACGACACGCGTGGGTTCCTTGCGGGCGCTGGTGCTGGGGCCACCCTGGGAGGGAACACCATCGAAGGGGCAGGTGCCGGTACTGCAGCCGGCAGCAGGGGCGGCGGCGCGTACAGATTCTGGAGCGCTGCATTTGCCAGGGCCGCGTCCGCGTCCGTCCCGTAGGTGTCCGCGGCGGCCGGTGACAGCGCAGTGGCGGCAGGAGCAGGCGCTCCGTCAACGCTGCCGAAGCCACCAGGCGCAGCAGCTGGGGTCACTACTGGTGCAGGCACAGGAGCTGCCGCAGGCACCAATACTGGTGCCGGAGCAGGGGCAAGCAACGGCGCAAGTACTGCTGCTGGCACCGGTGATTTCCTGCGAGCGCCACCGGTCCCGATGGAGTCGTAGAAGGACGGTGCGAGGGCGACCGAGGTCGGTGTAATGCCGCTCGCAGCGGGGCCACCGGCCGGGCTGGGGGCCGGTGCGCCAGCCAGCTGGCCGGCGATTGCAGCATCAACAGCGGCTTGAGAGGCCCCCGGAGCCTGGCTGGCCGCCGCAAGGGCCGCAACAGCGGCCGCGGCGGCGTCTGCCGCCGCCAGCATGGGTGTTGGGGCCGCAGTTGACTGCGCCGGCGCTGGCGCGGGTGCTGGAGGCTGCGTATTGGCTGCAGCAAGGGCTGCCGCCAGTGCCGCGGCGTCGTCGGCGCCCTGTGCTGGTGTTGGTGCACTGGCCGCCTCCGCCAGATCCTGCGCTGCAGCGGATGAGTCATCCGTGGACGCCGCAGGCACAGGGGCCGGCTCTGCCGTTGGCGGCTGCGCAGGCGGGGCCGCGGTATTACTCTTGACCGCTCGCGGGGCCGGAGCGGTAGCTTTTGGTGCTGCCGCTGGTGCGCGGGTTGGTGCGCGAGCCGGCGCTTTCAGCGGCGCTGGTATGGGCGCGGAAGGCTTGCGGGCCGCAGCGGGCCGAGGCGCTGGAGCTGGCGGCGTGGCGGCTGCAGCGAGTGCGGCCGCCAGGGCCGCGTCGGTCGCCTGCGCAGGCGAGCTCGCCTGGTTCGCCAGATTCTCCAGCGCAGCTGCGGCCGCTGCCTCGTCTGTAATTGCTGCAGCTGGTGCAGGAGGCAGTGCTGCCTTTGCAGTGGGCGGCTCAGCCGCAGTAGTGGCTGCTGCTGCGCTGGCAGGCGTCTGATCAGGCGTCGGGATGGCGGCAGACGGCGGTACGACGCTGTTGATAAGCTGTGCCGCGAGCGGCGCCGGCGCAGGAGCGAGGGTATTGCCTCCACCCAACGCAGAGCCCACGAGCCCGCCAACGTTCGCACCGCCGAGGGCGGTGAGGTTCTGCCCGTTGACGCTGCTGTGGTCCTGGCCGGCCGCTGACGCGAGCGAGCTCAGGTTCTGCTGAGTCACCGGGGCCAGCGCCCCCGGCGAGAACTGACTCAGCGCCGCTGCGACCTCATCCGCTGATGTAGGCGCGGGTGCAGGAGCTGCTTCTGTCAACAGTCCGGCCAAGTCTGGCACTGCTGTGGCCGACTCTGCCGCTGGCGGCTGCGCAGCTGGTGTTGCCTGAGGACTTGGAGCGGCTGCTGCCTTGGATGTGGGTGCAGGAATTGTTGCCGGCGCCGCTTTCGCCGGAGGCCTGGCCGACGGAGTGGGGGCTGCTGCAGCCTTTGCGGGGGCCTTGGCGGTGGGCGTTGCTGCTGGTGTTGGCGTCCGCGACTGTGTCGGCACAGGTGTGGCCTGCGCCGGCGCCTTTGCTGTTGCAGCACTGGGCGGCACGGCTGCAGCTGCTCCCTTGGGAGCGGCCGCTGCCTGCGGTGGCGGTACCGCAGCGGCAGCAGCAGGCGGCACAGCTGCCATTGCCGCCTGCGGCGCAGCTGCCGTTGCCGCCTGCGGCGCAGCTGTCGGCACCGCGGCCGGCACCGGTGCAGCCGCCGCGTCCGCCGCATTGCTGAAGACTGCGGTCGGCGGTGTTCCCTGCTCCGCAGGCGGGCCGGCGGCGCCGGCCGTGTCGGGCGAGGCAAAGTCTGGGAATGCCGGCGGCGCAGAGATGACTGGATCCGCCGACGCCGCGCCAGGATATGCTCCGAGAGCAGGCAGGCCTGCGCACCATTGTTATATTGATGCTTCAGAAGCCCAAAAAATACGGCTCTAATCAACGGCCAACACATCACTGCCAGAGAGTCAAAAGGGCTCCTGCATTGCATAACACCCGTGCAAACCCACAAGACTCAGAGCCCCTACCTGGGCTGTTGTCCACGACTGTGACCGAGGGCCCCCCATTCACATCCACCGCGCTGAATGTGGCAGCCTGCGCACAACAACAGAGTCCGAAAAATATTTACTGGGACCAAATATATGAATGAATTGAAACATCATGCACAGGCAAGCAATATGCTTGTCATCCATCAGCGTGCAGGAATCGACAAAAATCAATCAGCACGGCAGGGCATCTCTTCTGTGCAGTAGGGCGGTTGCTCCCTGGCAGCATCGCCCCAAATTAGTTGAAGACAAGCGTCCATGGAAGAAAAGTTGTGCAGAGGTACGACAACAACAATGTCGGCAAGAGTGGCGCACCTCAGCGTTGGGTGAGAACTGCAGCCGCTGGCCGGCCACGTCAGCGTCGGTCCTGGCTGGCGCCGGCGGAGGAGGAAACAGCGGCTGCGGATTTGAACCTGCATTCGAATCGGCAGAATCTGCCTCCTGCCCCGGGTAGGAAGACAGCAGCGCTGGGGACGTCCCCTGCTGCAGCAGCCTCCGCTGTGCTGCACTCCCCTGATTGGGATTCACTGTATGTGGCAATTCTGCCCATGCCCGGGCCCCCTTCTCCCCAAGACACCTGAGCAAAGCAGGGCAAACGACAACTCAGATTTGTGCGCCAGTACCTGCACATCCTCTTAGAAACTTGCAACCGCAAACTGCGAGGAAACAAGGCATCCTGAACAACTTGGAACACACTGTGGAGGTGTGCAGTATAAGCATTTTAAGTGTAGGGGTATGGCCACAGGTTTTGATCTTGGCCATTACCTTAATTGAAGGGACACCACTGAAGACCAGCTGACGCCTTCTGGCAGCCGCATTCTCTCCTGTACAGCAGCAACATTTCTTCAGCAATGTGCGTCAAACACATGCATGCAGCAGTATATGCTCAACCAAACCCAGCTGATACAATACTCCCAGTTTTCTACAAAATTGCAGACTTTTGAGATGTTTTTCTCTTTCTAAAAACACTCTTGTATCTCCGTCAATGCTGCAGTGCTCATGTATCTTGTTGAAGAGGCCTGGCGCCTCCACATGCACTTGCAGAGCTGACACTCACCTTCTCCCCAACTTGATCTTGCCTTAGTCTTGATGCATGCTCCCCCGCCTCCCTGTCACGCGTACAAGCAAGAATCAACAATTCAATCAGCAAGGCGTATATCTCCTTTTCCACTAAAGACAGGTGCTTTCATAGGTGTGCATGGCTCTGTCCAAAGTATGGCAGCTCCTAAATGTGAATTAAGAGTCTCACTTATTAGAACTGCCCAGTTTTGTTGAAGGTGCAACATCTGCCCACCAAGCGCAATTTTCTGAAGCCTCTCCGCGCCACCTGACCAAGCAAAACAGTAGACTCTGTCAAGCCTGTAGCTTTGCACCTGAAGGTGCACCGCACTGCTCACTCCTTAAGATGTACTCTTCCTGAAAAAACTCGAAGCCTTAAATGAATCAACGGCCATGTGCAGCAATTATCCTTAAAAAAGCATGACATCTGCAAGTGCTGTCACCACGAAGCAGCTCAGGATCCTTGAGTATGCAACCCTGACAAAAATTTCAGCCAAAACTCGTTGCATAACTAAGTTGAATGCGATCGAGATATGGAGAGCCAAAGGTGCAAGAAAGAACAGCAATTAGTGTAAAGAAGATGGGCACAACAAGCAGCGATAGCTTTATGCTAGCCTTCCCCGGGTTTGCCACCGGTGATGCGCCCGGTCGAAAGAATTCAACTTGAATTGTACGTTGTGGTCAGATAAGTCCTGAAGTTCTTTTATTTTTCACGGTGTACTTGCCTTAGCTCTTGTACTTCGAAAGAGCAGTCGTCATATACTCGCAGCCTCCCCGCCGAACCTTGCAAGAATAGTTCAGATCCCACAACAGCACTGCGATCTGAACAAATAAATGATGCCGAGATCGACTGGATCCCGAAATTGGCAACCACTAGGAAAGCTAGCAACGGAGCTATTCGCCCCGCTGTCTTCCTCGTCATCGACGTGCTCGGAACGGGTGTTGTGATTTTCGAGACAGGATGCTCATGATATTTAAGCTTTACAACTCACAACCGTACTCAGGTGCTGCTCTTCTCCTCGAACCCTTTCTTGTTGCTGGCGTGCCGAATGGTTTCATCAGTTGTACTAACTTTTCGGGAGGGCTATAAACCTAAAGGGTGACGGGCCTATAGGCTTGAGGGAGGTGCAGCATCTAGAATATGAACCCAGCGAAGCTGCTCTAAAAGCAGTATTTCCAAATTGAGTCCTGGGATCCGTCCTTCATCACAGCATGATTTGCAAAATTGTACATTAGAGGAAAGTGTTGGCCAAGTGACACCTTCGATTTGGTCGAGGACACTATAGAGAGTAGCACCATGCCTCTTCATTGGAAATCAAGGTACTTGAAATCACACAATACATATTCATTTTCAACTGTGGTAGCGTGCATGTGAATCCAATTTCTTGGGCTTACCTTACTTATTGCATCACCTGTTCTGCAGGCCTCATTCCCCAAGGATGACCCCTCTATGGGATGGGCTTCAAGATGCTCAGGAAATAGCTGAAGCGGGGGACACATCTCTCCTAACGAGTCTGATACGACAGATGGCTGACAGAATTGATGAAGAGGCCAAATTCATGGAAACCGTTCACGGCCAGGTTGGGTTTTGTCTAAACCTTGGGATGGGACAGCCTGCCAATTGGAGCAAATGCATGCTGCAGCCTTCCATCATCAGGACATGCCATTCCCAGATTCTAATTGTATCTTGTTCACACCTTCAGAGTCAAGCACTTGCGGTGCGCTGCCAGGCGATTCAAAAAGCGTGCGAGGTCCAACAAAAGGAGTGGATCAGGATAGAGTATGGTGAGTTTGTTTTGTGCGCTTGATTGATTTTGGAGCTAGTCCCTGTGATGTCGCCGCCATCCATCAGTGTGATCCTGAAAGCAGATGTTTGTTCATTCCTCTCAGGTGGTGCAAGCTTACCTGATGATGGTGCCAGCAGTGCCTACACCCTGACAGAGGCACCAGAGACCTCAGACCAGCAGGATCCTGGTAGACAAGCAGGTCAGCATGTGCGTCCAGCTCCGTTGCAGCTGCCAGAACCTGACTGCCAGCCTGGCAGCTCAGAAGGGCCCTCGCCAATGAGCAGCACAGACATCACAGCAGTTGGCAGCCCTCCACAGGGAGGCGACCTCGATCCTCAGCTGATGCTGTGCAACCCGCTGTACAGCATGGCCAGCCTCAGGTTCCGCAGCGATCCCTCCGCCCCCGGCAGCGAGAGCAGCTTCCCAGAAGCCGCATCCTCCGCCGCCGCAGCTGCCGCGCAGCCGTGCGCTGCCGTGTCGCTGTGTAGCAGCCCGGCCGACGCTTGCGCAGTCCAACCGCCGCCCAGGAGCATGCTGCTTCCCAAACTGGCTGCGCAGAAGGCCTGGCCGCCACGGCTTGCGATCCCTGGCAGCGAGGCAGGAGCCTCCTGCGATGGAACAGCAACCCTCGACAGGCAGACAGCAAGCCGGCATGCACCGGCGCCGAGTGAGGGTGACAGCTCAGCCTGGTTTGCCGCGGCTGCCGCGCACAGTGCTGGGTCCTGCGTGTCCAGCCCTCGCGCCGCTGCCATGCTTCAGCAAAACATGACAACCGGCAGTGAGCAGGCAGAGGCCGCGGCGCCAGCAGCCGCGGCGCCAGCAGCCCTTGCCAGGTCCATAGCAGAGCCGCCGCAGCCTTTGGGGGGTGCGCAGGACTGCAGCCAGGCAGCATGGCGGGACGGTGAGTGCGATGCTGCAGCGTCCGTGACAATGGACGCAGCCTCGCAGGCAGGGGAGGTCCCGCGTCAGGCTCGCGGCAAGCGGCCATGGCGGCCCCGGCCGCCGCCGCCGCCGAGCTCCTGCGCGTCCAACCGGCCGCTGAAGTCCTCCGGGCCTTTCTTCCCTCCCGCGGCCCGCTTTGTCCCTTCGACGTCCGCGCGCTCGGCTGCGCACTCTGCTTTCGCCGGCCCTGACGCCGGCATTCAGGCTCACAAACCCGAGCTTGATGTAGCCTCCTCTGAACAGCCACAGCAGCAGCAGCATCGACAGCAGGGCCCCTGGACAGCTGGTGGGGCAGAAGGCAACTGTGGTGAGGGAGAAGGCGGTGACAGGCTGCCAGAGGAAGGCGGCAGGAGCTGGGTGGATGACTGCTCCACCCCAGATACCATGATTGTTAAGGGCGAAGAGGCAGATGCGCATGTGGGCTGGAGCGCGCATCTCCAGGGCCAGCACATGCATGTCTTGCGCGAGGAAGCAGAGCCGCCGCAGCTGCAGAAGGAGAACTCCGCCTCGCCGGAGCAGCGGCTGCCGGCTTTCTCAACGGTCCTGAAGCCTGGCAGGTCGGAAACTCAACACATGCAGCAGCCGAGGGCGCCGGTGTCTACCTTGCAGGAGCGCAACAGCCCCGACGCGGCCGCGCACTTCCCTCAGCAGCTCGTCGCGCAGTCCCTCGCGGCCCCGTGCAGCCGCCACCTGCCCGGCCAGGGTCCCCTCGCCACGTCTTCCCCCGCCATTGTTCGTGCCGCAAATAGACAGCTCCGATCAGGGCCCGAGCAGCTCAGAGCCTTGGTGCAAGCTGTACCCCACGCAAATGCCCAGGCAGGCCTCACGGCTGACGCAGAGGTCTCGCTGGCATCGCCGCTTCGGCGCTCCATGCAGTGGGCCAGCCAAAGCAGCCGGCAGATGCTGCCGCCTCTGCCTGAGGCACAGAGGACGGCAGGGGACAGCAACGGAGACAGGGCGCAGCCTGCAAATGACAGGCAGGGGAAGGGCTTGAGGGAAGAGCCGCAGTCTCTGGCAATGCTGCGGTCGTCGGGCATCCTGCAGAGGGACGGCCCGCTGGCGGCGTCCGGCGCGGCGGCTCTGGCGCGCGCGTCGGCCCCGCAGCCGCCGGTCAGCCTGCGCCGGCCTCACCCGGCCGACCTGGAAGCTGCAGAGCGGCTGCGCGTCAGCCTTTCGTCCGAGGGCGGCAGCAGCAGCCGCGCCTCAAGCGAGCCGCTGAGTTGTTCGCGCCTGCAGCAGAAACAGGAGCCGGCCCAGGAGGAGGGTGCCCTCAGAGCTTCTGGAGGGACGCAGGCGCCGAGCACCCCCAAGCATGCGCCGCGGCCCAGCGCACTGCCTGACAGCCCCCTCACCTGCACCAGCAGCGGTGCGCGCTCTGCCACACCAATGGCCAAAATTCCTCTGGGTCATATGTTAATTGCAATCTCTTCGCACAGGCCAGCACCGTGCAGAGCATCCTATACCCCTGAAAGTGCTTGGACCTTATTGACTTTTACCAGATGTAGCATTTAAGAGATAACCAAGGCAGCGCCCCGTTAAAAGAGACAAACTGAAGCTGTGAATGTTCTTTGGGCTGCAGTGGCCCACGAGCAAGGCGGTGCTGGCCTGGCGGAGGCATGGCAGACGCCGGCGCGGCCGGCACCGGCCGGCGGCAAGCAGCCGCAGCCGCCGCCGACGGTGCCCAAGCACCTGGCGACGCCCTCTCTGATGCTGCGCGCCGGTGACGCGGCAGTCTATGATGAGCCGGAGGTCGATCGTGTGACACCTCGTGGTGATCCACCACCACGCGCTGCTGGCCCACTTACCACAGGTCTGTGCCTTTTGGGCTGAATGATTTCGTGCGTATCATTCATACAGTAACAACCAGTGTCATATTTATTAAGGGCGAAGAGAGTGCCAATATCATCGTCAGAGGGATGCCGCTGGCATCCCTCTGACACGTCTGCAACCCCTTCCAACCCGAAGGGAGGCAGAAAGCCACCCTTCTTTAAGCTTTTATGTCTGGCAACATAAAAGTTACAGAGGCGCCTCAGAGTCCCCCACAATGCAGGGGACTCTGATTTCAAGTAGTTCACGTTAAGAATGCCCTGCTGCTTGTGAAGCATGGTGGACAGTTCTAATGTCCAGCAGATGTCAAGACTTTGTCACTCCTGCTGGGTACTTTGCTGAGGGCCTGACTGACCAACACTGGACTATGGTGTTGACATTACCACGCATGTGGAGATGAAGGGACTAGAATGCTGCTGTGCCATGAGTGGTAACGCGTTGGATGTGCCATGTGCTGTGCAGTGGAGAACGTGCAGCGCGTCCTGCAGCTGGCCTCTCCAGCGCCACCGAAGCCGGAGGTGCTGCCAGCGACGGCAGTGGCACAGGGGCCGACCGCTGCAGCACCGCGCGCCAAACCGCAGCTGCCGCCGCACCTGCGCAGCGCCTTCTCAACACTGCGCGCACCACTGGCACAGCCCGGCTCCCCGCCCGCCAGGAAACCCCAGGCCAAGACCAGTACGTCGAATCTGAAGGCTGCTGTGGGGCCAATTCCAGTGAAGCAGGTTGGAGATCTCTCGTCTTGTTGTTCACACTTCTGACGTCAGTCATTGTTCACAAGTCTGGCATACACAGCTGCAGTGTGTCAAAGCATGTAAAAGGGCGCAGGGTACCCTTTAAAGACTTGTGATCAATCGCACAACCATGCCCCTTGCATGCACCACTGACCAGACCGCTGACGGTATTCTCGGCCTCTATTTGTCTGAAGCCACGTCCATGCTCTGAGTTTCCTGGAATACAGATAGCGACCCAGATTGAGACAGTCACTCTGCATGCTGCAGGATGACACACCGGGCAGGCTGGGCGTGTCGGCTGCGGGCCTTGCAGCTGCGGCTGCACGATTGAAGCGCGTTAGCAATGCCCCGACTCCGCCATCCTCGCCGCCTGCACCCCCAAGGGTGTGGCCCCTCCCGATTTCCCATGCAGCGCTTTGTCTGTCACTTGCTAGAAGAAGCGGCCAAAGCGCCAGACCTCTTCACAACCTGATATTTCCGTCTTTGAGGTTGTGCTTGGCAGCCTCCACCCCCAGTCTCTGGGAGCCAGTTGAAAGATGCTCAAGGCCCAGCTTGCTGACGCTGTGCTCCCTGTCTTGGGACGACTTCTGTAGTGTTTAAGAACTGGCCAGACAGCTCTCTTTTCTGTTTTGCACACTTTCAGGGTGACAGAGCTGAGAGTGGGGTGTGTACCAGCAGGTGGCGCAGGAAGCAGCGGCGCCGGCGAAGGAGACTGCAGCGGCTGCCCCGGGGGATGCCAGGGGAGCCATGCTGAGCGCCATCAAGAATGGCCAGTTCAAGCTGAGGAAGACCCCTGCCCAGGCCAAGGGTGTGTCCCGAGAAGTTCTGCAACTCCTTCCATCTTAAATGCCCCGCGCCTTTAAAGCAATAAATAGATGAATGATTGAGGCGCCTTACTGCGTCCCTGCATCATATACCTGGAAATAAATGCAGTATACTTTGCGAGGTTCTGTACACTCATACACCTGGCAGGGTACAATGTGGAGAAACAAGCCCTCCTGACCGCTACCCAATGCACATGGCTGCTGGCTGCCCCTTCTGGCTGCTGATGTTAACCCTTGCTGGTGCAGGTGAAGCGGGAGAGGGCTACGCAGGCGGAGCAGGGGGTGGAACAGCCGAGGGCTGCTCACCGGCCATGGTAGCCCTGATGGAGCGCGCTCGAGCCATGCGCGCTGCCGCGTACCCTGCCAGCACAGTGGATGGCAGCAGCGTCAACACCTGGGACACCTGATGTCGGTAGTTTCAGGGCAGCAGATCCAGTGCTTGGGACACCTGATAGCAGTGTATTCTTGACAAGAGAAACATCGCTGCATTCTCTCACTCCTCAGCTATGTCTGCAGCGCTGGTCAGTGCCTGCTAGCAGTCTCTCAAGAGAAGTCTGCTTGCAGACTGTATGTGTGAGTAAGCCCAAAGAGATCCACAGATTAGAGATGAAATTTTGGATCATGCATTGGATATGATAGTGGGCTTGGACAAGGTGATCTTAGATATACAACGTTTCCAAGGCATAGGCAGTAAATATCACCAGGGATATGAGGCACTCGTTTCAAGACAATGTCCCCAGACAGCATGCCAAAAAAAATGATTGTGAATCTGTGTGCCATTTGAGAATTACAGTAATCTGGTATGTCAAAAGTCAACATGTCTTCCCACCGGCGCATATACCCTATATTAGCAGAGCCATCCTCAAGATTAGTGACTATCTCATGTAAGTCTTCAAAATACAATCAAGAGAGACCGGTATAGCAGTATCAAAGAATAGCATGTAAGCTTATGCCCACAGTATGTGATACTGCACAGCAATTGTAAGATGCGCAGCAATTGCGAGCTGCAGCATTTGCATGCAAGGCTCCCATAAAAGGTAGTGTACAACAACAACAGTTCCCTCTACTTAATCGAGCCCCTCCCAATACAAATCATAAGAAAAGATTGCTCACAGCACATGTGTCTGTCACTCCCCTCTCCCATTAGTGAAATGACAGCCCTGCTGTCTACTAGTCATGAATGGGAGGATCCCACACAAACATTGCTCTATGACATTCAGTCCCACTTCCAAAAAACATTCTCAATTTGCACGACGCCCGACTGAAATTGGGATCTTAGACTTTCTCCTCTACCACATTCTCTCAAGCTGCAAGGGTCGACCATCTGCATGTGTTTCATAGATCGAGGCTTTTGCTGCTATCAAAGCTGTCCCTGCTCTTGCTGTTCCTGCCAACTCTGCTGCTGCATCATTTTGAGCACATTTGTGGAGATTGACTGCACAGATCGGCCCACAGAGAACACGGAGGCGCTCTTTGCCATGAGCACCCTCCGCCGCCGTCCCATGAACCCCCACCACTCCGGGTCTATATGCAGGTCCGCATACCTGACCAGAATCAGACAAGAGCTGTCAGCGCCTAAATCTTTGAAGTCACTAGTATATCCACCCAAATGGCGCACTCCGCAAAGGAATGCAATATGATATGCACCCAAATCAGCTTGACATGCATGAGGGGAACTCCTCAATATTGCAGTTTCCCGGAGAAACGCGTCCGCATCCTGCAATTGTATCGGAGTTCCTTGGTCATTTGTAGCCATAAGAGCAGGCTGCGCACCCGTTTCTATGGTACAGGCGGATGCCGGGGAAGTTGTCGCCGTACACATGGAGCAGCACCCAGTTTTGCTGCCACTTCCCCGCCATCCGCTCCGCTGCACCCAACAATGCGCTCGCAGCCCCACCCCGCCTAGCCACACATCATGCATGAAGCTCAGCCAATTGCCACACATGCTGCTGCTGCTGCTTCTGCTGCTATTGCTGCTCTCAAAGAGGCCTTCACTCAACAGCGGTGCAGGTAGTGAGCCATCACATCCACCTTGACAAGCTGTGCCTCAGAGCCGTGCAATAGGAATGAACGAGAACAAGAGTGGGGAGCTGGCATGCACCTGGCGTTCCTGTCCACTGCCATGCATGCAACGTATGCATAGGACTCTTCTGCAAAGCCCTTCTCTGCCAGACAATTCAGCTCCTCCTGTAGACGGCACAAAATGATAAGTTCAAATTGCCCAGCAAGCGCATTCAGCTGACACTTTAATACGACATTGAGCTGCAAAAGCAAACCATAACAGCACAATGATTGAAGCCTTGTGCGGATGCCATCGATTCAATAGGACAGCCCACCTTCTCGCCCTGAAGCGATACCTCCACAACGCCAACAATCTTGTCGGGGTCCGAGGCTGCCGACGCGACCAAACAGCAGAAACCGTCCTTGTGCGAGTACTTCATTTTTTGCTGGAGCCCTGACAACACCTCCCCCTGTAAGACACAAAAGCAATTTCATCTCGGGGTTTGCTGAACACGTCCATGACACAAGATGCAAGGAAAACGCGAGAGACAGAAGTGCATGTCTTCTTCACACGAAAAGTCAAACCTGGAAGACATAGTACAGGAGGGAGTCAAGCGGCGCAAAAGAGCTGCTCTCGTGGAAAGCCTGCGCCTGCAACCGCGCAACTGCTCCCACTTCTTCCTCCCTGTACAACACAGTCCATCTTTTTGCTCATTGATACTGAGCAACCACATCGCAAGCTTTCTGGTGCAAGGCTTTCTTGCCTGTGGCTCACCTGATGGGCCTGACTCGCCACTGGCCGTTGGGGGAGAGCCACTGCCGAAAAGGAACGCCAGCATAGACTTGCTGGCCAGCAGTGCCAGGCTCTGGCACTGCTGCGCTGTGCTCCTGCACTCCTGCCCAAGCACTGGCCCGCAGTTGCTTGGCCAGCTTTGCTGGCTTCCCTGGCAATCTGTTTCACCGCCAGGGACACGCTAAACATCTTGGAAAAACAATTTTCGTGCTGCTGATGGCTAGAACGCTAAGACAGGGCTTGTGCTATGGCAGATGCCGGTCAAAAGCCTTTAGACATCCTTGGCAGAGGTAGTATTACCTGCATGGCTTCTGCAAGTCAGCTGCTGGCCTCACAGATCTGCTGGTAGACGATCTAGGCGATAATCTCCCGACATTGACCTGATCGGATGGAGAGTGGTAGCACCCACTGGTCATCGCTGTTTGTAGTACTACGCTCAGGCTGCCTGCTTGACACGTCAACGAGAAGAGGCCCGCATACCTAGAACAGGCTAGCTTAAATTGAAGTTTTAAGAAATAGGATTCAATGCAGATAGTAACAGTTCTGCCCAAATAGTACACCCCACGCTTCAAGAGCACACCAAAAAATTCCCCGATCAGAAGCTGATCTGCCGAGCCAGCGCAGAAATATATATTTTCTTTTTCAGATCAGAAAGACTGTTCCGGTGATGTTGATTATGTCGCTGTTCGTGCGACAGAAGATCTGTGCGGTGACAGATTGGCCATTACCGACGTTCATGATGGCCCAGCTGGTGGTTGCCAGATTTGGGGTCAGCTTGAATACAAATCCCTGTTGAGAAGGCCCAAGACATCCCAGATAAAACAAGACATTACAACTTGCCTTGATGTCTGCATACCTCTTTCTCTAATTTGCTTTGGGCAAAGTGTACTTGCAGGAGCACAGAAGCAGACAATCACGCCGTATACATAATGTTATGTAATGTTGCCTGGTGCCATGGCCAGTGGCACTGTTGAGTGCCACAAACCTTCGAAAGAATACGCCACCACTGGTAAAATCATTTGGTGGCACCATCAGTGATTGTCAATGACAATTCGTCATTGATACTATCTAGTAGCCAGGCCCATACTCATCAACAAATATTCCCGCTGCCTACATTTTCCACGAAACAAATCTCTCTCATCCTCTCTCGCGATATCATACACTGCTGTCAAAGCCGCTACGGCTGTGCCCGTACAGATCTGACCAATGCTAGTAGCAATGTGCTACAGGTCATGTTCACAACAGCCAAGTTCAGAGAATTTCAATCTTCAACGTGCAACGACTACAGACCGTACAGCGCTACTGAGCACATGCCCTCTGCCCCGGCCCACCGCCCTCCTCCATTTACTTGGCTTCTGCATGCACCGGCCTTGTAACCTCATTCCATTGCCCCCGAAACAGGGCCCTGAATGGGGCATTGACCCCTTGAGTGAGCGGGTGTGAGCAGCAACTGATGTCCCAGTTGTGGGCAGTGCCTGAGCTGTCACGGTGGCCTGTCTTGGCTTGGATGATATTGAAGATGAGGAGGGCCCTGCACCTGGCCGGTCACCTTGCACAGGCCGGAAGGTGGTCTCATAGATGACCCTGATCTTCTCCGGCCCCGTGTTGTTGTCCAAGCCCTGCACATGCGCGCAGCAGAAAGAGCTCAGACTGCAGCAGTAAGAACTCGGACAACACAGAGGGCAACAGCAGGTCACCCGTGCATGAATCCCGGGCGTCCAACCACAACGCGGCTCGCTGTATTTAAATCCGGCGATGAGAAAGTCGAAGGTGTGTTGGGAAGGAACAGCACCTTGGTCAGGACTTCGCGCACTCGGGGGCCTCTCTCAGCATTGAATTTCTGCAGCGCCTCTGGTGTGACACCACCTTCCCTCACGTGCCACCCCAATACAGCACCTGCACATGAGATCATGCCATCTTCAATGGTCTCTGCAGTCCCCAGCTTGGTATGCTGAAATCAGCAAAGGACTGCAAGCTTGTCATACGGAACAGAGCTGACTCAGAAGAGCACTGCAGGGGTTTCATGCAGGGGCCCAAGCGCAGCCATGCGGTGCTCACCATCTTCAATGGCCAGATTGAGGCCTTGTCCATTGGGCAGGCCGGCATGTGCTGCATCGCCGATGATGGTCACATTGCCCCTGCACCATCCCTGCACATGCCCAACCACAAATTGTCTTAGTTCACATCTGAAGTAACAGGAGCAGACCTTGATGTTGCTTTTTGTGCACACAGCATTTCCGCTATGACTCTTGGCACGGTCTTGATACACAAGCACCCTGCCTCCTGGCAAGTTTCAGACTTCCTGACGACCGCCTCTGATCACCAACAATCGCCATTCGAGTCTGCTGATCTCAGCTGTATTGGACACGAGAAGCAGCGCACACCTCGTCTGGCATTTTGGCGACCGGCCGCTCATAGAGGCCATGCTCTGTGACTGTGCTGGGGTCTGTGTCCCTCAGCACCTCCAGCAGCCGCTCATCAAAGTCGTGGAAGACTGTCAGGCAGCGCTGCAGATTGTCCTTCTCATACACATCCTCCTGCACCGACCTGCGCCCACAGACAGGATAAGGCCTGTTCACAGTAAGCAGCATCCACACTGAGCAGCAGATGGTATCTCTGACAACTGCAGTCATATCCAGGACCGGCTGCTCCTGTGACTTTTCTTTGATAACGTAGGAAATCCAGAAAGGCAGATCACAGCAATTCAAGAATAGCCAGGCAATAAGGCAGGCACAAAGGCAGGCCAAACCATAACAGAAGGCCTTGCATGGGCGCAGTATCAGAGTACAGAAATGGAACATGTGGGTGCTTAGGCAGTTTTGCCTACCTCGATGTGTCGGCCTGGAAGGGTAGATTGTGCCGATGTAGGTGCTCTACAGGGGCGTTTGCCACGAACGTGACATGGTCCTTGTCTATAGGAAAGATGACAGCAAAGCGCCCGCCAAAACTGTCAAGATTTTCTTTCCACCACCTGCAACAGAACATTTTCAGCCTTCCTGTTTTCTCCAAGCAGCAATGACCCTTGAAGCCCCCTCATGCAACCTGCTGGTTGTAGTTACTGTGGCACACACTTTGCCTGCCCAAGCATGCATCTCGGTCCTTGGACTGCATCCCAATGCTCTGACCCCACATCGTCCCGCCGCCGTGACTTCTTTGACAAGATCTGCCTCGGCGGATGAGTACCCAACACTTAAAGGAAAGGAGCGCTGTCCTTCTTATTGTCCAGGAGATCAATTGGCTATCTTTTCTACATTACCTGGTGCGATCTGTGGAGAATTCCTGGCGCAGGGGAAACCGCGCGCGCCACATGATGTTGCCAGTGAACTCTGGCGGCCCATCATCCAGCATCTGCCGCCGCACTTTGGAGAAATAGCCGTCAGCGCCAATCAGCATCCGCGCTCGGACGCTGCTGCCGTCCTGCAATGCCATGTCAGCTCTCTCTCGCCAGTGTTACTTACTGCACTGTCATGAGCCCACTTGCTACTCTGGCTGCCTCAGATATTCAAAGGATTGTAACTGATGGGGTATTGGGGAGTTGCCGCTTCTGCCTGCTGTAACCGTTCTAAATGGACTTATTGCTGGTTTGTACTTCATCAAGTTAACAATCTCAGGGGAGCAGAGCAAAGGAGGCCGTCGCTTCAAGCATGAAGAGTGCAAGAGATCGAGCAAAGCATGCACAGCTGCAGCAGCACCTTGAAGTTCACAATGACTCCATCAGCGCCCTGGTCGTCATAGCTGGCATATCTTCGCCCGAAATCCACAACACCTGGTGGCAAGGCCTCGTACAGTGTCTCCCGGATCTCGTGCCATCCCAGAAAGAACAAGCTCTTCCCATATCTGCACACAATCAAGTCATTGGATGCTGAGCTGTCATACAAGGTGTAAGTTGAAGAATTACATGGCAGACTTGCAGCAGAGACCATACCAGCATGAACGCAATTGCTGAGCAAAATTGAGCATAATGAGCAGTGCCGCACTTCTTCTGGAAGTCGATTCCAAACATTTTGCCCATCTCCCTAAATGTCACATTCTTTCCCTCCTTGTCCCTTGTCTCACCTCCGAGCACACTCACAGACCGCGCCTTCATCCTGTGACAGGACAGGAAGCGTGAGTGGCAAGTTCTTTGAGCCCCTGAGAGCGCAGCTGACAATGCATCTGCAAATATGGAAAATCAAGATGTATATAATAGATCCACCTCTCATACAGCTGTGGATCAATGGCCTCCAATGCATTTTGTCCGTTCAGATTGATCAGAACACCTGCTCCCTGAGGAATGTACTCCTTTGCTGACTCAAACACCTGCAAGTGGAGGGCTTCCGTGAAAATGCAGCGATACCCTTTTTCAAAACCTGCATTATGTGCAATTGTCGGCAGTGTACACACTGTACGAGGGTTGCCTTGGTCTGACAGCAATGGCATGCGTATTCACAGTACCTTCACGCGAAGATCGGGCACCGCACGAATAATCGCAGCAGCTGCAGCAAGGCCTGCGGGGCCCCCTCCAGCTATCGCGACATCACAGTCCATTGCAAATTAAGTACACAAACAGATCTATACCCACAGAACTCGCAGATTGGAACGATTTGCTGTCAATACCTTGTCTACTGCTTCGCCACACTTATCCAAATATCATTTTAAAAGTATTAGATCACAGATTATAGGACAATCCTTGATCGTAACGAGAACTTGAAGCTTGTCAGGAAATCGGGCCACGTCTGTGCATGAGCAGCTTCCGTGCTGACCCCAGCAGCTTCCCTTCAAAACTTGTGAGAAGGAAGGAAGAGTAAACAGAAGGTAAATAATTGTATGTACAGCTGTTGGAAGACATTTGGACTGCAAGCAAGTTGGGTTGCAGTGATGCCACATGTATATGCACTCAGGCCTCAAATATGTACTGCTCACCGCCAGATCTGAATACCGTGCTTCTGGGGAGAAGAACTATCAATTTACTGCACTATCAAGCTGTTGCGCACGGCAGGGCATGTCAATATAATAACAATGTCATTGTTGCTACAGTCACAGGCATTAAGCAACTCGATTTCAAGCAACATGTTAATAGTATCAGGCACATGCAGGCACTGTGACAAGCAGCAATTGCTTGTATCCACGAAATTTTGACAGAGACCATGGCAAGCAGAATATTGGCAGTGACATTACTGTGCTTCCATTGTATTGCACCACTTCCAGCCAGCCCTCCAAACGTGGATTTGCTGGCATGGCGCCACACAACACAAAAGCTCCCTTGTCACACATGAAAGAGCCCTGCTGACTGCTCCTAAATTCTCCCTCCCCATAACAATTTGCTGGTGTCTTGCCAGTTCCTTCCATGAACTCTTCCCACCTGCATCTGTTGTAGTTCTGTGCCAAGCCAAGGCCACACGTCCTTACCCATTGCACATGCACACACAGTCATCTGCAGTTCCCAATTTGGATGCGTATGTAAACCTGCTCGTCTAGGCTGGCTCAAACTGGCCGCGCAGCTCCCCATTGGGATTCTGTGTGGTGACAACGAGCACATACAGGTCACCATCATGGGCCCTGTCCCTCATGTCACTCACATTCTTGTTGCGCAGTGGGCCCCTCAGCTGCCCCTTGTCAATGCTGCCTGACACCAGGATGCCGTTGTTCACCTGCACCATGCACCAGACAAGCCACAGTCGGTGCATGCGACCACATCAAACACCCAGCAAGCCTGCATGCAATAGAATTCTATGCATGCAGGGATTATGGTGGTCTGTCATGCAAACTTTGCTTGAAGCATGTAAGCTCAAGAGTCATGCATGCACCTGCCACCATGCTCTGCTAGTGGGATTCAGAAGATAATTCAATACGTGTGCAAGAGTAATGCAAATGACTGATAGAAGCAGATCTCTTTTGCCATCAAAAGGATGAGGCAGTGCCTGACAGGCACATTTCTCCTGGGATGGTCTTCCTGCTATACCCTCCAGCTTTCAGGGCAATGGGCACAGAATAGCAGACCTAGACCCTGTCAGGTAGCCTGCCACTAGTACTGCAATTGCTGTCTGTCCGTGCTGTGATTGGTAAGTGCGTGGAAGTCTGCGCATACCACTGCAGTGGGGTTGTCGTTGGGGCCGTAGAAGTAGTAGACCAGCTCTCCATTGGACGCTCTGGGTGCCTGGTGTGCCTCCACGGTGTGCACATTGGTCAGATTTGCAACTGTAATCGTGTAGTCCCCAGTCCAAAACCTGCGACGCATGTCCCAGCCCATAGTCAGCATCAAGATGGAATCCTCATGCATGAAGGCCATGCTGCATAACCAAAGCGCATGTGTCCCCTGAGGGAACAGCAGCAACAGTGCATCCAGTGAAAGCAGTGCAAGCATTGTGTGACTCTAATTCACCGGAGGGAGGCCACTTTGTATGCAAATGATGGTGTGCAACAGGTCCTGGCTTGCGGGCATGAGTGAAGGTGGAGTCTTGCAAGCACCTGACTTCATGGCGATCTTCGCCGCCAGTGGTTGTGACATGCTCAGTGAAGCTAAGGCTAGCAGTGCCACTGGCTTTGGTGTTGACTGCTGGAATCACCTCATTGCCCAAAAGTAAGGCGCTGTACTTTTCAGTTGTCTGCATGCACCAGAAAGACAGGCGTCAGATGCACAGCCAGGTATGACGAGACAGGAACAAAGGTAAGCAGCCCTTTTGAGCCTGCAGGAAAGGTTAATTGTGGCTTGAAATAAGACGGTGAGCGGTGCAGCGTGTTCCAAAAACGAGTTTTCACCACTTCAGCAGGCCCGGCCAAAGGCCTGTTGAATTGAAAAGTCGTTTTTGGAACACGCCATGGGTGCCGACAGGCAGATCGAAGTTTTGCCATTTGAAGGCAGCCTGCTAGAGAGAAGAAAGAATTTCACGTCGCCTTTGACGAGTAAGAGGCCCAGCAGCACCGACAGGATCGGCGCCAGGGCCGCACACGCACGCCGACGCTGCATGACAAAGCTCTGTCGAGAATGACCGAAATCAAGCGTTGTGCACCTATTTATCAATGCTACACAGCTCTACAATATCTTTGCACGGTGTGGGAGCAAGACGCAGTTGCAAATCTGAAAGTCCAGCTCTCGTGAAAATTTGCTGTCGGTGCGTCTTAAGTAGGCACTGGAGATCTTCATGCATGATGCCATGTAGACTTAGCAAAAGAGGCAGCCTATGCCCTTCAGGAGAGAAACTGGATGCATGGTTTCATACCAACGGCAACCAGATTGGTGCTCAGACTGTACAAATATGGCAGCAAACCATCACCATCGGAGTTTGGCTGTGTGCCGTTCGCCTGCGGCTTGTACATATCATATACGATATTACTGATTTTCACCAGGAATGACTAGTAGTACTGTTTTCACGCAACCATTATGTCATGTATGGGGTGCCTTCTTGATGTGGCTTCAAAGTTTTAAATTATTCCTGATGACTTGTGTGCCAGCACTCAAGCTGCCTATTCACTCTGGCTGGGCCACATGCATTGTGCGCATGCCATGCAACCTAAAGTCGGTCTCGCTCTTCTTACACCCCAGTTCAAGCTCTTACATCAAAGGTGCCCAGGCATTTGGCCCCACTGAAATGTTTGACAAAAGCCATGCATTGCAGCGCTTCCAGTGCAAATTACGCTTTTTTGTACCTTTGAGAGATGTCAGATACACCTGGTCCAAAATTAATCCAATAGCACACCACTACTTGTGATGATAGGCAGGTGGCACTCCATATGTACGCACCCCAGTTCATGCCAGAGTTCCAACCCATCATCATGCCTCACAACTACTACTTTAAATATATAGGATGTCATGGGCGCATGGTCAAAGAATATAAAGTATTGCCTCTCATTTCCTATCTTGCTTGTGCTGCGAGCATGATAGACATGCTGGCAGCGCAATTGCAAGCATCAGCCTCTGACTGTCAGTTTGGGCCTGCCATGGGAACACGCAGACATCCAGGCCACAATGCCGCCTGCCTGGCAAGCGCTTATCAACCTCCTACCCCACTTGCCAGGCTTTAGGCAGTGATCCAACATGCATCAGCAATTCCAGCCCCTATATCCTTGCAGACACCTTCGTGCATGGCAATTTTGCTCGTGCAGGCTCCCGATGTACCAAGTGTCCCTGCTGAGATTGATCATTTGAGCATGCGCTTCTGTGCTGCTTTGCTGACCAGGAGCAGTTACCATACTGGTCCATATGGTGACTTTCCTCTGCTTCTGTCCCTTAGTCACGCGGGGGTCAGGGCGGTGCAAAAGTCATGTTGGCTGGCTCAACCTGACCGCGCAGCAGCCCATCGGGGTTTTCTACAGTGGTAACCAGCACATACATGTCGCCATCATTGGAACGCTGCGCGAATTCGTTCAGATCCTTCTTGCTCATTGGCCCCTGCATTTCAAGTTCGAACTCAGGTTTTTGCGAGTAATGCCATTAGCACAACTTGAAAACTGAATCAACTGTTTTTACCTTGCTCATGTCACCGCGTTTCAGGATACCTTGCTTCAGGACGCCATTCACCACCTGTGCAGCACACACATCCAGGGCCTGAATGCACAGCTCATGCACAGCTCATGCTTCAAATCCCCTTCTCTTGCCACAGAACCCCACGCTGGCCTTTCCCATTAGCAGTTTTAACAGGATACTCTCTGGCATGTGCGTTTCAAAGCAACCACTGTCACTATTGCCACATTGGCGCCCCTACATGCCGTCTGCAACTTCATATCATCGAGGATCCATGAATGAAAGTTCTGAGAAGGGAAGGGGGGTCTTGCCTGGGGCAGGCCATTGGGGGAGGGGCCCCAGAGGGTGGCCACCTTGTCTCCATTCTGGCCTGCATGGGCTTGGCGCAGGTCGATCTCCTTCAGGTGGTTGACCTGGAACAGGGTGATGGTGTAGGCTGCTGAGTCATCCTTGGAGTGTATGTGGTGGTGGATGACAAAGTCCACCTCCCCATGCGCGCTGGTGTTCACTGGGGGCACCACCTGGTCCCCTGTCAGGATGGCGGTATACTTGCTCAATTGTCCCTGTACAGAAGAGGGTACAAGATCGTCATTTGAAATGCAGTGAGGGTGCAGAGGATACTGTAGCACTTGCCAGTCAGCAGGTGATCCGGCCCACAGGACAAATTCCACTGTCCAAGAAGCTAGGCTTGCCTGACATGGTACCTCTTGCCAGCCAGGAATTCACTTGCCTAGGGGCAGGAAGTACTATCTAGAGGAGCTTTCTGACAATTCCTCGCATGATCCACGCTGTGATGGGAGGAAGAGAGGTCTGCATTGTCTGAGTCATCGTCGTTATGCTCTCGGTGCAAGTGTGTCTTCCGCACGATTCGTCTGGGTCGAAAAGTTCGAGACGTACCGTTTCATCCGATCTGGCGTCCGCCTGGCCCCACAGCCCGAAGAGCAGGAGCAGCACCGGCAGAATGACGCACGACCGACCCCGCCTGTCTGAGAGACCGATCATGATGTTTCGGTACGATCTGCAGCTTCTCAACCCAGCTCAGCGAGGTTTTCTACAGGCTTTACACTTGTCAAGTTGTTCCTGCTATTGAGACTGGATGTGCCCAGTTCTTGAGCAAAGAAGAAGGTCGCAAGGCCACGTGATTGTTGGATTACTACTTTACAGTAACGTCGGGTTCTCTTCTCTCTCGCGGAGAGAGATCTGGATGTCCTCCATAACCGATGCCCTTGAAAGTTTGCAGCAACTGTACACTGTGTGATCAAGCAGCAGGAAGGACCAACATGACGTATATGCAGGACGGCATCGATCCCTTTCATCAACGTCATCAAGTTCCGACTGCGGAACCAGTCGTTGTATACAAGCCACCTGATAGTCACATTTAATATTTATTAACCGATTGAGACATTTACTATAGCTTTTGCCACCACTTTCAACAAGATTAATGCAACCAATGCTTTCACCGGAATGCCTCGATATCCATCGGTGGACTGCGACAATTGCCGAGCAAGATGACCTTCGCGCCTTGCAAGTATAATTTTAAAATCTTCCTGCAGTGCTATCTTCCAGCCAGGCAGATTAGAGGGGCTTTGATTGACGTGAAGTGCACGAAGCGTCTGACTGGATCTGTCAGATGGTTGTTTTGAACGACCTCAAAATTAGCAAGACTTGTATCTCCATGGCCATTGCTGTCCTTCACCGAAGCTTTGGCATGTGTGCTTCCTTACATAATCCAGCAAAGCATGCCATGCAAAAGTTATCCTTTCCCAGCATGTCAAATAACCGGTGACACCCAGCTTTTCAGCTGTGCACCACCAGATTCACAAGAACGCTAGCTCGACAGTCCTCGCAACAACTGGTAGATTGACACACTGAGCTTGTATCAATAACAAGTCGAGCAGTGAATTAGCTCTTGACAGTCCACAAGTACAAACTGTAAGGCATGCGCACATGTGTACACTCAAGCCTGGCATTCATATCTTGCTGCTGACGTCATACTCATGAGGGGGCATTTCATTCATGCAACGGCATCCGTTTGGCAGTACATCAACAAGTTATTGCAAGAACTGACACGGCTCTTCAGCCACCCAAAAGCTCCACGCATTTCAACACTCTCCCAATCTTGAGATTGCATCAATGCATTTTGACAGTGCTGCCTGTCGGCCTGCCTTGCATGCAATGGCAACACAGGCAGGCCGCTGCAGTCTTATCATAACTGGCACCCTGAAAGTTAAGGCTCATGGCTTAAAACCCACCCTCCCTGTTGCAAATCGCAGCCTGCCCATAACGGAATTTCTGGATTGAACGATTCCTCCCCTGCCCACGGGGCCTCATGGGGGCTCCAAGGCATTTGACACCACACCTCTTGGCTGCCATAATCAGTAGGTTGCAGCACAGTCACAGCAGTGACTGGCCTTGGGGTTCACAGCAGTCTTGTCCTTACTAACGACTTGAAGTAACATGGCACGGGACACGCTCTTCCTGTTGACCTCCAGGATATGTCCCCATATGAAACTTCCGGATCAGACACTCAGCAGGATAGTTCGCCTGCTCCTCCTGTCTTGGCCTCAGGGCACTTGACACCACACCTAATCACTGCCATTAGCAGCTGATCACAGCCACAGCAGTGGCTGCTGACTGTGGGTGACTGTTCAAGGAGATGATGTGTCGTTCTTCCTGTGCACCTGGCCGCGCAGGAGGCCTTCCGGATGGTCAGTGGTGGTCACCAGGACATAGACATCGTTGTCGTTGAAGCGCTGCATTAGCTCGTTCGGATCTTTCTTTGACATGGGTCCTTTCTCAAAGCTGCTCTTGGTCAGGTTGCCCTGCTTCAGCTGGCCGTTCACTTCCTGCGCAGCACAGAGTCTTGGCATCAGCAACGCATAAAGACTCTGGAAGTCAGGGGATGGTTGCAAGCGTAGCAACATCAATGTGAGCAAGTCCATGTTGCTAACCGACAGTGCACAGGCTATCATAAATTACACATCCTCTGACTGGAGACTCTTGAGAAATGTGATGAGGTGGCCAACTCATCACTAATGCCTCCATGCATTTGTTGGCGCAGGCTTCATGTGCTTCCCAATCATGCATGCATTGTTGAAAGGTGAAGCTGCACATCCCTAATCAGATCATTGAGCAGCACTGGCAGTGCTGCTGCTTATCCTCAAATGGGATGGCATGTACATGTCACTCTGTAAGGTAGGGCATGTCGTGGCAAAAGGAAGGCAGCCTGACCTGGTTCAAGCCGGTGTCTGAGGGCCCCCAAAGGATGGCGATCTTGTCTCCCGGCTGCCCCTGCTGGGCTTGGCGCAGGTCAATCTCCTTCAAGTGGCTCACTTGGAAGAGGGTGATGTTGTAGGAGACGAAGTCATCCTTGCTCTTCTCGTGTTGGTGCACTGCCAAGTCCACCTCCCCATGCGCGGTGGTGTTGACTGGAGGCACCATCTGATCCCCTGTCAGGATGGCAGCATAGGTGGTGGCCGCCTGCAGCCAGCAAGCCAAAAGAAACCCATCAGCAACAATGCTCAAACTGCATGCGTCATCTGTGGCATAGGAGCATGCATGCAGGAAGCTGAAGGTGGGTCTCTGGCCTTTTTTGTGGGCCAGCACCCAGATTGCAAGAGCAACAGAGGAAGACACCACATTTAGGAAGATATCTCTTGCAAATGCGGTCTGGACCAGCCTGGGATGTTCATGCATCAGTACACAGGTAACCGGATTTCCTCGACTTGGCAACGCATACTCTTGAGCTGCCGTTCGAAATCGGCACGAAGCAAATTGTCCTGAAGAAAATTCTGTCGGTAGAATTCCCACTGGAAGCGTAATTTTCTCAAGCTGGCACAAGAAGAATAGGGATGAAGCTTGCTGAATCATTTTCGTCTGTCTCCGAATCATCAGGACGAGTGCGCTGGAACGACAACCGGGGCTCACCTTTTCCTTCGACTTTGACTTGGCGCTTGCTTGCCCCAGCACGAAGAGCAGCAGCGGCAGCAGCAGCAAGACGCAGGGCCGAATTGCCCGGTGCACAGGTCGCGCCATTGCGATCACGTAGCTCGCAGAGTCCGCTTCCAAAAGGTGGCCACCTCAGAGCACTTTGGAAAGCGTCAGAGTATCAGGAGCTTACGATCCAGTATCCTAAAGTTGTAGAGTTCTTGCAGGAGCAAAGTTTGTCGAGCTTGCTGTCACACGATCGATGCGACTTTGGTGTCCAGTCGGCATCCAGTCACCGAATGTCGCGTCAGCCCATGCAGCTTCGAGCATGTCACACGTGGAGGACCTCCTCTCGCGTCAGTGCTGCCATCTGGCCATTTTCAATTGTCAACGCTGAGGAGATGCTCACGATCGCGTTGCAGAGAATGTCAAAGACGTCGCCTGATTGATTCGGTTGCCAGCCGCCTTTCAAGCCCTTCCTGAACGGTGTGCGAGCTGTGGTGTCTGGGTGGGCCGTTCCGAGACGTGAAGCACCTGGCAGCGAACCGTACGTAGCAGCCCTGGCGGCAGCTTCAGCAACAAGTAACGAGAAGAAGATATTTTGTAGAAGAGTTGGATCGATGGGGGAGGCTAGATCACCATCTGTAGCCTGAGCAGAGGAAACAGCTGGCGCTTGGGGTGTTTTCAGGTGCCTTTGACGAAGCACGGTATATTCTGTCTTTCTCACTCCAGCGGCCTAATCTCCACAATTCAATTCTCAAGCAGGAAAGACGGGCTGCCGAAGTTGAGCAGCCTGCAAGTTTCAAAAGCCAGGGTTCGTAATCAAAACTTCCCAACGCAGAGATCTTCGTCTGGATCAAGAGTTCCGAGGAAGGAAATGCTTTGGCGAAAAAAACTCTCGCTTCTCCTAGTCATCTGCGTCAGCAGCCTGCTGCTCTGGCACATAGGACTGGTGAGACCCCAGGCTGAAGGAGCAGACAGCAAGCAGAGGCAAATGAACTTTGTGCCAGATTGCCTCTCTACAGGGCCACAATTGCATGCAATCCTTTCACCAGATTTGCAGGCCGCTATCCTGGGCTTTGATCAAGCTGTGCATGACTGCTGCTACACATGCAATGCAGGTGGAGGCAGCAAGGCACCTGCAGGGTCTACCAGGTAATGCTGTGCTCCAAAGACAAGGCCGGTGGCTGCAGCAGTCGCCATCAGTAGTGGGAGCAGATGCAGGTCTGCATTGCTTGTTTGTTTGTTCAGCTTCCATTGTTCAGCATGCTTCATCGTCGATCTGCCTCTGCTGTCTTGCCCTGCCGCTGTAAGCCACCAATGTGGCAAGCCTGTGAGCCCAGCCTACCTGCAGCGGATGACAAAGCTGTACATCTCTGAGAACAGTGCTGCTGTGACTGTGCAGCCCACATGCATGTTAGATCACAGGGCCCTTGCTCATTATGGTGGTTCCAGGCTCCTGTGAGGCTAGGCATGGCATGGCGATGCATGACACCTTTCCCTGCAATGATCAGCGCTGTTTGACAGAGACTTGTGCATCTGCAGGCTCCACATCAGGCAGCAGCAGCATCCTGGGGAGCTCTAGCGAGCTGGGTACCTCTTTGGGAGTGGCCAGCGCGGGGTCAGGCAACAGCGGCGGCTCAAGCGGCAGTCTCCTGCAGGCGGTGCAGAGCGGATCCATCAACAGCTCGCCGCCCCCTGGAACCTTGGGTAATTGCCCCTGTCTTGCGCTAAAAACAGTGTTTATCACTGCGCTCCCCCAGATCCCTGTACCCGGTGTTGGTGCTAGCTAAGTGGGGCATTGAAGCCATTATATTATGCTGTAGGCATTGCTCGCAGCATGTCGGTGATCCCGGTGATGGGATCTGACTGCAGCACAAGCAACCTTGTATCGAAGCCTGAGAAAGACAAGCCAAGAGAATCTAACTCCCCGATTGTCAGGATGTGATGAGTTGTACCTTTCATGGGTCTTTGTCAGAGCTCAAACTGAGCTGCGCAAGCATGCTAAAGCTCAAACTGACTCATTGAAGCTCAAGAAGCTGAGAAGCAAAGATCATCTTTGCGTGCTGCAGGTCTGGCAGGCCTTTCCTCACCGCCGCCGGCGAATGCAATGCCGCAGCTAAACTACAACCCCTCTCAGAGCAGCTTCAACTCCGGCACCGGCCGCCGCATGCATGCCCACGCCTGATCTGGGTCCTCTGCATGCGTGCGCACTGCAGGACATGGCTGTCCCACAGCAGCCGAGTCAAGTTCATCCAGTGGTGCGGCGTTTCTGCTGGCAGCATGAGTCTGGCACATGCTGCAGGTAGAGATGCAGGAAGGGTCAGCGCAGGATAGTGCAGGCTGAGAAGTGAAATATAGCTTCAGGCAGGAGACCCGATTTGCTTGTTCTAGGGCACAGTATGGCAGTGGCGGGTGGGAGACTGGGGTGTAGGCTGCACCAGGAGAGATGCAGATGGAAGATCTACAGGGTCGAATTGAGATGAAAGGCGCAGAGCCTGCATGGTTCACCCACATTGCTGACACAGCAGCAGTGACATGACCGTGCTCACACAACATTTCAAGGGAGCTGACGCACTTATGAAAGACAGGAAGCGTGTCTGGAAGAGCTGTGGTGCCACAGCAAGCAACAATGGGAGCAGAACATCGTGCAAACAAATTTATTTCATTGGCTTGTCAGCAGCATGCAAAGCCATGTGCGGCTGCACAACCCAGGGTCTGCACAAAAGGAAAAGAGCTGCCTTTACATGCAGGGCGATATATCGTAAAGAGAGATGCCAAATAATATGTTTTGATTAGAGTCGCATGTGGGGATTGCCCTGCCATTGAGGCATTGATAGTTGGATGTCAAAAGCAGTACCAATTTTCAGGCGTGGCACGATTGGCATGGGCGGAGGTTTGCATGTTCAGAGTCACAGTACAGATGGGGGGATACCAATGCCGGCTCTTGGTGGTGAGGCCGCAGCAATGCCAGCGACTGTGTGCTAAGTTAATGATATCGGTTCTGTGTGCTGATGGTTTGTTTGGGCCGCTCACCATGCTACTTGACCCATGCAGAGAATGTTGCTTGCCATGCCACCCGTGTGCATGCTCTTTGAATGGCTTGTCAATCAACTCTTGGCGAGTACGGTACTTCATCAAAATTCGTTTAAGTTGTCGCACATGTTCCTGTTCCATACAGCCTCAAAGCAATATCTCTTTCATGCATGCATCAACATCACAATCCAATCACGCAGGGCACCGATGTGCATGCAGGCAACTCAAGCTTCCAAGTTGGAAGCGGGTAATAGCACATGGAAAAAACCGCTGATTGTCGACCACAAGAGGATTCCTACTTGGGTGTGCGGCTAAGTCGAAAGTCCGTCCCCGAAGCGTGTTTGTGTGCGGCTATGTTGAGAGCCTCTGCACGTGGAAGGCGCGCAAGTTCGAATCCCACCGGTGATTTTTTCTCATTTTGGCCCCAAAATTTATCTTTTTTCTTTTTGTTTTACGCCGAATAACCCTCTATGAATACAGAAGCAAATTGGGCCAAAAAACGTTGTCCAGTATTCTCACGTCATAAGTTCTGAAGCATTTATCCACCGTGGCACGTGCACGCGTTCAGGGCGATGTCACTGCGATATGCGGCATCAAACGCCGTGATTGCGGTATTACATACAGTGAACATATAGTGGACGCTCTGCAAGTAAATTATTACCATCCCCTCAATCCGAGAGGACAACAGAATCTTCATTGAAACCTTCCTGAATGGGATTTTCTAAAGGCCCTCAATGTGAAATGTTCACAAAATCTATTCTGTGCCCAGATCAGGTATGTTTAACATTGCCAATGACAGCGTCCCGGATTACTAGAAGCTAGTAGCAAGGTAGATGTAAGTGCTTACACTATTAAAATTAATCCTATTCTCATGACTGTTATTATTATCTTAAACTTGTCCTGCGCAGGACTAGCATGCTACAGGCAATTGCAAGGGATGGGAACCTGTGATGGACCCAGATTCAAGCCAAGCCCAATCAACCGTGAGCACGGTGCTCAGTATCTCTACTTCCCTTCCATATATGCATTGAAGATGAGGTACAATTGGTGATGGGTCGCCCTTCTGGTCTGAGAAGCACTGTTCTGGGCCGGTCTCAAATACAGATAATTCAGGGCTCCTTTCAAATGGCTGCTGATCTGTGTCACAATCTACTGCTCTGTCACAGTTGACGGTTGGCGGTTGACGTGGTGTAGTCCGCCTTCACAGGCCACTCTGGTATTCTAGATCGAAGGGCTACGCAGAGCTGAGCTGGTACAGGCCGCAAGAATGCCCCAGACGCTGGCCTTGGCGTCAGATCAAACCTGCACACAATAGGTGGGAGCTGGTGTCAGTGCAACTTGCCGTGGGATCCAGGCTTTGGCGGAGCCTCATGAGAGACCTCCACGCGGGGCACGAAAGCAACCCTGCATGCCCCAGGCTTCCACTTGAATGTGGAGCAAGAAATCACTTCATCAGATGCCGGGCAGCATGCTTACTACACAGAGCCACAGATATAACAATAAGCATGGATTCAAAGACAAGAGCTTAAGGCAGGCTCGCACGTGATGAGGTGCATGTCATCCTGTATGACATGAGCGCCAGATCTGGCGTCAGGCACCAGTGAGGTCCAGCTGCGCAGAGAAGCGCCCAGCTGCCGCCCGGCGGCCAGCTGCTGCGCTGCGCGCTGCCCAGAAGCTGTGTCGAGGAGCCTGATCAGGCCGTGCAGCTGGTTGCCTCTCCACCACACCGCCATGATCTGCGTGAGACAGGACCGTGCACGGCTTTGATTGACATTCTTGGAACAGCAAAATCCAAAAACGCCAGCAGGGCATGTGATACTCTCCTATTCTCAAAGCTGAGTCTTCATCCCGGTATCTGCCGGTGCTCTTGGTGGATAGGATGTGGTGCTTTCCTCTACCTGGTGGCTGACTGCAGGAGCGTTGAGGGAACAGAAAGACTTTGATGTGTAGCACGGGTGCGTCAACTCCCCAAAGGCCTTGCCTGACAATATTGACTCCCCATGGAACCTTTGCACCTCCCTCACTAGAATCTCCTGCATTAAGACCGCTTGTTGGACCCCAGAGCAACAAGGCATGCTGTGGTGCCCAGACTCAAAGCGCATGAACAATTGCTCACCTTCCTATAGAGACGTTTGTTCAAGTTGATATTGTCTGCTTCTGCAAGTACCCCTGTGCACCATCATTCCTTCAGAAAGGGGCGTGGAATTTTATGCTTGAACACACTCAACGCAGGCACTTCTGCGACCTCATGAAAAGATTTAAATAACAATTATCTTTCATCCGGATCACCTGTAAGATATATCGCATCGTTTCTCCGACGTCGTGGGTTGTCACCCTGGAGATGCCACGAGATTTTCTTTTCTTGTCTGAACCGATTCATCAGGCTTCTTTCTTGGTCGATTTCAACATTAAAAGATTTAATCAATTGAAAAATGCGTCTGTGAGACCATACCTCGTGGCAAGCAATCGTCCCTTTTTCCTGGTGAGTGTGGCATGGGATTGACTTTCCGAACGTCAATTGACCTTGTTTTTCTGAACTACTGATTATGCACCGGAAGCATTCTGTCATTTGTTGTGACGTTTACGAGTGATCTCCACATTTTGGATGACGGAGCGCGCGCCGGAACACGAGACGTAACAGTGTGTTCTTGTGGCCTGCCCCTGGGATCAGTAACGCTGACTCTAAGTTTTCCCTAGCTGTCAAATTGGAGCTCTCGTCCCTCCTGCTCAGAGAGTCTCCTGAATGAGTATTTTAAAAGTCTGCCACCATGCCAGGATTCGGATGTGGGACCTTCTGCTGATCGGTTGCCAATCGATGTTTATGAGTCCACGGAGGCGTTTGGGCATCTTCCGTGTACATTCTGTTCTTCAACAAGTCCGATGAAAATTGATCTACGTGTCCATTTTGTACGCCTACTGCATATTGAATGCAGCACTTTAGAAGAAGCTGGGACCTTCCAATCTGTAGCTTCGCAGGCGAAGCTACAGACCGATCGGATCCATATCGCTAGATGTAGCAGTAGTAGATATTGGCAGCATATTTACAACCAAAACGGGTCAAGCAGTCCCCTGGACTGTAAGGACAGCACAGTAGAACAATTGGCATCCCGTCAAACTTTATACACGAATTGTTTCTGACGCTTCGATGGATCTAATACAGCCTTCAATAACCAGGGGATCACAGGATCCTTTAAATAATTTAGAAAAATAATGCAGAAGAATGTGACTCAATAGAGAGAAGCAGAAAGCTGGTGCATGGAACGCCGTTCGATGACGTGTCCACTCGAGATCTCGAGCTTCAGCTGTTCCGGAACGTCCCTGGCTGAACAAAAGGCTCAAATTAGCAATATACCTCGCTTGTGAAATTTATTTCTTTCTGATACACATCATATCGAGCGCTAACCTCTTGACGATCACTAGATATAGAGTACACCGATGCCAGGAGTCCTGCTTCACTCTCGCTTCCTCTGGTATCCCCACCAAGCAAGCTCATTCCGCATTCGAGCTCTTTATGAAGTCGGTAACATTTGTAGAATGCGGGACGGCTCCTCCTGATTGCGTACCCGCGTGAATGCCTGTCCAAGGTTTGGGCAGATGGTGCCATTGGACTGCTTCAGGTCGATGCAGCCCATAGAACTCACTTGGTAAAAGAAAATTCTTTAAAATGAGTGATAAAGAGGTTCAGATAGTCAAAGATCTGGACGAAGAGATGGATCGTTGCTGCAAACATGACAGAGTGCCGGACAGGAAGACTACCTTCATTTCAAGCGCCAGGATCTCGGCACCAGCACATCCAGTGGGTCACGATGGATCTCCTGGAACGGCAAAAGGAGATTTTCCGTCCCTGGATCTGGAGAGTGTGTCAAGCTGGTCAGATGACATGCACGGATTGGGGAATTTGGACCCTCAGAGGTCAATCATCTTGAGGTTTGAGTGCATGAGTGCCGCAGAGCTGAAGGTGAGAGCTTTGCCACGAGGTCAATGCTGGCAACAGTGTTCTGAAAAGCAATTCGCACAAGATTTCAAATGATCATTATGATTGTATTGCGAATGGAATGCAGCTCATCCTTCTGGCGCTCTACACACTTCTCTTCTTCGGAGTGCTGGCTTTGATCGGGCTGATCGTAGTGAAAAATGTGCTGGTGAGACATTCTTTTGCTCTGGTGCCTGCCAGGCACCAGGGTCCCACAATTTTTTTATTTTCATGGCCTGATCTATGGGTACACTCAAGTGCAGTAGCACAGTAGCCAGTGGCTTCATGTGGCAATCAGAGTAGGAGCATAGGTACCATTGCACGCTAACAGGCATTTCTGGCACTTGCAGCGCAAAGACTCCACATGGTTGGGAAACAAGGGGTTCTCTAAGGCCAGTGTGGGCATGGCAGTCCCCTGCCTCGCCCTCTTGCTGACAATACTTGCTTGGGGTCTCTATCGAATCTGGAGCGCCTGGAGGAGTGGCAAGCGCTGGTGAGCATCTGTGCGCGCACTCTTGCTGCTGTGTACATTCATGCACCCCTGCTGCTGTTGGGCCCGGCTGGCTGGGGTTGAATACTGAGCACCGTGCCAACGCATGAAAGGGTCTTTCTTGGATCTGGCGAGTATATGATGGGGTAGCATTGTGGCAGCCTTCACCTGCAGCTTGTCCGCAGAAGCATCTTACACCTGGCAGGCACAGTATCATAAAAAATGGGAGTGCTTTTGGGAGATTGCACAAAAGTTTGCTTGAGATTGCTTGACGTTTGCTCAACAGGGGTTCAAGGAGGCGGCGGCTGGTCATACTGGCCCTTCTGCAGGCTGTCCTGCAGGCATGTAGCTCTTCCACACCAAGCCACTCGGATATCTGTTGCAAAGATTTATCCTACACAGAATAGTATCTCACCCCGCATTCAACCCACCCCTTGCGCGCAGATGCTGTGGCAGTACAGCAAGATATGTTGTCCTGCAGGCTACATGCCCAGATCCGGCCACTCAGATAGCAGTTGCAATTCACAGAGGGCGATTTCGTTAAGGCCCTCACCAGTGATATACAGAAGAATATTGTCTGCCCTGGGCTGCGGCTGATGCACTCCTTGCGTGCAGATGGTGAATGTCACCTTTTGGCTGACACCGCATGTCCACATACTGCTGACCCGCTGTGGCTGGTTTGGCAATCTGGCCAACGCGTCTGGAGTTATTCAGTGGACCATGTGGAACACGGTGAGCCTTCTTAGATGCTGCGATGCCCTGAACGCAAGACACATGCAGCTGTTTAAGCATAAAAAGGATGCACAGAGGAAAACAGCTTGCTTCTGCCTGATCACTGCTTGCCTTTCCTGACGCAGATATTACTGACGTTGACAGTGAGTGCCCACAACAGCAATCCATGGCTGCACAAAGGTGGCGTCTCTGCCGTGAATTCTTCGTCTTGGGACCCCTTGTTTGGCTGACACGCTTGTGCCTCACTGCATGGGTTGTCTGTTACAGGCAGGCTTGCAGGCTTGCAGGCTTGTTGAGAGAAATTTATGAGGTTTTTTTGCAGGAAAGCCAGTCTCCACACAGCCGGATCCGCTGATCCTGGATGCTCCCCTTTGGTATCATGCCCCCAAACTTCTGCTGTGGTGCGGCTTCCAAGGTACCATCATCAGCGAAGCCGTGCTTCAGAATAAAGGTTGGATCATTTAACCCACAACATGACCATTGACAGAGATGCAAAGTTGCCAGATTCTGTGCTCCTTGCAATGTCTATCAATGTAGGTCATCTGCCCTCCTTTCAAATCATGTCAACTTAACAGGCTGTTGGACTGACACTGATGCCTTGCGCAGACTCGTATACAAGAAATATTTGCAACTGGATGAATTGGGAGGGGTCTTGCAGCCCACGTCTGCACACAAAGATAGTCAGCATTGTGTGGGGGGTCCTCTCTGTGGGCTACTTTGTGATATACGTTTACTACAACGCCCGCGCGCGCATGCGACTGGAGAAACTCCCCTACAATCGCTTTCGCACAGGCAACCTCCTGCAAAACTGGCAGGTTTGCTTGCTCAACCTTACTTGCTGGAGCCCATATGCTACTGCAAGAAAACCACACTCTGTCTTGCATGTGTGAAGACCCCGGCAATCTTGCATCCGCTCCCCAGCATGTCTGAAATTAATAGTGTTTGTTGACAGAGGCGCCAGGGAAAGTGGATCATGAACTTCATGGTGGCATCTGTGCTGACCTCGTGGTACTCCAGTTGGACCAAGTGCAGCGCGTATTTCACCACATGGCTGGGTGTATTACCCCTTGAGGTCATTGTCACAGGGGCCATGGTGGGTAACTAAACCTCACCAGATCCCGCCTGGCACAATGAAGTTCTTCTCAAAGGCAAATTGATTGTGGCCTGTCTTCATACTGCCTGTTGAACCTGCTGTGTGCCTCCACAGGTGGCCAACTCACTTTTCATGTTCCCCATGCCAGCCAGAAAGGCAAACCCCGGAGTCCAGACTCTGCTTCAGGGCTTCTCCTGGAGCGAGGCCACAAGAAAAGATGACCTGGCACAGCGAAACCTCCTGCTCGGCTTGCATGTGAAGGTTTTATAGTCCTCTGTCCCTTACTCTTGCACAAACACACATCCTTGCAGGTCGTCACCACCCCTTTGCCTTGTCACAGCACGACGAGCACATGTGATTGCTGCTTCCAAGTGCTGCATGTCTCCTGTGAACCTGTAATTCTTCCTCTGCAGGATGTGAAGAAGCGGAACCTCCTGCTCGGCTTGCATGTGAAGGTTTGATGTTCTCTGTCCCTTATTCTTGCACAAACAGACATCCTTGCAGGTCGTCACCACCTCTTTGCCTTGTCACAGCACAACGAGCACATCTGGGGTGCCGCAATCCAAGTGCTGCATGTCTCCTGTGATTCTGTGCTTCTCATCTGCAGGATGTGAAGAAGCAGCCAATGTTTTGTCTGGAGACAGCGGTAAAGCTGCTCACTTTCAGCTGGGTGGTGTACGATGACACCACCCCACCTGCAGCCGAGAAGGAAGTGTACATCGACATCCCTGACCCCAAAAGCAAGGACCTGCCACAGTCTGTGCAAGCCGGTGAAGTCAAGCTTTTGCAGCCGGTGAGTGCTCAAAGCGCACTGCTCACTTTTATCCATCAGGGCATCGAGCAATCCAGCTGCCTTTTATTGCAAGTTTGCTGCTGCGTGCATCAGTGGCTCAAATATTCCGATTGCAGATTGCCATCGTGCACATACAGGGAGGCGACTGTCTCTGACATATTCCTGTTCTGATCTGCAGGGTGATGCAGAACATGGTGACATAGAAGGCACGTGCAGCGCCACATATGACAGCCAAAAGGCTGCAGAACCTGCCGAGCTCACCAAGGAAGAGCTGCTGAGCACGGCGTTGAGTTTCTATGACCTGCAGCACACCCACATTATCCATGAGAAGGATCCAGATACCAAGGTGCACCGCTGGCTCATGCACAATCTCAATATCCAGATGCCACAGCACCGTTCACTTTATGACAGTGCTAAATAAAGGGAGTTTCATGCAAGTCAGTCTCCTTTAATTGAACATCTGGGCTGAGCCAATAGCTTATGATCAGGTGCTCATTTCCTGGAGTCAAGACACCATTATTGTGGCATTTCGTGGCACTGCAAGCATGAAGAACGTGCTGCATGACCTTCAGGCAAGCCTCTTGACACCCTGTGCAGTAACATCAGTATCTGCAGGGTCTGATATCGACTGCCGCTCAGGTTCATGTTTGCATTCTTTGAGGGCAGAAAGCCAGACGGGTCTGACATGCGGACAGGCCCTTACATGCTTCGCCAGGTTTGTCACTTGAAGGCAGCTGTGGCCCTGTGGTGCTTCAATGCATCATGCATGTCGTAGCGTAGACTGTCTGATATTCTGTCTTCACACTGACTGGTTCATTTGCATGTCTCCCTCAGGCGTGGCGGGCAGAGCATGTGCCCAAGCGCGGTCAATTTTGGTTGGGGCGGCGGCCGATGGTGCACAAGGGGTTCTGGCACTCCTGGAGCGCGCACGGCATCGGAGACAGGGTCATGGACTTCATCGGGAACCTTTTGACAAATAGCAAGCTTCCCGCTGCAGACTGGCATGTCTACATCACAGGTCAGCCCCACTTACCATCTCCCAGCCTGCCGAACTACTGAATCAGTGCAATCTGCAAAGATTTGGAAGCCTTTGCAGCAGAGCTGCTATAAAGATTTCTATAGCCTGATGGTGTTGAAATCAACACCGGTCAGCTTCCACAGTTATAATTCTGAGCCATTTAGTGATTGGTAAGACGTCCAGCGTGGAAGGGCATTGTCATGGCAGCGCTGGCATGCACCTTGAAAATTACAGTTGCTGTGACGCCCAACTCGGATGTGCAAAAGGTCCGCGTCAACACATCTATGGCAGTCAGAAGCCTGACTTGGCCATGCATGCATGCAGGGCACTCGCTAGGGGGAGCGCTGGCAACCCTGGCAGCTTTTGATATCCAGACAGCGTTCGGCTTCAAGGATTTGCAGGTCTACACCTACGGCGCGCCTCGCACCGGCAACCACGCATTTGCCCGGTGCGCAGCGCAGACCAGTCCACTTCTCAGAGTCTTGAGCTTTGCAAATCCCATTTGCTCCGATGCTGCAGTGACACATACGCATGTGCACACTATTTCCTGACTAGCTAGTCTTTGTGCTGCCCACAACCTGGACATTGTTGGCACAGGCAACTTGAGCAGAAACAAAACAGCGCACAGTGTCAGGGTATGCAGAGTCCCTCTTGGGGTTGACTCAACAACCTGTTGCGTTGCAGGGAGTACGAGGCCCTGATCCCCGAGACATGGCATGTTGTACACGACGCCGATGTCATTCCGCGCATGGGCAAGTTTGTGCGCATGTACAAGCGCCCTGGGGCGCGAGTCATCGTCGACCGAAAGGGATCTATCGTCGTGCGGCCCAGTGCCCTCGAGCTGCACCTGCGCCCCAGTGCGGCCCAGCCTCTCCTGCTATTTGGCGTCATCTGCTGAAAATCTGCTGGAGCACGTGGGGACTGAGTTGATTGATGTTGTCCCTTCACCATGACTTGATGGAGTGTTGGGTCGCCCTCAATGGTGATCTCTTTGGGGTTCATTGCGGCATGCTGCAACTCAATCAATGCTCAGAGGCTAAGTATATCACTGATCTGTTGCCGATCACTTTGACTGGCAGAATCTAAAATTGGCTAGCAGCTCTAATCACAACTGTGGCCTGCAGCCTGCCGCAGCCTGAAGGCGCACTACCTGAAGTCCTACCAGAGTGCACTGGCGGGAGTGCTGCGCGCCCAGTTCAGCCCCCTCAAGGCATTTGTGGGCGGCCGCCGCGCAGCGCTCACCCTCGCCGACAGCCCCCGTGTCTCCTCTTACCTCTGCTCCACAGGTCAGTGCCATTTCCTATTCTTCTTTGGGACCCAACAGGGCGTGCAACTGTGCATTACTCACCTGTAACAATCTCACCTCTAGGCGGGTTACCCTCCTACAGCATGCATACCAGGGCGGTGTGGAAAACAGGCCTTGCTCAGGCAAATGCCAAATGCACCACCTGTACAGCTCCTTTGAAAGGGGCCTGTACAGGCATACGTGGTTGAGTGCTTACATAGGGATGTGAATAACACCATTGTTTCCCTGCTGCAGGCTTGGACTTGGTGGCACTAAGCGAAACCGACAGCAGCCTCGGCGATGCGACAGACTCTGATGCAGCATCCGTCAGTTCTGAGGACGTGCCCTCACGCCTGCCTGCCTGGGCACATGCCCTCGTGGACCAGGTGCTCTTTTTTCCCCTTAACCATAGCACACCCCTTTACCAGCAAATTGTAGGCTAAGAGTAGGGCCAGAGCATCTGGGAGTATGCCATATCTTGCGTTGCTGCTTCAAGGACATGTGAGCTTGATGCAGATGCGTTGTGCTAGATTCATAGGTCACGATCTTCTGTGCTGGAGCTGCTAAGTGCGCGCATATGTGCCCCTTGAGCTTTGAACGTATCCAAGACCAGTCTGCTCTACTGTGTTCATGCGCGCTGCTGACTGCAGGTGATGGGCACGTCGCTAGAGTCCAACATTGCGCGAGCGGCGCACATGACACGGCAGCCGGGGGATGATCACAATCTGGTGACAGGCAGCATACAGGGCAGTGCGCGCGGCCTACAGCCTTGAAATGAAGCGGGGACAGGACAAATGGCATGCTGAGAGCCTGGGCCCTGAGGAGAGTGTCTGGCAGGGGGATCCCTGTCCAGCATGGCGGACACAGAGAAGCTCAGATGTGGGGATCTGCGGGGAGTCAGGTTTTGCATTGTGGGACCTAGCTCCTGGGTGACTGCCGCCAGCATGCAGGCATCATAAGGAGGCAGAGCGCTCAGTCACAGACGTGTGCCACGTGTAGAGTTTGTCATTCATCTTGCAGGTGGTGGGCGGCCTGGGGGTTCCTATATCAAGCCTATGTGTCTTCTAATCTTCTTACAGGCCAGGCTTGCGTTATCAAGAGTCATGATCTGAACGATGGTGCTTGACACGAACAGGCCGAGTTCCTGCCACTTAACAGTAGGCCTAATCTTACCTGCAGCTGCACATGAATCAACTGAATATTCGGCTTGCACAAGTTGCCATATGTTCAGCAGCCAGCGCAGCAAGGGGTGAATTTACCAGGGGGAAGGCATGCGAAGGTGCACCACTGGCTCTCTGAGGACTAATGCTGTCATGCCCGGCACTAATTGAATTGATCCAGATTGCAGCAGTTCAGATAAATGGCTGCTATGTGCGTGTGTTTGGGAGCGGCGGCCAAAACATGAGCTCCCATGGCCAGTAAGCTTGCTTTTCGGCTTGATGCCGGTGCGTATACAATACAGGGAGTCCTGACATTGTGGTGAGACTGCAGCTGGTTTGGACAGCTACTCTATTGTCTATACATTCTGTGAGATCTGTAGAGGGAAGCATGCATGCAAGCCATGCAGCGCGCTGTCTCCGCCGGCATGCACCGTCATGGATCGGCGACTCACCTGTCAAATTGACAGGTGGCTCCTGCATGAGAATATGTAATGATAAATTTTGCACGCTGGAATAGATCTCACAGCCAGAGGCAATCATGATCATGGTGTCCAGTATGCATGCTTCCCAGTAAGGAAGCCAGATTAGGTCCCAGAAAGGGGACAACGTCGGAGGGCGTGCCTGCTGTTTAATTCAGCTTCCTGCATTCATCTCGAGAAATCTCACACTCCTTAATTTAACAAAGGCTCCTCTTCTCCAAGTTGATGAAGGCTATCAGGCCCGTCGTGATTTCGGGTGATCTAGATCGAGGTGATGCCACTTGTTCGCTTTGTGATCCGTGCAATGTAGGACACAGCTCGATCTGCTACGATAAGGGATGTTGCAAAAATTATTTACCTATCTGCGATCACGCAATGTCGGTTGCGTTATATTCGCTGAACTATTTGGGAGATCTGGTGCATGGCACGCCGTTCGATGGCGCATCCTTCCGAGAGCATTTAGCTTCGTGCAACTTCGGAATGTACCTGGCTGCCCGAATTGCTAAACAGAGCGACATCGATTGCTTGCGACGTTTCTTGTTTTTCTGGCCTCCATCATATTGAGCGCAGCTCTCTTTACGATCATCAGATTTCAAGTACAGTCTTTTTATGAATCCAGCTTGACTCTTGCTATCTCTGGTATCACCTCAGAGCAAGCTTATTCCATTTTTGACTCCGTGTGAATTGTTGAATTCACTTTGGATGTTGAATGGCTCCTCCTGAGTGCATGTCCGCTTGAATGGCTGTCCAAGGTTTAGGCAGATGGTGGTGGTGAAGCTTTTGGTCGATGCAGCCAGAACAATCAGTCGGGCATGTTATAGATCTTCGAAATGAGTAGTGAAGGGGCTCATACATTCAAAGAACTGGACGAAGAGCTGGATGGTTCCTGCCAATATGACAGAGTTTTGGACAGGAAGACAACTTTCATTTCAAGGGCCAGGATCTCGGCACCAGCAGAGCCGCTGGGTTTAGATGGATCCTTTGGAACAGCGAAAAAAGAAGCTTCAACCCTGGATCTAGACAGGGCTTCTGGCTGGTCAGATGACATGAGTGGCTTGGGTCATCTTGACCCACAGAGGTCCATCATCTTGAGGTTTGAGTGCATGAGTGCCGCAGAGCTGAAGGTGAGTGCATCGTATTGAGGCCACAGATCTTCCGGCGTTCTCTTGTATTGGCAGCCAACAGACTGTCTACCCGCAGCACTGTTCTCAGCAGGAGCTTTTGCCCTAAGCACATGTTTTGGGATGCAGGTCACCCTTCTGGCGCTCTATGCACTGCTCTTCTTGGGATTGTTTTCTTTAATTGGGCTGATCATTGTGAGAATTCTGATGGTGAGTCCTGTTTTTCCTCGCGGAATAGCCAGGGAAAAGGTGCCTTTTTTTGGCTAATCAGCACCTACAGTCAGGACAGCTCCATGTCGATCATCACCAAGGTTTCATCAATCGCACATTCGAAGTGCAAGGGGCATTTGAAAGAGCTGTTGCGCACCTGCAGCGTGAAGACTCCACCTGGCTGGGGAGCGACATATTCTCCAAAGCCAGTGCAGGAATGGCCACCATATGTCTTTGCCCACTATTGATGACTCTGACTTGGGGGTTCTGCCGCATCGGGAGCGCTTGGAGGAGTGGCAAGCATTGGTGCGTATCCTGCGCACACCAGTCCTGCTGCATGATAATATGTTCCACCCATTTCTGATCTTCCAAGGATTGCTGCTGCACTCACATGTCGTTTGGAGGTTTGCATGCTTTGCACACGGTACAACACTGGTGCATGCTGCTGATTTGCCCACAATGTGCCCAGGGGTGAAAGGAGGAAACGTCTCGTCACAATGGCCCTTGTGCAGGCCATTGCGCAGGCTTGTTCCTTTCCCCATTCACCCCACGCACAAATATGTCAGATGACTGCATCAGGATGTCCTCTGAAGCCTTGATCAGTCAATGATGCATTTCTTTGTGCGCAGACAGTGAATGTGACCTTCTGGCTGACACCGCATGTCCACATACTGCTGACCCGATGTGGCTGGTTTGATGACATAGTCATGGCGTCTGGAGCCATCCAGTGGACAATGTGGAACACGGTGAGCCTTATGAGATGCTGCGCTGCCTTGAATGCAGAACTCATGAAGCAGGAGGGGCATGAGTAATGTGCAGACTTGGCCAAACTGCATCACGGTCACATATTGCTCTTGCCTGATTTCTTACGCTCAGTCCTGACGCAGATCTTCTTGACGTTGACTGTGAGTGCGCACAACAGCAATCCATGGCTACACAAAGGTGCCGGCTCTAGCCTTCTTGTTCATGGAAACCCTTGCACTATCTGCCTGAACCGAACGTGATCTAGTGCAGGAATGGTCTGCTAGAGGCAGCGTTGCAGGCATGTCGCAACAATTGAGCTCATTGGGTCATGTTGTGCAGGAAAGCCAGTCCCCACACAGCCGGACCCGCTGATTCTGGATGCTCCCCTTTGGTATCACGCCCCCAAGCTTCTACTGTGGTGCGCCTTCCAAGGCACCATCATCAGCGACGCTGTCATGGAAAGTCAAGGTGCACTCACCTAATCCATTTGTGCCATGACCTTCCCCAGGCAAGAGGGGGTGCTTGAGTTTACTGCTCTTCCCTAGAGCCCCTTCAAACTGTCGCTTTCCCTTCAGGGGGGTTTGTCTGATGCCTGATAGGTTGAGCAGGTGATTACACGTTTGCATGCGATTCGAGGAAATGGGAGGGGGCGTGTGACGCTCCCCTGCACTCAAAGATTTTCAGCGTTGTTTGGGGAGCCCTTTCCCTGGGCTACTTCGTGGTCTACGTCTTCTACAACACCCGAGCGCGTATGCGATTGGAGAAACTTCCCTACAACCGCTTTCGCACCGGCAATCTCCTGCAAAACTGGCAGGTGCGCAAGCACATTCACCTTGATGGGACCCATTTCCTGCTCTGGAATCACCAGATTCTGCCATGCATGCTTGAAACAGTGAGGGGATTGTTTGCATCAGCTTCCGTGCATGTCTGAAGAGTGAATGCTGCTCTGCTACAGAGGCGCCAGGGGAAGTGGATCATGAATTTCATGGTGGGGTCTGTGCTCGCCTCGTGGTACTTCAGCTGGACCAAATGCAGCAGCTACTTTACTACATGGCTGGGTATCGCTCCCCTTGAGGTCGTTGTCACAGGGTCCATGGTGGGTGCCTTTTTCTTACATTTCTGGTTACAACAATGACATTCCAATTGAAATCATTCTGGCCTTGCCTTTGCCCGTTGAAACTAAAGTCAGCGCTTCCCACTGTGGCAGGTGGCCACTTTGCTGTTCATGCTTCCCATGCCTGCCAGCAAGGCACACCCCGGGGTGCAGACTCTGCTTCAGGGCTTTTCCTGGAGCGAGGCCACGCGGATGGATGACCTGGCACAGCGGAATCTCCAACTCGGCTCACATGTGAAGGTTTGCTACCCCATATATCCACAACCAGTGCGTATGAGACGAGCCTTACTGCTCAAGATCGCCGCACTCATGCATCACATTGCTTTGGCAAATGCACCTATAGGCACCTATAGGTAGTAGCTACCCAAACAACCCAAAAAAACCCCCCTGCCCGATCCTGCTGTGAGACAGCTGTAATGGTCCAGCTGTCTCACAGACCAGCAAAGAAGTGCGGCTGGATTGTGTGAAGCTGCGCTGTGCTGTTACAGGATGTGAAGATGCAGCCCATGTTTTGTCTGGAGACAGCAGTCAAGCTGCTAACATTCAGCTGGGTGGTGTACGATGACACCACCCCACCTGCTGCAGAAAAGGAGCTGCACATCAATATTCCACACCCCGACAGCCAGAATTTCAAACAGACAGCGCAAGTCGATGAGGCCAAGCTTTTCCTACAGGTGCGTGCATTATTTGTAGCACAACCCAAGTCAAACAGTTCCATTTGCAATGGAATCAAGCTTTGATCCTGCCTTCCTTGCATAAACCTGCCTTGTGCGTCACTGATTTTAGCGCTACACATGCTCCAAGTTGTGGAGGTCGCCAGACTGCATTCTGCCATTTGGCGCATGTAGAGAAATGGGCCTCTCTGACAAAATTTTGTTCTGATCCGCAGGGTGACAGGGAGCATGCTTACAAAGGCGGCACCTGCAGCGCCTCGCGTGACAGCCACAAGGCTGCAGAACCTGCCGAGCTCACCAGGGAAGAGCTGTTGAGCACGGCGTTGAGTTTCTATGACCTGCAGAACACCTACATTATCCATGAGAAGGATCCAGATACCAAGGTGCACCGCTGGCTCATGCACAATTCCAACATCCAGATGCCACAGCCACAATGACTTCATGACAGTGGCAGATTCAGAAACCCCATTTACGGCTGCAAGGCAGTCTAAATTATTGAATGTCTGGGACTGAGCAACTGGCTTGAAATCAGGTGCTCATTTCCTGGAGTCATGACACGATTGTGGTGGCCTTCCGAGGCACTGCAAGCATGAAGAACGTGCTGCATGACCTCCAGGCAAGACCCTTGACACGATGTACAGTGACATCGGAATCTGCAGGATCTGGTCGCAAGTATGCGCGCAAAATCATGTTCGTATTCGTTCAAGGGCAGAAAAGCCAGAGGGTGTGACATGCAGACATGCCCTTACATACCTTGCCAGTCATGTCACTTGAAGGCAGCTGTGGCCCTGTGGTGCTTACCTGCATCATACATGTCATCGCAAGTAACAGCGTAGACTGTCGGATATTCTGTCCTCACTCTGACTGGTTCATTTGCATGTCTCCCTCAGGCGTGGCGGGCGGAGCATGTGCCGAAGAGGGGCCACTTTTGGTTGGGGCGACGGCCGCTGGTGCACAAGGGGTTCTGGCACTCCTGGAGCGCGCACGGCGTCGGAGACAGGGTCATGGACTTCATCGGGAACCTTCTGACAAATAGCAAGCTTCCCGCAGCAGACTGGCATGTCTACATCACAGGTCAGCCCCACTTACCATCTCTCTGTTTTCCCTGACGCTATATCACAGCAGCCTGTACAAACATGCGGGTGGTTGTGGCACCGCTGCTTTGAAGCCTAAGGCTCCCAGCAATCGCACATCACCTTGCGAACACTGGAGGAGGACCCTCATCGGTATCAGTGTGTGACCTGCACATAATTCTGTGGCAGAACTGCTTTGAAGTCTCCACGCCCCTCAGTAATGATGAACAACCCCCAAAAAGTCCCCACTAGTTGTGTTGATTGTCGCTTAGAGAAGTCTTATCATCGCCACTGCGTGACCTGGCATGACTCATTCCTGCATGCATACAGGGCACTCGCTGGGGGGCGCGCTGGCCACGCTGGCTGCTTATGACATCCAGACAGCGTTCGGCTTCAAGGACTTACAGGTCTACACCTACGGCGCGCCCAGAACCGGCAACCACGCCTTTGCTCGGTGCGCGGCCCAGGGAACCTACCATGCATATCCTTATTTGTGCAAATGTCAGGTGTCCAAATTTGCTGGCTGGTGTGCATCACATGCTCAAGCTCTTCCCACGAAGATGGGCGCAATTGCTTCTCTACTGCGTTTGCTCGTCTGCTCTTGCTGGTGGCCAAGACTTGTGACGCTGATGCCGCCCGAGCAGAGGACATTCCTTTTGCGCCCAGGCCTTGCATTGATACGTGTGTCTTTCATTGAATGGTCGGCATGGTGCGCTGCAGGGAGTACGAGGCGCTCATACCGGAGACCTGGCACGTCGTCCATGACTCGGATGTCATCCCGCGCGTGGGCAAATTTGTGCGCATGTACAAGCGGCCGGGCGCGCGGGTCATCATTGACCGAAAGGGATCCATTGTCGTTCGGCCCAGCGCCCTCGAGCTGCACCTGCGCCCCAGTGCGGATCTAACACTCCTGCATATTTTGCTTCCATATGATCACAAGTTGTATGTTTGACACTATGAAGGGCAGGAAGCATCACTGGCATGCGAGGGCTGCAGCTGCTCTCTTCAAATTACTGCTCTTCTCACCACGGCCTTCTGCCATGCATGCAAGGCGGCTGCAAGCACCCTGCTGTCCTCGTCTTGTCCTAGTTGTCCGCAATAGCTTCAGGTCTTTCCTGCGTCTTCTTGAAATGAGCGCATCCCTTTGCTGGCCTGCAGCGTGCCGCAGCCTGAAGGCGCACTACCTGAAGTCCTACCGGAGTGCTCTGGGAGGATTGCTACGCGCGCAGTTCTGCCCCCTCAAGGCGTTTGTGGGCGGCCGCCGCGCAGCGCTCAGCCTCGCCGACAGCCCCCGGGTCTCCTCTTACCTCTGCTCCACAGGTGAGTGCTGTTAAACGCCTGCCCTTCATGTGCATCCCCACATCTGCATGCACCGTGCACAGAGCCTATTGAGAAAGGACTGAAGGGGATTGAGCACTGCGAACATTAAGGTAGAGCGAGCGCCTTAGAGAGGGCTACCTCGCTTCGAACGGCATGCAACAACAATACAATGGATCCTGGCCCAGAGGCAAGGCATGACCACATTGCAGAGCAGCCTAAACAGGCATGCATGCGAGATTTTCCACATGGATATCAATATTGGGTTTTGCTGCCCTGCTGCAGGTTTGGACCTGGTTGCACTGAGCGAGAGTGACAGCAGCCTTGGCGATGCGACAGACTCTGATGCAGCATCTGTCACTTCTGATGAAGTGCCTTCGCGCATGCCTGTTTGGGCACATGCACTCGTGGACCAGGTGCTCTCCTTTCTTCATCATGCATCACTCAGTCACTGCCCGTACACCCTGATCCTGCACCATTTATGACAGTGCCTTACCTTAATCTGCTGCTTTGAGGGACTTTGGCCCTGTCGCGCAAGGATTGCGTCAAGTAGATGTATCCCTCCCATTCTTTGTGCTGGTGCTTTTGCAGATTGAATGTGAGATGAATTGTGCTGATCTGCGCATCTGCGGATTAGGCCCCACACTTCTGCCCAGATTGTCCGACACCGGCCTTGGCCGGGCCTAGTAGGTTTGCAGGCCTGCTGTTCTATTTTCAAGGGTGCTGTCTGGGCTGACTGCAGGTGGTGGGCACATCTTTGGAATCCAACATTGCTCGCGCAGCGCACCTGACGAGGCAGCCGGGGGATGATCCCGATCTGGTGACTGGCAGCATACAGGACAGTACGCGCGGCCTGCAGCCTTGAAATGAAGCGGTGACAGGACACATGACATGCTGAAGCTCAGATGCTGGGATCTGCAGAGAGTCCTGTTTTGCAGAGGTGGCAATGGCTGCCGGGTGACTGCCGGCGGCATGCGGGCCTTAGAGGGAGGCAGAGCGTCTGGTCACAGTTGAGGGCCATGTTCAGAGTCAAGTTGTTCAGCTTGCAAGTTGTGGACGGGACTTAAGCGAGACTGCAGTGTTCTGGATTAGACTGTGTGCCATCCAGTTATTTCAAAGGCCACTCTTCTTGGTCAAGAATCATGACCATAACGACGGTGCTTGAACATAGATAGGCCCATTCTTTGGCTTTTGATAGTGGGCAAGAGAATGAATGAAATAGAACGCGACTTGAGTGCGCTGTTCTATCCTTTGGACACTTTGTTGAATATTGTTGAATGAGAGCAGTGGATACTCAGTCTGCACGCTGAATTAGGATTATGTTCAGCATGCTAGCGCAGTAGGGGCTGAAGTGATAAGGGGAAAGGCTTCAAGGTTGACTCTCTGAGTACTGAGATCTTAGTTGCTGCTACTTTGGAGGCAGAGAAAACAGTACTATCGCCCAAAAGGTATTGGAGAACACATCTGTACACATTAATTGAGCGTTCACATCGCCATGGCTGATCCGGACCAAGAACAAATATGTGTCCATATACCATATATTACTTAGTAAGGCTTGAGAGACCTGTCAAACACTTCACACTACAGCGCGCCAAAGCTCTGCATGGCATGCATGCACTGCATGGCAGCTGTGCTTCCCTCTGCAGATACACAGTGAAGAAAGATACCCTCAAACGCGACACAGCTCTAGCCTTACAATCTCAGGTCTCAATCTCAACGCACAGTTGCTTACAAGAGTGACATCAGAAGGTACAAATAAAGCTGACCTGGCATGCGTGCCTTTAGGCAGCTGCCATCAAACACACGCCCACAACAACATGTACATCATGACACTTATCTCTACTCTAGCTGGGTGAAATTTAGAAAATTACGACATTCCTACGTATGACAGATCCACCCTCGAGATATCTCCCTCCCTCCTCAACACGCGGGTGTGAACATGAGGACAATCCTCCCACTCCAGTTCACAACGAGACAACTGTCAACATCAGGTGTACTCATTTTATATGCCATTCTTGAATGGTAAAATTCAGCCGCCGAGAAGTACGCGGCATACTTCTGTTCAATCATCAACGTTCTGCACATGAACCTTCATTAGAACTACCGTGGTCAGGAAACCATCTGGACGGTAGACAGTCTGTATCTAGAACCTAATTGGCCTGCCAAAAAACGGCAATCCACCTACAAATTGAACAGCAGAAGCCCAACCGCGACCCAGCGATCTGGCTTTCTCTTCTGACCTCTGCATGCTAACACTGTTCCAGCCTAGTCGGCGGTGCCACAGTGTGCGGTACTACTCCCTGTAGACTCTGGTATCAAAGTGTTCTTAAACTTAAAGTAGGGTCCCCTGCTGGTGTCTTCATAATCCCCCGCACACAAGATTGCCTCAATCATCGCCGCAGGCTGTGCGCACTCTCCTGTATGCTGCCTGTCACCAAATCATGATCATCCCTCGGCTGCCGTGTGATGTGAGCCGCCCGCGCAATATTGGACTCCAGGGACGTGCCCATTACCTGCAGCCAGCCCATAGCAGCATACTTAGCAACAGAGCAGCAGGCATGCAAGCCTCCTAGGCCTGGCAGAAGCGCACATTAGCACGGTTTCATATCACATTGGATCTGCAGAAAAACGGGAAGGACCTATTAACTTGACGCAATGCATGTGCAAAGGGCCACAGGCCATCAAAGCAGCAGAGCAAGCTAAGGCACAGCCATAAACGGTGCAGGGTGAGGATGGAGGGGAGTGAATAGGTGATGCACTGTAGGGGGAAAAGGCACCTGGTCCATCAGTGCATGTGCCCAAGCAGGCATTCGCGAAGGCACGTCATCAGAAGTGACAGATGCTGCATCAGAGTCTGTCGCATCGCCGAGACTGCTGTCACTCTCGCTCAGTGCAACCAGGTCCAAGCCTGCAGCGAGGCAGCAAAACCCAACATTGACATCCATGTGGAACAACTCGCATGCATGCCTGTTTAGGCTGCTCTGCAATGTGGTCATGCCTTGCCTCTGGGCCAGCATCCATTGTATTATTGTTGCATGCCGCTCGAAGCGAGGTAGCCCTATCTGTGGCGCTCGCTCTGCCTTAATGCTTGCTGTCCTCCATCCCCTTCAGTCCTTTCTCAAAAAGCTCTGTGCACGGTGCATGCAGATATTGGGATGCACATGAAGGGCAGGCATTCAACAGCACTCACCTGTGGAGCAGAGGTAAGAGGAGACCCGGGGGCTGTCGGCGAGGCTGAGCGCTGCGCGGCGGCCGCCGACGAATGCCTTGAGGGGGCAGAACTGCGCGCGCAGTACTCCTCCCAGCGCACTCTGGTAGGACTTCAGGTAGTGCGCCTTCAGGCTGCGGCACGCTGCAGGCCAGCAAAGGGATGCGCTCATTTCAAGAAGACGCAGGAAAGACCTGAAGCAACTGCGGACAAGTAGGACAAGACGTGGACAGCAGGGTGCTTGCAGCTGTCTTGCATGCATGGCAGAAGGCGGTGGTGACAAGATCAGAGGTTTGAAGAGAGCAGCTGCAGCCCTCGCATGCTAATAATGCTTCCTACCCTTCATAGTGTCAAACATACAACTTGTGATCATATGAAGCAAATATGCAGGAGTGTTAGATCCGCACTGGGGCGCAGGTGCAGCTCGAGGGCGCTGGGCCGCACGACGATAGATCCCTTTCGGTCAATGATGACTCGCGCCCCAGGGCGCTTGTACATGCGCACAAACTTGCCCACGCGTGGAATGACATCCGAGTCATGAACCACGTGCCAGGTCTCCGGTATGAGCGCCTCGTACTCCCTGCAGCCCAGCATACTGGTGAAAGCTGGCCTCTTGTACGACTACTAGTAACGGCACACAGACAGCAATCAGCTGCATGCATGCGCTATGTCCCTGCATAGTCCTTCTCTGTAAAGGACTGTGCTTGTTGCTTCTATGCCTGCTGCTTACTTCAGCCTGTTGCTCTGTTCAGCATCATACTAGGGTTCTTGCCGGCATTCTCGGTCATGCATACACAAGCATTGAACGGCAGCACCCAGGAGAGAAGACATGCGCACAGCTTTTGGATCATGTGCAGAAGTGGCAAGTGGGCTGCGCACCTTGCGAATGCGTGGTTGCCGGTGCGAGGTGCACCATACGTGTATACCTGCAGGTCCTTGAACCCGAACGCTGTCTGGATGTCATAAGCTGCCAGTGTTGCCAGAGCGCCCCCCAGCGAGTGCCCTGCATGCGTGCATGGCTAAGTCATGCTCTTATTGCATGTCCTGAAACGGCGGTGATGGTAATCATTCTGCACTATTCCAGGTGTCAAGTGCTATTGCTAAGGGACAGGGAGTGCAGTGTAGCTCTGCAGCAACTATGTAATCACTGCTTTGAATCCAGTGTTCAGGTAGAGTGGGAGATGATTTGAGCAGCTGACCTGTGATGTAGACATGCCAGTCTGCAGCGGGAAGCTTGCTGTCTACCAGAAGGCTCCCGATGAAGTCCATGACGCGGTCTCCGATGCCGTGCGCGCTCCAGGAGCGCCAGAACCCCTTGTGCACCAGCGGCCGCCGCCCCAACCAAAAGCGACCCCTCTTCGGCACATGCTCCGCCCGCCACGCCTGCACGAAGCACTCAGGCACAGGTCTCAGATTGGGCTGAGCTGCTTCTGCCTGTCATGATGGCTGTTGCACAGTAGTGACAGGAGCACATCATGCGAGAGAATTATCAAGGCGCAGACGGCATGGCGATCGCTGCTATTACAGGATTGGTCTGCCGTCAAATGAGTCAGGATTTCCTTTAAACACAGAGCGTGCAGATGCTGGTGGCTTGTGCAATGTGAAAGAAAAAGAATAGGTGTCTGAGCTCTTGCCTGAAGGTCATGCAGCACGTTCTTGAGGCTGGCAGTGCCTCGGAAGGCCACCACGATCGTGTCATTATTCCAAGAAACTAGCACCTGCTCACATGCCAGTAGCTCAGCCCAGAAACTGTCAATCAGTCGTACCTACAAAACGTTATGTTATCCATACATTATATCTAGATTTGCTTCCGCTGCAGACTGTGTTTGCCAAGGATAAGCATGAGCCAGCGGTGCACCTTCGTGTCCGGGTCCTTCTCATGGATGATGTGTGTGTGCTGCAAGTCATAGAAACTCAGCGCCATTGTCATCAGCTGCGCTCTGGTGAGCTCCTCAATTTCGGCAGCCTTCTGGCTGTCAAGTGATACACTGCGCATGTGTTCTCTGTCACCTTTTTCAGTGTCACCCTGCAGATCAACACCCCGCTTCCAGTTTGCCTCATCACCGTGGTCAGAAAGGCAGTCTGTGAACTGGGGCACTCGCAAACTTTTGAGCAAATTGATCGCTTGGAGTGGATTGCTTAAAGCAAAATTCTGCACGGATCATTAGAGCATGAAGGCTCTGATGCCCCTGATGATCACAGAGGATTGAAGGGAGTGTGCTTGGAGCACGCACCGTTTGCATGACTTCCACCTCCTTGGCTTGCAAAGTCTGTGGCAGGTCATTGCTTTTGGGGTCAGGGATGTCAATATGGACTTCCTTCTCGGCTGCAGGTGGGGTTGTGTCGTCATATACCACCCAGCTGAAGGTGAGCAGCTTGACTGCTGTCTCCAGGCAAAACATTGCCTGCTTTTTGACATTCTGCAACGGCACAGCACGAGCATGCAGGGGGGACTCAGATGTCATGCTGATCTCGTGCTGATCTTCAAAAATGTTTTGATGGCAGGCTCAGGCACTCGGCTATTGCATTGCAAACGGGACAAGTTGTGTGGCTCTACAAATCCGCACAGGCAGGGTGCAGAGGAACGGCAAACCTTGACATGTGGGCCGAGCAGGAGGTTCCGCTGTGCCAGGTCATCCTTTCTTGTGGCCTCGCTCCAGGAGAAGCCCTGGAGCAGAGTCTGCACTCCTGGGTTCACCTTGCTGGCAGGCATGGGGAACATGAACAGCGAATTGGCCACCTGCACAATTCAGGGGACTTGGCACGTCTCAGGCAACAACACGGCATGGTTAGAATGGGTGCCAGTCTAATGTGGCAGGTGAGAAAATAAGCACATGGCAATGGGCACGATCTTGAGCACCCATCGTTACAATCAAACAGACGAAAGATGCAGGTCAACCTATTTGGCATCATCAGTAATAGTCAAAAATGAGGGGGTCTTCTGGTGGCAGGGGAGCACGCACCATTGCCCCTGTGACAACCACCTCAAGAGGGAAGACACCCAACCAGGTTGTGAAGTACCCGCTGCAGTGATTCCAGCTGAAGTACCAGGACGTCAGCACTGAGGCCACCATGAAGTTCATGATCCATTTCCCCTGGCGCCTCTGTTGCCAAACACAAACTCTTTCTTAACATTGGGATACGGCAGCCCAGGTTGTGCAAATGAAGCCTCACCTCTCCAAGCATGCATGCCAAGACTTTAGTAATATGCACGGCCAGACCTATTGATACTTGTCCAAGCTGTCCTTGCTAGAGGCAAGGTGTGTCTGTACACAAGCTGCAGGAAGAGGCTCTCACATATGCTAACCCTTTTTTAACTCGCCAGATTCAAGCAAAACGCAATCAGCCGTGGGCACGGTGCTCGGTTTTTATACCGCCCCCGCCAGGCGGGGCCGAGAATGCGGTTACATGTAGATATCATGAGTATCATCAAAGCATCCCTAGACGGCTGAAACATGTGTAAACTTCTTCTGCCTCCTCTTCTTCTTACATAAAGGAGGATGACAAAGCGCACCTGCCAATTTTGGAGCAGGTTGCCGGTGCGGAAGCGGTTGTAGGGGAGCTTCTCCAGTCGCACGCGCGCGCGGGTGTTGTAGTAAACGTAGACCACAAAGTAGCCCACAGAGAGGACCCCCCAGATGATGCTTATGATCTTTGTGCGCAGTACGGGCGCGCAAGACCCCTCCCAATTCTTCCAATTGCACGCGTCTTTTTGGTCACCTGTTTAGCATCACATGCATGAGTAATGCGGCTGTAGTGTAATGCTGCTGTATGCTGGCCCTTTGATTGTGACAGGGTTGCACCTTTTTCTCAGGGTTGCACCATTTTCCCCCTCTAGTAAGCCCTTAAAACGCCGTGTATTAAGACCCTGAAGGGAATATGGAGGCAGCGGCAATGTCCCAGAGGCCGGCAAGAGAAAAACACACATGCATGCCTGGATACCACACGTTTTACCTGCAAAGAGGCAAGGTGCGGCCTGCAGACAAGCTGCAGATAAAGGCTACCACAATCCTACCCCTTGTTGACCTCTCCAGATACAAGCAAGACCCGTTACACCGTGGGCACGGTGCTCAGTGTTTGTACCGCCCCCGGCCAGCTGGGGCCAACATGGCCTGGATGGCAAAGATATATCATAGTAGAAGTGGCTCAGAGGAGCACACCTTTATTTCCCATAACGGCCTCACTGATGATGGTGCCTTGGAAGCCGCACCACAGTAGAAGCTTGGGGGCATGATACCAAATGGGAGCATCCAGGATCAGCGGGTCCGGACTTGTTGAGACCGGCTTCCCTGTACAGTGACACGAATCTAAACTTGGACTTTTCCAGATGAGAGCGCAGGTCATTTTGTAGAGGAAGCGTAACAGAAGTCCAACAAATCTGCTAAAAAGAGGACCGTGGTCTGACTACCCACATAGTACCTTTGTGCAGCCAGGGATTGCTGTTGTGCGCGCTGACAGTCAGGGTCAGGAAGATCTGCGTCGGCAACATGAGTTTGGATCAGGCACATTGAATAGCCATACACGTCTCTCAAATTTCCAGTCTCTGCATTCCCTGCATGCTTGTATTCCTCTCCTCTCAATTTCTGTCACCATTCAATGCTTCCTGCGAAGTCTCTCAATGCTTCCCGCATGCACACTGCAGAACAGCACAGGACTCAGGAGGCATCACCGTGTTCCACATGGTCCACTGGATGACTCCAGAATGGTCGATGATGGCATCAAACCAGCCACACGACGTCGCCAGTATGTGCGTGTGCGGCGTCAACCAGAATGTGACATTCACCGTCTGCGCACAAAGGATCCATCAATTGCAGCTCAGGGCCTAGACGAACAGTTACTATTGTCACACGCTGTTCCTGCCAGAAGCAAAAGATGCATCTGCAGGCAAGCTGCAATTACAGACTGCCACAACGCTACCCATTGCTGGACCAGCCAGAGCCATGCAAGACCCAATCATCCGTGGGCGCGGAGCTCAGAACTTAAACCGCTTCCTGCCTGTCGGGGCCTACAAATATGCACCTCTCTGTATTGCAACTGCTGTCTGGGTGGCATGACCTGGGAAGACTACATGCCTGCAGGACAGTCTGTAGAAGGGCCAGGATGACAAGCCGCCTCCTCCTTGAACCCCTGCACATCATGTGTCAGGGAAGATCAGAAAACTTTATCCATCACAGATTTTGAGCGGTCCTGTGAGCAGTATCCTAAACATTGATTGGGCTGTGCAGGAACATGTGCAGTAGGGATGCTGCGTCCACGCTTACTCACCAGTGCTTGCCACTGCTCCAGGCACTCCAGATGCGAGCAAGGCCCCAACTGAGAATGGTCAGCAGAAGGGCCAGGCAGGAGACTGCCATGCCCACGCTGGCCTTTGAGAAAGTCTTGTTTCCCAGCCATGCTGAATCTTTGCGCTGCAGGCACAGTATCCGTCATGCACCATGCAATGCTAAATCTTAGTTGACAAGGAAAGTGCAGTTCATCCATTAAATTCAGGCCAGAGCTGCACTATTCAGGCAGCTACATTACAGGTTGGGATAATCACCATCATTTGTTTCACTACAATCAGCATGATCAATGCCAGCACTCCGAAGAAGAGCAGTGTGTAGAGCGCCAGAAGAATAACCTGTATCCCCGTTCCCGTTGTCATTCCCACTGTTAGTGGTCGTCCAACTTGCTCTACAGAAATGCGCTCCACTTTTGCCAGTATATGCTTGCAAGGCTCATAACCGTGGCTTCAGAAGATGCACTCACCTTCAGCTCTGTGGCACTCATGCACTCGAACCTCAAGATGATTGACCTCTGAGGGTCCAAATTCCCCAATCCGTGCATGTCATCTGACCAGCTGGAAGCGCTTTCCAAATCCACGGATGAAGGATTTTCTTTTCCCGTTCCAGAGGGTCCATCGATATCCAGTGGCTCTGGTGGTGGCGAGATCCTGGCCCTTGAAATGAAGGTGGTCTTCCTGTCCAGCACTCTGTCACGTTTGCAGCAACGATCCATCTCTTCGTCCAGATCTTTGCCTATCTGAGCCTCTTTATCACTCATTTTAAAGATTACTCTTCTACCGAGTGACTTCTATGGGCTGCATCGACCTGAAGCAGTTCAATGTAACCATCTGCCCAAACCTTGGACAGACATTCACGCGGGTACGCACTCAGGAGCAGCCGCAAAACACCCAATATACCTACTAAGACCTATAACGAAGTCATGGGAGGAGTGACCTTTCTTGACGGTGAAAGCAGAGAAACAGAGAGTCCAGCAGCAGTCCTGGCATAAGGGTGTTCAGTTCAGGGTGATCGCAAACATTCTCCGCTCGATGCGATGATAAAGACAAAGCATGGCATCGTCTAGAATGACAGAAATGCTCTTTTGCTTTACAAGGCAGAATCAGAGACGTTCCGAAACCGCACGAGGCTTGGTGATCTCGGATGGACGCGTCGTCGAAGGGCGTGCCGTGCCATGTCACCCCATATCTCCCCAGATAATTCAGCATCCCTGGGGATTGGGAAATAAGCTCAAAATTCAAGTTTGCAGAGAATCAAAGAGGAGGAGATCAAGCGAGACAATCAGCAAGAAACCCTTCAGCATGCTTTGAGGCTTTCTGTGCAGTGCAAATGCAGGCTAGCAGCGCTGCGTTGTGCAAATGCTTCAAGCCAGCCTGCTTCGAGTCAGAAGTCCGCCTGCCTCTTGAGGCTTCTGACCACAAGATTAGATTAGGTGTTGAAATGATCAGGACAGATAATCTTACAGGTGTGCTGTGCAAAAATGAATGGCGCTCATCAACGTACGAGAAAGTCAACCAAGTTTTAATGTGGGGAAACCTTAAGCAAAGCGCACTCAGCGCTGCTAGCAATCAAGCAACCACTACAATCATCCACATCTCCGTCTCCCTAATCGCATGCCACCTCAACGCGCAGGGCACCCTGCGACACAGCATATTGTACATGTGCCTGACCCCTCTAGACTGCAGCTGCAGCACTGACAACATATTGTACACATCATTCTCAACCCCATCAATGCCTCTCACCGCGCGGACCCAACAGACACATACGGTTTAGTCATCGCCTCTCCAGACAGTTACAGGCAGCTTAGTCATCAATGCTGTCTTCCAGGGAGCGCTTGCTGCGCAGAGCAGCGGCCAGCTGGTCTGGCTGGGGCAGGTGGCAGCCGGAGCGAAGCAGCACGACCACGCTGCGCACGCTCTGCGACGCCCTGAACAGCTCGTGCGAGTCAGCGCGCATCACCGCCACCTGGCACGCAGCCACCAGGAACTCCAGTCAGCAGGACTCCGGCAAGCACAGGCAGGATTGCTGAACAAGCCGTCTTTAACCCCAGTCAGCACAATTTCTGTTCCATCTCAAGTTGCTCGTCTGCGAAGTCACACAATTTGTTTATAATTCCCCCCCTCTCGCGCATGAGCTAGCCGAACACACCCATCTTTCACCAGAAGAGAGACTCATGCATGCTCTGCAGCAAGAAAGATACGGTTTTCCGTGTGCTTCAGAGCACTAGGAGATCACCGCATGTGAAGTTTGCGGGGATTGAATACAATATGCTTTTGCTGCTTAGCTAATATGAAGAGCGATCACACAGTACTTTTGCCAGCAGGGTCATTCATGATGGCCACTGCACATCACTGCAGGTCCAGACATGTCCGAGAAAATCCAAAAGCTGCAGATAATCAGCAGAGAGGGCAGACTCACCTCCAGGTGGCCCTCAGCCTCCAGCAGGGCGCCATATCTCTGCGCATCAGCCTCGCTCTCAAACGTTATGATGCCGTCTCGCATCTCCAACACCGAAATCAAGCTCCTCCCATCCGCTCGCCGCCTGCCCAACACCTGTTGCAGCACCATTCCCATCATCACACTGCATTGCCCAGTCGACTGCGCACCCCGTACCTCCATGGCTTAAACCCTTGGTCGTCTATTTCAAAAAAACAGGGGCAGGCAAGCTTGCATTGTGCATGCTTTGGCCAGAACCTTCCCCTGTTGCCTGAACTGAAAGGCATTGACAAGCGCACAGCACTGTGCACTGAGCTTGGTAACTGAGGGCCAAGGTAAGCAGTTCAGAACATAGCGATCAGAACTCTTCTCACCCTTGAGAGCTCATTCTCTGCTTCTGGCCGAGACACGCGCGCGCGGAGTGTGTGCGTGAGTCCTGCCTCCCTGTCCGCCTGCTTGGATGCCAGCACATACACCGGCCTGGACATGACCCAGGGCGACCCCTCCAACACCTGCCACAGACGTACAGCCATGCCATTCATATTCTTGATAGACTCCTCATAGTAGACACCGGATAAGGGACACACAGAGTGGCTACAGAGGACACAGAAGAGCTGTAGCAGGGAAATGACATGTTGACATCCGCTTGGCTACGTCAGTCAGGGAATTTGTTCCATGTCGTTGGATTTGCCTTATCACTGTCAGTCAAGCGTCTGCTTCAGGGATCTGCCCAGCTTCATGTCACTTTGGCATAGAAGAAGCGAGAGGAGCAAGTACAAAAAGAGTAGAGTACTTCAGTAAAAGCAGCCTACCTCGTAGCTGGTAGACACCCGTTCCTGCAGCTCCTGCTGTGCTTGCTTGTATGGCTCTGAGGATATGTATCTCAGCAGCTCCGCTGGCGAGCTCGGCAGAGCAGTCACCTGCTTGTGCAAAGTCAGATCAAAAGCGCTGACATGTCTCATGGAGGGATCAGCATTGTACAGAAGCCAGCAGCAGAGACACTTGTTATGCAGAGTGTCTGAAATAAGCGAGGAGCCATGGTTCTAGGGCGGAGGGAAGATGCTCACTCTCTCGCTGGGAGACTCGATGCTGGGTGATGAGGAACCTTTAGACATGTTTCTGTCAGTCCTTACAACTCTTCCTGAAGGCTGCACGATATCCCAGCCCAGGTCATCCCACCTCTCTGGGTCCCAGCCCTCTGCATAGCTGCATGTGGGATCTTCTTTTGGACGGCTGTCACAGTCCTCATCTTCGACTACAGGATACCTGATGCGTCGAACCTGCAGCACAGACGTACTGTGATACAAGACTGGGGCCTCAATGCAGAGAATTAGGACAGTTCATTGAACAGCTCGATCTTCTGCAAGCGAAAGCCTTGAATCCAGTGGTGCAGACTTGAAAATTCATAAATGTCGTAAGTCGTCAACATGCCACGTTCATAATGCTAGGGACAGGAGTATTGTTTAGGATTGAAGAAACCTCTTGTAAGCAATGAGAAAGGTGAATCACCTGCCCTGATGGGTACCTTAAGATCCTCTCATAGGTCCTCCGATCTTCTGCAAAACGATGTGCGAATGCAGCAAATGCTGCACACACACGCAATTTTGCAGATTGCCTTCTATTCGTCCCTTGCAAGGGACGTGGGACCAGCTTCGAACGCCAATACAAGTACGATGCTGGGCATGACTGAGTCGTGCTGCCCCGTTGGAGCTCCATACAGAGCACCACTGTTGCGACTGACGAAATGAATGGTTCTCTTACTTCACAACAGCGAGTGCTGCGTTGAAAGCAAAGATTTTCATTTCTAATGACGTAGGATTAGGGTTTGGACTTTTATTAGTTCTTTGCCCTTTGTCAAGGGTATTGGTGGTGCTATTTTCTGCTGCTTCATCCTGTGGCTTTCTTCTTCTCCTTCGGCAACTTTAATGTAGACCCAAACTTGAGATGTTAGGCAATAGTGAAGTTCGTGCTTCTGACGCATCCGGAAGAATTCCATACAACACCAGGATCTCACAGATAGCAACTTACGCATGTGCCAACACATCACAAAAACATCGTGCAAGCAAGTGATATAACATGTCCATCAAGACCGTTTGCACTGCGTTTCTGCTCTTATGTGATGCCGTTGGTACGGGAGCTCTCACGCACGAATTGCTGCGTGCAGTTGTTGTCATCAACCTTGGACAACTGGACAGCAATTCAAAGCTCCTTGGAATCGACAAAGGTGAGCCACATCATGTTGCAAAACCAATAACATATTGCTGAGGTATACGTTGCATTAATCGTCGCAGATATCATGTATCAAACATCTTCATGTGGCAGACAGATGTGAGTTGATCGAGTAGATCAAGGGCTGTGGAGAATTTAAGACCTGCGTCATAATGCCAAGTTGAAAACAAATCACCATTTATGAATCTTCTGACTCAGACATTTTGCATGGGGTTGCTTGACAGGATGGAACTGACTGACCTGTTCACATTTGTGGAGGCCCACATACCTGATGACAACTTGATCATACTTGAGGAGGCCCTTGTGTTTCATGCAGATTCCTTCCATCCAACTCTGTAAGCAGCAGACCTTGTGCATCAGTCTGTTGCAACAGCTGTCCGGAATCTGAAGAGCCTGTTACAAGCTGGTGGCCCTGTCTTAATTCCAGTCTCGCTGTGTACGTTGCATTGAAGGCCTTGCTTGCTGAGTGTCCTGCTTGTCTAGCCGAAGAGCATGCGATGCCATTCAAACATTTTCGGAGTCAAACACTCATGGATGTCAATGGATGTTAGATTACACAGCACGCCTTCCTGTCAGGGCCTACCGAGTACTTGACTCTTCAGCTGCTCAGTTGTTTTCTGCACTGCAGATGAATGGAAGCATATGGGGACGGTGCTGGCAGCTGTGCGCAGCCGCAGACGGCTGGGCCTTCTTACAGATTTCACAAAGCACAGGCTGGAACACTTGGATCTGATCTCAGATGGCGACTGCCCGCCAGGCCACGGCAGGATGATTGTTTAGGAGGATGCTGAACTTTGGAGCAGAATGGGCTCTGCCTAAGCCAGGTCAGAGTGTCTTGGTGGCACCTGGATATCCGGATGCTGCTATTGACTCACCCTTTCTACGTGTGATATTTTGTATGCAGTTGGGAGGTGAAAGGATGGTGAAAATGGTGGAGTTGAAGAGTCAGCCAGCACACAAGGCGGAGTGGCCTGCGCTCCTTGTCTTGAGAAGAGAGTGCTGCAGCAGAACATGGTTACTCACTATCTCTCATGAGTGTCTGCAGGGCAGTCATGCGTGCAGCATATGCAGTTCATAAATGAAAGCTGGGGGCCAAATGATGGTCTGAGCCATTCCCATTCCTACCGGTGAGAGATCCACTTGACCAAACCTGCCTCCGCATAGCTTGGTCAGTCCCACCAAACGCCCAGACCCACATCTACGGAGGTGATCCTTAGGCTCCTTATGTGTTTTGCAGAAGAACAAAGATTCAATACTCTACATCCCACCTGTGTGCATGTCTTTGACACGCTGTTCAAGTTTGTGAATACACTCATGGAAATCCCCGTCAGCATGAATTGCGTGCTTTTGTGTAGAGACTTTTGCAGACTCTAAGCTTGAGCCTTTTGCACTGCACTCTGCCCAGCTTTGTTGTGATCTCCACAGTAGTTATGGGAATCTTATATCCTAACTTGGTGGACTTCTGGTTCTGGTGTGTTTCTGTGGTGGTGCTTGTGCTTTTATATCCATCTGCGTGCGGATATGAGGTGCAGGAAATTCCTAGTGTCACCGGCTCTGATAATTTTGATACTCCAAGTGCATGGCCACCATTTTGCAGATCATTGGGCACAGCTGTCTCACCCAATTTGGTCCTGACAAGAGCACACTGCTGCACAGCTGACTGACTGGTTCTTAATTGCTTTGCAGGCCGGTCATGTCTGCAGCGGAAGGTGTATGTCAATGTTCTGTGGCCTGAAAAGGATGGTCTCAGCTGGGAAACCTTCTCATGCTCGCCAGTGAAGGAAGAAATCAGCACGAGGTCCCTGCGGCTAGCAAGATCAGTCCCAAGAAGCAGCCAGCTACACATTTTCACAGGTAGTTCACTTGCTTTTCCATGCAATGCTCAAAATCCTGCACACACTTGCAAAGCTTACCTGCTGACGTGTCTCAGAGACAGTGGCGATTGACTGTGTTTGAAACGATCAGTTTCGATTGATTGGTGTGTTTGTGTGCAGAAACCTTTGGAGACCATGTGCTTGAGCCCTTTCTGGAGGACGGCTGGCCCTTTATGATGTTGATCTGCGCAGTGTTCTTGAGTGCGCAACATCCCGCTTTTGGGATTTGGTGGGTGTGGTTTGCCGCTCTAGCGACGATTCTGATATTGGGGCTTTTCTGTGGCGTAAACATGGATTTGAGTGCTCAACTGTGGTGTAAGTGTTAGCCTTTAGGACAGCCTCATAGATTTTCACACCCAAATAAATCTCACTGTGTGACTGTGGTCCCCTAGCATGTGCAAACTATCTGCGTGCTGAGCTACCTGCGAAGCAAGAACCGGCAAGAATGGAGCTCTTGCTATGCAGAGAAGATGAATGCATGAGCCAGCTTGAGGCATTTATAGTGGCCTGTGTTGCTCCATGTTCCCCACCATATATGTTGATTGCGTAATTGCAAAGAGCAGACATGTTTTGGAAGAAGCAACCAGCATGCCTTGTCACATTGTAATATTAGGTCTTGGACATTTTCTTATGCCCAGAATGTGCGAGATGTATAAGGTGCCAATGACCGCTTGACAATCCATCACAATCAGATAGCATGAGATGTAAGGATTCAAATCTAAGCTGCCATGCAGGAAATTCATCTTCTGTGACTCATGTAAACATTATTGCCTAATCTGGCGTCCTTCCTAATTCTGGCGAGAGATCGATGGATCACTCTGTTTCTCGTTGTCTTCTGTACATAGGGTGAAAGAATGTTCAAGCAATCTTGCTATCCATTGTCCCAAGTGGTGAGTTCTCACCGCAAGTACCGTGGCAAATCCACAGATCTGTCGCAAGCAGCTCATATTCTATTGATCTGATCAGAATTGAGAAGGCAGACATGGAAAACAGACAACGCTGTGTTGGGCATGGCATCTGTTCAGTCTAAGCATCGAACCTTGGAAGCCTTCCCCAGGTAACGGAAGAAACCTCTGATAGTTTGGAATTTGCGCGATCAGCGAAAGATCTTCCGACAATTATGGATCACGAAGTGCTGCTCAAAGAGGACACCTGTTAAAGATTTAATGGTCTGCTCACAGCTGCTGCTCCAATTGGATCACGTACATACAGAACACCTGCTACATATGCCATCGAAATGGCCAGCTGTGAAGGTGGATTCTCCTGGTGGACCTTAGCTCTCACCTCTGTTTGTTGACTGCAGTAGACACAGAGCAATGACTGGACAACTCAGCAGAGCAGACCTCATCCGAGGCCTGGATGCCAGGGTGCTGGATGCTGAGCTGAGCATTGTGGAACGTGCAATGGTGATTCAATATTACGGAGGCTTTCCCGGAGCGGTTGAGCACATCATTGCAAAAGTCTCAGAACGACATCTTCCGGGAGTTTTGCAACTGGCGGCAGCAGAGAAGATCGCGAATCTAGGTATGAGCTGTCACTTTCCAATTTCCTCAATTCCCATCTCCGATTGCGCACTGTCAAACACACTTGACACAATAACTGCAGATTGCGCTCTGCAAGCGAGTCTCATCCCGGAGGGTGGCTTTGCCAAGTTGCTATGTTTGTTTCACTGTGGGGCACTAGCGCTGCAGTAAGAATGCCTTTCTCATATAGTACTTCAGAATCCTGCAGTCCCACGCTCCCTTGGCAGAGAAGCGGGCTTCGGCAGCAAGCAAGGAAAGTATTGTTCAAATTTTGCCAACACTATGGTTGCTGTGGCTGACAGAGGCAGATTGGAGGCCCATTGGCGAGTGCACAGTATTGGTGCGTGCGGCGGCTTTCACGTTTGGAGAACACCACAAAATGGAGCTGTTTCTGAGCAAGGATGAAGACAGCAGCAGCAATGATCATGAGGGGCGGATCAATGTGGCAGCGGCTGACGTACTTATCGAGGGCGGGACTTGGTACAAGCCAGGAAGGCATGCCACAATCTGGAGGGCTGGTGCTGAGTCATCCCTACCCACCTGCCAGTTCCTGGCCTGAGGGTTGCCAGGCCTTAGACGAAAAGTGCATGCTGCCCTTTCAGCAATTCTACGAGAAACAAAACGCATGCAGGCTGAGAGAGACGCCTCCTACTGACACAATTGTGCAGTACAGGACACGGAAGCCACTGTTATTCTGAGCTCCAAGCGCAAGCAGATGGACTAAGCAGTGTCACAATAGATCCTGTCGCGCCTGCATCTAAGCTGTACGCAGGTAAGCAGTGAGCAAGTGCCCAAATCTTCACACATGCCACTGATATACTGTGCTCCAAATTGTACAGAATTAGATGCTGCTCTGCACAAAGTTCCACTGTCAGAGCTTGATGACGCCACCACCGTACTGACATCAGCACTTCCTGGTGCAGAGCCAGTTCTGGCAATAGAGATCCAGGCGGAGCTCGTAAAGCTTCCAATGACCAACATCTGCCTGGCCCTGGGGTGCTTTGAGTCTGGGCAGTATCTTGCTGGATTTGCTATCCTCCTGTATGAGCTGGGGAAACTCTTGCTCGGGCTGTACAAGCTATATTGGCTGTGGGAGCTCCATGGACCTTCCGGCTGACAACACCATGCACCATCCTGCCTTGTTCACAATTGTCACCCAGATCACCTTCAAATCTGATGCTCAAGCTCTGCCGAAACTTGACAAATGGGCTGCCTTGCTAGGCTTGCTCGGCGCTGTATGCCAATTGCTCCTTTGTGTAAGCCAATGGGTGTACAGAGATTGTGAAGGATTTAGCTTTGGATCAGCAAATGTGCTCAGGAAGAAGCACTTATTGCAGCTGCTGCTGCTTGTACACACATTTGCTGGAAATATTACTCTGTACGCATGGAAAGCTGAAGCAAATCTTGTCAATTCCTTGCGAAGTGCAAACTCAGCACCTGTCTAATCTAACAGCTGCTGAAGTCGACATCAACATCACCTGCTTTTCAAAGAGACTTAGTGCATGTCCCTCACGTGAGGGTGCTATTTAAGGATCGCATCCTGGAGTCTGGTTCAAGTCCTCCTTCAGAAAAACAAAAGCATTGCGATTGCGAATCATTGAAAGCTGTCATGCAAACAGAGCTTGCGTCCTTTTCATCCATTGTGCGTGATCGCACGGACTGTTTCGTCAGGCTTGATTGTGTAATTGTACCACTGCACGTCCGGATGGCAGATTAGTCAGGTTGAGAGAACCCTTCATGATCAAAACGCGGTGAAGTGCACATGAGGATGCATATGTGCCTTTGAAGGAATGTACATGGATCCTATACTGCAAATCAATCTGAAGGCCGTTGCCTCTCTGAACATAGGAGCAGAACGGAAGCTTGACACGTTTGTAATTGGAGCCATTAGCACAGAAGTCTCATGCTAATGACTAATAGCTTTCTAAATAGGCTGATCTAAAGGAGACCTTCTTTTCCGTGAGCATTGCTTTGAACGTACACGTTCTCTTAAATCAAGTGACATCTTTTACAATCGCACATAGCTGACATTGAGGCGAGCAGTGCCTCGTTAACAAGGTGGAAGGCAAGATCTTAGAATTCCTTGTCCTTCGCCGAAGCCTGATCGCTGTGTTGCACTCCCCTGCAATCAAAACAATTTAAGGAACCTTGTGCCGTCTGAAAGCTGCCTTGCTTGTGGCCAGCAGGGTTTGAAGATACTTGCACAGGTACTGCCACGCTGGAGTGATCCAGGTGCTCTCGAACCCAGAGTGCTCGCAAACTCGCAAACCCATTGAAGGTCTGCCGAGTAATGTTCTGCGATCTGCGAACATCTCGGAAAATCAAGTATTCAGTCTGCACCCTGTGGTGGCTGCAACAGCTGCCACAGCAGCCCTGTGCCTTGAGCAGAGAAAGCTGTTTCTGATGCTTGCAATGTGGCCTCCTGTGCAGAGAAATTTGCTTCTTGCTTTTCCGATCCAATCAGGAAATCTTTAGAATGGCACAGAATGGTGAAGGAGAAACTCGCCTGGTCGACCCTGGTGCGCAAATTGATTGAACCACATAAAGTTATGCTTAATTTTCTTCAGATCCAAGGGGTTATCAATCACGTGCTCATGTCTTGCTACACGTCTCAGTGCTGCTATATGGCTCAATGCTTTGTGCAGATCCAAGCTGGAAGTTTGTGGGATATGCGCCCTTTGTGGTGTATCCTTCCCTGTTTGGCAAGGCTGCACCGCTGTGGCTGGACCTGTACCATGGCCCCAATGAAACCTGTGGGCCCAATGAGGGGCGCCTGCACGTGGCAAATGTCGATGCTCTTGTTGGACTGAGAGGCAGCCGGCAATACGCGACAATTGTCAAAGGTATGTCTCCTGCTTGATCTCAGACAAAGCTCACAGATGTGTTCAGCAAGCATGTGCCTGAGAAGCAGGAATTGGAGGTGCTTATTTACCGCTGGCCCTGGCTGGCGGGGGCGGTTTGATAAACTGGGTATTGTGCCCGCGGTTGATTGAGTCTAGCCGGCATCTGTCGAGCCATCAAGGCTGAACCGCGTTTGTCTGCAGATGTACCTTGCCTCTGGGCAGAGAAAGTGTGTGATTGTAATATAAAGTATAAGTTCCTGCTGCAGGCCTTTAAGGGTTTGAGCTGTGTGCAGGCGCTGGGACAGCATTCTACGCAGATGCGCGAGCTGACGGGCTGAGTACTGAGACCTTTCGCTACTTTGATGAGTTCAAGGGAGTTGGCAATCACATATTCCCAAGTAAGTGCCCTGGCATTACTCAGGTTGCAGTCAATGCTTCTGCCTGTTTTGATTTGGCAGACTGTAATCTGTCATTGCCAGTATTTAATGTCCAACCACTGGATTTCCCTTTGCAGGCAACTGATCCTGCACTGTTGGTTTCTGACAGTCAGGGCCCAAATCCTCCCTTGATAATTGTATAAATTGGTGCTACTCCGGAGGTGTAAGATTCTGTCCAATGTACCCTTGAAAGCATTTTGAGGAAAGATATTTTGCCATGCAGATGATCCATTCTCGGTGGAGCTGAGGTTTGTGCTCACTGGGATGTTTGGAGATCCAATTAATGTGGCCCACGCGGTTGCTGTGACATGCGGCGCCTACTACTTTGGATGGCATCCCAAGACTGCACATGTGCTGTACATGATGCTGACGGTGGTTAAGTGGGGCTTGCGTGCACACTGGGCATATTCTCGGGGCCATCTTGACGCCTTCCTGGGACTGGCATGATAGCTTAAAGTCATAAAACAGCCTTTTGCATGTTGGATCACCTCTAGAACAGCAGTGTCCCTCTGGGTGATGTCATGCATGGAGGCTGGTTCTGGAGAGAAACACCGACGTGGAATCGGCATGGCGCAACTAGTCATGCGGATTGCTGTCACCCATTGCTATCGGATTAATGCTGCGTATCGTTGTATTGACTTGAAATTGCAGGTCCATTTTGTCACCTCGCGATGTTTGCATGGATGTCTGGCACATGACTCATCCAACCCCTGCGAAGACTTATTCTTCAGGCATACTATGTCCCATTCTTATCTTCTGAAAGCACCATCTAGCATGCACCAGATCAGCCGCAGCAAAGCCTTAGAGAGTCTGAAAGCCAGAATGATGGGGCATTCCTATTGAGCTACCTGCGGTACCGCAGGTGATCACCACACGTGGATACACTTGCCCTCCAAGAAATTTCCATGGGTCTCTCTGCTATAAATTCACGTGCTGTGTTTTGGCCTTTTTTTACTTTGCAGGGATCATAAGCTCCCTAATTGCAGTATCAGAATATTTGGTCATGACTAGAAGCAAAGAACTCTCAAAATTCAGCACAGCACCTTGCATGCATGATGATGACTAACAGTTCGCCAATCAAACCAACGCCAAAAGCGCTTCTGATTTTTTGCGTGTTGGGGACAAAACCTTCTGCATTGGCTAAGTTGCTGATGCGAGCAAGGGCTTCGCATTACACTTTTAGCACACTGTTCCGATTTCGCAAGTGAGCTCCCTATAGGCCTAGGCAAGCATAGTCACCCCATCAGATCCTAAGGTGAGATCCCTCTGATAAAGTCTGTAGTCGAGTTTCTCTAATCCATAGAAATCGCACCAGTCTTATGCCGTACTTAGGCTGCTGTGCTTGTGGACAGGGGTTTCTTTCCAGTGTTTCGTCTCGTGTGAACGGTTTATGCCAGGTGCGTCAAACTGCAGAATGTCTACCATCTTAGAACTTCTTTGAAGGCCTCCTGACTGACGAAGCTGTTTTCCAGCAGTGTTTAGCACGCACCTTGTGGTGGTTGGCACAGAAGCCATTGCAGACCTGTGCTCTCTGAGTGTGAGTTTGGATGGAAGCAACCTGATGCTTGCAGGCTGCTTGTAACCAGGAGGAACCTGCTTTCTACTTAGCTCACCCAGGCAGGGAGAAAAAGAGGATGGCACAGGATGGTGAAGGAGAAGCTCGCCTGCTCGATCCTGGTGGCGAAAGCAAACTGTTCGAGCAGGCGAGCTTTAAAAGCTACAATCATACAGTAATTGCACCACACATGCATGCTCAGGGTCTGCATGGAGGCTCACTCTTCTGGATCATGTGCTGCAGATCCGAGCTGGAAGTTTGCGGGATACTCGCCGTTTGAGGTCCACTCCACCCTGTTTGGCAAGTCTGCACTGCTGTGGCTTGAGCTGTACCATGGCATCAGTGACACCTGTGGGCCAAAGGAGGGGCGCCTGCATGTGACCAATGCTGATGCCCTTGTGGAACTGAAAGGCAGCCGGCACCATGCATCTGTGAATAAAGGTAGGACAACTGCACGTGTTGATATGAGGCTCCCAAAAGGACTAGACAAGCATATGACCAAGAGGCAGTATAGGAGGCTAATTTTTGTCTTGCTGCTGACTCCGGCTGACAAGGGCCGGTAGAAATACAGAGCATTGTGCGCTTGTTGTTTGGGTTGGTTGAGGCTTGCTTGGATCGGGCAGGCCGAGATATGCAACAGCCTTCACCTGTACCATGTCTGCAGAAGCACCTTGCTTCTTGGTATGTAAGAGCTCGTGATGCAGGCCCTGACAGGTTTTAGCTGTGTGCAGGTGTTGGGACAGCATTCTATGTAGATGCGCGAGCTGATGGGCTGAGTGCTCAGACCTTCCGCTGCGTAGAGCACTCCACCGGCATTATCAACCACATCTTTGGAAGTGAGTTTCCTGGCCCCTCTTCAGCACAGAGCTAATACCCCTGCATGTCTTGGGCCAACAGAGTGCCATCTTTACCATAGCCAGTCAGTGCCTATCCACTAGTTGAATATCTTTGACAAGTATTTGCTTCTACCCTTGCGGCCTCTAACAGTCAGTGCCAACTTTCTCAATGGAATTTATTTACCAAGGAGATTGTCCTGCACTGGCGGCCTCTAATAGATAGGCCAGACACCGTAAGTCCAATAAAAACTCTTTGCCCCGCAGGTGATCCGTATCTGGTGGAGCTGAGATTCATGGTGTGGGGATTTATGCAGCCTGCAAACTTGGCAGTCGTGATTGCTCTGGCATGCAGCAAGTACTTCTTTGGATGGTCCTGGGAGACCATCTCTTTGGTGGGACTGATGGTGCCGGTGGCCGTTGTGGGCTTGCGTGCATTCTCGGCTCTTCTCAGGGGCGAGCTTGATGCCTTCATAGGGCTGGAATAATAGGAATTATCAACTGCAAAGAGGCAGCGGTATGCCACTATTTTTTGTTGGCCCCGGGTGTGCGTGAGGAGGGATACTGAACCAAGATGGAAACGCCTGCAAGCATTTCGACCTGCCTGTAGGAAGGTGCCGGTGGACATAGGGAGCACTTCTCAGTTGCAAGCTTGATGCCTTCCTAGGGCTGGCCTGAGGGAATCATCCTTGACTGCAACAAATGCACGAGTGTCAAATGCCTCGACAGGTGCAGGAGGGTCACTTTGTGCGGGACTGTCAGAAAGAGCATGATACTGTAAACATAATCGTGGCGGGTCTGTGAAAATGCGCCCTGTGAAGAATGGTTGATCTGTGCAATCGCAATGACCCCTGCTTGGGGGCAGGACATGCATGCGGCCGCCACAAATGCATGCACTCAGTGCCTTCAAGTATCAAAGCATATTTGCATGTATGCACCCAGTCAGAAAAAGTGTGAAGGTGTCTCTGTAGTAACATTGATTTTAAGATTGACATTAACATCAACATAAAGATCAACTTGGGATTCTGGTCGGAATTAACCGGCGTTCCCACTCACTCTGACCTATACCTTACCCCTTGGTCCGGATAGATAATCTAGGTCTGGGAAGCTCATTTCTGCGTTCGCTTGCCTGTTGTAGGAATTGTTTTTAGTGTGGCCCGCATCCTAATCTTTAACGATACCTTGAGCACGAACCTGGCCAGGGATATCGATTGCGCAATAGTAAATCTGCTCGGCTTTTTCAAATGCACTTTCGTCAGCTTATGGCAAAGCTGATCAGACTCCTGGTGCGTATTTCTGACGCCAATTTGAGCATCCTCGAAAGGCCCTCATTGTCATCCACGAGTCCACAACTTCCAGCATGTCGCTCGAAGCTCTGGCACTTTATCCTTTCGTTGTGATCCTCAAGGGTCTGCTCTCACAAGCCGGTGAGCTATTCTTCCCAAACCTGGTGTCCCCTTGTTTTCTACTTTGAGTGGGGTTCGTTCCAGAGCCCCTGCTTTAGCCTTATACTTCCCGACTCGAGATCAAGGCATTCAAGGAGATCACCAGAATTTGAATACTGCTTCCTCTGATCTGTCAGATCTGTCAGATCTGTGACAGAGGTCCCACCACATCCAAAAGTGCCACAGCAGATAAACAAGGCACCTGTCAAGACTGATTTATTATGCCTTGCAGAAAAGCAGTGGGAGCATGTGGGAATTGTACTGGTGGCTGTTTGGAGTCGCAGGCGCCTTTGCTTCTTTTCAGCTGGCACGCAGCATCAGATGGTCCACCTGGATCTCTTTCGTACCTCAGATGACACCTGCCTTCTGGCCATGGCCGAATCAATATCAGGGAAGTGAACGGCCTATTGGAGCAGGATGGAATCCGCCTAAAACCGGACATGAATGCTTGCGCCGAGCGCAAGTACCCTGGTGAGGCTGACTCAGCTCGGAGCTTCCTCGCTCCAATGGGTACTTGCATGCATTGCAGCCTTGCTGAACAACAGTTGAAAGACAGCGTGGCAGTTTTTATCTGATGAAGTGCTACGCACGTGAGTACCAGGCTGGAGGGTCTGTGAATGCAGGGAAGTACGCCTGAAAAGGATATGGCATGATATTGCATGTGGCCTGTTTGCAGGCAAGATTGCCCAGCCACGTGTGCAGCGTAGCCCCTAAAACTGTGCCCTGGGCTGGAGAGCATTTCCCACTGAACCTGATAAGGACGTGCTCAGACAGAGATGCTGCAAAATGGGAGCATCATATCCACAGGGCATCCACCTGCACATCTTTGGGAGTAAGCACTGAGCCCCCCTTGGTGCAAGAATTGTGCTGGTTAGCACTTGCAGGCTGGCTTCTACAACACACGTTTTAGAGTCTTGCCTGAAAGAGTTGCATGCATGCATGCATTGCACCTTTGCTGAATCAATGCCGTGTGTCTCTGTGCAGATACTTTTGCAGATCAAGCGCTGTGCCACTTTTGGCAGCATCATCCTCACTGCAATAGTCCTGCTGGTCTTTGAGAGCCTCGATCCAATGTCTGCCTGGTGCTTTTACATTCCGGTGGGAACGCTTATATTTTCTGTCGCAGTTTGCATCCTTTCTGCATTCCCTTGCTCGACAATGAAATCAGTGATGAGGGCAGCGCAAGCGTCAGTTGTGCTCATGCATTATCAGTGCAAAAGCACAGTTTGCCACATCGGCAAGGAGGGAAATGTTTGCAGTAGCCTGCTTGATAAGGTGCCTTGGAGGTTTCCATGTTGCAGAAAAAACGTTCAGCTTCAGACATAACGTTGTCTTCTGCGCACTCTTGATTCAAGGCATGCACACCCTCTTGAGCCCTCTCCAACATTCAGCATTCATCGCAACCAGCAACATAGCTTTCTGTGTCCCTGCACATTTTCATGCTGCCTGCAGCGGTGCTTCCAGTAAAGAACATTACTGGCAGAGCGCCGCTTCCCAACCCTGCTTGCTTGAGCTTTCCTTGCCTTGCTACCAGCTGCAGTCGGTAGACCCCGGCAGACTTGTAGTTGCTGCATCAGTTGCACTGCCCGAGGTCCAGCCAGTTTTCAATCTGGCAGACAAACCCCAAAGTGAGCCCGCAACAAGTTTGATGCAGGTGATCTTGTTGTAACGCATGGGCTACCAAGAAGATCTAAATACCGTGTGGAGCAGCTCAAATTGCCTGGATCCGTCTCTAAGCATGCTATGATCACAGTGGCCGCCATTTTCTTGTGTCAAGAGACATGCATGGCCTGCATGACGGGAGTTCCTCATGCCATTATAGCCCCAAACTGGTTGGATTCATGCGATCGGTAGCACCTGTGGATGTCTTAGTAATGAAATACTGGACACAATTAACTAGATGGCAGACTACTGGAGCCAGCAAAAAATTGAATTAAAAGGATGTTGGAGGTGTCTCCACATGCATTAGTCATCGGCTGCCAATCTAGGCTCTGGAGCAATTTGAAAACTTTTCCATCTTGTGCTGGGTGAAATGAAGATGAAGACGACGTGCATCATGTCCGATCGGCGGACAGTCTGAGGGTTGATCCAGTCTCAAACCTGCTGAAAACGTTGCACATTGTGGAGGGTCACTTGTAGAGGTTGGGCGACAACTACTCAGTAGTAAAATGCCTCAGTCAGATCACCGAGCTCTGATTGCTTGGCGAACGGCCTAGAAACAGCTCCTGAAAGATTCATTTAAGGGATCAAGCACAAATTCAGGGTGGACGTTTGAGCTCTGGACTGTCCAGCGTCTTTTCAGCTGGCCTTGGTGCTGAGGAAGTCTTGAAGGTACATCTCTCGACATCGGTTGTTTAAGTTGTGAATATGCTGCAAGGTCTAAAGGCGCTGGTGCATTCGAAGCAGCGCTGCTGCAGGCCAAGAGGCTGTGAAACTATTGAGGAGAAGGCTTCCTTTCTCGTAGGAACGTCAATCAACGCATCAAAGGTAAAGCTACCTAATAATACACGATAAAATTTGCTGCCAGGATTGCAATAATGGCATTCACCACGTCGATGTCAAAGACTCTCTTTCCTGGTGATAGTAAGGACTTCAAAATCCCTGATAATTCTTTCTGCTGTGCCTGGCAGAGCCTTTCAGAAATATTTGTCCACAAAATGGGGGATCACGGGGATGGCAACCTGCCAGCATCCTCACCCACGAGTATCATCAAGCACCTTGAGACAAGGGCGGCATATGAGAAGCTGAGCATTCTGGACAAAGGGTTGCTGATCAACTACCTCCAGCACAAAAGTGGAGCGCGTGTCACAGCCGTCCTGACAGAGCCCATATGGAAGCTTGTTGGGCGTGTAGAGGAGATGAGTGCCCTCAAAGGTGTTGTTTCCCCTTAGTGCTAGCAGCATCCTGATGGTTCTGCATGCAATAAGATGCATATTGCATGCATTCTGATGCATGCTATCCAGATGTTGCCCCAGAGGCAGTACTTTTACCGTGTCGATTACACAGATCAGCAGATTGGGTTCTGTATCAGTGTAAGCCTATCACAGGCTTTCCAACGATGCAAAGAGGCCATACATGCCAGCGATCATGACATGTGCTGGAATCATTGGCTACTCAACGTGCTTTATGGACTAAACTGTGCAATCATGACATGTGCTGCAGTGACTCAGTGAGCTTCTGTGCTTTGTGCAGATCCTGAGTGGACGCATGTGGGAGTGATCACGGCAGACATTCGCAGAGACTGGTTCTTCTTTGACACCCGCATGTCTTTGGAGCGACTGGACATCTTCCTTGAGTTCTACCCTGCCAGGCCGGCACCGAGGCTGGGGCGCATCAACATGGCAGAGCTTGAGCTTCTGATGTACCCTGCCGGCCACAGGACATTCCCCCGCACTGCAGTCTACAGCAAATCAGGTCAGTGTCTGGTGTTTACTCATTCCTTTAGTGCCGAAGAATTCCCACGCACTGCAGTGTACAGCACTTCAGATCAGCTTTTAGGATCTACTCAGGTGTTGTGTACCCTATTGGCCAAAGGACATTCCCCCGCACGGCAGCCTGCAGTGACTCAGGCCGGTGCCTTGTATTTAAGTGGTCCTTGTAATTTTCTAGTTGCAGATGCACTGCCATGCACTGCTGCTTACACCGAAAAGGGCCTGCATCTAGCATCATCTCAGTCACTTCTGGCAGTATCTGCTGGAGTTTGAGTTGCAGTAGCTAGGAGTTTTGCTGCTCGTACAATATGGGCGAGTCAGATTCACAGCAGCTGCAGTGTTTAGCTGGTTCCAGACCCGGCTAGATTCCTTCCATATATTGTAGTTGCCAGGGTTTTTGCTTGATATCACTATCGCAGATATGTCAAAAGAGTTTAAACCTCTTCTGCACTCACATCCACATTGCTGAGCGCCCAACTCTGCGCGGCTGCATCCCTCCAGTTGGCCGTCCAGCATTAGTGGCTGGCAATAATGATCCATTGAGGCATTAGAGTGCAGCATGCTATTTTTGATAACACGGTTACTGCTGAAATTTGACTTGCACCAGCAAGGATTGTCGTTGCTGGTACAACACGGATAAGTGAGAAGTACAGCAGCTGCAGGAGTCACTCCGTCACAGGCAGGGCCAGGGCAGGCCTGCTGCCCTGCTACAACAGAACCGTAATGTATGTTTTCCAGGGCATGTGTCTTGGTGTCAGTCAATTCAGCGATGCTGAGATGATCTTTCAGTTGTGCATGTGCAGGCTTGATGGAAGCAAGGGCAGATGGCCTGAGCTGGCACATGTTCTCTAAATATCCCCCAGGCAAAGAATATCTCTTGCTAGAAGGTGTGTCATTTACACGAGCTCCCACAACCTGTCTGCTTCTCAAGCTTCCTTTTATGGGTGAAATAGCTGCTTATGGACACAATTCGAACATTCACTGACAGCATGTGTGATCTTGCAGTTACTCTCTACATATTGCTGCGCCCCTTTGGAAAACTACTATGCTTCTGTCTGAGGTCCTGCCTTCACGCCATCATCTTTCTGGGCAATGCTTGCATGGCCACCATTGGTGCATTGATAGCTCTTCCAGCGGTCTTAGTATATCTCTTCTGGGCTCCCGCAATTTTTGTCATAGAAACAGCCATAGGCTATGCAAAAGGGCTCATTGGGTTTCTGGGGGACATAGAGCAGGCTTGCTCAATCAAGAGCAGGTCGTTTCGCATGTGACATGCGCAAGAGCCTGCAAGAGCGGTGCATGGGTTAGCTGTGAATTGCGTAGCTGCACACAGGCAGGCAGCCTCACACTGGCCTCGAAAGTAGTCTAAGGGGGTGATTGACTTGAACGTGAGAAGGTCTTTCAGGAGATATCCATGGAAATTGCAGTGGTGTAAATGCCCTTTAGCTGCAGCATGCAGGCATGACGAGGAAGCTGAGTTCTGACTCAGAAGCTCGGAGCTGTCCACCATATTGATTTGCCAGGCGTTTGACTTTTGTCCTGGGTGAAAGACAACAGGTGACGGCATTTTTGATAGCAGCTGTGTCGCTGTCGATTCTGGAGCTGTTCATTGGTGGCTTAATTTTGCTTATATCTCCTATCTGTTAATTACCCTTGTGATCACAAAGTACCGCGGCAGTGGTTTAGGGTTCAGATCATGTTGTGCATCCTGGAAAACGTGTTTGTTGCTGAGATGTAGGATGGCTGCTGCTGTGTCCCAAGGCGCCGTTTGTGGTATCACAAGTTCAGGAATTGGTGTTGAATGCTTTGCATGAATTTCCACTTCAGGACAGACACCCCTTTGCTGCCTGGATGTCCTGTGCCCCTGGAGGAAATTTCGAGCAATGTTGCCTAATTAGAATTCGGAGGAAACTGCGAAAGCCCGAAATGAAGTTCCCTGCGACCAGCAGCCAGCAGCCCCTGTCACTGCCTATGATCCTAGCAAGGACGCGGCGACCAGAAATTCGTTCAAGAGCGCTTTGCTGTTTGCATCGAGTAGAACAGGCTGCTGAATGATCTCGAGACCTTACTGGGCACAAAGCATCCCCTGGCAGAGTGCACGCTTCCCTCGTCGCCTTGAGTTGAATCCTTGATTAGACACCAACTTGGAAAGCTCGCTGACGTACGACCCCAGACTTTACTAAACAGAGCATCGTTTCACAAAGCAGCTTGCCAGTAAACGAACAACAGCAACTGGTATCCAAAAGAAGCTTGCCGTGCAGGTGGCCTAATTCACAGTATCGATTCAAACATGCCTCAAACCGTGCCTGATATTGTCAGATATCTGGAGGCCAAAATGCCTGACGCCCTTGCAAGCATCCTGCAGAAAGCTCTCATTATCAACCTCAGCCACAGCAGACTGCCAGCACTGCCAGACGTGCCTCTCGACACAGCTATTGAGGTCCTGAAGGCTGAAGTGATAGCTTTTGGTGAGGCCTTCAAGCCTCATGTCACCTGTCACCAGTGCATATCCGCTCACCTTCGGAGACACAGGCTGTCTCATCCAGCTCTGTCTCAGAGCTGATGAGCTAGACAATGGTGTGCACCGTGGCAGATAGTCAGTCTTCTCATTGCCCTTCCTAGGCTACAGTATTCCCCAATGCACTTTGTGTTGCAATGCAGGACCTCAGTGGAACCTTGTGGGGACTATCCTGGCAGCTGTGCGCGGCAGACTCCGCCCGGGGCTGTTCAGGTTTCGCGCAAGGCACCAGATGATATGCCTGGGTCTCTACAGTGCCCCGGATGACACCTGCCCCCCAGGCCATGGCAGGCTGATTGCTGCAGAGGTGAAAGAACTGGTACAGCAGGATGGGCTCCGCCTGAAGCCAGGCATGAACGCTGCTGTGGAACCTGAGGGTGAGGGTGAGTCCTTCCACCAATACAGGCTGGCTGGCTGTACATAACCTTTGCACTGCAGTTCCAGTCCTCACCTGAGTTTGCAAGAAATGCATTGTGCCGGAATGAGATCCGCACGAGGGAACTGCATGCTTTCAAGAAGGGACAAGACAGATTGTCAGAGGTTGAGCACAAATTTTACAGCTGTACAACCGAGCAGGGCGATTCAGTGGGATGATGTGTTGTGTACTGTGTGCAGGCCATGAGCCCCAGCTCTTTTCCCAGGAGAATGGTCTTAGCAAGAGGACATTCTCCGCAGCACAGAGGATGTACTCTGAAAACAAAATGGCGGCATTCAGTCAGAGAGCTGCACGATATGGGCCTGCTGCGCCGCAGGAGGCACAGATCTGCATTTCTGCAGGTGTGGGGCATTCCAAAGCGGCACCTTTGGCATTGAGATCAGAGACATCAATTTGTGCAGAGGCCATTGAGGCTAGCATGTATATACTGACAACATCAGTGTGATTGCTGCACAATCAACTGGAACAATCAATTGGAACAATCAATTGAGACAAACAATTGAGACCCCGGAGACACTCTGCAACCTATAGGCATCAGACTTACAGCAACTTGTGGATTTGCAGATACATTTGGCGACCAGATGCTTCAAGGCCTCTACTGGGATTACCGCCTCATCCTGGAGTGGTTGCCATTAATGCCATTAGCAGTACTACCTTTTGGAAGCCTCACAAGTGATGGCCGCTGGATAACAATTGCGCTTCTCTGTCTGGCGGCGCTGTTCAAGCTTGCGTTGACCATCTTTATGGCTCACATGCTGTCGGTACTGGCTTGATTGGCTTTGGTAAGTAGTCAAACAGTGCATGACTGGAGCAATTCAGTTGATGTGGAGCTATGGAGTGAATCGAGGGCCCAAGCAAATGGCTTCAATATTGCCTAGCCCTGGAGGGCAGATTCGTCAGTAGTGGTCCAATTTCGGCCTGGCAGAGTGTGGTGTGTTGAGCACCGTTTCAATGCTTGAATTTCTCTAGCTTGGTTCTGGAGTGTCCAGCAAGGGTTAGGATTGGGGCAGCCTTTACCTGCAGCTCGACTTCGCCAATTTAACTTTTCTTCTGACAAAGAGTGCATGTAATGCTTAGATTTCCATATGGCTTATTTGAAAGGAGTGGCTTGACATACAAATCATTATGTTTTATTTTCGCGGCAGTACACAACGCTCTGCCATGTGTAAGAGCGGCTTCACGCGCACAGTTTGGCAACTTTACTGCAATGTGCACATTTGCGAATGCCCTTTTTGAGACAACAAAGTTTAGACTGATTATGCTACTGCCCTTCTCTCGGCATGCTGCAGCCCCTGTTCATCAGAGAGCATGCCAAGAGATCTCTATTCACATGCTTCTTCATACGTTTCCTAGCTTTCATACCCTTTCCAGGATTCCTAGATCTCCTAGCTCTCATACCCTTCCTAGCTCTCCTATCTCTCCTATACTTCATACCCTTCCCAGTATCCTAGATCTCCTATATTTCCTAGCTCTCATACACTAGCGGGCATCCCGGCTGGCCTTTTTAAAATAATGCAGGGTCAGCGGGTGGGCTGGCGACTCCGCTGAGCATGTGGCCCACACGCGCGGGCGCCCCGGCTCCGCTGTATAAAAGAGTGCAGCAAACATTTCTAGAGTGAACGGTCAGCAGCAGCAATAACACTGGCATTAGCATGCAGCAAAGAGCTCAGCCTTTACTGCAGATTGACGGTCCCTGGACATGTCGAAGACTCCGGTAAGAGCTTCTGTTGGTGGTGATTACTTTGTGCTGCGCCAATACTGTAGAAAATAGATTGAGTCATGCAAATGCTGCATTATATTAAATGATCTATAGGTCTGCCTGTGTTGCAGTGCCTCGATTTCAGCCTTAGTCTATAAGGTCCAGATCCAAGGAGATGCTGCTGCCATGCAGACTAGTCCATGCATGCTTGATCAGGATATACCTGGGCACGAGTTGCCGAGAGGCTGGGCACAGGCTGGACAGTCCTTGTGGCCTCGCAGTACTGTGCTGGGATTGCCTGCCATTCCTATTGTATCTCCTGAGCTCTCTACATCTTGAAGGAGTATGTCTGCTGTAGTAATTCGATTCACATGGCACACTCGTGGTGACGTCAGCGCGCACTGGATGCGCTCAGTCCAGCCTGCGATCCTCCACAAGAGGATTGTCGCTGGCGCTCTCCATCTCGCCTGAATCTGTTCGACCGAAGCTTTTCTATCTTGTAAGTCTACATTTAGCCGTTTTGCTAGAGTCCGATCAGCTGACTCGTCACTCGTCTCCGATACAAAAGTCAGGACCATCATGCGCATTCTCTGCCTTCTTCTAGCTTTTGTAATCGCTCTGCACGCCCCGTCATCGTGCATGGCCGACGTGAGCATCCTTCACTACACCGTTCGCACGGTCACAAAAGCAGACCCTTTTTGTGTGGTCCGACGGACTCAGCAGCATGCTTGCTCGGCACGTAATGAGCAAGCTTTTGACTGACGTGCTGAGGCCATCTCTTGTGGGTATGCAGGAGTACAGGGCTACTCTGGATGGGTTCTCTGTAGTGCCTCCACTGAACATCAGCAACAATGGCACAGCCACCTTCACATTCAAAGAGGTAAATATCCCCAGTTCTTGGATGGTGTTAAGCTTCTTGTATCTCCGTTTGAGGGAGATTTTCCCTTGCATGCAACGGCACAGACTTCTTGACCCGCTTAGTCTACCCATGATGAGCGTTGATGCTGTTTTTGAGCAGCCGATAGAGCATGCGCCTCAGCATCGTGCCCAAGGCCCGTTGAATGGGCCTTGCTTGGATATGGCGAGTCAACAAGGTGTAGGATTGTGGCAGCGCTGTGTGGCTGGCCTTTAACTGCAGCATGTCTGCAGGACGTACCTTGCCTTAAGGCAGGAAAAGCGTGTACTAATAACAATAATATTAATGGTAATATTGTTACCTTAACAATAATAGGGCATTGATGCATGAACCTGTTTCTGTAGGTGGTCCCTTCTATCTATCTTGCCACTCTGCTGATCTCGACAGAATGCAACCCTTTCAGAGACAGTATATTAACACGCGGCTGCGGGACATTGCTGCAGCGCTCTGTGCTCTAATACTTGTTTATGGATCGGCATTCTGCAGCATGGGATGTTACAACTAGATATGACGATGCTCAGCGAGCCAATGAAGCACTGTGCAAGCTATTCCTCACGCCGTATGTGCCAATGCATCTCCTCAGCGTTTAACGCAGCACAGGATTGGATATTGGGTGGACCTCAGGAGTCCATCAAGGGATAGGATATGGCAGCCTTTGCTGCAGCTCATCTGCAGCTACACCTTGCCTCTGGCGTGGAAGGTGTGTAATGCTATTTCCAGTAAAGTATTTTGAAGCTATTCTGTGCAGCGCAGGAGGACCACACGGCAGTGATGTACTTCCAGGTCAACATCACCGCTCCCGGTGGTGCGCGAGCAGCAGAGCTGCACCAGGCATCGACACAGGACCCCCTCAACACCAACGGCAACACCACAGCTGTGCTCTGGGGGCCCCATGACCCCCACCAGGACAAGGTCAACTGCCTCAGCTGCTTACTTGCATGCATGCATGCATGCTTCCTTACATGCATGCATGGTAGCGCATAAGTATATGCCCATGATGCCCCATGGTCTGGTGCTTCGACATTTAGAAGCAAATTATCTGATTTATGAGGGATCATGCTACTTCTGCCTATTCCCTTTCATCAATATCCATCCATCCTGCATGCAGGGATTTCAGCTTTGCATGCCTGGTGAAAGAGCACGAAAGATTTATCAGTGAGAAGCATGCTGTGCATGTCTGATGCCAGGAAAGCCCTTTGGATGCTTCCCAATGCATGCAATTGCCTGAATAGCGCCCCACGAGACACATTTTCCCCTGAAGGATTGTGTGTCACCTGCACGCAGCCGGTGGATGGGCAGCTGGGGGCAGGCAAGCTGACCACCCCAGATCTGTTTGGGCCGCTGAAGGGGCTGGGCATCATAAACCTGAAGGACCAGATCGACAACGGGGGCCTGATCTACCTTGTGATCCTCACCAAAGACCACCCAGAAGGAGAGATGCGAGGGCAGCTGATCTCAGCAGAGAACCCATATGCCACAGACATACTTGCTGTGGCGGCAGGCTGAGATGCATTACCAAGTATCTGCCAGAGCTGAAATGACAGTTTTGTAAAGCTTTACAAATGCTTGTTTTTGCTGTGCTGGGAGCTAGCTAGTCTAGTCTCCTCCGTCCTGTGCAAAGTGCGGGCAGAGGCGTCAGCATGCGGCCGCAACTCATGTACAGACTGCCGTGGAGGCCAGATGAAACTTTTTTGGCTTTTGAAGCCTTTTGTTAGAAGTGACGTGTCTGTCGGAGGCTGTGCTGATGATGCTGCAACAGGGACTGCAAACTGTGGTCACTTTTGTTGGCACAGGCCACTTTTGGAAGCAAAGGTGCACTGCTTAACGCTTGACCAAGGTTTTGAGCAATGCTATGAGGGAACTATATTACCAGGTACCCTTTTGCTCTGCCAAAAACTAAATTGTTTTGCCTGAAACTGTGATCTGCCAGTGTTGCAGCGCATGCTGATGTGCAAATACCGGAAAGCTGCAGCATTGATCAGATACTTGTGATTGCCGCAGTGCCTGTCTGAATAAGAGTTGTGAGTATAGCACTTGTCAATTTGACACTGCAGGGAAACTGCAGTGTCAGATTGATGACTTGTCTATGAAGCTGCCTCGCTGCATTGCCTTGAAGACTGCAGACTTTGAAATGCAGAGGGAGGATTGGTCCGGGTTGTCTGTTCTGAGGAAGCTGAAGATGAAGAAGCTGCTGCGTGCTAATTTGCAACCTGCACTTGGGCTCCTATCGATGCAGAAGCTAATTGAAACGATCGAGCGTGGGACTTGATGGTGTCACGTGACCAAGATGTCAACTGTGGATCTGCTATAAACGTGAGGTCTGGGACGTGGCTGGTCATTGCTCTCAGTGCAACTGTAAAGTGACGTCTGTGAGAAGGAAGCTGTACCTGGCCGATTCTGAGGAAATTGCCAGCACAGAAACCACATCCAAATCCTACAGGTTGATCCTCTTCTTCTGCGTACGTTTGCCAATGCACTGCTATGCTCATCGACATCTTGCTGAATATTGAACGACTGGGATCCACCTCCAGAGCCTGGTTAACTGTCCATATTCCAGACAGCGTTCAGCCACACATGTCTGCGAAATCCAACTCTAGCAATTACAAGCACAGGGCAAAGCCGGTGTCAGACATTCACAACGCTCATAGCCACAGCTTCCCATGAAGAAACGCGTGACGTGCAGAGCAGTACAATTAAATGGCAGGCTCAAATGCAACATCTGATGATCTCCTGCCATCGCATGTCCGGAAAATGGTTTGCAGACTCAGATCTGCTTCCCCTGTAACTCAGTGAGGCTGACTGGCAGTCATCAGCAGGGCAAGAGCCACACCCATGCCTCAGCATGCCTTCAGCTTCTATCGCATGCATTTGATTGCAATTTGCAACCCGCTATGTCCCCTGGTCAGAGAGGCGGTGCATGATTTGTCACCAAAGGTATCTGCAATTAACACAACCATGGTGAAGTGACGATGGACATATCAGGCATCAATTTTGTAACCAATAAGAACAAAAACAGAGATACCAATCTAATGATCTGGTCATCCCCTTGACGCTGCTGCATGCATAAAAGTCTTACCAGATTGTGTAAAGTTCTCTGTTCAGTCTGCTGATTATCAGAGAGTCCGGGGCTTGCCTGTTTGTGCCTTTTAAAGGAAGGCTGGTTATATAATGCCATATATGTCATATATGCCACTATGCAAATCTTTCAGCTGCAAAAAGGTGGAACACCCCTGGAGTGTAGCAGCATGTGGCGTGCTCTCAATATACATTGCTGGACTTTTCATGGAGAACTTCCTTTCGCTGAGACTATCTGCACATGCAAGGAGTCAACCCATAATTCCTGCAATGCACAGACACCCTTCAGTTTTTCCTGGCATGTGATCGGGCTGATCTGCCCTCTAGGCTGTGAGTGCATCGTCTACACGCCATGCAACAACCCAGGGGAGGCTTTGTTGCCAAGCAGGTCAGACATGTCTTCATGTTCATGCATGCATGCATCCATCCATCTATTTCTGTGGCATAAGGACTGACGCTCCGCTGTGATGTTCAGCTAATGGCCAGCTGATGGGTTTGCACGATACCAAAGTATAACAACAATAATCACGTGAAGCCAGGGCAAGGAGTAAGACTTACTGCTCGTTTGCAGCTCCACAATAGCCGTCAGTCCAGGGTTCAGGCGGCGGTTGTCGATCTTTAGCAGCTCATTCACCTCGCCCACGATGAGCCTGCCGAGGTCCAGAGGGCACTCTGAATCATATCTAGCACGGACCAGATCCAGCTGCACCATCCGGTGCAGGATTTGAGGAGGAAAGGGGCGGACAGCTGCCGGGATTGTCCCCACCTGGTGCATTTCATGTCCTGCATCGCAAGCCACAGCCATAGTTAAATCCACTGCACCGCTGCTTCTGTTGACATGCGCCAATGCTTGGTCTGCTCCTAATCCCTGTAGTGCGTGCTGCACTTACTTCTCATCTGCAGGACGCACCAGCGTGCAAGTGATGCCCAGCACTACAAAATCGTCATGAATTGCTGTGTGGATGTTGTGTGGAAGCCGCACCAGGATCTCCGATTCCTTGTGTCAGAGCCCGCATATATAAGCTCAGAGGAGCCCGCTTTGGCAGTTGAAGTGATATGGTCATCTTGATGACGAGAGCCTTGTGCAGGATGCTGGTATGAGCATCCGGCACGTTGGCCTCCAGGTACTTGACAGCTTCTGCCGGTTTGTAAGACATTTACATGTTCCTTGCTGAGCAGAGATACCTGCAAAGCCTCAATCTTTTAGAGAACGTCGTGCACCATTGGACGTCCCATGAGGTAGAACATCAGGGAATGCGTTCTTCAGAAAGGGACTTCAAAGATCGGTGTGATCTACTTCTCGGGTTCTCGTTGATAAGAGTTTTCAAGATACTTCCAAGAGAGCTTCGAGTGCCCAGCTCCCTGGATATCGCCTCTCGAACAGATGGACCAGTATCGGTGCAGATCTTGAATCTGCAACACTCGTTGTTGGAGTGCTGGTATCGAATTTCGCAGATTTCGGAATGCTGGGAGGAAAGCTGAACACTGGGCCAAGGCATTCGATTTGCTCCGGGAGTCCTAAACAGGCTTGCACGTGAGGTCCTTAATCAGGGAAATGCAATCATGTCGAGAATGACTACAGACCTACAAGGTAATCCAAGCGCCAATCAAAGGAGAATTCTTCGAAGGGGCTGCCTCACGGTTTACATTAACCATATGTATGCAATGCGTACGCACGCATGCGGCATACATGACACGATGTGCAAGTTGAGAGGGAGGAGATGAGAAAAAGTTGCATACATTTGATGTGCGTTCCATCTTGATTGAACCCTAATTCAGGGCTTGGGTGCACTGGTGGAGATGCCGTTGCATGCCACACAAAGATCAGTGTATCTGCGAACTAATTTCACTTCAAAATCGTCTCCCAGTGTGTGCTGTGCTACCATTCAGATGTTCCAGAATCTACAGATTTGCATTGGCACGCAGTAACCACACTGGCGTTCCCTTGAAACAAAGTACACTTCTCAAACAGGGCCGAATGGTGACTTACTAGAAGCAGGAATGATCACATCCGATCTAGTACATTTAATGCAGCAGGACCAGACTTTGGCAGACTGCACCGCAGGGCATGTTTAGTTCCAAAATCAGGCCTGCTCGCACGACTGGAACAATTGCTGCAGTTGTCATAAATGCTTGACACTATTAATGACATCCTGGCCACGACTGTCAGACCCAGCCCATTACACCCTTGAAGATGGCAACAGAGAAGGGAATGACGACGAAGGACTGAGTTGCGACCAGTGCCACAGCAATAGCCTGCCACCAAGGCAGCCGCCCCCACATGTAGTACAGCACAAACACAAAGACTCCCATCTGCATGTTTGTAAAAATGATGTGCCTGATCTCCACCACTTCAGGGGTGCCTGCGCCAGCCAAATGAGTCAACAATATGTGCAGTTGACAGCCTTTCTGATGTCCGTGGCCCGCTTTACACCAGGTGTTAGGAACAAGGGCTGTAAGGCGTGCCTCTGAAAGCTGAAACGCGCTGATCAGAAGGAGGCAGGCTGAATCCTCCGTAGGTGCACTGATCGATAGGGAAGGTCTGTGTGCTCAGCTGATCTGAGTGCATCCCGAGCGCGAAAGCTTCCCCATTACCTGCAACAGACCACCATCAATCTTGTCGTTGTTGAGAAACATAGAAGAGAAGCACATCCCTATTAGATATCTATCTCCCAAGCAGAAAGTGTCCTCCACCTGTATTGGTGGAACACCTCTCCAGCATGCTTTCCCCTTTCCCTTGCTGGCAGAGGAAAAATAGGCACCACTTTCTAATATTACTGCCAATTGCAAGCGTCCGGAATGGGGTCCTCACATTTGCTTGCAGCGTGTCTCACCTATCATGATGGTTGCATGCCTGCCGGAGCTGGGGCTCAGGTTCACAATGCGGTCGATCTGAGGCACAAGCAGGCGGCCTTCTGTGGGTGTGCATGTGTCATCTGCGCTGCGGTACAGCTGAACGGTGTGCTTGAGGTAGTCACCAAAGCCCAAGAAGGTTGGGCACTTCAGAAAGGTGAGCTTTCCCACTGGCGCAATCATCCTGCCTGGCACATATAATGCATTGCTTCAATTCTATGCAATGGGGACTTGAAGTGCCTTGCAATGCAGGGGCCCGCCTCAATGCACTAGAAGCATGGATAGCACATTCAATGGAGCAGGATCAGAACAGTTCACTGCCTGCAGAGACGCTTTAGGACAGCCCAATCCCCAAGTTGCAGATTAAAAGCTTGTGAATACAAGGCAGGATCTGCTGTCGCTGCTGCAGTAGCCGCAGCTGCCACATCAGAGCTCACGATTGAGATTCATGTTGAGGGAGTCTCAAAGAACTGAGATGAAATGTCATGGGCGGCCACACCTTCTTTTCAGGTTGCAAAGACCGTGACGGCTGTCAGCAGAACTCCAGAAGAGTGGAATGCTTGGTATTGCCTTCAAAGCACCATCGGAAACTCAGAAATATATGTTGCCTTCTATGATCAGCCTGTACACTAGAGAGGCTTATGCCGCTGTTCTGTGCAGGCACCGAAAACCTTCTGTCTTTTGATCGATAGCGTCACAGCAAGACGACCGACCTTGAGGAGGCCTTTCAGACCTATCTTGAGATGCCACTGTCGAAACCTCCTTCTTACATATACGACTTGCTCTCTCTTCAAGTACGGTCAGTGTGCCGTTCATCAGATGATTATAGTGAGTTCAGGTGCCTAATCTGGATCCTCAGTGACCTGGGGTCATTGTGCAGCAAGCAATTCCCTTCTAATGAACCAATGTGGATCACGACAGGGACATGACAAGACATGTTCAAACGCCGCACTTGAAGAACCTCTGATGTTGCAACGTCACCTTATCAGAACTGTGTAGCTGGACTTCAGGGCAAGGGTTTATACTGACAGCTGGCGGTGCCAGCGGTAGGAACTTTCAGCAAAAGGCGATCACATGGATCGATCCTGGACCATGGGACAAGAAGTGTGAATTGTAGGTGAGTGCAGCAAATGCAGCTGCCGGCTGCCCAGCAGCTCTTGGATTGCCGATCAGGAGGACAGCTACTTGACAGCGCTGGACGCCCAAGAAATGCCAGATGGTGCTTTGACAAGATCATTCATACTTCAAAGCGCCTGGAGCATGTTAGGTTGAGGAGTGGATCTGATGTCAGCGGCTGGTGGCAGTGTCGGCTGTGCAGACAGCATGCAGTGGCAAATTGCTGCAAGAGATCCAGGGGAGATGCTGCAGCTGTCCTGTGCTCACCCTGCTTTCATCTATCCGAGCAATCCTGAAACCATGTGGGGTTGTGAAAGGTGGCTGTGCTTTGTGTGATGTAAGGCACAGGAGCTTCAAGCCGACCAGAGACTCTCAACCGCATACTCTGAGCCAAATTGTTGATAGTTCCTCAGTACAGAGCAAGCTTGACCGTCTTTGAGGCTGCTCTTGTTGGGAACATGCAGAGAGCCCAATTGGCCAAGGTCCTTTCCATAGAACATGTATGCTTGAGACTGCAGTGTAGAGATTTTAAGACTTCCATGCCAGATCTGCAGTGTAGAGAGTGCAGGCTGTGATTTGTCTGGCACAGTGTTTCACAAGGGGCCTGAGAACTTTTGTTTTGAATTTTGCAAGATTCGATTGAAGTGACATGGTATTTCTTTCATTCTTAATGTCACCAATTGGTGAAGTCTAGCACGGACTCAGTCTCACTCCAGGCCCAATTCAGCCCAACACCGATTTCCTTAAGCTTAGGACAGTCCTAAGACATATTTTTAAAGCCAGCCTTACGTTGGTGGCAGCATACCACATTTGAACACAGAACAATTGTGGGCAAGCAGTCTCAAGCTCGAGCTCCTGTTGCTCCCATCTCAAATACTGTATTCTGATCCTTCAGCAAGCTTAAGCCACATCAGTCACCACATTTGTGTACCCGTGTACCAAACTTGAACAACCCCATCATTGTAGACCAGATCGATCTCCCTTTAGCAGTAGTACCTATCAAGTTGACAATGTTCTCACGTAGGGCATGAGACTGGGTGCACTTGCCAGAGCCCAGGAAATTTGTCTGCTCACACACAGAGCGCGGCAAAGACCTCTGTATATATACTATATAGGAAGGATTTGACTACAGCGGTATCTGGTTCGAAAATCCCAGGATTGCTGGCACTGGCGTGATGAAAAACTAAAGCACATCTGCTAGGAAATTGCAAATTGTCCCATTTGTGCACCTGGAAAAACATTCCACTGCTTTCTGGCACTGCAGCGCACTACACACTCACCGGGGTGTTTGCCATACTATGAGCTTAGCACATGCACACAAACATATCACATCCACTGTTGGCCATAGTTCATTCCCGAGCAAACAGCTTCCCAGTAGCAGATCAAGCCCAGCGAAAAGAATCAGAAGCGACCCACAATGCAAGATTTCCATTGAAGCCCAAAACATTCCAGACACAAGAAATCAGCGCTTGATGTCGATTTGTGGACCAACAGCGCTCGACACAGGATACCTCCATATCTCATGTGTCACACCAAAATTCAATAATACGGCAGTTTTCTTGATAAGTACTCGAATAGAAAAATAATACCCTCAGCTGCAGGGCAAAGAGTGTCTTGTACTGCCCTGAATGACACAGCTTGTTGGCCAAATGCGCTTGAGCTTGAAGTTTCACACAGGGCAGAATCATGCAAAAGGTCTTGACATTATACCCACAGCCCAGTCAGGGTCGTGTCATTGCATGATTTTGCTACTTAACTGCTTTCTACCTCGGAACAAGACATGTGCAAGGAAATCTCAGACCACTGCTACAATGCACACTCTCTAGAGCGGCAAGATCCCCGTGCTGCCATCAGCTTAGAGGGATGCCGGCGGCCGTGCCTTAAGGGACCAGGATTTCCTGGAATAATGCTCAGGATGCCTGCGCTCCATGTTGCCCCACATCAGGCCGCCAGGCCATGGCTCCATTGTTGCGCGCGGCGAACATGGAAGTGTCCACCAACACAGACCCTGCTGCGGTGCCCTCTTGCGCCGTCTTGGCTGGCTGGCTTGCAGGGCTCGCTGGCCGCGGCAGCCGCATCTGCTCGGCCCCAGGCTGCTGCGCGCCCAGCGTGATTGTCACCGCCGCATCCGGCAGTGCAGAAGGTCCTGGCGAAGCATTTGGCGCACTTGGGGGCCCGGCAGGGGGGACCTGCCCGGCCGGGCGCGCCGCGACCTGCCCATTGGGCAGCACGGACTGGCCCTCAGTGTAGATAGGGCGCAGTGGGGGAGGTGCGCTGAAGCGGGGCGTTCCCGTCGCCGCCTCTCGCGTGGAGTGTGGCGGCGGCGGCGGCGCGCGGCCGGAGGCCGGTGGCGGCGCACGGGGGCTGGGGGACGGCCCCCCCTGCGGCGGCCGGTAGCGCGGCGCTCCGGCCAGGAAGCGAGACAGCGTCTCGAGGGAGGCCCGGTCGTTGATGTGGCTTGGCGCGAGTGTCGGCGAGATCAGGACCTGCAGAGATGCGGCAAAAAACATTTCAACTTTTGTACTGCAACCCCACAAAGCACGGGGCCAGCATCTGAACATGAGCATGCCCTGGCCGCATCCGGCATGGGTAGAGCCACGCGATTGCGTTCAAACAGTAAGGCAATGAGAAGTGCCCACCTGGATGGAGCCTGCAGACAGCAGCTGGCTGACGTTGCCAGGCAGGGTCAGCGCGCCGCTGTCCGCGCGATGCAGCTGATGTGGCTGCATCACCAGCAGCGGCAAGGCTGGCCGCGAGCGCATCCCGGGGCCGGCCGTCATCGGCCCCGGCCGCATCGGCGGCCCGCCGGGGCCGGCCCGCATCGGCGCGCCGCCGCCGTTGGGGGTCGGCTGCCTCAGTGGACGATTGGGTCCGCTTGCGGACGTGCCGGGCCCACCGGATCGCGCCGGCTGGCCGCCTCCGGCACTGCCAGAATGCTGTGCGCTGCCGTCGGCCGCCAAGACGTCCTGCTCATCGGCCGGGTCAGCCTCGGCGTCTGGCTTGGGTACCGGCTGCTTGCGCGGGCGCCCCGGGGTGCGCTTCACCGGCGGCGGAGCAGGCGCATTGGGGTCGACCGGCTCGGCGTTGTCCCTGCGCTGCCGCGTGGCCGGCCGCGCGGATTCAACGCCGCTGGAGAATGCGTTCAGGCTGGCGACGCGCGGGCTCCTGCGGTTTAATAGCCCGCCAGGCGACCCATGGTGCTCGTCCACTGGAGCTTCTACCTCGTAGTTCCCATTGTCGTTATTGTCCAATGAGGGCTGCCCGGCCCCGTCCTCCGCATCGCTGCCCTTGGACTTGGGCGCCGAGCGCAGCTTCCGCGGCGGCTTGATCTTGGCAAAGTCCGGGGACGACATCGGTGATTGGCCCTGCAATGCAGCGCCACTGTTCAGTCCATCGGTTTATAGTGTTTCAGAAGACACTCAGTGGTCGCTGATGAGCAGGGCAAAACGAATAACAACCAAGCCAGTAATCGGTGGCGCTGCCCTTAAGATCCACAATTTTCTAGCTTCCATTGCCAGCAATTCTACCGGGGCATTATGCCTGGCAGTCTACTGCTTAGGGTTCGGCCGACCAGAAGCCGAATGCAGCTGTGCTGCATGCAGAAAGGATACAATATGCCCCTAGCAGGCCAGCGAAGGGAATTCTCACCTCTAGGTCTTGGGGAGGAGTTGTGCTGCGCCGTGAGCGGCGCAGGGCGCGCTGACGTGGCGGCGAGGCATGCTGCAGAGCCTCCAGCCCCTGCGCGTCAACACCAAACTGCATGCATCAGTGAACTGCCGAAAGCCTGCTGGGTGCATGCCCAAGACAGCACACAATATCGGCAGTCTTCATTTAGTTGGACAATGTCTACAGCCACATTGTCCTCTAGCTGACATGCTGAGAGAAGTTACCGCCTGCATTGCAGAAGGACCTTCTCAATCAAGATTGACCGCCCCAAAGAAACATGCAGGTTGCACAAATAGCGCGCAGATGAGCCGTAGCAAGTAACTTTGGAACAGGACCATTCCAACTTTGAGAGCATCCCACGGCCAGCAGCTCACACAAGGCAAGGCAGCAGGTGCATCGTCACCAGCATCAATTGACCCAGGAAGGGCTTAGTCAGAGTGCAAAAGTGCAGTAAGCAGCTCCCACCTGCATGGCCTCGTCCAAGTCGTCCTCATCATGTTCTTTGAAGCCGCGTCCGCGCTTGCGCCTGGGCGCCTCTTCCTCCGAATCGCTGCCAGCCCTGGGAGACCTGCATCGCAGAAAAAGCCTCAGGACATCGCCTCACTTGCTTGACATGACAAATGGCTCAACCGCTGCTCAGCCCCTGACAAGCTATTGGTGAGGGGCTTCTCAAAGCTCTGCAGCAGCAATATGCCCACATCACAGACCTCCACTTGCATCCTTGACAGGGTCATCGCATGCGGTGATTCCGAAAATAAAATGCGGTAAAATGCATGCACTATTGAAATAAATGAAACTGCGGGTAAGATACGGTAAAATGCGGGCTGCGGTGCCACGTCGACAAGCTGGCAGCTTCTGAGCAGCCCCCAGCCTCAGAATCGACAGCTGACAGGTCAGTCCGAGAAAGCCGAGGGCAGAAGAGCAGCATGGGCAGGAAGAAGTAAAAAGAAAGAATGGTATTTGTGCATGTCATCAAGCTGCATGGCTCTGGGCCTGGATGGGGAGGGAGAAGGTAGGATCACAGACCTCCACTTGCATCCTTGTGTACCAGTCATAACAGCACAGCACAGCAGAGCAGGACAGGCTCCTTGACAAACAACAGGTAGGACGCTCACTTGGTACCGCGGCCCCTGCCGCTGCCAGCTCCACGACCCCGGCCGCGGCCGCGCCCGGGAGGGCGCCCCAGAGGCCGTCCCGGCCGCGCGGCCGCGCCGTCCGGTCCCTGCGATCCCTCAGGCTGCCCCTCGCCCGCGCCACCTGGCGCTGACGTGGCCGCCGCCCCGCCGCTGGCTGCAGCAGCTGACGCATCGGCACCTGACGCGTCAGGCAGCAGACCCGGGCTGGCATCGCGCTCTCCGGCGCGCCCGGCGATGGCCACGGTGCGAAGCGCCGCTCGCGCGTTGAGACGGCGACGGCCCTGCCCCGTGTTGACCATCCTCCTGCGCAGCGGGGCACCATGATTACTTCAAGACCTCTGCTTGCGGCTACAGTAGAGCGTATGTCCTTCAGAGCCTTTCTGCAAGCATTGGCATAAATATCAAGCCTCACAGGTAACCAAGCAAGCTCACATGAATATCAACTCGAAGTCAAAAAGGAAAGATGAAATACTCCGGCATACCTGAAGAGCCCTATTGAGTTCCTGACCTCCAACAGACAAGCTGCACAGATGCAACAAACATGCCACCCTGTGCAGTGACGAACAACAGGATGCCACTGCAAGAGTGAGGCGCTCACTTGCGGCGGATGGCGTCTGCGCTGATGCCGACCTCGGGGTCGACCATTTTGACAGTGGGGATGGGCGCGGGCAGGTTGCCGTCTGCGCCGGTGCGGTTGTGGCCGCCCAGGCAGGGGGCCCCCTCCACATCCGGAACCACCTCTCCCACCAGCTGCACGGCAGGAAGACAATGGTGTCAGCCGGCATTACAATTAAGGGGAATATTAAGGGGAACCCGTTCTTCTGTATTCTTTATTATTTTATTCTCACCTTGTCACAATGCAAAACCACGCAGTAAGTGCCTGATCAGGCACCCTGGAGGCAGCAGTGTTTCAGGGGGGTCCTGCTGCCTTTCTGCTTCCTGGGTCTTAATGAGGTAAGCAGGAATTGGTCATAAAGAGGCAACCAGCATCTGCCCCCATGGAATGAGGCCACACAACTCTCCCTGATCATGAACACGACCGGAGCAGACGCAATGGCCCAATGAAGACAGGCTCTGTGGCTGCAGGACTGCGGCTGTTCTGCCAATGCACTGTGAGACAGGAGGTGAAGGGAATTGGGCGCACGTCCTCGAAGGGCTGCTTCATCTCGGCGACCAACTCGGCCTCCTGGCTGCGCGGCATCTTGAAGAACGCCGTCTTTTCCAGCCACCGGTGCACCTACGCACATGCAGTCTCAACTTAAGTCCTCAGACGGATACAATATGAAGCATATTCATGTCAAAACCGAACATCCAGGACATGCAGGACATTCTCACCATGGTGGCGGCGTCCATCCGGCACAAGCAACATGATCGCATCTCCCACAAAATATCTCAGCGAACCTCAGAACTTAAGCCTTAAAAGGGGGCGGCACGCACACAGATGTACACCGCATTATGTGGCTTTCCATTTCCATTAAGACAATGTCATCCAGACCTCAGATTCTTCGAATCTCAAAAGCTGCGCTCACCCCGGTGGCGGCGTCAATGTAAAAATCTGGAAAGGACCAAACACAAGGATGAGAATCCGCCTCTTCCTTTCGAGAAGACCACTACATGCACGATAGAGCACAATACAGCTTGTCCATGCTGACAGACCACATGACTGACGGAATGTGTTCTCAGCCACCCGTGACCATGGGCATTTACCTTCCCCTGCCAATGGAAAGGTGTAGAAAAGAGGCGCAGTGCGTACCCCGGTGGCAGCGGCCTCGTCCCTGTTGACGACCTTGGACAGCTTCTCGCAGATCCAGGGGGTCTCCCACAGCGACCGGCAGGTCGGCGCCAGCCGCGCGAGCGCCGTGCCGATGCACTCGATGGGGTGGCTGGGCTTGTGCGCCAGCAGCTCTGCCAGGGCCACGACCGAGGCCGGAGGAGGGATGTGCGCCAGCTGCATTCCCAGGGGGTCCGTGGGGTCCGTCTGCGCGTCCTTCGGCGGCAGCAGCGGCACGAAGCACACCGACTTGCCTGCGGTTGTGGGTTCAGGCCATTCTTAGCAAGGGGGTTTGGTGCGATACTCTCCAGTGCATGCTCTTATCTCCAGTGAGTTCTTGAGCAATACCATCAGTCTTTAATCAGAACGCAGCTCAAAGGCCAACGAGACTTTCGCAGGCAAGCTTCTGACAATCCCTTTCTTGTACCAAACACATCACGCCTCTTCTGGAACATGCAAGTCCCCGCAATTGGGAAGCTTCAAACGGTCTTCACACACAGGAAGCTATGAGCACCATTTGCATCGGCAATGTCAGCAAAGCAAATTGAGAGAAGGCGCACTTTGTATGGCTATGCCGCTGGCGGCCCTGGAGGCGGAGAGGAGGGGGAGGTACGCCCCCAAACGGCGGTGACAACACCAGGGCAGGTCCGGCCGGTCCACCTCGCCGCAGGGGGCCTTCTTCTTGACTCCGCACTCCCAGCACTTGAAGCGGTGGCCCCTCTTTGCGAAGCGGTAGAAGCTGCTCGCGTTGTAGTCGCCCATCTGCAAGACACCCCACAGCAAGTCTCACGCACTATGCCTCACTCTCGACGATAACTTTGTGAGACTTCGTTAGTGACATTGAATTTGACACAGCACAACCACAAGCACAGGGGACCTCGAGCACAGGGCCACACAAGGAGCTCAAGCTCTCACACTGCAATATTCAGGCATCTGTTGTCAGCTGCACAATTCAGGACGGATTCTAAGTTTCTCCTCGCAGTCCTCTACCATGCCAGCAGGGCACTTGCTGCACAGAACATATAGCGAGGGACTTAAATGACAGGGCAACAAGTGACCCTCTGAGATACTGCGCAACGGTAATGCTCATGCAGCAATGTCGGTGAAAAAACTGGTGCCGGTGGCAGGGGAAGAACTCGCACCTGCGCGAAGCCAAACCCGGTGGCCATGCGCAGAAAGAGCGCGCTCTCGCGCCGGGATGCCAGCAGCGCGTATCCTAGCAGCAACGACGGAGAAATGCGCTCCAGGTGCGCCTCTGCCCACACCACCCAGATCACAGCGCCCCCCGCGGTGGTAACATTGGCGATGGGGGGTCCCCCTGGTGCGACGCCACCGTGGGGGGGAGGGGGACCCCCTGGTGCCGGGTCGGCCGCACGCTGCCGCGCCACGTTGGCTGCGTGCACTGCCGCCTTCTGGGCCGCCAGTGCAATTTCTCCCTCTGAGAGGCCCAGAACCACTCCCAGCTCCGCACTTGCGTCCTGCCATGCAAACTTGACAATCTCAGCCTGCGGTGCAGACGCCCAAGAGAGAGGCAAGATTGGTACGTCGCATGAGGTGCTAAAACGAGGCACATAAGAGACGCATAAGATGATGTGCAAGATCTTGCAACACTCTTTCAAGAGCATTGAGTTCTTTTGGGCGCCGAGATAGCAACAGCATGCACAAGCGCAGGAACCTTGCCAAGCGACTGTGGGCCTGATCGACTCTTCTTATCGAGAGGAGGGTGTTGTGAGACAGAACTTGACAGACCAAATGTCAACAACCTTGACAAGGACATGTCCTCACCTTTGCCTGGGATGGTCCGGCAGCTGAGGCGGCAGCTTGGGGTGCCGCGGAAGCTGCCCCGGAAGCTGCCGGCTGCTCTGGCACAGGTGGCTGCGGCTGCGCATTGGCTGCAGCCGGAGCCTGAAACCCCTCCGGAGGCAGCATCACCTGCGAGCAAGCGCAAACACCCCAATAAACGCATGAAACTGGCATATGAAGTCTCAGGAAGGGGCGATTGTCCATTTGCAAGTCGCACGATGAGCCCTTCTGTGCCGCAGCAGTGTTATGCAGGCAAAAATGTCACAGCATGTCCCTATCACCAGAAACACTTCCCTTTCGTGAGGAATGCGCACGCATGTGCGTTGCAAACACCTGTCCTCAAATGCTTCATGGCAGCAGCCGCCGAGAACCTGAGGAAGTGCAGATCAATGCATACGCGCATGTACATTGCCTGGGCTTTGGCTCTTCTGGCCAAGAGATGAACATCCTGACATCTCCAATCAGTGTGTCCATCCGCAAGCAGCAGCGAAAGATGCACTCACCAGCTCACCCATGGCGGCAGACGCCACAAGCAGCAGCGCAGAGGTGTTCCCTTCAAAATGCAGGAGTGCCATCCGGTCGGCAATCTGCGCAGCGCAGCACAAAAAACAGTCAGGAAATTAAGCGTCAACATCATGCTACTGCAGCAGGCACTTACAAAAGTAATGTCTGGAGGCACATGAGGGGCGCGTGATCATGCGGATGCTGGTCATGAATTAGTCTCTAGCAAACATGCATCTCTGCATGGCTATTCATTCGGGCTTCCAGCAAGGGTGATCATATGAACAACAGGACAGAAGGGTTCACTGCTGTCATGGTGATCCCATCTGATGCCCCACCTGAGTGCCGTCCATGAGCAGACCCAAGGGCATATCCGGGTTGATCTGCGTCTGATTGAAGGCCTCAACGGCGCTCAGGACTGCGTCCGCTGCCTGCCTGGAAGACAGGAGTGGCCCCAGGGCATCTTTTGGGCAGACCTGCAAACACAAACACTCATGAGACTTTGGCAGGATTGATAGGGCGCCACGTGAAAAAACATGGGCCTAGGATCCCAGGAAAGGGCCCAGCCTTAAGTACATCCTGGCAAAGATGCACCACATGCATGATGCATGTGGGGAATGCAGTCAAACACCTCAGCGTGTTGCCTAAACATCTTGCCTGATATGACATCATAATCAGGGCACAAGATACAGTGATTGTCAAAATTAAAGCCACAAGTCAGTCTATGAGCACACGGCTTGCTGTGTGATCAGAGATTAACGAGGCAAAGTTTGGGACATTCACGACCCACCTTGGGCCGGTCCAAGCAGTTCTGGGGCATGCGCACAGCCGCGAAGGAGACGTTGCATTTCTCCAAGTGCAGGGCTGTGCTGTTGTCGAGCCAGGTCCCCTCAGGTGCCAAGTTGGGGGGCGCAACCCTGGCCACCTTGATCACGGTGGTTCCTTGCACCTGTGCGCGCAGCACACGCAGCTGTCAGTCATCCTTGCAACACACCTGGCACAGAATGTTCAGCCGAGAGTGGCCTAAACACGGCCTGAATATGGCCAGCAGATTCCTCCTTCAGCTGTGGTGCGCTGGCGCGAGCTGGTGCCCAGCAAGAGCGCCACAGGCAGCATCTGTGAGGTCTACTTCTTTTAAAAGTTGGAGTTTTGCCACCTAGAGTCGTGCCAACCCCCTGAGCTGTGGGTCACGGCATGAAGTGTTGCCCCTTGTCCTGCTTCTGCTGGTGATGATTGTGGGGCCTTTCCTGGTGTTTCTGGCATATAGTAGATATCATGGAATAAATCGAAGAAAGAGGGACATGCAGTTGACCAGCAATACCCGTCAGCACTCCTGCCATCTGATCGTGACCTTGAAGCACAAGGACCGTATCAGCTGCTTTAAACGCGCCTTGACACAGGTGGAGCGAGGGAGAGACCACAGGCAATGAACGGTATGTTTAATTGTGAGGCAGGGCTTAAGGCGCATTATACTTTTCCTGGGTGTGCCTCAGCTCAAAGTGGGCAAGTGGCGGGGATAAAGCCAACACCAGCATGCTCATCTCCTGCCGTAAAGGCTTTCCTGACATTAGCCCAAGCCTCATTTGCACCCATTGAAACAGCAAAATCCTTCACAAGACTCTAGGACCCTGAGGCGTGTCAAGGACAATTTAAATAGGAAGGGGTTCCGCCCGTTCGTTTTGAGTGGCCGGTGGCCCCAGGCACTTGAAATCTTTCCTCACCAACCGTCTCATCAAACAATCCCGCCAAAGGAGAGGCCATCGAGGCAACGACAGGCGCAAAGTCCGAGTTGGGTTCCTAAAAAAAGGGAGAACATAGGGTGATTTCACTTTCTAGCAGGAGCACTGGCTCGGGAGATCGGCGCACCTTTGACACCATTGAAGGCGCCTCACTCTTTTATCACGGCGTAGCTTGCTTCTGGTCTACTGATCATCGTTCCATCCTTTGCAGCCATGATTTAGGTAAGGACGAAGTAGGCTGCCAGCGTGGCTTCAATTCCATGGCGTTCCTAGCACGAGCTTCCCAAACCTAAATGCTCACCCTGGAGTGCATTTTATTTCAACAGCGGTTCGACAGACTCTTGAATTTTTCTTCCCCACGAACCTGATGTACCGCAGGCTGTAGAGACCATCCGCCGCCGATTGTGAGCGGTTGCACTCCACAGATGGGCAACATGATTAGGGACACTCTTCTTCAAGAAGCAGATCTAAACTGATACCCTCCTCAGTGACTGGTTAAGCTTGAAAAATGACAAGTACCTGCTTGCACTTCCTGAAATGGGGCCCTGCCAGCGGGTGCTCACCAACACCATTCACTTCTTTGACGTTCACACCGACGCCATCGATATTGTCCAACTTGACAGGTGCAATTGCGGAATACTTACATGTCGAAACGTCACCTGCTAGTGGCATATCATCGGCGCCAATTTGTATGCGCATCAGGTGGCAGGACAGAGGCAGTCAAAGTCCTTTGGGCGGGGAGGGTGGACGCCCTTGTGATTCCACCGCAAATTGGCTACCTTGCTGAGTTTCAGGTCCGTCCTAAAGTGCCATTCATTGGGACTGCCAGGAAGTCAACATATTCTCAACACAACTTTCAGCATCCAAGGATCTGGCTGATCAGGACATGGGGCAGGGCAATTTCCACCTTGTAGTTTGCCGCCTTGATAGGATGCCCATGATGTGTGGAAATGTGCACCAAGAGCGCTTGCATGCTTGCTGCAGGAATGGGACACGCTTCTTCTAGTGGAGTACCTGGCGGGGGCCTCGCTGCAGCCTGAGGACTTGGCCGGTGCAGTTGCAAAGGACCGGTATTGGCTGGAGCTTGTGCTTGATCAGGTTCAAACCGCCTGAGCTGCCCTTTGTCACGCTGTCAATTGAATTGCAAAACACTCTGCTGTGGAAAGCAACACAGAGAAGTCAGCACAGAGAAGTAATCCTGTGGATCAAGGGCGAATTCTAGCGTTGAGCAGCAACTACCCTTCCGATCTTAATATACCGCTGACAGAAAACTGACCGCAATCGCATTGCGCTTTGTGCTCATATAAATTACACAGACTATGTTGCTTGCCCCCGTTTGACTGCTGGACTTGACAAATGATGAAATGGGCATCAAGTCAACACCTCGGCCTCTCCATGATCCTGTGGGAAAACAGCCCTAGAGAAGTCCAATGCACAGGTTGCTGTGTTTCGCATTGTAGTTATGGATTGAGAGACAAATGTTGCCATGCTCGCTTCCTGATGTCTTTGTGATGGGTGCACTGCAGGTTGTTGGACCAGCAGGCGCCAGCTCATGGAGCCGCGCAGATGACATGGATGTGCATCATCCAAGCGGACCTGCTCAGCTGCTAGCATCCTCTAAAAGCAGGGCCCTATCAGATCAACTCTCACAATGGTTGGCTCGAGAAACAGCCTCGTCGCTGCATGCTGTCAGCCTGCTGCGCTTTAACCCTGGCAGCAGCTGTAAAGTGCCACAATTAGCTGCAGCTGCAGCCCCGGAGATTGGGCCTGGCATTATGTGCTCAGCGAAGGTGGTGAGGCAGGGTGGAGAGGACAGCGCTGACTGGGATGCTGTCACTATTGTAAGTTACCCCAACAGGACGGCCTTCAGGGAGTCCATTTTGAGCGACAGTGATAGGAAGCATTGTTCTGATGTTGCCGATATGGCTCTGTTTGCTGTGGTTCGTACCGACAATGCTGCGGCAAAACTGTGACCAGATAAGCATTGTGGGAAATCTAATGTTCCCTCTCGCATCTGTGTGCCACTGACTGCAATTGATGCAGTACATGAGGGACGGTGTTGTATATCAAATGGCATTTGTCACTACAGAATGGATACAGCGGAACTGTTCAAGGATGGTGGAAAGAACCTGATTGCGCTGCAGACCTTGCGGGCCATTCCTTGCATGGCGCAGACTTTTGAGATGTTCTCATGTTAACGTCCTGGCCCAGAGTTCTACCAGATTAGCTCCAGCAGATGGAGTGCAAAGCTGTATTTTTTGAAGGAGCTCATCGGGCTCTCAGAAGACATGCGGGCCTAAACAATGGACGATTGTACTCGCGAGGAGAACGGTGCCCCGGCATTTCCTTGTAATTTACATCATCTTTTTCTTGAAGAAGTGTCTTAATGACCTTTGTTTTGCACGAAATTGGAGGAAAACCGTTTTGACAAAATTGTGCGTAATGGCAAAGCAAAGCCTCATTGAGTAGCACCCACCATGGAACGCTTCAATCGACGCATGCTGCATACTATGCATGGTATGCATGCATCCCATGCATGTTTGCGTGCTTACGCCACATTGGACGCATGCATTCATCCAAGCTTGCCCTTCAGGATGTGGACGAATGGACGTCTAGGACTCCTTATTCGGAACCCAGGAAGCATGATGCGTTATCGGAGAAGTTTTGAGTCGAACGGCCGCCACAGGCCGCACGACAACGGCTTCCACAGGGCTATATAGGCCTGGCAAAATGGCACGACCCGTACCTATTCTCTATTCGTGCGTTGGTGATATTGGTGCCTTGGACACTGCAGAAGAAAGCGGGGGCCAATTCTGGCTGGGATATCTGCTACATATAAATCCGGAATAGATTGACGGGCAGATCAACTCTCCCGGATTAGCACACCTGACGATGTCCGGGTGTGGTGTTACGACCACATTCAGATTTGGCACCCCGAAGGTTCTGGGATCGAGAAGCGTCTTTGTCCTTCATGCAAAACATTTTTTCGGCTTTTTTGCTTTCACTCGAGGAAAGACGAGGTTTCAATGCATGGGTAGTGTTTGTAGTGCACCGCAACACATGCAGCACTAATTCAAGTGAAAGGACGTGCAGTGAAAGGACCATTCAGCGAATGTTTCAAATCTTGGACATTGTGCAACAATGATATCCTCTCAGGCTTTGAAGGCCTACCCCAGACGATGTGCGAGTGGTCATAACAACACCAATGCACTCCGAAGGTTCCAGAATCGAGTCCCTTTCCATCCTACCTAATTTTTGCCCATATTTCTAAAGTAAGATTTTCACTCGGTGATCAGCTGAAAGGCCTTCTCTCTGCAGAGAGGCCTCCAGAGAGCAGCATGCAAAGCACAATTTCAGCATTCCAGCATTGTCCTCAAATTGGGCACTGTGCACCATGATTGTGGTTTAATGCCATGCATGCAATGCTGGGTGTCATGGCCATGGTCACCATGGTATGGTAAGTGAAAAGTCTGACATTGAATGATACTGCAAATCATGGGAATCGCCGGTGAATCGGCGAACAATGCAGGTGTACGGTGGGGAGGCCCGGGCCCGTCAAATTGCATTAGAATTGCGAGGCAGCCGGCCCCTTTGAGGAACTTATCCTTTCTCCTGGCGCTCGCTCTGCCTTGATTGCCTGCATACCTCTGTAAATTGTTCTTTCTCTGAGTAGAACCTGATGCATGTGCATAAGTATACAAGTGGCACTTTCAGCCGCTGCATGCAGTCCATAATACTTTCGTTACAAGGCCAGCACGAGGCCTCAACCCCTGAGCCCGTCACTGGAGTAGTACAAGCCCTGTCTCAGAACTGTGCTGGTCCTAGCAATGCTGCTGCCAGAGTTGGATGCTTCTCTTCTCAAGACCTGCTTGTCTGCCGTTATCACATACACATGCATGGCAATTCTTGTCAGCACGCTACTCACACCTGATGAAAAACAGGTTACCCAAATGCCTCCTCCTCTGAACCAGCAGCGGCCGCAGCATTCGCTAGGGAGCCTGACAATGATACTACATCCCGGTCAATGAAGCAGTCCTCACCAATGTTTAGAAAAAGAGACACTTGGTCACCGCTACTGTTTTGACCCTCATCGAATCAAGTGAACCCAGTCATGGCATCAAGGGAAATGCCCAGTATCGAACAGAGGGTTTGAATAGCAGAAAATCACGCCCAGCTCTCAAAGCAGGTTGATAGCCGCTCCGAGCGGCCAGGCAGCCTCAATCTCTTGTGCCTGGTACTTCACGCGCTTCACCAGAGACACGTCGCTGCCCTCCTTTATTCTGAAGCCCTCTGTCAGCAGCGTGTGCAGGAAGGTTAGGTCCAGGCAGAGGTAGGGCGCCTGAGAAGCCTCCACCTGCGAACACAGCATTACTTTGGGTCTCGATCTCTTCTGGCTACCGGAGTGCTGCTGCGGCTGCACTTAAGCTCGAGCCCTGAGTCAGTATAAAGATGGATGGTGGTGCAGCAAATGTCTGCCGGCAGGGAAAAAATTGTTCTGCACACAGCAGCTGCTGCAGAGAGTGACGAAGTATTAGACGGCGACGTGTGAAACATGCATGGTTCTCCATGCTCAAAATTAATTGTGCCCTTGTGCCCACGCCAAGCCTCTTCTTGCATCCCTGCCTTCCCATCAAGTGCAGTCATGGTCTACCTGTCCGACACAGTTGCAAGTGCTTGGGTAACAGGCATTGCACTTGTGCTCCAGAAATTCTGCCCCTAACTGTGTTTCCAAGTCCTTACGAGTCCACAAGACGGTGCTCGCTTGCATGCTCCACACATCCCTGTTCTGCATTCACTGACAGGATGCTCTCCCCACAGGCCATCTTGGTACTACTGGTCAGAGGAGTCACAAATGACTGCATGTCAGGGGTGACAGGGGGGGGCACATTGGGGAAGTGCTGCGAGAGGGTGGAGACAGATGAGGAGCAGGCTTTGGAGGCGGCTGCGCTGAAGTCGTTGGGCTTGAGGACCCAGGTGATGGCCGCCTTGTCGCCAATGATGCCGGCGTCCGTAGCGCGGTCCCAGAAGTAGCTGCTCACGTAGAACGCGCTCGGCTTCGCCCCGCCGCCCCACGCGCCGTTGAATGCGCATTGCTCCTGCGCATCCAAAGCATTTAATCAATGTATCTACAAGGGCTTGCTATAGAGTAAAGAGCACGCGCATTGCTCCTGCGCATCCCACAACTACTTGTTCAATGTATCCACAGGGGCTTGCTCTAGAGTAGAGAGCACGCGCATTGCTCCTGCGCAGCCCGCATTTGATTTTCTATATGAAATATCCACATGGGCTTGCTATAGAGGGTAGCGCACGCCCTGCCCGTGTTCGACTGCAACCGTCAATAAATATGCAAGACGGAAGCACGATGTACAGGGCATTGCAAGGCACACAAAACAGAGTCCGGCACTTCCATGGCTGAGGCATTGTTTTCTTGAAACTGGCTCCATACTGCATGGCTCGCTATTTTGCAGACCTGAAAGGTGCATGCTGCTCGATACCAGCAAATATAACATGTGACCTGCCCTCCAAATATGCCTGCACTGGGCCGTCCATGTCACATCCACACTTTCTTCATTACGTGCCTCTGGGGAAGCATGTGATGAAGGTCGTGGTGCTGTGAGACGAGCGGCCATTGCTGCCGAGATAAGCAATGCTGAGGCCACAATTAAACAGAGCCAATTGCCCAGAGAGTAGAACCATCCTAGGCGAGTCGCAAGGCCACAGTACTTTATGCACTGTGTTGGACATAGCATGGCCCCTTTCAACTTCCCCAACACCCTAGATGTATCCCAAAGAAATCTAGAGGGATACAAAATGGATGCAAACAGCAATTCCCTTCCCTTGACAACCATGCAAGAGGGTCTCCACACCCTTGAGTCCATATAAGATTGGCCAATCACATGTCATTGCCCAGCCAACCCAGGGCTGATGCGATGCCTGACTCTGACTCTCAGAGTCAGGGCCCAGCCTGGCCTCTAAAGTCTGGGATATATCTGTATATACTGCACCCTTCTCACGTCAAACCACAAAAGTAGCACAGGGAGAATCTGCGCGCACCTGGGGCGCGCCGCATGCGAGGTCCTGGCGCAGGACGACCTTGACGAGCTTGGAGCACGCGTCATAGGTGGGGCCGGCCGGGTGTGCGATAAGCTCGTACTTCATGCCGCCGTACTCGTACGCGCCCTGGTGGTCGGCCAAGACGCAGGGGTTGGCTGCCTTGGCCTCCTCCCACGACAGCACCGCCGCCCGGCCCGCCATCAACCCAAAGCCAAGGTAGCTGCACCCACGAGAAAACGCATTCTCAATGCTGCCGTAAGGGCTTCTGCTGCTGGCAGGTGTCAGGGGCGCGCATATCCTCGGTCAAGCTCTAGAGGAGCCTCACGGCACCGCGCCCGGGGCAGGGCCTCTGGCAATGCTTTTGGCCGAAGGAACTTGATATAAGGAGCGCACACAGTTACCAGGGCATGCACAAAACAGAAAAAATGGCTGCGCTGGCAATCAGTTGGCACAGCCGAGCAGTAATGAGGCCTGGACCTATCTTGCGGTCTCAGCAGGGCGATGTGGCAGTCACTTTCTCCGCAGTAGCTGAGCAGGGAATCGGATAAAGGAGCACCAACATCAGATTGGGTTTCTTTATAGCACACCTTCCACATCACACCCTCCCCACAGGCAGTGACTTGTGGAACCGCTGAAACGCCAAACACACAAAAAAGGCAGCATGTGTGAGCCCACCTGTGCACGTAGACGCTGTATGCGCGGCCGCCGCCGGACAGCTGGGTGATGTAGCCGGGGGGCGCCTTGCTGGCGTCCTGTGGTTTGATCGCGAACGCCTGCTGCACGCTGCCTCCGCCCAAATCGATGGCCGCCACTGTCTTCTCCTCGGCCTCGCCCAGGTGGCCCAGCAGGTAGTTCAGCGTCAGCCACGCAAACGCGCCCTCGTCCGCACCTGCGCCATGCATGATGCACCTCAGATGTTGCATTTTTCTGGCTTCTGTGGATCTTTCCTGTGGGAGAATATTGTCCTCCGACTGGCAAGAGTACATGGGACGACCTACATGGCTCAGAGACTGTTAAAATATACAAGGAGCAATACTAACAGGAAGATCCAGCAGGCACCACATTTTGAGTACAAAGCCTCAGAGGCCAGATGGCGCCACATCATGCAAAGCAAGCATAGACAGACATTTCGGCAGTGAGGATATTCGCCAGATGTTGAAGTTCTTGCAAGTGATGGAGCCCTCGAGACACAGGACAGCGCATCCGCAAAGATGCACACCCTTCACTGCAATTGTGCGCACCATCGTGGCAGCGACTGCTCATGTCTCGCGGAGGCACATAGCACATACCACACACAAGAATCTCAACAGCTGTCACAGTGCAACAATCCTTGCAAGCCCACATGCATATGTCCCTTCCTCACCAACCACGGCGAGGGTGTTGAGACATCATTCTCATACAGAAGTACCGCTAAAAGAAAATATTGGCAGCTGACAGCACGACTGAACCCTCGCCAGAGCGAGTTCTGCGTGGTTTGCCACCTCCAGATGCATCCCCGCGCTGTATTTAGTATCCCCCTGCAAATTACAATGCAAGGGGTGTAGAAAGAGTCGGCGCACCGTCGAGGATGGTGACGCCGAGCTTGTCGTCCAGCTGGAAGGGGTATGTCTTGAGGAACTTGAGCACGTGGCCCAGGATGATGTCGGCCTTGCCCTCCGGCAGCAGCCGCAGCCCCGCCGTCGCGCCCAGCTTTATCTTCGTGGACGCCTGCGCCAGACAAGGCTCTCAGCATATATGACAAGTCCAGCTACAACAATTGAAGTGTCACAAGCGACGGTGTGGGGCCTCCTTGTCTGACGCTCTCCAGGTGCAGTGATAATGGAACAGCCACACGAAAAGTACTGCAAGAGGGACTTCAACATGCGAGATGTGGTAATGTTTGGGCCAGAGGTAATGAGGCTCTTTAGGTGCAGTAGAGACAGAACGGTCACAAAGAAGCACAACTGCTGGGATAGCGCGTTGCTTGCATGGGCCTTCCATCTCCAAGAGTCCCATGAGGTAATCAACAATGATCAACAAAACTATCATCCAAAGTGTCCTCTCTGGGCTGCAGCACATTCCCCACACTGTGCTCCTTCTGCCAACAACACATGTGCACCACCAATGAGGTCTGGCAGTGACAACAAATTCAAGCAGGAACTTGCCTGCAGCTCGGTGGGTACGGTCTTCAGGGCGGTCTCGAGCAGGGGAATGAGTGATTTGGCAGCCTCCTCCGGCGCATCTGCATAGCTGGAAAGCCCCGGCTTGAGCTGCTCAAATGTGTCAGACTGCAGGTCCAGCTGCCCTCCCTTCTGTAGGAATTTGTACACGTGCACGCGGCTGCCTGCACATACCGGCACATGCCGCCGTTAGGCACCTCCAAACTCGCATGTTTGATCTCTCTTGTTCACAAACCTTGGAGGGAGTCCCAGAGAAAATGGAAATAGACAGAGCCTCGACGGATATCTGAGGGATCTCAGCAAAAGAGCCTACCATTATGACATCCTGGTCCATAAAGCGAGAAGCATACTTGCTTTCAGTAGCATATCATAATAGACACATTGCCAGACGGTGTCTCATGGGCCTCGGCAAGTCTTGCCAGTTGGGAATGGCAAGCAGTGGGAGAGAAGAAAAGGGAGGGTTCACCGGTGCTGCCGGCGTCAAAGATGATGCAGTACTTTTCGCTGCCCTGGCCGGCTGGGATGGTGTCCATCTTTACAGCGGCTCTGCTAAATGTGTCGGGGGTCAGCGATTTGGCAACGCCCTTCCCCGAGCGGTGTGGCATCACCACCAGTAGCAAGGCCACCAACAGCAGCTGCAGGAAGCAGAGAGTTAATGAAGTCATATTGGGCCTTCATCATGGCTGCATGTTGCATGCATGCATGCACCCTGCACGTCTCTGCAGCAGAGGCAGCCCCAGGTTCTCCTTGAAAACAACTCATCCGTTAAGGTAGACTGGGAAGTGCAGGTCTATCTTTACAAGTCCATAGGAGGCAAGAATAAGTTCTATTTGCAGTGTGCTGTTGCAGGCCAGACAATGAAGATGGGAAAACTTCACGCACCGGTATGCCAATTAAAAGGGCGATGCCTCTGAATCTGAAACCAGGAAAGGGCCACCTCAGAGACTTGAGGAGAACTTTATATCAACATTCCAGAGGCTTACGTCATAACAGTGATAAACAGAACGTTTTGTGGCATCAATGCAATAAATGCTGATCTGGTTCCCACTCCAAGAAAGGTGTACGTCTTGGAGGTGTACATGGGTAGGCAGGCACCTGTACAACTTCTCCAGCCATCCTTCTCGCCTTCTCATCCTTGGATCTGAGTCGAGACCCTCGGTGTAATCACCCCTTTCCAGGCTGGTGGTCCGGTTGCGAATGCTCGCCAGCGTATTACCCGTTCTAGCGATGGGCTAAAAGGTCGGGTTAGGCACGCGTGCCTTTTGGACCACTCAGTATCGACTCCAATAGAGACAACTGATTCTGAACAAACGTGATCACCTTTCAATGAAAGGTCAGCGCATCCAATTACAGAGGACTTAACTTGGAAGTTGCGCCTTGAGTAATGGTACCCCTGAGTAAGAATTGTATGCGCTCCACAAGTGTCTAGCTTTACATGGAATAATACCCAACCACATCTAGATCGTTTATGGATTGTTTTGCAAACCTTTCAGAATAGCTGCCGTTCATGAACTTTGAGCCATGCACTTGAATTCCGTAAAAATCTCGTTGGTTCCCCGTAATCAGTTTGCGCTCCGTAACGGGCCCGTTTAACTTTCTACTCGCCAAAAGCTTGGATGAGGAACGTGAAACCAATTCAAGCTTGCCTGTACCTGCGGTTGACGAAAGTCTTCTGGCTGCTTTCTCAATACTTCAATATATCTGTTGCAAAATTGCAGAAGCAAGGGTTCCTTGCCCCAAAAAGAGGTACCCTACTGCTTTTCTCAACTGCATAACGGGGCAGCAGAACACTAGGCGTTTGCTGAAGGACGATTAGTGGCCGATGTGGTGGGAAAGTGCACCCCCCTTCATCCTCATCGGTCTAGCACTTGCTGGAATGGGCCACATACAGGTTGCCTACTTTCTTGTGCAAGCTCTCTACATGCTTCTCGTCCCAAGTTTCTGTACTGCAACGATTGATTGGCTAGATATGAGTCCCTTCAGGCGATCAATGGGAGGATGAAACATGCAGAAGCCCTTGGTGTGGCAAGAAGCCATTGTATGTGTTGTGTGTCCTACAGACAAAGTCTTCTCCTTGTGTCAAAAGATGATCTCACCAATATCTTCCTGCAATCTGCAGGGTTGGATACACCAAGGCTTCTATGGCAAGCCTAAGGCAGTGTGCCAGGACAGCTATGACAGGAAGCTGGCAAAGCGGGACGCGCGAATCATGCAGGAGATCAAGGAAAGGCAGGAGGCTATCACAGGCAAGAAGACGGGGTTCTTCTCATAAATGGACCACCAGCAACTACAAACGGAGTGAAGTACCGCAAAATAACCTGGCTGGCGGTCAGCTAATGTATGATGGCCTACTGTCTTAGATTGGACAGTCAGTGAGGGACAACAGCTGGCAAAGACGGAAAGGAACGTTTGCAGCATTTGCAGCAGTGCACCTAAAGTATTGACAAGACATATTGGACATTTCTTGATAAGATGGCACCTCCTTGTAAGACATTGTTCTTACAGAATGCTGCACCTGGTGAAGGCAGATATATTGGAAGCTAATAGCTCACAACACACAGGAAGTCTGAAAGCCAGACGTCAGTCGATTGGTCTGCATTGTATATTTGCGCACAGACAAAGGCGTGTCACACAATTGCAATCCATCACGCATGATAGGTGCGCACCGCGGGAATGCCCGGGCAAGTATTCTACTATTGCTTCAACCTGCATGCGCCCACTGGCATGCACTCTTTTGGAGTAGTGATGACAAGTGGAGTGGACACCTGCGTGGATCAGCAGCTGCAGATTACAGGTGAGCATCTGTGGCATGACAAACTTGCGAGGGCCTCAACATACTACTACATAGCCCCTGGGAGCAGCATCCTGCATATGATATGCACGCTCACAGCATCTTGCAAAATCTTGCAATCGAGGTCTCTGTGCTGACATGCGTATGAGTCCCAAACAAGTCCCGGTCCCAAACCCTCTACCATCAATTAATGTTATCGCCCCGCCATCAAACGCGCGGACTAAAACACAAGTGCTACAAGTACTGAGCTCTCCTATGAGGCACACAAGCGCGTGCGCAAACTGCATTGATTCGTTCCAGAGAGTTCATATTACGCAATGTATCCCTAGTAACTGCATTCAGGTTAAATTGCCAGCACTCCATCAAACTTTTGTATTAGTAGTGAGAAACTGGCCAGGTCAACCATGGTCGATTTGCATTACTGACGAGGCTGATCAAATTACACAATATTCATGAGCTGATCAGGGAGCATTCAGCGCATCCAGCCGCCTTCGGGCAGTGCTGAGGACTTCTTTCACGAGCGGCAGCGATTTGAGTTTGAATCCGGGATCTGAGCTGGCGCTGGGCTCCCCCCTCGCGGCAGGGGGGTACAGCCAGGGGGACACCGATGCTATGAAGGGGTCTGGTGAGCGCGCCAGGATGGCCTCCCAATCCACCTGATATGTCTGCAGTGCACACAGACAACAGCTCACACTCCATCACGTGGCGAGGTGGTCCCAAAAGATTGTCCTTTACAGCAGCGTCCCAGGCCCGGCAAGCTCACAGCAATGATAATACCATGGCACTGGTGATCAGAAATAGAGCCACTACCCTCAGTTCCAGAAGTGCTGAGCAGACAGGCCGCGTGAGCGGGGGCTGGCAAAAGTGTTTCCCAATGCAGCTGACCAGAAGTCAAGAAGTCTTCCATGAATAGGAAATCCTCATGCATGAAGAGGACCCGACAAACTGACAGATGGAAGTGACCACCTCCAAGGACTGACCACCTCCAAGTTACAATTCCGTGAAGATGCACTTCTGAACAGGGCAGGAGAAGGGCACCGTGGGAACGACCAAACCAACAGCTGGCCGTCTCAACAGAGCAGGAGTGTAACGTTACTGTTACCCACATGGTAGCCAGGCAGGAGGGAACACCCTCCTGACTGTGCAGGACCAAGAGTTACGACTGTACGCTATCATACACAATCCAGTGTTATTTGAACACTCCCATCATTTGGAAACCGAGTAGGACACTACAAGGAGCAGCTCACCTTGGGGATGGGAGAGGTTACGGGCATGCCGGCAGCGAGGAAGATGCCGAGAATGGCCACGTAGCCGGCAGCGGCCGTGCCGCGCGCGAGGGGCATGAAGTTATACCAGAAGTATGCGAACGTCAGCGCGGCGCGCGCCAGCCCTGGGGCGTTCCCTGCCGCCATCTCTGCTAGAAGAGACTCCCACAGCGCATTCAGCTCCTGCGGCAATACCTCTTAGTCAGAGACTTACTTTTATTAGTCCGCCCAATTTAGAGAAGCACCTGAGAAATGGGGCCGACGTGATGTGGCCTGCCCGAATTCAAATCGAAGTGCAAAGAGAGGGCTGGGGATCTTGAAACAACACCAAATTTGCGGATAGTTGAAGGGTAGAGACTGAAGTTCATTCACGCAAGTTCCTATGTGCGGACCACTCTAGTACATACATTAAGACGCGCCTTTCCTACCATGAGGCATGGTGCGTCCTGCAGAAAAGCTGCACTTATGGTAAGATACAATGGCATTTGCAAGCATGCATCCCGATCCTTGGCTGCCAAATAGCAATAGTGGACCAGGGACACTTTGTGCATGCAGGTTTTGGCACATGTCCATGCATCAAGAGCCCCAATCTACGTCGTCTATTGGGCAATCAAGCGGGCTGCTGTGTGTCATACGGACTCGAAAGCTGCCAAGAGCAGAAGTGGTGAGGTGATCAAGGCTCACCGTGTCGTACTCGTCCCATCTGGCGGGTGTGACGGGTGTCTTGATGGAGAACTCGTACGCGTCCGGCTGGTTGCGCAGCTTCACCTGGCAGCCACGCAGCGAGTGGGTGAGTACTGTAATCCCGGGACTGTTTGCGGATGACATTGGTTTCATGCGGTAGGCAGCGTCATGCACATTCGCAAGAGCGAGGCCGCGTGTCCAACAAAGCACATTGTATCCTGCACTATGGTCCTGACTTCTTGTCCAAGGAGTACTGGGCCTTCAATACTACCTCGCACTCAGCTTGCTGGGATGTTGTCTCTCGGCTGGAATTATCTGGTGCCTCTCTTTGAATTGCCTCTCACAGCAAAGGAGCCCACAGCATGAATGTTCCATGTGTCAAAGATGCTAAGCTGACAGTGCGCGCGCACCAACGCGAGTCCAACAAGAGCCCGCTTCCCTTAATGCGGTGTTTAAAGATGATGTCACTCCTGACTAAGTCAGTACTAAGGAGCGTATCGCACCAGCGTGAGCCGCGTTCCCTCCATGGCATGCCCCGGCCGCGCGGCGCTGTCGATGTGCACGACGACCCAGCTGTCCGCCCCGATGGCGCGCCACATGTCGCCGGCCGTCCGCGCGTCCGCAATCTCCGCCTGCTTGTGCTCGCCCGCCAGAGGGATTGCCTCGTTCTGCGCGTCAAACGCCCTGCCCTCCTGCGCAGCGGCGTTATCTTCACCTCAATATCCATCTGCCTTGTAGAAGTGCGGTGGATTCTTTGCGAGAAAAAAACTGCAAAAAATTGCAAAAAAGAAGAAAGAAAAAACCGTCTGCAATGCGTGGCGGCTGGCAGGCCCAGAGCATGGCGGCAGGCAGGAGAATGTGTATTCTGCTGTGCCCTTTTGTACTTTACACAGAGGTCAGGCAGTATAGCAGAGCATGACGGAGTGGGTGGTCTTCAGTGCATGCCCATGCATTCTAGAGATACTATAATTGAGAGCAAAGAAGTTGGGAGGGGAGCAGATCTGCTCACCTGTGCCAGGATGGATTTGAGGAGGGCGAAGCCGCGGTCGAAGTTCATGTAGTAGCGCACGCACTTGGTCTGGCCGCTGAAGATGGGCGTGTGCGACCCAAAGCCCGCCTCAAACTCCTCCCTCGTCAGCAGATCCACCCAGATCACCTGCGCCGTACCACCATGCTCATGCCTCCGCAGTTTCCAAGTTCGGGTTGCTACATCAAATGCTGTTGCAGTGGCGGCTGTGAGGCTTCTTTCTCGTTGAGATGTCTTCAAAAACTTGCAGGAACTTTAGCGGCTGCACATCTCTGATCAAGAAGAGAAGGGTTCCGCAAGAGAAAACCGCAAGAGAAAATTCACCAAAGTTGTCCTTGTGCCCAGGGTCCTATCCACAGGAAACTCAATGCTGCCTCTGAAAGGCCCTGAAGCTTTCCCAGCTGCAGCTTCCCTAGTGCAATTGGTGGACTAAGCGAAGTGCACCAGAGACAGCTTCACAAAAGAATATGTCCCCATAATGTGTATGCACACTTTTCATGAAATCTCTATTGTAAGGCAGCTCATCACCGGCTGAAACTGAACCAGCAGGGCTCCGAAATCCGCAATTGACACAGTCATGATTAGCAAGTGATTACTAATATGCAGAGGGGACGCGCCTGGTCGTTGGGCTCGGACAGCTGGCGCCACTTGACAATGATGTCCATCGCGTCGCGCCAGCCGAAGGGATGACTTACCGCGCAGCCGCTCGCGCCAGCCGGGCCCTGCACCTCCCGCCCGGCCACGCGCTCTGCCGTCTGCAGCAGACACTCAAAGATAAGCATGTGCAGAACCAGCCTCCCGCCATATATTTCCCCCCCCTAAAAAACATTTTCAAAAAAAGGCAAGCGGCTGCTCAGCCACAGCAGCGCTGAATGTTGGCTGCTGATGGTGTTCCTGGGTCTCAAGCTTGATTTAAACAGGTGCAGGGTGGCGCAGGGCTGCGCAGACGCCAAAGGCTCTGGCCCGCTCCTTCAGGCGCACATTATTGCAAGGCTCGTAGCAGAGACGGCAAGTGCATGCGGAACCGATGCATCTGGAAAAACTTGCTTTCGTATAATTCCCCACTGCGGCAAGGTGAGCATTTCCTGCACTTTCTTTCATTCCCGGGCAAAGGACACAGAATGCCTCCATTGTCTGAGAGATTCAAGGGGACAGCACACCACCCATTTCACCTCGTCTGGTCAAGACATTTGCGTGCAATGAATTCGGCAGTTGGCTGATCCTGATGTCACCATTGCTGCTTAGATACTGAGAGAGCCTGGTCCATACGGAATATAGTCTTATTCGCACGAGAGCCAGGCGGAACAGACTTGGGCCCAAAGAAGGAACGCTGTCATGTCTGCAAGTCTGTACTACCTGGCTTGATCTCTCTAGCAGCTGCTGCTCTGGCACCTGCGCTGCGAGTGCTGGCGGTATGGAAGCTGCCTGGGTGGAGGACTGTCAAGACCCAAAGATGGGCCTCCGGCTCCTAACTCAAAGCGGGTCAAAACAAAGAGGGCGCACCAGGTGCCGCAGAGCCTGCGCCAACTCGATGACGGCAAGGCCGGCCATGCGCTGCTGCCGAGCATTCGCGAGGAAGCCCTGGTGGCAGTACTGCAGAAGCTTCCCCAGCGCGTCGGCGCGCCTGATCAGGCTCTCCACGTCCCCCGGCGCCGGGCCGGGGGGCGCGCGGGGCGGACCTCCCGGCGGCAGCGGCTGCAGCCGGTACACCGACAGCAGCTGCGCCGTCGGTGGCATCTTCTTGCACCACAGCTCCTGCACGCATGGGAGGCAGAATGTCAATTGCTGAACACGAGCACACAGCATGCACAGAAACTTGATTCTTCATCTCGGCAACTTGAGCCCACCAAAAGAGTGAATTACAAAGAAGTAAGCCGTGGAATGTCAGATGGATAAAACAGGCTCAGAAATACACTTGGGGCACTTGGGGCGTCCAGCTGCTCTGGTACTTGTGAAATCTTGCGAGCTGCCTGCTCACCAGGTCCGGTGAGCCATTTGCCTTATCGCTGGTGAACGTGAGATTTGTACTATCAGCGCACCTTGAAGATGGGGTGCAGGTCACGGTCGACACAGTACTCTGCGACATTCTCGTCAAGTCTATTGAGGGTGTAGAGCGCCATTTCCCGCTGGTAGAAAGACAGAAACTGTCGCGAACGAGCGTCGTCGCCCAGGTCTGGTGCCTCCATGGAGAAGGCGCGCTCGTAGTTGGCCACCGCCTCTATGAACTCGCCTATTGCATGATGGCACGCCCCTGCAGATGCGCACATGCTTGCCCGAGCTCGCTATGACTACCTGGTGACTAAATACCTGGTACCTACTATGTGGTACTGGTTGGTGGAAAAGTTACAGACATCTCAGCAACAGAGCACAATCGGTATATCATCCTGTGACACGCTCATGACCTGCGGGCCTCAGGCTAGGTGCCCAGAGGCCAAGAGAGAGAGGGCAGGAAGTGGGATGCCACAAAGTAATTGTGAATCTCCCAAAAGGCTTGTACAGACCAACAAATTATCCGTCCGATAAGGCTTCTTGCAGTGCATAAATACAGGCTGCCAAAAGAGAGGTCCCGTCTGTTCAAAAGGACAGCAGGCAAGAAGCCTTCCAGAAGCCTTTAAAACGGCAAGAGGCCCCACCGCGCAGGTGCAGGCACTCGACAACGGCGTCGGGATTTGAGGAAGCTTCCAGCGCTTCTTTGAGAAGCTTCGCGGCCTTGCGGTGGCGCCCAAGTCCCTGGCACATGTGGGCGTGCATGCGCAGCCGCGCAGAGGCGCGCCCTCCGTCCCGGTCCAGCTCAGCCGCCCGCGCAAACGCCGCCTCTGCCGCTTCCACGCTCGCTTCCTGCGGGTTGCAGGAATGAACATGCCTTCCCTATCAATATACCGGGCTATGTGGATCTGGTACAGAAAATAAATGCAGCAATTTCCTGCTGCCAGATGATTCTGGCATCTTTGAAAACACCGCCGCCTTGAAGGTGTAGACAGGAAGTGGTATTGCAGAAGCCGGTGGTAGGTTCAGAGATGCTTATGTCCAATAGTTGATTGATACTTATGCACAACGGGATCCAGAACAAGCCCCAATGTTGCTTGACTGCTGGAGAACCTCCATCACAGAGTCAGCAAACAAAATCATAACACTGGTCCGAAGCCGGACTGTATGGTAACCCCTGCTGGCACCAAGATCGGGAGGTCCCTAGGATTTAAGTATTCCAAGCATCACTCGCCGACATAGGCCGCAGCAGCACTTGCCAGCAGATGCAATCAAGAGCTTTTCCTATGGGTCAATGCACTGCTTCTGGAAACAGAGAATCAGGCTAAAAAGTTCTGACAAGAAGTATTAAATCGGCACTCGCACCTCCTTGCGCGCCTGTGCCAGGTGCATCCAGGCCTCCAGGCTGTTGGGGTTCACTCGCAGCACGCGCTCGTAGCAGGCCGCGCCCGGCCGGATATCCCCCATGCTGACCTGGCACAAGCCCAGAAAGTTCCACGCCTGCACGGAACAACATGACTTGCTCAAGTTCACAAACCGTTTGTCAGGCACCAACAATTGTCTTGCAGGGCAGATGCAAGGGCTCACCAGCCCTTGCATCTGAGCGGATGGTATGCTGATCTGCCCTGGGCAGCAGCTTGGACCTTCGTGCTGAGGTTTCTGGTGGCCCTCCCTGGCCGACTGTATGTAACCCATGGATACAACAGATTCTAAGAACACCATTCAAGCAGCCCACACGCACTCTTTGCATGACCCGCACAAAACACTCAGTCACAGGGCTGCCTCAATTGTGCGGCGCCATTGGCATGGAGGCATGCAAGCAAGAATGTCAACGTATAGAGCGTTCCCAGAGCGTTCTCAAGCTTGCTGCAGGGGAGATCTGGCATACCTGCTGGGATTTGGGGTTGATGTCGACCGCCTGCTGCAGCTCTGCCACGGCCGACCGATAGTCGCGCAGCTTGTGTAGAATCTTGCCTCGCTCCAGCCGCGCCTCCGCCTGAGTCATGCGCACATCCCTCAACGCAAGCATAGAAGTATGAGGACAATATCATGCTCCTTTAACATGGAGTCAACACAAGAAAGTACCCGGCTGCCCTCTGAACACCCTCTGCACACTCTGCATCCGAGTCATCCCTCCCAAAATTCGATATTTGCGGGACGGCATCCGGCGGGTAGGCTCTAATGTGCAGACGTAGTGGCAAGGCAGCACAGCACAACCACAAGCTATTTGCAGTCATTTTCCTTCTTTAAGCTGTACATGAATACCCACATCAGATGCCCTCTTTAACCTCCCTATGCGATGCATGCACAGGAGACGCTGAATCAACTGAGCATGTGCTGTAGATTTACATTGTCACCCCTCTAAACCTGGCCAGCAGGGCGGCACCTGGCGGGCAGGCTCCGTCGCGCTGAGCTGGAGGCAGCGCGCCAGGTCTACAAGGGCGTCCTCGTCCTCTCCCAGAGCGGCCCGCGCCTGGCCGCGCCGCATCCACGCATCACCGTACGCCGGCACAGCCTCTATCGTGACGCTGAAGTCATCTATCGCGCCTGCGCAGCTACATCAGCGCGTCAATTGTCCGACCAAGATAACCTATATGGTATCCACTTGACAACATGATCACCTCTATTGTCAGTAAAGGGCTTCTACCACGCCTGAGCAGCAACACAGACATCTCTACTACACCCCAAAATCATCTGGCGCGCCCGCGCATCGTCAATATATCATCTCTATCGCCACCCAAAGTCAATCATTGCGCTTGTGGGCTAACACAAATGTTTCTAACGTCATGACACAGTCCTTTGTCAAGCCTGTGCAGTGACGTGCACACACCAGCTGTCATGCCGAAGCACTCTATTGCGAGTGCAGGATGACACAGTACATGCATGGCCATGCCTTGGAATGGATCATCAATTTAGGCTTCATGATGAAAGACCAATTGCTTCTCAGGCTTGCACGGTGAATCGGCCTGGCACGCAACAAAGGAGGCTCACAATCATGCGCTTTGCTGTGAACGCAGACTGCGCGTCTCAAGGCACCGTCTCAAGGCACTATTGAGTATGAAAGCTGCAGAAGGTTGCATGACTACGTGAGACATTGTCGCTCTTCTCCATCTGACCTGCAGCAGGTAGAGCATATTCTAGAGTATCAAACCTTTCAAGTCACGCATCATGGCGCGGGCTGTGCCTCGGGCTACATGAGCCCCGCTGAGGTGGGCGCCACTTGTGGTGGCTATGATGTGGTCCAGGATGTCTATCGCCGCCGCCAGATTCCCCTCATTCACATGACTCACCGCAATGCTGACACCTGCATCAACGCCACAATGCAGTGTTGACTTTTGAGGATGTCACATGTCACAGGAAAGATTGTAATTTGGATATGTCTGCCTGCAAGGATGACTTGGCCATGCCACATAAAGACTGCATTGCTGGATATTACCACAACACAGTGGTTGCTTTTCAGACGGACACTGATGCTGTGGCAACAGCATGTGACATCCATCTATACAGCAGTACGAGAACAATCAGACAATTGCCATGAATGCATGCATGGATGTGCTAACCTTGACTGGCCAACTCTAGGTTGGCGAAACTGCCACGTGCAGTTGAGGGTGTAGTCACAGCCACAATGATTGGCATGCATGTCTCCCAGAATGGAAAGCCACACACCTGTCCCGGGGTCCAAGCAGGCGGCCCTGACTAGAGCACTCGGCTGCTTGGTTGCCCCATTTGCCTTCCGCTGCTCTGGCTGCTGCCATGCTGGCTGCACTCCATTTGCCACCAGCGGTGCAGCTGCCTGAACAAGCATTCAATTTGCCTGGTCAGTCAGAGGAAGGCACCACGCCCTGCTGGATGGCCTCATTGAAGCTTCCAACATGCATGCAGCCCTGGTTGACGCTATACGGACGGATGTGAGGGGGCTTGGCAGGACATGCAGGCGTGCACAGGGAATATATAGGACTACTAAATGGTGGAAACAATAATGTGGTGCATGATTGAAGCGGCTTGCCTTGGCAGCGGATGTTGGTGCTGCAACGCTGGGAGAGCCATCATTGGTAGCTGAAAGTTGCTGCACAGGCGCAGCCGGTGCAGATGAGGAAGCTTCCCTGGGCGGCTGACCGTCCAGCAGAGACTGAAGCCTCTCCAGGAGAGCAAGGTCATCGCTGGCAGTGAATGAGCGCAGCGCTTGCTGCCATTGAGCCCTGGCTTCCTGCCAAACATCCCCACCACTTCTGCTAAGCATCCTGGCATGCGTAAATGCATGCACTGGCCATTTGCAATATGAACTGGATGCAACATATCTGAAGGACGTACAGCTGTGGGCTTGTGTTTCTGCGCTTTGCTCATAGCAGGCTTACGCAGGTGATTGAGCTTGCTGCGCACCTTGGGCTTTTTGAGAGCTGATAGAACCTCCCCTTTTCTAAGCAGGGCCAAGACACTCGTGGGATCCATGCGCAAGGCCTCATCGTAGTCCTGCAAGAGAATGCTATCCTTAGCTGGATACAGACTGCAGCATAGATTTTTGAATTTTTTACGGTGAAACAGGACATAGTACGAACCTTCAACGCCTTGCGATTGAGGTTAAGTCTTTGATGACACAATCCCCGGTTGCAATAGAGCTGCGATAGCTGTTTGGTGGGGTCCGTGCATGAAGATGAGCAGTCTTCGATGGCCTCATCAAGTTGTCTGATGACCTTTGAGAAATCCCTATTCCGTAAGTGCTGATCCATGAGAGACCAGCACCCTCTAATGAGCTGGACACTTGGAGTGATAGATTCCAGCTAGGCCGACCTTGGTGCCCTGCGTGTTCCCATCACATCGTGCAATCTGCTATCATTCACAAGTAGGTCGAGATATTCATTAGCATGCCCTCTTGTATCGCCACACCATCAAAAACAACCCATCACATGTGCCATGATGGATGGCGATCTGCAAGACATCTCGTACAGCTGAAGCCTTCTATTGCCAAGAAGCAAGCTTGAGACATTCAGAACCTAACACGACCAAAACGGCACCTCAAACATTCACAAAGAGTTCTGCAAGACGAATGGGAGCCTAGGGCTTGCTCCCCGGTCCTATGGGGCTCATAATATCGAAAATTCCAACCCAGCTTTTACAAACGCAGACAGCCCCAGACAGTCCTGATCTTGAACATCCAAGGTGTACAACACAGCCTATCCATACTTGACGTAGAGATCGAGCCGATGCACCGGCAGATCAGGCGTTCGGGGCCTTGGTCTTTTGGTCAGCCAGCTCCGTCCAGAAGCCCCACTGAGGCGACACTTTTCGCGGGGGTCTCCAACACTACTTACAAACATGGAGGATCCCCCCTTACCTTTCATAGCATCACTTCTGACATGAGATCCGGGTGAGAGCTTACCGGACTCTTGCGAGTGGCAGTTATCGCTGCCTAGGATCTGCCATTGATCCTGAGAGTCCTACTCAACCTCCGTCCGCTGCGCAGGTCCATCTGGTTCAGAGATTGCAGGATTGCACCAACACAACCTTCTCCGATAATGAGATTGGTGAGGGGACCTGCAGACTCTGTTTGCATTGAAGTGCCAGAAGAGGTGACTGAAGAGATTGAAAGGCCGATCAAGGTCACTTACCAAGGGTGCGGAAAACAAGTGGTACGTTGGCGGGCATCCTTTTTCGATAATCACATTAGCATTGCTTTCTGCGAGCGAGAACTGAGTGTCTGCTCCTGAGAGGCTTAGCCTGATAGTCAGCAAACCCAGCAGTGAGTGGAAGCACAAGCACAGCAGATTCCCAATGAGAACCCTTTGTGTTGCGCAGGTGGGTGGATTCGAGAATGTTCCAACGACTTCGAGTGACAACCTTGCCACAGGCAAGCCCCACGCTTCTGACAAGTACCTAGTGCTTTGCTTCTGTCTTCTATCCACTGCGCCAAGTCAGTGTGCTTGCATCCCTATATACAGATGGACCATCGGATGAAAAAGCTCAATTCTTTGCCTACACCATTCGCACACGCGCAATCTGCGCAAAAGGCGCATTTGCTGAATCGTGCAAGGGTGACTCTGAGATTCTCCAGCGGATGAATGGCCTTCCGTTGGACAGTCCCTGTTTTCACACGCGAGTATTACTGCTCATTTCGGCCAGCATTGTCTTGGAATCATGTACAGATGCCTGTCAAGAATTCCCCAACCAGGTAGAGGGCTCTCCCTGAGAATCCTGCCGACTGCAATGTACTGAGGTGCAGTTTGTGTGCTTGCAGTGCATCGCTGGCCTTTTCAGCCCTACTGGGAGGACGAGTCCAGTTGTCCATTTGACGAGGCCTGCAGCACTGACTCCCTGCTGTCAGCCTCCACCGATGGCTATGGCGCTGAATCACAGCTGCCAGTACCGCCCAACACCGAGTTTCCATCGCCGCAGCCGATCGGCGCGACAACCCTTTCAGCGCGTCGCGGCCCCCTGGTGGATGACTCAGCGTACATGCCCGGAGGGAACGCCCTCGCACAGACCTGCATCGAGGAAGCCGCGCGGCAGCTGCAGTCCGTAGCATCATGCACGGTGATCCGCGAGACAGGCACTGAGATTGTGACTGAGGTGCAGGCCCGTGAGACAACCGTTGTGACAAACGACCCTGCGCAAGAGATTTCACAGTGCCCGGAGGTCAGCTGGCGCATCGCCATGGGCTGGTTTTACGGCTGCCGCTACTAGGCGCTGAGGAGAACACAATCGCACAGAGAGGACCTGCAAAGTACTGTGCGGGTGTATCCAAGAAAGTGATCTACCTTCAAGACGTACCGGTTGCACCTCTTATCATACTCCAAACAATATGCATACCCCCAAGATCGCTCACTTCTAATGTCTGTTCGATGTGCATGTAGAGGTCTCCTGCAAATGAATGCAGCATGGCTTTTTGCACAACATGGTGGGTCCTGTACCGGGCTGTTCAGTCCTCGGATGGTTTGAGACCAGTGGTCTTGTCAGGTAGACTGATCAATTCATGCCAGTCATACCTGCCGCACCCTGGCAGGAGGGTGTAGCTAGCATAACTAGGATATGCTTATCAACACTTCCATGCCATCAAGCAGTCAGGCCAGTATTGAAGTATTAGGTGCCCACATCAGGGCTGCAAAGGGTCCTTCAAGATTGTATGTAACATTAATGCCTTGACCGGGTTTTCTTAAGTTTCCATGTCCTGCATTTTGTTCTTGCTGAGATTAGCCATCCCAGTTTGCATTTGCATCAAGACCGTGCATTGGGCATAATACCAGAAATGCTGTTGAAGTTGGCAGTGTCTTGTTGAGCTGTTTAGCTGGAAGTTGATCAGGAAAGGCGATAGTAATATAAAAATTGGGAGATTGCACAAGAAAAGGCAGAGATTTTCGAAAGCAGTCCAGTGGTCATCACCGTCTTAGTTAGGTGGATATTATGAGGGCACATTTATAAAATTGAAGAACATTGAAATCCAGGGTGTCATGGAAACAAGGGGGGAGTGTTGTAGGGAGCTGAGCTGGGCTTCAAGGCTGCATGCTCCTATGAATACTCCGCTTGCACATGATATGCGACTATGCAGTCATGCCAGTCAGAAATACAATGCGCCTTCAAGAAAGGGCTCAAGCTCGCTTGTAAACCCACAGCAGAATCAGCAGTGATCAATCCAGCAATTTCCGATGCCAACTAAATGCTTCTTCACGCGCACACGGCAGCATTCATTGATCGCTGCAAACCATGCCCATGCCTCCACCAGGCCTCATCATTGAAGATCGCTGCAGGCGCATTGTATACCAAAATAGCACAACACCAATCATTGTGACCTCACCAAAGGGTGTCAACGCACTGCATGTGATGTGCCATTTTTTGGATCCAGATTTTGCAAACACTTGCTGCTCTAACACTTGTTCTTCAGATCTGGACGACAACAACCCATCCAGTGAATGCAGAGTTCTCTCTGAACGACGGTCAGCTTGTTCCAAAGGCTATTTCCTCAATAATACTCACCATCATATAGTTTGTATGTTCATCTTCTCATTGCCTCAATAGAATATAGCTGGTTCTCTCTCACAGATCTCGACTCGCTCACTTTGAGTTGTTGCTCTGCGCCTTGACATCGCTCGGCAGTGCTTTCTCCAGATTCCTGAACCGCCCCAGCCAACAACGTTGTCAGCCTCACCATCTCAAATTCATGCAGCAGCATAAGGGCTCAGTTTGCAGCACGTCCCCATCAACCACTACAAAGATCAACGCCATCAATCATTGCCGCTATAGACATCCGGCAGAATAGGGCCAATAAAACAGAAATTTGCCGACACCTAAGCAGAAGGTAAGAGAAAGGGCTGCCTTTCAAGTGAGCATCATGCAGTAACATCACAATGATCTCCTGGCCCAGGAGCATGAAAATGAGTCACGCTCAAATTGAAGGTGTAGTATTACTACAAACATGTGCGGGCATGTGCGGGCATGTGCTGACCTGGCGCGCCATGCACGGATCCACTCGCGCGCCTCCTGCACATTCTCCGGAACCTCTTCCTGTGGCACACATTTTAAGGTTCAAAGTTTGAATCCAGAGCATCATGTGACATTCCTTCCACTTTCAAGCACTGCACCATTGTCTGACTGGCAGATCCATTCCCACGAGGTGCAGTGAGACAACAGCTAGTATCCAAAAAAGGCCAGCACTGACTATTGTCACAGCCCTCAAGACCGATCACAGCCCTCAAGACTACATGTGTCATATCTTGACGCAGCAGAGACTCCCCAAGTGCAGGCATCCTCTCAGCTCTATAGCCCGCAACCTTGCTTCTCCAATAGACTGCTGGGAAAAAGAGCGGGAAAAAGAGCAGCAGCACTAATCGGGCACAGCCACACTGTCTGGTCGGTGTAGAGCAAAGGCTTGGGGAGTAATGAGCGTCAAGTCACCTGCTTGTCGCTGCCGTTCTGGGCTTGCTGCCAGGGCAGCTTGAAACCAGACATCCATTTTGGATTGCCCTCAGTTTGTGCTGCTCTACCGCTGCTGCTGGCGGGAGCTGCTGGCTCCTCTGCCCTGATCTCCTGTGTCTGCACATGCCGACACATAAGACACGTGAGCCACGGAAGATTAAAGCAAGAATCAGAGTCGCCAGCTGCACTACTGCTACAAGTGCTGCTTTGGAAAGGCATGCTTACTATGTCCCACAGGAGAAGGTTTCTATCAGGTCTATCAGGGGAGGAGGGGAAAGGCTATAGGGGTCTAAAATGGGCTAAAGTGATAAAGTGGGGTTGAATGCTATGAACCTTTAGCTGTGGCTGGCTGGCTGCGGTGCTAGTGGCCTGCCCCTGCTTCGCTCGCCAGTTCTCTATCCATCTACGGGCCTCTTGTGCGTTCTCGCCCTGAAGGGGCGAAAGATGAAATGCAGCGTTGAAGATTCTGGAACAACAAATGTCTGATGATAATTGCTGTGGATTTGTTGTGAGACTGCGCAGAAGGCATGCAGGACAGCAGTTTGATCCAACCCAGAACAGGTAACCAAAGCAACCCCGCAGATGAGTCGTTTTTTTATGCTCCAGATACACGCTGATAGCCACAAAAAACTACTAGATGGTGCAGTGAATACTTGATGAATGGCATAAGGCTGTGCCCACCTTCTCGGCTGGTGCAGCAGGTGTCGCCTTGGCCTTAGCCTTGGCGGCAGCGTCTTTGTCAGCCTGCGCCTTCGCGGCAGCGTCCTTGTCCGCCTGCGCCTTTGCGGCAGCTGCCTTGTCAGCCTCCGCCTTTGCTGCAGCTTCCTTCTCCGCGCGCGCCTTCGCGGCAGCTTCCTCCTGCGCCTTTGCCTGTGTGGCCGCCTCAGCCGTTTCCTTGTCGGCCTTCGCCTTGGCATCTGCTTCTGCCTTTGCCCTTGCGTCGGCGGCTGCCTTGCCGCTCGCCTCTGCCTCAGCCTTGGCCTGCAACATAAAACGTCAACGTCACACGCTGATTCCTGTAGAGAAGTTCTTGCTCCAATTCACTGTCCGGACGCAAGTAGCGCAATATGGTAAGGATGCTGGCATTCCTCTCATGCTTACAAATTCCCATTTCCGTTGTGCACTCATCCGGTCCAGGATGCAGAGCCCAACACCCTTTGGGGTCTGGAACAGGAGCCTAGGACAAGCTACGCATGATGCCAACAATAGAGCCAACAAACATAGTCTAACGGATCGGAAGTATCTTCTCCTTACTCAACAACAATGCTCCCTGGATTACCTGTGATTCTGCTCAGCCAAGGTCCAGTGCCAGACAGCTCCAATGTCATACCAATGGGAGAGATTAGCGATTTCATCAGGAACCCAGGATACGATAAATGATGTGAAAATTCGGTCAGCTTCGTACCTTGGCAAGCGCCTGCTGCCGAGCCTTGGATTCTGCCTCGTCGCGCTTCTTTGATTCTGCATCGCGTTTGGCCTTTGCAGCCGCGGCCGCCTGCGCGCGCTCCTCTTCAGCAGCCGCCAGCGCCTTGGCCTCTATCTCACGGCGCGCCCTCGCGTCTGCGCGAAATATGCAGGACTCAAATCTGGATGATTTTCCCCTGTCAATGCTCTTACGTGCTATACGATTCGAGATTGATGGATACCACTGCAGAACATGTTGGCCCTCTTCACATGCGGGTTCTGCTGAGTGCGCTCCTTCTTGTGGTGCCCATCTTCAGCATATTCACGATGTATTGTGCGAAATAAAATTCAGCCCGCTCTATCGCTGTGATCACACTATTCTGATACATACCCACACTTACCGATACATACATCTTCTGAAAGAAGCAAAATTTCCCTTAAGAACTGACCTGCTTCACGGCGCTTGGCAGCCTCTGCCGCATCGACCTGGGGCACCAGGGGCGTTGCCTTTGGCGCCGGTTTCTGCGCAGGTGCGGCCTTCTGAGCAGGTGCAGCCTTTGGCGCAGCTGCCTTGGGAGCAGCCGGCTTCGGCTTTGCGGCAACTGCTGCGGCGGCTGCCTGCTGCTTCTGCTTGGCTGCCTCCGCCGCCTGCTGCTTCGCCGCGGATTCTGCCTCCTTCTGTGCCTTCTCCCTTGCCTGCAGCCAGAATCAGGACAACGTTCCTCATGATTTTCATCCAGGAAAATCTGGCCTGAACGATAGTATCCCTTGTACTGCTGGGCATGTGCACAGCACAGTACAAACACCGCGCACACCACCTGAGAAAGCTGCTGGGTGGTCCAGAGAGCACGCTCTAATACAAGACCCGCTTCTGAGGACAACCAGCAGGCATCTCAGACGGAAGGTTCCATGTCTCTACTGCAAAGGGCACCCGTCTGTAATTGCAACACATTCCTATCTGAAAAGTGGAGACTGGACTCCATGAAGGCTACTCACAAAGTACCGTGCTTTCAGAAGCATGCACACAGAAGGCCAGATCCTATATTTTGCTTCCTTTTCTGATCAATAGTGGTGCAGATACGACACCAAATACGGAACATTGCAAAGCTCGTACTTGTTCACCAGGAAACAGAGACGCGCAAATGCCATAACAAAAAACGCTGGACTTTGCACAGAAAACTCAAGGGCTTTGACGTAAGAAAGCGCACTGTACCTGATTCTTGGCAGCGCACGTTTTGGTCTCTATAGAATCTTCTACACAAAGTACAAAGCACTGGTTGAAAGGTAGAAGAAAGAGAACGCCAAGTCACCTGCTCCTCGGCGGCGCGACTGGCGGCCTGTTCCGCGGCGACCTCCTCGGGGAAGAGGATCGGCCGCTCGGCCGCCGCGCGCTCCGCCGCGCTCAGGGCCCGGCCCTCCTTGGCGGCCGCCGTCGCCGCTGCCAGCACGGCCTTGGCCGCGCCCTCCGCGCGTTGCCGCTGCTCCGCCGCCTTCCTCAGCCTCTCCAGCTGCGCGGGACAGATATGTCAATGACAGGGATACAGGCCCATTAAGGAGCCATTATATCCATATGGTAGTTTGCTAGGGCCAGTGCTGTTGACATAGTTCAGAGTTTCAGTGAGCTTGCTCAGGTGACCAGAAGCGCCGCGGACGTATTGCATCAATGTGCAAGCATGCTGGACAGTGGGGCTCTTAGCAGTCGTGATATCCTCGATGCGTTATGACAAATCTTGTTTAAAAGCACTTTCTGGGTTCCTGGGCTGCATTACATTGTAAGACACAGCGTAGATCTGGGGCCCATATGATCATCGTGAACCTTCTCGCAGCTCCCTCTCGCATTATAAAATGATATCACAGCAACACGACAGAGGAACTGGAAAGTGACACAACGAATGATGTGGAAGGGTGAGCAAGGGGAGGGGTTGAGCAGAGCACCTGTGCCTCGCTTTGCTTGGCTTGCTGCAGCGCCGGCCCGGCCTCGCGCGCAGCCGCAGCCGCCTGCGCTCTGGCCTCTTGTGCGACCGCAGTCAGCTCCTTCACCAGCGACTGTGCCTCAGCTGCCTCTGCGCGAGCCTCCTCCAGCTGTGCAGCAGAATGAAGTCATTTTCAATTACTGTCCTTAGTCCTTGTGGAACTTGATTCTCGGAGAACAGTACTTGCCGCTTGTGCTGACGCAAGCAACTATGAGGGGGAAATTATGTGCAGAATTACAGGGAACGACGGCTCGAGGCACGCAGCACTCCCAGGAAATATCTCTGAGCCGGCAAGGATAGAAGAACCGAGCATGCCCATAAAATTCCCAGCAATCATTTTAGCTGATTGCTGCCTGCTGCAGTCCCCATTCTCTTTACGCGAGCTTTTTGGACACAAACACTAGTGCCAAGGCAGTCTGCGTGCTGCAGAATTGAGGGAACAAAGGGGCTCTGACCCGTTGGCGGGCGGCTTCCAGCTGCTCGGCGGCTTCCTGCTGCGTGCGGATTCTCTCCAGCTTCTCGGCCTGGCTGCCGTCGCTTGGCGCGTCCGTCAGCAGATCCTCGTAGCTTCTCAGCGGCTTCGTCTCCTCTGCTACCACCTCCAACACCTGGTTTTTGCATGCACAAGGCATAAACAAGTTAGGGAACTATACCAAGAGGTAGTCACCTATGTGGTACCAAAAAATCAGAATAAACTTGCACATGCCAGAGGGCTGTCGCCCAGTTTGGCGATCCTAGTTTGAACATGCAATCCATATAACGGTTTCTAAAGAATACTCATGACTCGTCCCCAGTTGCATGGAAGTGAAAGGCGCAGCAATCGTCCCTTCGGAAGAGTTTGTCACAGAAATTGCAAACAACACATCTGAGGCAAGCGCTCAAGAAAAGAACTCCCTGCAATTGCTTGCATGCAATCAGGGATGAGGGACACGGCACAGCTTCTCTGACACTGCTCAATATTCAGATCATTAAACAAAGTCCTGGCTGGCAGTGAAGCAAGCATAAAGTTTGGCTGTCACCTTGTTCTCGGCCAGCTCTGGGTTGGCGACAGCTGCTGCCACCAGCTCAGCCACCTGCAGGCGCGACACCTGGCACCAAGGACAGAAGCAGTCCAGTCAGCGTCAGGTGCATCCCATTAATCCCGCTGTCAGCTCCACAGATGAGCCTCAGCACGATCCAGTCAGCAAATACAATGCATTAAGCCCGCTCATCCCAAGATAATTTGTCACATGCGGTCAGATGGACCACACTGAGACAGATTTGCTGGCCCATTGTCCCGGTCAATGGCCGATGGAGTGTTAGCATTCAAACCACCCGGCGGCGCTCCTCGGTGTCTTCAGCCAATTGTCAAAATAAATTCTCTCAAGGTGGCAGACGGCATGTCAAGCGTCCACGCCTTCATGAGGTGAGCTGATTGTGGCAGGGACTTTTGTAATCAAACCTACTCGGATGTGCACCAAAGACAGACATTGAGAGGCAGCTGCCTATACACCGGGCCGGCAAATTCCTCAGTGTCCTTGGTAGAATGATTGTCTTATGGAGCAGACGGATTCATAAATAGGCCAGAAAGCATCATAACGGCAACCATTTCACACCTGGCCGCCGAAGAGGGTGTCCTTGGGGGCGAGGGTGACGTTGTGGGTGGCCTTGTACTGATCCGTGGGGCGTTCCATACCCCCGGGACGCACAATCACGTAATTCAGGCCGCTGCCCTCAAGCGCCACCTCAGCGCGCCTCTTCTGGATCAGGATGCCCCCGAACAGATTCAACACCGCTGCGCAGCAACACACTTGCTTCAGGCGCTTAATTTGGCCAAGTTGAAAAAAAAGGAAAAAATGCCAAAAGGCATAATCTGCACTGTTGCGCAGAACAAATTTATCACGTGTTGCCAAAAGCTCAAAAATAAAGAGGGATTGAGATGCATGCGAAAGGCGCCGCATGAACTCTAGATCAAGATTCCAACCTAGTTCTCACTGAAGAACATAGGAGCAAAGAAGGGTCCCAAACCGCACTACCGAGTCTTCTTCAGGGTAGCTCTTTATTGCGTCTTGGAAGTTCCTCTTTGCACCTACAATACAGAATTGGACAGTGCTAGTCTTGGCATACTCGCTGTCACCCTACTTCGCTCCTGCTTAAGCAGGATGTGCAATGGCGAGCACCTGCGGGGAAGCCGATCTTGGCGGTGCCCAGCGAGGTGACCATGACAAACTGGTCGACTTCCAGCTGCTTGGCAGCTTCCACGAGGGCAATGGCGCCATCTCCGTCGATGTTCTTGGGGTTGCTGAAATTGAAGGGCTCGCTCTCGGGCGCGCCGATCGCCTGCACCACCTGCGAAGCAACGGCCGCTTTCAGCTTTCTTTCTTTTCGAAGACCTAATCTTTTCATTGTTGGTTCGACGGAATGCCGGTTACAGTGTCATTGTTAAGTGCAGAGCCTTGCACTAATCAAGGCAATTGCAGTCACACTCTAATCATGCATGTGCCACAACCCCTGGCCAGGGTAAATGACTCCTGTATCCGTTGGGACCTCTGCAGGCCGTGCACTGGAAACACGGCATAGAAAACAGGCAACCCCTACTCCTACAAAGCACTGCTTCCAGTTTTTTGCCCAGGCATATTTGCGCTGAGTCCACGACAGACTCTCCCTCGTTCTAAAGATCTGCAGAGCAAATGAATTCGCACCTTGGCAGCGTTTCCGATGGCAGGTGCGATGGTGTCGGGCTTAGTCAGGTCGACCGGCACGAGCGTAACGCGGCGTGCGGCGTCGGCCGGCAGCAGCCCGTAGTCGACCGCTGTCCGTAGGTATTCCGCGGCCTTTTCCGGGTCGCGCACCCCGGCCCGTACACGCAGCTGCGGCGACTCCAGCAGCAGCTGCCGCACGATGCGCGCCCCCAGCCGCCCCGTAGCACCAGCCACAAACACCTGCAGCCGACTTTTTTATGAATACAGAACTTTTACACCTAGACACCTGTTGGGAGGCTTGTGAGGCTCATTGGTCTTATGGGCAGTCTTGCACTGTCTCATGTCACATTAGAAACACCTGCAGTGCAGCCAAATTGAGATGTCTCTTTGCAGCTTAACTGCCGCTGTTGCTGACACCGGGTAGTCTGGCAGACGCCACTCGCTTGCTGTTCATTGCGCAGGAATGAGGGAAGCATAAGTGCACGCTGGCATAAGCCTGGCCACTAATCTAGCCCATACTGCATGGCAGGACAGACACCTCTGAATGGATCATTGGAATGTGCAGCCAGCCACTGTACACATTGCATGCCTCATACGCAGCCAATACGATTGAGTAAGGAGCGCCCCACTGCCACAGTAAAGTGTCCCCATCTATGCAGCTCTTACTGCACCTGATCCAGGCACGGAGCAAGCACTGCACAGCTGAAAAAGACACCTGAACGAGCTGAAACCTCTGTAATTGCTGGCCAAAATAAAAACACACCGTGTTGGGGTCCTTGCGCTGCGGCGCACGCGCCAGGAACTGAGTGGCGCGGCCAATCCGCTGAGTGCCGGAGCCCAGTTTGAGGCGCTGCGTTCCATTTTTGGGGCCCCCACCCAGGCCACCGAGCTTCAGGCGCTGTGTGCCCCCCTGTGGCAGGGGGAGGCCCAGCTTCAGGCGCTGCGTGCCCTTTCCTGGAGCCTGCTTGGGTGCCTGCTTGGGCGCCTGATCCCCTCCCACCTTGATCTTCTTCGTCCCTCCTGCAGACATCGATTTATTCACTTGTCCACGCCATTCTAGAAGGTACGTCAGACGCGGTCAGACTCACAGTAAAGGTGCCCAGACACATACAATATGTGCTACTTAATCAGGATCTGGTCAGAGGAAGCTTGCATGTGGAGTATATAAGTGCAATTGCACGTAAGAAATGAGCTTGAACGTACCAAAAAGTCCAGCGAATGGTGAAGCTGGCTTTTCTTGTTCTTCAGGTTCGGCCTTTCTTGCACAGATGCGTGTCACTCCCAACCTACATGTTGACCCGATTTGAGGCTTCGAACCGCTACTGAAAATTTGAAAGGAGTACTCTATACGAATAAGTTGCATTTACTTCAAAGACTTTTGTGGCAAAGCATACATCCTATGATGGCCAATCCAATAACCATCGAGATATTGAAAATAACTATCTGCAAAGAATCTACGCACCTTTTCTGCCTGATCGGAGAGGTCAAGACCATTGGGCTTCCCAGCAAGGACTTTCTCGCGCGAACATTGACCCCAGCCAATAAGTACTGGCACTGGACACGGCACTCGAAACTAGAGATGCCGGCCATTGCAGCAAGTCTTGGAGCACGCACAAATTGCTGGCAATGAAAGGACCAAATATCCAAAGTTCCAACAATCAAGTCGTTGAAATTATCGTTCTGCCGGCGTTTCCGGCAAGCACGAGCGCTGCAATTGCGGATAAAGATTGACTTCATCAACTCCATCGACCCCTATCCGGCACATTGACGCCCTTGATCCGCCCTCATGCATGCAAGCAGCTGGGCGGCGCATCGAACTATATCCATTTCGACCGCTGCACTCCAAAGATACTGGATATATGCTGACGCAATTCAGAAAAGTCGATGTGACCTTCGATCTGATGGGTGGTCACATTTGCATGCAGTACTGTATTCTGACTTTGGAACTTCCTTGAAGGCTTAATAGAGATGTGAGATCTGATCTGATTAGAGAAATTTCCAGGGCTCAAACGGCTGGCAATGATTCGTGCCCGGACACGATGGCCAGCACTGGCGTTACACGTTCCATTTGCCACACACCCCGCGTCAAAATGCCAGCTAGCTGCACAATCTCAATTGAAACGATCTGCCCCGCCAAAGGGCTTGCCTGATGCGTGGGCCCACCAGGATGGTGATTTTGGGGTGCTCTTTCCAGGAAGCTGCAAGCAGTTCCTACAGCACTTGCAGAGACAAATCCTCTCCCAATCCTTCACATCCTCCGATGCATGCACTGCTCGACTCGTCACAACATAGTCATGACCGATGGCTCGTGTGTGATAGGACAGTGTCATTTGACGCAGCGCCAGTCCAGCCTCAAAAGCTTTCAGCTGGCCGGTCCCCCCGCCCAGCTGTGAGAAGTTGCTATACTTGATTGTCCAAGACCGCACATGGGTCGCAGATACCTTGGGGTCCTCAAAGCTAACCGACAGCAAGTTCACAACATCCAAGGACACAAGCTGCAGCGTGCAAGGCAACGCTATGCTGAGATTGCCTGCTACCAGATGCAGGCTAACAAGGTGGGCTAGATTCATTTCCGGCAGCGATTGCAGCAGCACGTCATGAAGTACATCACCTTGTCTCCAGTGCAAAGTGAAGGCCTCAAGGTTCCTCCCATACAAAAGCAGATCTTCCCTTACAAACGGCTCAAATTCATCACATGGCGGGATAACGAGGGACAGGTCGCGGATGCTATTCTTTGTCTTACCACACCATCTCTTCAAGTGCCGTCCAAAATTGCGACACCTCAGCCCGTGTACCGCTTCCTCAACACACTGAATGTCCCCCTTTGATTGAGATCCTGCAGCCCTCTGGCATGTTGATGCCATGCGGGGCAAAATTGTCAAATGCGAGAAGCTTCAGAGAAACAGGCACGTGCAGGTATGCCTCCAAAACCCATGGCCTCGTACTGCCCAGCTGCAATGTCTCCAGATGTATCATGTGCTGAAAAGACGGCAAGCCCCAACCGCGGCGTGCCGCGCGCATGAACATGACGAGGTGCTTCAGGTTGTCCATGGTTGGCAATGCAAAGAAGTTGGATGCGTACAGGTACAAGACTGGTAAATGAACAGCAGTTCGAAGGAGCCGCTGTAATTGAGGGCCCATGTTGAACACCCCTTCTTCAGAGCCCCAATGGGCGCCCTGCCAAATCACAGAAAGAGCCGATTGCCCTGTGGCCCAGAGTTCTTGACTAACCTCCACTTGCACGGACTCCTCAGTGCAAGCCTGTCGCTGATGAGGTTCCGATATGCCCCCTACATGGGCCAGATGCGAGTCAATGCTCATGCTCCAATGGACCAGTTTGGCGTCCTGCCAATGTCTGGCCAGCCACAGCAGCATAGACACTGCTTGTGCGCTGCTGCAAGTTCCTAAATGGTTGTGCCTGATCGTGTCCTGTGTCAACCGGCGCAGTGCGGCGCAGGTGCTTGCAGCCCCAGTCCACTCACGGGTTGACATCTTGGAGGAGATGCAATGCCAAAGCTCCTCGGGCAGGTGTGGGCACTGTCGTCTCGGATTAGCCTCAGATGCTCCAGCCTGCACGGGTAAACAAAAGCAGCATTTTCACAGTTGCAACAGATTTAAGCCAGGAACCAGGGGCACAGATGCGCGGGTTTTGGTCACTGCTATAACCTGGGTTGTGTTGTTGCAACCAAGACAAATACGCAAGGGCCCCCCTGGGGATGCATCTGCAGCCGTAGAGTTTCAGCTTGAAGGGTGTTGTGAATGGCAGAATCAAGGACACATGACGCACAGATGAATTCGCCCACGATGTGCTATAAGCAGGGGTTTGGCGTGCCTGTTCAACGTAAAGGTTTGCTCCTGAAATTGCTGGCAACACTGGCTCCATGTGCTGATAGAACAATTCATGTGTGCTGTCCTGTTCCTCGTATAAGTTCCTCTCGTCTGGTAGGTGAAGATCGGCACGGTGAAGTGGAACTGTTTCTGGCTGTTTCCAGAAGCAAAGCCAGGCAACGAAGGATGGCATGGTCAACACAAGCAACGCCAAATGATTCAATCAGGCCTTAACGCGCGATGATAGGGAAGGTCTTAACTTTGAAACCCGCAACTCTAATAAAAAACAAGCAGCTCGGTCAAGTTCAAAGTTAGCTCTTCAAAGTGCCATCGACGAACGAGGCGATAGTTCTCGCAGGCAGACCCTTGCGAGTGATCTTAGTAATCATCCTGACTAATTTATGAACCTTGAAGCATCTGTAGACATCTGTTCAAACGGTTCAATCAGGTTGCCGTTCAGAATTTAGACATTCTGACGGTGGGATGTTTCTTGTCAGAGTACTCTGTTCGCGTTTGGTCTCGGCCTGACGTCAACATTTAGGAGGCCTCCCGGGCAATTTGCATGGAGCTTGTAGATACAGTCTTGAGAGACTCCGATCAGGGGTGCGCTCAGTGGCGTGCGACATATAGACCTAAGTTGCCAGTACCCACCGATGAAGACGAAAGATATCATGTAAGCTCTCTTTACCATTCTGTTATCTTTGTTCAGCTCGGTTTCCCACGTTCGTTGAGGGCCCAGGAGCTCACCGTGTCTATTGCAGGCATACATCGGAGGCCGTAAGCGGCTTTCTGAAACGCAAAGAAAGCCAAGGAGCCTCAAAAGAAATACGGATATAGGTGAGTGCACTTCTTTCTGAGCAACGGTGGATGTAAAAGAGATGTTACAGCTTTGCTGCAGACTTGTCTTCCTATAAACTGATTTTAAACACACTATCTGAAAGTTGGCTGGGGGCATCAGATGTTTCAGCTGGGTCCTTTTGGGGACACGGAAGAGAACGACCTGCCTGGGGACAAAACTCTGATGTTCTGGGGCAAACCACCTCCAAAGAGTCCTGAGGTCGAGCAGCGGCTTAGAGAAGAAAAGATAGGGGTAAGGCCCTGTCCCAGACTGATGATTTGGACATGATGCAAGAATAGAGGTCAAGCAACAAGCTGACTGGATATGCTCCTCCAACATCCCAGGACGGACAGACATTGAAAAGGTAAAAAATCAGCACTTGTCATGCGTACTACAGATGAGCGCACATGCTGAAACTTGAAAGTGAAGAAGCCAGTCAAAAAATTGTGATAGGCAGTAGTTGGCAGCATCGTCAAATGACTACTAGTGTGCTGCTCAGCATGTTGCCAAGAGCACTGTCTAATCGGATGCCTCTTTGCAGGAGGAGCATGTTGTCCCAAGCGCTGCGTACGTGGTAATGTCTGTTCTTCATGCCCACTGCTCTTGCGGTGGTAGAGATGCAGAGCAATATTTATTAGTAGATTTTGAGGTTGCATACCCTCTCTGCTGGCGCCCAATGGCGGCCGGAATAAATACTGATCACCGTGCCCACGGTTGATTGGGTCTTGCTTGGATGTGGCGAGTACAACAAGGGGTAGGATTCTAACAGTAGCTTGTCTGCAGGATGCACCATGCCTTATTTAAGCCCAGAAAGAAGCCTGTTACAAAGGTGTGTTGGGGTACAATTAATTCTACTACTTCTAGTTCAAGTTTCTAGTACAGACCAAGACCCTAAAACACACCCTAAGCTTGCATGTTGACTGCCTCATATCTATCGAGTGCTGCTGTGGTCTGCCACAATGTGCTGGCTCTACTGCTAGCAGCTGCAAGACTTGTCTGCTGTTTGCCAGAGCCTTTTGCATTTGATGGAATGAGTTGGGCATCCTGCGGCTGTGTGGCCTGTCTCGAGAATCTTATGCAACCCATAATCACACAGGCGCCGGGCTAGCCACGCCAGAAAAGCCTCGGCTCTGCCGGGCGTGTCTGTTAGGAACCTACCCTCGGAACCGTGCTTTGTAAGGGCGAACCGGACTTGGGTCGCCAACCAAGTGCCGGGGTGCGCCATTGGTCCTAAACTATGGAGAATAATATACTAAACTGATTGCCAATTGGATTGACCTGCCTTGATTGCCTTGTGCGTGCGCGGCACGACGGATGCTCGCCATCCCGTGACTGCGACACTTCATAACTTGATATCTATTGAGAATCAGCTTGCGGGGATAGGCGCGATCGATTCAGCGCACCCCAAAACCTTTGTATGTGTATGGGCTGCCTTTGACGTTGCCTGTGTATAGTACTTGTACAAGAACATCCTAGGAAAAGGTGTTGGCAGTATTTCAGAACATGAAATGACATCCAGGCCGGCCGCGCGCCTGCGGTGGGGGCCTGCATGCAGGCGCGCCCGCGCCACTAGTGAGGAGGAGTCCTCGGTAAATATACTCAGTCTCAAGCGCGCATGTAATCGGGTTTCTCGGTCTAAGCGGAAGACAGCCTTCTCAAGCGGAAAGCCTAAGCGGCCCCAGCGGTAGAGAAGGACCCAGCGATCGGCTAGCACAGCCACACACTACTCCGCATAGAACTACCTTCACAGAAGGGTCATACCCCATAGGGGACACCCTTCGCCCTTTGAGTCACTGGTACAGGGGGGGACGCGCTATCGCGGTTTTTGTCATAAACGGCTAACCCGGTTGCGCCCCCCCTTAACAGTGTCTAAGTGTTTACTCCTGCTGATTCTGTCAAGCACCAGGTTGCACAGGGGTATGCAGGTGCAGGCCGCCCCGACCCACTCCTCTGAAGGTAGAAGAGAAGCTATGCAGCGCCAGACTTCCACCGGCAGCTCTGGACAGCTCCCTAACTGTGTCTTGAGGGCCTGAGCCTAAGTGACAGAGGACGACTCTCAGCACCTTTCTATGCCAGATAAAGGGGCAAGGGTATAGGGTTTCCCTCATGCCTTGTGATATAATACGCATTTTGGGCGAGCTGGAAATGACTACAGCACCAGAGCAGGTACACAAGAGGCTATGACGTCCTAGGAGTGTGTAGATGCAGTTACTCGTCCACCAGGAAGGCAGCCCTCACGCGTAGAATTAGTGAGTTGGAAAATGTGTTTGAAACTCAACGAAAGACAAGACATGCCTGTGATCTCATAAGCATCGCCACCGCGTTGCTGCAAAGCACTGGCGACTCTTACAGCTTGATCACAACATTCCTTCTACGGTCGTCGTCTTCCTTGATGTTTCCAGATTGATCAGCATCACGCAAGATGGACAAGCAGCAATGAGGATTGTAATGAAGCGTTAGGAGTGAAGTATCTAACAATATGTCATAGCAGACAGAACGTGCAAGCGTGCCACGTGTCGCAAGTAAGCATGCCAAAAAGCCGCCAGGCAATGAAAGAGTTGCTTTCAAGGTTTTGGCGCCCTAAATGACAACTGTGTGCGCCAGAATGTTTCAATACATTGTCACCCTCATGAACTTTATTATATAACGTGAAAGCTGTAATCAAGTTCAGAACGGCTGTGGCTCGCAGAGAATCATGTCAGTGTAATCCTCAAAGCTTTTTCTGATCACATTGGTACAATCAAATGTGGCTTGCGCATACACCCTGCGTCTCTGATATATTATTACAGGTAAAAGTATAAATATAATGTCAATCGTGGACCTCATGCATTAGGTCATTCTCAAGCAACGACTGCAGCACTTGCAGTCACACTTCACCACCCAATTGCTTACGTCCAATGTCGGATGCACTTTTCTCCTCGTCACCAAAACCCCATATGTGTTGTGTTCTTCAAAAAAGGTGAAATCTAGATGGCGCGATGCCACTCCATCCTCGAACACTTGCAAGTGGTTCTCAAAGTGTACAATTTTCCTGGCTGCTATGATGTAAGACTGTACACTTGCTGCAGATGCTACTGGGTCTTGAAAATCAACCACCAGCGACTCATCCGCTTTCAAGTGCACTAGGCGCAGCGAGGCAGGCAATGTAATGGAAATGTCTGCTGCTGCCACATATAGAGCACCAAGTCGATCCCAGTTAAGCTGAGGCAAATTGTCCAGAGCAACAATGTTCCAACCCCAGTCTACATCCAATCTTTCAATGTTTGACCCATAAGCTAGCACAGCATCTTCATCAAATGCCTTATAAACCCCTGAAAACCCTTGCCTGAGCGATAATCTGCTGATCTGATTCCTGGCATGTTCGGACCAGACGAAAGGACCTTCATGTATGGGACCCAGCAAGTAAAGAGAGCCTATGGCAATCCTGCACTGTGCTGACACCAAAATACTTCTTGAAACAATGCCCTCGAGGGATAGATGCTTCAATGAACCGGGCAACACGAGATCGGCAGCACTTGACTTCCTGAAATCGCATCTCAATTCCAGGGTCTCAAGAGATTGCAGTTGCACCAACGATGCCAGGCTCCTTTCGGGTTCATCATTCAAGACCATCATAAGATGCCTCAAATGAACCAGGGGTGGCATTGTCAGGTCCACAGTCAGTACCAAACAGAGAGCATGCACATGTCCGGCATTGGTGAGCAACGCCTCAAATGCAAGACCGAGGTGCCAGTCCTCATTGTGGCAGAGCCACCCAATCGTGACTGCAATTTGGGGGCTTGACATTGCAACAGGTGGTTCCCAGGGTCGCTTTCTGATTGTAAGCTCCAGCAAATCAGCAGATTGGCGTGTATCGCTGCCAGCAAATTCTACTCTTGGACGAGGGCTGACATCAAAGAGTGTATATGCTGACCTAGCATCCCGCCAGCGTTTGGCCAACCACAGCAGAAAAGACCTGACGCCGCTGGGCCCATGCAGAGTGAGCCGTTCATCTGGCAGGGTGATGTCATCGAGCACAAGGCAGCGCAAAGCTGTGCATGTGCTCGCAGCCCGGACCCACTCTTGCAGGGGCAGCAGAAGAGCAATGCGCCGCCAGAGGTCCTCTGGCAGGTGTGGGTAACTCCTGCGCTGGGCTTTACCAGCCCGGGCCTGCAAAAATACGGAACACTACCGTCTCAATCCATGCCAGTGGAAGGGCAAGGTGTTGAGAGGTTTTCACCGTGAGAGCAGTTTTCAGTTGGGTGTCTTAGGCTACACATTGCACAGCAAAAGGGAACTGTGACTTTGCCAAAGCAGTAGGGCAACAGAGGTAAGACGTGCTGGGGGTGAAAAGCGGCTGTCAATCGAGAGAGAGGAAGGCATAACTCAAGCTAGATGCATCTCTTTCAGAATGCCCATCGACCTCATAAATAAACTTGAAGACTCGCCTGGGACCTTGTGAGCATCGATGCCACCAGCATTGTCAACTTTCAAAACGCAATGATATCATCTACTGCCAGAAGATTATAGCGCGGCACAGGTGCTGCTGGCCGGCAGCTAATCACTGGTTGAGAGCAGTGAAGCAATGTGCCACCAGAGCTTCTTTGGCAGATGTGGGTAGGCCCTGGGCTGAGCTCCAGATTTCTGACCAAACACCACAAGGATCTCAGGGACACAGAGGAGAAAGATTCGATCAATCTCTTTGGGCCTGAGAAGAGCTGCAGTTCAGTTGTGTGCGCTGCAGAGTTTCGTTGGCAGCACCCAGCTGTCCAGCTGCTGCACCAAGAACAGCGAGCAAGGTGAACTTCCTGGCAAATCAAACTTTGTACGAAGCTTTGCAAGACAACGCATAATCTGGTCTCTGAGCGAAGAGCTTGCCTGGGTTTCGTTGGTTATCGGTACTTTTGTGAACGTCCACGCTGATAGCAGAGTTGTTTTCGAGTGATCCCCAATTCAATTGCTCTTACAAAACTTTTCCTTCCTTTCATTCACAGTGTGCAAGTTTGTCCTGCGTGCAATAATTCAGATCCCAGGGGAAATGACGTCAAATATCAAGGGGATTGCAGCAACGAACGAGGCGCCCACACAATATTAAAGATCACAGACGGCGTCAGAAGCTTTCTTGACATCTGCGCAAAGCAACTGAATGCCGCCGCGCGGCCTGAACATTTGAGAAGTTCTATCAATATAAATAGCTCCACCGATAGTTGCTGGCGGTAAGACGGTGAGATAGCCGTGCCACTTGTTCTGTGAGAAATCCAGGGTTGAAGGCGGCTGGCTGCCTTTATTGCAAAGCGATGTTTTAAACCTTGATATTGATGAGCAAACCCAACACGCTTTGACAGTATAAAGCCGTCGCAAGTGCACACGTGACAGCCCTTCCACAACCCCGCCTAAGTGATGGCGGCTTGCCTAGATTTCGCCTGGTTACTCGTTCGTGCTTCTGCAGATTGAGATAGCTCACAATATCTGTGTTTGCACAGGTGGCTGGGACAATGCGGACGATCGCACATAACATCGTCCTTCTACTCGGCCTGATCATCTTTGTATCAGGTCAGCAGCGCCTTTCGTCTCTGGTGAGTCAGATCAAAAGAGAGTGCCAGACATCTTCAAAATGTGCAACTGTAGATGGTTGTGGCACAGTGGCAGAAAGAACTCTGTGCTTCCAGTAAGAAGCTGGATCATGCTGACTTTTGACAGCTTGATTCAAAAGTTAACAGTGGAGTCCAGTTGATCAGCCATAACTTTCACTCAATGATATTGTGGTATCATGCAGGACAAAGCACGCTACAAGGAAACCGGGTATCTAGCTTCCTTGACAACAACCTTGCAGCCGGTCTTGTACCCCAAGCTGATGGCGACACCTATGCTCCTGCACCTGCTGCAGGAGTACCCTCAGCTGCCATTGGGGTTGCCCAGGTAAACCATGCACTTATCTCAACACACAGACAGTCTGCATGCAACCGAAGATTGAGCACCCGAAATGCACAGCCAAAAAGTGTCATGTTGTTTTGGCAGTCAATCCCAGGCTATGGCCGAGGGACTTGACTCATTGGCAAAGTTGAGCAAGCCTTGGAGATGAGTTACTGACAGTGTGAATTGTCTCTGCCCAGGCACCGGCAGCAGCTTCTCTCGCTGTAGAGGTTGCCAAGGCAACCCCGCCACCTCCACCCCCTAGGGAGTCTCCATCGCCAACATCTCCTCCAATCCTCCCCAGCCCCCCACCCCCCTACCCACCACCGGCGGCTGCTGCACCAGCACTTCAGCCTCTGCCGAAGCGGCCGCCCTTTGCTCTGGGATTCGCATCAGCAGCTTACCAGGCAAGTTTTTCCTCAAAGGATGTACACTGTCATACTGAACTGCCAGAGCGTTAATCCTTTTGACCTTATAGCGCTGGGATTTTGTGCAAGGATCGGACACTCTAGCTATGTGTCCAGTGATTGTGGGCAGATTACGTTGTGCTGGCGCTAGTCTTGCATTGTTGAGCCTATCTAGGCCGCCTCAGGATTGTAGATTTCTAGGGTGTTTACTTTTTGAAAGATGAAACTTAACACTAGAAAGAACCAATGACGTTAAACGAAGCATGCTGCTATGATGAGAAGGTTGCCTGTTTAGGTTCTGCTCTAGGCAGAGCCTCTGAGCCTCACCTGCCTACCTGTGCTGGACATAGAAGACATCTGGCAACTGGAGCTGAGCATTCCTTGGCAAACTATGTTATATGTCACAGGTGGTTATCTGTGACTGTTTGTGACGTGCATCACCGTGTGCTAGTCGTGGTGCTGGTCTAGGACCTTGCAGCATGTCATATTACATCCATGATCTGTGACATCAAGGATGTTTTCAATGCCTCTTGCTTTTGCAACTCCATCGAGCGCTCTTCGTCAACCTACTTTCAAAACCTCAAATTTTCAGGCTCGGGTGTTGGCAGCCCCTCAGGGGCCCCAAGGGGATTGGCATCTATTCTCAGGGATGAGGGCAGGATTTCAAAAGCTTTGAAAGAACCAGGGAATCTGGCATGTTGGCGTCAGGACTGAACCTGATGCCACTAGACTGTGACTAAGGGGCACCCCAATCTAGTCATTTGAGTACCTAAGTCAGTAATTTTTATGCAGATTCTAGAAGACACCAGTTTACTACCCCGTTGAAATTCGACGCATACCAGGGATGCCCTGCAGTGTTAGCCAATACCACGACAGCCACTGGTTTGCCCCCGCTCACCCTTGCCCTACATAGCGGTTGGCCTGACATTCTATAGGTCCCGTATCGAACCCTGCGCATGCTGTTCTAAAGGCATAGATACAGTGTCAAGACGTGGAATTCTGAAATTATTATTATTGTTCTTACACGCCAACCCAAGCCACAGTTGGCTTAGGTGCGTCGCAGCAGCAATTCTATGACAGCCTTCCAGCACGGCCTATCTTGGCACCTTTTCCACCATGTCAGGGCCAGCCCATTTTCTGAATTCTGAAATGGTGCTTGCAAAATGCAGTTCGAAGGTGCATTCAGAGAGGACGGCAAAGGCGAGAGTATCTGGGATTTTTTCAGCAACAACCCAGGCGCAACCCCTGCCAAGAAATCAGTTCACAAGAACGCGACTGGTAAAGCACAAATGTCATTAATTTGTTTGGACTGCACTTCAATGAACAGAACTCCTGCGTACTTCCCACCATATGACATTACATTTCAGCTGGAATCCATCCAGCTGAGGCAGACCTAACATGCGCTGTGTCCCTGCTTGCAGGCAACATTTCTACTGATTTTTATCACCGGCACAAAGAGGATTTGATCTTGGCTAAGGAGCTTGGGGCTACAGAGATGAGAATGTCAATCTCATGGACGCGCATTTTTGCAAACGGCGATGGTGCCGTCATTCAAGCGGGTCTAAACCACTATATGGAAGTCATTGACTTCTCGCTTGCCATTGGACTTGAGCCGGTCTTGACTTGCTATCACTGGGACCTGCCTCAGGTATTCACTTGGAGAGATGCACATCATACCTCCTTTGTGAAAAACGTGCAATTCGAGTTCAATAAGATCAGAGTGAAGCTGGCACTCTCATGTACAAACTTACACCGAGAGATGGCTTCTACTTGTTGTCCATCCTAGTACTATATATATTTTGTATTTTCTAGGGGTGATTACGTGTCTCACTTAATATGCCATCACCCCTAATGTGTCTCACTTAATATGTCATTACCCCTAATGTGTCTCGCTTAATATGTTATTACCCTTACTGTTGCACGTGCGCAATAATTCTTCCGCGCAATTAGATTAGAGCGTGCGCTGGAGTTGCCTTTTACTTCACGCTCAGAGTATTTGCATGCATAGGCTCTCCAAGATCGCTTTGGCGGATGGATCAGCGAGGCAATTGTGCCCATCTTTGCAAACTATTCGGCAACATTGTTCAAGGCGTTTGGTGACAAAGTCACATACTGGACCACCATCAATGAACCGAAGACTTTCTGCTGGGAGGGGTACGGGACCGGATACCACGCTCCCGGTATCAACGACATGGTAGGTTCATATACATCCCACCTTCATCAAACCCTGGGAGTTTAATGCGAGACAACTTGGCAAGTTATCGTGGAATTTGAGTTATAAGAGCTTATTTTTATGAAATAAAAATGCACCGCAATAAATATTGACGCGGAAAACGAGATTGATCATAGTACTATTTCTTCCGTAGGAACAAACCGCCTTGTGCACCATGAACGTCTTGAAGGCGCATGCGGCGGCGGTGGAAGAGTTCCGCAAGCTAGTTCCCGGTGGCTTGATTGCAATGAATTTGAACGTCGAGACGTCATTGCCCTATGATTCGACGAGCGACTTGGACAAGGTAGTATGATTGCCCATGCTTTTCCACATGAAATCAAAACTTAGAAAAAACATGCAAACCATGAATGTATGGCACGAGTCTGAATTTGCAAATGCGTCAGCAATTGTGTCAGGATCTGGGGGAACAAGAGTAAGGACAGTATAAAACTTTGCATTTCAGATCGGTGCAACAATTGGATGCATGTAGCGGTGGACGAACAATTTCAGATGACAAAGCGTATATTTATATTCTCACTTTAGTTGTTGTTTGCATGCGCAGGCTGCCGCACAAAGAAAGACAGACTTTGAGCTCGGAGTGTTTGCGGACCCAATTTACTTTGGCCAGTTTCCAGACTCCGTAAGGGCACGGCTCCCTTATCTGCCCGCAATCTCCCCGGAGCTGGTATGTTTGTCTAGAATCCGGCACCAAACTTGGCATCTGACAATACCTTTGTCAATGATGTAGATCTAATTGTTTGCCATAGCAAATCATTTATGACATATTTTACACACAGGCCGATGCTTTAAGAGGATCTATGGACTACTTTGCGCTCAACCATTATACGTCATCGTGCGTCCCTTGTTCTTCGCACCGTTCTGAATCTTCAAATTTGCCTTTCACGTCACATATTTGCCATGACTCACGCGTACTTGCGATGTGCAATTTTACGTGCATTGCAGATATGTGCGATTCGCGCCCAACGCCACATGTCCTTTGGGGAAGTGTGATTATGTTGTTCCAGAAGATCACATCAACAAAGAAGGCTTTGTAATCGGCGAGCAAGGCGCCTCAGGTGAATCTCAAATGGGGTGTCAAACCCCAAACCTGCCAATTTGATTTTAAATCTTAGTTCATGCCAGCATGATTGGAGACCCATTTGGTCGCCTAAATTTTGATCTACAGGTTGGCTCTTTTCAGCTCCCTTTGGGTTCCGCATGGTACTGAACTACGTCTACGACCGGTAAGTTTCCCCGCTGATGCCTTCCCTTACAACCTCATGAATAGCACATATTTGCTCACTTTCAACTCCAGTCATGCATGCACGAAATATACATAGTGCATTCGCAGGTACAAACCCGAATTTATCAGCGTCACGGAAAACGGATTCAACGTTAAAGGGGAAGAGACTATGAAAATGGATGACATCCTCAATGACACCAAGCGCGTCGAATATTTCCGCGATTACATCGATCATGCCATTGCTGCAGTTATCTACGACAAGGTGTGTGCCCAATCTCCATGATGAAGCATGCGCTTGACATTTTGACCAGAGCTCATTCTTATGGCTGACGTGAAAAAGGTGGTACATTGGATCACCTTGCATTGATGACAAGGAGCGCTCCGGCCTGAAAATGTAATGCTTCTTATGCTGACAACGCTGTTTCTAACAATCTTTGCATGCCTGTTAGGTACCCATCAGGAGCTATGATGCCTGGGCTCTCACAGATAACTTTGAGTGGCAAGACGGTTACAGCAAGAAGTTTGGTGTGGTGCACGTCGATTTTGAGACGCAGAAGCGCACCAAGAAGGCATCCGCCCGTTTCCTTGCAGACAAATGGAAGAGTGCCAGGGACTACTAGAGCCCTTGCCGTCCAGTGCTACACGATCAGCACAGTTCTCTGGCAAATGACTGGGACCCTGTATAGAGGTTGCATGGAGACTATCAGCCTGCTGCCCTGCTCTTGTCCATCCAAACAGCACTTGGCTGCTGCCATGTCAATGCAAGGCAACATTCCATTGCTTTTGCACCCCGTGCTTTGGGTTATTAAATTTGGATGTAAAATTTCTCACGTGCAGTGAAGCTGCATTTGCAAGTTCACTCCTAAGGCTGGGGTCGAGTCTGCACAATATAGACCTCGGTGCCAATCAGAGCCCCCTCCACATCCTGTGGTCCCCCAAAAGCCTCCTCCAGCGCCTTGCCCACCTTTGCCAGCTGCTCCCCAACCTCGGCCCTCTTCTCCTCGCTGGTGGAGAGCGCCTGCACCAGTAAAAGCGATAATGAGCTGGCAATACACACAATCTGAGCTCTGTATCAGCCCAGTGGGTGCTTCTATCAGGCCACATTCCTCATATCAGGCTGAACAAGCCCTTGTAAGGCTGATAATCACACAGGCTCATAGGCACAATCCCATGGGCCAGAGAAACCGAGTCTTTCACAGCAAACACCAAGCATTCCCTGCGGCAAACAGGAGAGCTGCAAGTCTCTGCATTGCGCAGAGATGCCTTCCCACAGTGCACATAAAATAAGCACGCATCAGGCAGCATGCACGGGCCATCTGCTGTAGGTTGTGCTCTTTCTGCGTGCGATAAATCCAGAATAGTCCACCAAAATGCTCCAGCCAACCTCTTCAAGAAGAGAGATGGCGAAGCAATGAGATGATCAGCGCACCTGTTTGCCGTAGTCGAGGATGACTGGCTTGTAGCCTGATGCGCTGGCAGAGTGGCTCGTCTGCGATGGCGAACCTCCTCCGGCCGCCACCAGCACCTTTTTAGGCGCGCCTGCTGTCAGCGCTGAGCTGAAGTTTGCAAAGGCCAGCGTCTTCACCTCCCCTGTGCAGCATTCTGAAGTGTCAAGTACTGCATACATTTTATTTCCTACTGTATTTGCAACGCACATGACAAGGTGTCTCAAATTGACTGTTGCGCATCTGCATCGCAAAATACCATCACTTGCACTCATTGTAATTCCCTGGGTAAATCTTGCCAGCTTTGCTGTCTTAAAGGAGTCCTAGAAACTAAGCAGCCCGAAGCAGTCAGAAGGCTCTGCTATCATACATGTCTTGACCATGACTCTTTGGAAAACAACACTTGATCTTGTAGATCATGATGTCTATGAAGCTGCACACACAAGGAGCGCACCAGTCTGCTTGTTCACAGCCAGGCGCCAGGGAGAGCCGCGAGTGCCGGAGGCCAGAGTCTCCCCCAAGCCCGCGGCCAGCTCAGCGTACAGCAGGTTGGGATCCTGCTCGACTGGGCTGCGCGTGTGCAGCACGAAGCTGTACTCGCTCGCCAGCTGCTCCTGGATCAGGATCGCCATCGCTGCGTCCGCCTGCGCCACACCTGCGCGCACACAAATGCAGCATGCAACCCTCAGCAACTCTTTTATGCATTTAACATTGGCAAATAAGTCTAGGTACTTCGGCTGGAGGCTACTCAACAGCTTTTCTGCAATCGTGGCAGCAAAACTCCCCAGACGCAGCATATGCAAGTTTAAAGTGTGTCCACACTTCCCAAAACCTACACCCAGAGACCAAGAAACTGCCAAGGTACGAAAAGATAGAGAAGCATGCCGCACTGCCGGAATTTGTCATCACCGGCTCATGTCCCACTAAGAACCTATTTTCCACCTCTAATACCAATGCAACCCCCTTAAGTTACAATCAAAAAGAACCATTCACATCGCCCACCTGCGGCGCGGCGGCTGAGCACGGCGCGGCGCGCATACAGAGACGCCCAGACGCCCTTCACCGCCGTTCCGAGCGCTTCAGGGTCGGCCGCGGGGATGCCTGCGAGTGACTCGTAGAGCCCTGCGCCTGACATGCCGGCCAGATCCTCCACGTTGGCGGTCGAACGCGCGATCAGCGTTGCGCCGTCAGAAAATGCGCCGCCTGCAGTGCAGCAATACGGAATCTCAAGCAGTGACTCATTACTAATGACTACTTTCAGCGCGGTCCTACCTTCATAAAACCTTGGAAGGAATTTGATTGATGTAAGATTCCTGCTTTGCTCTACCTGACCTTCACAGACACTCCAAAAGGCTGGAAAATATATTGGTGCGACCCAAATTACACATGTTTCCAAAGTAGACACACTGCCAACTCAGGCACAAGCGCCACCAAGGCTCAGGGCCACTAAGGCCCAGTGGCAGGTCCTTTTGCTACTGACAAACAGGAGTTCGCATATATTTCAGTGTGGATGGAAGGCATATTTGCAGGGAGGCTCTGTCAAAAGCCGCCTTGTGCTAATGTCCCCGCTTTAAAAGCTTGGGACGCCAAGCTGAACAACCCAATGCTGACCTTTCGCTGATTCTGTTCTATTGTTTTGAAGTGTTTGGCAGAGAGAGGCAAGAGCGGCGCACATGCTTCCTTGAGGACGGCTGCAGGAACCTCAAGGCCCTCCACCAGCGCCTGCAGCTTGGAGCAGACTGTGTCCAGCGCCCCGCCATCCAGCTTGGCAGTCTCCGCCTCCTTCAGCAAGGCTTGAAAGTCCGCCGACTTGCCCGCCTCCTGTGAGACCAGCAGAAATGCAACATGATTGAAAAGCCATCTCATCCGCAAATACATAACTCACTTGTACACATCTGCTCTAACATCAGGCAGGTTCAAAACTTCTTTGACGCAGGCTACGTTTCAGCCCTTGATGTCATGACAAATGATTGTCCGATTCATGTGAGATACACAGCTTGCTTTTAGCTGTCGTTCTTGCCTGAATGAGCGACTCTGTATGGTTCATTGCTCAGTAGCAATGCACAGACTCCTCATGCATTCAGAACTGACAAAGCTGCACACCTTGATGGCGGCCTCCATGCTGCCGAAGGGGAGGCAGACTCCAGCGGGTGTGCTGAAGCCGGCCTTGGAGGCTGCGAGTGCCAGCTGTGCGCATGCCGACGCCTTTGCACCGCAGCTGGCAGCCGTCGCCTTTTCCAAGGGCACCACCGTGGCCTTGCTCACCTGGTGCATTGATTAAGAACAGAGTAAATACCCAGGAATTTAGAAGCGCGTAGCATGTGCACTTCTGGTCAGAACAGATTCTTGCAAATTTTCTGCATGCTTTATACAGGGGACAGTGCACCTTCTGTGAGAATGCCACGTATCAGGCAAAGAAAATCACCACAACTATTCCCCAAAAATGATTGACATGCCTTTAATGGAGAAAATGCCAAGACACAGAAGGCTGGACGGGAGGTTTTTGAGAGGTTGCTGCAACGCACCTAGCTCGAGGGCTGGAATAAGCGTGTAAAAACAAAAAATATTATAGTAATAGTTATAATTCCCCAGAAAGGGTCCCAGAAAGAAACCCAGACAAGGCATGCAGGCCTTGCACGCAAGTACACTCCGGTTCAGATGCATGGGATCATTCAGACATGCAGCCGTACGCTATATGTGCATGGTCACTCTTGAACTCATCGCGAGGCAAACAAACGTCTGCAACAATAAGCTATCACCTTTTCGATGGCGGCCGGCGCAGTCTTGGCAGCGCCGTTGCTGGCGTCCCCTCCCGCCAGCTTCCCGGACAGCGACTTTATCGAATTTCGAATGCCGCCCTCCTCTTCGGGACCTGCGCCGTTTGTGGACGCCGTCGTCGGCGGCTGTCCGGAAGCTTCCGCGGCAGCTTCCGGGGCGGCTGCTCCGGCTTCCTCGGCCTTTATTGTGACGCCCTCCGTGCTGACAGAGAGCCGCACCGTCGAGCCTGCAGCATGCGCAGACGCCTAATCAGTGCGCCGCTTCCTGCATGGGTCGTCATCAAGGATAACAAGAAGTGGGGCTTCACAGGCTTGCCGGTCAGCGAAATGGCACCTTCCTCAAAACATTACTAGATGCGAACTGGAGTTGGTTTGCGAACGGCCCCATTGAAGGGACCCCATTAGCCGGGATTTCAAACCTGTTCGCCGGACACTGCAACGGAAAACGATTCAACATTTCTAGACTTTGACGACGACAGCAACCTTTACTAAATAGAGATGCATATAAAATGCACAGCAAGCGGCGCTTGATGGTGCTGGACCATCTTGGGAAGTCCTACAACGATGCAGGGACTCACCCAGCAGAGGCTTGACCTCAGCATCCACGGTTCCCTCATCCTCGCACGTGGCAAAGGGCACCTTCTCCTGCCTCGCCCTTACACCTGTATGCAGCATACCCTTATTATTTGAACTGCTTTAGCTGACTTGGCTGGCAAGGGTCAGAAATTGTCACAGTTTGTGATCATAATACTGAAGCATGCTCCTCCCTGGAGTAGTCCCCTAAGCACGGTCTATTTCCACCGAATGATAAATCACGTCCCTAGCACATGAAATTGTGCTTCTGCAGCTCTGAGTAAACCAGGGACCGGGCAAGTTTGGTGTGACAACATGGAGATCTGACAGCACAGCCGACCCAATTCGCATATGACCCTGACTTTGAACCTGAAACAAGGGTTGCACTGCAGGTAGCCGCAGTGGCATTTCACTCATCCTTGTCCCTCAGTGTATGAGAACGCTTGTGACTACAGAAGCGCGTCGTATATAGAGATAAACCCTAAACCCTAAATTTAAACCCTAAAACCCTAAATATATACAACACAAGCGCGGCGCACCGAGGTGCGATAGGTGTGCCAGAGACTGGCGTAGAATGACGCCCCGTGAAATTTGCGCGTCGGCATGCAACAAGCACGTCTTCCTTTTGAGGCCCTCCTCAGAAGGACTGAGACTGCCTAAATCATGCCTGGGATTAAGAATTGACTCTGGCAGGATGGCACTGCGGAGTCACAATAAAAAGGCGCACCGAGATGGGAGAGGTGCGGCAGCGACTGGCGTAGGATGACGCCCTTGAGATTCGCGCCTGCCGCGCCGACTTCCTCATCGCCGCTGGCCGAGCGCACCAGCAGCACTACAGGGTCATCGGTTCCCTCGGGAATCGCGCCGGGCTCCAGCCTCTCCACCTCCAACAGCCGACCCACCACCTCACCTGCACGGCAGAAAAGGCGTCATTCAATTCTTGATATAAGGTGCTTTTGCCGGGAGAATATCTGTTGTTTCGCTTAAAACCCCTCAACCCTGAAGCCTCAACAGTGAGCCCATGTGCAGCGTCAAGTCATTGACACAGCATGCCTGAAGCCTGAAGAGAAATCGGCGTGTGAAAGTCAACGAGAACACACTTGGCCTAGAAGCCTGGCAATCACCCTGCGCTGTACCTTTCCAGAAGACTTGCAGATTCAGTATTTTGCCGCCACGAAGTGATGCAAATTCCAGAATATCACATGCCAATACCATAACAGCCCCGACTGGCGGGTAGCGATATAAATACTGACCACAGTGCCCAAATTTGATTGGGTCTTGCTTGGATCTGGCGAGTGTATCAAGGGGTAGGATTTTGGCAGCCTTTACTGCAGCTTGTCTGCAGACGCACCTTGCTTTTGGCAGGAGAAGCGTGTAATAATAATAATAATAATACCATAACAGCAACCTACAATGCAGTTGCAATCAGGCAGGTCAGACCTGCGACGAGGGCGTCCCATGCACCGGCGCCGGTGTTGATGCGGGCGGCCTTCAGCAGCAGCGTCACCAGCTTGCTCAGCTGGAACACCACACTCGCGCGGATCTCAGCCTCCGTAAACACCTGCACGCCCCAATCCCACGCCCCAGTTCAAATTTGAATTTTATGGTTTTGCAATTTTTTAGGGTACGTGAAAGCAAACCCTCAACCCTCATTCTGAAACCCTTTAAAAAAAAACCAGAGGATTTCTGTTGCAACTACATCAAAACCCAGATTTCAAGATAGCCGAAGCCAGCGTTACTGCCTGCATTGCTGCACCGGCTTGCATGTGTACAACACTCTCCTACGGACGGGGCAGGTGATTTATAGTGATCCATGGTGGAAATGAATCAAAGTGATCCACGGCTTGCATCTGGCGAGTCCATCAAGGGGTAGGATTTTGACAGCCTTTACTGCATTTTGACTGCACACACACCCTTGCTTCTGGCAGGAAAAGGGTGTAATAATAATAATAATAATGGTGGAAAGAATGGAGACGCACGGTGACGCGCTCCGGTTCTAGGCCAAGGCCGCTGCCTAGTTTGGAGGCACGGTCGGGAAAGATGGCCAGCATGGCATCGGCATAGCCCTGCGTCAGCCGCTGCAGCCGTTCCAGGCTCGCCTTCAGCCTGCACCAGAGGGGAAAAAGTTCATTGGTGCCCGCCACAATACGGTATTCCTTTTCCGTGCATGACTAGCAGGTTTGCGAGAGGTTGACATTTGCCTCTCACTTGAGACGTATAAGCAGGCCAAGAATCGTGGCCGTTGAAGCCACCAGGCCTATCTGCGAGGACTCATGATCTGCTGCAATGACGTCATAGCAAGTGCGCACTCAGAGCAACCGCCCCAGCGAGCTGCAATTTTCCTCCAATCTACGCCATTGCCTTTTTGGCAAATTAGGAAATCCTGGTGCAGAATTCTGCCTGAGTCAATTGAATACTTGGCAGTTTTGAATGTGCGGAAGAAGTTTACGGTACATTCAATGCCATGCAGAAGCTACGAGACGCCAGATTTCCATACGCACACCATTCACTACTCACATGAACAGTACCTGGCACCCAGCGCGCTAAAGGGCCCGGCCAAGCCTGCTGTCGTGCAGATTTCTCTATGACAAGCACCTTTTTCAGGGTTGCCCTAAACCCTAAACATAACCCTAAACGCTAAACCCTACACCCTAAATATAGATGCTTGAATGCTACATCAGCAAGTGCACTTCAGAAGTCGAACCACTCACCTGAGCGCGTTGACGGGCTCAGCCAGCTTGCCGGCCTGCTGCCAGGCGCCGAGCTCGTTCTCGAGCGCAAAGCATTCTGCATGCTCCCATCCGCTGAGTCCCAGCTGGCGCACTGCTAACACTGCGGCGCCCAGCGGCAGCGACCACGCCTTGTCAGCAGATGACTCACTCAGGCCCTCCGCGCCGCCCTGCGAGAGACTGCATCCTTGGGGCACCATCCATTGATGCATGGTGTTTGGAGTTGCACGGTAGCATGCAGTGTATAACTTAGCGTCACCGCTAACCCTGTACACGTAGCGTATCATGACCAAAAATGATTTAGATTGCAATGCGAACGAGCAGCTGTCAAGCCCTGCCATTTAGGCTCAATTAATCATGCAAAGTCTTCCGCCAACCATATGCTAATGCAGTGGAGAACAAATGAACGGCGATAGTCTGATGCCTTGGCTGCGTGGACTGCCTCCAGCCAGGTGTTGAGCCTTGACCATCCCAGCTGCCTCAACATGGTCATTTATGACAATTTGCATTGCGACTGAAACCACATGCCAATGCAGTTGCCACAGAGCGACCATGCCCAGGCAGCCGGCACAGGCAAGTCTGGAGGTCAAGCAGTGACAGCTCGAAGAGATCTTTTGCACCCCTTCCCAGATGCCGATGCAGCTGCCACCAGTGACAACACAGGGGCAGCAGATGGAGATCAGAACCTCCCAGGAGACAGTGACTAAGGTGACTAAAGTGACATACCCGGGCATCGAGGTGGTTGAGGAAGCGGGAGAGGAGCACGAATGCGTAGTCCTCGCAGCGGATCTCCGCCAGGCGCCACCGCTGCCGCATCGCCAGCGAGTCATCCGAAGCATCGTTGCGCGGGCCTGCAGCAGGAGCACATTTCTTCTTTCAAACAATTGACCCATAAGAAATGGTGGACTTTATAGTACACTCTTCCCTAGAGGGTATACATGCTCGCTCTTATAGTCCCTACAGTGCTCCCACTGCAAAAAGGGACCCCGACTTTGCTGTGGAAAAACCTCTTGCAAGTGAGGTCATCCTGAAGCTCGCACATGTGCATGCATACATCAGGCAAGCAAGGCACTGATTCCGTTCCTTTGCCTGCGGAGAGTGACCCTTTCACGCGCACCAGCTAATTTTCCTCCTAGTCCGCCAAGCTTAATCAGAGGTTACTCTCAAAAATCACAGGTTCTGCTTCCAAGAACACCCTTCCACACGCTGACAAGGAGCTGATGGTCAAACAGCGAGAGTACGGGCCGCGGCGCACCGCTCTGCAGGCCGGAGATGAGCAGCGCGCGGACCGAGGTGAGCGCGTGCAGCGCATCAATCGTCTGGTTCTCCTGATCCTCTGCATTTGCACTTGCGCCCGCGTCCACCTTCCCCTTGGCTTCCAAGAACCTGTCAAGCACCTGGCTAGAACAGGCATCTGTCTCAGTTGCGCCAGAACAGGCAACTACATGGTCCGTGCCAAAATAGGCAGGTTTTTCTGGACGCCAAGAAGAAGAGGCTGTCCAGTTGTCTCAAAACAGTTCATTTCAGTATGCCAACAAGTCACTGCTCTTCGGCCACCTTTGAGTATTGCATCAGTTGCCCTCCAGGACTCCCAGATACTGTAGCTCAGTTTAGTAGATACTGCGTTGAGCTCTCCACGTGTGCTTTAAACAATGGCCACCTCCTTGTATTTTCCCTTGAACAGCAGCTCTCACCGCCTTGCAACCACCACCTCAAGGATGCAGGGCAGCTGACCTCGGCCTGCCTACCCAGTCCTGGCTGTCACCAATGCCTGCCTGCACAACTCAGTAGACATGGGGAAATGTCCCACCTGGTTCCCCGAGTCATCCATGGACGGCCGCAGCGCGTTCAGCAGATCCCCGAGCGAGCCGGCGTTAAAGAAGTCGCGCAGCTCCCCGGTGAACACCCGAAACTCATTCACAAAATCCCCCGAGTACCCGGCGTCCGGCGCGGAAATGCGCGCCAGCATTTCTTCGGTTGCCACCAGATCCTCCGGGCCGGCGTTACGGTGCAGCTTGTTCTGCATGAGGAAGAACAGACAGGAGTCATGATTCCTGGGTCTTTCTCTCTGGGTTTTGAGTTTAGGGTTTTGAAACCCCTGGAAATATCCCTGCAACCCTGAAAATTCTCCGGGTAACCTTTTTTTTGCTCATGAAAGGCTGGCACGTGGTGGCGCCTGGGCTCTAACAGGCAGGGCCGCACAATGTTAAGACAGGGCAGCGCAGTGTGAGCCCTTCAAACCATAGGATGCACTGCCAGCAGGCTTTCCAGAAAACCAATGCGTCTCTTGTGTGTTACCCCACAGAACTGACAGCATGGCCGATATTATATATGCACCCTGGCGGTCATCCTTTTAGCATGGCAATATGGCAAGCCCCTGCTGGTTTGCACGCCTGCTGCCAGCAGGCTAGAGCGCTCGCTTGGAAAATAATCCGACAGGAAACAGGGCAGGTCCTTCAGATATTGAGTTCTGTTGAAGCTGGACGATACCTAGGAAAATGGCGGCAACCAGGCAGGGGATAAACCCACCTGGATGGTGTGCTTGATCTCCTGCTTGAGGTCGTGGGGGATATCGTTGCGGTGGGCAATGTCACGAATGCGAGTCAGCGGCGTGCTGGCTGTGAACTCTGCGTTGAACGAGGGCAGCCTGCAATCACACAATACATCGTGCACTGCCTGCCATCACAGACTGCCGGTCACATGAACCCCACCTCTTCAAAAGGAGGCAGCTGACATTAGGAGCTAGATAAATTCCCCCCCATATGTTTTCCGGTGGTGATTGGACTGCGTCTGCCCAAGTTTGCGCAAGTTTGGTCACACTCAGGGCACCATGCACCAGTCTACCATCTTCTGGCCTACGGATCAACCTCCATCACCAAAAAAAATGGACTAGCTCATATGCAGCAGCGTCTCTGTTGGTCCCTGCAGCATGTGATTGTGTCGGTAAACCAAACATCCTACTTTTGGTGCAAACGGTGGCAGCGCACTTGGTGTGGGTTTTGCGCGCGAGCAGCTTGGGCTCGCGGGCAGAGGAGGGATCGGCGAGCAGCCGCTCCAGAGCGCGGAAGATGTCTCGTGCCAGCTCAGCGTGCTTGTTGGGGCGGTAGTGGCCGCCGCCCTCCACGCACTCGATCGCCCCCGTCGAAATGAACTGCGCGCAGTGTATTCATCAAAATGTCTAAACCCTAAATATGTTAACCCTACATATAAGTCAGACGACGAGAGTTGATATGAACTGCGGTCGCAGCGGGGAAACAGTGAAGACTGACTCCGTACACGCATGATATCAGCGGAGGGGTATTCAGAACAGCACGCAATTTCACACTTACGGTCCCCTGCGCTGCCGATTAGATTATTTCCACCCTCAGGGAAGCATGGTGTGCATGACATAACAACAGGAAAGGGTCCTGCCAAAATGGCATCAAGAATTTGCAGGCAAAAAGCTGCAGAGACAGGACACCCCTTGGGGACTTTTGGTGCCAGTGCATTACTCACCAATTTCTGTCACATATGTTCTTTTGATTGTGATTCAGGGATTGTGACATGAGTTAGGCATGCCGCATGTGCTAGGAGCTTGCCTGCAGGTAGATGAAGGCGTTGGCCAGCTCATCGAGACCAGGGCGCTGTGAGGGCGCCTCATCTATGAGCACGCTCTTGGCCACTTGCATCTTCTGCAGCCAGCTGCACACACTCCACACATTCATCAGGACCAGTCCAAGCAGTAAGAAGATCCTGCACCTGGGCTCTAAGAGCAAAAGCTGGCCTGCTAGCTTGCTTGCTGTGTCCTCCCACCGCACTTTCCACCTTGATAGTAATATGCTTGCCTAGCTGTGTCCAGCTACCAAGTAATGAGTCCTTAGATATGCTCGAGTGCCTAATTCCTGCCAGTCTGTTAAAAAGTGCACCTTCTCACAGCAAAGCGCAAAACACAACAAGGATCATGTATAGACCACGTACCTGCCAGACTTTTCGTCGCCTGCCACAATGGACAGCGCAGCGCCTTCGAGCCCCTCCCTGTTCCAAACCCCTGACCGATCCCCGCCGTGCTCGTTGGAGCGCATGAAGCGCGTGCTCTTCCCCTGCCACCGCTGATGTGGCAGCCTGTCGTCGCCCGGGCTGGCGCCGTTGCCAGGCGTTCCCTCTGGAGGGCTGCTCTGCTCGGGCTCCTGAGCTGGTGCCTGCTACAAAGGAGGAATTTTAGTCATTGGCAGAGTAACTGATTGTGTAATTGTTTTGCCTGTTTTGCAGCACTGGTGTCTGATGGTCACTTGAGAAACACCTGACTTGCTGCTATCTCGGTAGAAAATTTGTAAAAGGATTGCACAAGGGTTCAAATACTGCGCAGCCACTGGTGCATGCCTCCCAGGAATAATTGCCGAAGGTTGGTGACACAGCACTGATCTCAAGAGTAGGTATGGATACTGGACGGCCTGACCGTGCCGAGCCCAATGCAAAGAGGAAGTTGGCCAACTCTTGTTGGGATAGAAAGGAAGGTTAGATAAAGTATGTTCAGAGACTCACCGGGCTGTCGGCACGGCTCTCTGGCGGTGACGCGCCATTCGCGTGAGCATCCACATGCAGCGAGCCCTCATTGCCCCACTCGAAGCCCACCTTCACCTCCCCTCCCTCCACCTGGACACCACACCAAGCGCTCATGAGGTAATCTTGCTTCTACAGTGCCCTAAATTTTGTGAGCAACCATCTGTACTGTGCATTTAACGGAGAGGACAAACGTTGACAAAGACGGTGACCAACACCAGGTAATGCAGTGAGAATTAATGTCGGATGTGTGCACTTTGGTGACAGAAGTGTTGCGCAGATTCTGAGCAGACCTGGAAGTTTCTGTTGCCGCCGCCCTCCCACTCCATTTGCCCATTACCCACCTTCACACACTGCACACCCACAGCACAAATGCATCATCGTGGATTTCCATTGAATGGCTGACTAGGATCCAGAATGTAGCAATGCTGCCAAAAGTAGGTCTGGGACCTCTCTACTCTGGGGGCACTTATTTGTATTGTTCCGGTGGCCATCAGCTGTGCTGTGCCACACATCACTCCAATGGTCACATTTCTCGGATCATATTTTGCCATCGATTGGGTCTTGTTCAGGTCTGGCGAGTCCGACAAGGGGTAGGATTGTGGCAGCCTTCAACTGCAGCAGGACATACCCTGCCTTTTGGCAGGAAAAGCATGTAATTTTGTCAATGATACTAACATTCCTACCATCCACATGGTGTATAGATCCTTAGCTGTTCCTCAGAAGCTGGACACACCTTGAATTCCAGGCTGCTGCCTGCTGGCACACTGACATCCACGCTCCACACATCCCCATCCGACCACTCCATGGTCGGGGCTGCATCGACATCCCAGTCGCCTAGGCTAGGATGCCCTCCCACGATTTTGTGCACCTCTCCAAATGCCACCTGGAAGACAACGATCAGCGGATGTTTACTGGCATTGCAATGTGCACTGTCTCACTGTGGATAATCCATCCCAGTGTGGGAGTGTCACTTATAACGGGCGATTGCACACTGTCAATAATACAGCGTGTAATTCCCAGGGGGTTTATTAAAATTTAAAGGATATCGCAGTGCATGATGGTAGGGAGGATGGGCCACTTGCCCCTCTCTTAGTTGTGAAGCGAACAGCTGCATCGCTCGCCACGCACTGCACGAGCATCAACATGTAAACTTAGAAACAGTATGAATACCTAATGTCTATCGTTGGAGCATTCGTGGACAACCAGCATAGACTTTGCCCCCAACTGATGGTTATTCCATAAGTCGATGGGGGCCCAGATCTGCACACCTGCAAACGTGACCGCCTAGTAGTCGTGACATAGCTGCCACGAACAGCAAACTTTGAGTCTATCCCGCGCCTGTGAAGGCCTGCTCAGTATCGAAGCAAACAGTGAAGCCTGTTAGAGATACACAGTAATGTGAAAACGAGACATCCACGGACCACTACAAGGCTATGAATCTACCAATACTTACCTCTAGAGGTTCGTAGATTTATTGCATTGCAGTTGGTCTGCATCGTAAGGGTGAGAGCCGGTTGTTGAGTCTCCTTGACTATCGAAGATATGCAATTGGCATCCAGTCGTGAAGGTGCTCACTGTCAGGCTTGGAAGAGATAAGAATTTGTTAAGAGCACAAATTTCAATGATATTTGCAGTTACAATTACAATATGGCGCACAAAGAGCAGGCGCTGTAGGCGCGCCCTGTCGAGAAGCAGCAAGTCGCTCCGGAGCCTAATCAGGCACATCATCCATGCAACTGAGCCATGCAACCCGTACAACGGTGAGCCTCTTGACCCATTTAATTCCCAGAAAATTGTTTGGATTGATTGAACAAACCTTTGACTTTGACTCTCCCGTACAGCCGAACAAGTCTCACAACGTTCAGCCAAACACAGGCAGGTTCATGGTAGGTGCCAATTGCCACGGAAGCATTTCGTGAGGAGTACGTCATCGTACCAACTCCCACAATTCACATGTGCATTGACTCCACAAGATTGTCTTCGTTGGGACCTTCCTTTATGTCGTGATAAAGGAAGGGCAATTTAGAAGATCGGTGCTTTGCCAGGGATCACGTTCTGCCAGGTACTCAGCCTAGTTTCGGTGCTGTTTCCGAAAGCAATTTCTCTCCAGTGATTGCATCATCCTATACTTTAATGTTGTTTTGGGCGTTTGTACTGAGATAATTGCTGACGATGCGTTTTCCAATGTGTCAGGTTCTCGTTTAGCCTGCTACCTGTTCCATCCTGCAGCTGCATGGGAGGTCGAAGCGACGGTATTGAGCAAGTCTTCACGTACTTGGATCACCTGTGATTAGAAAATAAAATTTATCTTGCATCCAGACCGTGATCGTCCCGTAAGAAGCTTAGATTGTCCACTGTCCCACTCTTACAGGGATGCCTGAAGACACTCTCGAGACAGGGCTATCCTCGCTGGGGGGTCACAGTCCACAGGCAGCACGTGAACCTGTGTGGAAGAAGGCGGTCAGGACACTCGCGGTCTACGTGGCATCCCTGGTGACCCTTTTGGTCCTTGACATCGTCTGGATGAAGGGCATTGCCCCTGCTCTGGGGGTGGATTATTTCGCTGTCATTCAGGTGAGAAGTGCGCAACGTCTTCTGATCATCTGTTCTACTTGTTTTTCCGGCCCAGTGTGTTCTTCTGCTTTATTAGCGTCTGGTTATGTGCTGTTAGCAGCTTTCAGTGTTTCCATGATTCTATCTCTTGAGAAGCTTCTCTTCTTCTCTTGGGACACACCTGTTTTTTCCCCTCTTTGTCTTCAGGGTGCAGCGGGTGCTCTGGGGAAGCTAGGGGCATTCATTGAGGATGGCATGGGTTCATGTTATCTGCAGGCAGTCCAAGGGAGTGATGCCGCGGGACGGCCTATTGGCCTCATAGCCTACTTGATAATGGGCTACGCAGCTACTTTCCTGGCGTACAATTGGGCAGAATCCATGCGCCTGGGCTTTGCCATATATGGCATCTTTGACTTCACTTCCACCTACATGTACCACGGATGGACCATCAAGGTGAGAACATTTGTAAGGGAGTACCGGATATATACAGCAATGCACATGCGCTGTGCCCAGTTCTCTGCCTCTGGTGTCCAAAATGAGAGCACTCACAGCATGGCAAAGAGAAGCAATAAATATTCATGTGGCATAGAGGAGCAGCCGCAAGTGACAAAGCCAACAATGATAGCCGGCAGTTTTATTTTTTTATTGGTGCTGGGGAAGACTTGCTTTGTAAAGACTTTGTGTGACAGATTCTGTGTGCATGTGCACGCAGGTGGCCGTGCTAGATACACTCTGGGGGACCATCCTTTTCGCGCTGACGGGGCTGGTTCTGCAGCTTCTTCGACCTCGCCTGCACAGAATCCTTTGACCATGTATCTTTTATGGCAAGACAATTCAGATCCGCAGAGCATGGCGTGCTCAGCATGCCATGGCAAGGCTCTGCAGGAATATCATTAAGATTAAAATTCTGAAGCTGCAACAATGTGATGGCCAAGTGAAAATCACGGCTATTGCTTTGGGAAGGAATAGCAACGTTCCAAGTTCTCCGGAGGGATCTCTTATGAATCAATTGCAATTCAAACTCTTTCAAGATTTGCATGCGCAACTGAAAGCACATTGTGAATGTACGATATGCCTCTGTACTTATGCAGATGCCACCTATCAAATAGATTCAATGCCACGCACAGTCTGGCTCTAGCAGTCCAAGTGATAATGATTCCAAGCTGCAAGACAAAAGCAGGCTTGCAGATGATGCATCGACATGGAGATCAACACAGTGAGCTAGCTTTTGCGCAGCGCTGGAAACGCACAAAGTCTCAGGAGTGGTGAAAAAGCAACGTGATCTCATATCTGACACTAGGTCAACTTTTAGCACACAGTCCTTGTCACAATGCTGCCACTTGGGGCGCTTGCTGAATCCCTCCTGCCCGAGATCTGATGTAAAGGAAAGCCAGTACACTTGCTGTCAGTACATCAGTGTTCACGGACCGCACGCACACACCCTCCGTGCCTTGTCCGATTTTCCTGGTGCATGAATGACATCAGGCACGCGCAGGCTCGCGTGCGAGTGATTCCCACCACTGCCAGTCTCTACTTCAGACAGCACTTAGAGAGCCTGCTGTTTTGACCTGTCATATTCGCATCCCAGGCATGTACATGTCTCCTCACATCGCATCGCAACACAACCTTGGCAGGCTCTGCAAGTCTCTCGGTCCATTGACTTGCGGATCACGTACTACACTGTGAAAGGCACTTCTTGCCATTCTTCCTTCCACCCAGCAAGCGCTCAGACGCTCTGCTTCATAGCTGCTCAGCTGACGTGGCGACACCAGCCTGACATCACAAGTGGCGCTCATCGATAATCCAACCCGTCTTTACTGTTCCACGCAGTGCGTTTAGACCTCGTGTATGCCCTTTTTCCCTGCTGAGGCGCTTGCACAGTCTTTGAGCTTGTCTCATAGTGTATTTTGGACAGTGCAGCGAACTGTGTGGTGCCAATCGTGGGTTTATGCCCACAATGGTGGAAGCGGACTCTTTGGAGAACAGAGGTGTCCTGACTGAAACGAACCCACCAGGGATCTTCACAGGTTCTGCTTCAGCACGGGCTTGCCGCAGACTTGGGGAGATAGGGGCTTTTTGGCTGCGGCAGAGAAGACCTGGTGGCCGCGCACGAAGGTGGCCTCTACTCTACCGTGCAGAGCCATGTCGGTGTAAGGCGACAGCTTGTGTCTGTGCTGTAGAGACTCCACAGAAGTGTTCGCCAGCGCCTCTGGGTCCCACACCTGTGCAAAACCCACTGCTTAGGGTTTTTAGGGTTTTTTACCATATATTTTAGGGTTTACCCTATACCCTAATCATAAAAACACTGCTGGTCAGAGTTGATAAAGTTGCATGTTGTTGTTCCTGCCAGAGGCAAGGTGTGTCTGTAAAGAGTCTGCAGGTAACGTCTGCCAGATTTCTCACCCCTTGATCCACTCGCCAGACCCAAAGTACATACTGTATCGATATACAGGTGCTGCTGTGGATACTAGAGGAAGGCTGCCTGGCAAGTGAACACAACACAATGGATTGACAGCCTCCTCTTTGTCCAACAGCCAAATGAGTCACTGTATGGCAGGTCAGCATGACTTTTTGCTCTCGGCTATTGCTTCTTTTTCGATGCCGTGGTACCAACATCATCTGGCAGAGACTACAAACCCATCCTGAGGACACATGAGCTGACTGCTGGAGGTTGAGGCCTTTAGCAACAGATAGAACTGCGCACCGTGATGTCTGCATCCAGGCCGGCTTTGAGGGCGCCCTTCTTGTGCTGCAGGCCCGCCAGCTCAGCAGGGAAGCTGCTCCACAGCTTCGCCAGCAGTTCCGGCCCGGCTCCCCTCGATTTCAGCCCCTCCCAAGTGCCAGGCAGCCCATACTGCAGCCCTGCACCATCAAATGGAAGGTCACTTAGTCTTGTTTCATCCTTTTCCACTACATCAAGAGGTCACCCCGAAACCAACTGGCCTCAAGGCCAAAGACAGCCTGCAATTTGCACACAAAATTCATGACAAGCATGACAGACAAAAGGATGACAGCAAAGCCTTTGAGCAGAAGAGCCCCGCTGCACACTAGGAAATTGTCTCAACGGGAACAGGATGCAGGGAGCGCGCATGAAATTGGGGTCTGACCCCATTGCCGAATATTGAGTTTCCCTGCCAGAAGCACTCCCTGCAGCGCGCTGTCCCTTGCAGAACTTGTGGAAAAGAATCGCTGAAGCCCCAGGCGGTGATATTGTTCAACTGATTAGTCAACGATCAGTCATGACTCATCAATCAAATGATCCCTTGTGCAGTCCACAGGAAGTATTTCTGGGTTCAGGGTGTAGGGTTCAGAGAAGGGGCCTTTATGGCAAATATTTTCCCGGGGAATGCAACGGTAGATTTAGAGTTTATGGTCGATGAAGGGTCGAAAACCTATAGTCGTCAAAATCATTGAAACACTAATTTTAGATGGGGTCACCTGAGATGCCGCCCCATGCTTTGCTGAAGTCCCCCTCCTCCAGGTGCTTCAGCTCAACCGGCGATGGCGAGTGATCGGTCGCGACAGAATTGATCCTGCCATCCATGACAAACTCCCAGAGCTTGTCTTGATTGGCGCGCGGCCGCAGCGGCGGCGCACACTTATACTGAGTGGCGCCTTCTGGTACGTCCTCCGAAGCGAAGACCAGGTAGTGGGGGCATGTCTCCACGCTAATGGGCAGGCCTGAAAACATGCGCAGCAGGATCCTTTAGAACCTTTCTAACACTGCCGTTCTCCAAAGCGCTTGCGAGGAGACCAGCGAAGTGGATCGACAGGATAGATATCTGCACCTGAGAGATCATTCACGTGCACTATCTCAGAACTTGGGAACATTCAATCTCTGTGTACTGTATGTTGCGCTTCTGTGCTTGAAATGCTGGTGCGGCACAATGGATGGGAACGATGATTGCGCCCGCTTCCAATTGATTGCGATGTGGGGATTCAAAAGAAAGAAAAAGCAAAGGTGACCGCCTATGCGCATTGTTGGAATTTGGTCAATGCAGAGATTGCAGCTTGAAACAAACGCAAGAGGACTAAGCATGTGCGCGCACCCTTCTTTTTGGCGGTCTCGATGTCTGCCATGGAGCCCGAGTCTGCCAGGTGGGCAATGTGAATCCTGAAGCCCGGCTTCGCCTGCGTGGCGTCCTCTTCAAGCGCTCTGATGAGCAGCTTGATTGCGTTGTTCTCCATGGAAGGGGGCCGTGATGCCAGCCACGACGCATGCATGCGCGGGTTTGCCTCATCACCGGAGCACTCGCCCTGCGGACACATGTGGCTTGTGTTGAGTTATGCAGAAACAAGCAGAAGAGTGCATGGCGCAGAAAGCAGGCAAATCGTGGCTCGTTCCAAACAGTCCTGGTTGTTTCTGGGAGAGCCTGAAAAGAATGGATGCTTGAATAGCACAGTGCTGATTGGCCCCCAAACTAGAATTTACGGGTAGGAAATCGGAGATGGTTGCTCTTTCGCAAGATTCACATGTTCAATGCTGCACATGGTGCTCAGGACGAGAAGGATTCTGAGTTCAGACGAGCTTGGAGCATGTGGCGAATCAGGGGATGACTCACCGGTGAGTCATCCGGCGGCATGAGCTCAGCGTGCACGTAGTAGGGAACGCCTGCTGACTTGAGAAAGGGCAGCGCCGCCCTGATGTGCGTCTCATTCACATACGGGAAGTCATCAATCCCTGCAAAATCACAAGGCATGTAAACATGAATGCCGGGTCATGCTAGAGCCATTCTGAGTCGACATGGGGGACCATTAAAGCAGTGTTGTGGTTCGGCAGGGCATTAGCTATCCAGGTACTGCACGCATACAAACACGCCACTGCCACACAGGTCGAATTCAGCTTTGCATTTTAGGTAGTAGCTCAAGCGGGGGATTCCCCGTGCTACTTAATCAACGTGTGCTTCTGCTTTCCTGATTTCAGAGTGCTGCTTAAAGAAGTGCTGAATAAAGAACCAATTGACAGCTGCAGATGGTGGTATGGTGGACTGGCACACCTGAGGGGACCATGAAAGACTTGAAGCCCAGCGCTCCAGAGTCCAACATGCCCTGCAGGAGAGCGTGGTCCCCGGCGTTGTCTGCCACCAACCCTCCCCACACCCCCACATCCACCCTTATCTCCCCCTGTGCACCAAAACATCCGATTTAGTCCCCCGACCAACCGTCCAGGACAAAGCCGGGATCAGGGCGGACAGGAGCAACCTCCAGCAAAAGTGCCTCAAGCCCTGGTCTTTGCCATCAGCGAATGGAGAAGGTGAAGCAATTATCATCCACTGGGAAATAACAAAGTGTCCGACAGGCCGAGCCAGGCATGTCATGGAGCATTCCTGCCTTGTACGCAACTGTAACAGAGCGCTACCCCACTTGAAGGTCAACTAAGGCCTTCCGGTCCAAAGGAGAGCACATTATAAATGTTTTCAGGACAGCTGTTGAGCCTTCTGAGGAGCATGCAGCTTGTGTTTGCTCGGCTCTGGAGCAGTGATGCTGACTCACCGTAGTGGCGCTGATTTTCTTCTGCAGCAGCTCGACGGTGGTTGTGGTGGGGTCAGAGTTGAGTGGCATGTCCACGACTGTGGTGATGCCGCCAACCGCAGCTGCACTCGTGGCAGTCTCCATGCCTGCACCCACAGCTTCTATTGTCAGTAAATATGCACCCCCCCCCCCCCCCCCCCCCAATTAGAAAAAACAAGCCCGGGGCGCGCTCTAGATACGGTAGGACCCTGATAAGTTCCCTAGTTGGAGGCTGGAAGCGCCAAGTGGGACGGAGGGGGATTGTGGCAATCAGTGCAAGAATTTGCAAAGGATGCAATGTCATGAAAACGTATCGAAGGATGTATAGTCGTGAAAAAACAGGGCCCGGTGCTGATTGCATCTGGTGTGCATATCAGAGGCTTCGGTGAGCTGCCCTGCAGTAAGGTACAGGTACAGCAGATCAAGGCTGGAAATTCATCTGGCTCTGTCAACAAATAGGGGACGGGGGCCGGCCCTCAACACCGTCAGCATTACAGATCTTACAGGACGGGCAGTAAGTCACAGGTACAAGGCATGTCGGCATCTTCCCTTTGAGAATCAACAAGAGCGTCTCCCAGCACAGGATAAACTGCAGCGATCGGCCTTGTACAGTGCTCAAGAAACGCAGGGCAAAAGGCAGGTGGTGATATAGTCTTGTGGACGAAAGTAAAGGGCATCTGTACCTTCCCAGTGGGAGCGGCCGGGTTGGTTCATGTGGACGTGAGTGTCAATGAGGCCTGGAGACACAACGAGGTCCCCGTAGTCTAGGATCTTTGTGAGGCCGGTCAGAAGGAAGGCTGCATGTGTCAGATTTGCCCTGGAGGCATCCCCGTTGATGGGCTTCACCGCCGCGATATGGCCATCCTTCACTTGTACTGCACACAGAAGAAGAAAGATATATTTATGACTGACTTCGCTTTACACCCTGACTGCCTTTTCAGAACCACCAGTGTGAGGATGAGCTTGCACAGCAGCAGGGAAGCTGCAGTAGAGGGCATCATACATTTTCCGCCTTGCTTAGATGCCTGCAGGACTAACAATGCATTGAAGAACACTAGTGAGTGTTTTTCCGCTGGTGCATGCGCCCCTTGGCTGCTACGATGTCTCCTTAGGGTTAAGATGCTGTGGTGCGATCTGGGACACTATGCTTCGCGCACCTGCAGCAGGTATTACCCCGTCAGGAGTGACTACGCTTCTGCTGACGATGACATACTCAAACTCGTCCACATGGCCGCAATTCGTCCGAGCCGCGAGGAATGGGACCCAGCCAGGCACCTCGATGAGCCCCACGTCTTGGAGACGTTCGAGCAGGATCTTCACTGCAAAGAGCTGGAGAACACAAAAGAAAATAATGGTGCTCTTGTTAAATGTGGACTCGGACGGCATATCTGTGCACCGACCAACACCAGATGGTGAGTTTCAGATCGAAGGCCAGACTGATACATGCATAGGAGCGATGAGGCAATGCTACTCTACATGCAAATGTAACGTTATCGTGGTGAGAACGCGAACAGATGCTGAACCCTCTGCGCCTCTGGAAATTTTTGAGCTGATCACATGGGTTTGGGGCAAGTCCACCTGGCGATGACGTGTCTTACATCCCCATCATGCTCTTTCTGCACATTTTACAAGCAGACCTTGGAATTACTGGACCACACCGTCGAGATAACGCCTGCTATTATTCATTTGCTTCTAGAAAGAGAAGTAAATTACTCAGGAAGCACGCATATCATGTATGATACGCACAATTGGTGACATAATTAACAAATAAATACAACCATGTTTGCGCATCAAGGCATGCATTGCACAACATAACGTGTCATTACATTCCTAGTTGCCTGGTGCATCCAAGAATTTGTTCTGCATCCAACGCGCCGATGCCTTCTTGATGCGCACTTGTGTGAAGCGATCCCAGTACATCACACCGAAATGCTTGGAATAGCCGTCTTTCCATTCAAAATTATCCATCAAAGCCCAAGCAAAGTAGCTTCTGATGGGCACCTGTTAGCATGGCAAACAAGGAGGTCAAGCTTTGGTGCATTCTCAAGTAACCTAGAGTTAAAGCGTCTTCAAGAGCAGGCAAGTTGCCAAACTACTCATCATAATAAATTAATTGTGTTCACATCATTCATTTGCCAACTTCCATCGTGTCATGCACATGCTTTGTAGGTGAAAAATATAGCCTCCAAAACCGATCATGGGCCATCTGATCTGCTTGAACACGACATACCTTGTCGTAGACAACTGCCGCGATAGCATTTTTGATGTACTCCTCGAAATATTCGATGCGTGCCTTGTCGTTGAGAATTTCGTCCATGGTCATATCATCTTCACCTTTGACCATGAAGCCGTTTTCGGTGACGCTAATGAAGTCCGTTTTGTACCTACAATTCGATACAAGATTTTGCCAAGGTTTATGCAAGGTTCATCATAATTAATCATGCACGGTTGATCGGTGTTTCCCTCCAAGACACATGCAATATTTAAATTTGATGGCCAAGTTTCTGAGTGAGGTAGAAGCTTTTTCTACTACAACTATAATAGGACTTGGAAGCGCACCGGTCATTCATGTAGTTGAGTGCCATTCGGAAGCCAAGTGGAAACGAGTAAAGCCACCCTATACGTCATAAGCTTCCGTCTAAGTCACCTTCGAAGTCAGCAATTGCTAAAAGGCAAGGTGTAACTCGTGAAAATCATGTGTCGTTCTACAATTGCAAAGGCATAGCGTTCCCACCTGAGTCTCCTTGTTTGCCGATCACAAAACCATTTTTATTGACATGATTGTCCGGAACGTCGTAGTCAGACTTGCCCAAAGCACAAGTGGCATTGAACTTGTAACGAACGAACCTGTAATGTGCACAACTTTCAACCCATAATTTGTGCTGCACAAGTTCCAGGCTTCTTATTCTACAATTCCGTTCCGGACATTTTATAAACAACATGTTCAATGCATAAGGCGTACGATGATGTGTAATGGTTCATGGCTATGTAGTCCATGGATCCCTTCAAAGCATCGGCCTGCAAAGGCAAGATGTGACTAAATTTGTTGTAAATGTAAGCATCTAAATTTGGATTGGTCACAAGGGACAAACACTTTAGAGCAAGTAGCAAGCATTTGATCAATAATGTGGCCATTTGTACTAACCAGCTTTGGTGTAATATCAGGAAGATATGGAAGTCGAGCCCTGACAGAGTCGGGGAATTGTCCAAAGAAAATCGGGTCCATATAGACTCCCACTTCAAAGTCCATTTTCCTCTGAGCGGCCGCCTGTGCAGATTCGTAATGTTACGTAAACGTGCACGTGTACATTCATTTAAGGGACAACGACACTATGCATGATGGTCATACTGTATTAACGATTACAGTCATTTGGTACATACATATAGTAAACATACATATGCATGCATGTCTAGGATGTTGCCGTATGCATACCGTGTCAAGCTCACTAGTAGAATCGTACGGCAGCGATGTCTCAACGTTGATGTTCATTGATACGAATCCACCTGGAACCAACTTCCGGAATTCTTTGACGGCAGCTGCATGCGCCCTTAGGACATTGATGGTACAATTGGCAGCTTGTTCCTACACAAATACATTTCGCAATTTGACATGCTATTAGTGGGATATCCATAAATAGTTGCATTTCAGTTTCCTGCTAATTTAAAGAAATTTGGTTTTGAAAACAGTGTCACATGCCTAAATATTACTTTGGGCAATGCCAATAGGCGTTAGCATGGCAAGTTGGTATCACACATCGAAGCACGGTTAGGATGGGTTCTTACATGGCTGTGGATGTTAGGGGCATGACCTCCATTCCCATATCCTTCCCAGCAGAAAGTTTTTGGCTCGTTGATGGTGGACCAGTACGTGACTTTATCCCCCAAGGCCTCAAACATTGTTGCCGCATACGCTGCAAAAACGGGCGCAACTTGCTCGCTATTCCAGCCGCCAATTCTTTCTTGCAAAGCCTGTACATGCACATATCCCATCATTAACATGAATTGCGCCATCATGGCGAACAATCACTACCATAATAGGCATTTGGTTCTTGATGGCGGTTGTAAAAATTTCACTACTTGTATAGCTTGCTGAGGCATATTCTTTTAGGCACAAGTCATGTTCAAAAAGATGTCTTCAATCTCACCTGAGGAAGGTCCCAATGATACAAAGTGACCACTGGTTCCATCCCAATGGAAAGAATGAAGTCCACCATGTCTACATAGTGCTTAAGGCCCACTTGATTGATGGAGCCATCGCCATTGGGGAAGATACGAGCCCATGAAATAGAGAACCTGAACTGTGTCGCGCCAAGCTCTTTGGCCAAAAGGATATCTTCCTTGTACCTGTGGTAGAAATCGTTGGCTACATTGCCTGCGCAGCATGGCAAGCATAGCTTGGAAGACTGACATGGTGTAAGGATTAAAGATTAAAGTATCGCGGTGTCACCCTCACACCTTCATGGTAAAGTCCTAAGTAGTAAGGCGCAAAGATCAGTTCATCCCAGAAACCCTGCAGTAACCCTAGCTAAGCACATGCAACACAGCAGCTCCCCAGAAACCCTGCAGCAACCCTAATTCAGCAGCTGCAGCGTTGCAATGACCCCAGAAACCCTGCAGCAACCCTAATTCAGCAGCTGCAGCATTGCAGCGACCCCAGAAACCCTGCAGCAACCCTACCTCAGCAGATAATCATGGGTACCAATAGCATACCCGTGTGATTATCATGAATCCGGTCGCCCTCTGGAAGCAAGCCGGGGTTGTTGGCTTGGACGTCCCAAATGCTCATGCCTTTGCCGTCCTCATAGTAGGCACCTTCAAACTGTTGACACAAAGTAATCGGTGAGACACAGAGTACGGTGCGCTTGCGCATGGGCAGCACTGCAGGTCCCTCGCCTTAGCAACTCGATTTTTTTTTGGCATCTTACAAACCTGGACATCTTTAATACTGCATCCAGTATGGCTACAACGGGAGGGCAACCATAATGCTGCGCTCTGATTGGCTGAAATGCAAATCACTCGGCAGGGCACAATTTGCTTTCGGCGGCAAATAATCACGAGGCACGTTTTCATTGGAAACATCAGCACGCATTTGTTTTAGATGATGAGTACTCAGTACTAAGGCTGTACTATGAGACTGCTACAGTATGATAAGGAGTTTCAAAAGAGTCTGTTCCACGCCACGAGGCACCTTTGGGTTTAGGCCTAACGCTACACGATTGCATGCCAGCACTAGCGGACCGATGATCTCGCTTTTAATTGAAAAACCTGGCATCCTGCTGCTCCAAACCAAACACCAAATTCAGCAATAGCCTTTCAAGGGGCGAGAAAGTATCTGTACATACACCACTGCCGTGATTGGAAGTTTGAAGCCCGGTTTGCAAGGCAGATGTCACAATTTCCAGCTATTTGGATTGTGGCAATGCTAAAGCAAAAGGTTCTTCTCCGAGGGACAGATATATAATATGTCACATATTTCTGGTAATCTTAGAGTCGGCCAGGCCTCAGGGATGCAACAATAAAGCATCAGCCTGTGAAAAGCCCCTCCAGGCTGATTGCAACATATATACATCGTAGCTTGTGGCGCAGTCGCAATGTTTTTTTAAAACATTATAGATAGATATACAATTATTCATGCGTGGTGCACATTATGCTGGGATCTTGCCTGGTAAGCAGCCGAGGCGAATCCCAAAGGGAAGGGAGGGGTGTCAGGCAGTGGAAGGTCTTCGGCCGCAGGTGCTGCCGGTGCGGGTGGTGAAGAGGGGGCCGGAGGGCTAGGAAGAAGTGGTGGGTCTGTCGGTGAGGGCGTTGGCTGGGGAGGTGGAGGGGGAGGGGATGGGAGGGGAACCGCTTCAGGTAGGCGTGCAAGTGCAGGTGCAGGTGCCGATGCGAATGCATGCGCCTGCGGGGAAAGGCACACAAACTCTTAATCTTCATGCCAATACAAGGTTGAAAGGCACAGTTTGATGGAAAGAGATTATTATGAAGCACTAGTTGAAGCAGCAGAATCAATCCAGTAAATTGAAAGCAAGATGGCACCAGAGAGACTCTTCACATGCTCCTACTGTGTGTGAGCTTCCATTCAGTAATACCTGGGCTTGGGATGGTCCAGCCGAGAGCTCTCCTCCAGGAGAAAGTGCAGTAAATGCAGATTCGTGAATCCCTGGCATCAGTGCCCCCAAAAGCGCGTTGTTGAGGCGTTGCACCCGTGGAGGGGGCAGCCCCCCTTGCCCTGTACAGAACGATATAACTGTTTATGCCCTGTACTTACGAGTGCATTCAAGTCAATTAATTGCCACCTTTCCAACACATTTTCTGCAGTCGCAATGTCCTGCGAACCCGCCGACGGAGACCCACCTGACGACACAAGGGCAATGCAGAGGAACAGTAAGACACGGAACGCCATTCCCTTTGAGGGGATACAGCTCCAGGTCATTCGAGGAAAAAGCTTCTCGTAGCACTCTGCAAGAAAGCAAACCAGAGTTAGACCCGTTGTATGAAGCGAACCGAAAATATCTTGGCAGCCGCCAGCAATGCTACCGCCAAAAGTGACGCCTTTGCGCGGACGATCACAGACATCTATGTTCTGCAAATCCGCTGATAATGGTGTTAATATGTGCATTGAATGCAGAATGCTGAGCCGAATGGGGTCTGCAAAGGCGGTTCCCAACAGGTGGTCAGCACGTTGCGCAATCCAAGCTGGTCAAAGCGAGTTGCAATATTTACCTTGATTTGAGAAGAGGTTGGACAAGCACGATGGGTTGGAAATGCTGAACGAGGGGGCTGTTGTGTGCCGTGACGGGTCGGCTTGGAAAATGACATTGTCCATATGAACACTTCTGTTCATTTTATTTTCGTGTAGCTGGCTCGTTCGTAAGGGCGTTCCCCTTCTCAAGGGGCGCTTTGTCAATCTTTAGGCCATCGGTCGATCTCAATTGACCTGTGAGTGATGTACGATGTGAAATTATGAAAAACTTATGAGGACTTCAACATCAAGGAATGTTTCAAGTTTTGCAAGGTTCTGGCACCATCTGAACAGCCATTGAATGTTGTCTGGTCTCACCAGCGCTAGCTGCATTTGACACTGACATGTTGCGACGAGCACGGTTCTGATAATGGAGGTCCTCGAAATTTTCCTAGCGTTCTTAACTGGCTTTGGCTTGCAAGTTACTGGCTGGTCCTTGTGAGATCCGTCTGTGCAGGACGAGTTTAAAGTTCCCGAATTAGCCTGTCCTGGACATCGAACCAGATGAATGAGAAGCCCTGGGGCATATCTTGAGGCCATATCCCCAGGTATAGCTTTTGTGTCCATCCTGATGAAGTAAGGGCAAGGCAAAGGTCTGTCATCCTGTCTGTCGGTGCGGTGGCCAATAGACAACCCGCGGACTACTGCTGACCGCCCTTGATTTCTCCTTTTGTATCTGGTTGCGCCGGCATGACTGCACTGTACAGGGTCAGTCCCTCAACTTTAAGCCATACTGTATGTGCACTGCAGGTGCTCTGATGCTGTTGACTGCATCTCAGCGCTTCTACGGCAAGACATGATTTGGGAGACCCCAAGCAGCATTCACTCTAACTGGCTATTGGGCAAATTCTCTGGAACCATTGGCTGCCAATAGCCAAGGTCCGCGCCTGTGCCAAGTGTTCTGCATTCACACTTCGCCAAAGGTGGGTGCTCCACAGCAGCGCTGGCCTGTTAGAGTTGTGCATCCCCGAGTTGGGAATATTGTCCATTGCTGAGATGCTTATGTGGTCTTGCTTGAGACAAGATCTGAAGGGCACAAGTGCGAGCACGGCATGACGGGGTCACTTAAACCTCGAACTTTTGCGCACACTTCAGGTTGAAAAGCTGTTCACAGTCACTGTGACAGGCGCATACAGCCGTTTTTATTTCGGAGGAGACGGCAACGGGCGCTGCCGCGCGGCTGGGCTATTTACCTGAAGCTGAGTCATCATCGTTACATCCAGCGGGAGACGTCCAGGTGCTTCCACTACCCCTAGCCCCATTATCTCCCTTGATAGGGCTTCTTTCTGGCCCGCTGGCTGCCGGGCACTGTGACTCGGAGCCACACTGCGGCGTGATTGGTCCAGATGGTGGGTACTTGCGCGGGGCAGTAGCTGCATGATTACTAGATCTGAGGCAGTCAATAGTGCTGAGCTGGCATCTTTGAGGATGTGTGATGTCCGCAAAAAGATAGTTTGTTATGCAGCAGACTGCAGGAAGGGAAGAGACACGCATGGGCGGTTGAATAGATAGAGCTGACAGGGATCAGTCTGTAAGTGCTGTCAGGTCAGAATGAGGTTAGGGACATGCAGGTTGAAATCTTCCAGTATAATGCAGGAACGACAGCTTTAAAGACAGCGAGGCGCTGAGGAATTGCACTTCGGCGCTATTTTCAAACAGCAAAATGCAGCACCTGCTGCAAAGCGAGAGAGCAGCCTTGGCGGGTGTTGTGCACAATGCTGAGACGACTAAGTGCTGTGAAAGCAGGAAAAGAAGAATTTTTTGGCTGGTGCATCGCATGCAAGGGGAACCAGCCTGCTAGCTGCTCAGCACAGTGAGTGTCGCTCCCAACATAACAAGGTGATCAAGCTTGCTCAGCAATCCACATGATCAAATCTGCTGGAGAGTGTTGAGTTGCTTGCAAGGTCATGAACACATTTCTGCACGTGGTCAACAAGTTCTGTGTTTGGATGGGAAGCCACGAGCAGTAACCTCTCTCCGCCTGCTAAATGACATCAGCTACCCATGTTCCAATCAACACTGCATTGCCAGATTATACTCTATGAATGAAGTAAGGAGAACAAGGCTGACTAATGCTGGTGACCGCCTGGCAGGACAGATCAGCAATGCTGAGCTGGAAGCGACGGCGCCACTTGACAATACAATTTTTTAGAATCGCCACACGCTCTACCTGCCAAGAAGCAAGGTGCGTCCGGAAACAAGCTGCAATTAGAGGTTGCCCCAATTCCACCCCTTGTTGGACTCGCCAGATCCAAGCAAGGCCCAATCAACCGTGGGCACGGTGCTCAGTATTTAGGGACAATCGATACGATACTGTATCTTGAGTCTAATGTCGAGAATATTTCTACAATGAATTTTAGCGTTGGGTTTAGAGAATATGAATATAGGGTTTATGGTTCAGGGAAGGGGCTCATACAGTAATATTTTCCACGGGTGATCGCAGTGGGAGATCAAGATTTAGGGTCGATGAATGGTCAAGAATCTAGTATCATCAAAATCTTTGCAAGACTATTTCCAGCCCCAACTGCACCATTTTTGGGGGCGGCAGCGCATGCAGAGCACTTAGTCAGCTCCATCCTTTATTTGTTATTAGAGCCTGACTCAGCACCCAGCGCAGCAGCCGGCAACGCAATTTTAATTGCCCCGCCGCCCTTGAGGGCATCCTGCTGAGCCGTAAGGACTATTTTGATGTGACCACAGAACCTTTGGCCGGCTGGTGTTACAAACTGGACAGATCTCATTTGGCTTTTCTTTTAGCCTGTGAGTGATACGGATCAGGAAGGAAGTCGTTGATCACTTTGTCCTTGATAACTCTGCACGCTTGCAATGCTCTTCCATGTTTTTCCTTCGAGTCAAGCATGTATTGTACGCCTCCTGCTGTCCTGATTCTACTGATGACTTGGCAGATGCCAAGGCTTTCACAGGAGTTTCCCAGGAAGACCATGTGCTTGACCGTGCTTGTGCCATTTGTGATGCAGGCGGTAGCTGTGAAGGATTTCATAACTCTGGGAGCCATCCGGAGATACTTGGCAGCACCGCCGCTGCTTTTGCACTCTACATTGCTACAGGACAAGCCACTGCTCGACGAGCGTGCATGGACAAGTAATGTATGGCAAGCCAAGGAATATTTTCAAGAAAAGTGCTGCAGTGCTACCAGCGCCGCTGCTCGTGAATCACTGCTGCCAGCCTTCACGGAAAGCCGAGTGATGGAGCTTGCGCCTAAGCTGGCGCTGGCAATATCTTTTCACAATCCTTGGTCAAAGTTTCTTGAAGCTACTGACACTGCTTTTATGTACAATAGACCTGCTGCTTGCTTGCCATGCCTGCAGCAGCTGACTTGTCAGTGCAGCCTAGAACCCTGAACCTTGCCAATTACTAATCACGGAACAGCTCCAGTCAGTATTCTGCTCCGTTGAGCTCTGCTGTGCGCTAGGAGTGAGCACTGGAAGTGCTTGCCATCATGGGAGCTGTGCATGCGCATGATGCGCATGCACAGCTCGTGAAGCACCTGCCAGTATAGCGAGGACAAATGGACGGCGCAGACATGCGTAGCAGAATGAATTGTTTCCTGATGCCACTACCTCTGTGGACAAGGCTCTGTGCATGTTTGGTGCACATCCCTGTGAGGGGACTCAGGGCAAAGTCAAGTGCAACAATGGTGTATTGTATTCGAGAGGGACAGACAAGCCTCTGCAGAGTGGCGGTAGAATAGGCTGAAGGATTGGTACTTGTGCTAACGCTGCTGACAGGTGGTAGCTAGATACATGCAAGAGTAACGTCACTAAATGGGGATAAATAAGGTCACGATCCCGCAGCGTCAAAATTGAATGCATACTTTTAAGGAATTCTTTTGCTGACATGCACAGACCTGCGAACATGTTCTGACTGAAGCACTGCCGAAGTTTGTAAACACTGCAACAGCTGATTAATCGCAGCGCCGTGTCATTTATGAAGCACCTTCGTATCAATTCATTAAATTAATGCACCTGTAGCAATCAGAAGCAGATATGCACTCAAGACAGGCTGCACTCGAAAAAAAACGAGGAGCTGAGCATGCATGAATGTAGTAAGTGATGACGTGGATTCTGAAAACTTTAAAATCCAAGGAGATCCTATTTTCTGACTGCTCCGGGCTGCCGTGTTTCTGGGACTCCTGGTGAGAGCAAAGCTGGAGAACTTCTGCCAGAGAATCACAATAAGTGCCAGTGTAAGGATGCTGTGATGCGGATGCGCTGCAATAAACTTGGGACGAATCGTGACGCACTTGTCCTGCGCATTTGCGAAGTTTCAGAAGTGAAATGTATGCAGTACTTGACATCACAGAGTGCTGCACAGGGGAAGTGATGACCCTGGCGCCCAACTTCAGCTCAGCGCTGACAACAGCCGTTCCTAAACAGGCGCTAGTGGCGGCCGGGGAGATTCGCTATCGCAGACGAGCCCCTCTGCCATCGCATCTGGCTGCAAGCCAGTCATCCTCGGCTACGGCAAACAGGTGCGCTGATCTCCTCCTTGCCTTGCAATATCTCTTTTTTAAATGGTTGACTGGAGCTTCCGATAGCAACAGCATATGTTTACAGCACCAGAACATCACCGGAACAGTGGCATTATACAGTAATGCTGAGCCTTGCAAGATCACAGGAAATAAATTTGCGACGAGCTATGCAATGGGGCACAAGGTCTCTACACCAATATCAAAACATGACCAGGATAATTTCAAGAAGAGCTAGTCTTTATGTTGCAGCACAACAGGAGCCCTAGTTGTTCCCGGCGTCTTGGAACAGGTTGGCCAGGACGCGGGCTGAGGCCTTCAGGGTCTGCTTCAGAGTGGCTCGGTCCACATGCACCACGCCAAAATGCTTGGAGTACCCGTCCTGCCACTCGAAATTATCGAGCAGGGACCAGACGAAATAACTGCTGACGGGCACCTGCAAACAATCATTGGGATCACTGTCAAGCAATCGGATCACATGGCGAGCCAAACATAGTGTGCCGTTCCCAAAAATGTCAAAATGAAATTCAAGACAATGCCACGGTGCAGATGCAACACGTGCTAAAGTCAAGTCTGAGGTTGAAACTGTTGCGCACCTTGTCGATGACAACCGCCTCGACAGCATTCTTGATGTAGTCCTCAAGATACTTGATGCGCGGCTTATCGTTGAGGACCTGGTCCAGGGCCATGTCATCTTCACCCTTGACTTGGAAGCCATTCTCTGTGACGCTGATCCAATCAAGGCGGTACCTGCATAAGAAATCACACGCTGTATTGATGGAAACACGATTGCGTACAACCTTGAAGTCTCAACATAAACACCTCTCAAGACACACACCTCTCAAGACACACACCTCTCAAGACACACAAATAAAAAAAATTAAACAGGTGCCTTTATTGACCTGTCGTTGACGTAATTCAGGATCATCCTGAATCCGAACGGCACCGAGTAGAGCCACTCTGCATGCGCAACAATATAATAGATGTTCAATTTGGAGAAATGAATATTCAAGGCATGCGCGCTGTTGTACATGAACTGTGGTCATCCAGGTCTTGTAAACCAATTTTCTGTGGGAAAAACCCTATATCTTGACAATGCTGCAGACTTTCAAGACATGCTGGGTGATCATGACTAAATTTCTCACCTGAGTCGCCCTCTTCGCCAATCACAAATCCATCCTTGTTTGAGTGACCCACTTCATAGTCAGTAATGCCCAAGACGCAAGTGGCGTTGTGCTTGAAGCGCGCATACCTGCAAGTACATTCTCAGAATTTGATACACGCAATAAATTCCTTCTTGAGCCGCAATGCGCAGCTGCCATTGGACGTCAACCTCCTCCAACTATTAAGTGTGCATGGCCTAGAGCTTGACCTAAACTTTGCAAAAATGCAAATCAGAGTGACAGACACCCAGGCACTGGCAACCAGTTTATACTCGTCAGGCAATAGCACATGGGCGAGAGAAGGGCGCACGATGAAGTGTAGTGGTTGAGCGCGAAATAATCAAAAGAGCCTTTCAGATCCTTGGCCTGCAAGAGAAAACCCGGATCTTAAACACACAGTTTCACCACAGAGGCTTCAAGTGCATTTTGACACTGGTGAGAGTGTTTGAGCCGGCATTAAGCAAGCTACCAGTTCTGGAGAGATCTCCGGCAGGTAAGGGATGCGAGCTCTGACGGAATCAGGAAACTGCCCAAAGTATATGGGATCAGCGAAAACTCCGAGCTCAAAATCTGTCTTCCGCTGGGCAGCTGCCTGCATGTACATACACCGCACAATGACCGTCTGACGATCTTGTGGTAAGGACTTGTTGGCATTTTACCTTCTGAGGGACATTCTAAAGGATCTGCCAGACAAGTCTACACTCCAAAAACATAGTTCATTATGTGCAGCATCTTGACTGAGTTGTCCTACCTTGTCCATCTCACTGCTGTCATCAAACGGCAATGACGACTCAGCGTTGAGGTTCATCGCTATCATTCCACCGGGTACCACTTTCCGGAAAACTTTCACAGCAGCCGCATGTGCCTTGAGCACATTCACTATGCAGTTTGCCACTTGTTCCTGCGGGACAAAGCACATGCAATTTGCCACGCATGCATGATTCCGAGGGTGATGACACATCTTGAAAGGCACAATGTCTACAGCAGCAGTTCTGTAACAACGATGCAAAATGTTCTATGTTTGCACATGTGGCAACATGTGAATTCATACCGGCTCTTTGATGCCGGGGGCATGAATGCCACTGCCGTAGCCCTCCCAGCAGAATGTTTTGGGCTCATTGATGGTGGTCCAGTATTTCACACTCTCCCCGAGGGCTTCAAACAGCGTTGCAGTGTAGTTGGCAAAGATTGGCACAATGTCTTCACTGTTCCAACCCCCAAAGCGGTCTTGCAGTGCCTGCAAACACAACCATTTGACCAAATATGCCAAGAAACGATCATCATATCGGTATACAGCGGGCTCAGTTCTGCTCATCAGTTGTTAGTTTGATGAAAAATAAGCAGATGTTCGGACCTGGGGCAGGTCCCAGTGATAACAGGTGAGGACTGGCTCGATGCCAATCGCGACCATGAAGTCGACCATCTCCTTGTAATAGTCCAGCCCCTTCTGATTCACAACGCCATCTCCCTGTGGATATATGCGCGCCCAGGAGACTGATACACGCCACTGCTTGGCAGACAGCTGCTTTGCCAGCAGCAGAATCTGTTTGTAGTCATGATAAAAATCCACAGCGACGTTGCCTGCGCATGGCACAGCCATGTGATGATTAGAACTGTGCAGGTGAGTGATTAGTCATGATCACATAATGCAGGTGACACGCATGACCATTTGAACAGATACTATTACTATTACTATTACACGCTTTTTCTGGCAAAGGCAAGGTGCGTCTGCAGCACAAGCTGCAGTTGAAGGCTGCCAAAGTCCAACCCCTTGTTGGACTCGCCAGATCCAAGCCAGACCCAATCAACTGTGGGCAAGGTGCTCAGTATTTGTACCGGCCCTCGCCAGCCGGGGCAAATACGGTGAACAGATACATGTCCTTATTAAGTTGACGTCAAAGGAAGTTCTGAAACTCACCCGTGTCATTTTTGTGAACTGTGCGTCCACCAGGGAACACAGTATGGTTGTTGGTAAAGGTATCCCAAATACTGGCTCCCTTTCCATCCGCGCGATAAGCTCCCTCGAACTGCACATGCCAGGCCACACTGCTCATTTTCTATGTCTCTCACGGGCACATTGCATTAAATTCTGAGACTGCATGTGACATCCATATAAATAAACTGTTTTAGCTGGAAAAACTATTATTTACTACTTTCATGACACGCCTTTGAAAATCCACGCGGATCATTTGCGTCGCAGCAGCAAATCTGTGACCACTGGTCAGCCAGCTGGCAGCCTTCCAGCCTTCTCTCAGGCTGTCCTCCACCAGGTCAGAGATAAATCAAGAGAATCCAAATCATGTATAATATACGGTAATCATCCCAGGACTTGACAGGTATACGGTAGCGTTTTGCCAGCCCTTAAGGGCCCCCCCAAGGGATTGGCCAAAATGGTCCAGGGCTAGGGGCAGGTTTCATGGCAACCCTAGGAATAGCTGGGATTTGGTAGAAAGGGAAAAAATATCTAGTGGCACCCTAAACCCTAATATGTGTCCTAAGATCTCCAAAGACCCCTGCCAAACCGTCGGTCTATGACTATTGCCAGCACTACCCACAACCTAAACAAAGACGTTTCAGGCTGTCTGACCTTTCCCACACGCTGAACAAGCCATCTCAAGCGCCTGTGTCTGTATCTGTGACACAGGGCTCAGCCACTAGGCTAGTGCTGCGCTTACCTAGATTTTCCTTATTATTGCAAAATTAGTTTGGAAACCTATCCATAATGAACAATCGGCAAATAACTCTACAGGCACTTCATTTGGAACATTTTCAGTCTAGAAGATCACTGAGTCTGGCAGACTCTGGTATGGGCCATGCCTCACATCCCTACATCAGAGTTGACTGGACTGTCACCTAATACCGATTGAATTCATGCCCCTATGTAACCCTACAACTGGATTACGAGTATATGCTCAGATCCGGTTGCTGGATACCTTCTGTGTCCAGCACAGATAGGTCAGTGAGGCGCTGATTAGAGGCCCTGCCTAAGGCAGAACCTAAACAGGCAACCATCTCATCATCGCATGACTCATGAACAGTAACATGCATTGTCTCCACAGAAAATTGTTTCTTATATCACTGGCCTTGGTACACCCTATCAGATCAGTTTTCAATGCCCCTGGCCGGATGCTGGGTTGCCGACGTACCTGATAGGCGGCAGAAGAGAATCCGAGCTCGAAGGGCGGGTTCCTTGGCAGGGGTTCAACTGGAGGCGACGGCGGTGTTGGTGGTTGTGAAGGGGGCGGCGGGCTGGGCAGAATCTTTGGAGGGGGCTTCTCTGTTGGGATTGGGGTTGGCGGGGAAGGCGAGGGTCCAGGCTGTGAAGTCGGTGGAATAGTTGGGGCCGGAGCCGGTGCCTCCAGAAAAGCCTGAGCGGGTGCCTGCATGGGGAGGCAGAAAAACTCTCAGCTACATTTTTGGGATTTTGAGAAAAAAATCCTAAGTACCCCAAATTTGTAACATCAGAAAAGGATAGAAATCTCATCAATATTCTTCACACTGGCAGCAATTGGGGTAAGCACTTAAGACGGGCATACAGATTGTCAGGGTTTTGACATGCAACTGCAAGCTGGTGCCTTTATAATGCAGAGCAAGACATCTTTGGATCCCAGACTGCAAGTTGGACTTACCAGTGCCTGCTGTCGTGCAGTCTCTTGGGGTACTCCTTGAAGAGGATTTTCAGCCGGGAGATTCTGCTCCGGCAGCATTGCAGATGAAAATATTTCATTCAAGTGTTGCATGCGTGCGGGTGGAAGTGTTTGCTGCCCTGCAGACGCAGACAAGTGATTCAGTGACTGTGAAACATCAAAGGGTTAAACTCTAAGGGTCAAACCCAAAGGTTGTCAGCCCACACTGAGAAGTATATGGTAGAGGCTGCACTTCAGGCAAGCTGCACTTGCAAGTTATGCTTTGATCAACTGAGATCCTGGCAGCTTTGCCTGTGGCCAAAACGAGGATACACGAAATTTATTTAGCTGCCAGAAGCACCCTGCCACGACAACTCAGACGATTGCAAAGCTTCTGAGATTTTTCGACGAAGCGACCCACCTGACACGGTCACGGCGAGGCAGCACAAGAAGACCAGATGTCCTGGCCCCATCGTGGAACGCTCCTTCGTTTCTGCAAAGAATAGAGGTTTGTCACGTTCAATCCTGTGAGATGAGGAAAATAAAACCGTAGAGACTTTTCAAGTGAATCCAGAAAGAGCAGCCGCCAGGCGTGCCGCCTTTTTTGAGCTGTTCTGGCTGGCGGAACAACGTCAAACGACCACATATTGCAACGATGCGAATGTTTGGGAATAAGAGCAGCAGACAGAACGTTGCTGTGTATAAGACGATCGACAAAGGCGGCTGCCGTCAACCTGAAGGGCCTTCCAACATTGCAGCAGTGGGTTCAAGCACGACAGACCAGTATACTCTTGCAAGATCACCTTGAAGTGTTCAGACGGGCGATGCAGGTGCTCGGTCCCTCAGTAGAACTCCTGGGAAAATGAAGTCTGCTGGGTCCGTCTGCGATTTTTATATTCGTGTGGACGCCTCGTTCGTTGCGGCGTTCCTGCAGGTTTCTAGAAGAAAACGTGATCGCCGATGACAAAAGAGGTCAATTGGTCATATTGGTCATTCCATCCCACCTGAGAGAAAGTTCGATTCTGCGAGTCCTATACTAGGTTAGAACCTCCAACGTCTCCAGATGTCTGGCAATTGTTTGTGCACATACTACACAGTGCTATGGGCACGCCAATTTGCTCGTTAGAGGTAGCCTGATTGATCAAGTGCAACGCTTGTTCTGTGGACTGAACGTGCAAGCACGCACAAGGGGCCAGATTCAGTGCTGGGCAGTGCCTGTCCGATCACTATGATATCAGCCTCACATAATCCTGAGCTGGATCGAAACGAGTCCTGCTGAAAGCAGGATCCACACACAAGTAAGTGCCGTGTGCCAGCATTGTTGCGTTGGGAACGACCTCTTGTGTCCTGCAGTGTGGCTGTGCTTCTGATGTCTCCTGCCTGTAGCAGGACCTGGCTTAAAGGGCGCAGCACCAGTCTAGCTGGCAGCCTTATGGTTGAGGAATTTTCATGTTTACTGTTGCGCCATGTGCAGCTGGTGAGGACACTTGAGGCTTCAAGCTGCCCTTGATATTCCTGTGCCACCTGCCGCATCCTGCTGGTTCTGTGGTACAAATAAATGGCCACAGTAGAAACAAGTCACTGCTAGCCAAGAGGAGTGTGCATGTCTCAGGGGAAAGTCACTGGCTCAGGGACTTCCCGGCAGTGAATGGGCTTGTCAGGAGAGATAATTTCAGCTTCACTGGCTTCCAGACACACATCCAGATCAGCAAGCCAGAAGGACACATTGGGGGTCATATCATAGTGCCATTATTTGATGTACCGAGGGGCCGCACTGTTCGAGCCCTGCGCCTAGATGTGGATCTAGTCCTTGTTCCCCTCCGCAGAGGCACTACAGCTGCAGAGCATACTGTCAATGCGCTGGGGCAACAGGTGCTACCACTTCACACTGCTCGGAAGTTTTTGCCCCAGAGCGGCCATTGGCAGCTTCGGCACCCTGCTGTCGTGAACGTGGTGCCGATGTATCCTTGATGAGAAGTCTGTGCAGCACAAGCATCTTGGACAGTCTGCAAGCACTGTTTGCAATGCTTGTGCCCTGCTGGACATACCGTGGTGACCGGTCTAAATTCCACACCATATGTGGTAAATGCAGCCTTGTAAAGTGCTGTGTGTATTGGCAGGCCCGGGAAGGGAGGAGGAAGCCGCCGCAGCCGCTGACTGTTGCATCCAAGGCCTAGGCCTCATTCGGGAGCTTGCGTCTGTTTTGTACTATGATAGGGCTATAACAGGTCCGCAAGATTTGTGCCTGCATGGCTACATCCTCTCTGCTGCTTCTAAGTGCCTGCCACTTTAATCTTAAAAGCGTGTGTAAGATATTTTGCTGTTGACATCAAGATGTTCTGGACACGAAGCTGTTGGGCAACGGTTCATAATCACCAAGGTCGCAGAAGGTGTTCCCTCCTGAGGAAGGGCACTCCCATTCTCACTGAATGCAACGATACCGCAGCTAAGTCACATCGAAGAAGTGTAAGTAAGAAGAAGAGAAGATTTCTTGCTTCTGATCGAGTTTATTGTGGATCGTTGTGGCACAGTTCAGATCCTCAACCATGCGATCCACCGGTGTTTACTTCCAAGCATTTGGGACCCTGCCTCCCAAGTTACATTCCTACAAGACATTTCCACGCTGTAGGCATCAACCGATAAGAGCTTCCTCAGGGTTTGGTTATGAGGATCAGGTGGTCGCAACACCAGGTGATCTCCTGGCCCTGCTCAAGGCCGCTCACAGATCCACGGAGTGGGTTGAGCTTAATGTCTGGAGTTTGTTTTTTACTGAAAGGTGCAGAACGAAAGGCTTCCCACTCCAGGTGTGGTGAGACTAAAAGCGATGGTCTTGTGACTTTGGTGCAGCTCTGGGAAATCGTGTGGAGGCTTGGCTCAAAACTCCAGTTGACATCTTGACATTCGGCCCCAGAGCTGCAGTAGGCGCACTCCTGTCGCTACCCCAGCGAGCCCAGACCTTGTGAGCTACCCCTCTGCTGTCTTGAGCACCAAGCAAAATGCTGCCTGCTACCTCTGCAGCAATATTACAGTGTATTCACTTCCTGCCACATGTCTAATCGTTCTGAGGTGTGATGTTCGTACTTAAATGATCTCACCGTAGACTTGTGACCTGCACAGGCAGCAGGATCTGGACAGGATCAATATGCTGCTGCAAGATCCGCGGCCCCTTGAGGACAAGAGGGATGAGCTAGCAAAGGTGCTGCTCCATCCACCACCTACTCAATGCAGATTGCTGTGCACTCTTGTTCATCTGACCATCTTGTGGCTGGCCAGTCCTGCTGCGCAGCAGCAGACAGAGTAGCACCACCTGCAGCCTATTTTACATGATCAGCAGTCATCTCCAAGGGCACCACACTGAAGCCTGGTCCCAGGAGGCAGGAGCCTCTCTATAAATGCATAAGATCTATCTCAAGAATCGAATGCATTTGTTTCCCCATGACGGATCATACTTCTCACTACTGCATTCCTCGAGCCAGGAGCCGCCATGAGCTCGCATATGGATCTGTTGTAAGATTATAAAGCACGTTCATTCCCGTGCCGGGTCAAACCCTTCCCGCCAGCACAAACCCTCGAGAACCCTTGAGCAGGGGTCTGCGCGCCGCAGGAGGTGGAGGGAACGCTCGTGGAGTTTGTGGAAAAAGGCGCCGGCATCGAAGCCGACGTCCTCGCCAATCTGACGGCCGCGCTCCCGCCAGAGATCAAAGATTCTCTGCCGCAGGAATTGCGATCGGCGCTCGGCCGCTCTGGCGCGCCGGCCGCGTCGGCGGCGAGCGCGTACGATGCCCCGGTGGTGGAATACGCGCCGATGCCGGCTGCCACGCTGGTGACTAACCAGATCGGTGAGTAATGTTCTTGCATGCATGCGCATGGGCCCAATACCTCACACAAGGTGGGGTGCAGAGTCTTGGCCCTATTCTAAACATTGCTGATTGCTCCTAAATATCTCTTTGTTTAATCTGTCCGATGTGACTTGGAGCTGGGCAATGAGCCCCAAACTCTGCTGTGCTCTGCTTGAGGTGCCTAAAAAAATGGAGTTCTGTAATTTTACAACCACCAGCCATGCTGGGCGCATATTATATCCTACGTTACAGGCTGGCACATGCAAGCTCAGCATGCTGCCACCTAGACTGGCTGATTCCCATTCCCTGCTGACATCCCATGTGCGGTGCGCTCAGCTGCGGAGATGACGGACCTGCGCGAGGCCGTCAGGGAGCTGAGGGGAGCGATTGATACATTGGCGGTGAACCTCGATCCGGCGCAGGACAAGGTGCTTCGGCTGAACGTGCGCGAGGCTCGCAACAGCGCCGCCCTGCGCCTGCAGCAGCTCTCGCCCGCAACAATGGCATCCTCAGTGCGGATTTCTTCTTGCATGTAAAGTAAACTTTTTAAAGTCGAGTTTATATCAAGGACAAGGGAGTGCAAATGCGCTTTGCGGATCTCGTCTTAGGGCAGTGCTCGCCTCAGCACTGAGGGCAGCAACTTTCACCGGAAACCTTAGTTCTTGGTGCGCTGGAGTTCAAATGTAAAAATGACAGCATCCAAATTCACTTTCAAGCTGCGGAGCCATGGCTGCCGCAGGTTTTGCCAGCTGCTATGGCAGCCCCGGTCTGACACAATGTTTAGTTGGATTAGAGTTTGATACTACAGCACTGCATCGCCATGCAGTGCTCTGCTCATGCACTGCATTGTTTTATAGTGCTGCTGCGCTTGCAGCAGAGACCTCTGCCTTCAACCTTTGTTGCTCGAGAGTTTGTTCCGCTCCAGGGTTTTTCTTGAACATCCCCTCTCAGGCCATTTGACTGGCATTACAGCCACATGCAATGCAAAACTCAGACGTATGGCAGGCCCAGGACCCTGGCGTGGAGTGAAGCCGACAAACGAGCATCCTGTGCAAATGCCATTTCTGAGCTTGCATGACATGTCCAAGACCTTTGAGGCTCTGTAATGTGTGAGCAGACAGAGGAAAGAGGCTGAGAGCTCTCTGTGTTTGTATCCACAGGACGAGTCGATAGGGGCAGCCATCAGTGAGGCTGCTGCTCTGTTGGCAGACGTGGACTCTTTGGGAGTGTGATGGCATCAGGGTTCATGTGCCGGGTTAAGAGTGCACATGAAACTCAGCATCGTGTGACAGATATGCTGGGCAGCATGAAATGACTATGATCCAAAGGGCGGCTGCACTTGCAGCTTCATATCTATCCAGAAAATGTTGTCTGGCGTGCGGATGCCCAAATATCCGTTGCAGTTGCATTGCTGTCTTACACAAACGTGATACAGCGCCATCAATTGTCCTCAAGCTAATTTTTCCAGTTAACTCCTAGGCCTATGCATGCTGAAGCAATGGGGTTGCAAGCTACCCCTACAGACATCAGAGTTCCGATGCGAGAATGCATTGCAATCTGCCTGTCGTACTGTAACATTGCTGTGTGCAATTGCACAGCGGCAGTAACTTTCAAGGAGACTGTGGGACCAGTTCGGGTGCACAAATGTCAGCGATGACCAAACCAACCAGCACGCACACACCAAAGATCCAAGCCTACCATGGACACCACGAAACAAGCTGCAAATTAATTCCATATACAATTCCATGTTGTTCTACACAGTTTCAGGCGAGTCACACTCAAGGCGCTCGCTGATCCAAGGGACACTGCAGCATATCAGCAATCGACTGCCTCACATGGTGACAGCCTTCCCATTTTTTTCTTGACAAAACGCTTGACTCTTGCAACAAGCTTGCATCATTCCACCTCCTCGTCGTTGCCACCCTTAGTACTTGGAAACGCCTCACAATGCAGCAATTGAAAAACCCCGCCGCACTGCTTTGCACCTCGAATTGTAGACCGTGCTTTACCCGAGCAAGTTCAGGTCACCAAGGCCTTCATTACAGGCAGCCAGAGGTGCTTGTAGATAGCATGTTGGCGGGTCATATTGTCAGTCAGGCGCGGGGGCCACTGCGTAGAGTGACAATTCTCGTCAATGTCACGGGTGACTGATCATGATGCTTAGTCATCGAGGTAGTAGAAGGAGCCGGCGGACTTCTGCTCCTGGTCCTTGACGGAGTTCATCTTGTTGATGCGCGGGCGGTAGTTGGTCGGGTCCCGCCGGAAGGTGATGTCCAGGTTCTTCAAGAACAGGTTCATGCCTGCAGCACACATCACAGACAATTCTAAGCATGCAGCCAGTCTCGAGTCTTGAGAAACTGGGAAGGACACTCAAAATGCCACTAAACTGCCCTAGACACTTCTGATGGTGTCATCAAATGCCATCAAAAGCCCCTGGGTGGTGGATGGTGTGAATTATAGCTGATCTTGAAAAACCACTCCCGAGATCAAAGGGCAGGCGTACGCATTGCAGGACCCAACAGGTTTGTGCATATTCAACCCTGTTCTCATTGAGTTAGACAAAAATAAGTGAACCGCAAGACAGGCCTTGAATATGAAAGGTTCCAGAAAGATCTAGGATGTTCCGGGAAACTATATCAAGCTCCTTTTTAGCCTCTTGAACTCTTCAAGAAGCTTCATGTTGCTTGCCACAATATCCCAGACCCAGAAAACCATTTTTCTTTATTGCAGCATCTGCCTTACTTCAGACAAGCAAAGGTGAAAAAGTAATCTCACCTGAGAGGAGGGACTGGGGCTTTCGGGCGGTGGCATTCTTGGAGGGCTCTCCCTCGTAGACGATGACTCGGTCTGCCAGGTAGGCGGCCATGATGAAGTCGTGCTCCACTATGAACGCTGTCTTCTTCGAGTGCATTATGAACCGCTTTATCACCTGCGCGCACCGGCAACAACCCACACTAAGGCCATGCACCTTGAATTGTTGCGTCTTACATTAAAGTTCACCCACTTTGTGTTTTATAGAATTATCGACCCTTCATCGACCCTAAACCCTAAATCCACCAATGCATTCCCCGTGAAAAATATTTCGCTATAAAGGCCCCTTCCCTAAACCCTAAACCCTAAATTCGTGCTCCCTAAATCCTAAGCTAAAGTGGGTGAAGAATAACGTCAGGGATTGCGAGCATCTTAGTAATCACTAGTCTCACTATATCACTATGATTCCTGGAGTGGCGTCTGGCATCATCACAGTGCTGCACAAGCAAGCGGCACGGCTCGCACCGAGATTACTCTTTCAGCCATTCCATCTTAAGCATAAGACAGGACTGCAAGCTTGCCTTGGAATTTTACTGAATCACATCAGGCCACAGGGCAGAGCTGCAATGAAAATGGGGGGTCTAAGCACATGCATGTGGCACGCAGGTCTAAATCCATCCAGAGAACGACCCTCATAGTACTTCAACTGAGACATTATCCTTTCCCACCTGCACTGATGATCCAAAATGCAACGGCAACGCGGCATCACAATCCCCCAGAAGACACGAGCAACCACCAAGAGCCCAAAGCTGCTTGGAAAACTAGGGGATAAGCCAGGGCCCTGTAATGAATGCAGACATCCTCTGTACATGTGTCCTGTACAGGGACCTTGGCAGTACTACAAGAGGATGCCCGGGAATTTATTTTCGCCGATTCCTTAATCGAAACACTGGAGTAATCCCTTACACCTAGTGACTGCGCCCGGGAAGGGGATTTTTGAACAGACCTTGGCGGCAATGATGCGCTGCTCGGAGTCGAGGTAGGCGGAGGGCTCATCGATGAGGTAGATGTCGGCAGGAGTGCCCAGCGCCAGAGTAATGGCCACGCGCTGCAGCTCACCTCCACTCAGGTTCTGCACCTGTTTGCACCATTTTGCACGAGCAACTCAGCATTTCTTTAGAGATTGTACACGGTAGGTACCGTATTCGGCAGTCAGTATCGACATGCATATACTCTGCTAGACTGCATGGGATGGAGCTGGAATGGCAAACAACAACTGCACCACTGCAGCGTCCACATCTCATGCCATCAGCAAGGAGCCACTTTGTGTGGGAGAAGATGCAAGTGGCCTGCGGAAAAGCTTGCCCTTCCCCGGTGCACATTACTCATCTAATGCTGATGAGCATGTGAAGCAGAGATTTACAGCTGCAGACGGTGCAAGCAGAAGAGAGCATGTGCGCGCACCTGCTGGTCGATGAGGGCCTCGATGTTGAGGGGCTTGAGCACATCAGTCCCAAACTGCGGGTTGAGGTACATCTCCCGGATGCGCTTGTGCAGCAGCTCCCGAACCTGCACATGAACATTTTTGAATGTCAGCCGACTCTGCAGTCTTCAGTGCTGGGCCAAAATTCCCCTATGAAATCTCTTAAAAAGCCTGTTGCAGAAAGGCCCCCAGAACAGTTGAGCACCATCCACCAGCACAGGCAAATCGAGGTTAAACAACCTGTCTCGCGCTGAGCCAGCCATTCAAAGCCAAAAACGTTCCACCGGGCGCAGACATGAATCTTATTGTCCCTGCATGACTCTGGCTTATTCTGTCAGACATACTGCTAGGTATTGCGTATTCCAGCAACATGACTGCGTGCTGGACACTGCGCACAACAACGCCTGCATGGCACAACGCAATAATAACCCACGCAGTTCAGGACAGGTCAGAGGGGTAGCGAAGTGCCGCACCGTGCCGGGGAACTTGGGCGAGATCTTCTGCGGCTTGTAGGACACCTTGAACTCAGGAACCTCTACGCTCTCGTCGTCCGCTTTCAGGCTGCCGTGCAGCATGCGGATGAACGTGGTCTTCCCAGTCCCATTCTCCCCAAGCATGACTAAGATCTCGCTGTCTGTGAACTCCCCGGCTTCCACGTGCAGCGAGAAGCTGCCCTGCGTCTTGGTCATGGCTGGGTAGCCGTAGTGGCTAAACCTCTTCGTGCTGGCGTCCACCTCAGCAGTGGTCTCCGCCACCTGCAGCATAAAAACAAAATTCAAATTCAAATTGAATGTTTGATATTGATATTTAAGACAGTTTTGCTGGGTGGCCAGAGAACCAGAAGAGATGCTAAACAGTATAGAATCCAGCCCAATGAGCCCTCAGTGGGCATGGACCAAAAGAGCATGCTTAGCAAAGGGAGATGGGGAAGGAAACAAAGCACCAAAAACTGACTTCCTGAGGAGTCCAGCAGGAGACTTGGTTGCATGTCCATGGAACCCCAAATTGCAAGGGGCAGAAGCAATCTACATGGCGTCACAGGCCCTGGCAAATAACGCCATGATGTCACAGGTGACTGAGCCAAAATAAAAGACATTGCAATGTACACGCAATGCACATGCCTCTTGAACCGGTAGGGATCTTAATCCGATGTGGATTAAAGAAACCTCATGCCCCAATCGGCACATGCAAACGCATGCAGCGCAATGTCTTCAAGTTTGATACAAACCCAGCACACCACCCAACCCATCAAATCTTGTTTCACTGCACTGATACGTGCACTTCTAACACCCTGAACGCTAGACTCTTACTAAATCTTAAAGGATCCCAACCTTCAAATAATCCGGAATATTAGACACAGCAGGTGATACGTGCCTTGAAGGTGAGGGCCTCATCCCGGAAGCGCAGGTTCTCGGTGGGGACGAAGCCGGCCAGGAAGATGTTGATGCCCTCGCGCACGCTGAAGGGCATGGTGACCACTCCGTACGCGCCGGGCTTGCCGTAGAGGCAGCAGATGAAGTCGGAGAGGTAGTCGAGCACCGCCAGGTCGTGCTCCACCACAATCACATACTTCTTGGGGCCCAGCAGTGACCGGATCACCTGCGCGGCGGCGGCAGGCAAAAACTTTACGGTTAAGTGTTTAGGATTCCCCGGCGGCGGAATGGGGGAAATTGTCAGTCAGCAGGACGTCTTAGGCACATGTAAAAGGCGAGAAAAAGCGGCTGCAGGATATGGGCATATTGAGACCTTCTCTGTGGTCAGGAACATGCAAGGTGCAGCACAGGATGCCCCACACGGAACCATTGAGATGTTGATCCTAGTTGGGATCTAATTGAGTAAATGCTTATGCAGTGGTTTTGGCCAGTTATGCGGCCGACCCCATGCCGAAGGAGATGCAAACTCAGCAGTGAGCTACTCGACCAGTCAGAGAAGAAATGCGACTCAACGCCGGAGCCATGTATATTGCAATTATACATGCAGACTGAGACTAAAAGTGCTCCGCATGAGCTGCATTACCCTCATGCTGATGCTGCTTCTGCAGAGCAAATGCTCTTCAATATTGAGGTGAAAACAAACCTGCGCTGCTTTGAGGCGCTGCCTGACGTCGAGGTAGGAGGAGGGCTCATCGATCATGTACACGTCAGCCTCCTGCGCTGCCACCACCGCTATGGCAAACCGCTGCAGCTCGCCTCCCGACAAGTGCTCCACTTCACGGTCCAGCACCTGGGGGAAAAAACGATGCACGCTGTCAGCCCTGGAATCCGATGGCAGCATGAAAGTACCTGAAGAAGAAGAAGCAGACATGATGATGATTTATTGTTATAATTATTACACGCTCTTCCTGCCAAGAGGCAAGGTGCGTCCTGCAGACAAGCTGCAGTTAATGGCTGCCACAATCCTACCCCTTGTTGGACTCGCCAGATCCAAGCAAGACCCAATCAACCGTGGGCACCATGATGAATATTGCAGACAAGATACAGGTAATCATGCCAGCTCCTTCAAAACTGCACTTTCATGCAAGTATCAGGAGCACTGCAGTTAGACTGTGCAGAGATTGGCATCCTCGTTGACAATCCATCAACCCAAAAAAATTAGGGCACAACACTTGCTAGTGCGCCATTTGCACCGTCACAGAAAGGAAATGCAGGGTGCAGATGACATGCAATGGTGCAGAAAACTGGCAGGGTGCAAGAAGGTGTGCACCTGTTCCAAGTCCAGGTCTCGCAGGAGCATCTCCTTCACGCCCCTGGCATCCTTCTCATCAATGATGCTCTCCACACTCCCCCTGCAATTGTCCACAGCCAAAGTCATGCATGCACTAACACGTAACGGTTTCTTTTCTTCCTGGCCCATTGCACTGGTGCAGTGGCCGGATGCACTGGCCCGAGGGCAGCCTGAACCTCAGCTGTGAGAATTTTAAGAGAACCATATGATCTCGGCTATGTACCCTTCCTTGGCTGATGTTGGATGGGCCCATGCAATGCAATTTCTCCTCCCACTAGGCACTCGGAAATGGGTATGGCCACAGGTGTCACACAGCGCAGTAATCAGCCCCTTGCAGGCTGTGTATGTCACGAACTCAGAGCAAAGATGAGCGCCTCACCTGACGGCCTTGGGGATGTGGTCGACGTACTGGGGCTTGATGGTGGCATGCAGGTCGTCCTCCAGGATGCGAGTGAAGTAGTTCTGCAGCTCACTCCCCCGGAAGTGCCCCAGGATCTCCTGCCAGTCGGGGGGCGACTGCGCGAATGACAGCACACATTAGCGCAGTCTAGCACGTTTTCTGTAGCCAGCTGCGCTGGCAGCGCCAATTCTGCCATAATGGCCATTTCCAATCTATTGACGCTCGCGCTGCTATTCATCAAGATTCACAGCGGAGTCTGGCCCCTGGTCAATCCTACCCTGGAATTTTGCGGCGCTGACAAGTTTCTTCAGAGTTTCTGCTGGTTTGCTGGTAGCACGCAACGGGCAGCTTGCGCAAATGAGCAAAAAGTATTGCAGATTTGACAGTGCATCAGGACATGGCAATTGTGAAAGCTCGGGGCTATAATCAAGCTTACACTGGGTAATTGAGGAGACAGACAAATTGACAGTGAACTCTCGCACCTCAAAGCGCCCCAGGTTGGGTTTGAGCTTGCCGGCGAGGACTTTGAGGGCGGTGGATTTGCCGATGCCGTTCGTGCCCACCAGCCCCAACACCTGCCCAGGCCTGGGCACCGGCAGCCTACTCGCGCACACAATCCCGGGCTTGAAATTTAAAGAGAAAAAACAATTACAGCACCAGGGAAAAGTCCAGCAGGTGGCCCCCCACGGGTGACACATGACTTGCACATTCAGGTGCTTGCAGAACAATGAAGAGCCAAAAGGGACATGAGAGCCTGCAGGCTGGAGAAATCCCATGCAAACAGGCCAACAACTTGAAGGGGGGCGTGCCTGTGAAGTTTGAAGGAGTTGGGTCCGTAGCGGTGCGTGGTCTCCCTCTCCAGGTTCTTTGGCAGGTTGATGATCATGATCGCATCAAACGGACATTTCTGCAAAGAGGCACACCTCGATTCAGGAGGGTAACATGCGATAACACACCATGATATGGCATGAGCGCTGCAAGGCAAGGCAGCCAAAAGAGGTGCAACTGCATTACATCACTGCTGGTAAGGCAGCAGCGCGGTAGGAGGATCACCTTTATACAAATACCGCAGCCGATGCAGAGCTCCTCTGAGATCCATGCTGTCTTTGAGTTCGGGGCCACTTCAATGCAGAGCTTGCCTGCAGATTACCCCAGCACGTTGATCGTTTGACACATGTCACAACGTTCCATTGAGATGATCAAGGACACGTCCAGAATCGAGTGCTGATTGAAGGTAGTGCTCACCTATTTTCACCACAGGACAGCTCTTCTTGCACTCCTGCCTGCATTTCTTCGGTTTGCACCTGGATGCACGAAAGAAATCGATCTCAAGAAGTAGAGGCAGGGATGCAGAGTAGTCACCAATCCCAGTTATAACTCCAGACTTCACCACATTCAGCAAGTGCAGCTTCCAGTAGCTGCACATCCTCCACCACCAGAGTGCTCCACCTGATCATATGATGTGCTCAATGGCACCAGCTCATTCGGATATCTGGAAACTCGAGCAGCAGAAGCAAACCTGTCTGCGCTAACGATTGCGATACGAGTCAGTGTCTCGTTGTCTACTTCCTTCTTCTTGTTCTTGGGAGGCATCTTGCCTGCGGCCTCGTCCCAACCGAGGCCTCAGGTTAACTTGATTGTCTTCTAACAAGCCTGTGATCAGTGATCAAACGCCCAGTACGGTGCTCTAAAGCTGTGCAGATCGAGGAGGGACACCCCTGATCAGGCACTCCTGCAGAAATCAAGGAATGATGCTGCGCTCTGAGAGCAGGATGAAAGTGCAAGGGCAATCGAGTTTCAGCGAAAGTATGCAAAACACTCCAGAAGTAATTTTGAATGCAATGAGCCGCCTGCATGCATTTAATGGTGCGTCTTCTAGCAGGGCACCCGAGTAATCAAAATCCACTACTTTAGTGGATGTAAACGCTACTAATGTGGTGGATTATTGGCAATCAGGGGCCATGCCACCTGGTAACACATTCCATAGCATGCCATTTTGGTAATAAAAATTAGGCCTTTCGTCAGTAAGCATGGAGAATGATCAGTGATGTGTTTCTGTACCGAGCATGTCACTTATTATTGCTAGGATCCCGTGTTACAAGTGTGGCAGTGACAAGGAGAAGCTTCATCCGAACTGCGCAAGTTCAGAACGCTTGACTCGCTGTGTAGGTTGTGATTATATTATCAGATTCTATTCAGAAGGTCTGACAAAGGACGAATACGGCCACGACGCTGTTGCCGACTGGGTCTTCAAACAAGAGGCAAGGGTGCCATTGCAACGTTGCAATGCCGTGGACTCAGGGGTCAGATATTTCCATCAGAGCTGCCTTGGCCGAGATGAACCTTCAGCATTGTCCAGAGCTAATGGCTACTATTCTATTCGCGGGAAGATTGAGAGCGAAAAGTATCCAGAGCTCAGAAATATTACCCACAAATGCTGTGAGGACTGCGTCATTGCAGCCCAAACCAGGGGCAAGGATCTCAATGAGGATAAGTTGAATTTTATCATGCATCAAGGAGTGATTGGTAGGTCTCAATAAGCACTCCATCTTTGAAGGTTGGGAACACCTATGTTTTGAATCTCCCCATGACCTTGACACAGAGTAACTAACTCTGACTTTTGCGTTGCGTTCAGAGGCAGAGACCGGCGACTTGGAGAGGAAGAGAGCCGATAGGCGATCAAGCAAGATTCGAGGCATCATTGGTGGTCAGCAGGCTCGCCTCGAAGACAATGGGACGACTTCGACCGCCATCTTTGCAACGAGACACCTCAATCAGAAAGTCAGCTTCAGCAAGAGCGCCAGCAGATTGCTGGCAGCAGTGCCCAACCTGAACAGGACAGTGATGGCAGCCTCGTATCTCCAGGCCAGTGGACTTCAGGCAGGCCAGACAGCCCAAGGACAGGCGCAGAGGGGCGCCACAGCTGCAGCAGGCGGCATGCAGGGTCCCGCAGCCCCAGAGGCAGAAGCTGCAGGACCTTCGCAAGCGCCACAGCCAGGGATCAGCCGCAGGCAGCTCAGCGCTCAGGGAGCCGAGCAGGACATCGTCCAACGGTGGCTTGCGTTCAGCCTCAAGGCCTCATCCACCGTTGCAGAGCTGAAGCGGTTCCTGCTTGACAGAGGCCAGCGGCCAGTGATCTTCACCAGAAGCGCGCTGCTCGCCAGGGTGGAAGGGCTGCTTAGATTTGAGCATCCAGAAGGTAGCTATCCATGATGGCTGTAACGATCAGCGCCTACACATCTTATGCCTGGCAAATTAATAACATGTCCTCACCATTTCCTCTGGACATCTTATGCGCTGGCAGCTAATGGATGCTGTCATGCAGGTGGACTGGAGCCGAGTGCGGCGGCGGTTGAAGAGATCACAGCCGCTGTTGAGGCCGCAGCCCAACCGGCACGGCAAAGACCAGCAAGGCAGAAGGTGGGCATCTTGTTGAGGATCCTTATGTTTGCATGTGCTTTGTGAACGCCTCTCATCTGTCAAGCTGCTGGTGCAGTGAAAGCGAGTTTGGCTGAACACACTGATTGTAAGTTATTGTTGTTACAGGCGCCGAAGAAGTCACAGCTTCAGATGGAAGCGGCCAAGTCCATTGTTAACAAGGGTGAGTGGGCGCTCTCAGCTGGAAGCTCTGATCACCTGGTGACTGTTGCACACCCGAGAAGGCTTTAACTTCTGCAGATTTGATGGAAGGGAATGATAGCCAGTCAATTGAGGCGCTCACATGTTTGCAGGAGTGAGCAGCGGCCTGCCCGTGGTCAAACTCAAGCAGATTGACGAGTTGCTCTGGACCTTCGACAAGTGCCACTACCTGCCGCAGTTGGGGGAGAGCACTCCCTCGATTGGTGTCGCTCTCTGGGCCGTCACAAGCACGCTGCACCGCGACGGGGAGTTCCCAGCACGCAACTTGTCCCAGTTGGGTCGTGCTGCCAAGGCTCCTGTTGGTTTGGTGCGCGCTGTGCAGCCAGGCAGCGATGGCACCCAGCTGCATATGGAGATATGGTTCCTCGAGGCGCGCGTGCAGACAGATAGCCAGGGGGAGCCCGAGGCAGCGGTGGCAGGGGAAGGCGGTGGGGCACGCGCAGATGTGGAGGGACGGGGTGCAGGAGAGGCAGCCACCGGTGGGGGCGTGCAGGAAGGGCATGGGCGGGGTCGGGGCAGGAAGCGTGGCCGCCGCGGCACAGGCGGGGCGCGTGGCAGCAATCGGCCCAGAAGGGGCAGCCGAGGCAGGCTCAGGCGCCCAACCGCCAGAGCCGCAGAGTTTTGGGGTCCCCCCACTGAGGGCGACGAAGACGAGGTTGGGAACCTCTTCTCTGAGTCAGATGCGGATGACCAGCCAGCGCAGCAGCACAGTGACCCAGCAGAGCCAGAAGGGCAGGCAGAGGGTGTCCTGCCTGAGGCCAGCGAAGTGCCGCCGCAGCCCACAGCTTGTGCGAGCCAGTCGCCGTTGCACGGCTGCTTGCTGGCAGATGAGTCGCCGCAGCCTGTGCCAGTCCCCAACGTGCGGCTGAGCATGCAGGGGCATGCCGCATCGCCGGCCAAAATGGCTGTGCTGGTGATCGACTACCGGCACATTGCAGCGGCCCTCTGTCATCCAAAACGGCTGAAGGTGGCTCTCGGAGGCGCTGCCGGGAGCTCGCCCATGAACGTCGAAGAGGCTGCAACTGGTGTGGCGCTGGCAATGTTGCTGGCTGAGGAGCAGAATGCGGCGCGCGCCGGAGAAGGTGAGGAGCCATCATGGCTCTCTTTGTCCTGGCTTATATGATTCCACTCACAGTGAGTTTCTAAGTTATAATGCCATGCGAATCATACCCCGAAGGTTTATCGACAGGTAATTGTCAGCAATAAGCTGACGACAGGCATGTGTTGTCTAGGTGGGAGTGCTACGGCAGCGGAGCAGTCGCAGTCAGCCTTGGAGCAGTCACCGCTGTCTGGCGCCATGGTCTTCTTTGATCCTGCTCTGGAGCTCGCTGCCGATGAGGAGCCAGCTTCCTCCTACCGCTCTGCAGATGGCCCAGCAGGCATGTACAAAATCCTGCTCTGTCATTCCTGTGAACTTGTCAACTGACTGCTCTCATACGCTGGTGTAGTTGATTTGTTCATGTCTTGTCTCTCAATGCTGAAGTGTCTGCTTGCCCCTTTGCCTGAGCCATGCCTGTCTTTCACGCACCCTGCTCCACATGCTGTGCTTGCCCCTTTGCCTGAGTCATGCCTGTCACTCACGCACCCTGCTACATATGATGTGGTAGAGTGCCGCACCTAAGGGTCATCTGGGTAATACTAACAACAGGAATAAATTTGAGCTTGACATCCTAGCAAGACACTAGGGAAGATATTGCTTGAATGCGGTAATAATCGCGGATTGTAAGCAGCTGTGTGTTGGTGCGCGCAGGTCGACCGTCCCTGGAAGTTTCCTCCCCTGGGATCAACATGGAAGCTGCAATGGGTGTCATCGCAGGGCTGGCATGTCAGCTGAACCCCTCGCCGCAAGCCAGAGGCCATTCGAGCGCGCACAGTGACGTGCAGATTCTGCCAGATGACACAGTCTATGTCCTAACAGATGACAGGAGGATAGTGGGGACGGCAGAGGTGGTGCATATTGGGCCTGGCACACGGTTCCACGGTGCTGAGCTTGAGGGGTTTGGTGTTATTTGCGGGCTCACCATCACAGACGCAACTGGGGCTGGACACCAGAAGGCATGGTTGAGCGACACAGATGAAGTCAGAGCAGGCAGAACACCCTTGGAAGCAATTGGGGGCAATCAGATGGTGGCAGTTCCCGAGAGGTGCCTTCGCTTTCTGAGGCGCCCACCGGCGGCTGGAGAGTGACTTGCAATGTGATCTTTGCACTTTCAAGCTAAGTCAGTTTCAAGCTTAGTCAGAATTGGCGTGTGAGCATGACGCAAATGTAGCATCAATTTTTTTTATGTCCTAAATTTGATATTGCAATGAGGACTGTAGTAGGTTGTGACCAAGTCTGCCTCACTACAAGGCGTTGCACATCCATGCGCTCTACGCAACTAATATTAGTCACTCACTTGTCCCTCTCTGCACATGTGCGCAACAATCATGACGGTAACCAGATATCATGCATGTAACAATCTGTAAGGTAATTCTGCTCCCGGTTGCCTCACATGCTCAACCTTCGAATCTGAAGTGGCCAGTGGGATGGAGCACTTCTGCTTGAAGACAGAGCACTGCTGCTGACCGCCACAAGGTAGTGGCGGTGGAGGGCAAGAAAATAAATCCCCTGAGCCTATCTTATAATATTATTAACCCCATCTGTCATTGAGCAGCCTGGCTCGTTCTTGCTGTTTCTCTACGATGTCGGTGTCGAAATCCACTCACATAGAATGTTGAACGTGGAAGAATTGCTACAAGATTCTTCTCAGCATCATCGCACTTCTTGGTCGCTGCATAAAGACACACGGCATGTCACATCAGATGGCGCAAAGGTGATGCCCTTATCTTGCCGGCACCCACGCTATGGTACACGCACGCGATGTGTATCAATCAAATGTGCCACAAGCGACAGAATTGGGGTGTCAATTTGCTGCACAGCGTGGGTGCCCCTCCTTGATGGGCACATCTCTTTACATCGAGCAGCCATCTGAGATCGCCAGGGTTGAGGACGTGCTGTCCGTGCAGCACGCACTCAGCGTCAATATTTAGACTCTTTCAATATTGATTATTGATGGTATTCTTGTGAAAGAGTCTCTTGACCGGCCCTGTAGGTATCGCACGCTATGAAGAGGCTTTTGCAGTCCAGGGTTGGGGCAGCACACCTCTGAACATAGGACCTGCCACCTTTGTAATCTTGCTCAAACGAAACCCTGAAATGCCTTCTCGAAGAGTGTGGTTTTCGAAATTCCTTCAAGCACCACGGCTGTGTGTGCAGGAAACCTAGTAATCTTCAACCACTGAACTTCCTTGAAGGCGGGAGCCATGCATGCACACACCGCCCTCATTCACTGGGCACTGGTCATGTACAGGTGAGATCTCAGGAAAGCAAGAGTATGATCCAAGTGTAGAAGTGCTGTAGAAATCGGGTTGAAGCCGCGGGCCAAAGCCTTGGAGCCTTAAGCATCATGCTGATGATCATAATGATGCCATCGGGTCAGTACTAGTATAAATGGCGTAAGGCTACCCATTAAGAGATTCCAGTGGGACCACCGTCGAACATTATAACCTGAGAGAAATTTCTTTAAAGCATCAAGCATCTCGAGATGTGCTCATGAGCAACGCATGTCTTGTGCTGCAGGTGCAACCCATGGCATGGTATTCAGTATTTTTACCACCTGAAGCAAGGCACGCTAGGGTGCTGCCAAGTATTACCCTTGCCAGCCGGGGCCAGGAAAAAAAGAGAAAAAAATCATGGATATATGAGATGCATGCCAACATCAGTAAGCGCAACAAGATCCCAGAAAAATGCGAGGAGACTCACTTGCACATATAGGCGCAGCTGCGTGTCTGAGGCGGTTGGCGTGGCAGCAACGAACTGAGAGCAGACCGGCCGCTCCAGCGCCGCCGGGTCCAAGGCCTTCCGTTGAGCGAGCAAGGCCTTCACCTCTTCATCAGCAATGAAGGGGCTATAGGGCAGCTTCGGCTGCAGGAAATCAGAGGCTTTGCCCGCCGCCCTGAGCTGCGTGAGTCCCAGGCAGGCGTCAGCAATGGCTGCCACGCAAGTGCGAAAGCAGCAAGGACACTGCACAGTGGGGCCCCCGGAGGCACGACTGTCCAGAGATTCCTGGGTCGCCGGGCCCACCTCAGCTGCATCTCTGCCAGTTTGAGCCGCGAGGCTGCCTGCTTCCATTTCTGGTGGCGATGACGACGCTGCTGCTTCCCTCTGAGTGTTCTCCTGGGGCGGCGGCGGCTGGCCGAGCTGCAAGTCTGAGTCACCGCTGAGCCCTGCCTCCGAACAGATGGGCTGCACGCCAAGCCTGTTGAGGTCATGTGTGGCGATGTCCATTCTGCGCCACTGTCTGACCGCCACTGGGAGGTTCCTCCAGATATTTTTGGGCAGGCCACTCAGTTGCCCGTACGGCACACAGCCGTTCCTGACGTGCACCTCCTCCAGGGCGCTAGTCCAGGCGACCATTGAGGTTGGGCTGGCGAGGCTGAGCTCATGCGTCTGCAACATGAGCGCTCCAGAGTAGTAAACCAGCGGCCTCTGTGGCGTTGCAGGAAAGCATCCCATGCTCACAGGATCGACTGTGAAGGCGGCACTGCACCCGCCACACCTGAATGCTGGGGGGCTGACCTCTGTCCTGCCGCTGATCGAGACATACACAAGCCTGCTGATCGTCTCCACCTGCTCCCACACTGATCCCACCCTCCCAGCCTGACTGCATGGACTGCAAGCGGGCAGGGCTGCTCTGGCAGCTGTCAAAAACTCTGCCTGCAGCTGCTGCTTCAGTGCTGCTTGGCGTGCAGGCTGACCAGCTTGGAAACATGTGTTCCTGAATACATTGTCATCAAAGCACGCATCCCATGCTTGGTGCAGCCGTCTATTATCCTCTTGAGCTGCCTGTTTCCGCAGACGCCGGCGTGAGGGCGGAGGCTGATAATAGGCAGCAGCGGCTTCTCCATCTCCATCTGCAAAGCCATCCTGCTGTTCTTCCTGCTGAGCTGTGTTTCTTGCAGGGATCCGCCAGGATGGAAGGGCGCTGGCCGGCCTCCGGGGTCCCCTCGGTGCAGATGTTGCCACAGTGCTGCCTAGGTTCCTCCCAAATCTGCGGCCTGGCTGCAGCAGAGCAGGAGTGTCGGCTGATGGTATCACCTTGACACTGACCCTCCACCTCTTGTTCCTGACCATTCGTCCTGCATGAAGTCATCACACAACGGTTTCTGCAAGTGATCCACCAGGACATTAAAGGAATGAGAAGTACATCAGCAGCATGCCTTCTAGTACAAGTGATACAACTATCCTTACAAGCACCTGGGCTACTTGCTACTCTTTGGGGTGCACAGTCCTCTCCAGATGCTCCTCATCAGATTGGCATTCCAAGCAAAGCCAGGTCAGGGCAGACACCCACGGCTACTCACAGCAGCAGAGGGATCGTAACGCTCACCAGAACAATTGAACTTGATGTTGGTTTAGATTGTAGACGACTTCAGTGTCTGTCCGGTGCATCAGTGCTCAATTCAGGTGAACGCTCTGTGTTGCCTGCACGCATTTCATTTCAAGGAATTGGCTTGGCAGGGCATGCAGTCACTACGAAAGAAGTAGACATGCACGTCGATGGTCGTGACATTCGATTAGCTGAGTCCAAACAAGTCAAGGATGGGGATGCCAAAAAACCGGCAAAAGTGCGAACCTCACATGGCCAGCGACAGAAGACTTCAAGAATTCGTTTAAATTACTCCCATAAACATTTGCGGCCGTCCCACCCCCCTTTCAAATCCTACTTTGCAACGGTAACCTGGCAAATGGCATTGCTGTCTTCGCAGAAACGAGTAGCGCACGATCCTATAGATACAGGCTTGACCGAAATAATTAGCTTGACGGAGGTACTATGCAATGCTGAGATTGTTGTAGGTAAATCTGAAGGATGTGCAGCATTGCTTTTGTTATTGCACGCCCCGAAGGGGCGTGCTCAGAAAGAGAGCCAAATCCACTAATGTAGTGGAGTGCATGTCCACCAAAGTAGTGGATTTTGCCCGACAGAGTAGGATGCATCTAGCTGCTTACGATGATTGGACCCTGCCCTATTTGCTCCTGCTTCATGTAAGATGTCCATCATAACAGTGCGATCGGTGGTGCAGCGAAGCCTCTGTGCATATTCATAATGATGTAACTAGCTTCCGGCACTGAGAACAGGGGCTCAAATGGGTCGGCACGAGGAAGAGGGCACTGAAGTAAGGAAGGAGAAGAAGGAAAAGAGCAAGCACAAACATAAAGATAAGGACAAGGAGAGAGAAAAATCCAGCAAGTACAAAGATAAGAACAATTCTGACGGAACTGTAGCAAAGGCGGAGCCTGAGCAGAATGGCGACACGTCAAATGGACTTCCCTTACCACCACGATCAGGAGAAAAGAGCAGGGAAAAGAGCGACAGGCAGCCCAGAGAAAAGAGCAGGGAGACAGAATCAGAGGTGGACAAGGAAAGCAGGCGAGACAGGGATAGCAGGAGAGAACGGGACGGGGACAAGGACAGGGAAAAGGACAGACACAGGCACAGGGACAGGGACAGAGATCGGGAAGAAGGCAGCAAGAAGGGTGAGAAGGAAGGCAGGAGGGACAGGGACGACGAAAGGGATAAGGAGGAGAGGCGAAGGCACGACAAGGATAGGGACAGGGATAGAAAGAAGGTTGACAGGAAGGAGGATGGCCATAGGAGCGAGCGCAGGGACAAGGAAGAGCACAGCAGAGGCGAAAAGGCTGCAGACGCTGACAAGGATGACAGGGGCAAAGCTGCAGCGAAGCCCTCTGTTGCAGCTGATCCTGAAGGGGATTTCATGGAGGAGGATCTGCCTGGGCCACCATCAGGACCAGTTCCAGTCCCAGAGGAGCCAGCAGCAGCGTCTTCTGTCCCAGAGGAGCCCTTCGTGCTGGACGTCAAGCCTCAGGTGCAGGAGTCCGGCGGAGAGATCTCCATGAGTATTGAAGAGACCAACAGGTCAGTCTGCCATCCCTGTGCCTCCTGCAACTTGGTTCATCGTTGTCAAAGCAATGCTTTCCTATGTCTGCACTCTGCGGCCTCAGCGGCCTCAGGATATGCCCTGCGAGCTTATGGAGAATTCTTTATTTTGGCAGAATGTTCTTGTATTGAATTTGTGCCTCCTGCACTTGATTGATCTTTGTCAAAGCAATGCTTTCCCAGCTCTGCACCCTGCGGCCTCCTGTGAACTTTCTGGGAGTTCCTGATCGACGTGAACCCTAGAAAAGTGTTGATTGTGAGAGGCTGTACCTGGTACTGAGCTTTGTGTGTGGAAACTGCAGGGTGCGGGTCTCTCTGGGGCTGAAGCCGCTGGTGATGGAGAGCGAAAGGGAGCAGCGGCAGAAGGAGGCGCTGGCCAGGGAGGCCAAGAGGGCCGAGGAGGAGAAGGAGGCCAAGGCTGCTGAGCTGGCTGAGCGCATCAAAGCGTATGCCCCTTACCTACTGCATTTTTTGTGTATCAGAGGCATCCTAAACTGCAGAGCATACAGTCCTTCGAGGAAGTCACATGCGAGAATGAGAAGTGTTCCTGATGAGTTTACTGCACACTACTATCGTCCTCTTGTACCCAGGATGCCTGTCTGTGGTTACCTGTTCTTCTGCAATTGTTCAGTCCTGCTGATTGGTGAAAGGCTATGTTTCCTTGGAGCACTTAGTTCGGCAGTTGAGTGCAGGCCTCTTTAGTCCTTGTGCATGATCTGGGTTGGACTCAGGATTTTGCCGGGTGGACTTGTCATACTGTGGACGAGGAGTGGCCAGCAGAAGAATGCCCTGTACCCGGGGAATTGATATGGCAACTCTGAATTTGAATCAACATTGAACTGTGGAATATTCCGCCTGAGCAGGCAGCGAGAGAAGCGGCTGGAGGATGAGAAGCTGCGCAAGGTGAAGACGCTGGGAGCGGCGGCCGATGACGTGGACGATCTGGGCGCCTGGGTCAGCAAAAGCCGCGCCCTCGAAGAGAAGGCCAAGGCTGAGGCGCGCGCCAAGGCCCTCAAGCAGGCTCGCGCTCTCGAGGAGCAGGTGCGCTGCTTACTACCGCATGCCTGCCTTGATGGCTACATGAGCATTGACAGGGGATGCTGTTTGATGGGGAGTGTGAATCAGCATGTGACAGGGTGTTTGAGCTCTTTTCGTGAATCCATGGGAGGTTGACGCGCCTCGGTGCAGCATGTCAGAGTGTGCCTGATGTTGATAATCCAGGATGGTGGAGGTACAGGAAACGTGGTACGGGTTGTTTTTAGATGTCAGATGGGGTTCAGACGTTTTGCTGCTGCGCTGTGCTTCATGGGGCTGAGATGTGATGTGTGTTGTTCAGGACGATGATTTTGAGGAGTCGGACGAGGAGGACGGCGCGCCGCTGCGCAACGCCAAGGAGCTGGCCGGCATGAAGGTGAATACTGCCTTTGCAGCCATGCTTCTTTTACTTTCTTGACCGCGCGCACCTGACTTGCACATGAAGTTCTGGCCTGCTGCGGCTTCTGGCAGCTTCTGTTTTACAAGCAGTCTACATCAGTCCCTTCTTGTTTCGCGGGGGTCTTGGTTAAAGCAGCTGGGGGCTGGAAGGGCTTGACAAGGTGTGGGACTGCTTGTCCGGTACTTACCTGGGAACTCAACAGGGTCTCAACTATGTGAGGGGAGTCTCCTGCTGGGCGGTGGGGACAGGATTGCCGGATGATGCATGAGACAGGGTCTGGGGTGAAACGGAAGGGGCGCGCTTGCAGGTGAAGCACAATGCGGATGAGCTGGCGGAGGGAGAGACGGTGATCCTGACGCTAGCGGACCGCAACATCCTGGATGACAAGGGCGACCTCGACGATGACGCCGACGAGCTTGAAAACGCCCTTGTGGTATGTGTTCCTTCTTCTACTGCCCTTGCGCACTCTCTCTTTCTCTGCGCTGGGCATTGCTTCTCCTTTACTGAGCTGCCCAGCAATGCACATCCTTGTCTGTCTCCCCTGACAGCGCCACCCCTCTCTGCCCATGTCATGTCAATGATGACATTGCTGCTATGCCTGTTCAGTCATGCGCACTGCCAGCATGAGGTCGCTGGGTAAATATAGGCAGCATGCATGCCATCGGGAATGATACGACCCATGCATGACTTGTTGCGTTCGGCACAGCATTCTCATCACAGACTGGAGAACACAGCATATTACGCAGGCGTGCAGGAGAGGGTCATCTCAAAAGAATCTCGGCATACTTTGACCTGCACAAAATGGGAGGAGGTCTGATGTGCGTGCGTGCGCTGCGCAGATAGAGCAGAAGAAGCGTGAGAAGGCGCGGCGAGCGGCGGGGAAGCAGCACAAGCCGCTGTTCGGCGAGGACGGTGTGCAGCGGGGCATGCTGGACAAGTACGACGAGGAAGAGGAGGATGCAGGCATGGAGATCGACGAGTCTGGGGCGGTGAATGATGAGAAGGCTCGCAAGCAGGCCGAGATCAAGGCCAAGCTGGCCGCAGGTGGGCACCTGAATGACTGTCCATCGGAAATGAAGTCGCCAAGCTTACTGTGTGACGTATCAGGATGATTGTGGCAAAGTTTCTGCTGCAGTATCGTTGTAGATGAATCCTAATGCCAGGGGCTGGAAATTGCTGTCATAACTTGCAAGCATGCAGTTTACTGGATTCGTGAACATTCTCAGGCATGCTTTCGGCTTTTTGAATGTTCAGCATGGTAAGCAGAAACCATGCTGGAACATGTTCAAGAACCCAGTAAATAAAACTGAGTAATTGTGCAATCAGTCGCTGACATGAGTTGTGTGCGGATCCTGACGTGGGTTGTGCTATGGTGCAGCCCAGCAAAGCGCAGCAGGGACTGCTGTTGCTGGGTACGACGCGCGCTCCGAATACTTCACCAAGGAGGAGATGGCCGAGCTGTTCAAGCCCAAGAAGAAGAAGGTGCGCCTGGCTTTGATAAACTTCAAGGCGCCGTGATTCTTGGCATGCATGACACCTTCCACAAAGCATTGCGAGGGGTGCTTTGGCACTTTTTCCAGGCATTCACAGTTTCATTAATTGAGGTTTTAGAAGTCATATTGGATGCGTGAGGCGCGTGAAAGTCGCTTCTCTACTGCGAAGATACACCGACACATCATATTTTATGTGTATTGCGGCGCGTGAATGCCGCGAGCTTGCTGTGCAGAGGAACCGTGACGTCATAAATCATTGTGTGTGACGGTCTGTGAAGTCCGTGCTGTGCTGCACAGACAAAGAAGAAGCTTCGCAAGAAGGAAGCGATGGAGGACCTGAGCTTTCTGGAGGCAGAAGCCGAGGTGGCGGCTGCGGCCGGCGTTGCCGACCACGGTTCCCGCGGCAGCCGCGCTGGGCCGGCCGAGACGGCCGAGGCGAAGCGTGCGCGCGAAACCGCCATCAAGGATGAGAGGTGTGCGCTTGATTTCGTCCTTGTCCTTGCTTATAGCACATGCAAATGAATCAAATGCAGCATTCTACATCTTGCTGCATGCGCATCAAACATGCATGTGCGGAGGTGCACTTGAGCAGAAAAGATTTGGTGTTTAGCGGGCCCGAAGTGGTCCGCATGTGTTGCGGTTGAAGGTGCTGGAAACTGTTCAATGGCGACGATATTGGCGCAGAGTCTCCTGGAGGGAATGTTTATACACTCAGGCAAAAGCATATCACTCAGGAGTGTTGGGGTGTCGCTGCGCAGGTACAAGGCGGCGCTGGAGAAGGCAAACTATGCCTCGCTGGCGCTGAAGGAGGATCCTGGGGAGGAGAGAACGCTGGGAGAGGACGAGGAGGAGCTGCAGGCGGTGCTGGCGCGCGCGCGGCGGGCGGCAGCTGCCAAGAAGGAGGAAGCTGCCGCCGCGGCCGAGGGGCCCGGCGTTGCGCGCATTGCGGAGCAGGCTGCCGCCCGACGCGCCGCCGACGAGGCGCAGCGAGCCGCTGATGCTGCCGAAGGTGCTCCATTCTCTTCCTATGATTGTCTCTTCTATTTTCCCCTCTGAGACAGCTGCTACCTGTCTTGGTTGCAGCATGGGCCATCCCCGATATGATGTTGTCAGGGCACTGGTCCCTTGGAAGATGGAAGATGGAGAGCTGATTGTATCTTCCACTGCAATGGGAAAGTCTCTCTGCAGCTTGCAGGCACAGCCGGCCTGCTCTATCATGTCGCTGCTACCCTCATCGATGGCTTCTATTATTTTCTATGTTTCTGACAGAGAATGGCTACGAGATGGGTCTTCTATGTTGGCTGAAGACTGTCTAATAGGCAGTGCAAGGACCATAGTCGCCATTTTTATATGCAATTTTGTGACATGGCGCTACTGCCGCTTCAGGCGAGGACATGGCGTTCACGGAGGCGGCCGAGTTTGCGCGAGGAATCACAGTGGAGGCGGCAAAGGAGCCGGCCAGCGCTAGGGAGTCCGACTCGCACATGGGCATTGGCGATGACGTGACGCAGCCAGAGCCGCTGCCTAAAAAGGTCCCCAAGCCAGAGCCGGCCGCGGCCGGCGGCTGGGTGGCGGCCGGCGCTGACGCTGACGAGGACGCTGACGTGGACATGGCGGATGCTGGCGAGGACGATGACGACGCGGCGGCCGCGCCGGGAGACTCGGTTACTCGGGAGCGCGCCATCGGCACAGGTGGGTCTTTGTGCGATATATTTAGGGTTCAGGGTTTCAGTGTGAAACGGCTGAGCCCCTTTGGGCTATCTGGCTTGGCTCCACACTCACCAGGCTCGTTTGCTATCACCCACAGATGGATATAAAGATCAGCACACAGGTGCTAAGCTTTTTGGTGGTAGCACATTCATCCATTTCCCCTTTGTGCACGAGGCATGGCCGGCTGATCCTTACCAGATTTCACTGTGTCTGCTTGCATATTGGGGCTTTCTCTTGTTTGTCAGAGGGGTTTCTAGCACCGTGAGTCGCATTAATGTCCCTCATGTGCTGATGGCAGTATTTAACTGGAAAGGTTCAGATGCACAGTGAAAATTTGCTTTGGAGCTGGTTTTCTTCTGCTCACAGGCCTCGACATACCTTGGAAATTTCTTCTGTGTTCCTGAAAGTCCTGGGCAACCTTGGCTCAAGGCGCTTTGGAGCGCCACGTTTGGCGATGCATGCAGGCCTGGGCCTAGAATCTCAAAATAGTGTTTGATAATGTTTTGAACTCAAATGCGCGCAGGTCTGGGCGCGACGCTGGCGCTGCTGTCGGAGCGCGGGGAGCTAAACGACACGATCCAGTGGGCAGGCCGCAATAACGACGTCATGGCAGCCCAGCATCTCACGCGCAGCGGTCAGCTCAAGGACGTGTACAGCGGCGGCCGGCAGAGCAGCGCGCTCGAGGAAAAAATCGAGCGCGCGCTGACTCAGCGGGACGAGTTCGGCGACATCATGACGCCCAAGGAGCGCTTCCGCCACCTGTGCTACGGGTGCGCGGCGTTCCCTCTCCATTTAGTAATACGGGCCCTAGATTTGACTGAAATCGAAGACTTACTCGTATTGCCGTGTTAGCTCTTCCGGCCTCACCTGCAGATGTCAGGCATTTGTTCTTGAGTTTCTGTCACTGCTTGCTGCATGCACACGTACAGTGTATTGAGCAAGTGCTTGGCCCCTAGCATGCTCGGGAATCTGGAATCTGTTGACCTGGATAGATTAAAGTCTTCAGCTTCCACGTTTTTTGTGAAACACATTTCAACAGGCTCTTCTTGCGCTCGCTCAAACTTGTATTTGTGCTCAGTGCTCCTGGGCTTTGAATGCCTGGATTCACAGGCTGTGGGCGATGCCCTTTGTTGAGAATGTGTCTCCATGCATGTGGAAGCAGATCCTAAACTCTTTCAACTCGTTGTTTTATTGGCTGTGGGGCTTGCGGTCAGGCGACCACAACCGATGTACCAGTCTGCATGTCTTTTCAGCCATCTAGGGACTGAAATCAGGGTAATTTAAAATGACATTAGGGTTCATGAACATTGAAATATTTGTGGCGGGCAGGTATCAATATGCGCACTGCCATCTGCTTGGTTCACAGGTTTGCCTGATGGGCCGCAGGTTCCACGGCATAAACCCGTCGAAGAACAAGCAAGACAAGCGATTCAAGAAGATCGCGGAGGAGCGCGAGAAGAAGAAGCGGCTGATGGGCGCCGGGGATGACTCAGACAACCCCGCCGCGCGCATGCACGCCGTGCAGGAACAGACCGCCACACCCTACCTGGTGCGGATTCCCTTGTTTTCCTTGACCACCCTTTCGATGACCCAAAACCCCAAATTATAGCTTTGAGGATTTCCTTGTTCACTAGATGGGCCGGGCCTTTGTGACTTCATTGGTACTCTTTCGTGCCTGTTGGTGGTTGACTGTGTACATCCTGTTTCACTGCGCTCTGAAGAACTCAATCAGTGACTCGACTCCCCTACAGAGGTAATGAGTGCGTTGCGCCTGTCTCTCTTGTGGCACATTTACAAAGCTGCTAGTCTGGACTTGCCTGCACTGCTTGGACGTGCTGCCCATTCCTGGTTGTGCTTAGAGAACAGAAGAGAAGGGTTGTGCACACTTTCGAGGTTACATCGCAGCGAGGCACGACTCGGTCTTGTTGACATGTGCCGGCATGTGCGCGCAGGTGCTGTCGGGTAAGGTGAAGCCGGGCCAGTCGAGCGACCCTGCCTCTGGCTTTGCAACTGTGGAGAGAGACCCCATCGCCCTCACGCCTGTGCTTGGCGGCAGCCAGACGCCTCTCACCGGCAACCGAAAGGTGCTGCTACTCTCCTCTGGAACGAACTCAAATTTCCAGCACTCTTCTGTATACTGCGCGTAGTCTTCCTCCCTCCACTCGTGTGGGAGGACAGCGAGTATTTCGCGTCTGGCCGATCCGCTTGCTTTTGTGCTCGGCAAGGTGCACATGCTCCTAGGCGGACACAAGAGAAGGGCGCCATTTCGGGCAGATACCTTGGCACTGGAGTCTGTTGCAAAGTGGGGAGGCTACATTGCCTCTATGATTCAGGATCCACTTGACTGAACATTAGCACCCTGGTGCTGCCTGGACATGTTTCGCGGCTGGCAACTGCTGCTCTGGTCAGCCAGAGCAGCAGTTGTGAGCGCTGCACACGCCCAGCCAGATGACCGGTAGGCTTCGACTGGCACGGCATGTCTCGTGCAAGTACGCTTTACAATTCCAAGCGTGTGTGCTTCCGCCCACATTTGATTGTGTCGTGCTTGGATCTGGCGAGTCCAACAAGGGGTAGGATGGGCAGCTAGTACTTGCAGCTTGTCTACCGATGCACCTTGCCTCTGGCAGGAAGTTGTCTAATAATAGTAGTAATGATAGTACTCATTCTTCCGCTTGCAGTGCTGTGGTGTAAAATGTTTCTGATGGCCTGGCTACAGGTTGAAGCTATGCTGGGGTTGAAGAGGCCGCGCGATGGAGAAGTAAGTATGGCGCCACCGCCGCCTCGGAAGCCCAGGACGTGATCTTGCTCAAGAGTTCTGTTTCAACACTTGAGATTTACTACATTGGTTGTTCTCTTACTGGAGGAGAGGCACGCTCCCTTGTGCAGCCTGTTCCAGCTGCTGCCAGTAAAGTAGAGCAAGCTGAAGCTGGGGTGCACCACCAAGTGATGGGCATTGTAGGCGTACGCGTGCTTTGGATGATTAATCATTGCTACGAGGTCCTTTGTCAAGAACACTGTGCTTAGAAAGCAAGCCTCAAGACATTATTTGTCAACGATGTTGACTATCACATGCCCCATGTCCTGGGGCCGCCTGTTTCGATTCAAGCCTGACTGTACCCACAACATGCATGTACGCATATGTGCAGCGAATACCCCGGGTCGATGGACATGTTATTGTATTACGCAATATTCATATGGATGTCCACAGCATCGTGGGAAAACCCACGTTCCTGCATAGAGGAACTCATGTGCTAGACTTCCTCTCGACACCTGCACGGGCTCCAAGTCACTGAGTAGGCATGCAGGACTCTGACTCCAGTTGTTGAGACGGCTGTAGAGCGCCGCTTGCATTCACGCAAGAATATTCGTGCGAAGAGATGAGGGCATATGCAACCCGCAGCTTGCAATTGCAACTGACAGGTGTGCAGCAACAGGCGGATCTGTTTCAGTTTTTCTCTCCTGCCATTTGACATTGTCAAGGGGCGCATGTGAACGAACAGTAGAGGCGTCTGTCTTACGCCTCATTTGAAATTCCAGTTTGAAAGATGACTGAACGATGACGCAGGATGGAGAGCCCAGAGTCGTTGTATTGAGAGCCTGCAGGCAGACGGTCTGTAGATCAGCACTGCAATTTGCTGGCTGATTAGTGGCTTGAAAAATGGGAGAGGAAATGTTGAGTGCCTGGGAGTTGCTAATTGTGCAGAGGGCATGGAATTGGAGCAAGGCATTTTAGCAGAGCATGCATCGATCGGCTGTGGTGCTGAAGTGGCTCTCAGGAGCCAGAGCGAGAACGGATGTATGCTTGTACCTGACTGTGACCAGCGCTCAGAGTGCATCAGAGGCTTGCCGAATGATCTCGAGATCTGTGCAGCATGTGCAGACGTACACATGTGGGCATCAAAGTGGCTTATGTTCCATGTGGGTGCGGCGCATGACAGAGTTGAAGAAGCTTGTAATAATGATGACTCATCTCAGATCTGGAAGAAGATGCAGCTTCAAAGAGAGATGTACATATCTGTGGTGTGAGTCAGTAAGTGCGCATGCGCAGGTGTGCAGGGGTTGCCGGCTGGTACGCTACTGCACCGAGCACTGCCAGGCAGCAGCGTGGCCCCAGCACAAGGCAGTCTGCAGGAAATATGGGCAGCAAGGGCAGGGCAGGGCTCAAGTACTTGACCCTTGAGGAGTTGCACTGCCGGCACATCATGCAGAGCGGACACCCAGGCCAAACTGGCATTGCCGATGACTGGACAAGTTGCATTGTGCAAGCGCTTCAGGGATTACCCTTGTAGGGAGCCGCAGAGCACAATAGTTATGAGTGCTCAAATCTTGTGAGTTTGCTAGGGTGGTGCGCGCTCTGTCATGCAGTCCTGCAAGCACGCAGGAACATGACCAATATTTTAATGCGGCTGAATGAGCAGGGCAGGTGTCAGTTGCCAGTTGCTGCCAAAACGGTATACCGTCTACAATAGGTGTAGACCATGCTAGTAACCATACCCAGGCCGTGCCGGGTGGGTGAATGGCGGGCCGTACTTAGTACGGGCCCGGGGCAGTACACCAGTGTTTCGAGGTGATTATGGGGATATGATATTATCATCATTTTTACATGATAGTACTAATAATAAAACTAATTATACTAATGATATCATCGATGCATGCAATGGGTTTACCCACATAGTTTCCCCATCAGGAGCAGCAGTGCCAATGTATGATGCATGTTGTGGAAGCAGTCTGCAATAATTGGTGCCGTTTGAAATTCTCATGCTCCCAAATGAAATCATATGGATATAAAGTGGGTCTGACTGACGTCATGACCAGATCAGCACGACCTGATCAGCAGGAATGACTGAGTCCTGTGAATTATGAGAGACGATTTGACGCTGCAATTGTATCGGCATCCCCATGAGCATCAGCAAGTCCTGTATTTGTTTCGCCCAGCATGCCAGAAGCAGCGTTGAACGCTTGGGAAAAGCTGAACGTGCACAGGGCATGGAATCTGACCAAGGCATCTCTCCAGTATGGGGGAGATATGCAGGCTTTGGGCATGCTCATGGAAAGCCTTGTTGTACTGAAAAACCATTTCACAGAAGATGCACGCGCCAAAAATAACATGTTCAAACGCACTGAGCGCCCAATCACTGCCTCGGTGGCAAGTCTGTACGTTGATGTCGCATCTGCAGTTTCGAGAATGACCGACATTGGTTCTGCGCAGTTTGTTATGACATCTGTGTCGGTGAGACATCGAAATTGGGCGTCGGAATAAAGTTTTATGATAGTCTTGCTTCAGCTGCTCACCCATGCCTTTCAATGCTCTTATGCGATTTGCAGGCTTGCGAGTGGGTCTTGAATTTGCTGCTAGAGGCACACCAAAGGCCTCTAGGTGCAGAAGACGAGAAACGTCTAAAAATGGCGGCGATACACTTGAGCAGCAAGATGTATGCCTGCCACAGACTGATGGGCAACATTCCTGCAGCTTGGATGGTGATCAGAAGACTGAACAGAATACCTGTTGACACTGGGGATAAATCCGAAAGGTGTACATACACCTTGTCCCATTGACAACCCGTTCTGGATTCTCTTTTGCACCTCTAGCGTGCGGAGGTTTAATTTAAATGGACCTGCACATGCGCATATGTACTCTGTGGTGCGCAGGAAGCTGATGCAGGAGGTACTTGAGCTGGAAGCGCGCTCCTATGCCAGCACAAAGTTTGGGGTCACTTTCAAGCCGCCGCATCTGCCAGACCCCAGCCCCCTGGTCTACCACCACTCCGCCAGAATGACTGGAGCGGTGCGTTCCTGCATGCTGGCAAGCATACATTTAATACGAAGGAGATCTCAGGACAATCCGGTAAGTGTGAGAAGCGCTTGAGGACCTGCTTGATTGCGCACAGCAATCACCTGTGAGCCCATGAGCAGCTAGCATCAGTGCATTGGGCCGGCAAGAAAGCGAATCGATATGCAAATTTCCCCTTAAAGGATGATCTCGACTGAGAGAGAAACAAGACCACCTCTTTTAATCTGGCAACCCTTAGAGCCAGCTGCTAGTCAGCCTTTGCTGCTTCAACTGCTGTTACCTACCAGGCCATAAGTCTGCGGCCATGGCCCCTGACAGCTGCCCAAATTTTCACTGCAGGCTCTGGACAATGAAATGGCGTCGATCATGCGCAAGAGCAGTAAGATCATCTGCGCAGCGGGCGACTCAGTCTTTGCCAGCATTCAGGAGGACGCTGTCAGGAGCTCTGGCGTCCCTATGCACAGGATAAACATATTTCGCTTCCGACCCTGCCAGCCCAGGTAACACCTGAAGCTTGTCTGCTGCAACATCAGAGTGGTCCGCACATGGGCACTTGCTTCAAGAATCCCTAGTCTCTCGCTTTCAAATATCCGCCAATCTGGTGTTGTTTCAAGGCCCCCAACCCTATTTTGCAGCTCGATTTGGATTTGGGCAGGCAATATTGCTTTGGCCCCTTGTTCTCACGTGCTCCTCTAGATTGGGCGGACTTGAAAGCATCATTGCCAATTAGAGATTACCGTCCCTCACTGCATAGGCAGTTGATTTTTATGCTGCATGCTTTCCAACACAGCTAGCCTCAGTGAGGCATTTCATTGATTGCACTTTTGTATGAGTGGGCTCGGAAAGAAGCTGGTCCTGGTGCTGACGCTGAGGGCTTTTCAATTCTCCTTATGAGCAAAATGTCTTGTAGACACTGAAAGACTCTGATGAATGGGCTCTTGGACGAGTCAGGAAACAGCAGGTAATCTGATCAACGTATCCACGCTGAATATTTTGGCTGAATGCATGACTGCAGGAGTGGAGCTGCAAAGACGCTGGTGAAGCTGGGAAAGGTCAGTGCAATGTCAATGGAATTTGAGGCAGGAGTCATTTTTGACCAGCGCTTTTACATGGCCGGGTTCAATGGGGACCTTGGCGGACCCCTCATTGGCTGGGACACCAATTTCCAACGAGAGGTCAATGTCTACACGGTGAGACCACAGCCATTATCCAGCTCTAGATGCGTGCAATGTATTGCACAGTCTTGTTTTCTGAGTGCGTGCTGCAAAGCTTGCATTGTCTTGTGGACAAAGCGCACCTGCAGAGCTGTCTCAGTTCTGAACCTGCCCTGAGAACTGTGGTCTTTGAGGAAATGGTCACCATATGATACTCGAAAGTGCATATTGTCAATTGAACCCGGCTGGTGGGGGGCGGTGTAATACTGCAATACTGGAATATAAGCACCGCGCCTACGGTTGATTGGGTCATGCTTGGATCTGGCGTGTCCATCAAGGGGCAGGTTTTAGGCAGCCTAAAATGGCAGCTTGTTTGCAGGCGCACCTTGCCTCTTGGCAGGAAAGGCGTGTGATGGCATCAATAAATTTAATTGTCTCTGCAAAGCCCTGACTGCATTCCTTTTGTGCCCCAGAATTATAAGCTGGGGGGACATATGGCGGGTCGCCGAGGGGCGAGCCTTGTGGCCTGCCGGGACATGATCCTTGCATTCGGCGGTGTCAGCGATGCGCCAGGTTGGCGCTCTAGCAAAATTGTTTTGCCCTTCTCAACTGCTGTACATACATACATACATATATATATATATATATATATATATATTTGTGGTTTTAGGGTGTACCACGACCAATTTACAGAAAGTCCCCAAACCCTGAATATATTAAAATAGTGTTAGCTGTTCAGGAACATGTTTGAATGAGAACATACAAGTGCCACGCCCTTTGCAGAGGAGGCAGAGTGAGCTTGATGCAGATGTTGCGTTGATGTAAACACCAGCATTTTTGAAATGTTTCAAATTG